TGCACAGTGGCAGCCCAACAAGCTTGATGGGGTGTGAGCTGTTGCAGCTCACGATAATATTCCAAGTTCTTATGGTTGGTGAAGACCACAGTCGGTTCGATGGGGGAGAGGAGATAAGGCTGGAAAGCCTTTAGAGCCCTGATGACAGCGAGCATTTCCAGATCATAGACCTGATAGTGCTGCTCAGCGCTGACGAGGGATTGCAAGAGGTATGAGCAGGGGTGCCACTCATTGTCAGCTCCTTTCTGGGCAAGTACCACACCAGTTCCGAGCTTGGACACGTCTGTGAAAAGTGCGAAGGGCTTGGCAAAGTCAGGAATGGTGAGGACCAGAGTGGAGCATAACAAAGATTTTAGCTTGGTGAATGCGGCATCACGTTCTGGAGTCCATTGATAGGACACCGCTTTCTTCATGAGGTTGTGGAGAGGGTGTGCGATGCTTGAAAAGGAAGGGATGAATTTTTGGTAGAAATTACAGAATCCAAGGAATCTGCAAAGTCCCGTAAGATTATCAGGGACCTCCCAGGTACTGATGGTGTTGGTCTTCATCGGCGAAGTCTCCAAGCGCCCCTTTCCTATGATCATTCCTAAGAATTCGATTTCTTCAGCCTCGAAGACACATTTGCTGATCTTGAGGCATAGTCCTTCCTTTTCACAGATCTTCAAGAACTCACAAACCCAAGTTCGAAGTTCCTCTTTTGTCCTGGCATGAATAGCCACATTGTCCATATACCCTACTTGCTTCCCTCGCTGGGATTCAAAGGTTCGGTCCATATAACACTGAAAAGATGGTGGTGAGTTGCACTGCCCAAAAAACATTACCGTGGGTTCAAACAACCCACTGAGGCATAATAAATGCCCCTTTCCACTCATCTCCTTCACAGATGCGAAGATTAGTAAAACCCCAATGAATGTTGAACTTGGCATAGTATTTGGATTTGACCAATTCATTGAAAAGAGCTTGGGCATTCAGCAAAGGATGGGCATCTTGGATTGTAAAGGAGTTCAAGTAACAGTAGTCTTGGATTAGCTGTTTCTTTCCATCCTTCTTTGTCACAAAGAACACCAGCACTGCTTGAGGTGAGGTCAATGGCCAAATCTTCTTACACTTGAGATTTTCTTCAAGAAATTTGTCCAATACTTTCAGTTCATCCGGGGACATCAGATAGATGGCCACCTTCTTTGGTTTGAAGTTATCCTGCAACCTAATCTCATGATCAAGTCTGGGTCGGTGATGTGGCAATGGGATGTCTTTTTCTGAGAACACTTTGGTGAATTCTTGATATTCCTTCGGAAGTTTTACTTCCTCCTTAGTCGAGGATAAGGCAGCCTCGAGTTCTGTGGATAAGGTTGTTTTATTGATACTTACTGGTTCCTTCACGGAACCATCATCGTTGAATTTTACCACATATCCTTCGTAAGATGGTACAAGGTCCTTGATAAAAATGTCAGTTTCTCTGTTTGGTACATACCCATCATCCCAACAAGTTATTTTGCTTGTCTCCCAGTTCATCCTTGGTTTGAACTGTCAAAGGAAAGGCATTCCCAGCAGGATATGTTCTTTCCCTACCAGAGGGCCAACGTAGCATTTGATGCATACAACCCTATTCTTGATGATGATTCAAATAGAAACTTTTCTTGTGACCCATTCGACGTCTTTTCCAGTGAAGGAAGTGGTTTTGAACTTGGACTTGATGTGATACATTGGTATCTGCAAGCTTTGAACGATTCGCTCTGAGATGAGCGAATACTTCGGCGCCTGAGTTGACACAGGCCATTACTCCTGCCATAAAATCTGGCAAAAAGATTCTTCCCAATGGTGATCTGATATGCATAGTTGATTCATTGTCTATAGAAGTACATTTAGCAGATAATACAGATGCAGGACCAACCTTAGGAGTATCAGTGGTCCCCTTCAAAAATCCACTCCATAAGCCTTCTTCTCCTCATCCATTGCAAGGCAATCTCCCATATATGCTGTCTTCGTCCTGTCAGCAGACAACACTGACCCGTATACTGGGAAGATCTTTGCTTTTGAGGGATTTACAGTCACACTTGTAGTGACCTTTCTTACCACATTCGAAGCAGGTAATTTCGGAGTTTGAACATCTAATGTTCCATTTTCATTTGTCAACATCCATCACATCAGGATCTTGGGAACCTCCACGGTAATGAATGAATTTGCATTCATACCAAGATTCCTTCCCTTCAAGGATATGTTTGGTGGCAATTGCAGTTCTGGCTTCTCCCGTGCACTGTATCCACTCAATGATGGTGGTAGGGGCGCGTCCTGAATTAAGAACCCAATCACAATATTCTTTATTCAATCCTTTTCCGAAGAAGATCCCTGCTTCACATGATTCTTCTTTCAGTTGAGCCTTGTTGACAAGCCTGGTAAACTCGGCGATGTATGCCTCAAGTTCTCATTTGCCTTGTGAGATATCAGAAAGGTGTAGGATAGCGAGCATGGTTTGATCGCCAGATTCAAAAGTAGCTTTGAGACATTCCATGAACCTCTGGAAGGTGTCTGTGTAGTAGATTGTACCATCGAGAAGCTTGTTTTCGTTCTGGTAATTTTTGGCAAATGAGACTGCAGCGCCTTTCGTCATATAGGTGAGGGCGAACAAAATCTTGAGGGATTCCATGTTATAGACATGCTTGTTCAGGTTCAAATAACCTTCAACCTGTGTAACCCAGGTCTGAAGCCCATTGTGACTTCCATTGTATTCACTGGGACGCCCAACATTAAACTCCCTTCCTCCATTGGGTGGGCGGCAATCATACGAATTGTCAGGATCGGCTGGGGCCTTACCCTTACTGGACCCTCCGATGGGGACCTCTTGGGGAATTACCTTTCCAAAGTTCCTGGCATACCAAGTTTGTAATGCCAAGTCCATAGGTGTTCCTGTTGGGAACAGATCGCTCGACTGGCCACCGGCTATTTTGCACCAGTCTTCTGCCAAAGAGCGCCTTTGTTCTTCCAACTTCTGCTTCAGTTCCTCTTCAGAGAAAACCTTCATCAGCATCTCAGGGACTGACTCTCCATGACCAAGTGTCATGGACATAATGGGTAACTTGTGTGCTTCTTGTTCTTCCTTGAGGACTGATCTGAAAGAAGTATCAGACTTCTGATCATCTTCTTCTTCTGAACTAAGTGCGACTTCCGAATCCCTAAAATGGGATAGATACGATAAATGGGGATTAGAGGCGGTAGCCGAGGGTCCTAGTCTTCCAAGCAGGATAGGCGGTAGCGGTGGGTTTCTACCAAGCCCTAGCGGGTTTGTACGAGGAGGGACAGGAGGTCTTGACTTCTGTGGGTTAGACACTTTAACGAGAAGTGATAACAAAGGCTGAGGGAGGATTTATTTCTCGAAAGAAACCTGTCAGCATAGAGGGATGTATATTGGTGCACGAGTGACTTTACATGTAGGGAGACACAAGCGCTGACTCTAGGGAGGCAATCTATTAAAGCCTAGTGGCTGCCTGTAGAGCGGTGGACTTGATTGAGGGTAGAAGGATGCTTCTCAATTTTGTTATCGACCTTGTTGGTCGAGTCAAGGAGTGGGGGAAAGGCAAGTTAGTCTTTACACTGAGGGAGACCAACAAGCTGTGGAGAGATTTAACGTTGGTTTGTTGAAGTTCAGTAACCAGGGACGAGTAGACTTTTCACAAAGAGGTCGACAAGTCCCAAAAGCTGCGTGGAGTTTTTCGATTTTGTTATGCCCAAGCATGGTGACTTCTTCAAATGGAATAGGCACAAAGTGCATGAGGTGGGAGACTACGGGCTGAACTTGTCATAACCCCTATGGCTGAGTTATCGCAATAATCCAACAGAGGTTCTGTCTGCTGGTGAGTCCCTAAGGTTGTTCACACAGAGAGAGAACAAGGATAGAGTGAAGGGATGAAGCTCAGTTGCAAGCTATCGAAAAACTGCAGATACAGGATGAAGTACATAGGATTATATACTCCTAAGTACGAGTACAGTAGCAGTCATGGACGCATATCCACAATAATCAACAATCCCATCAGTCAAATAAATAAGAGTCATACTGGTGTCAAAGATGGGGGTAGGGAGGCAACAAAGGCTATACCAGCTGGCACAATCAATGTGCAGCAAGGAGCCTGACACCAGAGCTATAGTACAACATGTGAGCAATATAAACAAGTCATAAAGGTGAGAAATGAACAAGTCATCCATCAGAGAGGGCGATGAAGTACCAGATCACAATGGCAATGCAGTCTTGACAGGTATTGGAAATACCTTGACAGTGGGAGATCCAAACATTCCTTGGAGCATTTGAGCCCCTAGGATGGCGACAATTACGAGGGACATGACGAGGCATGTGATGCATGTGACCACGAGAAGTCGAAAAAGGAAGGACCCCTGACAGAGGTGTAACACCTTCTTGTTGTGGCCCACTGGTCTCTCAGTCAAAGTAGATGATAATGATGGGGGTAAGTTGCCTGAGTTTTTGTCACTGAAAAGAATCCTGCAGTTAGCAGGATGGCTAAGAAGCCACTGGACAAGTATTTCAGTATGAGGAGTATCCCAATTGATGTTTTTTGGCTGGGTACTTTCCATCAAGGAGTCAGCCACCAGCTGCTTGTTGGATGCTGGGCCCTTCCCTTTACTCCCACTCCCAGGTACTTGTGAGGACAATCCACCACCAGTAGTCACAGTTACAGAAGGCCTTCCTCAACGAGCTTGTCCACTTGATGAAGCCATGGGTTTTGATAAGAGTGACTGCAGCCAAGCAGACCTGTCAAGGGTGTCATTGATAGGAAGGCATGATTTTCAAACTCCATCATGGCATTGCTCTCGAATTTGCCACTTCCAGAGTGCTTCCAGAGTGCTTCCAAAGCCACCTTGAACACCACTATTGTCTATATTCAGATCTCACCCACATGGGATTATTTGGACATGTTACTCAGAAATCATCTAGTCGGATTTTGCTCAGACTAATGGTTATATCTTACAAAAAAAATCTAAGGTCGGATTATCTACATTTAAAGAATCTGATTATCCCCCCCGCTAAAATTTCGTTTCCGCAGTGAATGCAGGAGTGCCCCTCAGAAATTCTCGGTCCGTGAAGGCGCCAGTGGCAAAAGGCGTGTGAAATTAGGGGGCCCCCCAGCTTGCCACTTCGTTGCTTGCAACCAAACTAAACCGACGCTTCTCGTCTGGATTACTCTGACAAGGTGGAACCCGGTAGTTTTCCGAACCCTAGCATTCGTCATTGACATCTCCCACAGTTCCTCGTTTGCGACGCAATGTCTAGCCATGTTTCGAGCGAGATTTGCGGGGGGGGCCACTTCTCTAGAGTAGAGAAGATCTCCTTTCCGCATTCTCTGGTTGTTGATGAAGATGCGTACGAAGTTTATAGTGAATACAGCGACTCCGACACTGAGTTCATACTGCTTGGCGGTCCCGCTTCTGCTACGAGATCCCATGCTGTCCACGGTACAAAGTACTCAGAGGTAGAGCGGCTTTCTACCGTTTTAGGCGAGCTCTCCATAGACAGTTCCGCTGCTGTTGTCCATGGCTTGAACGCGCCCGTCGAAGACGACGTGAAGAAGTCTAAGCGGGCACTCAAGCGCAAGCGTCAGAATGCCGCGCGGAAGGCTAGACGCAGAGCGCAAAGGGAACAAGCAAAACTCACTTCTCACCCTGAGACGGCGGGAGTCTCTTCTTATAAGGAGGCATATGCACTTATCTCGAGGCAAGTATCACAGAAGTGTCACCTGTTCCTAGAGAGTAGCCTCACCTGACGCCACCAAGGTACATTGCTAATCCTCAGGACCCGGGTAACGACGACCTACTTCTCTTACAAGCCCTCATCATCGAGTTGGGCGTCCGCTCACCTGACGACTTGCCGTCCACTCTGACTTCTGCACGTAAGCTGCTTAAATCGGAGGTACACATCAACATCAAAGAGTACGTGGCTATGCGCGATAAAGGCCAAAAGGCCCTACAACAAATTATGCACCCGTCTAAGGTTTCGCTGCGGAGACAGATACAGGAGACTGGGAATAGAGCGTCTCTGAAATGGGTCAAGAAACGGGGCTTGCAGGTCTTGCTCGTCCTGGTCTTCGGATGAACTTGTGTAACCAAGTGCACTTTTTATGAATGTTGGCATCCATACTTGTAAAGAAATGTAAATTATAAAACGTTTTCAATCTCCGGGTTGGTAGTAAACTGATAATTGTGCAAGTAACTAAGCTGCCAGTGCAAAGGAATACCAGTACCATGCACCCACTTGGTCAGCTAATAGGGGTATATGACAAGAGTCGTTTACGAAACAGCAGCGACAGTTGTCTACAGTAGTAGATCGAAAGGCAAATAAACTTAAGAGTTAGAGGAACGTCCTACAACGTCATTTGAGCCAAGGATAGATTAAAGTTAGAAGACGCAATCGATACCGCACAGTGCAACAAAAAGGAACAACAGTGCGTTATGTCATTTATTTACGAGGAATCCTTGGAAGCAAAAAGCAGCACACCGAAGTCAACGAGCACATTATTCAGTGCGTTTAAGACGCTTGAGGCGCCGGGTGCTGGGGTTGCTGAGGTCGGAATGGCCAGCCCGCTAGCCACGGTATTCACCGACGTTGGGGTAGTCGACGTTGCGTCCGTAGTTGTAGGAATCGCTGACGTAGACGACGTCGTGGTCGGCGGAGGAGTACTTGAAGTAGTTGTGGATGGAGTGGGAGACCACGTAGTAGTGGGCATGTCTGTAGTTGTCGGGGTCCACTGAGGGGTAGAAGAAGTCGTGGGAGTCCACTCTGGCGCAGTGGTAGTAGGAGTCCACTGCGGGGTAGAGGATGTGGTGGTGTCGCCACCACCGCTGCTGCTGCCATCATTGAACCACCAGGTACCATACAGCACGCCCTCAGACTCGGCGGCAAAGAAGTCAAACAAGCCAGTGGAGAAATCTAGACCGCCCCATGGGCAACCCATACACTAAAACAACATGTCACTTAGCAACTATCCGCAGGTGGTGAAAGTCGGAGGGTTACCTCGTCCATAATAGTTGCCTGTGTAGTTTTCCCGCCGTAAGAGATAGTGATAGACTGGAAACAGTAAGGACCGGGATAACCGCTGCCGTATTGTTCGACATTGAGTGCCACGATCTGTGATCATTTGATGGTCAAGATACCAGCTAGTCGAAGAAAAGAAAAACTCACGAAATCAGTGGGCACATTAGTTTGACCACAAGCACCCCTAGCATAGGACAAAGGTTACACTTTCAACAATGTGAGGCACGTCAAATACTTACAGGCCGACATCATAGAAAGTAAAACGAGCATTCGTGAATGTCTGCCGTTTGTGGAGATCGACATCAGCACGAGCACGCTTAGCAACTTCCTGATGACGCCTGCTCCAATACGGTGCGTGTCCGTTGGCTGTGGCTGCGAGAGAAGCCACGAGGAACAATAAACCGCAAAGGGGGGAGAACCACATGACTACTGGACGGGAGTGGGTGCGTAGACACCGAAATAAAAGGATCGTAGTACACAAGAGAGCGACTGCTGTAGCAGAGTACAGCGTTCGTGTTGGAGGGTATATACGCAGTGGTATAGTCTTGAAGGAGAGACAAGAAAAACGTCGCTTGCCAACGGGTGACTTGGATATTTTGACATGGCTGCGGCTAATAATCCAACTGGCACCGCGACCCCGGTAACAAGCACAGGCATCAAAAGCATCAATTAGCGAAATAAAACTAGGGACCAACCAGGGTAACCAGCTAGGACTATGTGATAGATGATAGTATAGCACCGCATCCACCTTGCAAGAATAAGGACGTTTAAACAAGATATATGGGTATACGTAGTAATCTGATTTGGAATCTAAGCATTGTCCTTTTTTTCTGCCGTCTACGGGAACCAATACTTTCGAACGACTGAGACCATTCACTGGTCCTCACATGCAACCAAAAGCCCGCCCAAGCTCAACAGAGTCAAGTTGAGATCATTAAGGACCGAGCTGGCAGAAACCTCTGTGCCACTTGGCGCCGGAGTTTCGGCGACGAGGGCGTTCGACGTCGTGGTAGTCGCCACCGTTGACGTAGCAGCACTGGTTGTCGTTGGTGTAGTCGAGGTGCTAGAGGTTGTCGGTGTCGTAGATGTGGTAGTTGGCAGCCACGTTGTCGTGGGGACCTGCAACGTCGTGGTAGGTATCGAAACTTGCCAAGTGGTCGTCGGTTGAGGAGCAGGAGTAGAAGTGGTAGGGGAAGAACCTGAGCCAAAGTTCCACGTGCCATACAAAACTCCCGCCGACAGATCGGAGAAGAAGGTGAACAGACCCTGCGAGAAATCAAGACCCTCATCCGGACATCCGGGGCACTTGATCATGAATTAGTCTAAATGTCCAGAAGATTCCGCGAAAACTAACCTCATCCATGATCTGGGCCTGCGCCGTCTTCCCATTCACGGTAATAGTGATCATCTGGAAGCAGTACTGGCCCCCACCGTATTGCTAAAGCCGCCCATTTCAATTTACTTTCCCTTCCGATCCGTGGTGGTATGGTAACTTACTTGTGAATTAAGCGCCACGATCTATCAGTAGAAGGAAAGGGTGTCAGTAGGGCAAAGGCTGGTGGATAGTTCGTAACGTACGAAGTCACTGGGTACATTAGTCTGACCACAGGCGCCCAGACCAACAGCGTAGTACGTGAATCGTGCGTTGTCAAAGCGTTTCCAGACCTTCATGTCTCCCGGGGCGCGCACAGCGAGGTCATCGTGGTGATGCCTGGGGTGAAATCTTTTGCCAAGGTGTTCGTGACCAAGAGTGACGGAGCAGATGGAAAACAAGACGGAAAGAACGACCGAAAGTTTAGTAAAGATTTGCATTGTACCAATCGACCGGGTAGAGAGCGTGTGGATATAAAACCTTGCAAAGCAAACTTGGTGTGTAAAGAGCGGCTTGTCTAAGTTTTGTGAAAAGGACGAGGCAGAAAAACGAAGCAGGGAGGGCGTGGGCAACAGTGGGCAGCCTGTTTTCATTCAAGGCAACCTTTGCGGGCCTGCCCAGCCAATGTGCCTCGGCTATGGATGGGTGACTAGACCAAATATTATTGCACCCCCGAATAGCCGAGACTCAAGTACTCTCACACCTGAACTCAAGTCATCTCCACTCCATTCTAATGTCTTAAGAGCTAAGTATGTACTAATCGTGGTGCTTCTAGTACTTCGTTACTCCGTACTACTCACTCAAGTCGACACCATTCTCGTTGGGGGGTCGACAAAGGTCGCCTATGTCCATTAGTTAGTACTTTAGTCTCTAATGAGCAACGGTACCGCGGTGGCCTTGCACTAACCGTAATGAACTTCAATATTTCATCAATCGCAAGCACGGGAGCACTAATCCCCAAGACCGCCTTCCACTCCTTCCAATTCAGAGGGGCGATAGCGAACAACGTCTGTCCGGAATATGTGAACGACTGCAAGCAACACTTGGCGCCGGAAGCACAACGCACCGTGAAGAATGGAATGTACAAGATGGCGACATGTAGCACCATACTCAACACAATAGCTGCTACAAGGAAAGGGTTCTTCCACACTGGTAGACGCAATAGACTTTCATTTTCGGAAAGTGAGTTCATGGCGTTGAACATCTCCACTGTCACGAGGATGGAAAGACTCATAGTAGTGGCATGCCGCGACATCTCGTTGGTAAACATTTCACAACCAATCTCAGGGAAGGACGTGGAGCACCGATGGAAATGTGTCTGATACCAAAGGTCAGGTCAGGTCTTTGTGCAGTATGGTACTCAGGGAAACACCCACGAGCTGGTAAAATGATATCTGAGGCCCTCCAGAGTAGTATACGAACCACCACGCATACCCAAACACCGTAGCACAGCCGACGTAGATACCGACCACCAGGTACCGGAAGAAAAGCCATTTACCGACCAAGGGTTCTCGACTATTTCGTGGAGGCATTCGCATAATCGAATGGTCGGGCGGATTAAACCCTAGCGCTGTGGCCGGAAGACTATCGGTGACCAAATTGACCCACAGGAGTTGAACGGGCACCAGAGCTTCAGGCATCCCTAAGAGGACCGTCAGGAAAATACTAGGAGGAAGTTAGCAACAACAAAGGTCGACACTCAGTACCCATCACTCGTACCTGACCACCTCGCCAATATTCGAAGAGACTTGGATCACTTTAGCAACTACGGAGAAAATCGGAGAAAACCACATACTAAGGTACCGAATAAACTGTTTAGTGTTATTGTAGATAAGTCTACCTTCTTCGACGGCCTGCTCTATTGTCGCGAAATTCGAATCGGCTAGCACCATATCAGCGGCCAATTTGGCGACATCTGTACCGCTGCCCATTGCGACGCCGATGTCCGCCTTCTTTAACGCAGGAGCGTCATTAACACCATCTCCTGTCTGGGAAGGAAAAGCATGCATGAGCACCGCTGCGCTAAACCATAGCCATAAGCATACCATGGCCACCACCAGTCCCAACCCTTGAAGAAGATCTACTAGCTGACTCTTATGGCTAGGCTCCGTTCGACTGAATAGGCTTGCGCGCTGGACAGCTTTTACCTTTTCTTCGTGGCTTAACTCATCTAGTTCGCGACCGGTGTAACTCTTTCCACTCAAGTCCTCATCCTCACCAAAGATACCAATTTTTCGACAAATGGTCTCCGCAGTCCCTTTATTGTCTCCGGTGACACAGATCACTCGTATACCAGCAGCTTTGCAGTTCGCCACGGCCTGACGAACCTCGGGACGAGGGGGGTCCTAGCATGCCGACAAGCGACACAAACGTGAGATCTTTTTCAAACCGAGAATAATACTCTGGACCATTGTTGGTTTCGTAATGAGATGGATCCAGGTCAGAGACATCGACATAAGCCATAGCGAGTGTACGAAGTCCACTTGCGCCATAGGTAAGGGTCCGGGCTAGGATGACATTGCGCAGCTCAACTGTCAAAGGTATCACCTTGCCATGCACCAGGACCGAAGTACAACGCTCTAGCACAAACTCGGGAGCTCCTTTGACGAAGAGTGCGCCCGCGCCATTCAACTTGACGAGAACCGACATCATCTTGCGATCCCTGGAAAATTCTAAGGTATATAGCCTTGGAATGCTACGTTCGTAGTATCCACTGATAGCATTAGCACGGAGAGAAGGGGGTAGGGTCGGAAGGGACTTCGTCGTTTCAAGGTCGTCACAACCCAGCTTCTCGACAAGTACCTGGAGGGCTGCCTCGGTGGGTTCACCAATATTAACGTAAGTATCCTTTTCCTGCAGAGGCAGTCAGCAAGCAGCCGACCAAATATTGAGAATCATACCGCATGGTACACTATCTTAGCGTCGTTGCAGAGAGCACTAATCTCGGCGAGCCTACGGATAGGGTCCAATGCGAGGTCAACACCCTTACCACCGACGGATTTAATCGCGCCAAGAGGAGAATAAGTAGTGCCTTCGACGTCATACTCCCTCGGAATGAAAGAGTCACTATCAATCACAAGAAACTAAACGGAAAAAAGCTCGACTCAGATTCAGAGACTGAAGACACGTAAGGTAGTATTACCTTGGACACGCTCATCTGATTGGTAGTCAGCGTGCCAGTCTTGTCGGAACAGATTACATTTGTGCAACCGAGAGTCTCTACGCTGGGGAGGTTGCGAACAATTGCATTCTTCTGGGCCATCTTCTTTGTGCCCAGTGCCAGACAAGCAGTGATGACAGCAGCCAGGCCTTCGGGGATCGCAGCTACCGCTAGCGCGACGGCGATCTTGAGGTAATACACTGCACCCTTGAGCACACCGTGATGGGAGGGATCCGAGAAATGGCGGAAGTTGACGAGCCAAACGAGGATGCATATTACGGATATCACTTTCGCCAACATGTCACCGAAATCATCTAGTTTTCGCTTCAGTGGAGTCTTTTCACTGATCTGTTGGGAAATGGAGTGGTAAATATGGCCAATAGCAGTCTTCTCGCCGGTGAACGTGACTATTGCACGAGCACTTCCGTTGACGACAGTTGTACCCTTATGGATTCAATTAGAGCGGACCACAGGGCACGCATAAGGTGGCCTTACCGCAAATAGCATATTTGTCATGTCTTGCTTAACCGCCTTGTCATCTTGGACAACGTCAATGGACTTGTTGACGCTAACACTTTCTCCGGTGAGGATTGCCTGGTCGACTCTAAAGTTCTTTGAAGAAATCGAAAGGATTCTACAGTCCGCGGGGACTCTGTCTCCCACGGAGACAGAGATGATGTCGCCAGGAACCAGCTCCGAGGCGTGAATGCGAACCAACTGTCCTGACCTGAGAACCTTGGCTTCGTCTGGGGAATACTCCTTCAGAGCCTAATACATGTAAGTGAGCTGAATGCGTGGAAAAAGCAGTCAATTGCTCACTTCGATGGCTTTTTCTGCGTTGGTTTCCTGAATGACGCCAACTGCTGCGTTGGCGACGAGGATGAGAAGGATAACAGCTGGTTCCACGAATGCCCCAAACAACGTGGAATCCTCGGGGTCTTCGAAGAGGGCAAGAACAAAGGATATAACGGCAGAACCGAGCAGTATAAGGACAAGCTGGTCCTTGAATTGTTCAAGAATCAATTCCCACAACGGAGTGGGTGGGGCTTCGGGAAGCTCTGAGGAGTGGGGTCTGGCATGAGATGACAATGTGTTACCACTGGGTAAGCGTGTGACTGACCGTTTCTACCGTAAATATCGGCATGTCTGTTAGCCTGGTCCTTGGACAGTCCGGTGTCAGGATCGACGCCAAAGTGTTCCAGGATTTGGCCTGCAGTGAGCGTCCACGGAACGTCGAGGAGACCCATACGTGTCACTAGTCTGACCGATGGCCACGTGCGCCCGAGTCCCTTTCTTGGACGCGGTCTTCTTGTTTGCGCCTGTTTACGGTCACGTGCACAAATACGCACAAACTCGTCCAGTGTAGGCGTGACCTAATGATGACAAGTTGCTGCTAGTGTCTCTCAGCATGGGCAACACGGGATCATCGTCTGGTCGTCCTCACAACGGCGATACTGTAGACTATGGCTATCTCACACCGCAGGGCGTTTACACAGGGCCAAGAGACTGGAATCACGCTATCGTAACCCAGCTCATCATGGATCGAAAGCTGGCTCCATTCTATCGTCCACTCGAAGAGTACAGTGACGACTGGGACGATGAACAGATACTGGCAGCAAGAAGAGACTCCCCTGACTCCGACCATAATTCTGCTGATCCTGCCGCTCGTCCCGATTCTCGTGATGGCCCGAAACCTCCCAACCAAGCAAGGCGCTCTTCCAGTCTCAAAGAACCTTGTCGCAACATTCCTGAAGCTGCTCTCTATAGAGGTGCCGTCGAATGCCCAATATGCTTCCTTGTGCGTCCGTTTTGCGCCTCATGCCTTCACTGCTGAGTTCTCTTCTGATTATTAGTATTACCCTTCTAATATTAACCATTCGCGCTGCTGCGATCAAGCCATTTGCACGGAATGCTTTGTACAGATAAAGAGAATAGAACCCACAACTACTCATCTTGTATCAGAACCCGCTGCTTGTCCATATTGTGTTCAAGATAATTTTGGGATCGTATACACGCCTCCTCCATGGCGTGCCGGTTTAGGCAGCGAGGGAACGGTTAGTATACTTCCCTTCTTCGTACACGCATGTCCAACCTTCACACCAACGGGTGATTCTCCTTCCCCTAACAGACACTCCCTTCTTCGGCAGATTCACCTCGCGGATGTCATCCCGCTCCAACAGGATCATCATCCGCACAGAAACGCCATCGCAAGAGCTTCGGTCACGACAGTCCAGAGGTTGTGACAACAGGTGTGTAACCTTGCGAGTCTTTTCATAGGCCACCCAGTTATAACCCGGAAATAGACCAAATACGGCCAGATTGGGAGGCGAAATTGGCCGCAGTACGAGCTGCAGTAGCTCGCCGCGCAAACAGGCGGATCGTCATGCGCCAGGTAGGAGATCGGCTGATACCTGTTGGAGTTACGAGTGGTCGCGTGCACGCACTTCCTAGCACTGATGGCACGGACAACGGAGAGGGCGAAAATACGTCTGGTACGGGAAGCAGGCGACGTCGCGGCTTCCGAACGAACGGACCCTCCGATATCACTCAACTTCTTGGCCAGATCGGTGTTGGTGGGCAAGATCTTGAAGAGGTACCTACAGCTTGTCCTTTACGTTGTGACATGCATCCTCATCTCCACGTACAGCTGATGGTGATGGAGGCTATGCGGTTATCTTTACTGGAACATGAGGAGCATCAGAAAAGGGAAGAAGAGAAGAAGCGGAAAGAAGCCGCTGCCGCCCGATCGACCGTGGAGCCACCGCCTGAAGTCAGTGCTTCCGCGGGTCCTTCAACTGTGGCAACGACTGCTTCCTCAACCACGTCGAACTCGGAAATCACTACGCTACAAGATGGAGATCCTGGCGATAGCTCTGTGCCTCGTAGCCGTTCTTTGACGCCCGCATCAGGTCAAACAACCCGTTCTTCCATTAGGACTGTAGTTGACGACCTCCACGACCTCTCCCACAGCATCGAACAACCCTCAACATTAGGGACACTGCCCGCCACTGCGGATTCGGAGGGAGAAACAGTAGTGAGCAATGCCCGGGCGTGCGCTGATCCATGTGACAACCATCTGCAAACTAGCCATCGTCTGCAGGGTGCAGGTCGAGCAATGGACGATGCTACTGGGTATTTAGTGAGGTCAAGAACGACTTCTCTATGTTCGCCTGACCAAGAAACACCAGACGGACCATCGTCAATCCGCACGACGGACGAGGCGCCCGTGCGTTGATTTCATCGGGAAGGCCCTCCAATGTTCTAGACTTGAGGCCGAAGGGTGGCGCATGTGGACAATTAATAATGTAGATGTCCCGACTCCGACCCTGGTTAATGGCCCCCGTGTCACCCATGTTCTTTTACTTTTGCACTGCAGGAACACTAACTGTACCCATCTATCACCAACTAGCTCTTTTCATTTTCGATAGCCAATCCAGATCCACCGCCATTCTCACACGAATCCTGGCTGGAAGCCGTCCCTCCAGACGATATATCCAGCACGTTGATTTCAGATGAGACAAGGTCACGCTTTGTCCACTCATAGATCCCTAAGGCGGATGCAATTTCACTCCTACCTAATGCCGCCTGAGTAATAACGACCCGCGGCAAAGAAAAGGCATGACGGGGATAAGGTAGAACACTGCGGGTTTCACGGGCACCCTGAGCCTTTCTGTCCTAATAGAACACAAAGTAAGGGAATAGGGGCGGCCGTCGGCACGCACGACCGGGGCCGAATTGAATGGACTACTGTTGTGATCCAACGCTTGAGCACGGAAGCAGCCATATTCATTGTCGCGGATTTCGGGCGTCTGCCCAGATGGGTTCGGTTGGTTCAGGTGCTTTTGCCTGTGCGTAGGTAAATTAGGGATGGGCGGTGGTGGAGAGAACATAAACAATAGAACAACATGCCTGGGCTTCTATCAGACGTTTCAACTCCTGTTCCTGGGCCAGACGTGCCGTGCGGTTCGCGTCTACTTTTTTCCTCAAGTCAGGTGCCATTGCCTAGGTGAAGGTGTGCATAAGGGACATATTCCGTTAGCCAAAGCACGTTGCCATCAGAGGAAGTTGGGTGGTTATGGATGGTGACAGTGGACGGGAAGGGGACGAAGGGACACTGGAAATTACTTGCAATTGACTTACGGCGTACGTCTGTTCTGGGGTTGGTGCTGTAGCTATGCAACGCTTCAACTGGGCCCATTACAGAGCAGAAAGGCGTATTCCAAACCTTTCATCAGGGCATATCCCATGCCCATCACTTGAGACATTGCAGAGTAGATCACGTTCCGGGGATGCACCAGAGAACAAAGATAAATGGTTAAGTTAGTAGAATCCTTTCAAAACAAAATGGTTCACGAGACGCACGCCCACCACTCAAAATCGCCATCCTAATCCACGGGAAGGCCATGCTGACGTTGGCGGAGGTAAGGAGTGTGCACCCGCTGCTTCAAACTTGGGAACTTTGCGTGTGCCAGCATCTACGTCATAATTAGCTGAGGAAGAGTCTCACGGTTAGTCCAGCTAGCTAGAAACAAGCTCAGCTTAGTGGCGATTACTAGGGTAAACGATCTACGTGCAGCGTTACAATATTGCGGAGTCTTTGCTCGTACGTTGTATAGTGAGAGAAATAATTATGAAAAACAAAAGAGAATTAGGGACAGTCATCCCCCAGTAGGTAAAACTGTTCGTATGGCGGACAGTATCCCCGACGATCGCTTGCGTTGGGAGATAAAACCGAGCACATTGGCTGTGCCCTTCTTTTGGTTTGCCGATTCAATCCGGACAGGCTCTTCCTCCCACGCACGAATTTCAACTTGGTCCATATGCTCGTGCAAACGGCCACCCTGGTCACGCTGGGAAACTCCCTTCGAGTTGTCATGGCCATCAGGGTTGGAGGAGGATCTAGATCCCAGACGCGGTACCTCCGGCCATTTTTGCCGCCAACAAGAGCGTAAGGTTGGCGCCACCAAAGTTGGACTACGAGCTCCAGTAGAAACGGAAGACGTTTGACTTGGAACGGGTTCGTAACTACGCATCACAAACCCGTCAGGTTTATCGCGTGGCCCTGCAGAAGTATGTGGCCTGCGGGATCGTTTAGCCTTGTGATTGTCGTTCTGAGCGTGAGGGTCAGATGCCGATGAAAACTTGTAGGTGTGTCCAAGACGGGAATCGCTGGGGTGACGGGGCGGGGCAGAAAATGGTCCTTCTTGTGATGAATTGGAACTGGCCTGAGGTGATGGAAGTTGATCAGCATGTTCCGCACGGCGTTCGCGGTTAGAGGAACGCGGTGATTTGGACTTGTGTCGACCCGACTCGTTGTATCTTGCAAGGGCGGTCTGCCTCTGAGAATCGTTAGTCGAGACAACAGCGAGTTCCCTGTTGTCGAGCTCGACGGTCTCTGCACTACACGACGGCGACGAAACAATTAACTGTGTGACAATCAACTTCCGAATGCTGAGAGTGGCGGTAAGACCAACCTTGACGCGAAGAAAAAATTTAACGGTAGCCATCTCTGTTTGCATGGTTTCTCCTACGGACCATCTACTATTAGACTTGGTTTCGGGCCAAGAAAATGTAAAATTCTGTTTCCATATCCCGTCGGCGACTCGAACGAAATGCGCGGATGACTCAGAATGCGCAAATATATGCGTGATCGCCCGATCACTAGGAGGGAAGGATGGAGCCTCGTCGGGAGTACGAGGGTGGTCTTGCAGAAGAGGGCGAGAAGGACAGTCAGAGTACAGAGAGGACGATGACGCTGCATGTAAATTCTGCGATGATGCACCGACACCTGGGTACAGTTCAGGGCTACAATTGGAGAATGACGAAGCAGGAATAGACTCTGTGGATGGATGGGAAATGGAGGGTATTTCGCTGAAATATATGCGTCTTTCAACGAGAGCAGAAGCACTGCGAATGGAGACAGATTGATCAGGAGGCTGTACGGTGAGTTGGATGGTAACTATGTCAAGAGGACCGATTGGATTTGGGGGAACGAGAATACAATAGCGCAATGGTACACCACGTGACCTGGACGTGGATAAATGAGTGGTATGCCATGGAGAGGGGGCGAGTATTGAGGGGGATGAGTGGATGGGTAAATTGTAGCGAATGAGGGGTAGTTCAAAATATTTGACTTGACGGGAGCCAACGCCGGCTATAGGAACATGGTTCAAGACTGTCCAAAATTTTTGAGCGGGGGGCTGTCATCAGGGAGCAATTTGCTGACGCACCTGCCTCTACGCGCCAGAATATGCGATATTCTTGAGAGTAGAGAGCCACGCTGGGTGCAGCGACATTAGAGGGGACGGACAATCGAAAGGGGTATTCGCTGTCCCGTATTTCCGACCAGTCCTGATTGTCGTCTTTGTGCCACAAAGTGAGGACGTGCTCGGAGAGGACATTCAAGTGAACGGCTCCAAAACGACCATGCCGAGCCTCGTAGCAGCGCACAGCCACGGTGACGTCCTTCGCTAGGACAGGTTTTCCATCCTGCTCTACGTTGGTTCTGACAACTATCTATATTGTCAGAGGGCGAAGGCGCGGGCGGGGGTGAGGAGTACGCACGCCCTTCGACTTTGACTGGAGTCAACCCGAGGTAGCCGTGGTGGGGGAAGTAGCGGACGCCCTGATTGCCTTTTGGGGAGATGAGCGACAGCTTGACCATGGCTGTCAGTCAGAGGGCTGAGTACGCTGTGCAGTGCAACGTCAACAACGTTGAGCACGACGAGAGCACAGCGACGACGACAGAGAACCAGCTGAGCACGCGGGGAAACCTAAAAGCACTAATATTAGTGGACCCGTTGCGATAAATATCGCTGGAAACGGAAACCGACGAGAAGCACCAGCGTGACATCCGTCACGTGTGATCTCAGATCTTCTATTACATGTCAAGTTATCCGACTCATTACTTATTAATATTTATTTTTGTCCAGCTCGTCGTCGAACTACCATGCCGTCCTCGTTATTCGTGCCCATCCTCCTCGCGGGGATGATCATCACAGTAAGCTGTGGCCTCGCTCTCCTTCTTATTGTATTATTTACCCTAGTTCTTCTCAGGGCTCCAGCAATTCACTATGCGGAAAATGGCAGGTGAGTCGTGCCCGCAGCAGCTTCCTGCGCATCCCTTCAATTATCCGTGTCGCAGGACATGCAATGCGTCGAGAACTGCGACGACCCAAATCCCCAGAATCGTGTCTTGTACGAGCAGCCTGTGTGGCAAACTCTGCAGATGTTTGGTTCGTACCCATGTTCATCCCTCCCGCTCAGATTGTTCACCTCCCCGGTTATTAGTGGGCGAAATGTTTTGTTAGTGTTAATTTTTCGAGAATCGTCCTTATCTCTGTCCTCACGCTGCACAGGCTTCCTCCCCGTTCTTTACACGTGGTTCCGCTCGCGGTATCAGTCCTTCATCTGTCTTCCTTCCTTCCGATCTGGATGACGACGTACCCACATCGAGTAAATCTGCCGCATCGGAAGACGAACTCAAAGGATGGAAGCTTCTCCTTCTATGGTTTCCAGCGGCTTGTGACCTCACCGGTACAACGGTCCGTCTATTCTTTGGAATTTCATCGATCTCATTCGTCGTGCATAATTTTACCTCTTGTTGGTGCTCACACTCTTGTTTTCACGCGTTCTTTACAGCTCATGAACATTGGTCTATTATACACGCCTGTTTCCATTTACCAGATGACACGTGGTGCCCTTGTCCTCTTCGTGGGCATTTTCAGCGTATTCTTCCTCCGCCGTCACCTTTGGCTGTACCAGTACGCGTTTACTTCCCTCTTGGCAATTCGCTAAGATTCTCTAGATGGATATCTTTACTCACCGTCGTGGCCGGAGTATCTCTCGTTGGTTACAGTGGCTCTCTCATCAAAGATACGATCAAGGAATCCGTGAACTTGTTCGCCTCGGGCGGTACCGTTTCGGAACCTACCAGCCAAACTGACTTGGCTAAGGTGTTGGTCGGTATGTCGTTTCTCGACTTTGAAGAAGCCGGAGTAACACTTGACACTGCAGGCGTGTTCTTCATCCTGTTTGCCCAAATTTTGTAAGAATGAATTTCATTGTCGATTGAGTTTGATCGCATATCTTCCATGTCAGCACCGCCGCCCAATTCGTAATCGAGGAGAAAATCATGGCTCGTTGGTCCGTCCATCCACTGGTCGTTGTAGGCTATGAGGGCTTGTTCGGAGTTATTTCCGGTTTAATACTCATGCCCATCATGAGGCGCTTCGCCTCGCAATCGCCTTTCTTTGACCTCTCGAGAGGGTGGCATCAGACGGTCGATAATCCGAACGTTCTATGGCCCGTTGTCGCGGCCGCATGCAGTATTTCGCTGTACAACTACTTTGGTCTCAGCGTGACAAGACACGTCAGCGCCACGGCTAGGAGCCTAGCAGGACACGTGCAGAACACTCTCCATCTGGCTAGTCAGTCTCGGGCTGGGCTGGGAGAAACTTCTATTTCCAGTATCCATCCTCCAAGTCCTCGGGTTTGGATTACTAGTGTGAGCAGTTACCTACCTTGGCCGTCATGCGGCTAATTATCATTTCACCAGTTACGGAACAGTAAGTCAACCTTACATCAAAGCCACGTTGCAGTTCACAAGACCTGTATGCAGTTTTTGTTCAACAGCCTTGTCAAACCACCTTCTTTCCTTCTTCCAATTCGGACTCCGATCGCTGCGGCGGAAGATATTGATGCGGAAGAAGCCGAGGACCTCCTCGCTTCATCGCGACTTGACGAATCGGCCGTGTTGCCCGCCGACCTTGGCCAGAGTGGTTTTGATGTGCTTCCTGCGAACGAACATGTGAAGGTAAAGGGTTTCGTGGCAACAGAAGGATGACTATCGACACACTAGTAGACAAGGGTACTCAAGTAACCCCTCCTAATTCCCGATAGACCTGTTAACCAACTTACCTTTCTCCTTTTGATTTTGGCTTGGTCGCCCCATTATGGCAGACCCCGCGAGTTGGTAGATATGGATCGCGGAATCTCTGTGTTTGCATACCTTATCTAAGTGCTCTCCCAGACTTTGACGTGGTACCCTCGAAACAGAAGCAGCGGAGTCATTGGCACGCGGATTTGGTACGTATGTTCATTTTGGAGTCACCTGGGCGGAACTACATATTGTGATACCACGTGTCTTCGATGAGTGTTATCGTTACCCCAGCATGGTGTGTTCAGACGCTTTCCGGAGCATCCTTTTTTGTGAAGCTCGTTTCGCTTCGGCCTAGATGCTAGTAGTGTTGCACCTGGTCCAAGGTGCTAGCCGCTCGGTGACTTCCAAATATACTGAGCTTCTGGAAGGTGTTGGCAGAAGTTCCTATTCCTGCAATTCGTTGTGCACTCAAATTTGTGCCACGGCGATCACCAATTGCCGGTCCTGCTCTGTTCCGCGTCGCACTTTCGAAATACTTGCTAGTGCGCCTTCCGTTTAAATCGACGCCATTGATGCTGCGCCATGGTGTTGGTTACACACATACAACTACAACCCTTCTCTCGTTAATTACCATAGAGCATACTTACCCAGCAACTCCGAACGCGGTGTCTGCACGGGACGGCATGACTGATCGGCCGAAGTGACTGCACGCACTAATTCTATCACAGAAATGATGAAGACCTTGCACTAACAACACACGGACGCCCTCAGTAGCTGCATGTCCCCAGCTTTGCTGCCGTATTGTACAAGTACGTCCTTTGTTCCACCTGCGGCTCTTCAATCGCCACCCTGCCGCACATAACATTAAACCCAGGCGATGGTTTCTATCATGCAGGCAGACCGAATAATCAAAGGAAGCCGGTTGTTCCACGTGCTGTGCTCGTATTTTCCATTAACGTCCTGTTCTATCTGCGAAGAACAGAAGTCTGTGGCACCCTGTTTGAAACTTTTCTGTGAAGAACCAATACGGGCACCGTGCCATGATAAAGTTTTTATGTGAACGACCATGCTATGAATGGTTACCTTGGCCCACTGCCGTAAAATGCTCATTCGATGGACTCGTCATCGCTGTCGCTGTCTCTATTGACTGCAAGTCGTGTAGCCTCTTCAAGCTCCTCCAGATCCCACCCAACGGCAGACTTGGGTACTTTCAGCGCATCCAGTTTTTCTCCGATCCGTGTCAAGACAACGTCGCTGAAGCGAAAAGCACCTCAGTTACGTTTGGGAACCTTAAGCGGGGAATGGATCCTGACCTTGCGCCTCCCTGGATCCATACACAAAAATCCTCCACCCATATTTTACTATAAATATAGTAGACGTCGTGATGATCCAAAATGTCCTTGACTCTAAGCAGATATCTTGTTATCAATCGCTTTCCCCTGCGAAGAGTAGCAGCGACATCCGTTCGACACCGCTCCGCAAGCTGGAAGGAGCGATAAAGGGGAAAGGCGAGAGAGCGTCTGTAAGTCGATACTAATGTCGATGTAAGCTCCGCGTCAGTAAAGTCAAGTACAACGCCGCCTGTAAGTTCCCCAGGCGAATACGGAGGAGGATCGAGTGCTGAAAAGGCGGCGATAAGATTGCAGATCGTCCACGCGCTCTCCGTAGTGGGGTCGTTCAACGTGGTCCGCTTGTCGTAAGCATGTGCATACATAAGGGTAATTCAGTGTTAGATATAGATTGCGTTCTTGAAAAGTGTTCATTATGTCTGGTAGTAAATCAGCTTCCGAAGTTAATTTCCAAGAAAGTGTTGCTCACACTCTTTCCTTGGCAAACGGAGAATGGCCATGTTCTCGTCTTCTGTAAGGACGACCTCGGCGGTACTTGTCAGATCTGGATCATGCCAATTGATCAACTCTTGGATGTATTCATCTTCGGTATAATCCGCCCTGCAGGAGCCATTATCATAGAACTGGAGCCAGCATCACACAGACAAACATGTAATGTTCTTCGTTCCACTTTTCGTTTTCATGGGCTATTCGCCTAGCCCGCCGTTCTTCGGCATTGCAAGCCTCCGCATCATCACCCAGTTCATTAATCTCGTTCTCCGTATGGTTAACATGGGCGAAATAGCCCGTAAACGCATCCAAAAAGCCATAGTAGCGCTTTGAAGATGTGTGGAATCCTGATGCAGGGTCAGGTAGAGCCTGGGGCAGCTGCCATCCATTCTTCGCAGCTGGGATGATCTTAGAAGAGGGGAAGAGGGTTGACGTTTGGACAAACCTTGCGCGAACTCGTCGTCCAGAGAAAGTGCATCTGCACGCTTGGAAATGTCTGTGATTGCGTCGTCTGTCGATGGATCCAGAACCTCGATGGATGGTCTTGTGTGAGGGCGCGAGGGACGTGGTGCAAGGAGAGTCGCTAACAAATCCAAGTCCGGGAAATGTTGTCCTTTCACGCTTTTGGTGAGGGTAATTGTAAGGTAACCGGAGCTCGGGTCGTACTGCGCGGACGAGTTGTCATCCTCTTCCACAGGATAAGGGAAGTTGAGGCGTAGGAAATACGGATTGATGTGGACAATCAACACAGTATCGTCGACATTGATTTCCACGTCGGCGGCCTAGAAAGACTGGTCTGAGAGGGCACAACAAACGTGTAAGGACTTGCAGTGCACCCACACGGACTGAAGGGCAGTATATTGAGGTGATGAGAGAGTCATCGGTCTGCGAACACGAAAACTTGGGAGTGATCATGATGCAACAGCTGGATCGGCCATGATTTGAGCCCGATCTGAATAGAAAAGCGGTTCTGCCTGGCCATACCCACGTCACATACCACTGGCTGTGCGCTGGGCGGCCGATTTGAAACTACTGTGCGTAGTAACCTTTGTTGGAAGCCGCATGATAGGGACTAAGCCAGATTTCCGCAACTTGTTTCGAAGGTACTACTAGTATGACCCGGGATCGGCCTGTCAGATATTGTTACCCTGTCAGAGGCGTCCGTTGCTGTCGGAGACAACGATTGCCGACTCGTTAACGGACATCAGTCGCCTTCTGTCTACACACTTAAATACTAGCAGCTAGTGTTGGCCAGAGTGTCGACCAACCCGCCTATCATGGACCCACAGGTAAGTGCCATCCGGATCTCTCCTAGTCTTTCCTTATTGCTTCGTAGAAATTGCAAGCATACCCTTCACTCGCCACAGTCGAGCAACTCATTATCCGCGAAAAGCGGGGCAACTGCATCCCAGTTTTCGTCCAGCTCCCCGCAGATCTCATCACACCATGCATGGCGTACCTCCGGATATCCCAGGGTTCAAAATACAGCTTTCTCCTAGAATCTGTCATCGCTGGCGAAAACATAGCCAGGTATAGTTTCGTGGGTGCAGGTCAGAAACCAGTGGAGATATGTCACCGGCATCATATTAAGCATTAGACAGACCCTCTCAAGGTTATCAAAACCGGTCCGAACGAAGAGGTTACGGGGGATCCTATGGTCCGCTCTCCAACGAGAGTTGTCGGTCCACCAATATATCAAAATCCCGGAAATCCCTACCTTTACTGGCGGCGCGATCGGCTACGTCTCCTACGACTGTATACGGTACTTCGAACCTAAGACGGCGAGAGACCTGAACGACCCTCTTGGCATCCCCGAGTCTCTGTTTATGATCACAGACTCCCTCCTCATCTACGATCACTTGTTCCAGAGTGTCAAAGTCGTCTCTCATGTATTCTCCCCAACGAATGCTGGCACAACGAACCTTTCCTTTGTATATCAAACTGCAGTGGCCAAAATTCGCCGGCTGGCTAAAGTCCTTATGTCACCGAATACCCCCGATGTACCCCAACCTGCTATCTCATTGGGCAACGAAGCGGTTTCTAACGTGGGCAAGGAAGGTTACGAAGGATTTGTAACCAAACTGAAGGAACACATTATTGCTGGCGACATTATTCAGGCTGTTCCATCACAGAGACTCTCCCGACCAACGGAGCTTCATCCTTTCAATGTTTACAGGCAGCTGCGTCAGCTCAATCCAAGTCCTTATATGTTTTATTTGGACTGTGGCGATTTGCAGGTCGTTGGTGCTAGCCCTGAAACCCTCTGCAAGGTCGAGGCTAACAAAGTGTACAATCATGCCATTGCGGGAACGATAAAACGTGGCAAAACTATCGAGGGTAGGTTTCATTTCATGGCCAGCAATCGTAGTTCACATGGTAATAAATATAGAGGACGAAAAATTGGCTGAGCAGCTGCGCTCATCAGAAAAGGATAGGGCAGAACATATTATGCTCGTTGATCTTGCTCGAAACGACATCAATCGTGTGTGCAAGCCAGAGACATCGAAAGTGGATTATCTCATGGAGGTGCACAAGTTCAGCCATGTCATGCATTTGACTTCTCAAGTGTCTGGCATTCTCCGCGAGGGAAAGTCAAGGTGAATCTACTCACCTAATGTCCCTGTAGCATGCCGACTTGACTGTGTCATTTAGATTCGACGCTTTCCGATCAATTTTCCCTGCGGGCACGGTTTCTGGCGCACCAAAGATCAAGGCAATTGAGATCATCTCCGAACTAGAAAAGGAAAAGCGCGGAATTTATGCAGGAGCGGTTGGTCGCTTTGACTTTGCCGATGATGCCATGGACACTTGCATCGCTATCCGTACGATGACCTTCAAGAATGGCGTTGCGTACCTGCAAGCAGGTGGTGGCATTGTGTTTGATAGCGTCGAAGAGGAAGAGTACATCGAAACGGTCAATAAGCTTGGCGGAAACGTGCGCGCATTGTCTGAAGCAGAGAGTAAGTCTTCGCTCTTCATTACTTGCAACAATAAGCTCAAGCAACGGTATAGAATATTGGTATGATATCCAAAGAGAGGAAGCAAAGGCGACGTAGACACGATTATATATAATGAGATCACGAATTTCCTTCGCCAGTTAAAGCTTGCTTGATCAATATCCTGTGTGCCTGATGTTGATAAGTTTTTTGGTCCTCTCCCCGTGCCACGACGCCATCTCTTCCTGCCACACTTAAAACGCCAGCTATTATTTGGGCCGTGCGGGGGCTATCATCGTTTGCAGGTATGGGATACATGACAATGCGAGGATCCGCGTTGGAATCAATGATACCGGTTGTCGGAACGTGCTGAATAGCACACTCGCGTATTGCGTTCATGTTGGCCAAGGGGTTGAGGAAGACGACAAGGTCGGGTGTCAAGCGGTACTGGTGACTCTCCTCCTGGAAAAGCTGGTTCCTATTCGTAAGGGCTCCGGGGAGCCATCGTTCTCCAATGTGATATCCCTGTGGCCCAAGTCTCTCCGACGCCCTTTGTATTGTGTCCTGCAGGTCAGGGCGGGTGCCCACGAAGATTATTGTGCCGTTGCGTTGTGCAACTGCGCGTACAAGACTGGCGGCACGTCGTAGAAGCGGCAAGGTCTGTTCAAGGTCGATGATGGTGAGACCGGCACGAGTGCCGAATGAGTACGGTAGAAAGTTGGGATTCATTAATGAGGTTGTGTGTCCGAAATGCGCGCCAGCAGCAACGAGGGCTGAGAGAGTGGTATGTGAAGGAGCTAGCGGACGTGACAATGTATGATGGGGCTGGAAGGTTTTCTCACGTGTCTGGGTAGATCCATGTTGATTCAAAAAGGTCGACTATGCAGGAGAAAGAGGTCGGGAGGCGTACAAATAGACGCGAGGTGAGCATACTCACATAGCGTCTTGAACCGGGCTCTGTTCTCTTGCATGAGATGCCAGTCTTCCGGTGACTCTATAGAAGACTCCAGATTACTATTGGGTGCTGTGTGCGTAGTCCTAGGCAGCATTGCGGGGGAGGACGCGTTGCCTTCGCAGACATCTCGTTGCAGTGGTCCATGGCCGCAGAGCCATGAGGAAAGACGGATGTTCGCAGTGGCAGTGCAAAATTTCAAGGGCGACATTTGGTGCTTACATAAGCCGGCCATCGATTTTTTTCAATCATCCCTCTCTTCCATCTTCCAACGCTCGACGCCCGGGAAAAGACCAAAAAAAAAAAGATGGAAGACGTTTTCGACGGCGCAATTGGCATCGATCTCGGCACAACATACTCGTAAGTGCGACTCATTAGCTTATCACCACATGTATTTACTCTATTTCATACGTCCAGGTGTGTGGGTGTCTGGCAAAACGATCGGGTAGAAATCATTGCCAACGATCGTGAGTACCGACAAGCCTTCGAGGTATCTATTTGATAGTGCTGACTCCGATATCTATAGAGGGTAATCGCACAACACCATCATATGTCGCCTTCTCTGCTGAGGAACGTCTCATCGGCGACGCGGCAAAGAATCAGGCTGCAATGAACCCTCGTAACACCGTGTTCGATGCTAAGCGTCTTATTGGTCGTCGTTATGAGTCCGTGTCTTCCAGTATCTCGGTGTCGCGCATCTTGCTGACTTTGATGGTCATTCTAGCGATCCAGATGTCAAAAAGGTGAGTATTTGCGTCCCTCCCGTAGATCATCTGATCAATGGATTGTTAGGATATGGCCCATTGGCCATTTGAGGTCGTTGAAAAAGAGGGTTCTCCTCTGATCAAGGTCAACTACCTTGGAGAGGAAAAGACTTTCACACCCCAAGAAATTTCTTCCATGGTCCTTACCAAAATGAAGGAAATCTCCGAGGCGAAACTTGGCAAGATCGTCAAGAAGGCCGTTATCACGTAAGTTCACATATTTCTTGCTGTACAGCCTTTGAGACAGACATTCCCCTAGTGTCCCTGCGTACTTCAATGATTCGCAGCGTTTGGCCACCAAGGATGCTGGTGCCATCGCGGGCCTTGATGTTCTCCGTATCATTAATGAACCCACCGCTGCTGCTATTGCATACGGTCTCGACCGTCAGTCAAAATCCGAAAAGAACGTCCTTATTTTTGACCTTGGTGGAGGAACCTTTGATGTTTCCCTCCTCAATATCAGCGGTGGTGTATTTGCCGTGAAGGCAACTGCCGGTGACACCCATCTTGGTGGTGAAGACTTCGACAACGCACTTCTAGAACACTTCAAGAACGAGTTCAAGAGGAAGCAAAAGCTCGATATCTCTGAGGATCCTCGTGCCCTGAGACGGCTGAGAAGCGCCTGCGAACGTGCCAAGCGCACTCTCTCCAGTGTTACCCAAACGACCATCGAGGTTGACTCACTTTTCCAGGTATGTCCGGAGAGACTAACGTCAGGAGGAAGTCATGCTTAACTATTTATTTGTTCCATTAGGGTGTTGACTTCTCAGCTAATATCACTCGGGCTCGCTTTGAGGAAATCAACGCTGCACTGTTCAAGTCAACTCTTGAGCCTGTCGAGAAGGTGCTGAAAGATTCCAAAATACCCCGCGAAAGGGTCGATGACATTGTGCTTGTTGGTGGTTCTACATCGTATTCCTAAAATACAAGCCCTTGTTTCTGAATACTTCGGTGGCCGCCAACTGAACAAGTCAATCAATCCTGACGAAGCTGTCGCCTATGGAGCTGCATGTTCAGGCCGCCGTCCTAACTGGTCAGACTTCGGAGAAAACTCAGGATCTTCTTCTCCTCGACGTCGCTCCCCTTTCTCTCGGAGTTGCCATGCAGGGCGACGTCTTTGGGGTGGTCGTTCCTCGTAATACCCCCATCCCAACCAGCAAGTCCCGGGTGTTCACCACAGTCGAGGACAACCAAACTACAGTTACCTTCCCTGTGTAAGTTATTTTGATGAACCTGAGAAACGCATTGTCTCAGTTATTGCATTCAGGTACGAGGGCGAGCGGACGCAATGTCGCGATAATCGGTTGCTTGGTGAATTCGAACTCACTGGCATCCCACCGATGCCTCGTGGTCAAGCCGAGCTTGTCACTACCTTTGAGGTTGATGCCAACGGTCTACTAAAGGTATCTGCTCAAGATCGCGCTTCGGGTCGTAAAGCCTCGATTAGTGAGTTGTCTGACGATCATCAAATCTCATGATCTGAATGATATCCAGGCATCACCAACTCTGTTGGACGTCTATCGACGGCCGAGATTGACCAGATGATCAAGGACGCTGAGCAGTTCAAGCAGGCAGACAAGGAATTCCAGTCCCGGCATGAGGCCAAATCTGACCTTGAGGCATATATCCACCAAGTCGAGGGGACCATCACCTCCCCAGAGATTGGCATGAAACTCAAGCGTGGCGCCAAGCAACAGGTCGAGGCTGAACTGGCCCGCGCTCTTGAGAAGCTCGAGATTGAAGATTCGACCGCCGATGAGCTTAGGAAAGCTCAACTTGGCGTCAAGCGTGCATTGCAGAAGGCGACCGCTGGTATTCGGTGATGTCACATCATTTACGCGCGAAAAGTACACCGCAGTAACTTGAATCAACTGTCATGCTATTATCTTGCAATTGAATGATTTCTCGTATGCAACCATGCAAAAAAATGGGCGATAAGATTAGCGTGACAGCGCTTTGTAGGTTTGCATTGCAACCTCTAGTAACCAAAGTTCCTCGTCTGCGCCATCACATAAAGCCTTGTCTGCCTCAGCTATCACCAGTGCACAAGTAGCCTTCTGCCGTGCAGGTAACATCTGGTGGTGGATTATGAGATCATGAAGCTAGAAACTGTTAGCGAAAAGTATGTAATCGGGGAGATACCACCAACTTGAGACAACAACTGCGCCACAGAGTAACCTTCGCGAATGACTTCTTTGACCTTCGTTTGAATAGCGTCAAAACCTCTTCGCTTGGGAGTGACAGCATCGACTACCATGTCACTGCCCACATCCAGCCCCAATGTTCTCGCGAGATCATTTACTACTGTGGTGGGGACTACTCCGGCAATCTCTTGGATATCTCTTGGCGTGATGGGTGTTGGTGGGTCGGCTGACGAGGACAATCGAGAGGCAGATTGTAGGTATGTGATAGAACGTCGTAGATCGCCATTAGAAGCATCTATCAAAGTGGTCACCACCTCCGGGGTGACTTCCACATGCTCCGCTGCTGCAATGTGGGTAAGCCGTGAGGATGTCGATAGCGGGTCGAGTGGGGTAAACCGAAACTTCGAACATCTAGATGCTAGAGGTTCGATTATCCTAGCTCAGTATAAGTGGACGGTGCGAGAATTGCAGAAAGGTATATCCGACCGCGTAACATAGTTGCACACAAGACAGAAACGGGTGATTCGCGCGTAGGTTTCCATAATACGTCGAAGAGCTCCCTGTGCATCTTGAGTCATAGAGTCCGCCTCATCTAAAATTATGATTTTATACGGAGGGCAGGGATAGCTCTTGCCATCCGAATTGGCAGCTTGCGCCCTTGGTGTTTGCCGAGCAAATGTCTTAATTTTCTCCCTGACAACACTGATACCTCGTTCATCAGAAGCATTGAGTTCTAGCACCCGATTGCGAAAGTTGTCTGGCCTATTGCTCTGTTGGTAGTGTTTGGGCGTGCGAGAGATTAAATCCGTACCCAAATAATTGTCGGGCGAGAGCAAGAATAGTCGAGGTCTTGCCAGTGCCTGGTGGCCCATAAAATAACATGTGAGGCAGCTGGATACGAATCAGCATAGCTGCACTCGAGGTAAACGGGTACCGACGTTTGTTGACAAGAGTGCCTTGCGTAGCACTGTCACAGTATGTTCCTGCGCAGAGACATCGTCAATGGTCTTCGGACGACTGCACGTCGGGTTACTCTTCCTGACTGATCGAGGAACTCTAATCGCCTACTATTTCTCGATCCATGGCTGCAGCACAGGGTCTACTGTGTGCTTTGGCACTGTTTTTGCTTGGGGCTGAAAGAAAGCCATGAGATGAGGCGCGTCGACACGTCGCGTCACGCGACCATGTGCTTACAAATACTCTCCCACGCGTATGACACCCCCGACGCGATGCACGCGTCAAGCTGACCAGCGACTGCCGGCCACCATGGCGCAGCCAGAATCGAGATCAGGTATGTCTAGGACGCGTCCTTTGGGGGCTAGTGCTTTAAATTTGCTTTTAGATGTACCAATAATGTTGCCTTTTGCCTGTAAGTCGCGACCTCGTCTCGCCTCGCCCATAGCCTACAGTCCGACTAACAGATGCTGCCAGCCAATCCGCTTGTCGAAATTAAGAATGGAAAGGTTATCTTTAAGCAAAAACCAATTTCCTTCGAGAAGACATCAGAGACCATGCAAGGCAAGTCGTCGTGGACAGTTTTTGTGAAGAAGATATCTGTATCTGCCCGCTCCTACCAGAGATCGTCAAATTTCGAGAAATGCTGGATAAGCGTGCCAATAACGTTGCTCAGCCACTAACCAACATTCCGGATGAGAACAAGCCCGTAATCGTCAAGTTGGCTCAAGAGAGGTAAGTTAGTTGTCGGGTAGTCATCCAGCCCAAGGTATCTCAGTGAATACGTCTAGTGACAAGAGTGCTGCGGCTCTTGCTAAACAAATGCGTTCAACTCTGCTGCCGGGACAAGGTGAAGTTGACGAAGCTTACCGTACAGCTCTCGAGTCTTGCCTTCCCCTCTCTGCAATTGAGCATGCCATCAAGACGGTGATGAAACGGGTTAATTATGGTCTTGATTGCCACTCGGTCCAAAAGCCTCCTGCTACTATTTGTGTCTGGCGTTGGGAAGTGCAAGACGCGTTTAAGGACTGGTTGCCGAAGTCTGCTAGAGAGACCGCGGAAGCCAGAATGACCGAGCGTGTCCAGGCGAGTAAGAGTCGTTCGTACCCCGTCCCCGGAGCTTACATCAGTGCAGGCGCAGAAAAGTCTGTAGTGCTATCTTCGAACATCTTCCCAAGGCTCAACAAGACGCTATCCTTGATCCGAAGGGCACCAGCAAGTCCCCAACCAAGGATGCGGGATTACCCTCCGGGCACGCCTCCGCCAACTTGAATTCCGCAGAGAAACAAAATATACCGCATGGAACTACTTCGATACCCACCGGCGACGATACCGTTAGTAATACTGATGTCCCCATTTCTACCACTCATTCTGTAACCAACAGTCTGCGCATGGTGGCCCAAAAATTCGGGCCAAAAGAGCCCTTGACCCGGAGCAGGCTGCGAAGGCATGTATACAGCACTACTCTGTTGGAAGATACTCATTCCTCACCACAGGACAAGGAGAAAGAAGAGAGGAAAGCGGCGAGGGTAGAAAAAGAAAGAAAACAGAAAGAAGCTCAAGATAAATCACGTTCTATACTGGCAAATTTCTTCGGGAAGGCTAAGGTATCCAGTCAAGATTCACCCGCAAAAGATTCGATCGCCGCAGCCAATCCGTTAGCAATCGAGAATGATTTTCAAAGAACTTTCAAGCCCTTTGTGCTAAAGAAAGACGCCGAATGCGCACCTCACAATTGGTTCCTGGAATCAAAAGGGACAAGGCCTGGGACCAAGGGGAGGGGCATCACCCACGACGATGCAATTGTCATCGACGACACTGATGCGGCCAGCGATACACAAGCCTACGCGCCTTCGTCAGACGAGCCGGCCGCACATAGCGAACCTGGTGAGTGCAGTAGCAATTGCCTACGGATCCGACAAGCTACAATTGTCTATCTAGCTGAGTTACAGAACATCTTGAAATTGTTTAGGCGACGGAGTTTGATGCGGCCTGCAAGGAGGAGCGTGTCTTCATTCAAGACTTCCAACCCACGGACCGTACGAGACGTTATGGCGCAACTCGGCGAAGCAGAGATAGCCGGTGACCCGTCCCAAGTTCGTCATCTGCTGAAAATATTGAGCGACCGCAAGCTTCTACCCGCTAAAGTCCTTATTTTTAACGAAGACGCCCGCCCTGGATATTACGGCACCTGGACTAGAAACTCTCGTATCGTTGGGCCCCGCGCCCCCTTCGCGAAAGATTTCCTAGCACGCGATTACGGGTATGACAGCGGGGAGGAGTGGGAGGATGAGGATCCTGCTCAAGCGGACGACGTAGTGGATGATGGGGAGGAAGACGATGCGGACGGCGATGAACCAGACTCTGACCTTGATAGTTGGCTTGTAGATGATGAGGAAGTGCAGACCCCTTCTATCCCGGATTCACGAGATCCGTCACCTTCCTCAGCTGCCAATCTAATCATGCCCCCACCGAAACGAAAGGCGGAGGACCCGGGCAAGCAACAGGAGAAGAAGCGGAAGGTAGTGGTACAATTGGTCCCTTATGCTAAGGGTCCTTGCTGGGAATCCGCCATCGGGAAGTGCGAGTATGAGCCGTTTGAGGCATACCGGATACAGTTGTTCAACGGTTAGGCCCTCCCCTCCCCCATTATTGGCGACTCGTCAACTAACCTGCCTTCAGATGCACCGCACCCCATCAATCCTTTTACATTCGTTTCCGCTGCCGCCGAAGAACGTCAAAATGTCAAAGTTGATCTGAACCCGCCTGACAAAGTAGCAGTCGATCCTAGTCTGGGGGCCGCTTCACACGGGAAACGTGCTGGTATAACTCAAACTCGTAAAGCGCCACCTTTTCCCGATGAGCATCTTGGCGCGTTGCTCGCAAAGGTCACCACGCTGGCCACGCCGAGTTTGAACTTCCTTGTTGAGAGCATATACCAGGATCTTCGCATTCATAAGGTAAAGAAAAATGCCATAGAAGCTAAAGTGCGAGAAGTCTGCGAGAAGTCGAAGGACAAGGTGTGGGTAGTGAGAGAGGCAATACCGGTTGGTACAGGCGATTCATTTGCGATCTGGTGAACTTACCTTCTCGTTCTAGGTACAGCACGGAATAATTCAGAGACCCTGATATAAATATTGGTTTTATAGCATACCATATAGTTATTATAACATACATTGAACCCACTGCAGAATACAACATGCATCGTGAACAACTCCTATCACAGTCCGCCAAACTAGATCTCTACGAAGGGGGAAAAGCTGGCAGCCTTGACGACTAAATACCTGAGAAACCGTATCCTCCTGACGTCACGAGGTGGCAAGTTTCCATGCTTGTTCCACACTGTGGTAATCGCTGCCACGCGGAGCGAGAGTGTGAACGTCACCAGATTCTGCACCTGCAATGCCACGTACTTAGCAATGGTAACGCCTAACCGCAATCACGGGTACTCACGGATGAACATCGTCGACGCCTTGCCGTCGCTGTCCAAGACTATATCGAAGCCCATCCCCCTGAAAATTTGTAAACGGAGCCTGGAGGCAGTAAATTACTTGAATAACTGAAGCATGCGACCTCCTCACGTTGTGCCATCTATTTCACCTTGATGGCTTTGTGCCGGATCCGACTCTTCCAATGCACGCGCTCCCTCCTTCAAAGCCGCCAATTCTGCTTCCTTACTTGCTAACGAATTCTCGGCGTCGCGCAAAGCTTTTGCAAGAGATATTCGAGTGCTGTCGAGCTCGTTAAGTCGGGCAGCATGCTGCTCTGGAGCAGGAACGTTGGGTGGGCGCGCCGATGATTTACGCGCTGCCTCGAGCACGCGGCTCAACGCTGCAAAGATGAGATGTCGACGAGGACGCGTGCTACAGTCTTGAAGTCGCGCACCTTTAAGATTGGAATACGCCTCATCATTTTCTCGCTTGGCTTTCGCGTAATTGATTTTCATCTGCTCTTCAGCTGCAGTTATGGTCAGGTAATCATCAGCAGGGTCGATGATAGTAGTCATCTCCTTGATGAGTTTTCTGAAGCATTTGACATATGCATCAGCCGTTGAACGCGACATGAGTTTCAATACGCACATGCATTCCCGAAGATCTCTCGACTGTGGTTCCTTTGCCATTGTGCTGGTGTTTAGCAACAGTACATGTTGAGCGGGGTAGCGCGACTCGGATCGCGATGTCACAGCTTGTTCCACTTCTATCTATGTAGCCACCATCTTCAGCTATGTCGACCTTTCAACTCACAAATAATGCTGTCAAGCTAGGGGGCGAGCGTTTCACCTGCCAGATACACGGTTTCGCTCTGACGTACAAAGCTAGACATCCCCCCTGAGAGTACCATCATCACACTAGGCAACGAACTACTGGCGTCTACAGAATCTTGGAAGAAGGGGAAGACCTTTGGCAACGGGAAGGTTCTTACATTGCGTCGTCCTCCAGCACAAGGCAGCGAGTCTTCGTGGCACTGCCGTGTTAGCCGACACGACAAAGATGACGCCACATTCGATGAGTTCTGGAGCAAGCTCGGTGTGAACAAAGCAGAGAATGAGAAACAGTCAGAGACTTGCGTGCATTTGTCTTTTGGACTCTCGCTGACGTCTTTATCCTTAGATTTGTGGGTGCAATCAAGCAAGTCTCCGAAGTGAAACGCATATCTGCAACCCAATCTATCTGGACTCTCTACTATACATATCCTCCTCCGGTATCACCTCGTGTTTTCACTGTGCTGCAGACAACTTATCTCAGCAGTGCATCTCCACGAAGCGGGTGCGTAGCCTCTGATTTCTGGGTGACTTCACTTCCCTCGCACCTGCTTCCAGCCTAATCGTTTCGATCCCAATCGACCTGTCGGAAGATGAGGAATTAGCCAAGATCGAGAGAAAAGGTGTACGGGGTCGTTATGTCGCTGTTGAACGTCTACTAGAATTGGATGACGACAAAGTCGAATGGCGCATGGCAACCTCTGCCACTCCTGGTGGCATGATCCCGTCTTTTATCGCAGAGAGTAGTATGCCTGGGCAAATCGCAGCAGTAATGAATTCGGGCACCCTGCAATGTAATTCCTGTTCTGACCCTCCTTGCAGGACGTCACACACTTCTTGAAATGGTTCCGCATCATTCGCGACAGAACAGCTGTGGAGGCATGAAGTAGCTTGGGATAAGAATGTATAGTTGAATAGTATTTATAGGGATTGCACTTCATTTATTCAATTCTTTTACGCAAGCTCGAGGTATCTTTCCACTGCCACCCAGTTCGTGAGACCAACCACAATGAACGAGTGATATACCTTCGTACCTTCCCAGTTTGTAACGGCTGCGTTCCACAATTTGACTTCGTGCTCCCTGGTCCCACCAAAGTGGTCAATGAATTGATCGCCAAATACCTCACGTGCGACACTGCCAGGCCGCATCATCTTTGTGGTCGCGTCCTCCAAAGAAGTTGGTAACATGACAACCTGTTGAAGAAACTGGTTAGCATACACGTCTGTGTCTGGCATACCAGATACATACCTCGCCCTTGCGAGAGGGATCATTAAGATAAGTGCTAATCGGCAGGGTGGTTAGTTTCAGTCTCTGCGTAATTCCCCTCAAACCCAGCCTAAAAATGGCGCTCAACACCAGATATGGGTTCATGTCTGCTCCGGGTACACGGACTTCAAATCTTGTTGCAGACGGTGGAACTGAAGGGGGTGATATTATACGAATGGACACGGCTCGAGAATCGTAGCCGTAAGTTACCCCGTTTGGAGCCCAGAATGATTCACCTCCGACGAGGCGTTTGTACCCATTGATTGTTGGAACAAGCTTATGAAGACATAAGGAAGGGTCTAAACTGCAGTTCCCTCATGGCGCTCACCATCGGCATCACTGTGCGCTAGGCAATTAGCCCGGGTATTTCATATCTTCCCTTGTGCTCACCTTCCGGGAGGCCATCCAGTACACCCGCCAAAAATTGTTCTCCAATGAAACTGAGGAATTTGGTGTCCTCGAAGGCTGCATCAGCCCGTCCATCTGAACCCTCAGAATAGGCGAAGATATTCCTTCCGGAGGGGTCCCTTAGGGAAACATGCGTGTGCCTGCTGGTATCAGCACCCTGTCTTGAATCCTAAGAAGACATTCGTCTCACCCACTGCAACCTGGTAGCTGGTAGATGTAAGTCGTTGATATTGAAGCCATTACAAGGTACGCACATCACCCCAAGGCTTTGCCATGAAACTTGGCAATACTTGGTGCTTCATTCCAATGCTCTTGGCGAGGAACTTATAGAGTATGGCGTTATCGGCCATGCGTAGGGCGTAAGTGTAGGCCAAAGCTGTCTCCAACACACCGGGACCCGTTTCGGTGTCTGAGAACAAGTTAATCGTAAAATCCCTTGCAACCAATGCATCACGTACGATGACCCTCAACGTCGATCTGGAACTTGAGGCTCTCATCAAACAACTCGTTGAAATAGTCCTGGTTAAGCTGAGTACGAAGGAGAGAATATCCGTGCACTTCATGGGCACCAATGAGTACACTCCAACCTTGGAGAAGACGAAGGTATGCTCACTCCCTGGGGTCAGAGGTGATAGGTGTGTGAATCGCTTCTCAGCAACAGATTCCGGTGTCTCTGCGTCGAACGTCATGACAAGTCGGAGGCCTTCATTCACGGAAACCGACCTTTGAAGTTAAAGTACTACAGCAGGATAAGACCCCAAAATCATTAGGGACGAAGGCACACACGTACCTCATATTCCACGCCGGCCATACAACTGAAACCCTGGGCAGCAGCGAGTTCACAGGTTGTATGAAGTAGGCTGCGTGGATCAGCATGGAGAGGCTCCAGTGTGACAGGGTCGAAGAAAGAGACCAGAAAGAAAGGGGTATTGTTGTCCCAGGGAATCCTACGGTATGTGGACAAGTCTATTTTAGCTAGCACATCGCGATATCCATTTTGTCTGTTGGATATAGAGAGTTCGCGAGTGTAAACCGTATCGTGCATATCCCAACCACTGCGCTGGATGTGAGGATACAAATGTTATAACATGGCTGCTACGACTCACAATACGACACTGCAGAAACCGAATCCGCCAGATGCAGCGCTCAAGAACTTGTCCTTGGACTAATTTTCTGGTTCAGAAAAACGAGAAATACAACTATCGCGGTTCCAAGCTTACCATGTACTTTCCTCGAAGGATCCCATCGACTGTCCCAGGAGTGTTCAACGCAACAGGTCACCCAACATGGATAAAAACTAATCACCATCTACGCCTACGAGTAGAGTAAGCTCATACAACGAAGCCCAGGCTCACTAAGTGCGACAAACCTGCTACTTTGACCTTGGTATCGCCCTGCAAGATAACACGGAGATCTTCCACTGATTTGGGTGCCCCCTCAGTCGCCGCGCTGATCTGGTCCATGGTTCACCTTTAGTCGGTTCGAAAATGATGTATGGATTTAGTTTGGGGGTTAGAGTTGAGAATCGAGTACCCTTTCGGAGCCTTTGCGGCGATCTGAGGGGCGCCCGTAATCATCCAAGCAGGACAACTTCAGACATCATGACACGTCTTTAGTTACCATGACGGCGAGCGAAACTACGTATGCCTCCTTCAGGACGTTGAAAATTCCTGCACAGGTAACCTGTTTGGCAGCTGGTGGAGCTGGCCAGTTGACAGTGGGCTCAGGTACATTGGTGGTGCCTCACTTTACATGGACTGCTACTCAGACGAATACACTATGCAGATGACGGCTCAGTTCGTATTTACGACCTTTCCACACTCAAGGTCGTAAAGGCGATTCGAGGATTAGCGTCTGTTTCGTCCGTTGTCTGGCAACCACAGAATGCATCACAACCTGACTGTCTCTGGCTGGCATCCGGTCGATCGGTGAGTTCCATCGTCTTGAATGAACCAGAGCCACTGCACAATAATCACAAGGTGGTAGCATTCACCATGGATACAGACAAGATGATCTTGACCATGTCAGATGCCCATCTAAAGTTGGAAGTGGGCTCTGGTGATGATGATGCCGTTAACGAGGTGAAGGTATTCGAGGTTAGAGAGGGCTCATAAGTACTGACAGGACCGTCAGCTCACTATGAATAAAAATGGGAGCCAGGTAGCATTCTGTCTGGACTCGGGGGTCGTCGGAGTCATAAATCTCTGTAACAACGAGGTAAGTCGGATGAGGAACGGCCACGGCACTGTGAGTAATCTACCTGTTCTTATTTGCGCGTTGTGACCCCCGCGAACACAGGTATGTGGGTCCGTCAGGTTCGTTCCAAATCGTCCGGGGGAATTGGTCAGCGGTGGCTATAATTCCACTCTCCTTCACTTCGACATACTTCAAAGCAAATTGTTATCTCAAGATGATCTCCGTGAGTTTGAAGTCGTGTGAAACACCTCACTAAGCCCCCAGTGGTATATCCATAGGTGCTATGGCCCCGTCATCAGGTCTAGCCATGTCGCCGCCTTTCATATTGTCACTCGACATTTCACCTACAGGGGTACTCGCTGCGGGCACTGCGGATGGTCGCATATACGTTGGTACATCGGGGGAAGCTGGAGCGGGCGGTGGGCGGCAGAACCGAAGACGAAAGTGGGAGGGGTTGAGGTCGGATGGAAGAATTCTTCAGGAAGTCGCTCAGGGGCCCGTCACTGCGCTGTGCGTCCGATGTCGATGTCCAGCCAATGCAACCCTACTAAGTTTTTTGATGCAGGGCCTTCACCTCCCCTCGAGAGCTCCTGACGTGTACGCTCCTAGGTTCTGTCGCCAGTCACGAAATTTGCGGGCCGGTAAGCAATGGTGGTCAGCTAACCATCAGGTCTACGTGGAACCGCAACGCTGGAGACATTTTCAAAGTAAATGCTATGGTTGTGTGTAGGGAATCTACTTGTACTTGGAGGGTTCCAGAAGGACGGAGCAGGAGTTATTGAAATATGGGAAGAAATGGGTACAACTGGTGCCGACCTGAGCACTAAAATCAATTGTGAATAGTTGCCTTTATCTTGGCTTCTCCTGAAGTTCTCTCTCCAACTCTTCTATCCGGCGTAGGTAGGTGTCCCGCTCGGTTTTCAGTCGCTTCAGGTAATCATCATTTGATACCCGTCGGCCGAACGCGGATAGTATGCGGTCGCCCCATGACTCTGCTTCCTGATGCTGATATGAAACCGTTTGCATACTTGGAGGGACTAAGCGATCATTTGCATGGTAGCCTATTCACGGTATCGCTTTTGTCCCCGATCACGGGCAGCGACGTCGTTGTGGTGCGGTAAACATGGCGTATACGAAAGATGTGGAGTTCGTTCACGCCCCATTGCAGTAGCGTGCATAGTAGTGCACCAGTCCCAAGACCCGGCACCAACCCAACTTTACCACCTACCAATAACTTCAGTGAGGTCGTGAGAATTCCCAACAAATACTCCTACGTTTCCATGCGTTGAGGACCCCTCCTGCGATCCCACCACTGATTGCAGAGTCCAACAGGCGAGATGTGCGGATATGACTCCAGGATAATGCCGGTTCTGTTCCGGTAAAGCCATCAACAGCACTCTCTGACTCCTTTCTGCGAGTGTGGTGGTTCCCGACATGTGTTAGTGTTAGCACAGGGCCAACAATGTATTCCCGTATGCCTTGTGGGCTGTCAATTCTCTAAAGTATAAATGGCAGAGTTAATACCGCACATACTGAAGAAAGTGGCAGCGGCCAGACCACCGTTTACAGCTGAGAACAGGGCCAGCCTTGCTGGAGGGTGCCCTCCGAGTACGCCGTATAGGGCAGCGGTTGCACCGCAGACGGTAGCTGAAAAATCGAGGCCAAGTCAGCTTTTCACAGCTCATGGGAGTTACAATAGACGAACTCGCATGTTGCCTGCGACGCCTTTTCCTACCGTCTTGGGTGCTGAAGGATCCATTCCAAGCTACGGTTACTATAGTGCTCCTCAGTTATTACAGCAGCCTGTGTAAATGATGGGGCCAGTAGCAAAATATTTGTGAGCCGTGAGCTCTGCCCGATATGGAAATGTAGGAATGTGTGCCTTCATCGCCTTCGTTTGTCCACGTACTACCAGCGATGGCCAAAGCTACATCATGTACTCACAAGATGGCGCAGTAAATACATACCACTTCCTCTGCAGTGAAACTGTAGAACTGCTCTGCATTGAAGGAGCCCTTGACAACATGCACTGCAATGTACCCATCCACTGTCATTGCAGTACATGGTATGTACATATGTATCATCTCGAATAAACACATCCTTTAGCTGTGCATGGTGACTGTATGCTGCTTTTCCATAGTACTGGGCAAAACGTGCGCTCGTGTTGACACGGTAGTTAGTCTCACTACTGTGTTTTCATGCCAGCCCGGTACATTTCCTTATTTAGCGGAGTCCATGACGCGCTCACAAGTATTTTTGCTACTGACATTATTTACGCAAACTGCTGTAATCAGCTAGTTAGCCCCTTCAGGGGGGGGTCGCGCCGACACCAAATTCTGCCGTGCGTCATACGAACATGACGAGCTCTGCCTACTAGCGATGTTGAAGACTGCGGCTTCCAGATACTTCAGGCCTAATAAATCTTGCCTGCGGGCTCTTCACACACGACATGCTATCCACCAAGTCCGTTCGGACTGGGCACGTTCTGCAGTTTTTGCATCCGCCACCGCGTCTGCTACTGCCATCCTGGTGTGGTGCGTCTCGAACAATGTCATACACAATGATGTTGCGGCAATACCCTCCTCCTCTCCACAGTTAAGCCCGGGAGAGACAGAAGTCCTTGATTCGAATATCAATAGCACTGGTGTCGACGAGAATGGATCTCTCCAAGGGGTAGCCTGGGGCTCCAACAAGTGATTGCACTGTCATATCTGTATGCTTGAAACCTTAAACCTCAAACAGGTCGCACATAATCAATCCAACAGAACCCAAGGTTGACGTCGTGCAGTACCCAACCAACGTAAACTGGCTGGAGAACGTAGCACTTCGCGACTTGGCGCTCCACGATCAACATGCCTGCATGCGTCGACGCCCGGGGAAATGTCTACCAGTGGGGTGATGGCTTTTTTTCCGTCAGTTTCTACCTCAGAACTGGAGGCAAGGAGACCAAAGCCCACTCTACTAGGCAAGGTAAGTTCTGGTCATGAGGACTTGCATCTTTTTTTTCCCCATTCTTATTCTTGAACAGGACATTGTAAAGATACAAGTGACAGAGTCCCGAGTGTATGCCCTCTCAGCGTCGGGAAAGATATACGTTCTGGCTGCGAATGAGGAGCAGCAGAAACTCAAGGTTTCTTCGCAGCATCCTGGGTCCTCGTGGTGGAGTTTCGACTGGTTGTGGCGAGGTCGCCCAAATATTGACTTGGTGGAGCTTTTCCCGCGTGAGAAGCTGGGATGGAGAGAACAGTCGGTGATATCCATCTACATCGTTAAAACACAATGTTCTCACCCCACCACCAGCTTCACAAACATTACGGCAGGACGCGATCACGTCCTAGCCTTAACATCTGCGGGGCGTGCATTTTCCCATCCCGTGAATAAGAATGCAAATTCTCACGGGCAACTTGGACTTCGTAACGTCGATCTCCCTGTAGCGTCTAGTTCTCCAGGTGACGCTTCTTCGGGACGCGTAGCTGTCGAGCTCAGCCCCGTAGCGGTTACCGACCCCTATGCGAAAGCGTCACGGTATTCTCGCGTTCGCGTATATAATGGTCCAGCAGAAAACTTAGACACTATAGATGATAAGACTATCAGGTTTTGCGACTCCTTGTTTGAAATACCTGCCCTCAAAGGTGTAAAGGTATCGCACATTGCAGCTGGTAGCCGGAGTAGCTACGTGAACACGGACGCGGGCAGGGTCCTGGGTTGGGGTGCAAATGAGTTTGGGTAATGCTCTTCTGCTTTGTAGACCATTCGTGTTCACACTCAAAAACGTACAGACAGTTGGGCCTAGGGAATGGTATCACACTCGATGCTGTGACCATTCCTACGGAGGTCATATTGACCCGGAACTTAGCCTTGGATGTCAAGAGAAAGTGCTTAGGAATCTCGGCAGGTTTGTTTTTAGTCAAAGGAATTCTCCCTTGAAGGTTAAATCAAGGAACCTAGGCGGTGATCTGACCTTCTTCGTGGCGGAAAGGACTGGCTCAGATCCATCGTACTACATAGACGTGCTCTCGTGTGGAAACGGTCAATGGGGAGGCCTCGGTGCCAATTTATATACGACCAGTCAAGCCAATCCCGTTCGTGTAAAAAATGTCAGCGGTTTACTTGAATGTGAGTCAAGGCTAACTTGCCATCGATGTGTTGACGTTCTTTCCTAGATGATGAGAAGACTCAAGGTCTTGCGCCAATCGTGCCTGAAGCTATCTCCGTCTCACCCACAGGGCATGCTCTGTTGACGTTGGATACACTTTCACGCGCAGGCCCAGGGTTTACAGGGCGCGATCTTCTAGTCTGGGGCCTCAACTACGATTTTCAACTCGGCACTGGAAAACGAAAGAGCCTTCCTGCTCCGGCTGTCCTCAACAGGCCCGAAGGTGGTCGCTTCCTCTTGGCAAGGAAAACAACTGCTGTGAAGGACATGGCTGGGAACGTCTGGCGGAAGAAAGTTGGGGTAGAGCAGTGTGCCATTGCTGGCTACGGCAACAGCTTCGTCTATTGGAGGATCATCAGGTCGTGAAAGCGATCATTCGTGTGTAAAGAATAAGGTTGACCGCCCGCACGAGTTTAGCAAGGCAGCTGTTGGCATGTATGCACCCGGCATCCGTTCAGGATGGGTTTTCAGCAGTAGATACTGGATTCACCGTTTCTCTGAAGAGAAGATCTGCGGTATACATGAATGCATCGAGTATGCGGTGTGTATTAGTTTGGGAGCACTAGCCAAGTTATATGTAGGTGTCGAGAGCGGCTAATCTTGTAGTAAGCTCTACAAACCAGCGAGCGCAATTACTCAAACAAATACCAGCACGAGTCTACAGTTACTTCGGTCACAAATGAGCTGGCGATGATTGGCCACTTTTTGCTGGTCCAAGATTGACCAGTCCACAGTATCGACTGCGGCCTAATACGGCTTCGTCTCTTGGTAGCTTCTCGCCCCGATCGAGGACGACACCGACGAATTTGCGGTCACTGCTCATCCATTTTTCCTTGTAGAAGCGGACAAAGCCCGGTGCAGTGGCATAAATAGTGTGGTCACGTCCCATCTTCACCTATAGTGATCTGAGAAACGAGTTGTCCGACATTATATCAGGGTGCCTACGTTTTGACCAGGATGAAACTGTGTGCCTCTTTGTCGCACGATTATGTTGCCAGGTATGACATGTTGGTCTGCAAGTAACACCTGAGTGGGGTGAGGAGATGTACGCCAGCCAGGCATTATTACCTGAGAACTTCTTCAAGCCCAGGCGTTTTCCCGGTGAACCTCCATGGTTGCGTACGGTGCCTCCAGCACGCTTTGTGGCAGTCCGAACAGACCCTGTAGTTATACGAGTCAGACGACAGTGTCGCTCGAACGATTGTACGGACCAAGAAGAGAGAATGGACTCCTGTTGACCTGCAGGACGAGCGGAAGAAACATGGCTGGTGTCAAGCGGGGACCACAGACTCCTGAAATGGAAAAAGGGGGGCGCGCTCTCGTTCCTTATAAAGCTCTGCAGCAAGGCAAGGCTCCGCGTTTTCCACCTCACTACAAACGACATGGTGCTCCTCGTCACATCCGACAACGAACAATTCCATGCCGACAAGGAGGTTGTCGAGCGCAGCGTTCTCATCAAGAACATGCTCGAGGGTAATTATCCCTTACTTACACCACGATGCACTGTGCAGACTCGCGACACTCTTGCGCAGACGTCGGCGAAACCGATCAACCTATTCCTTTGCCTAACGTCTCATCTAGCGTGCTAAAGAAGGTGCGAATTTGTCACCCCTTCGTGTCACCATCGCGTGCCACTCGTCATTCATGCACGCCTGCCATCCTCCATAGGTCCTTGAGTACTGCGAGCACCATCGCGGCGAGCCTCTGCCAAGCGCAGATGCAGACCAAAACCAGGACGAAACCCGCAAGCGGACTACTGACATTTCGGAGTGGGATCAGCGGTTCATCACCGTGGACCAGGAGATGTTGTTTGAGATCATCCTGGCTGCCAATTACCTCGATATTAAGCCTCTTCTGTGCGTTCCCACTCGTACTGTTGGTGTGCATCTCTTCATTCACCCCCTTTAGCGATGTCGGGTGTAAGACCGTGGCAAACATGATCAAGGGTAAAACCCCTGAGGAGATTCGAAAACTGTTCAACATCGTCAATGATTTCACGCCAGAAGAGGAGGTGCGTTTTTTCTCTCTACGTTTCTTGAACGCCGATTTAAGTTTTCCGGCATTCAACACAGGCACAAATCAAGAAGGAGAACGTGAGTAAAAAAAGCCTGCTCATGGTGATATCAATTCATCCTTACAATTCCTTTTTCAGGAATGGGCCGAGGATCGATGAGTGTAATCTGGGCGGTTAACATTCGTTAGGCTACTAGACCGTTACTACTGTTCTCCGATGTTGTATTGATTCCATTCGCCCCAAACACCCTCCAATATTATTCGTGTAGTTGCTGTCAATATGATTACATAAGCTTCCCCACACGTTCTCAGTGAAGTTGGACCCGGCCATCGTGTCAAATAATATTACTGCTACCCAGACTCCAGAGTGTGCCTGTGTGTCTCTCAGACGATGTCTCCAATACCCGACATACCTGGTGCTCGTATCTCCCCTCGTTCTCAACAAGAATCTTGGCTAAAGAGTTATGTGGCGAGACTATGCCATTTGGACAATGATCGGCGCGTCCCTTTCCCTCCTTGCTTGCAAGGAACGTTGTCCAACGCACCATCGTCTCCAGGTTTCCCGGTAGTCAGCCCATTAGCTTCTCCCTGAATCACTTGGACGAGCTCGAAAAGAAGGAGTGCGTCCTTAATTCCTTACAGGACCCGTGTGATATTGATAAAGCTCGCAGTTACTGGGTCTGCGAAAAGTCCGACGGCGTTCGTGTTTTGTTCTTTCTCCAGACGGATCCCAGCACCGGTAGCCAGGTCGTGTACCTAGTAAGTGACTCTCACGAGCGCGCAGCGCCACGCATCACTTCCTGCAGATCGACAGGCATAACACGTACTATGAGGTGTCTGGATTTTGGTTCCCGCAACCCGACAAGTCAAGGGAATCCCTTATGGATACTATCCTGGACGGCGAGCTCGTCATTGACGTCGATCCACAAACCAAAATGGTGTGCAGTGAACGCGCTTTTTACTTGGAACCCCGAAGCTTCACGGCATTCATAGGAGACCGTTCGATATCTTGCCTTTGATTGTCTCGTCTTCAATGGCGAAAACGTTATGTCAAAAACGCTGGACAAACGCTATTGGGTAAAACCCTCCCATTTTTCATTGGGTACTCTCTTTCTCAAGCATTCTGTAGCGTTTGAAAGAGCAATTTTACGTCCCGTGGTCTAAAGCGATAAAGGGGTTACCTGCCCTTCGAGCCGCAGCTCCTTTTGAGTAGGTTTCGGTCTTTTTATAGTAATGACTTCTGAGTCTAAGTCCCAGCTAGCATCAAAGTGAAAAATATATCCTTCTCATATGGTATTGAGGATGTATTCCGCCTCGAGATTCCTGCTCTCCAGCACAGAAACGATGGCCTCATCTATACCTGCACGGAAACCAACTACGTTCCCGGCACAGACCCGAACATGTAAGTCAGACATTTGCCTAAGCATCTTAAGTTGACGATCATTTTCAAGTCTCAAATGGAAGCCTCCGTCGGAAAACTCGATCGACTTCAAACTTGTACTGCGCTTTCCTCCGCTGAAATCCAACCCATCCCAACCAGATTTCCGTGCTAAACCTTTCTTTGGTTTACATGTTTATTGCGGCGAGGAGAGGGGACAAGCCAAGTATGAGCCTTACGACGAACTTTATGTCGAAGACGACGAGTGGGAGACGTGCGTGTTGGAGTGTTCTATCCCCCTTCCCCTTATCTCACATGGTTTCGGTGGTGCAGGATGAAACTTTCTGGCGAGCAAGTTGACGACAGAATAGTCGAAGTTCGTTGGGATCCCGATCTCTACCATTGGCGCATGATGCGTTTCAGAGACGATAAGCCTCACGGCAATTATCGCACCGTTGTGGATAAAATAATAGAGAGCATAGCAGATGGCGTCGAGAAGCCGACTGTGAGTCGATGGCGCAATCTCCCTCACAGTTCCATTTCAACAGACCGTTGGTATAGTTAATCGCTCGATGTCCGGCCATTCGCAGTGCGTGGAAAGCGCGGCACGCCCAACCACAACCCCCGCCGCCGACGGCACCACCACGCACAGCTCTTAGTAGACACCCACCGGCCCCCTTAGCCGCTAACGTTCAACGATACGGTCCCATCGCGACTTCAAAGTGGAGCAAAGTGTCTGGTCCAGCGCAATTTGCTGGTCTGCAACGATGATTGAATTACCGACTCGGCTCCCCATTTGTGGTGTTGAGCCTCCTGCTGCAACTGAGCAGCTAAGTTGATGACCCCATGCTGCTTTGCACTCTGGGGATGATTTACTTTTGTGTGAACGTTCATAATCTCCAAGGACATGATGCATTCCACGCATCCACGTGTGCACAAGTCTGACAAGGCAAGCTTATGGTTCCGCTCGGTTGCTTTAGCTCGCGGTCCCCCTGCGGGTTTGCAGGACTAATCGGTATGGCTGAACAAGGATCAGTGGTCAGATTTGGTAACTGTAACCGTACAGTACTACATAGTGCACAGGCACTGAGAGTAGTACAGCTGTGCGGAGAGGCAACTTTTATGAGACAAACAGAAATGGTCGTGACAGGTCGTACATGAGAGATGGAGAAAGCATCTTGAAAGCAAGATAAGGTAGAGAGAGAAAAGGAAATGTGTGCATGTCTAGTCGTTACAGTGATGATGGAAGAAGCAGCCCAGGTTTTTGGCGTCTCCGAGGCAATGACGGGCAAATAAAGGCACGCTTGGAATGATGGAGACAGGAGGCAGCGAGTAGGTAGGGATGGCAACGATAAAGCCAGACACAAAGGTGCGCCCTCCCAGGCAAGTATCCCCCGAAACCGGGCAGGATTTTCAAAACGGATGGTTGAGATCTTCAAAATAAATGAAAATACTGCTGCATAGAGCGTAAGATAAGTGACCACGTCGTTAGGAAGTCAGAGGACTTGAGGGTGCTCCGGAGCGATCTGAGTAGATGAAGACAAGGTAGACGTCGCGTTGGTTATGAGAAGAGATTCTGATCGAGGGAGAATGAGTCGCCTCCCATGTCCGCGAAGTGGGTATGGCAGCTTTTATGGTCTGAGACGCCTCCGAAGGAGACAGAGCGGAATGGCAATGGCAATAGCAAATGACGAATACCGATGCCTATCCAGGGGTGCTCCGAAGCAGGTGTGTTCGAGTCCAATGTTGGGCCGACCTCGCCCAGATCAACGGGTTGGAGGGGTGGCGTGGTGATTTCTGGAGTAGACTCTACGGAAGAGAAAGAAGAGTCGCGTCCATGACGACGCCTTGTAGAGGACTCGACCGTAAGAGGAGCATATTCATCGAGAGCTGCGGACTAAAAAGACGCGATTAGCATGACGTGACAGGATGGTGTTGCGAACGGGGTTTACCTGTGTCAAGTCCGAGATATAGAGCGGGGACTCTGGACCTTCGCCAGCGAACAAGGTCGCAACTCCACCGGTGGAGACGCGCGTCGTACGCTGTGGTGGCTGCGCTTCATCTTGGTCACTGTCTGGGGTGGGTGGGCATTGGCCGTCAGCGACCCTCCACCATTCAATGTCGGCAAGGACCCGGCGCTCAGAGACATCTGAACCAGAGGACCGACGCGGCTGTTGGCCGGCGGTGCGTGCACGACTGCTAACGGCGCTAGAGAGCGAAAGCGGGTATGGCGATGAGCGGACGGACGGCGAAGACGCTGAACGGCGGAGAGAGGGCATGACAGAAGATGACCAAGGAATGAAGCGAACCCCCAGGGAGCTGCTCGACGACGCGACGCAGAGGAGAGGCGAGGAGAGGAGAGGACCAAAAGTCAAGGAAAGGTGGGAATGGCAGGCGATGAAGCTTTTATAATTTACACATGTGACGATGTGAATATGTGCCAGGTACTAACTACTTTATCACCATCATAGCCTGTTCTTGCTACCATGCCAATAAGTCGCCTGCTCTGCATAGGATGTAGTATTCACCCACTACTGAAGTACTGACGAGTGGTCTGGGACAAACCAATGACCACGAGAGGATCCACAAGGTACACTGATACTGGTCGATCAGCTTTTGTTGTTCCCTTCGATACCCGCAGTGAGCTTCCTTGCGACGTCTTTGGTTATGTCCGGCCGACTATGCCCGTCGTCCCCGCCGGAGCCTTGAACAACCCGGATGATACCCATCATTCCCACTGTTCTAGTGATTCAGTTAGTTACATCTCCCCCTGGAAGGTGATCGGTTATCATCTCTCGCAATGGCTAGGAACACCCCCACCACTGTCACCCCTGGCAGGTACACCGTCTACTATGGCCCTGTGATCAACCCCTACTCATTGACCTACTTCGACGCCTTGCCCAACTGTGTGGTCGTCGTCGACGGCAAGGGGAACATCGCGCATCTGATAGAAAAGCTGGATGTCACTAGTCTCGAGCTTCAGAAGGTACTACTCACGCAGATCGGTCTTCTCGATGGCACCTTCACACTGGTCATACTGGAACCCGGAGAATTCATCATGCCAGGTTTCGTCGATACTCATATCGTACGCTTATCCCCTTGCATCACACCGCTCGAAATACGCCCCGCTAATAGGCGATCTGGAATAGCATGCCTGTCAATTTCCCAATCTAGGCCTGTACGTTAGTTGCGGTGACTAGAAGACCTAGACCTACTAGCTGATTTCCATCCTTTAGCGGGAGCGAATGTGAGCTACTGGATTGGCTCAAGTACTACACATTCCCTACCGAAAAAAAGTTTGCCGACAAGGATTACGCTGCTCGTGTCTATCCCGGTGTCGTGGAGCGGGTGATCGCTTCTGGCGTGAGCAAGTTGAAAGTGTCTGTCATCCAATACTTGCTGATCCGCCAAAAGACTACGACGTCCTGCTACTATGGCACTTTGCATTCCGATGCCACCATGCTACTTGCCGACATCGTCCGTAGTAAAGGTACGTACTTAAAAGTTCGTTGCTCGTCCTTCACGAAACTCGATCCTTTCTCCAGGTCAACGCGCTTTTGTCGGTGTATGTCCCCCTGAGTGGAATTGGAGACTGCCAGGTTACTGACGACCCGAAAAGAAATGTAACATGGACAGGGCGCCTCAATGTCCTCCAGACTACATAGAGCCGTCTGCTCAAGTTTCTCTGGAGACCACAAAACGCCTCGTGGAACATATCCAGAATCTTCCTCAGTCCCCTGCAGGCGAGCCTCTAGTTCACCCGGTCATCACTCCTCGTTTCGCTATGTCGTGCACGGAGGAGCTCCTCATCAATCTTGGAAACTACGCCAAGACTAATCCCCATATTGCGATCCAGACGCATATATCAGAGAACCAGCAAGAAGTCAAGGACACCTTGAAATTGTTCCCCGATTGCAAAACTTATGCTGGCGTGTACGACAAGTATAAGCTCCTCCGCTACAATACCATCCTAGGTCACGGTGTTTACTTGACGGACGAAGAGATGAAGCTCATAGCGGAGAAAGGTGCTGGGGTCGCCCATTGTCCAGCGAGTAACTTCTACTTAGGCAGCGGCATGGCAAGAGTGAGGAAGCTCTTGGAACACGGTATAAAGGCAAGGGGTTTTCCCGGATTTCTCGGCGGATGCTTATCGATTATCTATCACTCAGGTCGGTCTTGGCACTGACGTTAGTGGTGGCAACGATCCGTCCATCCTCTACACCATACAGATGGCGAGCACTACATCGAAGATGGTTGCAATTCTTCCGAACGAGGGAGGGAAGAAGTTTGACACCGCGATGCTTCTGTATCTAGCGACCTTGGGCGGGGCAGAAGTTTGCTGTCTACAAGATCGCATAGGATCATTCAAGGAAGGCAAAGCCTTTGATGCGCTCCTTGTCAGCGTTCGTGACGACAGTGGTAACCCGGCGATCTGGGGCTACAATCCGGGTCGCGATCTCATTGGAGACGACACTCTAAAAAGTGCCGAAAAGATGTTGAAAGAGTGGTTGGAACGCTTCTTCTTCTGTGGTGACCACAAGAACATCAGGCAAGTTATTGTTCAAGGAGCAGTTATTGGAGGACAGGAATTCCAGGGATAAGCCTTCGTATAGATAAGGCCGGTAGCAGGTAAATTCCAATGGATAAGTACAACACGGATCGGATAACCATGTAGAACAACAATTGTACATCTAGCAAATACACATCGCAACCGGTTTACTCAAAGCACTCGATCGCAGTATGGCTAACGGGAGTGAATCGCAAGTCATACTTAGCGGGTCAACCGATTGGCTTATTCTTGAAATGTCCAAACTCCCACTTGAAACAATCCTGACGATAGCGTGAATGCAGTGTACTAGTAAGGAAACGGACGTAGGGCGTACAACACAATCAGCCTCTTCTTGGGCTGTCGGAACCTCTCGTTCTTCGCCAGCTTCACCATCGGGCCACAGTCCTTCTGCATCCAACACGTTCGCGATCAACACGTCAATGCCATGCTTTCGCAGATCAACGTGCCAGCCCAACCTTCCCACCGTATCATACACGATTGTCTTTCCGAGATGGCACCTAGTCTCGAGTGCGTAACCCGTCTGAGCACACGGCGAAGCAATACCAGTGCAAGCACCTTGTGGTATTGGATCCGCGTTGTTATATACATGAGTGACGGGCACACGAGGCAACCTGGACGGGTAACTGGATGGAGGGAGTGGCAGATGAAGTCTATGCGCTGCCATACGCTCGCCGGGAGCTTCGAAGGCAACCGCAGGCAGTCCAAAAGTGGAGCCTAGGAGAGAGGCGAGACTCCCACCAAGACTGTGTCCGACCAGCCATATGTTAGCGAAAGGGTATAACATTCGTAAATCCCTGACCAATTTCTATGCGAAGAGGAACTTCGACGTTTGAACTTAATAACATCCTTTCCAATCGCGTACTTACAGTTCCGATCGAATAGAAGAGGCTATCTCGTATCAGTGCGGCTGATAGACACGGGTCATCGCAGCGATTGTGTAGCGGGGACCAAGAGTAGCAATCGCAGACCGTCGAGAAAACCCACGAAAAATCGACACGGGCACAACAACAAGAGAATAGCAGATTATCGTTTAACTTGTCCTTCCTTGACGTTGGACCCTGCAAAGTCGTGCCTTTGATCGAGAGAACAACGGTAGAGTTGTCTTCAGACCGGAAGACAAAACCACGGAATCCGTCTTCCGCGTTATCCCAGCCGAAAGGAAAGCTCTAGTTGAAGAAGCTATCAGAAACGCATTCCATTCTCGTATGCAATAGAACCAACGGTGTTGATATTCCACGAAGGATCGAGGTCACGCCACTTCCAGTTCTTCTGGCCGGGTAGGTGGTAGGCATTTGAACTCATCCGGGCTAGCTGTCCCAGGGTGTGTTTGTCCGTTACGTCGGGTCCCAACACCCAGGTTTCGTGCCATTGTATTGGTATGCTCTTACTGTCGACTCTGGATGAGTCTCTAGCGCGATCAACGGCTTCGTATGATTCTGGCCGGTAAACTGCAGTTGGAATTGCCTTGAGGATCGAAGTCGAAGAGTCCAGTAATGGGTCGTAGAGCAGTTGGATTTCGCTGTCCGTCTCCGGCGGTATGGTGGTGGTATATTCGCCAGTCAATTGCAAAGTAAGCGTTCTAGCATCGACACCCCCGAGTCCAGGACGCGTCTGCGGCGGTCGTGACTCGTCTGCAACAGCGACGTCCAGCCAAAGCAGGGATATGAGGGTTAGAACATTCCTTCGCATGATGTGCCAGGGAGCGGTTACCCGGGAGCCGGTACCGGTGAAAGCGGTAAGCCTATTGGGCAGTTCGCATCTACCTATTTGATAAATTATCTACTGCTACAGACGGGTACACACAACATACGCGATCCGTTGACACATATCCGCTCCTTATCTATGTATTCATATTCTTCTCCACGTCGTGATTTTTAGCTATCCATTCTCTGATGAATGTACTGCTCATCTTGGTCTGCCGCAGCAACTCGGCATCTTCGTGGTCAAGCTTTTCGGAATCGGGTGAGATCACGTCGATGACAAAGGTTTGCAGGGCCGGAAGGGACTTGCGGGCGCGCTCCTTGCCGACTAGGTATAGCCTACTGGTCAGCTGCCTAGATGCTTTAGGCAGAATTCCACCTACTTGCTGCTGCACCGGAAAGTGTTTCTTTGCTTACAACCAACGCTTGGATATCCGGGTCCCATCCAGTGGGACCGTACACGTCTGTTAAGGCAGCAAGTTCGTATTCTAGGTCCGGTCTAAACAGCTGTAGGAATGAACGAGATTTCTCCACTCGAACACTGAACGGTTCTAGCAAGTCCCTGTGGATTTTTTTCCGTAACAGAAGGTCATCTAGTGTGGCTAAGTGTAAGAAGCAATGACAAAAGGATGTTCGGTACCTGTTACACCGACGATGAGTTTCCTTTCGGTAATCCAGGCTCCCATGCTCAGCAGTATCTTATGCCCGGCATGCAGGTGGTCAAAGGTACCGCCTAAAGCAACCACGGGATAGAGCGCCTCCACGCTACTCTGGGAGGGGTCGGGAGCTGCAACGATGCTTACTCGGTTTCCAGAGGGGAGGACTGTTTGCGGAAGTGTTCTGATGGAGAGGGGAAGCGAGGGTATATTATTATCTGGAGAGGGGAGACGTCGTCCGACATCTGCGTGTTCCCAACGGGCGGTATCGACGTACCGCCTTGGACCAAGAAACAGATGTCCATCCCGTCAGCTAAATCCGCGGGGAGGGGTTGCTCACAGCCCCTAAGAAGCACGGTGACGTCCATGAGTATTCTTCCGTTGTCCTGAGCAACTTTCGTTGCTTGTACATAAACATATGTCAGAAGTTGCTGAACGTCATCCCATCGGTCGGTCCGCGATATCGGGGTCACTAGAGATTTACCCGTCCGTGCCAGCGCGTCTTGTGACCCTTGTTGGACATGTCGCAACTCGAACAGTGGTGACAGCAAGGCGATCACCAGGGTCTCGGATGATTTGGCGGCGACGGATGCAATGGCTGGTCCAAGGTGGTGGGGGGTATCGAGAGAGTCTAACGTCGCAATCAAAAGCGACCTCTTCAGCTGGTCCGTTGACGAGTCCATCGTTCTGAGTCGGCGGGACAGTAATAATAATGCTTTGGGAGGGAGGGAGTCGAGTGACTGCTGATGGGAAACACCTTCCTTTTTTGGATACTGGCTGTCGACGTCGATGTCATTGTCCTCGTCCTTGTCGTCCTCGTCGTCGCCTTTGTAGTTTTCTGTTGCGACGATGGCAACGTCGCAGACTTCACTTTCGTTTACCTCTCCATCCTCTCCTGCAGCCCCCGCAAAACTCAGACCTCCCCAGCTTCCACTTCCTTCGTCCAATTTCGGTGCTGTCCCTGTGCAGCGTCTGCAAGACAGTGGTGCCACTCTAAAGAGATCCAAAAGCGTGGGTGCGAACCGCGGTCGGGGTTCGAGCTCGAGCATCCACGGTCGTTCAAGTACTTCAATCGCTAGTCATTACAACCAGGGTTCCACTTCTCTTCATATTCGAGACCTTCCTCTCTCCTCTCCGCCCACCATAACCGTCTTCCAGGTCCCCCCAATACCAAGCACAACACATGCCGGTGGAATATTGCCATCTGCTCCCTTTTTCAGACCCTCCAGGCCGATTCATTCCCGCCCTTCCTCTCCTTCCGTAACTTCACATGAGGCACTCCCTGCTTCCAACCCTGCAGTCCCTGAGCAGTATCCCCTAGCTTCCCTGCGGCGTCCTTCGTCTCATGATTCCGACTTGGCGAGCGCCGACATTTCAGGGTCACTCAAAGGACTGGACCACTTCACAAAGCGACTGAAACATAGTCGAGAACCTCTGCTCCCCATTAGCCATCGATCACATTCAAGGAGCATTAATATACCCTCGCGCTCTCCAACGAATGATCCATCATCACAGTGGAACAGTACTGGTATTCGAGTGCGAACCAGTGTCGAACGCATTTTTCGAGGCTTCAGCTTTGACTCCTTTCGTAATAAGTCAAACTCAAGCCCCCACACCTCGCGATTCTCTTCTACCGAACATTCGCATGCTCCTGGTGGTGAATACTCTACTACATACTTACCACAGAAATCCTTGACACGTCCACTTGCGGAAATTTCGTCGAGTGGACCATCGTCCTACTCTCCGACACCCAACCAAATATTCATTGCCGAGCCTCCCAAGTCAATACCCCCACTCTCTGCTGTACCGGTACGTCCGCTGAAACGGAATTATCAGCAACATCCTTCTCGGAATAGATTCTTCTGTGGTGGCCGCTTGATAACCGGAGGGGACTCACCATGGGCATTCGTGGCATCGCTCACCGTTGTTTGTGTAATCTCGGGGGTCTGGTTCGGAAATACATGTGTCTGGTGGTGGCGCAATGAAAGCCCTGCAGTTGCAGCTGTAGGAGCGTACATGTGTTTACTCACGGTCTCAACTATGCTCACCACCGTAAGTTGCAGAGTCTGCTTGTTTAACGTCTGGTTCTTTCTAATCCATATAGGCATTTCGTGACCCTGGGATTCTGCCGCGAAATCTTGATCCTGACCCACCACTTCCCGCAGTCTCTCCTTCCGACGGTGGTGTGCGGATTCCGCTTCCAAGGGATCTTAAGGTTCGAAATGACTTGTAAGCTTCCGTTCTGGTTTCGATAAATGCACTCTTACCTTGGGTGATGGTGTAGCGTGCGGGTCAAGTACTGCTCGAGTTGCAAGACGTATCGCCCACCGCGGTCAAGCCATTGCAAAATGGCAAGTCCTCGTTGTCCTGTGTTGAGCAATGCTCATGTCATCGAATTCGTTAGTGTGACAATTGCGTTGATGGCTGTGACCATCATTGTCAATGGGTGAACAACTGTATCGGGCGACGCAACTACACGTTCTTCTTCGCCTTCTTGTGTTCTGCCGTAAGAAAATTCGAAACCAACGTTTGTGCATGTGAGACCAACACTATCTGCTAGGTTTTGACGCTCTGTCTCGTGATTTGCACGTCTGCTATACACCTATACCTTCTTACACGAAGAAATCACGAAAATCTTCGACACGCTGTGGTTGACGGGATAGGGAGCGCGATAGCTTTCTCCTTATCGATTATTGTCATATGGCCAGTGACCGCGCTGCTGGCGTATCATATGAGGGTGAGTCCGTTTCATACAGGTTTGTGTTTGTGCTTGAACATGAGTTGGTGGCAGCTGCTGTTTTTGAATATCACTACCATAGAACAAGTGAGTAGGACTTGCCATATTTTCAGCTCTCGCATCTCATGGTAAAACAGATTAGGAATCAAGCTCACAAGTCACTCGAACCTGGTGTTAGGCCCACTAACCCATTTTCATACGGGTCGTGGCGGTCAAATCTGGCCGAGGTCCTGTGTCGGCCGGCAGGACTGTCATGGCTGGACGCACGCGGCTATTTGACTGAAGACAAACGACGAATCAATCCCGGTTTGGACGACGTGGGATTGGGATGGGACGACGCAGAGGGCAATGGTCAGAGGACCACTGAGGAGTGAGCCAGTGCTCGTAGCCTCATGTCTATGGTACAAATTTTACCCAGCCATAATACATATACACTACACGGATATTTTAAACCTCTGAGGCGTCCAACAAGTGAGATCTGCATCTTCATCCTACTCGGTGGTGCATAAGAGACGGCAGTTTCATCTCCGCTTGAAAATAAGTACCCCGACGGCACGGCATTGGCCAGCCTGATCATCTTCAACTGACCGACTCCGCCCATCTCCAAGCCGTCGGGGAGATCCACGAACAGTTGTGTGAGTTACCAAGTCGTCTGCCGAGGGTGGTATCCGCTCACATGGTTGTTTTGGTTTAATAGACCAGTGCTCTGTGAACTTGAGGGCGGGCCAGGACACGAGTCGGCAGGGCCAAACAATATCCGGAGCAATACGTTGGTATTGTGATTTCAGATTAGGCCGACCAAGCTGTCTCGACGAATGGAATCCTCCATCCGTGACGCAAAGTCGAGTGGCCCCCAGACAGTCCCGCCGCCTCAACCGATCTTGCAGCAGGCATCCCCATCCGCCCCGAAGTCGTCGTCGAGGAAGACACGGCAGAAGAAACAGGCCGACTCACCAAAGTCAGCTTTTCGTCCCGCACCGCAGCCCTCCAGTTCTCGCCGCCGCCGGAGCAGCACAAGAGATCGTTCTCAGCCTCTATCCACCGGTGTGTGTCTCATTTTCATTTCTATGCGCCGTCATGGAATGGACCCATCTGATGATACTTGTTGTATTGACCTTAAGCTGCTGCCGTAGCTCCGCGTCCGCAGGTAGACAACTTGCCGCAATCTCCGCAAGACTTTCCTCGATTGACAACCGCCCGTACCCCGACTCTCCAACCTTACCACGGTATCTCGTACATGATGAATCCCAATTATCCAATAAACCCTTCCCCGTTTACCCAACACCACAACCCTCCTGCTTATCCCGCTGCTGCAAATATGAATGCCGCCAATGGCTCGGGCATACCCGGTCATCCTCATCAGTACTACCCAATGCATCCTGCACCTTACGGTCCACTCCCTCACGGATACGCACCATATACTCAGTATCCTCAACAGATGGTGGTGTATGCACCACCACGGTCCGCACAGGCACCTACCGAACAGCAGCAGCCTCTTAACTCACCACCAGCTTCGACGTCCGCACCATCTGTCTCCACTGGCAAACGGAAACGGAGGGCAGACGGAGTTCGCGACAGGGACCCTGCCGGCGAGAAGGAGTCCGACCAGGAAGGTCGTTCCCCAGTTGACGTTGCGCCTAAGCAACCCACAGCGACCTCCCATAGCACTGCCGTCGATTCCAAAAAGCGCACGAAGACTCAGCGTGCCTGTGACAGTTGTCGCACCAGAAAGATCAGGTAAGTAGCATGTTCCCTTGTAGACGCGGTTAACTCTGTCGGTTGTTATTGTGTGTAGATGCGATGTTTTGCCTGATGCAGATCCTCCACTCTGCCAACACTGCAAACAGTACGGTTTTGAGTGTACTTTTTTCCTTCCCATCGCGGAAACTCGCTTCAAGAAGAAAAAACAGTCTGAAGAAGAAGTCGGTACTGAAAAGGATAAGGATAAGTCATCCGATACACGTCGCACCACTATGTCACCCCAAGCAGACCCCAGTGACCGCCAGGTTTTCGGTAAATCCAAGCACGAATTAAGCATACTGCACTCTGGCTAATTTGAAGTTGTAAAGGACCCACTAACGCAATCCACTTGTTACACTCACAAGCTACCATATCGTCCCGCGTTTACGAGAGTTATGATCAACGTTATCATCACACTTGGGAAGTATCGAAGAATGGCGATGGCCTTATCTCGGTGCACAATGCCCCCGCAGATGACAAGCAAGCATCGCACCCCAAACCTATTGATCTGCATGTCGCACCTGAGGTCATTCAGGACCTTGTTAATGCATATTTCAAAGAAATAGCACCCGTTTTGCCCATTATCACCCAAGCAGAATTCCTCGCAAATCCTTGCCCGCCACCTGTTCTAATCTATTCTATGTGTCTCGTTGCGGCCGCCCGCAGAGAAGTTTTGCAATCGGTCTTTGACTCAATACGATATATCGTGAATAATGTCATCAAAACAGAGGATGTATTGTCGACAGCGTCGATCGCAAATGTACAAGCACTGTTAATTCTGAGTATGGTGGGTGACAGTCACTCACAATACGTTCCCAATGCTCTGTCAGCATTGTGGATCCGACTCGGTACCGCAATTCGGATGGTTAGCTCATTCTCTGTGTGCTTTGGAAGATCTTTGACGGATGATGTACATAGGCGCAAGATCTGGGGCTCCATCGTGCAGAATCCGTAAAGCAAAATATCGAACTCCGAAGACGCTTATGGGTTGCCTGTGTCATATGCGACAGATGGTTGGGGGCTAGTCTTTGGTGTTTTGCTTTAGTCTAACACTCGCTTAGGACAAGCCTGACGTACGGTCATCCCTATATGATCGATGTACAGGATTGTGATGCACGCCTTCCTTCTTCGGGCGATCCGAATGACTTGTATATGGATGAATTAGGTCGACTCAGCATCATCCTTGGTCGAGTATTGAAGACGATTTACAGGTAGGTGATCCCAGCAAGTTTTTAAGGCTCATACTGAAACGTCATGTAGCCCCTCTGGTCTGATGTTTACAACTGACGAGATGCTTTATGAATTACTGGCGGATCTGGAGTCTTGGAAGGCCAATCTTCCAGAAAGCCTCAAGTACCGAGGAGTTGACACTGCTTGGAATGCAGGTTCGTAAGCACCTAGTGTTTTATTTTCTGTGGTGCCGTGAATGATTACATCAAGGCCTCCTCCATCTTTTGTACTCTTGCGTCTGTATGATTTTTTGGCGTGTATTCATGCGAATATCATACACTTGCCCGGCGCACCTCAAGTTTGGCTTAACCATGGAGACGTGGACTGCCCTCGTCAAACTAACAGGAGAATCTATTGATTGGCTTGATACCCATGAACGTGTGTATGACATATGGCTGCTTGTTGCATATGCTGCGACTTCATGTGCACTCGTACAGGTGAGGTTGTTGCCACTGGAGGAAATTGTACAGACATTCATTGTCACAGTATCATACGTGGGCTCGACGGCAAGATGCGGACGCTGCTATCAAGCTTCGGAAGTTGCGTGATTGCGTCCGTAGGTGGGAGAGTGCGATATCTCCCGAGCATATGTCTGCTGGACGGAAGGTCAGTACGACTTGTGACGAAGCTGGTTATGGTCGCCTTATATGCCTCCAGACGGCCGAGATTATCTCACTACTTTATGAGGCTACTCAAGGTCCACCCATTCCTCTTGACGAGCCACCATTGCTTAACCCGACGGGGGGTGTCAAAGGCCGACGACCGCTAGGTGGACTTGAATACAAAAAGGACCCATCCCGTCCTGGTGGCGGTGTTTTCGTCGCCCATGGCGAGGCACGTAAAGCAGATTATGGCGTGCCCAAGGGTACGATCATTACTTCGTCTGATGAGGAATCCGAAGGTAAGCTTCCAAGTAGCAGGGAATTCTTAATACCTGAATCATTCCCAACTGTGCCTAATAATCAGAACCGCCAGCAGCAGGATCCTCATCACTAGTAAACATCAGGCCACTCACGTCGGGGACACTGAGGGAAGCTAACGTGAATCCTGCGTTGAACCACATGGCAAGCCAAACACCTGGAAATGTACAGGTTTTGAACGTACTCGACGGTACCGCAGGCGTCGGGTAAGTTGGAACGATTTGCGATGGCTGATGTGGGACTCTTGGAGGGCATCCCGGGAGGAATGTTCGACTGGGGCAAGTAGTTTGTCTACTCCTTATAAGGTCGGAAACTGACTTAGTATAGGCCAATGGGGTTCGTTTTTTACTCGGCTCAACTCCACCATGCCTGACGGGACGGCTGGCGGACATCGAGGAGGGCAACAGCCAGGTGTGGCTGACACTTTAACCGCTGGGGCGTCAGAATCTGAGCAGGTGTCCCAGCCAGAGAAAAGGGATCAAGAGCAATCATAGTCATGTACAATTTTCATGGACATTATCGTTTTTTTCTTTTTCCACACAATTCCAGATCTACGGGTGGAACCTTGTCATTGCTATCCCTGCTACTTATGTATGTGTAGTCTGCAATTGTTGCTATGTGTACATCCGCGTAACAATTCTTACTGTACTTACGCACGGCAATCAGTGATTATTTTTAGTACATAGTGGTTCCTGGTTTTGCCATACTGCTGGCGCTTACACTGTTTCAGTCGGGGTCCAGCATTTGACTCGGCGGTGAGTTATTTGCACCAGCAACCTCCTATCCCAAAGCCCTTGACCATCGTACCAGGACTTCGCTGACTTGAAAGGCAGTAAGTATAAGTCATTTGCAAGAGTTGAAAAATGATACCGCCAAGCTCGCCAACCTTCCCCTCTACATTCCAGAGCAGAAAAAAAGAATTTAACAAGGTGCACGTGTACCCGAATGACTATTCTTCGCTAGCGTGGAAGAAGAAGCAGTAAAAGTGGCGGGTGGTGCCAACTGTTGTCAACCCAATTATGGGTTTTATGGAGGGCGCCTCACTGAGGTAGAGTTCTAACGCTCAGCAACCCTATCTGGGACTGGTACCCGAGTAACTTTATCGATAGCAAGATTCGCGCTGGGCGAGTGATCGTGCCCAAGTAGCGCTGAGAATCACTTGCACTCGCCGGATCATCATACAGGGTAAGATTTGGCAGCTTGTTACACATCAGGGCTATCCCAGCGCTACTGATACCGAGAGTATTGTTGATTGTACTTCATAACGTCGAACAACGATTGGTGCTAACATTCGCTGGGATAATCGATGGGAACGTTGATGCCATACCGTGTCATGTAACCAACGGCATTAGGTAGGAGGGAAAGAATTTATATATTACACTGAGATAGCGATGTGACATGAACATGTGTCGGGATGTAATGAAGCTGGCGATCTTTTTGATGGCGGCTGAGGTATTATAATTTACATTGCCAGTGAAAGACGCGATCGCGAGCAGCCTGTGATTGGCGAGGAACAACGGCACACGTCGACTTGTTCTCCGACCCCAACTCCCTTGCATGTCCTCCCCCACAACGAACTCTAAGAGTCCATACAATACCTAATCCTTAATAGCTGCTTCCAGCTTTTTCGTACATATTTTTACGCTGACATCTCTCTCGAGGCCTGGGCATACGTATCCAGGCCGCTGTCCTTGCTAGCCTGCACTCACGTTCTTTTCTATGGCTCAAGCTGCTGGCCTCAGTCCACCAGCACAAGCACCTCGTCTATCACAACTGTTGCCTACCGTGAAATGCTCGAACTGTTCTCAGCCTGTCCCATTGGCAGACCTAGCCGACCATGTATGCCCTCCTCAACCTCCCCTGCCTCCTCTCCAGAGGCTTCCCACATCTTCGAATCCTCCTAGTTCCTTTCTGCCACAACGGCTGCAGAGCATGGTGTCTGCGAGAGCAAATACGCCTCCTCGGGGACAAGAATCACGCAGTCCTCAACCTGACTCCTCCCAACGATTGGCCTCAGCTGTATATGCATCCAGAAAAGACAGCTTACCGTCCACCACAACACCTCCGTCGACCGCAGTACCTCACCGGGGGAACTCTCTGACTTTCCAAGATCGTCCGTCAACTCAGTCTCCTCCCGTGGGTCCCGTACGGAACGCAGCTCCGACTATCGAGAGAATCAAGGCGGCTTCCAAGGTACATTTCGAACTCAAGTCTCCGCCTAGAATGAACGACGCGGTAAATTCTGGAGATGTGCATAATACTAAGTCTGTAGGTGCACGCTTGAGGAGACCATCATTAACCGGGAAGGAGAGCCCGGCTCCTCGACAACAACCCCCGGTCCCATCGTCCACAGGAAGGAATAATCTTCAGTCCAACTCCTCTCTTCCACCAAGTTTACAGCCGCGTGGGCCCGGACGAACTCCCTCCGCAAGTTCTTCTGTAGCACATCGGGGTGCGATGGACAGGTCTCAGCCTTCCTTTGACCAGTTACATCGCCCGAATGTGGATACCTCACGTCCTTCTTTGGATCACCAGCGACCACCACCCGACCGTAACGTCATGCTTGCCCTCACATCTCACGCAGGTCCTGCCTCTTCGTCGCAGAAGCCTCCGGCAGCTTCGACCGTGCCTTTCCCGACGTCAACACACGCGCATTCGACGACACGTTCTCCTGTGATGCAACCACCTTCATCACCGTTAATGCCCCCGCCCCGATCACCGGTACCAGAGAATGAGCGCGATATCGATACCAAATGTGGGGGCGAGGCTGGTATGGCTGGTGTTGGCCGTAGGGGTTTCGCAGCAGTTGCGCGCGCAGCGATGCTTGCTGCTTCTTTACCCGGTCCTTATCAACCTCAGCCCTTAATTTCACCACATGAGTCGCGTTCCAATGCTCCGAAATTTCTAAATATCAATCCAACTGTGCCTCATGTTACGCATGGTGAGTTTCTTTTCTTTCCTTTTTATTTCGCTTCATTTCGCACTAGAGGTCTTTCTGAGACGCTTTAGGGCGCTCGTTTCTATGATACGGTTACTTCTCGTCAGGTTTTCCTTGTTTTCCTGGGCGCGCTGCAAATGTCTTGTTTATACATCATCGCTAACTCGAAAACCAGTTCCTGTGACCCCTCCTTTTTCACCCAACTCTGTGTATGGCTCGTCTCCAGTGTCCCCGCTGCCATCCTCGCCCATATCTCCAGCAATCCCGACTCCAACCAGTGCACGGTATCCAAGCTATCCTAGTCCGACTTTCGAAGTGGATAATGTCACCCCAAAGCAGAGTGTGTGTACGCTGTCATCTCCCAATGATGTTCGTGTTGCATCTCCCTCCCGCACACCATCTCCGCCAATTCCAAACCCTTTCGAACGCCGTCTGAGCGGAGAAACAGTATCTCAGTCTCCGATGATGAACGGATTTAACATGCACCTCCCATTGCTTGACATGCTTAAGCAAGATGATGGTGGAGCAAATGAATCCGATGACGAGAGTGTGTACACGACCAACACGTCTGATACCAAGGGCGCTGCTGTGGATTCGGAAACTGGTTTAGCCTATGCAGATGAATCTGATGAAGATACACCGGTTGTGATGCCCCTGAATCTTCGCAAATCCAATGCGAATATTGACACCAACAAGGTGAGGTTTCCGACGATGCCTTCGCCGGGCCGCAACCAGTCCTCGGGGCCAGTACGCAAGGAATCTACTGCTTCGACAAGCTCTGCAGGATCTGCACACTCTACCGCCGTTGGTAGCCGAACTCGCTGCAATTCTTCCGCTACTCAGAGCACAGCGAGGTCTGGCGGAGCGCTCGAGCGTGCGATGGAGACACTCATCGAGGAGGGTGCATCTATATCGGTGCTTGCTTCCGGATCAGTTCTCGCTTCGATAGCAGGACCTTCGACTTGCCGGGGTGGGTCTGGGAAACCAAATCGATCGAATACCGTACCAGGGCCAGCTTCGCCAGAAAACAAAGCACCTAAGTTACCTGCCCGTTCACATACCAATCCATCCCTCCCCCACGTACATTTGGAACGTGTGAAAGCAACAGGCAAGGTTGCTCGTATTCGCAACGGAAACGCGGAGGAGAACCACATTTGCGTAAGGTGTAAGACAAAAATCGAGGATGGCAGATGGATACAGATGGACGAGGGAAGCGTATTGTGCGAGCGCTGTTGGAAGAATATGTATTTGCCCAAGGTACCTGTTCCACTGCCGAACTTTATTTATTGAAGGGAGCTCACCAACTCCCCAAGTGTCGCCGCTGTAACCTGCCAATAGAAAAGCAGGCTGTATCGTCCAGAGATGGGCAGCTGAAGGGCAAATATCATAGAGGTTGTTTCAACTGCCATGCGTGTCATGTATGTCCAACCCTTCTTGATAGAGATTCGTCCTTCTCAACCTCATATACGCTAGCAACCTTTTCCGGACAAAGAATTCTACGTCTTCGATGGGAAACCGTTTTGCGCGTATCATTATCACGAAGCGAATGATTCCTTGTGTGCGGCTGCCTCTTGTGGGCAACCTATAGAAGGTCCCTGCGCTGTTAACCACGCAGGAAGGCGGTACCACCCTGAACACTTATTGTGTGAATATGAAGACTGGCTGTGGGGAGAGACTGGCGGAGTATTGGGAGATCGATGGTCAAATGCTTTGCGAACACCATGCTGGCGTTTCGTGCAGTCGAGATAGTGCCGCCATACGGAGTGACGACCATTCTGACGTTGTGGAAGCAACGAGGGATGGGGGCCGGGCGAGGAAACGTATGACGCGGTTTATCGACCTCGGAGGGGGGGACGATGGCGAGTTGGATATCAGGTAATCCTTTCTGGATCAGGACGATTTCTACCCTCTATCTTATTACGCTCTAACATTCGTGCATTTATCTTGGGACTATTTGCGTTTTTTTGTACTCACAACCTCTAGGATATATACCGTCATTTCATCGAACCGATGCACAAGCACTTCTTTCATAATATCGACCTTTTTTCATGTAAGATGCGGACAATAGTGGAATACCAAGCACCCCCATGCCCAACGTTAACCTCCGAGCCATAGCAACCTCTTCATGCCGTACTCCATTTTAGAATACATACTAGTTGCTCTTTTCGCATCCTCTAAACTGTGGGTACGTGCATGAAGTACATGACAAACTTGCCAAAGCCAGTTTGATTACGCACCTCACCACGTCCTCTTCGATGACGAAGTCCTCGTGTGATCCAGCACCAACCTTGCAACAAGCCCTCCTGATGGCGTCGACCATCAAGTCGACTACTTCCTTGCATGTAGTGGCACCGGCAAGGTCATCCGTAAGCTCACCATATGTCATGGTGGACTCTCCCTCGATACGGGTGGGGTCGATCGGCAGAACCTTGAACGCGGCAAAGACATCCCCAACTACGCGAGAACGTGGCGGATTTGTTAATGCTGCATTCGATTTGGGCGCGTTGTTTTTGAGGGCAGAGCACACACGTCGTATGACACTTGTCCTTTGACTACTCTCTAATGACGGTAGCTGGGTTGGGCTGAGCATATATGGGGATGTCATTTTCTGCGAGCTACATTGGTCCGCACTGAGCCAAGATACCATGAAACCAGCGTTCTGAATAGGATCACGACTTCCTTCTTCAAGTGAAGAGATGATATATGCCCCTTAACCAACAGGTCAGACACGAGTAAGAGGAAAGACGCGTGACAGCACCTTTCGCAACCCGGACAATCATTTCAAGTGGCACCCGAGTATGTAGCTTGACTTTGTCCAGCGCATAATCATAGCTCTGTGATCCATTTCAGTTGCATCATCCCCTATATTCAGACGTTTTGAATCCCACAACGATATAGAGAGCACGAGCACTCTGTCCGACTGGGTTAGGAAGGTAATCACCAGGAACTCGGTATTAGTTGCATACCAGTAATAACACTTTCTCCTCGAATCTGTTACTGAGTTTGACACTTAGCGCTCCTGGCGAGAAAACGGTCCATCCAGAAAATAACGTCTCGCCTTCTTCCAGGAGAAGGGAAACCGATGTTGCAATAGCATCCGCACGAATCCTTGACAGACGCATAAGCTCTCCTGGGTCTGTGGATTGCAGCTTCAGTAGAAATTCGGTGAAAACGGAGAGGGTTCTGTGTCCAAGCATGAAATCTATCACAGCCTGACAGAACCAGTCACTAAACGTGGAGCTATATAATCTCGTGAGAGAGTTAACGCCATCATTTAGAAGACCTCCGATGTCTCTCTTTCCGGTTCTTAAGATCGTCTTCAGCATCAAGCATGCAAGATCTTACAGATGGCACACCTCGTAAAATCGCCCTACCCACCCAGACGTGAGCGAAATCATGACACACCACCACGGACTTACCTTGAGAGCTGACGTGCCCGAACTGCAACGTCGCGAAGTCCCGGTGAGCGAGAATGAGTAATAGGGGGAACGACTGCTCACTAGGCACGACTTATGGCATCCCCGTTGTTCGCCCATACTGATTAAGAGTGAGACACGGGAAGGAATTGCCAAAACGACGAACCGTTATTAAAGATAACGTCAACTTCTGATTTTCCCCCTTGTGTCGGGATGATAAGGCCTACGGCACCCAGTTGCATCTCTAGCACGTGTCGGGCGAATGTAGACTACGTTCCAATAAGTTTATCTTGAAGAAGGAAACAAGAAAGCTTACCTGTACAACATTGGTTCGGTCCAAACAATCAATACAATTCACTCGGAACACTCCTTTCTGCTCCGAAAGTAGCATGTCATCAGAAAGCCAGAAGTACCTGTGTTGACAACATAATATTTAAAGAATGTAGCGCGAACTTGGGAAAAGTAATCACCCTTGACTTTCAAACGTCCGTTCTAGGCGATCAACCAGGGTCGATAGTCGTTCGTACCTAAAACCCTTTCAGCCAACCGACATTTAAAGATTCGTAGCTTACATACTTCATCCCTCTGGTCTCATGGTGAAAGTCAAATTCACAGTAGCTATGTGGGGTCCCTCATAAAGTACTTTGAACCTGCGTGGACGTGCAAGGAAGCTCACCTAACGCTATTTCTATTCAGTTGATTTACGTAGGCCTTATAAGCCCCGCACAATGTTCCCTCCTTCCCGTTTTGTTCGGCAAGGTTGACAATCATCTGTCTTATCTGCTCCATGGGCGGCCTTCGTAGGCGGAAACATTACTTACGTGGGGTCCGTACACAGAAATCGTGCTCTGAAAATGACGTTTCATGGCATCCATATTCTGCTCTGAGGTTCTCTCGGGTGCTAGAACAGGTGGAGGTTTCAGGCCATAACCAAATTGTTTCCAGAATAGGGGGACTACCGCGGATTGTCAGAGTGCATAATCTCAAAAAATCATAGGATCCCGTACTTGAGCCACGGATCTGAACGAAGCTGAAAACGTTGGAACTGCCGTCTCTCTGCGTGACGTAAGGTGGTGGCCATCTGCAGAACAAAAGACAAACCTGAACTTTGACTATGGCTTCCGTTTCAACGAAGTTAGCGACGAAAGCTTCATCATCTACACCTCTCCGCTGATAACGGAGCCCAGCTCGGCGTCTGGAACGCCGAGATGCTATGATATAATCCACGGGTGAAATCGAATAGTCATTTGGGTCCTGGGGGTTCACAGGCAAATGAAAATTTGCTACCTGGAAGTATCCCTGTATGATTGGCAATACGTAGGAGTGCAACTAGAAAACGAAGGGTTAAGGATGGAAAACAAACGAAAGGCATATTCTCACGCCGGTATCAGTGAACGGTTTGGAGAGGTATTCATTCCACCAGAACTGCCGATCGACTCGTCTCCACAGAGGAAGCGCCGATGTTAAAGGGTTTGTACTGCATTCCGAGCGATCTACAGGACGGTCTTGTGGGAGGGCATTGAGTTTTGCCAATAGCTTGTCCTGCGTAGCACACTTCAGGGATTGCTCGTGTTTGCGCTGAAGCGACCTCGTCAGATCTAAAATATCATCATAACGGTTGACATTCTACATGCTCATGAACGTACCACAGCGGTACGAAAAGAACATACAGCCCTTGGTATACTCGCGAATACATTCACGGACTACTCGGTCCTCCAGTTCGGTATGCTGCTCTTCTTTCGACTCTAAAGGTTTCGCACGTGGGACTGTGCAGACTGCCTTGTCATTCTTTTCCGCATTCACTGCAGTTGGATTACATGTACCAGAGGGTCCCTCAACCGAAGTCGCTGAGTCGCGTCCGGCTAGACGAGTCCACAAGACCATTCTGTTGAGAACTGCGACAGACTCAGAAGAAGTCGGAGTCAAAGTTCTAGATGGGGAAAATGGTGTGGCTTGTGCTTGTTCCAGATCGGAGGTAGGGACCACAACTCGTGTGCCCTCCCCCTCCACAAGATCACTTTGAGAGCTGTAGGAGCGTCGCTCGTGTGCACATTCGCCCGCACTAGATAGGTAGATGCCATCCCGGGATGGTTCTCGAAGAGAGGTGGTGCGAGCTGCTATGTTAGTCAAAGCTTGCTGAGCACGACCCTTCACCAAGGGAATTGCAGATACATCCTTCACACCGTATATGATGTGAGTCTCTTCAAGGACTAGACAAATGGGAGTTAATATGATGTTCTCTACTAGAGTGGACAAACAACTTACGACTGCCGACAGGCCGCCTGGCAGTTATAACCAACAGGTATGAAGCTAACGCTCTCATAGTTAGTGCGCAGCTTGCAAGACAACAGCAGTTTTACCATTGAAAAGATCTAGTATGCCAATTATTCCATAGATGACGACACTAGCTGACCAGTCTGCAGCTAGATTCTCCCCACCGTTCGGCAGTTGTTCGACTTTGGGAGTTTTGTTCCAGGACACACGCGTACAAGATGGAGAACCGTGAGGATCAGGATCGTGTGGACGCACGAGCAAACCATCATCGCTAATGGTTACTGTGATACGCTCGTAGGGATGTAAATGAGACATCGGAAAGTTCAGTACTGGGCAGTTGTGAGTGTCGATGCTTGCTCCATCCCACCAACTTGTGACGTCAGGTCGGCAACACGAATCACTGATCAAATAGAGTCCTGACGATCTATATATTTATCTACAACTAGACATACAAAGCAATAACCCCACATCACTAAGCTGCAACAGCAGAGGTCTTACCTTCAACTCGGACCTCATAGCCATATCCCTGGCCATTCCCCGGCCCATCATAGTGCAATTTGTTGATATCATAATTGCCTGCAACAGGTGATAAGCACAAGTCTTTCCCTTCACACACGGCCAATACGTACCAATGAACTCCCATCCACGCTCCTTGACATGATAGAGATTGCAAGAATTCCCGGAGAAGGCATCACGGTGACCAGCGGCATAAATACTCCTTCTTCCAAGTTCCTGAGCCTCCTCATCCGTCAAGTCCCACCGGTACCCTTGATCAAGCACTCCGTAGGCAAACGTGCTTCCAGATCCCACGGAGAACAGATCTCCCCTTAAACGGGTACCATCGGAGTCGACGTAGAAAATAGCAGGACCCTTCGATGCGCTCAACATTCAGTGACGGGAAGTAAGAATGCCTGAAGTGTCACTCACGGTCTTGTCCCAACCGCAGATCATAGTGCCCTTCGCCTTTCGTGAGAGCCCTATTTGATGAACCATGGAAATGAACGTACCATACTCAGACCCATGCCTTTGTAGCTGTAAACGAGATTACTGAGGTATTTGCTCGCCGCAGAGACAGAAATTCGCTCGTGATTCCGGAGTTCGTGTAGACGACAATGCATTCCCAAGTATGTCTCCCAGAATTGACAATCCGCTGCGCAATGCTTTCATATAACGCGATATACAATGCAAGACTTTTCACACCTGCACCACCCGCCATTGTGCCCAACAGGTATGGGTTAATCTCTATGACTTTCTTCACAGTGCCCGAGGCTAAAGCGAGCGCCGATATCAGTGAAATCGAGGTGCCATGAACGCTACAATTTACCGATATAATTGCCCGCAGTCGCTCGTGAGTCCACAGCGACAATGACACCCCCTTGGTATCTGAAAGCTAGAGTGGTTGTCCCGTGTTGGATCTTAATCCGGCACGATGGGTCTGCGTGATCGTCCGTATGAAGCCTCAAGAACGCTGCCGGCTACAAACATGAGTTTATCTTCAATCGCAAATCGTGAACAACTTACGTCTGGCACTGATGGAACAGTGAAAGTAGGCACACCCTTCGCAAGGCTACCAAAGCCAGCCATAGATCCCCACATCACGTCTGAAAGCTCGCCATCGTCATCCACGACAGTAGCATTCCTCTTCTGCAACTCGATCCCGCTGCTTGAGCCAGCAAACCTTTGAATCAGACTGTTCATGTGTAGTAGTACAGTGGGTCGGTGTAAGCTGACGCGGCTTTGCGCGACGCGTATGAAAGGTACATATTTGGTATTATTTGCCAACCCCTGTCTCATACTCTTCACTACATCTCAGCAATTGTCTGCAACGCCTTCCGCAGATCGTCTTTCAGATCCTGCCAACCTGCGCTTAGTATAGACGTTCCTCGTAGCAAAAGAATGAATGAAAGAGGGAAAACGCACCTCCACTTCTTCTACCCCTATGCTTAGTCGTACGAGGAGTGGATTTTCTTTCGGATCAGCTCTGGCACGCTGTTCGACCAATGACTCCACACCCCCCAGACTCGTAGCGGGCTACCATGTATGATAAATCAAGAACCACGCGTTTGAAATGTTCCACACTCACGATGAAGTATTCGAGTTTGAAAGGAAGAGCTTCTGCGTACTCTTTCTTGGAGAGCTAAAGAAAAGCTTTATCCATTTCCTTTTTCCCTGATTCAGGGACAGACGCACGAGTACTGAGAAGGTGGCATTGTACCCTCCTTCCATCTGCGATGCAGGGTTGAAACCTCTTTCATCGGTACCCTGGAGACTTGAATGCCACACTTTCGTGAGCACCCCGCCAGGTATACCGTCGAACTCCTGTCCCTCCGGTATGACAGCCTTGCTAAGCCACTGGGCCAGCTCCGTCGCGCTTGCGGATTGTCTCGGGATACGGAGATGCATTGTACGAAGCGACCGCAATAGGAGCCAGGCTTCGAGAGATCCCATCATGTTTCCCATAAAAACGCGGTCATTCCACAGCTGAAGCGTTCGTCGTGTGAGGAGGGGCTATTAGATGAAGGTAGTGATAACTCCACCTGTTCTCGCTCTTCCGCAGTTTTGACAATGAGGATGCCACAGAGAAGGTCCGAGTGGCCACCGAAATACTTTGTCCCTGAAAGGCGCCGCATAAATTCGACTGTGTGTTCCAAAATTGAAAAATATTACCACTGTGGAACACACAATCGGCCCCACAATTCAAAGGATACTGCAAAGGGGGCGGACCGAATGTCGAATCAACTAGTAGTATCCCTCCAACAGCGTGAATCTGGTTATATCAGAAAGTAAGTGATTCAACAACAGGCACATAGAATGCAAGCACCTTGTTCGCATAATATTTGATATCTCTGCAGTATACCATGAAAACGGTTTGGAAGATCAAATAATCCTCTCTTACCGAGATTCCCCCGTGGGGTTCAGTGGAGTCTCCAGCCAGCACAAGTCACCTTCCTGGAAGTTATCGTCGAGGCCGATGATCGGCGTGCTTTCGGATCTCCCCCTAGAATAAATTTCAATCGCCCCGTGACAACCCAAGTACCCGCCCGAGATCGCAATTCGTTTGGGTTTGTAGTGTACCAATGCCTGGAAAACTATATCGGACGCCCGTACCCCTACGGAGTAAGCTGAGGTAGCTTACAGAGAAAGCGGCAGCTAGTCCAGAGGCATATGTTATGGAATGGCCTTTCTGTATAACCCGGGACAAGACATTCAGAGAGATACGGCGCTGACTTCGGCACTGCACACACATTAACTTTGTTAAGAATCTCGTCCACCTTGGATGATACATTCTGGGAATATCGAGAGTAGACGTGTCCGTATGGGTTTGCGTTGGCAAGCCCCGCGGGATCACCATCAGGAACTGATCTAAAGGCTGGGAATGGCAACGTGATTCAGGTGTGAAGGAAGCGGGTGGGGATCGTGCTCACTAGTTGTGACCGAGATGGAGGGAACGACTTCCGCACCCAATGGACGGTCTCCGTGAACGAGGAGGGTGCCACTAAGTTGACCTGGTATATCTCTAGAAGGCATGAGTCGGGAACAAGATTGGGACCCTGTAAATGAGTCAGCTACTTACTGGAGCTCGCGCTTTTATACAAGTCATATTGGCTGGCAAGTTCACATGCCCAGGGTCAAATTAAAGCAGCAGCAATGACGAATCGGATCACGCCTGAACAGAAACAAGATACCGGACTTATCGCTAGCATCACTAAGAACGGTCATGCATCATGCAGCGTCAACGACTGCACGCAGTCTAGGAATGAATTACTTTCATCTGGGCGACTCAGGCTTCAGGAATAACAGCAATCTTTCGCTTTTCCTTGGCGTGTTTCAGGAGCCTCTCCATCATTTCTACCCATTCCTCAACACTGTTCTCCCCAACCCCTTCTACCCATTTATGAGCTTCACCACGGCTTTCCAGGTCCCTCCACGCGTCCCGTAAGACTTTCTTCACGGAGTACATCGACTTTTCCCAAGGCCTTACTTTAACTGCAGGACAGTCTCCAGACTGCGCTGCGAAGGCAAACAAGTCGTCCCGGTAATCCCATTGCTCCGTCCCTTGAAAACGGAGCCATATTTTTGCTTGCTCGCTCAAAGTAGAAGCACCCCATCGTGCGAGCAGTTGCGACCTCGCAGTCACCTTCTCGGCTTCCCGCTGTTTATTCAGCGAAGAAGGGTCGGAAATGACTCGAACAATGGCACAAGCTTGAGCTTCCATAAGTGGCATCGGCACAACTTTAAAAGGAAGCCCCATGAACGCCAAACTGGACGCCGGGTAGTGACTTTGCAGAGGAAATATGAACATTGCCAGGGGAAAGACATGGTGCGTGGAGTTGTAGAGATCCGGAGGCAATGGTGAATGTGAAGGAACTTGCTCGGTGCGAATGACATCCGAAGCAAAAAATGGAAAGTCAAATTTGTATCCGGTAGCCAAAATGCAGTAATCAATCTCCTCTTCTACGATGTCGCCTTCGAACAGGACACGGCCGTCGTCATAAAATCGAAGAGCCCTTCCGACACGCTTGAAGTGCGCATCGCCTTCTACCAATGCACCGGAGACGGAATGTACGACAACGGTGGCGTACGAACGCATCTCTGCAGCGATATCCTGGCCACTCGGGCCTCCACCAACGACTAGCACTTTGTGGCCAAGAGCTTGCGGACTTCTGTACCATGCTGAATGGGAAGCTCTGCGAATTCTCAACCAGTGATCCACTCCAGGTATATTTGGTATTCTGGGAAGTCGATAGTGACCGTTCGCAACGATAACATGATCAAATGCGAGAGTTTCCCCTGTGGAAACAGTGACAAGCCAGCCTGTGTTGTCCCACTTGGCACTGATAACGGTCGTATTGAATTGGATAAGTGGTAGTAAATGGAAGTGGTGAGCGAATGATTTCAGATAATCCAGGACGACCTGTGCGGGAGGAAACAGTGGAGTTGACGGAGGGAATGAGTAACTCATAAAGGCCATTATCGGATGTGGAAGATTTGTCGTGAGGGAGTCGTACAGTGGGGTTAATGGGGGATCGGTCGCCGGCGGAGCGGGTGACCTGTTGGTGACAACTAGTGTATTGACGTCCTCCGCCATGGAGGCTGGTTGCAAACGTACCATATCCCACCAACACTCTCGCGTGATTCGAAGGCAGTCAAAGACCAAGCACCTGATCTGAAGTGAGATGTATCTGAAATGACTTTCAGCGCAGCCAAGCCTGATGCTCCTGCACCAATTACACATATGCGTTTCGTGGGTTGCAAGCCGTGCATGGAAAGGTCCGTGGAAATGAGTATGATGGCCGCTTGAAGTTGCTGCTGGTGGCTGCAGCAGCAGGTAAAAATAGATTATGATCTACACGCAGTGTTATAAGTCAACGATTCAACTGACGGGTCTTTTCTAACGTCAAGTCCGGGCGGCCTACATGAAGATTCCAGATCACCAAAGCTCAATGGGCTGCGTACCGCACGTTCGCTGAAACTTGGCTGGGACCTAGTTAGTTAGTAATTCAGAACGTTGATATCAGAGGTTAGACGCCCAGAAGGCAAGGGGTGCTTATGTCAGCAATATTCTTGCGTTTTACCAGACACCTCGACTACTGTCAACTTCGCGACCAAGGATCAACTCACCGTGAGGTCAACCAGATTAACTTCCAGTTGAACATATAAAAATGCCAGAAGAACGTGGCAAGGCATGGCCGTTCGCAGAAGAGGACTTGACTAATTCTGTGAGTTGGTCATGTCTTTCCTATTTGTAACGCTCAACGTTCATGTCTTGTCCGGCGATACTAGATCCTTGATCTCGTTCAGCAGGCCGGCCAGTATAAACAGCTGAAAAAGGGCGCTAATGAAGGTCTGTTTGTGTCACATTTACCCATTCGTCCCTATCCATACCCTCCCGTAGCCACAAAGACTCTCAACCGCGGTATCGCGGAATTCATCATCCTTACCGCGGATACTGAACCTTTGGAAATTTTACTGCACCTTCCGCTTCTTTGCGAAGAAAAGGTATTTACCTCACGCCGTCGTTAACATGGCACTGAATGATTCCTTCTATAGAACGTTCCTTATATTTTCATACCGTCGAAGGCTGCTCTGGGTCGTGCATGTAATGTTTCCAGGCCTGTCATTGCTGCCAGTGTAACTACCAGCGAGGCCCGCGAACTGCAGAGTCAGATTCGCAACATCAAAGTGGCCATTGAAAAGTTGATGGTCTGAGTAGCTATCATCGATCCCTGGACATGGTATGCATTGTATAGTTGATCATAATTGAAGGAGTCAACCCCTATCATAACGAAGTACAGCTGGAGCTATTGGGAATACTTCATTTCGGTATGTTTTCCCTGGCTTGTTGTCTAATTCTTCTCCTGTCCGTTTTGAATTAAACGCAACCGAACTCGTGGAGGACATAACTCACTCATACGCAACTTTGTCATTCCTATCCCCGGTTCAGTCCTAACCCATGCACCAAAAAAAAGAAACGAAAACTCACTTGAACATTGCATAAGCATCACTCTGAGCAGGATCGTTCACATTAGGATCGTCAAGGAGGTCCTGAATGCCCAGCAGAATCTACAAATTTTCACAATGCCGGATGACTAAATGAGATGTATTGATCACACCTGTTTGATGGTAATAGCCGGCTTCCACGATTTCTCCTCGTCCAGGATTGAAAGACACACCGTGCCAGAAGGGAATACATTGGGATGAAATAGGGGTGGCGTGAATTTACCTGGAAAGATTCAATTACCGCGTCAACTAGATTCAACCTACACGGACATTTGGGCGGTTTGGAGGGATAATCTGGTCGAAGAATCAGTTGGAAAGGCAGCCCTAAGCATTACAACTTCTTTCTCACCCTCGGGAAAAGTCATGGTGAGTTTGTAGAGTCCGCCCTCCCAGGCTGTCTAACGTGCATGTTTGTTGTTAGTTAGGTATACGAGACGAGGATCACGGACCTCTGCTTTGCCAGGAATGCCGACCTCCCACTCTAGGAGGTTCATCGAACCATCAGCAGACTTTACCGGCTTCGCATAGAACCCCTGCACACCAAGTTAGCCTTTGAAATCTCCTCAAATCAGTCGAGCAACATATGCATTTATGTCAATTGCACTGAAGCGCACCGACCGGCGTGACCAGGTTCAACACAAGTAAAGGACATACAAACGGATGATCTTTCCTCCATTGCTTGCGCTCTTCCGCCAAACGCGTTCTACAAATTCCGACCATAGCTAGAGATGACGATCTGAAGGAGGTCGAGCGGACCAGTATAGGTGCACACGATAGCAGCTTAGTCAGCAAGCAAGTGTAGTCCACACTGTTGCCTCTGAGGCAGCGCTGTTGCAGATTCGCAGGTACTATCAAGATTACTGTAATCGCGAATAAATGAACAGTCTGACATGTTAAGATCAGTATCGAGTTCGAGTCCTTCTGTGGTCTCCATCGAGCTTGAGATCTAGGCTTGGGGACAACACAGCCACAAGTGGTCTGCTTTTGACTTGCACTGGTACAGTCTCAGCGAACTCACCCGAGGGTTGCATGTCTGTCTTGCTTCGTCTGGTGCGGCCTACCGCGCCAACAGTAGGTCGGGCTTACTCGTCCTTTTTCTCCTCAAAACCCGGAGGCGGAAGATATTTTAATTCAAGCAAGCCTCCCAAACCAGTGGTGCACACTGCTAAGGCCAAGGTCGACGGTACTACCCACGGTACCGTCCCAGTTGCAGATCCTAATGGAAACTCGACCGTTAACGACGGCGTGGGCGTCTCTGGGAGCGGAGAACCCTCTGCGCAGTCGCAAAGTTCACTCCCAAAGCCTTCCAGCATGACCTCACAGCCCATGCTTGGTGTTTCTGAGAGCAATCATCCTCCTTCATATTCTACATATCACCAAGTGTTAATTCATCCTTCGGTGACGGCAAAAGAGTTTAAGCTCCATCAATTCTTTTCATTATATCGCCCTTTGCTTTTGCTCAATCAACCATCGTCCACGCTCTTCGATTCCGTCAGTCCTTCCGCCCTGCCGTTCTCAACTCCCGCGGACTCGGTCAATACCCGGCACACCTCGTTTACCACCATCGATGACCCACCCGAGTCGTCTACAGAAGCAGATGCTGACGCCGCTCGCCAGTTGGCCCACGCTCTGGTCGCCAACCGTGTTGGAGCTTCCATGGCTTGGCAACAATCCGTGTCTCGTCTCGGCTTGTCACAAGAGTCTTTTGTTGGTGACTTGATATCTGCCAAGGAGTTGGCACAGGAGTGGGTCGGTATCTATGCTGACAGTACAAGGCGGAAGAAACGGAAGAAGATGAAGAAACACAAGTAAGCCGATCCGTTTCATTTGTTGGATGTCGGTAATTATCGCGGATTTCAGGTTAAAGAAGCGTCGCAGAGTAAGCTCTTTACGTCCTAACTGACTATGCATACTCAGCTTCTGCCCTAGCTGACACGCGCAGCCCGTCAAAATGCAAAATGATCGGTGGTTCTTGCGTACGGCGCTGGACAATAGAATGTGTCAGTCATCATTTCCCTTAACGGTCTACACAGTAGCAACGATCACTTCTGTACACGTTGCAATAGTGAGCTTATATCTTACAGTCTACAATGTGCCATGCTCCCAAACCCGCACACCTCCTTTTCTCCTTTCATCACCATCCCATTCCCGTCCACCTTTCCAGATTTCACGGTATCCCTTCTCCTGCAGCAAAGAGAGAACGTTAGGTTCTCGCAGGAGTGCGCCGAACATAACGATGTATTTGGGCCATTCGTGCCTCCATCCCATGTCCCACGAATTGTTATGACTTTCCATCGCGGCCAAGGTGCTTACGAACGACTGGTCCGGTATTGAACTGGGAAATGGTGATGGTGGAAACGACGGGTCCACTTCAGGGGGGAAATGTGACAGCATGTATGCTTTTGGAGATTCGAAGAACAAGTCGGTCTGGTCCTTGTACCTGGCTTTATCCCGTACCCTGGACGATCGCGTTAGAATTGTGAGCATACTTGACAGACGCCAACGTACATCAGAGGCGGTTCACAACCCAGTGCCCACATCTTACCGGGATGAGCAAGGTCTGGGCGATGCAAGTAAGCTTGCCAGGGCGTCGAGTGGCACGGCATTAAGAAGCCTATCGTAGTCGAGACGTCAACCGGCAGGGCCTTCAGGTAAGACATTACTTCGATTTGTCCAGTACAGTGGAAAAAGGTGACGTATACGCTAGCCGGAACTGGTAGCAGTAGAAGCACCAGGTAGCATGTACGAAGTGGAGGGCCCAGTTGCTTCGTTTTAGAAGGTCGTCTCGAACGATGGGCCTGAGGATCATGGTTGTAAAGTTCCCCCAAGGACCTGGCCCCGAGGACGTGAAGCATGGGAAGCAGTGGATGTAAGAACCGCCATTCCTTATGCCCTAGCAAGGAGTATACACCAATAGTCCATGCCACACATCCTGTTAAGATCTTTAGCTTAACCTCGCTCTTCTTTACAGCTAGGAGGCATCCATGCAACACGAACGGAAGCGATGTAGTGCATAGGATGGGGATGGCCTGTAACAAGTAATAGTGCCAAGGACTAGAGCCGTAAAAAGACGAAACGGGCGAGGCATTCACGCAAAGGAAGTTCAGTAGCGTCAGAGTAGGTTGTCCATAAAACAACGTGTCAAGAACAAAGGAAACGGTCAGAACAATGGCACTCAAAAAAAAGTGTCATTATAACCACCTGCATAAAACGCGAAACACATACCCAATTACGACAGCGTCGCGCGTGAAAATTATCAATCTTCTAGGGTGTGATCTAAGTTGAAGAGACAGGACAGAGAATATGTAGACCCATATAATGCCATTTGTTGGCCTTATGGCACAAGCAAGCGCAGCGAAAAAGATGCATCTTCTCAGGCGCGCCCTATGAGCCGAGGTGAGCACATGAATACCGCAAATAGGGTAAGTATTACGGTGAAAATGGTGCTTTCACGTTCCAAAGAAAATGACTCAGTGCGATGGTCGTCAGCGACGTCTCTAGTGAATTCGACAGCGATCTCGACAATGACATTGCATGAAAGAAAGATGTCAGAGAAAGGAAATGCTGCACATGAGGCGCGACGATGTCAGCTTCGACAAGCTCACGGCAGTAACATATAAAACTATACACGCACAGCGGCCCCTACATAAGATTCGTCAAGTACCTCTCGCGCAAGCTTGCAGACCCAGATATCCGTGAGCGCGGCAAGTAAGCCATGGATCAATCTGGGGGCAACAACCTAGGGAATTGAACTGAATGTTACAGAGGGGACAAAATAAGAGAAACACGTACCACAGCGGTGGAGTATTTCCTATCCAGACCTGACGCTTTCAAAACCCAGTAGGCGGGTATGTTGATTGCAGGGTATAAGACGCCACGGACAGGTTGCGGGCTTAACCACTCCCACGTTAAGTGTCCATAGCCGAAGACAATTTTATGAGCGGGTTCTAGGGCTTGAAAATACTCATCGGGTTGGAAGAATCCTCGTGTAAAGAGTGCAATGACGAGCCGTAGGCACACACTTAGCAGGCTAATCATGGAGCCATCTTAGAAAAGGTGCTGAAGGATGGCAAATATGTATTACGTGAGTATTTATTCCCCTACTTATGTCTCTCGGCCATAAACCTGGATTTCCTCTTTTCCATTCCACGTCCATCTGCGACACTGGATTTGGGTTCCGCTGTTCCTTTGGGTACAGAAGATAGGACTGTAGGTGGTCCTTCCGAGGAACCCGAATGCAAACCCTGTCTTTGAGGGAGCTGCGCGCGTTCTCTGACCGTGGATAGTGGCCGGGCGCATGAGGCAAGTACTCCAGCATTAGTAGGAAATGAGGGAAGATCATCAACTGAAGAAGAGACAGGATTGAGAAGTAGGCCCTATGTTTTGAACGTTGCCTTTCTTCAAGGCATCAATCATCTCTTTTACATCCTCATCTTCACTCCCGCTGTCACCAGAGGGACCACCAGCTAGTTCGTCATTCACCAATTTCCCCATGCGTATCGAGTTCCGAATTGCCTTCCGACGGGCCTCAGGAACGATAGTTGACCCCAGAGAGGTGGAGAGCTGCGGATGGGTTTTATTGTAGGCTTCTGCCATACGATCAGCCCTGAAGCGTGATATTGGAACACGCTGGGAACCACCTCCCTCACTGACGCACTCCTGCGGTAGAAAGAACGTTGGGCTAAGATGGAAAACATAAACAAAAATATATACCGATTCGTCCTCGTCATCATTGCCTGTTGCCAACGCACGGACATCTGTACCAATGACATGTCGTTTGGCAAAATATTCGAGAGCAACTTCACGTTGATGCTGAGCTGAGTCCCAGTCGAAATGTTCATCTAGTGCCTCGTCCGAAGATTGAGCCTCGTCGCTGCTTGTATCATTCGTCGATAGATCCTGCTGTTTAATGTTACATAACCTTGTGACGCATTGTTGGGAAGAGGAGTGCTCAGATGGAGTAGGGGATTCGTCGTCAGAGTCCACGACACGTCCCAACGTTGATCCAGATGTGTTCGCACCACGCCGCTCGACCACCTGTACTTTCATGACATGCTGGTCTGTCCTAGCTGCACTTACAGGAGGTACACGGTACGACGACCGCAGCCTGCCTGCTGTAATATCCCCGCAGTCAACCTGGGATGATTGCTTTTCAGTAGCAATCACGTCTGATGTGACGGTCTCCGCAAACGTTACACTTTTCTTGGAAACTGAGGCAGTCTGGCGCTGCGAATCGGGATCTGTTTTGCTGGATCCAGAAGTCGATCCGACTAATGCTTTTCCCAACTTCTGCTGCAGTTCCTTCATTTGCTTGAGATGTTCATACTCCATTCTTGCGGCTTCTTTCCGTCTTTGTATCTCCTCCTTTCGGCTTTCTGCTTCTCCGTGTTCCTCCCGGAGTTGTTGCGCTCGTTCCTCCTCCTCTAAGATGTCGAAAATGCGGTCTCGTTCGCGGCGGCGACGCTCCCTTTCTGAGGGCTGGAGCATCTGTAACGGGATCAAGTCTGGCTCTTGAGTGAAATGTAATCCATCTTGGGACTCGGACAATGGTGAGATTGGTTCTGTGATTTCGACGATTGGAAGCTCCTCGTTGTTTAAAAGCTACGTATCGACTAAGTCAACGCGACGAAGAATGCAGGAGAAATGCTGATGGCGTGCCTCTCCTTGCCCGTCTTTTTGGAGCAGACCATCCTCCAGTATCTCTTCTATCTTAGCGGAAAGTTTTTGCAGTTCGTCTCGGGAGAGACCTGGGGCCGACTGGTTTTCTCCAGTTGCCTGGCGAAATGAGCCAAGTAAAGCCTGCAAAGCTATATGTAAAGGAAGTTCATGCGTGCGCCAGGCAATACAAATTCAAGCAAAACTACCCGCGGTTTTGCTGGAGCTGAGATCTTTGACATCGTCAGGGTTCTCATTAGCCATGACGAAACCTCGAGTGGTATCAGTGGGTATTGTATGGTGGGTTTTGTTAGATGGGGCTGATCAAGAGCTAATACTGACTTAACAGTAATAGATAAACAAGAGGTTGCCTCGTGGACTGCTTAGTCAGCACGAAGCTTTATCTCTATCCTCACCATACCACTACGTGCAACCCCCAGCTTACGAGCAGGTTTCTTCATTTAAAGCTAGAGACCATGGTAGTTTCACACCCTACTCCTCCTGTTACACGCAAAAAGGTTCGCAAGGGCCTTACGGGGGCGAAGCCCACGCCCGGGGCCAAACCAGCGACAGAGTCAAGTCACGTTGACGAGGACATGTCCAGGGATCCCCTCGCTCAACAACTAGCTGCTAGCGTCGACGACGATATGGGTGGAATATCCGGTCCCCATGCTTCGACGGCACCATCATTCCCGTCCCTCCCTCCCTCCGCTATATCTTCGCAATCACTTAAATCAGAGACACGGAGAATTCCCATACCACCCCACCGTATGACTCCAATAAAAAGGGACTGGGTTAATATATTCTCCCCGCTCACGGAAATTCTCGGACTGCAAGTTCGTATGAACGTACAACGAAGATGTGTAGAAATACGAGTTTGTGTTGTTATTTTTTGTATTGGACGATTAACCCTTACATTTTTGATCAGACCTCAAAACAAACCAAAGATATTGGGGCGCTACAGAAGGGCGCTGATTTTATCAAGGCATATGCACTGGGTTTCGATGTCAATGTGAGATCCCAAAAAAAATGATGAAATAGAACTTCCCTGAGTTGCGAGTATGCTTTAAGGACGCTATCGCCCTCCTTCGACTCGACGATCTCTTTATTGACTCTTTCGAGATAAACGATGTGAAGACACTCCACGGTGACCATTTATCTCGTGCAATTGGTACGTGGGAAAGCGATCGCGGTTTTGTAGGAGTTCAGCCTTTTCTCTAGGACGGATAGCAGGCCAAGATGGAAAGACAAAATTTACAATCGAAAATGCTAGTCGTACGAGAATTGTGCTGGCTGACACGTAAGTCATATTTCAGCTTTGCCAACTGAGGTTCTGACAGGGTGTAGGAAAATTCATATAATGGGTTCTTTCCAAAATATCAAAATCGCCAGAGACGCTATTGTCTCTCTGATTCTGGGTACACCGCCTGGAAAAGTGTACGCCGGGCTGAGAACCGTCTGCAGTCGGTTGAAACAGCGGGCTCTGTAACACCAGACATTCCCCCATGATGCTGATTCTACTCCTACTGTGACGTCTTGTGATCTCAAGTTTCAATATTGACGTGTTAGAGCTGGTACCATCTCTGCTGATGTGCAAATACCTGGTTGGAATTCTTGACGATGAGGAAGGTGCAGGATATCAAGTCGGTACAGGTAATTCAGTGCCGTGGTGACTTCTGCCGCATAGAATTTGGAAACGGGTTCAGGGAACCCCTATGGGCAGAGGTTCATGAGGGAATACAGGAAGACTACAAATACGCACCACCTCCGGGTACGAAATCCATGATCATGTACAAATTCGGCGAACCTGTAAGATGCCTTGGGCTGAGGTGACACCCACCAGAGGGATGGCGGCTCTCAGATGTTTTCTCAGTAAAGGCAATCTGGTCAGATGTATGAGAGGTAGCGAGTCCGACAACAAGTTACATTTGAATGAATACTTGGTAACAACAATATTTTGGTACTACACCACTACGCGTATTTGACACTTTGACAGGAGCGAAGAATCTATCATGACTTATTACATCACCTTTTTGCGGGCCGTGGAACGAAGGATGTGTGTGGATGCTGGTGGGGCTTCGCTGGGACTTCGTTGTCTTGGTCGCCGGGGTCGGCGAGAGGGCGGGAGTGCTTGTACCCCGGAACTGCTTGCGGTACTACTGCCGGTGGTGGGTGGCCACCAGGCCCCCTTGAGCAGACTAAGGCTTACAGGACAGGTTGCAGAGTCATCCACTACTCCAATTTCAGTGATTAGCTCTTGAAGATCGCAGAACGCCGTACAGAGCTCCGTGAAGATCACATGAAGTTCTGGGCGGGGAATTTGCAGGAGGCTCAGCCGCTTCACTTGACCTTCGCTACGCCATCTGATCTGGAGTTGGCACCTGTCACCCAGATTGAAGCAAAGATTGGAATTGGTGCTCTTGACCATTACACGGAAGTAATCAATGCTTCTACTGCCGCGTCCTTTGCAGGGTTCTTCGCTGTATACAACATCCTCCACAAATACTCTGCGGGCCAGTCGTAGGCACTGCTGTCATACAACGCAATCTTCCCATGCTTACGGATGTCCTCGGTTTCTTCGCTGACCGGCTTCCTATTCAAAACCGTGATCGATGAGACCAAAACGTTCACAGAGTACCTCGGCGAGTTCAACAATGCGTTGATTACTTCCCTCGCCCACAATCAAGTCACTTATGAAGATATTGTCACGGAGGGGAAGTTATCTTCCACTGGTCGTGGCTACTTCAAGCATTTGTTCGCCCCTGGAGGCATGAACATGGATGCCATTTGACAACCAAGTCCATCGTCTCCTTACCCAACGCAGACGCAGAGGAATAATACGAGTTCCTACTTACTGTCCGTCCCAGATCTGGCTACGTCGTCCTTCGTTTTGACAACCACCTTTACACTGAGGACGCGGCCCGCGAGCTCCATGTTACGATCAAAGACATCTCCGTTGTCACTGAGTCTGAACACGGACGTCAATTCAAGGAATTCTTCCTCTTCAGAGGTGGCGGTACGGGGAAAGTTTACTTCATCGGCTGGTTGAGGAGCAGGACGAAGAGACCCCCACGTTTCACTGCTGTCGACGTTGAAGACGAGTCATTCACCTGCAGCGAATTGAACACTGCTGCAACAGAAGTTGCCCTGACTCTCATCCAACAATGCGTGCGCCACGGCGATGTTATTACCCTATGCTTTGGTCGTGGCATCAGCCTAATTTTGAGTGTCCTGGCGGTCTTGAAGGCTGGTGCAACCCTCGTGCCCTTGGACCCTGGCGACCCCACTTTGCGCAAGGAGTTAGTGGTCGAAGAGTGGTGCAAACGTGCTGCTCACGACCTCGAACCACTCTCGCCTCTTCCAGAAGAGCTTAACTTCGAAAGTTTCACCGCTAAGTTGCCAATCACATCGTAGATCATTTACAGTCGATGATACGATCTACCGGAAGCGTTTGACCAAGCTCAGCGCAGATGATTCAGACGCCTTTGAACACGTCGCATCCACCCCTAACTGTACCGATGTACCCAGTTGGCACTGACTCGTAATACATGTACATCAGAATCTCAGTGTCACCGGGCGCACTGAGGCGAGAAGTTACCTCGGAGGTCTGGCGTTTGACTGTTAAACCAAAAGGCGTGTATAGTACCGAAGATCTGCTCTTCAGCCCCTTGGGCGAGTCTATATACTGCTCGGCATGGCATGAAGAATCAACGAGGTTTCGGGGGGAAATCATCACGAAAGTTGTGTGCTCAGAGCTTTCGAATTAAATTCTCGGCGAGACGAGATTGGTTGGAAACGGTGGAGTTACATCCGTGATATTACAAGAGCGATGCAAACAAACTGTTAAAGGCTGGTTACGACTTGCCTGGGACATGAAAAGTGCTCGCTTTTTCGCATGGGTTGTCAGCCCCTCCAATAATTCGGCTTGATAAATGGCATCGGTGTTACAACTGCCTTGCGCAGTTTGTTTCGGACGTCCACTTCCACTTCTGTGCCTTTCTTGTGCCATCCAGACAGTACATAGCCCATGGCGATATTTTTGTTGAGGGTAGGAGACGGGATACCGGAAGTTACCTTTCCTACAGGGCCGATGAGGGTATGACAACAATCTAAGAATCATTAGAACATACCTATCATGTCTTTCCCTGAGGGTGCGAAAATTTGGGCTCCCTCTAACCAACGAAGGTCAAGTCAGCTAACGGCAAAGGAAACGCAAAACATAAACAAGAGACTAACGTCTCGCAGGCGCTCCTTCGACCACAAGACCAACACGTCTCCGGGGAGGACCATCTTTAAGATGTTTGCGGACGCTGTCAGCACCGATGAAATTGCCAGATTCCTTCCTGTCCTTTCCTACGCAACTATTAGTAACCACGAGGGGGAATTATGAGGCTCCGGGCGTACCGATTACCCACGAGAGCCCTGCCTCAACAGGGGACGTATCTTCGTCGAGATCGTTTCCGTAGAGGCACATACCGGCTTCCAAGCGGAGACTGTCCCGAGCGCCCAGACCAGCCAGCTGGACAGGCGACTGAGACAGAAGCTGTACTACATCGACGGTTTGGGACGGAGGAATAGAGATCTGGCCACGCAATTCATATGACACCCAAACGTGCTTCCGATAGGTGACACACCTCGAAACCATCCTCGCCGGTATAACCTCCTCGGGCGACGTGGAGGGCAAAGCCTCCAATAGTTACATAGGCCGACTTACCAAAAGTGAGTTTGGCAAGGTCAAATGATGTGGACTTTTGAAGGTACTCAGCAGCTCGTGGACCTGAGTGACGGACGTTAAGTTTCCCTACACAAACGGGGCATGAAAATTGGATGGACCTTGCAACGCTACTAAGCCCCAATCCTCGAGAACTTCATGCTCGACTTTCCCGTCCTTCGCCTGTTCACCTGAGTTCCATTCTTCCAGCTTCTGACGGAACCAGGCAAGATCTCTGTCCCTTCTTCCTGCATTTGTTACTACATAGAATGCATCGTCCGAGTGTTTGGTGATGACTGTGTCGTCTATGATTCCACCGTTTTCGTTGAGGATAACAGAGAGAGTCGAAGAATATGGAGAGAGTGACTTCAACGAAGAGGGAGTAAGCCATTCCAGAAACGCCACTGCAGTAACACCTCGGAAGCTACAATACTTGCTCAGCGACGTAAGGAGCAACATGTAAACGGAAACCTACTTCGACTGCACCATATGACCGACGTCAAACAATCCGGCACTCGTGCGAACATGGTTATGACTTGCAACTGCTCAATTCGAAACAATACTGCTTCGATTTGGGAGTGCAGCGGGTACTAGAGGTTGATACTTGCCTTGACCGACGGATCCGTACGAGAGAGGCATCGCGTAGCCCGCGAAGGGCACCATTTTAGCACCATTCTGAACATGGAAGTCATACAGTCCAGTCTTCCTGAGCTGCCAGCATTCTCCCATCAAAAGAAATCTTTACAATAAGAACTTCTGTCTCACCGATTCGTTCGAGGTTGACAATCCCCGCGTCGGTAGCCACGGAAAGCAGCCCGACACACCACCTCGTGAGCTCGAACCCAGCACACTCTTCGAAAAGTGAATCCTCATGGTAACAGTGGATGCCATGGATGTCGTGTGAAAGACAGTTGGGTGTGTGGATGTTTCTTTGGAATTCCCGCCGAGTTCCTCCCGGCAAGCCCAAGTGCACACGCTCGGGAAGAACAAGGCTCGAGACCATATATATATGTATGTCCGTGGACTTCCGTGCACGTAACCTTCTCATTCTGAGCCTACACCAATGCATATTTGCAGTTCTAGTGATGCAGGCTCCGAAGGAGTCCTCGCTAACGATAGTCGGGTACTTTTCAGATTCGGACCAGCAATACACACGATGCATGATGTCGCTGCATAGGTACTTATAGTGATCTTGTCTCGCGGTGTCTGCCGCCACACCCTTAGCGCTATAAAAACAGTTTTTCACGGAGCACTAATGCGGTCACGTGAAACATCCCCTTCAGTCACGTCGAATTGTTTGACGCGTCGGTTGGCAGGGTGGAAGTAATACCGAAGTGGCAGTGACTGCCGTGAAACACTAGCTATGTAAAGACATCCCCCTGAGGTTCGGGGCGTTGCTGCCAACTCCACAGCTCAGATTGAAATCCTCATAAGGATGTTATTGTAACATTCTATACTATATGCATGACATGCAGTGACTTGGGTGTTGGAAAACAGTTGAAGCGTTCAGTATGTGAAATCGAGCCAAATAACAAAAAAAAAGATTTGGAAGATTACCTTATGCTGGTTGTCCGTAGAGTGAAAACAGGAGAATCCTTCATGATTGCGCCTCTCCGTCGGCAGAACCATCGTCCCAAGAGGAGTAAACCCGGCCTTTGCCCTTGCCGTTCATGGTTACATCAGTGATTGACGGTGGGACTGAGACGGAAGTCTCCGAGGGTAAGGGAAGAGGCTCCCATATTCGTACGGTGCAATCATCGGAACATGAAGCAAACATCCGTTCATTTTGGGGATTCCAGGCAACGCAATTCACACTGCCGTTGCCATGCCCCGAGAGGACTTCGAGTAAGACACCAGTGTCCCGGTGCCAAACATAAACGTCCCGGTCTGATACACAATCGTCAGAGCAAAGCACGAAGTAACTCTACGTGTACTCACCTTCACTCCCGCTAACTACAAAATTGCCATCCACCCCTCCGAAGCAACTCCGAATGACGTGTTGCCGCTGTCGTTGACCTGTGAACTTGCGGGCCATATGACCGTCGTTCAAATCCACTAGGTGGATCGCCTGGAATAACGTGTTACGACCTGAAATGGAAGCTGAGAGCGAAAAGCCTTACGTCAGGAGCGTGGTTAACCAGTGCGAATCGTGAGTCGCCGGAGATCTTTACACTAGTTAGTTCCCCCTCAGTTGTAATCGATCTGCAAGAAGTATTAGACAGCCACAACCAAATAGAACAAACACTCACTGTTCAGCAGCCTTCGTCTTGAAATCGTATATGACGATACAATTTTCTGATGAGGAAGGGGCATTCGAGCCTGCCGCTATGCCACTAGCAGGTGGTGATTCCCGGGTAACCCCCCAGGGAGGAAGGCCCTCAGACGAGGGTCCCGTCGGCTGATAGTCCATTCCAATCACAACAAGCCTCTTCATGTCCGGAGTAACAGCCATGTCTGTTACTCGAATGGGAACACCAGGCCATTCATCCACCTGCTTCCCGGATGCCTCCTGAGGAAAAGGTGACTTTCCTGACACAAGAAGTAGAAGAAGGTCATACCCATGTCACCACTTTCCGATCCAAACTTGCTGACATAAATCCTGAGCCGTCTGGTAACCACATCAAAACCGACACGGTCTCCATATGAGAGTCCAATGTGGTGATGCATTTCCCGCTCTTAGTAATTCGCGGTGAATAAAGCGCGGTGCATGAGAGTCCACACCACTTACCTTCGTATCCCATAACAGTATCAAGTTATCGGCAGACGTAAGGAGTATCGAATCATCCAGTGACCATGCTAAAGCTCCGACCGGATAAGGATGGTCCCGAAGAATGAACTCTACCACACATTCGCGATCGCGAGGGTGACTATCAGGCTGTATTGGCCAGTTAGCGTCAGCTAGTTGTTCCAGATACCAACTTAACTGCAATCCGCCAAATAATAGCTGTCTTGTCTTTGCTTGCACTAGCAAGACGCAAGCCATTGTGACTCCATGCTACGTTCCATACCTCATCTGTGTGTGCGTGAAGGATGGTAGTAGTTACACGAGGGAAATCCTCCTTGTCACAGTAATGATCGCAGAATAAGGAAAAAGAGGTAGGGTTCATTGGCGCATTGTGATAAGTGCATCGTTCTCGCTGATAATGTCGCGCTTGGGTGAGTAGAGTGGCGAAGCGTCGTTGGGGGATCATTGTGGCGGATGGTATAAACTCTAAGCCACCAGTCAGTCCGGGGGCTCTCAATAAGCTTCCCGAAATCATCTTACCTTGGAGGTCCGTAAGCAGAGCTTGCCGCGAAGCTGCTGACGCCCCGTCCCAAAGTGCACGTCGTCGAAGCTCTTGGGCATCAGGACACATAATTAAACTGTGACGAGCAAATCATGAATATGAATATGGTTAACGACTGCACCACACATCAATGACCTACCTCGACAAGGCATGCAATTGTTCAGATGAATTGGCGCTCAAAGGGGCAAGTCGCTCCCGCAGAACCTGCAGAGCCGCTGTGATTTTCCGAGCCTCAAGGAGTTCCAAATACTTCTGCTTTCCAATAAGAAAGAGTGCTTCCTATACATATACCAATGTCAGGGATCCAACAGCATTGTGGCACATATGGTCACTGATCTCACCCAAAGTGAGTCATCGTCTGCCACTAGACGTGGAAGTACCGCCTCTGCCTTCTGCCATTCTGCGCTAAGAACGTACTGACGGAATTCAGATACCTCCGGTGCTTCTAGAGAATAGCCAGATTCCACTTCAAGAGTTGCAGCAGATTCACTGGGATGATGTCAGGGAGGGAATGGCTGGCTCCCAAAGCATTTCGCTTGTCTACTTACGTGTATCCCACGTCTCTGAGACTTTGAATAACCAATCTCACGAACTCTTCACGGTCAACATGTGGATCTTCGTAGAGAGTGGTGCCCGGCAATGACACACGTGCAATGGAGCTATGCTTCGGTACGCCATTGCCCATTAACGAACATTTGGTGGAGCCGTTCGTCATAGACGCGGTGAAGCTATTTCCGTTGGTAAGACCATTAGAGCGACCGAGTTTATCCAAGAGAAGGGACGACGGGCCCGCCTCTGAAGCGGAATCGATGGAGACAGAGGGGCCAGACGATTGATCTGACGGTGAGACATGCATGTTTTCTGTACGAGGGCTTGGTACGCGGAGACTGTAGTCGATTGCGGTAATAGAGGTAGCAGTCGAAGCGTCGGTGCTCGTGCTATCTACTCTTTGTCTCTTCTGGGCTCGGGGTTGATCTATGAACAAACGTATGAAGAAAAGAATAAGCTACTAGCGCAACTGTCACAGGGACACATACGAGGGCCTTACCCGACAAAACAGAGGGATGTGCGTCGCCCTCGCAATCCTCTAACTGAGACCTGGAGCGCGTGGAAGGAACGACCAAGCGAGCCGATTCGACTTGTCTTGATGGTGTCTTTGACTGAGACGATGAAGAAGTTATACTGCTACCTGCTGTATTGGCTTCCAGACTTGTAGACAAGGCTGGGGCGGTAGGACGATTGTCCTGAGCAATGTTGAGCTGAGTAATTGGATCAATGGTGGCTTCCAGGTTCTTCTGTTCGCCGGGATATCATGCAACGCCTCCGAAGGTCGCTACAAGTCTCCGCAAGGTAGAACAACAAGTAATATCTGCCAACGATGAAGGATAGTGGTAAAAGCTCGAAGCCTGGGCAATCTCTGTACACTCGCAAAGGCCCATGCAGCTACGGGCCAGTACCTATATATAGAAATCAACCCCCAAAGTCATCGCTTCGCACGCTGGTCACGGTAGTAATGTGTCTCGAGACTTGCAGGAAAGCACGCCGGGAATTCGTGGACGTCGTGCTGCCCCCTTACGTTGTTTAGTAGGTGCGATGTTATACGTAGACACTTCCTCTGCTCTTCCCGAGAGGACTGTCAACACCGGCTATGTATTGTGTCTGTCAATGACGACCTCCATTTTCTGCTGGCCTTGTTCCGGTTTGGCTTTTGCGGCGGCGGCTTTACGATGCTAGTGTGTATAAAGCCATGTCCGCCTATCCCTCTCGGATGCGACAGGCTTTGCATGACTCTTGTATATCTTCTCTGACAGGCTGGAACTCACCCAGACAAATACTGTGAAATGCAGCATCATGGGCGCAGCCGCCAAATTATCGGATCCAGTCACGTGTGGGATTGAAATGTACGGATTACGTAGTCCCGCCGCCCGCCCTCAACTTGTTAGTTATTGATTTCATCATCGCCGCCGGTGATTGTATCATAACAGTATTTACTTCCTAGTGTTGATTGAACAGTTTATATCCCAGTAGGTCCCAGGATAATTCATTTGTATGCCCTGCTCCTCGGCGTCTGCTGCAATGGAAGAGTGTTTATCAATAGTTCTCGAATCGAGCTCCAAAATCAGTCCACTAGACAGACGCGCTTCGCCACGGCAGTACTTGGAAGTTTTTTTTTTCTCCGATCACGGATGAGAACTCCTAATCGAGGTGGGCTCGATGTGCTCCAGGATTTTACGCAAGCATTTGCATTCGCATTGGTTGTGCTTGTACATGCAAACAAAGGACTGCGTAGGCTGACACCATCATGTTCTGGAGGGTTAGTATTACGAGACCTACTAAAAAGTAATCTCGGATCAACGAGGAAGAAGCAACACAGATCTCAATCATGCAAAGAATTTTCGTTCAATGGAAGAGTAGTAGCCCGTGAAATACCGTAGATACAGTAGTATTGGAATTTGCTTTTGTGTGGAGTAGCGATAACGTCTGAAGCTGAGTAAAGATAAGTGAGTATGATTTCCAGTTTCCCCTGCATTTTCCTGAAGTAGACCCGCAGTCGTGCACTTGATATATGGTATGGTACACAACGTGTAAGAATAGACAATCATGCTGGTAATTTTGAGTGCAATGCTACTTAGAAGCAACGTGAATGCGATTGAATAGAGTAGAGGTCGAGGTCGTGAAGTGATGGATATGAAATGCGAATACCAATTCCTGCTGTGCTATAAGCGAATCGAGGGTGTCGGCCGTCACCACTTGGTAGCGATTGCACGTCCACGTTCCTTCAAGTCCCTCGGGTCAAGGCGAGTGGGACCTCCGCACTCACTTGTGCTGTCCAGTTCATGCATCCGGTAACGCCCGCGCTTTTCGTCGAGGTAGCTGACCGGACCTGCAATAAGCGCCGGGTCCTCGAACTCTTGCGTCGAGGGCATCATTTTGGGCAGTGGGGAGCTGTTACGGCGCATCGTGCGACCCCTAGATATGGGCGCACATGTCCAGTCGAAAAGTGGCGCCAGAGTACTCCGACTGTCTTGCCGACCACGTCGAGGCGAGACGGCGGCTTGATACGCTTGGGAACGAGAGCGGGAGCGGGATTGGGAACGTCGCCTACTGCGAGACAAAGCAGGCTCGCGACGACGACCCCGCGGAGTCGCCTCGACTGCGGACCGTAAACTCGAAACAGCAAGTAAAGAAGCCAATCTAGGGGTGGGAGGGGATGGTTGCTGATTGACGTTAATGGTATTGCCAGACGAGGAAGAGAGAGGCGGCGAACGTCGAGGGGTATTAATCATTAGCAAGGAGAAATATGCTGGGAGGCTAGCGCGGTTACGACTCCTCCTGGACTTAGATCCAATGGTGGATTTGTCTGCTTCGTGATCAGGTTCCAAAGTCGTCTTTTCATTGTCGCTCTGATGGGCGCAGTCGACAACAACATCCTCCTCCAGGGAGGAGGAATTTTGTGCGGCGGCAACACTGGAACTGGAAGGGTTGCGCGAGTGCAACAACGGAATCAGTGAATGGTGATTAGTGGTAGACGGACGGCGAGTATAGTTGAGGCTTGATTTTGCTGGCAAAGGCACGCCGAAGAAGCGAGAAGCCTCGAGAGGGACGTCCTGGGCGTTCCCCGTCGTAGCTGAAGCCATCGCCTATGCTGACTGGAGCGTCGTCTTCGTCGAGGTCCGTGTACAAGGACCATGAAGCGGAAGAGGTCGACGAGGACGAAGTTGAATATCTGCCCCGTTTCCCCAAGGATGAAAGAGCAGAGCCAAGGGCTGAGGGAACGAGAGGTGGGACGTCATCACCAATTGCATAGTCAAGGTACGGTGAGGAAAGGGCGCTGCTGGCGGTGGATATGGGTGGGGAATTTGAAGCATCCAACGCCTCGCACTCATCACTGCAGTAAGCGCGACTAGGAGCGGTGAGGAGACGGACGAGAAGGAAGAGAGGAAGGCATACCCGTCGTCGGGGAGACGCTTGGAGCAGGTGAGACAAATCTCCTCGAACATGAGGGTAGACAAAGGATTGCTTGGGGGATGTGGGACAACGAGGACGAAGAGATACGGTTATGGCTGGTTGAGGAAAAGAGGAAGAAGAGGGCAGCGAGCCCATTAAATATGGCCGCACAGGAGGAATATAATGGAAAATGTCACGGAATGGGTGTTGATGTGAATTGGAAAAGGCAATGACTCAAACTGCCATACAAGCACACGAAATAATATCGCCAACTGTCCAATCCCTCACTGCGAGGGTGGTACTTGGGTAGGTACACGTGCACTCAGCAGACAAGAAATACATCGAATACGTATCATATGACAAAATAATGTGCGCACATTTCTTCCTTGTCTGCTGCTGCCAGTCGCACGTTTGATTGCGTGACCCTCTTGTTTGCGTTTCACCCCCATTTCACAGCTTATGTCATCAGCAGCCCTACCTGGAGGGCAGTCCGCTCGGGCCGCGGCGCCGTCGTCATCCCAGCACGGTCCACGTCAGATAGTCCAATTGAGTTCTGGCCTAGCCCCCCATTCCTTGTTTGAAATTCCTTCCCCAGCGAATGTAACTAGGACGATCTATCTTTACTGCCGTGGGATCATCCAAATTTGGACAAAAAAGATAGCCTGCTTTAATATAATACCCCGCATTTTCCAGGCATGGATGCACCACTATGTTACGTAATAGCTACCGACTAGATAGGGTCAGGTAATCACCCCGGAACCAATAACTAAGGCAAAAAGAGGCAAGGACTGTCGTACATATGTAACCTCTGTACAAAATGAAGGCGCGATCTCATCTCTTGGGCGTACGCCGGCGTTGACTGTCTGGCCGAGAGGGTGCCAAGATATCATGTACATATCCATCACTTGAACCATTCGTCACCGACCTGAGCGGTCGGCAGCGTTATCTGTCGTCATGAGCTACTCGGCTAGATCACCGTTTTCCCTATCAATAACCACTCCATCTGTTTCCTCTGATCTTGCTGGCGATGACACGTCGACTTTCTCGCCGCGTGGCCATCTCGCAGCGCGAGAACTACTGCGGGGTGGGGAAATGACCTTATCGGAACCGTCACGGCCATCCTCCGCAGTCATGGGACCTAGCAACTTTGTCCTGTGGCGTGGTCGGACTGGGTGCGCCGGGTGGTGCCTGCTCGGGTGTCGGTAGTGGCTTGTCCGGCTTGGAGCTGTCTCGCCGTGACAGGAATCCTTTGATACGCTCGTTTGGGGTTGGGATTGCCCGAAACGTGCCAATGCCCGATTTGCGAGGTACCAGCTTCTCGCCCACAAGCGTCTCAAGCATGTTTGTTGGCGCGTTCACGTTCTTTAGTGCTGAGAGCTTCTGGTGCAAGAACCGAGCGTCTGCCAACATCCTGTGCCGAAAAAGGCAGTTGTCAGGAGGCACGTTCACGAAGCACTTCGGCCGACGTACCGATCTTTAGCTTCCTGACTTTGCAGCTCAACTTTAAGGTATTCGTCCGAGAGGCGGTGATTGATAGGCGGCGAACACTTGGGACATGACATGCTGCAATTCAAGTCGAGCTGTTAATGCGACGTGACGGGCGCTGCTGACTGCCTAACTTACCTCAACAGTGGGCGCAGCCAGGTACCGCGAAAGCACCTTGTGTAACGTGACTGTCTCCTTGACCAGAAGCTCCATATAGTCGTGGCCATCATTCTGTTTAGGTGCATCCCAATTCACACCCTAAGGGAAGCGTTACGTGGGGTTTGCACGGGTCTCACGAAACTTACCTGCAGCGATTTGATATGTGCAGTAATTCGGTCGCCCATGATAGCAATTAATTTGGCATGAATTTCATTCTGATGCTCTTGAAAGTCCTTGTGCAAGTGAGGGTGAATTGTTGTCCGCATCCATTGCAAGGCATCTAACGAACCCGTTTCAATTTATCAAACTCAACCAGCATTACTGCCTGATTTGGGCTGAGGTGGCGCCGGAAGGTTTCCCGTATGTAGGGGATAAGGGCCACCATTATGGAGAGTGACTGGGATGCCAGAGCTAGATTGGGTGTAGTTCAAGCAATGTCATTCTCCAAGGTACAACCAAACGGACCTAGGTGTTTTGCTGTAATGTTCTTCAGACCAGCTGACCGCATTGCACCGGCCCCAAGGACAACCTGGCACGTTCGTGAGTTGTATGCCTTCAAAAATTCTATTACCCGGCCCATCGCCTCCGTATTGAGCGTCGACAGGTTGACGACCAGCTTTATGTAATCCACCACAAGACCAAGGACGGCACCAGTCGCCAAAACACAAAAATATGGTCGGTCTTCAATACGAATACATTTGGACGTGGGGGTAGTTTGCGCAGAAGCCAGGTTCCCAGAATTTAAAGAGGCCGGCGACTGTAGGAGATCACCATTGGACGGAGAGGGGCTGGTTGACCTATTGCCTTGTATGACCAACTCGGGGGAATCCCGCACAGCAGAGTCAACGAGTACGTCAGCCAGATGCTGCACAGCCGGGGGGACCTCCATCGGGTTCCACTGCTCGTCCTCAACCAGTTTCGCCGATTGATTGATACGTGACTGGTGGAAAGTTTGCAGGAACAGCTTCGCCTTTTAGACGCATGTCACATGCAGACTTAGTGGATTATCCAAACTCCATTCTAGGCCGACACTAACCTGACTGAGTATAACTCCCCGCAGCCCCATAATCACGCGACGACATATTATCTCGCATTTGACCACAAAACCCCATGACTCGTTGAAGAAATTAAGAAAGTTGGGTAAGTCAAGTTGTACGTGTTGTTCCAACCGGTAACTTATGACCTTGGCTGCGAACTTGTTTGAAAGATCTGCTGCGGAGGACACGATGTCAGATAATTCCTCCTGAAAAGAAGGCAGGTCTATGGGTATTGTTGACAGTCTGCTGTAGAAAGATGGGTCACTATACGAAAGGTGATTCCGAGTTCGCAAGTAACCTACTGCTGCTTTTGCAATACGTCTGAGAGAATCTCATTCTGAGTCTGTAATCCCTCGATCGCATTTGTGTATCTTCGATACACCTGTGTAATTATCGAAAGGAATTCAGAGTGAGCCTTGGCACGCAAAAGGTTAGGAAGTCCACTAGCAGTCCATATGAGATCGTATTGCCATCGTCTACATGCCTCCTACCTTGGTGCACTCTTCTGGCTCTTATCTTCCTCGTCTGGGTCGAATGAGGGGAAGTGCTGGTTGATGCGTTTAGGCTGATAGGGATGCTTCAATCGCATACTCACATGTTTCATCATCCCTTTAACTTCCTGCGCGACAGCTTCCCTCCAAGAGGTGATCGCCTCACCTGACGCCCTTTGTTCGAAGGAGACCATTCAACAACGGGCGTGACTTGTCTGCCAGCGTCACGTTCATGTTACTGGCCGACTCAGACCCACTATTATTGCATTTGACGCGCTCAAGCAAGTCAACCTTGAGTACATTAACCAGGTCCGAGGTTAGCGAAGACGTTATTTCTACTGTCAGGGCCCGTAGATGTGATGGGAGGGAAGCGAAGGCAGTCAGAATAGACAGACGTATCGAAGGTACGTTCGACTCCTTGCTTCCAGAATCCTCTTCTTCGGGTGGTGGTGATTCGGGAGTCGGGGGAAGGGCAGGTAATCGGCCGTTCGTTTTGCGCAAGGATCCCCTGTGCGTGACGGGTTTCAGTCGAGGCGACGGGGTCGACTGGTGTAGGCTCCCAAAGCATTTCAATGCTGTCGACAACATCCAGTGCTTCGCCCCATTGCCCAGCGCCTACAAGTCCCTTGGCAACCCCTATCATCTCTACCACAGCGCCTAGTCCCCTCCCACCCTCAGAGACCGATCTGAGATTCTTTAGCCTGCTCTCCTTTCTGACTATTGCCAATCCACGTTTTGCGCTCTTTTCGTCCACCTCCTTCAACAGTCTGCGAAGTTCGGACAGTCGGCCAAGGACACCCTTCAGATTCCGTTTGTAAGTCTTGAAGGTTCGTCAACGCGGCAAAGAATGAGGTCGATCTCAACGATATTTCCCGTACAAGGTGCTGTTCGACGGTATCAGGCGTGGTGGGACAATTTTTCCAGCAAGGGGAACGAGTAAGATGGAGAACAAGGGTCGGAGACATCCTCATCCCCGGGTTGGTGCCCGGTGACCGCGCCAAAGACAAGAGGGTTGCTCAAATCGAATTCGGGCTCAAAAAACACACTCGGTACGGAGCACAGCGGTGTTAGCTGATGTCATTTGTCGTGGTGTTCGAGTGGGCTGTACCTCTGATGAGGAAGGGGGTGAGGCAGGACTGTTATCTAGTTGGGGTACCTCGTCGAGGCTCAGCTGTGCATTTTGCATCAGTCTCTCCCATTCAGGAGTGATTACATGCAGATATGAGTCGAAGTCCTTGCGCTTTACGCGTGGCAATAGCGCAGGAGCGACAGGTGGAAGCCAAGAGTGGGCTTTTGGAGGAGCCTGGCTCCTGCGAGGGTTGTTGAGGACAGTGGATATGGCTAAGGTGTCGGGTCAGAGGGAAATCCAAGAGTGGTCCATAGTAACCTGCCATTGAACCCCTGGGTTGAGCTACTCCAGTCCAAAGGCAAGGCACCGAGGGGGAGGCTGATGGAGGAAGTGCTGTGGATGTCAATCCGAGGCGCCATTCCAAAGTAATCACCTCCACCACGACCCTCCGTCATCTCAGACACGCTTCCAGGGCCTCCCCCCCTGCGAGAGGCAGCATCCCATTGAAACCTGAATGGATCGGGAGCTGACGACGAAGGGTCCGGGAGGGGTCCTGGCGGAGAGCCTGGTCTCGAAGGACTGGACGAATATTCAGACATTGACATGCGCCGTTTCCAGTAAGTCCTCGCTGAACACGCCGCGACGGCACCCAAACACAATTTTCACAGAAAGTCAAGACCATATTTGGCTAGTTTGAGGGTAAAATGTCCGTCCATCCAACGTTGCCTCTCATGGCCTCAGCTCTGACGCTGCCAGCACCACTGAAGAAGGCGTTCAGTCTCTTCCCACTGCAAACGTACCCCCCAGTGTCGTTTTCAGTGAGGTTTCCGCTGGTAAAGCCAACGCTATGGATAGCGCCACCCCGAAAATCATCCGCCAGTCTCCTAAGTACAGACGTGGAATGTTTGAAATGGCAAGCCTTCATTGCCATCCGAGGCTTGGTAGACATCGCTGTGCGGTGGGATATATCACCGGAAGGTGCCCTCGGAGGGAGACTTCCTACTCTCCACGTTCCGAATGCAGGCTCCGAGGGCCACCTCTTACCAGCGGAAGACATCCCTAGCTGGGTGGACAATCAATCCACCAGCGGAGTCGACACTTTGGACGGATACAAGGACGAGCGCGCGAAGGACGAAAGTCATGCCTGGGTCTCGTTGCTCGAAGGCGTCGTGCATGCTGCTTTGGTGTGTATTGTCGCACTTTTTGGACATCGTCGTGCTGACGCTAATTCAAAGACTCTCTCTGGGTCCACGCCCTCACCTTTCGATACTTTTATTCACTGGGACGGAAACAAGGGACGACCAATCGAGGCTCTCCTCAACCCCCCGCCAGCGCCACTTACAGGATTCAATTCTTTCCTTCCTGCTTTTGGCGCAAATATTTCCTTGTCGGCCTTACAACCCCAATATACAGAAGCCATCAGTGCGTTGTCGGAGCGCCTTGGAGAAGACACTTGGTTCCTCGGAAGCGCGTATGTGAATTTGGCTCTTTGTTGTCCCTATCGACTGATCCCTTTGAAGAAACCCAACATTTCTCGACGCCCTGCTGTTCGCATACCTGCACTGCATTCTTCATAGTGGAGATGTTACGAGACTGGAAGTCACTCGTCGTACTAGCCTTGTGGCTTGGGAACGGAGGGTCAGGACAAAGGTCGAAGCGGCATTTTGCGTCGCACCCAGACGTTAGGATTTATTCAAGGTTGGTATGTATGGTATAGCCCCGGTAGATATTATAACGAATTCAACATCATCTACTTGGTTGGTCCGTCATCCCTGGATGGACTATGTTCGGCTTGATGCATTAAAATTGTTTATGTTCCATATCGCCGTTGCTTTTCCGGTGAATGTCATTACCATTGGCGTTGCCGTTGGAGGAGAAGCGCTTTCGAAGCGCAGCGATCATCTTGGTGAACCTAACCACGTCATGAAGGTCGCCTATCAGTAGGGAAAAGGCAGAAACCTCACCAGAACCAGTTGAGAAGGTTGAGCATGACGTTTCCACTTCCGTACACCACAACATAAAACAATGGAAGCTGGTTGAACACGCTGTGCAGCGTCTTCCAAAAGTCGTATGACTGTTTAGAGAATCGGGGCGGATGATAAGCTCCTTGCTTATTAATACGATGCGATATTGCCTTACGATTATGCCACCCCAGATCAGTCGTACGCTGGCAAACGTTCCGAGCAACGCTACGCCATTTATGAGCTGGATAACGCTACCCGTCTTCCCGGTCTTGTCCAAAAACCTAATCGCGTCAACCCGATCGCATGACACCTTCTTTGCGAACTTACCAATGGATATCGAGGAATATGGTGCTCCTGTGATGCAAGGGTTGATGGATGAAGCAAGCAGTTATTCCGAACTGTTACTTACACTTCCCATAACAAGAAGCGCACGGCGTGGTAGTGTGCAAATGGTCTCTATGCATCCACGTCAGATGAGATTCGAGAGGCTGCGTGAAGCACAACCCACACTGCCAAGTATAAAGACCAAGAAGCACGCGATACCTGGTATTGCACAGTAGAAAGACAAGGGGCAGGTGAGTCGCGGAATGCTTACCATGAAGCACGAAACCAAATTCTGTGTAATGTACAATTGCTTCCGTTGCATCCCATATAAAATACCTGTGGTTCGTGAGAGGCCGCGTCGAGATGCAGAGACAGAGGGCGAAAGCTCACCCGCATGCGATGGCAGAAACAAAGGTCGAGCCGTTGTGGAAACCGAAGACACGATCGGAACTCAGGGTGGGTATGTTCAGGCATCGCAGAGAGAGGGCAACGATCAACGCTGCGTGGACAAGAGAGACTACGTGGGCATCCCTACGAACGGTCGGTACGAGCAAATGCAACGAGTGTGAGGTATTCACCAGTTGTTACGCGTCTTCTTGTTGGCCTTGCCGTATGAGACCGGGAAGAGGATTCTGCTTATTACAGGAGATATGGTATGGTGCAGAGTGAAAAAGAACAGAGCAGAGATGACCATGATGTCGGAGTAGTCCGGGAGGATATGCAGATGGAGCCTTTCTGCAACTGGCCGCGACGATTCACGAATAAACGAGCGGATATCTTGGACAAACGGCATGACGGGGCAGGACTGAAGATGCCACAAGGACGGACGCGAAGCTGCTAGCACGAGACCAGAGCCGGGGCTGCAACCTCTTATAAGCACGTCTGAAAACCGTCGGTTTCACACGTTAACACTACTTTAGCCGCGACCCTGAACGTTTGACAGCGCACATTCTGAGAGTTCTAAGACCAATACAACTGAAACACGCACGAGTCCGAGCGTGCATCTCTCCTATCAGTCTGAGATTGCACACAATAGACGGCCTGGGTGGAATTGAGACCATTACGCATAAAGGATAGATATTTAAATCTGATACAACGGTAGCCGTATGCACTAGCCAGAGAAAACGAAGTAAAATGCCAGAGTAAACGGAATGGGATGTAATCAATGACCTGAATGTACGAAGAGGAAGCGAGTATCTTGAACACAGCAATGGGCGGTCGAACGACGCTGCCTATAGGCTGGAGGCCGGAGTAGCGCGAAAAAGTGTAGCGAGCGTGAGGTTGGGGTACTCTAATCCACGGGCATAGTAGTGCAAGGAAGCTTGTAAGCTTTTTCTTCGAATATGCGATCCTCCGGTTCCCTCGGGATATCGCCAAGCGACAACGAATAGGGTATTTCACAACAGCAGGGGTATAGGGAGGATAGCCATTACATCACCACGCAGTTGCAACCCGTTTGAGGTGGCGCGTAAGGATCTTCACCTTTCCCCACAGGGCCCCAAACTGACGGCACCTGACAAGCGGATTGTGAGTAATCCGTACATGGTGCGCTGCGACCGGCCCAACGACAGAATAATAAGCCATTCTGCACGCACCAAATGGTCTTTTGTCGTTTTGCAGTAACGAATCAAACTAATGGGTAATGAGTGAGTACGGGGCTGACTTTCAAATGCCAGACGCTGCAGACACGAACCTTGCACTGGCCTCGCTTACTCTCATCCGTGGCCGTGCGAGGTCCTCACGCAGCCGCTGATTGTGCTCCGTGAGTCTGCGGAGTTTCAGCTCGGACATGGACTGCTTGTGTGGACGGGCATTCATCGCGAAATAGAAAGTAAGTAAGGACTGGACAGATCACGACGGAAGAGAAAACCCCCCGGAACATTGCGGCGGGGTTTGAATGACCTCTTGAACGGGAACCGCAATGGTTCGTTTGACGAGCGCCAGGGGATCCAGAACTCTTCGTTAGCCGCGCGCTGTTGGTACTCGGGTCCCGCACTGACCACAGCTTGTCCAGCTCTTCGGGATGTGCTCAAACAGAGCACTCCGACATCGCGTCGGCTGCATAAATCGCCCTATCAACGCTTTCGGCGTTCCCAGTACCCTGCCAGTCAAACCCTTGATATGAATAGAGGGGGCGACGGCCCGGTGTGCGAGGACTCCGACGATGACATCGGCTGGGATGACGATACTACCCTGCTTGCACTCTTGGACGAGTAAAATCATCATCCCACCCATCCATTCGTGATTAACCCGCACTGCTGATAGTCCAAACGACTCAGATCACGATGACAACGCCTCCGTCATGGAACGCTTGCGATCCGTCTTTGCCTCGCGCCGTACTCAAGAAAAGGAATACATTAAACAAGTCATATTGCCAGCCATACAAGATGTGAAACACCTCTACGAAGTCATCGACCAAGATATCAGTATTCGATTCCTCGAAGGTGTTTCCATATTCGATAACAAAGCAAGACACGCTGAGGAGGTCGGTCGACGTGAACAGCAACAAACTCTGTGCGCATATAACGACACAAAGGCGGGTTTACTGAGCCTTAGCACGACCTTGTTTCATTATTGTGGTAGAAAGCACTTCGAGAACTTTTTGCCGAATTGGAGGACCTGAATATTGAAAAAGATGCGCTGTTTCGATCCTTCAAGGAGACACTCGGGGGCCTGGGTATCTGGGCTTTCTGGTGCTTCCGACGTTGCCTAACCCCCTCTATAATATCTAGTGCAGCAGTTGCAGCAACTCGCGTCTGAACTACCAAGTGGCCTCGAGGACCTTATCTCCACGCTTGAAAAGAATGCTGTACATCTTGGCGCCGAGGATCATGCCAAGGCGAAGGAGAGGTTGCTTCGAGGCATACTGGAAAAGTACTAATTACTGCGAAAACGGCCAGGTTTTCGACAGAGAAAGTCATATGTATGTATAGAAGTGGAATGGTCCATGTAATCGTACGAATTCTAAGCCGACACCTCGTCCACGCCTTATGGCGTTTGATGGCAAGGATGCTTTTCCGGACTTTTGTAGTCAACAAGTCCACTTCATGGTCCCGGTGCTTACTAACGGATAAAATTGGCGATTTCTGGCGTTGCCATGACGTTGCACTAGGACAGAGCTATGTGACGTGTCTGTCCTTCTCTTGAACTGTTGATAGTTTTTCTCTACGAGTGGTTGTTGCTATATACTAAGTATCAGGCCTTGGGAACTGAATCGAAGTCGTGGATTGTGTAATGAGGGAATGTTTAAGCAACTTGTTCTCAAGCCTCGTCTAAATCGGCTTGGCCGCCTTCGACGTTTTTATACACCCCAGTTCGTGATCTCCACATTCGAGCTTGCCATCTCCATCGTTGTGTTGTACATATCTCGTGCATGGTGCGTCTAACCGTCGGTCCCGAAACGTCCAGTCTCACGCTCCTCTCCACCCAGCACTTCACCCCTTCATCCTTCGTCCCTCAAGCTTCCATCATCGTTTCATCATGAGCTCCCGAGGAGGCAGACAGTCAATGTCAGAGCTACGGTACCGTCGGTTACTGGAGCATAATCAACGTCTACGAGAGGACCTCGCAAGACCTAGGATCCGTGTTAGCGAGGCGAGCGCTAGGTTTGTCGTCGAGTCTCTATCTCAGCTCCTGTTCTGACCGACCCTATAGCTTGATTCGATACTGTAAAACTACCAAGGATCCCCTTGTTCGTACTTGTTGTTCACGCTGGCCCAATTTAACTGACCTCTTTCAGGTTCCTTCTGTGTGGGGGCCCGTGCAGAAGGCTGAGGATCCATACGCTCTACAGGGCTCCCGGGGTATCAACTGTTGTAGCATACAGTAATTTCCCAGCATCTTCACTCAGACCCTCTGCAGCACCATCCCTTCGCTACTTATTACCCCCCACGTCACCCTGTAATATGATCCTCAGAGGTACCTTTCTCAGATTTTCTTTGTTTTTATGCATGTGCATTTCAGCTTCTATAATTGACACGGCGGGCTGCCAGCCCTGCCTGATGAAAAAATCAAATTAAATTAACCGGAGCGGCCAGTGGAAATGTTATAGCTGTTGCAAGAACTGCTTAATCCCAGCCTCGTCGAGGGCACCGATGAATTGACTGGCAGGTTTTCCATCCTTGAAGGCTATGACAGTCGGCAGCGACATTACCTGAAGGAAATGTGTCTGAGGAAAACCAAGCCTTGGGATGCAATAAATCAACATACACGGTACCGCTGAGCAAGCTCCATTTGCTTCTCCGTGTCAATCGTGACCAAATCGAGTGAACGACCGCTCCCAGTTTTCAACGAAGGATCCCCGGTGAGCTTCTTCAGTGTTGGTGAGATCATCCTACAAGGGCCACACCAGCTGGCATGACGTTAGCAAGAAGAGAGTGAGATAAACGGGCAATGCTCTTACTCGGCATAAAAGTCAACTAGGACAATCTTATCGCTCGGACTCTCGTTGAGAGCAATTCTGGCAAATGTCTAAGAGCCACAGACCACTTTGTGGTTAGGACACGGAACTAAAGTGAAAGTGCACACCTCCTGGGTAGCGTCAAAGTACTGCTCGCGACAAATCCGTGAAGTGTGGATCTGTCTCCTGGATGCAAATCGAGCCCACCGATGCACGAAAGACATCGAAAGCCGAGTAGAAGCCATGGACGTGGTCACCCACAAGAAGGAATGGGCCAAGTCACTGGCCGCCTGCATGTAGTCGGTCCGCGCGGCCCGCAACACCGCCACTAGTCCTTTTATTTTATTCTATTTCCCCTGCTTCGTCTGATAATCTACGTCCTTCCTTATGCCTGCAAGTTCTCTCCCGCCCCCGGCCAAGAAACGGAAAGTCAAGCAAGATGTAGACTTGGCCAAGAAATTGGAGGCTGAAATTACCGCTGCTGCGAGGAGCGACGGCTCGCTCAACCCTCTCTTGGATCTACTGAAGCTAGCACAGGGGACGTCCGACGCTGTGGACCTATCCAGGATCATTTATAGCCTTTACCGCGTGTTCGTGGTCATAATATGCAGCGACAAACTTGCACCCGGCGGTGGCGACGCTGCGAAACAGGTTCGCAAGTGGATATGGGGACGGTTGGATGTTTTCGTGGATCTTCTTGTAGGCTTACTGCAGGATGAAGAATCCACGTTAAGGGTATGAGTTCATTCCCCACGATACTCTTCTCTTACCCACATAAGTTTAGAAATCCGCGCTGGACATCCTTTTCTCTTTGCTCAGACACCTTTCCAGTTCTCTCTCAACGGCCAGCTCAGATGGACGGCCTCAGTTTCACCACTCGCATTTTAGGCACATAGTCCGTGGACTGTTGATATGCCCCCCTTCTCCCCGGTCCTCGTTAACGGTAACATGCGAGGGTGAGCTAATGCCAGATGTCCGAGACCACTTTGTCGCCACGTGGTTAAGTGTTTACGACGACGTCCGCTGGTGTTTCCTTCGAGAGGCATCGTACGTGCTCCTAAAATGTGCTCATCAATATATAAATTTTCAGGCTTGTTTACTAGTTCCGCACTGTCGCGCTTTCAGGCTGCCGAGTATCCCAACCTCGCTGCAAACCTGTTGTCCCTTGTAGAAAGGCTGACAACCTTTCCTACCGAGGCCTCGGAGTTGAATGCATGGTGGATATCAGAACTCGGACGGAAACCATTCGCGCCTAAAAGTGACAAACCCGTAGCAGATGAAGAAGAACTGGCCATGTCGGATTCCGGGAATGAAGATGACTGGCGCAAATTCTTCGACGAGCAACCAAAGGCCAAAGATATGAAAAAGTCAACCGATATAAGAGGAAGGGTGCACCAGTTATCTTTCCACCAATCTCTTCACTCTCTAAAAGCTCACCGGGCGGTATTCACGAGGATGTGGCTTAGCTTGCTGCCTCGTCTCTCGCTTGACACTTCGGCCACTAGCCGGTCGCCCACTATCAGGACACTGAATATCATGCATCAAGGCATCTTGCCGCACTTAACAAGACCGGTTCTTGTCATGGATTGGATTAGTGCATGTGTTGATATAGGTAAGCCAACGAGTGGGTGCCCTGTTCTCTGCTTACCATCGAAGCAGGTGGTACTGTTGGCCTATTGGCGCTGAATGCCCTGTTCTCCTTGATGAAGGACTACAATTTGTAAGGTCATTGACTTGTTTCCGGACGGTCGATAACATTTGCTACAGGGATTACCCACAGTTTTACACTAGACTGTATGCTTTCCTTGACAAGGATGTTCTCCATCTGAAGCATCGCGCGAGATTTTTCCGTCTTACCGAGCTATTCTTGAGTTCGACGTGAGTGCTATTTGTCAACTCGAAGACTTTCTTGGACCCAATTGCTACAGACATCTTCCTGCGGCACTTCTTGCGTCGTTTGTAAAAAGACTTTCGCGATTGTCACTCAGTGCACCCCCTGCGGCGATCATCATGATCATACCATTCACATATAATATCCTCAAGCGCCACCCAGCCCTTATGAAGATGATACACAGGGCGGGTGAGGACGACGAACCGTTTAATGGTGTGTCAGCAGCTTTCGCCGCCCGCCAACATTCGTGATGCAATATTGTAGATACTTATATCGCCGATGAAATAAATCCGAATGTCACGAATGCTATTGATTCGTCACTATGGGAGCTTCTCAGCCACAGAAATCACTACGATGCTGCAGTTTCGACGCTGGCACGTATATTTGAGGAAGCATTCACAAAACCAGGTTATTCTATGGAAGATTTCCTCGACCACACGTACGGTACTGTAAGCCCAGGCTGCTTGTTATCGGATCGCGCGGACGCTGAATATGATGTGAAACAGCTTCTAGAAACCGAGTTCCAGCGGGAGATAAAAAAAGAACCTGCTCTGGCAACAGAACTTGTCGAGGATCCGTTCCCGTCGTGTACTGACTCTGCTTTCGAGGCTGACAAGGGCATCGCAAACAATAGGGACGTGATCAGCGAGCTGTGGGTTTTCGGCTGAGAAATCCATTCCTTCCAGCTTTAACATGGATAGATACATGAAGCGCGTGTGATTTGGTCTCATCATATCAGAGTACATCCGAATGCGAGTTTCCCTTGGTCTTGAGCTTGCTGCCTGGGCATTGAGTAAACATTGTCAAATACGCCACTAGCTCAAACCAATCTATAATAGTGAGAGGCAGCGCTGCGCTCTATCCGCAGGTCCCAGCCGGCACCGCACTGGCTTTTGGAAATAAGTATTTCAGGGATTATCTTAATGGATTCCATCCGAGTTTCGAAGGTAATCTGTTAGAAGGGGGTTACCTGAATGAACGAGATTTCTGAGGATCTACAGGTTGAAAGGGTTCTTTGCGGCAAATCAGGGAGTGCTCACTATGGATCACTCCACTTGACCGCACACCATCTGATCTTCCGGTACGAGGATGCCGCAGTGGAGGAGATGTGGGCAAGTCCGCCATCCATGTGTTTGCCCACGCGGTCTATTGATTCAACCTCAGGTACCATACCCACTGATTTCGTTGGTAGTGCAGCTCCCGCAGACATTGCAAGGCCAAAGTCCTATAACGTTTCACACACGGACGTTTGAAACCTTTTCCATTTTGTTTGGGAGTGATCATGATGCCGTCGATGTATTTGAGAGCGTCAAAGAGTTGACGGTGTGCAGTGAGTATCACCATCTCTGATTTACCATGGCTGCTGAAAGTGATCAGCGTCTGTTAATCAGCTTTATGCGTTCTTCTACTCACCTAATCCTCCTTTCGATGCTGAGGGCGGGTGGTCTATTTACTCCCCTAGGAAGGAGTTTGGTCGTATGGGTGTGGGCACCCGAACCAAGGCATGGCGGTTCACTGACATAAATAAGGATTATCAGGTGGGTTACCTGTCACCACGCTGTGTAATGTAACCTTCAATAGACGTTCAGTTTTCTTCCACTTATCCATCTCTGTTGGTCGTTCCGACCCGGATAAGTGACTCCACCCTCACTTATGCCGCCAAGTACAGAAGCAAATGTCGAATTCCGGCTTTGACGTACCTTCACTGGGCCAACTTCGTGAGTCAGTATACTATCGTTGTCTCCTGCTAGAACGTGATCGTGTTTGCCCCAGGGAACTATAACACGGTCCAGTCAACCAATGGTTGGCATTAAACAGAACCGATCTGTCCAGGACGAGAAACTCGTGGAAGCCATTTTTCAATCCCATCGCTCCCCCGATTCACGGTCATCAAGTATCCCCATCTACGGCGCCACCGCGACAAACCTCATTGTTGATGCCAGGCCAACGGCTAACGCCATGGCGAACACTGCTAGAGGAGCCGGGACCGAAAACATGGAAAATTACAAAGATGCAAAAAAGACGTACTCAGGAATTGATCACATACACGCCATGCGCGAGTCACTAGGGAAAGTAGTGGATGCCTTACGCGAAGCGGACATCATCGCTGCGAGTGTCAGCGGCAAGGTACTAGGAGAGGCGAAGCAGCTTGCTGTTTTAGATCGACAAGCTCTGCGCCGTTCTGGATGGCTCCGTCATCTGTCGAACATTCTTGAGGCGGTAGTTCTCATCGTACGCAATGTGCACATCAATTCATCGCATGTCTTAGTGCACTGTTCCGACGGCTGGGATCGCACTTCACAACTCGCGGCTCTAGCTCAGGTGTGCTTGGATCCTTACTATCGCACTATGCACGGCTTCCAGGTACTCGTCGAGAAAGATTGGATATCGTTCGGCCACCGATTCCGGGATCGGTGTGGTCACTTGTCTTCGGAGAAATTTTTCACATCTGTAGCGGATAGTGGGAACGCGGGAGGTGGGGCAGAGGCTGCTCAGGCCTTCCTTACTTCCGTCCAGAACCGTTTTGCTTCCCAGCATCACATCAAGGAAACGAGTCCTACTTTCCACCAATTTCTGGAATGCTTGCGTCAGATACAAAGACAATTTCCTGAGCGCTTCGAATTTAATGAACGCTTCCTGCGGACGATTCACTATCATCTCTACTCCTGCCAATTTGGAACTTTTCTGTATAATAATGAACAAGAGAGGAAGAGAGGAGAGGACAATATGGTTCCATCCGAGAGGACAGCAAGCCTTTGGGAGTTCCTTAACTCATCATCGCAAGTGGAACTTCACAAGAACCCATCGTACAACCCTTTACTAGATGATCTCTCGAACAGGGACTCCAAGGCAGACATGGGTGTCCTCACCCCTAATGCCAAAGACATCCGGTTCTGGCACGAACTGTACGGACGAACTGACGAAGAAATGAATGGCAAGATTATTATATCCCAGGTGAAAGAAGATTCAGAGTTTGTTCCATCAATCGAGGGTCTTGACGATGATCCAGTCAACTTCCACACGCGTACGGAAGCTGTTCCGCCGGTTGCACATCCGCAACCTACCACAATAACGTCTTCTCCGACTCTTTTCAGATCTAGCAGTCCCGCTGCTTCTGAGGGGTTGTCGTCCAGCCTGCAAGGTCTATGGTCATCATTACCTGAATTTGGCCAGAAAGTAGGAGGAGGATTTCTGGTGGCTAGTACACCGACAGGACTAGGTGGTACGCCACCACGACCCTCATCACCCGGGCGCATGCGGGGTCCCAATGCCCCCGACTTTTTTACCAACAGCGGAGTAAAATCTATGTGGGGAAAGCTGTCCTCGAATGCCACAGCTGCGTTCACGGCGGTCCAAGAGGTGTATGACGGCGTCACGAAAGACTTCAAAGGGGGATCTAGGCCATTTGAGGATGATACTGGGAATTATAGTGGAGGGAGGGAGCTACAGGCCAGCGATTTCTCTGTGGATGGAGAGCGTTTTACTTCACGTGCAAGTACATCGTTCTCTCCCGTGGGTTCATCAAACCGTCCCTGGGACAGCGTGACACCGCAGAGAAGTCTGGCCGATCTGGCGATGGACAACCCTTGGAGTAGTGTCCGGTCGCCGTCACCACCGCCACCAACTACACGACTGGACATGGATGATACTGATCCTTTACCTGAGGACCCGACTGTTGCTCAACCTTCACAACGACAAAACTCTGCCTTTCATCATCCGCCGAAGCAGGGTCCTAACGTGAGTAGGGTAACTCACTCGGATGAGAACAATGTACCCGAGCAGGAAACGAAGAGACCCTCGCTAACTACGGATCCTCTCGGTGTCGGACTCGTGTAACAGCAGCATTCATATGTACAATTCTGGGACACATTGCACACGGTACAGATCAGTGTCACGCATCTACAAACTCATCATCTCATGTACTGGTTTCTCCTCGCTTGTCTCACGCTCTTGTCATACGTGTGTAAATTTTTTATCTAGATGGCGTGATAATGCTTATGTCAGCGTAATCCGCTGGTTTAATACAAGTTCTTTCTCGCTTCACCAGTCAACCAAACCTTTCCTTCCCCCTCCTTGGACAATTCCCCACCTCTCCGCCATGCCTGCCAACGGAACTGCTCGTCCTGCTCTCATTCCCGGTCATTTTCTTTTTACTTCTGAATCGGTCGGTGAAGGGCACCCAGGCAAGTACAGACAACGAGCAGCGTGATGATATATTGACCCGGATTGCCTAGACAAGATCTGTGATCAAGTCTCCGACGCAATCGTAAGTTGGCTTGATTGTTGGCAACAACCCTCCAGGCGGCTAATGATACCACTGTAGCTTGATGCTTGCCTCGAGCAAGACCCTTGGTCAAAGGTCGCTTGCGAGACGGCGTCCAAGACTGGCATGATCATGGTCTTTGGTGAGATCAGCACCAAGGCTCAGATCGACTACCAGAACGTCATCCGCAACACCATCAAAAAGATCGGTTACGACGACTCATCAAAAGGTTTTGATTACAAGACGTGCAACATCTTGGTTGCGATTGAACAGCAGTCTCCTGACATTGCTCAGGGCCTTGATCACGGCGCTCTTGAAGAGCACGGCGCTGGTGACCAGGGTATCATGTTTGGCTATGCTACGGACGAGACTGAGGAATACATGCCCTTGACGATCACATTGGCCCACAAGCTAAACGCTGCGCTGGCTGCCGCTCGACGCTCTGGTCTTCTTCCTTGGTTGCGCCCTGACTCCAAGACACAAGTCACTGTGGAATATAAGAGCGACAATGGGGCCATGATTCCTCTTCGCGTCGACACTATTGTTATCTCAACGCAACACGCTGAGGAAATCTCGACAGAGGACCTCCGCAGAGAGATCACTGAAAAGGTCGTTAAACAGGTCATCCCGCCTTCACTGCTAGACGACAGAACCATCTATCACGTAAGTTTCTTTCTCACGCTTTTGATAGACTCGATGAAACAGAGGGGTTCTTAGATTCAACCTTCTGGTCGTTTCGTCATTGGTGGTCCCCAAGGTGATGCTGGTCTAACTGGACGCAAGATCATCGTCGATACCTACGGTGGTTGGGGCGCCCACGGCGGAGGAGCCTTCTCCGGCAAGGATTGGTCCAAGGTCGACCGCTCTGCTGCTTACACTGCTCGTTGGATCGGTAAGTGACTGTCCGATGACGTACGGTGGTGTGTATCGTGTTCTTAAATATTTTGATCCAACATAGCCAAGTCTCTCGTTGCTGCTGGCCTTGCTCGCCGCGCTCTGGTGCAACTGTCCTATGCCATTGGTGTTTCGGAGCCACTGTCAATTTTTGTTGATACCTACGGAACTAGCAAGAAGTCAAATGAAGAACTCGTCGAGATTATTCGCCAGAACTGGGACCTTCGTCCTGGAGTCATGGGTGGGTTGCAATTCTATGGAGGAGGTGACTGAGACTGACGATGTGTTGAAGTACGCGAACTGGAGTTGCAACAGCCAAAATACCTCCAAACGGCATCTTATGGTCACTTTGGCAATCCCCAATACACCTGGGAGAAGCCGAAGAAGCTTGTGTTCTAAGATGTGTTCATCATACGCTCCTTGTGCATTGTAATTATTGACTTACATTGGAAGTTCATCCTTCCTCTATCTATCGACGCAACAGCATACCTGTAGAACAGTCGCTATTTCAACCATAGAGGCGCGCAGTTCGCCTGCATTATGACATAACTAGTACCCGGGCTCCGTGGCTCATTACTTCCTCTAACGACACGTACAGATCCATATCCTTTGTGTAGTACTAAAGAATACGACCGCGTTCAACCGCGTATTTCTTCATTTTTATGGGGTGGTTTGAAATTGTAGAATGCCCACACGCGCAAACGTATTATGTCGTGCAAATACGCAGAAACCACGTGGGTGGCGACGTGATCGAGATCAGTCACGAGATTATCACCGCACTTTTTTGGACTGTAGAAAAAGCTACCAAGCCATAATGATTTTGTCCTCCTACTTGTCATCCACCATTCCACTCTGAGAGCAGTGAGTCTTTCCCTTACCTTTACTCTCCAAACTCACGCTTTCATAGTGTGTGGCGTCTTAGGTCTGCTCTTGAATGACTCCGGCCATGACGCAGCGTCTGAAATCTGCGAGGGGCTTTCTCTACTCCAGCACCGCGGTCAGGATGCCTGTGGAATCGTCACTTGCGGTCACAAGGGTCGCTTCTACCAATGCAAAGCCAACGGAATGGTTCGTGACGTCTTCGACGACGTCTCTATCTCAAGACTCAAAGGCGAAATGGGCATCGGACATGGTTTGTGCTGTCCCCCCTTGCCATCCCTCGCCTAGACTCACCTAATCAACTACGTAGTCCGCTATCCTACTGCCGGCAGTTCTAACCATGCCGAAGCACAGCCCTTCTACGTTAATTCACCGTACGGTATCGTACTCGCACATGTGGGTCCCGCCCCTCTCGGTTATCTGTATGCGTATGCGCCTTATCAATTCATAGAATGGAAACCTAATCCATAGTGATTCCCTGCTTCACTTCATGGACGCTGTAGCGCATAGGCACATCAACACCTCTTCCGATTCCGAACTTCTCCTCAATATCTTCGCCAATAACCTCCAGCAGACTGGAAAGTTTCGGATCAACGAAGATGATATTTTCACAGCTATTGGAGAGCTTATGAAGCAGAGCAATGGTGCCTATGCCTGCGTGGCCATGCTGGCCGGTTTCGGAATCATTGCTTTTAGGGATCCGAATGGTATACGCCCCATTGGAATGGCGTCTCGGAAAAACTCGTCTGAAAGGAGGGACTATATTATTGCCAGCGAAAGTATAGTCGCCGATGCCGGAGGTTTCTCCGATTGGGAAGATGTAAAACCAGGTGGGTTTCTAGCACCTCACCACGTACTGAAGGTCTGACCCTGTTTAGGCGAGGCCGTTATTATCACCCGCACAGGTGTCAGTAGAAAGCGCGTTGGGGAGCCAGCAATATTTGCTCCAGATATCTTTGAATATGTCTACTTCGCACGTCCGGACTCCGTCCTCGACGGTGTGAGCGTCTACCGCAGTCGGATGGCGATGGGAGATGCCCTTGCGGAGGAAGTCCGCAAAGTGCTCGCGACAAAGGGGTTGACCGTAGACGTCGTCATTCCGGCACGTTGATGGTATCCACTTGTTTTTCGGAGGATTTTGCTAAGTACAATGCGTCAGGTTCCGGACACGTCACGAGTTGCAGCCCTCAACTTGGCTCAGAGGCTTCAACTCCCCTACCGGGAAGGCTTCATCAAAAACCGCTATGTGGGGCGGACCTTTATCATGCCTGGTCAGCAGATGAGGTGGCCCTTTCTGGTTACACCTCTCGGTCACACCTAACCAAGTTGACAGGACAAAGAACGTCCGAAAAAAGCTGAATGCAATGGCGCTTGAGTTCTCCGGCAAGAATGTGCTCCTAGTCGATGGTAATTGTTCCTTACTCGGAGCGTTTCGCTTGACGCCTATTTCCATGTGTGGTAGATTCAATCGTCCGAGGTACAACATCCAAAGAAATCATACAAATGGCAAAGGATGTCGGGGCCAGGAAAGTTATCGTCGCGAGCTGCGCACCTCCCATACGGTGATGGTCAAAGTTACCGCATACTGCGCAGCTGATGCTGATGCTAGACGTAGCCACTCCAACGTTTACGGCATAGATATGCCATCCCGCACAGAGCTTGTGGCATATGGGCGGACTACGGAGGAGATCGCAGAGGCTATTGGCGCCGATCTCGTCATCTTTCAGACGCTTCCAGATCTTATCACGTCTGTCCGACAGTTGAACCCATCCATCGAGACATTCGATTGCTCCGTTTTCACGGGCGAATATGTCACTGGAGGCGTGGACGAAGCATACCTGACTCACATTGAATCGTTGAGGGCCGATCACGTCAAAAACAAACTGGTCGAAGGACGGCTTGAAGCCAAAGAAAGTAAGGAAGTTGCATTTCGTGGAGGGGCACCTGTAATTAGTTCGGGTGGACCCACCAACCGGGCTGATGACAGTGTTGGTCTGCATAACACATGGCATGTCAGTTGACACCAGGTTCTGACGCGCTGAGTGCGATTACAATTATGTATGTGTTTAGACTCTACACTCTCCTCCGAGAATACATTATGGTGCGCCAGCTACAAGTGAATAGATATCGTGTACAACAAACTAGACCATGGAAGATCATGAAAAAGAAGTCGAGTATTGACGAAAACTTGTGAGGCAAGTTAGCGGGTAGAACATAGTTACCGTGCTGGTGTGTTGCTAGCAGCCTTGGGTAGTTGGGAGAAAGCACGGTGTTTCGGCATGAAGAGGGATGCCATCGGATCTTTCTTCTGTATCGGGGGTTTGAGAGTGCGCGCCTCTGCGGGCGTCAATGAGGATAGTGTTGAAAGCGGGGAAACCGGTGCAGAATGTTCGGCCGGAAGAGGTTCGGCGGACAACTGCGGTTCCTCCGTTGACACAGGTACACTAGTCGCGAGCTTAGTTGATGCTGAGGGCGGTCCAGTGGCACCCGTTCTGCCAATGCAGATTTTGGGTGTACGTGACGAAGAGGCCATAAGTGGTTTCGCATTTGGGGCGCTGGGAAGTACCCGATACGTTTTCCCATGTACCATGGGAGGCAGAATGCGAGTAGTATATAGAGCCTTCCGGAACTTCACCTCGTTCTTCGCCTTTTGGAACAGTGACTTGGGTTGAGTAACCGAGGTCCCTGCTCACAGACTATTACGGACGAAAATTCAGATGGTACGAAGAGACGCGTACGGGCACGCTTAGCCGGCGGTAGTCTGTCTGTCAGCTTAACTTCTCGTTCCTTCTTGCGCTCGGCAGCTTCCATGCGTTGGTTGCGTAGTTTGGAAGATACTTCCTCCAGGCGATGTGCCTCTGCCTCGCGGAGCAACTAGTTGATCCGCGATGAGCGGTGTATACCCAGTAAGGCACTGATGAAACTTACAAAGAACTGTTCACGCCACGACTCAGGCCGAAGTTCCCCATTCCGAGCAAGTTGCTCTACAAGTAGAGGATACGTCTTGAAGCATAAGCGCTCCCACAAGTCTGAAAGAGCATGCGTCAGGATCGGTTATGCATGTGATGATTCCAGTTACCGGACGTGTTCTCTTGCAGATACTCCAGCTAGTATCAGAGAGCAGTTCAAATACGCAATATAGTGTCACGTACTGGAGATGATTGTTCAAGGCGAAGCAGAGTCTCTGCAGAGCAGCATTCCAGGACAGGTTTAATCAGGTCATACCGTATGTCATCACCAAGACAACTCAAAGCTGGCCAAGAAGCACAGAGCGTAAGACAAAGGGGAGCAGCCATACTGTTTCCGCACCATCTGCGTGCGCTGAGAGAACTATTGTGATATGAGCTTAAGCAGGTGTGGACAGGGTGAGGGCGAGTATTCACCGCGCTGGCAATATGAGGCCAGGGTTGGTATTCGGCGCGACTGGCCTTCGGATTCTGAAAGCATGGGTAATGTCTATCTGTGTGGTGAAACCTGGCCTTGAAGAAAGGGTGTAGAATGTTGTGGGACTGAGGAAGGATGAGGAGAGGACAAGACTTGATTGCAGGAACGTTTTAATACAGGATATGTGTCTCCCCACGTGGCTCAATTGATCCCACTTGTTTCACACCAAGTACTAGAACTAGAATATATTATTATCTTAGTCCGAATCTCCCTCATCATCGTCCTCCTCCTGAGCTCTCTCTTGTGCATTCATTGCTCCCATGATGTCTTCTGACTGGCCTTTTTGAGCGGCAAGTCGTTGTCCTGTGGCCAGATTGTCTAATGCAGTGCGACAAAGGCGTGGCCAACACTCACTGATCAGAGTATGAATTGCCTCCTGCGTCTTCCGCTCTAGTTTAGCTAGCTTCTTGTCCATCTCTCTTTTGAGGTCCCAGTTGGGTCGTTTTGGGGCAATATTAAAAACATTCTAAACAGCGAGGAGTGTTGAGAATGAGTTTCTGTTAGGACGTTGTGCGTGATATTGCATACCAATTCCTCCGCTCGCTGTTGTTCGTCCTCCGCTATTATCTTTTCCGCCATGCCATCCACATCTTCCTCCAAAGTATCCTCGGTTATAGCACCATTCAGCCCATGCTTCCGTAACGTTCGCGTTTCAGGATCGAAGTTGCGGTTAAGCAAGACGGCGCCTCTGAATGGTGGGTACCGAGATGCTGTCGACTGGACATGACTCACCTATTGTCGTCGGTTGCACCCTCCTCCTTTCTTTTCCTCAGCGCGAGCAAACGCGCTTTTCGCGCCTCCAATGCCTCTTGAAGAGACATACCCAAAGCCGTTTGAATGAGAGCAAGAGACGTTGCGGCTGACTAAGCAATAAAGGGTACACGGTCGTATTAACATTATTAAGTCACAGACTTGGAAGATTTGCTTGCTTGATGCTTTTACCATGGCGGTTCCGTGCATCTGCAAGCATTCTCCAATCCACGCACGGGAAGTTTCGATGTCTTAGTGCTTCCCCGCCAGGCTCGGCCAGCGCAACTGGCAAGTCCATCGACATGACAGAGTTTCCCTGCGAGGTCATACGGTACGGTCGCATTGTAGAACGGCTCTATAGAGTAACTTAGTCCTAAAAATGCAGCTAATTTCTCCATTGTTGCCCACATTGGTGAGTTGGAGCCACTACTCTTACCTCTCCGACTCAGTTCGGTTGTCCAGACCACGGGAAATCGACGCTAGCAGACCGGTTAGTCGGAGTGGTCATGGTGTGCAGTATTCGCAACTGACTTTATACCGCTCACAGCTTGCTGGAGGTATATAAGGATACTTATACTTCGATCAGCATCCTCATCTCCGTGTTTAGCTTACTGGAACCATTCCTAAGAAGGCTTTCGGTACGAACCAGCAGGTTCTAGACAAGCTCAAAGTCGAGCGTGAACGTGGGATAACCGGTAGGACCAATAACCCTTCTTCATCACGACTTCTCATGTAGCTTTAAGTCAAGGCTCAAACTGCAAGGTCTAAAGCACATCCTTGACTCGGCAAGAATCCGGACTGACACTCTGCAGTATGATATATCACTCCCACCAGAAGTACTTGCTCAATCTCATCGATACTCCCGTACGATAAGATCTATATTTCTTCAGCAAGTGTTAATTTCACCTGCAGGGTCACGTTGATTTTTCGTGGGAGGTGTCTCGCTCTTTGGCAGCCTGCCAAGGTGCACTCCTGTTGGTAGACGCCACGCAAGGTGTTCAAGCGCAGTCTATTTCCGTATTTCACATTGCCAGAGAGCGCGGGCTCAAAATCATCCCTGTACTGAACAAGGTTGCATTTATACTCGGACGTTTTCTCCGTTTCTGAAAAAAGGGTGGAATAGATAGACATGCCTGTAGCGGATCCATCACGCATCACTGCGCAGCTGCAATCCATGTTTGGAATAGACCCTGCAGAGGTCTTACAAATATCAGCGAAGACAGGCAGAGGTGTCGAGACTGTCCTGCAGGCTATCATCGAACGAATACCCCCACCATCAGGATCTGTGCATGAGCCCTTGAAGGCTCTCCTCTTTGATTCACAGTGGGTAATGAAAATCTGTCCTTTGTACTCTTCTAAGTATGGCAGATATGACAGATATAGAGGCGTTATCTCGTTGGTGAATGTCATGAATGGAGTCATGCGCAAGGGTAGGTTGTGATGGTATCCTGCACCGGAAGCCCGTTGACTGTTTATCAGGGTATAGGATAGCGTCGTGTCATACTGGGAAGAAATACGAAGTGACAGAAGTTGGTGTCATGCACCCAGAGGAGGTCCCCGTCATGCATCTGCAACCTGGCCAAGTTGGCTACATCGCCTGCAATATGAAGGAGTCTACGGAAGGTGGGAAGTATCCAATAGGGCGAAAATGTCTCTAATGTCTGCACAGCCCATGTCGGAGATACACTTCATCAAGTGAACGTGCCTGTCGATCCCATGCCGGGTTTTCAACCTACTAAGGCGATGGTATGCCTCCATCGACGTCGAGAAATTGCTTTTTGATTTGGTTTGGGTGTTTGATTTGGTTTAGGTGTACGCTGGAGTATTTCCTGTGGATACCAATGACTTCATAAAACTCGAGGAGTCGATTCGGCGTGTACGTTCCTAACGGCTTTAACGACTTGTCTCTACTTAAATGTGGGCGAGCAGCTCACGCTTACAGATCGTAGTGTCACTATTCAGCGCGAATCATCCACAGCTCTTGGACAAGGTTGCAGACTTGGGTTCTTAGGTACTTTGCACATGGACGTTTTTCGACAACGTCTGGAAGATGAGTACGACGCGAACATTATCATCACTGCTCCAACAGTCCCCTACAAGGGTATGTTTTTACTCTTGGTTTGTAAAACCGGTGTCTGAACATCCTGGCAGTGATATACAGAGACCAAACGGTAATTGTTAGCAATCCAACGGATTTCCCTGATGAGTGGGGCACGGCATCTCATGTTCGCGAGGTACAGGAGCCCATGGTGAAAGCTTCCATACTAGTGCCAGAAGGTTCGCGAGCCAGCCCCCTTCGAGTTACATTCGCGTCTAACCATTTGATAGAATACCTTGGTGACATGATGGACCTTTGCTTCTCCCGTCGCGCGGATGACTTGGATCATCACTACTTGGATTCAGGGACTAGCACATCGGCACGGGTCATGTTGACATGCACTCTGCCCTTAAGCGAGATCGTGACAGACTTTTTTGACCAATTAAAGAGTAGAAGTTCAGGGTACGCGAGTTTCGAGTGAGTGCCATTACGACAGCAAGGCCTTGTTGCTGACCTTGCAGCTATGAGGATGCTGGTTACAAGGCAAGCGACTTGGTCAAAGTATGGATGATTGCTTCCACTAAGCTATTTGGGCTGAGGACTTTTTAGATGACCTTCCTCCTGAATGGCAAACCAGTGGATGCATTAGCACTGGTCATCCATCGGTCCGTAGAACAAAAAATTGGCAGGACGTGGGTCAAGAAACTGCGTCCGTAGTTGTCACTTCTTCCTTGTCTCTACCCTCACAATGTATCAGACAAGGTGATCCCGCGGCAATTGTTCGAAGTCCCTATACAGGCGGCTGTAGGCAGAAGGATCGTTGCTCGAGAGACGTTATCTGCCATGCGTGCTGATGTTACTGCTGGCCTGTACGGAGGTGGGAAACCCTTCCAATGGGCCTTTCTTTTAAATAGCCTGATGTCAACACAGGACACTACGAACGCAAGCTGAAACACCTCGAGAACCAAAAGGAGAGCAAGCGTCGAATGAAGAAGATAGGAAATGTGGACCTGCCGCAGAACGCTTTCTTCGATATACTGAGCACCACGGCGAAGTGATAGTTTAGGTGGTCGTGCTGAATGACGATTGTAGACTATTATGCGGTGAACATTGTTACAATTCATAGTCTTCATCATCATATGCCTCCTTGATAAGGCGGTAAACTGACGATGGGGGATGATCCCCGCTGCGAGGATCGTCAACAGTGCTATCACAGGATAGACAAGTTACCCACTCGTTCGTGATATACGCATCAATCATTTCAGGCCGAACATAGTCGTAATACGGGTTCACGACGTCTACTTTATCAACAAGATCACCTTCCTCGAATCCTAGTACACCACTTGGATCCGCGAAATCAAGTGCACCGTATTCGTGGTATAAATTCCACTGAGGGGTGAGCTTAAACTGTCCTGAGCAGACGACGACCGGCGTGCTATGTGCTCGGGCGGCGGTGGCGGCCAAAAGCGAACCTGTTACAGCGAACATTCCGCCATTAGCGAGAATTGCATGTGCACCGAGTACGACTTTATTGATTCGAGACATTAATGCGTATACTGATGAATCAGGGACGAGCACAGTCGTTATCCCTGAGGTTGAGAGAGACTGGGCCATCTCTCGTCCACTATACCTGTCAGCTCGCAAGTCAATATTGACACCCAAGCGGAAGAACACAACACTCACGATGGGGCAGTATCCGCTACGATAACAGGTGTATTTTCTGTGTGAGGCCGCCGCTTTAAGGAAGGCCTCGACTGTGCTTGAATTGCCGATTGTAAGGATAATTTCACTGTGGCAGGATCAATTGCCCTCTTTAGCTAAGATCGTTGTGTAGTGTGAACGTACTCTGAATGTATATGATCCTTGGCAACTTTGGACACGTTGTCATATACGGTCTCGAGCTCATCGAGAACATCCTGGATAGCCTCCATAAAAACAGGCTTCAAAGCTCTTGCAAACGCATCGGGATCGTCTGCATCGTTCTCCCTGAGAACACCTCTCGTTTCATGTGAAGTCCTCTGTGAAGCGGTCTGTTTTCGGGGTTGACCTTGCGAGACGAACTTGGCGATAGAAAAGGTGGGTTTTGATGGGAATGGAGCTGCAGCTCCTCGGGTCGCAGTATGATACTCTTCTCGGATGTGGTGCAAAACTTTTCTGACGGTGTTTCCTACCGTATACTCTGATGTACATATATTATTCAGAAGCAGAACATAGATAGGACAGCTGTAGACAAGCCTTTAGGCTGAGCCTCGACTAATTTTCGGCCAACAGAACGGATAGTGTCGACCAGTTGGTCGATGTTCGAGAATCGGGCCTTGGACACCACCTGACGAAGGACAAGGACGGTCTCAAGTGCAGTTTCCCGAGATCCCACAACTTGACTGATGACAAACGTATGAAAACGTAGAGCATTGGCAAAGGGGTGCCTCTCACTGACCGCCTTCGAAGCCTAGCTGCGAGATGTTCGACAATTCGTTGACCTGCGGCGCTCTCTGGATCAGTAGCCATAACAGCCGCGTGAAATGGAGTGCACAGAACTATGACACTGTAGATTCGATTTGGAGTACTTCTTAGTGTCCGCTGGTGAGTCACACATGTCGATCCGAGATCCGAAACACGTGACCATTTCTGCGCTCGGTGGCGGTGCAGTCGTTAGAGTAATAGGTAGGTAACCAAACAAGGTTTCCAATTTCCAGCTGGGGTCCTTCTCACAACTTGAGGTGCTATCAAGCCGGCAGCGCCGCTAAATATGTAACTTAGTCACTCATCTCCGGAGCAGCCGGGTGAAGTCGGTTTTATATATTTCGTTAAAGTATTACTGCTGGTGAGCAACCGTCCCACGTACTGCTCCTAGCCAGAATGACCCTCCCTTCCAAGGTCGAGATGAACCCTTCAAAACCTGATGAGGCGAGAGTCCTCGTAATCTACACTGGGGGAACAATTGGGATGCTTATCAGTCCCAACGGTTATGTTCCCGAACCATTCTTTTTGACAGAGACACTGCGCAGGCAGAAACGCTTCCATGATCCATTGGAGGATTCATTGTTCTCAAATGCAACATCCGTGGAAGGATACAGGGTGTGGTCGAGCAGTGGGCCACCCACTCCTGTCACTCCCGATTCGCCGGTCTTGCCAAATACCTTGGTAACCCAGCATCCAACATTTGTCGTCCGCTCGTCCCGTCCGATTGGAAAGGGACAAACCCTGTTTGCTGGACCGGATCCTCCATCCACGCATACGCTGGGTTGCGAGAAGATATCCGACGGAGTGTACCAGGCGCGCCTTCCCAGCTTGGTTACTCCTCGGAGTGCTGTTTCCGGCAAGGATGGCAGCAAGCGCATCCGCTATGCTATTCTCGAGGTATGTCCGCTCAGAAGAATTGTCCAAGAGCAACCTTATCGATGTCCCTGCTCAGTGGGATCCGCTACTAGACAGTAGTAGTATCGAGATGAATGGTCAGCTACTAGTGACCGTCAGTCCGTTCAATTCTCATGCTGACCGTCTTGAATCATTAGACTGGATACGCATAGCCACCGAAATCGAGCTCAATTACACTGCGTTCGATGCATTTGTTATCCTTCACGGTACAGACACGATGTCCTATACTTCCAGTGCCCTCAGTTTTCTTTTGGAAGATTTAGGGAAGACAGTGGTAGGCTACAGTTGCTATTTGCAGTTCCAGGCACAACCCAGACTTTCTTGGTAGATCTTTACCGGAGCTCAGATACCACTCTCACAGCTGCGGAATGACGCCGTAGACAACCTTCTAGGTGCACTCTCCATTGCCGGGAACTACATAATTCCAGGTAACCTTTCTGTTTGCAGCCTCCTAACATTTGATAAGTTTTGTCCTTGCAGAATGCAGCCTGTATTTCAACCACACCCTGTATCGCGGGAATAGGGTTTCGAAAGCATCTTCCTTCGATCTAAATGCCTTCCATAGCCCAAACTTTCCGCCCTTGGTAAATGGTCAGTACAGTCGAGTTTGCTTGCTTTGTCCGCTCAACCGTCGCAGTGGGAATCGACATCCTTGTAAACTGGAATAATGTCCTGAGACAGACGAGATTACGTCGTTTTCGGGCCCATAAAGGTTCGTTGTTCATCTTTTGACTAACCGGTGACTGATCCCAGGGCGATTCAGAGATGAGTCCTCACGTCGGTGGGTGGTACTGTACTCGTTTGCCTAGATGACGATTCATTCCCATACCTCAGCAACCCTCCGGTTGTTCCCTGGGATGTCTGGCGCTACCGCTCGTGCCTTCCTCTCTCCTCCAGCACAGGGTGTCGTCCTCGAAACCTTTGGCGCCGGTAACGTACCTCAACGAACGGATATATTGCAGGTCCTCCAAGAAGCTTGTGATGCTGGAGTTGTCGTCGTCGCTATATCCCAGTGCTATAGGGGATCTGTATCCTCAGCTTACGAGCCAGGTAGAGCACTGCTGAGAGTGGGTGTTGTCCCGGGTGGGGATATGACGCCAGAGGTACGCGTAGAACCCCCGTATAATTTGGGAGTTGTGTGACGCGTGTCATTCGTAGTGCGCTCTTACGAAGCTTAGCTACCTCCTCTCGAAGCCTGAGCTCTCAGCGTCCCAAGTTAGGGAATTGATCAGCACACCACTGCGGGGGGAGCTTACGCGACAAACACTATCTGTCCCCAGTAACCCTGCTGAGCTGCACAATCTATACAGCATCCAAGGCCTACTAGTTCATCTCGTTCGGTTGATGTCATCCAATAGCCGAATGCCTCTAATAACCCTTACTCCTGATATCGAGGGGGTAGCACAGGATGCCACTGCGTCGTGGTCCAAGACTGCTGCCGAAACTGCCTTCACGGAGGCAGCGTTGCTTCGCTCATTGGTGCACCTTGCCGCAGCTCGCAACGATTTGGAAAGCCTGGAGTTGTGTTTGGATGCCTCGGCGAATTGGGAGATGGAAGACAAAATGCCAATAGTCATTCCCGGCGGTACTATCAATTGCCTCGAGCCAGGTTCCAATCGCTCCCCGTTGCACGTAGCTGCTCTCAATGGCAGTACTGCGTCTGTCGGCTGCTTGCTTAAGGCGGGTGCACTGGTACACCTTAGGGATAATCTGGGGCATACAGCTCTGTACTACGTGAGCGCAGCTTACTGATTACAGTGTGGGCAAAGAAAAGCTGAACCCTGCGTAGGCTGCACGTCAAGGGTATGCTGATATTGTGGACCTCCTCGTCAGCGCAGGAGCTAACCTTGGAGGCCTCGAATGCGATGCTGGATATGCTTCTCTCGCCCTCAAAAATGCGTTAGATTCAGGAGACCATAAATCTGTCAGCATCTGGAGAAATGCTGGCATGAATGTTGAACGTCCTGGAATGGAGAATGGCACATAACGAAGTGAAGTTACGCGTTGCATAATGCTTAGGCGGGTATACGAGGGTAATGTAAGAGTACACTGTTAAGATCCTACAGCCAATCCTGTCATCATTCATACTGCAGTCTCGATGCTATCCTCGCAGTTCTCTCTACCCTTCATTGCATCCACCTATCCGATCGCGTAGTGAGTTGAGGAAGAGACCTTGCTGGGAGCAAGGGAAAGTGAAGCTCTCGCCCATGTAGGATAACGCTTCGACGAAGGAATCAGGCTCCTTGTCAAGGTGCAGTGGGGTGTATTTGATCCGACGATGCACAAAATCGTCGTCGCTTATGGGTTCTCCGTTGGGGCCACCATAACCATTGAAGATACACATCGTGAAACCTATGCCTGAGGAGGCATCGTGAGTACGGCTACCAGTGGTGTCTGACGTCGCCAACAGGATGAACTTACTTTTCTCATTTACCCGTTCCCCCTCAACACTGTCCTCACGACGAGCCATCTCAAAATATGTATAGACACAATGGAAAGTTACTTCCTGTTCATCTGAGCCAGGTGCATCCTCAAATTTGACATTAGTAACCAAGAGGTTGGACATCTCTTCGTAGAATTTGATGACCTCCGTCTTAGGATCTTCCGCACCGATTGGTCGCCGCTGCTGAGAACGAGAAGTTGTAGGTGCGACTTTTCGGTGCGACCCGGGAGAGAAGTTCTTTTGACCTTTCTATTTCGGCGTCTCGTTCGCGAGTCACTTCATGCACTTTAGGAAACAAACCAGTTAATGACTGGGGGCAGCATGAAGGATGATACCTACCTAATTGTTGGAGTTCGTTTATGCGTTTGCTTTGATCTGAAATGACCGCATCCCTTTGCTTGATTACATCACGAAGCTGAACTATTTCTTGTTCCACGGCCCTCTTCTCCTCGTCTGCGGCTTCCCTGGTAAGGAAATGTAGGGCAACGTTCTGGCCAGTTCGAGAGAGGGGCTCGATACGAGCAAGTTGTGAAGTTAGCTCTCTGACAAGAGCATCCTGCACTGTAAGGGAATTACTACAGTAGCGGTGGGAGAAAGGATCGGCTTACTCTTTGCACGTTCCTCATATTGCACGTGTAGCTCCTCCAATGCTTGTTCAGGTTCTGTTCTCCGGATCTTAAATAGCTCATCCAGTTGCTTTGACAGTGAATCTCTCTGTGACTCGAGCTTCCGAGGTGTGAGCTAAATCGTACTCGACGAGAGAGGACCTGAATCGTACATCCTTAACCCGCTGTTTCCACCGGTCAATCTCCTTGTGAGAGGCGACATTTGCAGAATGGCGCAATTTGTTGTTGCCGACTGCTTGGTCTGGTCTTTGTGAGGGTGTCGGTGAAGGAGTCACGTCCTTGTCCGGCTGGTGGTTTATGATGTTCATAGTGTCCCCCAACGCTGGTGGGTTCATGCTTCGTTTCCATTTAACCCACGCGCCTTCCTCACTTTGCGTGTCCTTTACTGCAGATGCTGAAGGAGTTTTTGAAAGAGGTTTGGATTTCTTTGGATTTACTTTCGATAGTTCAGTTGTTCCTCCTGAGCTCGGTGAAACTGCCGGACCGCCTTTCCGAATATCTTGGCTGTTTCAGGTGAACGTTCCAAGAAGCATTCCGGTCTGAAATACTCACTTATTTCGTCCTCAGAGGACATGGTGTCGCGGAACGATGTACATCACGTGACCGTCTACGTAGTTGATAATCGAATCAGGCAGACGCTTAGCGTTCAGATCTTCAGCTTCAGATCTCGATCCGGCATGACCCCGCTTGAAGAGCACACGCAGAAGCGTGCAGCATTGATAAATGCAGACAGGGCCCTCCGTGTTGACCATGCACGACTACCGCACTCAATGGAGTTATGTGCTGATAAGATTACCCGTCGCATCCGTACTGAAGAGGCTACAACCGTCTGGGGCGTGGAACATGAGAATGTCCCACATCCATTCCCGGGGATGGAGTTCCTAACAGGTCTGAACACCGTTTTTGTGATTAGTCCTCTTGACGTTGCCGTTGATCAGGGAAGGCTATAATTTCAAGCACGCGCCTCTTTGGGATCATCAGGAAGGTATCTAGAGAATTCCTTGGCCAGAGGTTTTCGGACTGAGTCTGTTAGATGCCAAAAGGCGCACTTCTTCATGCCCATCTCGATCTGACCGTCGATCCCTATACTCTACTCCACTTTGCGCTTCGATACCCGTCCTTCCATATCCGATCGTCGGAGGTCATTACCTCCTCGAATATTTCTTCTATCGTGCCAGAAATTAGACCTCTAGCACCAGATTTTCCTGCGGAGGCTTCTTCCTTGACGGATCCAAGTTACCCACCGATGTCCTGGGTCCCATTCAGCCGGGCACGCGAACGGTTTGATGAAGCTTTTGGAGGCCCAGAAGGTTTCGACAGATGGGTGACCGGCTACATGTCCATCAATCCCAGCGCTGCATATGTCACACACAATAATAACATTCGGGTGAGGAACACGCAAGCTTGTACTTCTGAACCGTGCATGTTATGACTGCCGTGTCGCTCAGATCTGGGACAAATTTCGCTCTGCGGCCTTATTGAATATGGTGCTTTCCTCCCGAGCCGTCGTATTACATATGACTTAATTTTCATTTCCTAGAACATTGTATATTATACACCTCTATGGAGGCAGTACATCAGACAGTTTCTGGAAGACATCGCTGCGGATGGCATACTTTACGTCGAGGTACGCATAAATTTCACCCGTAGGTATGTGCTTCTCTACTCCGTCCCCGTTGTGTCAGACTATTTCGATAGATTCATGGTCGGCGCCGATGGAAAGATGGACGTGCCACATATCGAATGGCTTAAGATATTTAAGCAAGTAGTAGACAATTTCAAGCAAGAAAGGGAAGACTTCTTTGATGCCAAAGTCCTGGAAGGTCATCATATATGTGGTGGCAATGCTGAAATTGCGCCGTCTAGGTTATATATACTGTCATCCGGGATTGCGATGCGGCCGGATTAGAGGAGCACCTGGAAGACTGCCTGCATATGAAAAAAGAGTTTCCTGATACCATCATTGGTATGACTGCTTGGTAATGTGATCCTGCAGAAGTTGATCGTTAGCTCAGGATTTGACCTCGTCGGGGACGAAAATATACTCGTCCCGTTGAAGGATTACTTAGAACCCCTCCTCCAGTTCAAGGAACGGCAGAAGCACGAGGGTGTATCGATACCTTACATTTTTCATGCTGGGGAGACCTGTGGCGATGGAACCAAAGGTGACGAGAATCTTTATGATGCCATTCTTCTTGGAACGAAACGCATTGGGCACGGGTGAGGTTCATTGCGTTCGGTGGGATTGTTACTCACCTCACCGAGAAAGATTTTCGCTAGTCAAGCACCCCAAGTTGATGCAAATATGCAGAGAACAAGGAATTGCTTTGGAAGTTTGTCCGATCTCGTGAGTGCGGATTTGACCTACGTACGTTTTGTCCTTGACGCGCCTTAATCAGTAATGAGATCTTGGTCGGGCGATTTTACACTTCATGGATTCGTCGCTGATGTTAATTTTCAGCGCTTGACGGCATCGATGCCCATGCATCCACTACCAATCTTGTTGAATCATGGTGTTCCAGTAGCCCTCAGTTCAGACGACCCAGCTATATTTCAGAATATGGGTTTGTCTTATGACTTTTACCAGGTAATGGCACTGTGGTGGATGTGCTGCTATCATGGGTTGCATTCAAAATACCTTTAGGTTGTCGTTGCAAGCGAAGTGACCGGTCTCCTCACACTTGCGCATCTGGCGCGGGATAGCATTACGGTCCGTGTGGGCTTCCCCCCCCTCTTTGTTTGTTTCGCTAACCGTTTCTGTCGCAGTACTCCATGCTGGAAGGTGCTGAAAAGGTGAAGTTGATGCAGATGTGGAAGGATCGATGGTTTAAGTTCCTCTTGGAGTTGGTGAGTTCTGAAAAGGGTCAAAACTGAATGCTCCCCTGTGTTGGTGTGTGTGGTGTTATTTGGCCTTGAGGACCTGTAGGCTAGTCTGTCGTCGTGTACAATATATCCGCTGCCAGTGAACACTAGCTACCGTCTGGTGGGCTCGTCGCGTGCCAGGGCTCGACGAAGGCACAGAGTTTGTTAGAGATTGTGCTAGGTGTGCGCTCGGACGGAGTTTAGGTTGTAAAGGTAAGTTCTTCTTAGGGTCCGTTAGCGATTACCGTGTCCACATCCACCATTCCTCACCACCTCCACCCCTCCCCCGTCAGAACCCGCCTCCGATTGTTCAGTCCAAACTACCCTTCATATCCCTGTCACTATCAAGCCATCACCCCAATCCCTTCCGTGTATTAGAGATATTCAGTCACTAAATTGGTCATGGCAGAGGTCGACAACAACCGCAAGCGGTCTCGCTCCCCGTCAGACTCGGACGATAAAAAACATTACAAGCGCGCAAATACCGGCGTAATCTCTGCGGATGATTCGCGCGCTCAAAATCACTACAACTCCCGCTCGTCTGCTGCGTCTGCTATGACTCATGATGTGAATATGACAGAAGCCCCCGCATCCATAGCAGACACGGTTGCGTCTACTCCTTCTCCCAAACCATCCTCATCAGACCCTAAATTGGGCGACAATCGTTCCAGGTCGGATGATAGTGCCAAGCCTTCTGCCACCATGTCCGCAGCACCTTCTTCGTCCGTCAGCTCTCCCACTCCGCCGTCTGGCATGATTCACATGCGTTGCCTAATCGTTACTCAAGACGCGTCCATCATCATCGGGAGAGGTGGAGCACATGTCAACGAGATTCGTGACAAGAGTGGTGCCCGTGTTGTCGTTTCTGAGAGCATCCCCGGAAACCCAGAGAGGATCCTCAACGTCAGTGGTCCACTCGACGCCGTTTCTAAAGCAAGTTTCTGTTCATCATCCAATCCCATTCGACTCTCATACGAATTGTCTACCAGGCCTTTGGGCTCATCGTTCGGCGCATTAACGATGAGCCATTTGACGTACCTTCTGTTCCAGGCAGCCGTGCCGTTACCATCAAATTCATGATCCCCAATTCCCGCATGGGGTCGGTGATTGGGAAGCAAGGATGTAAAATAAAGGAAATCCAGGATGCCAGCGGCGCAAGACTCAATGCCAGTGAAGGCATGCTCCCAGGCTCTACTGAGGTATGTATCGTCTTGGCTCTTCACTTGCATTCAATTTATGCGTTATACCCACAGCGGGTTTTGAGTGTAGCGGGAGTTGCGGATGCTATTCATATAGCGACTTATTATATCGGCAATATCCTTATCGAGGCGCAGGAGCGTATGCCCTCAGTCGGTCATTCTAGCTATCGTCCCTCCAGCTATTCGAGAAGATTGCCGTACACGGGGTCCTCTTACGTCCCTGGTTATGCTTCTTCGCAGCCGTACGTTCCACACTCGCATCAGCCACCACAGCAACTCCAGACCCAACAAATATACATCCCGAACGATCTCGTGGGATGCATCATTGGCAAGGGGGGGAGCAAGATCAACGAGATCAGGCACTTGAGCGCTAGCCAGATTAAGATTATGGAACCTGGTGCTGGCATCAACGGTGCACCGTCGTCTGGCGGTGAAGGTGAACGGCTTGTAGTGATCACTGGTCAGCCTGCCAATATCCAGATGGCAGTGCAGCTCTTGTATCATGTGCGCTTTGATTACACCTTCGCAATGACTTGGACTGAGTTTGTTTTGGCAGCGATTGGAACAGGAAAAACAAAAGCAGTTGCGAGCATCGACCACCACATCGAGTTCTTGAACTACCGAGTAAACTGTGAATGCTGATGTTGTGTTCAAGTTCTTTCCTTGTTTGGGACACTAGTAGCCTATCACAGATGTTCTGTTTCCTGACTCGTTTATTCGTGACCAGATTGTGTTTTGATAGGGCCTGTATTCCTACTTTGTCACTTTCGTCTTCTTTTCATTCTTGTTCCAGTCATTGTACATATGAGGGTTACTCCAGCTGACCGTAGTCCCAGTCAATCACAAACAGCATGTCTTCCTCAAAATCACAATGTCGATATGAAGTGCTATGTGGAAGTTTTCTTGAGCGGCCGTGCTAAGTCAGGGGGTCCGATGGCAGTTGCCAGATTAATGATGCCAGGTCACTATAGTCACGTGCAATTTTTGCACTACGTGCTTCCATACACCACTCCTAAGTACACCCGTCCTTCATCCGAGAGACGATGACTGAAGGTAAAAGAAAGCGACAAGCAGAGGAAGTAGAAGTCGAGAATGACGTTCAACCGAAAAGGCGGAACAAGCAGCGTGTTTTGATGCTCTCTTCTCGGGGTATCACACACCGGATGAGACATCTCATGAGCGACTTGGAAGCACTCTTGCCCCATGTCAAAAGAGGTGCGTCAGTACATTATTCTGCGCACACACTATTACATTAGTGTCTCACATAAATCCCAGAATCTAAGTTGGATTCAAAGTCGCATCTACATCTGCTGCCCGAGTTGGCCGACTTGCACAATTGCAATAATACGCTTTATTTTGAGGCACGGAGACACGAAGATTTGTACTTGTGGGCTGCGAAAACCCCAAACGGCCCAAGCATAAAAATGCACGTCTTGAATGTGCATACCATGGACGAACTCAAGATGACAGGAAACTGCCTGAAGGGGAGCAGGGGTATACTGAGTTTTGACAAGGCATTTGACGAGACGGAGTGGGGTCGGATGACCAAGGAACTTTTCACCCACGTAAGTAGGGTGGAATAGGACTGCAAAATGTGCTGATCTGTTTTTATGATCAGATATTTGGCGTTCCTCCGCTCGCAAGGAGGGCAAAACCTTTCATAGACCATGTTTTATCATTCTCCATACTCGACAACAAAATTTGGTTCAGGAATTTTCAGGTTATTCTAAAAATATTGCCTTCCTGACCACATTGCTAACTTCCGCACGAAAGATTCTTGAAAAAGATCCCCAACAACCAAATGGGCCACCGAAGATGTCATTGGTTGAAATCGGTCCTCGGTTTGTCCTAACTCCGATACGGATATTTGAGGGGGCTTTCAGTGGCGCAACTGTCTACTCTAACCCAGGTTCGCCGACGAGTTCATTGATTTGCTCACACGTGAGCACAGCTGATTCCATGCCAATCAGAATTTGTCACTCCTGCGGCGGTTCGATCCATGCTGAGGCAGAGGAAGGGGGACAGGTACCGGGATCGCAAAGATGCCCAGGAAGAGAGTGCCCGGAGGAAGGAGTTGCGCCGCAGGGAAGAAGACGCCTTGAGTGTGCCAAAGATTTTCGCGTGACGGCTAGTATCAGGATGTGTGCCAGTACGACATGGCTGTCGCGTAGTCGCCTTTTTCCGACGAGGAGTACTAGTGATATATAACATTAACAGACGAAGATGATTTCACGGAGTGATTGCCCGAGAATATATCGGGTAATATTTGAGTACTGGATGGCTGTGACACTCCATTGTCCTCCTGTCTAAGACGCCTCCATGTTTCCTTTGTCCGCTGCTATAGGCAACCCCTCCGGTTACGAAACAAAGGCAACGTTGACCAATGAATTTTACCAGCCAGGGTAGGTTGGACGTGAATATTCGGATCCTTCGTAGCCAGTCAATGACCGTACCTGGTAAAACACGAAACATATGTCAGGCCTAGTCATGTTTACCAGGCCACCGGCATATTGAAGCAGATGCCGCCATGACACGTTTTTTTCTTGCCCGCTCTTTGTTCCCCTTTCACTGTCTGGGTCATAAGCGGCGATTCCCCGCATATAATGAGGACGTCCTTGTATGTTCCTTCGTTGCTCCCCCCCAACCTATATCACCGTCTCCTGACAGCCTGATCATGGGGGTGGTACTGGACATCCGGCCGTTTACTGACACTCTGTTTATGCATGGAGAAGCCAGTTCATCGTAAGCTTTTGCGCCTTGTAAAACGCCATATAGTGGGCCTCACATCCCCGCTAATCAGATCTGCCTTCTCACTGGCTGGCCATGTCAACGTCTCTATCACTCCCACTAGGTCCTTCTTCAATAGATCGAGACCAACAACTCGACTGCTGTTGCAGTCGTTGATTATTACTTTCGAGGGTCAATCGGAAGTGATCACGCCAGTGACCGGATATGCGCCTGTGCGACTATGCTCCGTCTCACAAGACTTGGTCCACGGCGCTCCCATCGAACTCTCCAACGAAGGACTGGAGTATTCGGATATCCCTTGTTCTTGGAATGTCGTTTTCGATATTCGAGTGCCAGGTTGGTTACCACTGACATCCACCTATGGAGATGTCGACTTTGAAGAGGCCGGGACACGTTATGCTCTCTACGCTACTGCTACATATGCCTATTTAGAGGACGATGCTTCTTCGTTTTCTTGGTTAAACTTTTGTGCCCCACTTTGTCCCCGATTCAGAACAGTGGACGCCCCGAAGTGTCCTGTCACACTCCGACGTACCATCGAACCTCCGGCTGGACCCTCTGGTTCATTCCCATTAGCGATGTATATCGTTGATACTCAGAAAGAGTTGAACGATACACGGGAAGGGTCTCCTACTGCCTCTCTTGATGTCCTGGGGAAGATCGAAGTTGTTGCGTGCGTTCCTACCGCGGTTTCAGTGGATGAAACCTCCCTCCCTTTTACTTTACGTCTGCGAGCCAAAGACTTGACTGAATCCGAGCGCGAGCGCCTTAGGCTGACGGAGTTCTCTGTCGACATAAATCAGGTTGAAGTTTATAGGTGAGTAGCAGATGGCTATGTTAAATGGAGCGGTCGCTCAAATATATTTTGACTTGACTAGAAACACAGCAAATGAGGAATACGCCAACGGCTTCCCCATACCCTCGCAAAGGCATCAACCACCTAATGAACCTTTGCGCAATCACCACCCCGTCCATACACTATGCGCCGTAGACGCCTTTCAGACATCTCAGCCTCCTGAGGTCGTCGGTGGCTAGAACATTCTCCCTTCTCGCAGAGAACAATTCCGGTCGTTATGTCATCGGAGGGGATGGACGTATCTTCGCAAATACCAGTGACCCTGTCACTTCGCTCGAATGGTACATCCTCGATATCGATGTCCCTATTGCCACAGAGCCTTCCGAAGTTGACTGGGCGGGACCTCGCATGCGTCGAATGACAGAGAGTAGTCCTCTTTTCAGTGTACGACACACCCTCAGCGTTTCAATCCAATGCGCATACGATCTCGCGGAACAAGCACCACTTCACCGACAGTTGCATTTCTCTCTTCCCCTGCAGCAGGTCCATCTGTCGGAACCACCGAGACCACCGTCATCTACAGCGTGCCACGTTTCTGGTACATCTTCAGGGGAAACCCGACTTGAGACCTCGTTTGGTCAAAGCTTACCTGCATATTCCCAACTCTTTCATCCAAACGGCGAGCGCAAGATTGATTTCTCGACGCCGTTACCGCTTTACACACCACCTACATCGCAATCACCTGATCCTTCCGCAGGTCCTCAGAAGGACGAGGGTTCATAACACACAAGTCCATTGACCATGCTACCAACCAATACTATCATTATCATTATTGTGTGCCGCTTTTCGTTCATCGCTGTTTGAACGTTCGCTTTTGCATGTTGTGCGATCCGCTGTCGCTAACTAGGTACAAATTCTTCTTCGCACACCTTCGTCTTCGCTAATTTCCAGCTTTGAGTACATAATGCTCGTAGTTTACAGCTCCATTGATATGTCAGATAACAAGCTGTAAAATCTGCGACTATCGTCAATACAAAGATAGGTATGATCACCGGTTGGCAACGAGCCTTCACCGCCACTGCCAATTTCTCGAACTAAGTCTGCGACTATCGTCAATACAAAGATAGGTGTGACTTGAGACATGTGGGCGCCATGTCTCAAACCTGGCCCATCAGAGACCTGGCGGGCTATGTGTCTCCTTTCAGCATTCTAAGACAGAAGTTTCAGATCTCACATCCCCATACGTAACGCGATGGTCCCACCACCGCCTGATGTGAAATGGACACGGGATCAAGTAACAAGTAGGATCCAAGATCCTTTTGGGCATGCGCCCATTATCCTTGTCCGCAGTGTCACCGCGAAGCTCATATGCATACGCATTGCTATGAGCAAGCCAGGGTCGACTCATCACTGCCAGGTCCAGTCTCAATTTATGGTCTGCAGGCACTCTTTCGACGAAAATGCAGATTAAGCTCTGGTATCCGAGCCATCGAGAAGCACTCCGAGCTGTAAGTCCAATAGCCCATACGTCCAAACCTTCGCTCTTTGGATGGCTATGATCAAAATTTCGGAAGTGCAGATGATGTTTTCCACCCTTGCCAACGACTCCTCAGGGCACGGTGCGACCGGCATAAAGTGAAACATACTAACCCAACAATTTAAATCTGGTTAACCCCAGTAGTCAATCAAGGGCTGGAAGGTGAGGCACATACTCATGCCTCCACGCATTGGGCCGTTAGTTTAATTTTTGCTAGGCAGTGACGGAAGCCCAGGATAGCTACGTTTGCATGATCGGTTACCGACTTGTTCTGTACGGAAAGTATGCTGCGGCAAGCAACCGCGTAGCAGCTTTGGTGTGGCCACGCCTAGTTTCATCGACCGGATTGTCGCACTTCGGGCTTCTCCTCCTATGTCGACTAACCGAAGTTCGCAGGTGTCTCAGTGCTCATACGATCTGGAAAGAGGCATAAATAGCTGGTACGTTTGTACACCCGTAGCAAGAACTACCGCTTTCTCATGGTTGCGCAAACATATCAGTTGCCAGACTTGCTTTCCTTCTTTGCGCAGAAGCCTGGGGGACCCATCAGTCCTCATTTCAAGGGAGCGTACCAAGGTTATAGCGAGTGGGTGGGAAACACACTAGGATACTATTTCTCGATCGTAGGTCGTCGAGCGTAGATTCAATTCCGATATCTCACCTTATCCACCTTCTAGGAAGTCTACAATGCAGAGATGCCTCTCCTCGCCGCTCTGGCCTATCCGCTTGCAACGGAACATGAATTACGAGCCATTCTCGATTACATGACTGCTTCTTTCATGCTGGAAGAAATGACGTGCGATTTTGACCTCTTTTCTGACTGTCCAGACCCTCATTCAATTCGTATACAGTGACCGCTATTCAAGTTCAAAGGCTCTGAAAAACTCAGAGATATGGATGCAGACCCTGAAGGGTGGCCAGCCGGAGACGAGCACTCGTCACCCGTTTATTAAGCTTATGAGCAAGTCAGTCTCCCCCCTAAAAATCCCGTGCAGGCTCTGACCAAAATACTTAGAGAGATGATGACCCGACTCAAGTCTGCAGTTGATCCATTTCACTGGCCGCAATTCATTTCCACGAATGTTGATTTCGCTAGGAATACCGTTCGCGAAGCTTTGGACCGTGAGGCGTCCAAAGGTTTGCATGCAACGCGCGATCTTCACTCTTATATGATCACTCGGCGCGAAACGATTGGTACTCGGCCGTGCCTCGTCTTGATGCGGTCAACCCGTCGCTTGTATATCCCCGACAGCGTACTCGAAAACAATGCTGTCATGGGCATGGAGAATGCCGCTTTAGATATGGTTTACATTGCTAATGTGAGTGAGCCGTTTCCCGAGTTATTGCAGCAAGCCTGAATCAACGGTGGGTCACAGGATATTTACTCTTTTAAGAAAGAACAGGGTGATAATGGTGCTCTCAACAATATCATAACGGTCATATTGAAAGACCCAGACACTTCACACCTTGATTTACAGGGGGCCATTAATTACGCAGGGGACCTTTTCAAGGCAGCCCTGGACGATTTTCACGCATGCAGAGGCAGGATCCCCTCTTTTGGTACCGAAATGGACAAATTCTTGTCTGCGTACGGGGATGGTTTGATAGACTGGGCGATTGGAAACATCGAGTGGAGCGTTGTCAACAACCGCTACAAGGTCTTTTGCAACGATTCTGACAGGAGGAGTAATGTGATCAGGCTAGGCAACCGGCACAATCTCCATGTCCGCCCTGTAATATGTTTTATCTTGCTGATCGTATTCATTTTTGTTTACTCCCACAATCCTACTCTGCGACTGACGCATATGCCGCGCTGTTTATCCCCTTCTTTCTCTTCAAGCTTTGGTCTGTAGCTACCGTATGTATTTCTCGCAGGCTAGGACGCTCCAAATGTACCACCCACCAGATGATTGACAGACGCTCTTGAGTGATACTTTGTTCCAAACACTCCACTCCTTAAGTAGACCTTCACATTCAACGAGCCAGATCTCCACGAGATCAACGCCTGACATACACACATCACCGCATCGCAGTGAAACTGTGTGGCGGTCCTTATCCTCAATGACAACATCCGTCTCTCTCAATGACTGTGCGGCCCGATGACATTCACCCGCTTTCGCGTCTTCATCACCGGTGTAGGCGAAGGAGAGGTGTGGGAACATAGGAACAGACCGGGGGAACAGGTGTGAAAGAGTTTCCTTGATTTCGTCACGTAGAGCTAGGAGATCCACCGTCGGAAGTAAAGAAAATGAGTAGTGAGCGGAAGTGATGGTTGCTGACCACAAGAGATTGAAAGTTGACGCGAACTGACCAACGATCTTTGGCAAGGTCGGCTAGTAGCTCACCCGGTAGTTCATTCCCGCTGCTACGAACGGAAGCGACAGTGATGTAGGAGAAAAAAACTTGGGGTACGAACTCGATGAGAGTGTTCCTGAACCTCCCCTGTCCGATTCGAGTGAATCCGCTTGCGGCCGCTGCGGCATTACGGATCGCAGAAGGGTAGCCTGGCATCTATGAGCGAAGATTTCGGAAGTGCAGATGATGTTTTCCACTCTTGCCACAGACTTCTCGGGGCACAGTATGACCGACGTAAAGTGAAGCATACTCATTGGAGGAGAAGCCCGAAGTGCGACAATCCGGTCAGTGAAACTAGGTGTGGCCACGCCAAAGCTGGTATTGCCGCAACATACTTGCCGTACAGAAGAAGTCGGTAACTCATACTCACCGATCATGCAAACGTAGCTATCCCTGGGCTTCCATCACTACCTAGCAAAAGTTAAACTAACGGCCCAATGCGTAGAGGCATGCCAAGTATGTGACTCACCTTCGAGCCCTTGATTGGGGGACTACTGAGGTTAACATGATTTAGATTAGGGGAATTCACAGCACGTTTTCGTGCAATTTTACATTTCGTTTTGGACTGAAAACGATGGGAAAACGGCAGTTGGACATTTTCACGGGCGCCAGCGCTTGACTCAGCCTGTCATATATCATTTCCCTCTCGTGCCCCACACACATCCATGTTCTTTTAGTAGATTTTTCTGTATCTATGTCTTGTAGTATTAAGCTGAAGGGGGCAGTCAACCCAGCATCACTGGCTCATGAGGTACTATGCAGGTGTTCATCAGATCAATCAGAGTTTGTGCTCTCAGAACTGCTGGAATTGGAGTCAAAAGAGGTTGCAGGATCAAGGTATGAGTGAGATTCAGCAAGTAGAGTAGCCAGATAGACATCAAGATAATCAACATGCTTATCTCCACGTATTCAAACTTCAACCCTCGGAAACAATCAGAACGGAGCCAAAACGGTGGATATCAAAGCAAGCCACCGTTTTCGGCCTTACCCGGTCAACGAAAACAAATCGAACTTGAAAACGGCATCGAAAACGAACGAAACCGACGCACGAAAACGTGTTGTGAATTCTCCTAATCTAAATCATGTTAACCCCAGTAGTCCCCCAATAAAGGGCTGGAAGGTGAGGCACATACTCATGCCTCCACGCATTGGGCTGTTAGTTTAACTTCTGCTAGGCAGTGATGGAAGCCCAGGGATATGGAAAGCTGGACAATCGCGCTCCCGAACGGGCAAGTTTTCCGGCTTTCCATACAGGAATAGCTACGTTTGCACGATCGGTGAGTATGAGTTACCGACTTCTGTACGGCAAGTATGTTGCGGCAAGCATCCGCATACCAGCTTTGGTGTGGCCACTGGCTACGCCTGGTTTCACTGAACGGATTGTCGCACTTCGGGACTTCTCTCCCAATGTCGACTAACCGAAGTTCGTAGGTATCTCAGTGCTCATATGATCTGGAAAGAGGCATAAATAGCTGGTACGTTTGTACACCCGTAGCAAGAACTACCGCTTTCTCATGGTTGCGCAAACATATCAGTCGCCAGACTCGCTTTCCTTCTTTGCGCAGAAGCCTGGAGGACCCATCAGTCCTCATTTCAAGGGAGCGTACCAAGGTTTATAGCGAATGGGTGGAAAGACACACTAGGATACTATTTCTCGATCGTACGTCCTCGAGCGTAGATTTCAATTTCGATACCTCTTCCTTATCCACCTTCTAGGAAGTCTACAATACAGAGATTCCCTCTCCTCGCCGCTCTGACCTATCCGCTTGCAACGGAACATGAATTACGAGCCAGTTCTCGATTACATGACTGCTTCTTTCATGCTGGAAGAAATGACGTGCGATTTTGACCTCTTTTCTGACTTGTCCAGACCCTCATTCAACTTCGTATACAGTGACCGCTTATTCAAGTTCAAAGGCTCTGAAAAACTCAGAGATATGGATGCAGACCCTGAAGGGTGGCCAGCCGGAGACGAGCACTCGTCACCCGTTTATTAAGCTTATGAGCAAGTCAGTCTTCTTCCTAAAAATCCCGTGCAGGCTCTGACCAACATACTTAGGGAGATGATGACCCGACTCAAGTCTGCAGTTGATCCATTTCACTGGCCGCAATTCATTTCCACGAATGTTGATTTCGCTAGGAACACCGTTCGCGAAGCTTTGGACCGTGAGATGTTCAAAGGTTTGCATGCAACACGCAATCTTCACTCTTATATGATCACTCGGCGCGAAACGATTGGTGTTCGGCCGTGCCTCGTCTTGATGCGGTCAGCCCGTCGTTTGTATATCCCGGACAGTGTACTTGAAAACGATGCTGTCATGGGCATGGAGAATGCCGCTTTAGATATGGTTTACATTGCTAACGTAAGTGAACCGTTTCCGAGTCATTGCAACAAGCCTGAATCAGCGGCGGGTCATAGGACATTTACTCTTCTAAGAAGGAACAGGGTGATAATGGTGCCCTCAACAATATCATAACGGTCATATTGAAAGACCCAGACACTTCACACCTTGATTTACAGGGGACCATTAATTACGCAGGGGATCTTTTCGAGGCAGCCCTGGACGATTTTCACGCATGCAGAGGCAGGATCCCCTCTTTTGGTACCGAAATGGACAAATTCTTGTCTGCGTACGGGGATGGTTTGATAGACTGGGCGATTGGAAACATCGAGTGGGGCGTTGTCAACAACCGCTACAAGGTCTTTTGCAACGATTCTGACAGGAGGAGTAATGTGTTGAGGTTAGACAACCAGCGCAATCTCCATATCCGTTCTGTAATATGTTTTATCTTGCTGATCGCGCTCATTTTTTTTACTACTATAATCCTACTCTGTGACTGATGCATATGTCACGTTGACTATCCCTTTCTTTCTCTTCAAGTTTTGCTCTGTAGCTACCGTATGTATTTCTCGCAGGCTAGGACGCCCCAAGTGTACCATTCTTCAGATGACCGTCAGACGCTCCTGAGCGATACTTTGTCCCAAACACTCCACTCCTCAACAGGACCATCACATTCAACGAGCCAGATCTCCGCGAGATCAACGCCTGACATACACACATCACCGCATCGCAGTGAAACTGTGTGGCGGTCCTTATCTTCAATGACAACACCCCTGTCTCTCAATGACTGTGCAGCCCGATGACGTTCACCCGCTTCCGCGTCTCTATCTGCGATGTAGGCAAGGGAGAGGTGTGGGAACATAGGAGCAAACCGGGGAGACAGATGTGAAAGAGTTTCCTTGATCTCGTCACGCAGAGCTAGGAGATCCGTTGTCGGAAGTAAAGAAATGAATAGTGAACGGAAGTAATGGTCGCTGACTAAAAGAGATTGAAAATTGACGCGAATTGACCGACGATCTTTGGCAAGGTTGGCTAGTAGGCAACCCGGTAGTTTATTCCCAATGCTTCGAACGGAAGCGACGGTGATGTGAGGAAAAACCTTGGGGTACGAACTCGATGAGAGGGTTCCTGAACCTCCCCTGTCCGGTTCGAGTAAACTCCCTTGCGGCTGCTGCGGCATTATGGACTGCAGAAGGGTAGCCTGGCATGGCGGGGGGACTAGCCAAAATGAAAGACCTACAGATTTCTCAATACCCACGCGGTACTTCAGAATTTGGGTCGTTCAAGTACTCACCCATTTGATGGAGGTCGGAAATGGAGAAACCACAGACTTTTGGCAGCTACCTTCCGAAGTCAAATCAATGTGCTGCTACACAACATACAAGATACAGCGATAGAATGATAAACCAGCTACAAGCGACAGTATCACTACCAACCGGCCACGCGACAGTGCAGACACCACAACTCGCAAAGAAAATTTCTTTTGTAGTCTTGCAGATGCCAAAGGCGAACAAGTCATCGAAAAAAAAAGGCAACATCAGGAAGAAGATTCGCCAGGCCCCAAGCTAATCCAGCTGCTTTCTACACTGGAGCTTTCAGTGTCGGTCCCAACGCTTTCCGAGTCTGCGTTCGACGCTGTCTCGTGTTCATCGCCGCCACGTTGTACGGCGGTTTCCGTTCTGGAATACTGCGGGGATATGGTCAAGGGCAAGCGTGGGTCCGGCGGAGCAGAAACATTAGCAGATGCGGTCTTCACTACATCGGCAGCCGGAGAAGTAACATTCGCGGGAAGGTGGGAAGGCAAAAGGCCATTTCGAATGCCAACAAGAATGTGAGGAAGACCGAGAAGACAATCCAGTAGCCTGGTTGGAAGGAACGATGCAAACGTATAGGTTCCAGCTGAAAAAGAAGTGGTAAGTATGACTGCGAAGTCCTTAAGAACGGTGCAGCTGACCTCCTGCGCCAATTGAAAAGCGATTACCACGGATCCAATCCTTGAGTTTCTCGTACGCCAAGCCAACACCCACACCGTAGACGGCCCTGCTAGCGCCGGTGGTCTTTGTTCCAGAGCTCACAACTCCGATGATACTGTCTACGAACTTCGAAACGTCTTCCGGGGTCCTTGTTTTGGCAGTCTCACTCAACGCGTAGAGTGCCGCACCATAAGTCGCTTTCTCCGAAGGCGTCCAATCGTCGGTAGTTGGTGGAGTCGTAGATTCATCAGGGGTCTGTCCGACAGCGCCAACATCGACGGTAACAACACGGATTCTGCCCATGCCTTGGGCAGCTGAGATTTCCCGCCGTAGGACATCGGCAGCGCGGACGGTGGCAGCAGCGCTCATGGCACGGACACTGCTAAATGGCAGGCCAATCCGTGCATCTACAGCTGGTAAACAGATAATGATTGACCTGGAAGCATGTGTGCGTTGTGCGTCCGCACGAAGCAATGGTAGAAGTGCCTGAAGTGTTTGAAGTGGTGCAATGTGCGTCGAAAGGAGATAAGGTAGGTACGTGTCATGTAGAGAAACTTGCTCTAGCGGGGCAGGGCCACAACTTGTGGACGAAGCTGACATAGTTAACAATGATATGACGGAGTGCAGTAAGGGATGGCTCGGGCTGGGAAGATACGGATCTCCAGCAGCTGAGATGGGGAAGCGGCGTGATAAGGTGGACCCGAGTGAGCGAAGGAATACTGGTATGGTAGTAGGCTGGCAGATAATTCAGCGATATGAAAAAGCAAGACGAAGTGGATACGCACTTCGTTTGGATCAAGAACGAGGGCGCGAACGAAGCCATGACCCCGGGCCTCCAAGGGGCCAACAGCCTCGGCAGATGAGACGCTCGCAATGACGATGTAACCCTTCTTCTCGAGCTCCAGGATCAGGGGCAGTGCTAGTGGATGATCGCTGCCCAGAACCACTGTACAACACGGTCGCATCAGAGGTTCATATGACGTATATTATGAAGGCGCACCGACAACCTGCCGTTTCTCGGATACCGTAGTAGTTGGTTTAATGCGTCTCCTGAAGGTGTGTTTGGCTGAAATAACGCGGCATCCCGCCACCAAACTGATGCCGAGGGTAGAGAGTACAAGGCCCGAGACAATCCAAGGATGATCTTTCAGCCAGTCTCCAGTCTTTTCGATAAGAGACTTCGGGGGCGGGGGCGGAGGAGGAGGAGGAGCTGGAAGCTCAAATGGACCGAGGCGACCTGCATGAATCTCGGGAAAGGGTGGCCCGTAGCGAGTGATGTCCACCCAGAGCCTGTTTATGGCCTCACGAATGTTTGGAAGATCAAGGGAAGCAGTAGTCAGGGAATCAGAAACTAAGCGTTCGACAGTTTCAAAGTACTGTTCGACATCGTCGACAGTCGGCATCATTGTTGGGAGGTGGTTGATGCCAGGTGTTGTGATGGGTACGCCAAAAGTTGCCCAGTGACGCCAGTCAGGGGAAAGTCGCAGAACTGCATCCACGTGCCACTGCAAAGCTGCAGTGGGAAAAAAAAGAGCCGACGCCAGCAGGATTCGAACCTGCGCCCTCAAAGAGGAACAGATTTCTAATCTGTCGCCGTAACCACTTGGCTATAGCGCCTTGCTGGGTGGATTTTCCTTAGTCCCTCATCATTGCGTAATGCCTGATTGTTCGGCACAGAAGGCTGTTTTTGCTTGTTCTACTCTAACATTGCGGTGGGTAATACGGAGAAAGACAGTAGGATACCAGGTGTCTAAAGGCACGTTCAGTTGCCACCCATCTCTTTTGCAAGTTGTTCAGCCTTTGCCTTGACATCTTCAATCGTACCAGCCTAAATCACATCTTAAGTCAACGTTCGCTCCCATTATAAGAACAACTCACCATGTAGAAAGCGGCCTCGGGGAGGTTGTCGTGTGTGCCAGATAGGATCTCCTTGAATGACCGGACGGTATCCTTCAGAGGGACAAGCTTGCCCTCGTAACCAGTGAAGACCTGAGCAACTTGGAAGGGCTGAGACATGAAACGCTGAATTTTACGAGCACGCTCCACCTGCAAGGCGGGAAGTCAATCACTCAACTCTGACTAGAGCACGACCATACGTACAGTCAACTTATCTTCTTCCGACAACTCATCCATACCCAAGATGGCGATGATATCCTGGAGAGACTTGTAATCCTGAAGAATCTTCTGGACTGCAGTAGCAACCTCGTAATGCTCGTGGCCGACAATACGAGGGTCGAGCATACGAGACTTGGAGTCAAGGGGGTCCACAGCAGGGTAAATACCAAGTTCGGCAATACTACGGGATAACACGGTGGTGGCGTCCAAGTGTGCGAATGTGGTGGCAGGGGCAGGATCCGTCAAATCATCAGCTGGTACGTAAACTGCTTGCACTGAAGTGATGGATCCCTTCTTGGTCGTGGTAATGCGCTCTTGCCTTGTATAAATTGAGCAAAAACCAGACACAAGACTAAGATTGAACGTACATGCCACCCATATCTGTTGAGAGCGTCGGTTGGTAACCGACAGCAGAGGGGATACGACCAAGCAAGGCGGACACCTCGGAACCAGCCTGGGTGAAGCGGAAGATGTTGTCGATGAAAAGAAGCACATCCTGACCCTCCTCGTCACGGAAGTACTCGGCAATGGTAAGACCAGTCAAGGCAACACGGGCACGAGCACCCGGAGGCTCGTTCATCTGACCGAAAACCAAAGCGACCTTGGAGTCGCCCTCCAAGTTGATGACACCAGTTTCGATCATTTCATGGTACAAGTCATTTCCCTCACGAGTGCGTTCGCCAACACCTACGGAGAAGAAAGCGTAAGGTTGCATGCATATACCCGGTAGGGAAAAAAAAAAGAAAGAAACAAACCACAGAAGATGGAGAAACCACCGTGAGCCTTGGCAACGTTGTTGATGAGTTCCTGGATCAAGACGGTTTTTCCGACACCTGCACCACCGAAGAGACCGATTTTTCCACCACGAGCGTAAGGAGCCAAGAGGTCGACGACCTTGATACCGGTTTCGAGAACCTCCGCAGTCGTTGACTGGTCTACGAACGCAGGGGGATCGGCATGGATGGGAGAAAGCTTGACACCTTTGATTGGCCCACGCTCGTCAATCGGCTCGCCAATGACGTTCATGATACGACCCAGCGTGGCTTTGCCGACGGGGATTTGTATAGGTGCACCGGTGTCAACCACCTTCTGACCACGGACCAAACCCTCGGTACCGTCCATGGCAATGGTACGAACGGTGTTCTCACCAAGGTGAGATGCAACCTCGAGGACAAGACGACCGCCGTGGAAGTCCTGAACTTCGAGGGCGTTCAGAATGGGAGGAAGAACGTCGGTCTCAAACTGCACGTCGACGACGGCACCAATGACTGTCTTCACCGAACCAATAGTGCCCTTGGCCTCCGTTGCATAGCAGCGCGCTGTTTCCGAAATCACCCACACCAACCGGAGAAAAAAGAGAAACTTGGTTAGAGTGAACCGAGGTAGTGCACAAAAGCTCTACTGACCTGGCTGGGATGCGGAGACGCGAGAAGGACGGGCGGCAGGTTGTTTTGATGCGGCAGAAGGAACGGCAACACGGGACAGCAGGGGTGCTGCAGTCTGTAAGAACCTGTTAGAGTTCTTGACGCTGTTGGCCGCTCTCCTGGAGATGCGGGTGACGCCGCGGGCGGTGAGCATGATGAGCAAGGAAGAAGGACTCCTGCGGAGGTAAACGAATTTTTGTGTCGAAGAAATACCCGGCCTAATAACACGATCCGGCCTAAGAGATTAAAACTCAGCTCCAACCTCCGACCCTTCCGATTTCGGCCGTATTGCTTAGGTAATAAATCATGCAGCGCGTCGCGCGTCGAGACGCGGTTACGAGCGTATCGCAATCATGCAAGGATTATCATTTGTTTCCAACGGACTGCTCGGTCCATCCACGAAAGCAGCTGATACCCCACTTCCTGAAGACTTGCTGGCCACTTCACTAAACCCAGAGCCACAAACAACTAGCTTCTCTCCCAATGGGTCGGCGTGCAATGTTTTCAGACCAGACCCCCCGTCTCCTCTAGACAATCATCACGTTTACAATGAAGCACGTGGTCTTGATGATTCTACAACGGTCACCTTCAACCCAACTGGCCTACTCTCAGAATCCCAGGGTAGGTTCATCAAATCGTTGGCCTTCGTCTTCTGATTTCAACAGATGATGCATTTCCACCAATATCTGCTATCCTCGCTCTCAACTCTAATAGGAAAGAGCTTGAGGTACCTGCCTTGTCACATGCTCGAAATTCTCTTCGAGCCACGACGTATGACGGTAAAACTCTCTACATCAGGCGTAAACCCCGCGTGGTTGAACTACGCAAGGTTTGTTGGTGTCCAGTTCAGCTGGTTTGTCTGTTCGCTAACTCCCTGATTGCAGTCAAACGCCCCCACCCCGCAAGCAAGCAATCTGTTGGAGATACCGATACATAGACTCATGGAAGAATGCTCCAGTTCCAGTGCCATGAAAGCCAGCACAAGGCAAGCTGCCAGTTTCTTCATAAATTCTCCTTCTAATTACAATTTTGATGTGAAGCTGTATCTCTGAAAAAGAGCGCCCTAACGAGCAAACGCATGGCGAACATACCTTATGGGTAGAACGATATCGACCTCGGCGTTTCACTGAACTCCTCGGGAACGAACGAGTGGCCCGCGAAGTTCTAGCATGGGTAAAACAATGGGACTGGTGTGTGTTTGGCAAGCATCGGAAGAAGAGGGCCCGAGAGAAGGAAGATAATTATAACGCTGAGGACGAGTATCGCCGGCCAAGAGAAAAGGTCGGCATCTTTATTTTTCGATTGCCACACAGAGTTGAAAGCGTGCCATTTCCAGTTGTTACTATTGTCAGGTCCTCCAGGGCTTGGCAAAACTACCCTAGCTCACGTCGTTGCCGCACACGCGGGCTACGAGGTCATGGAAATCAACGCAAGGTACGTTCTTGGAAACATTAGTGCTCTTTCCATACTGAGACCTATGGAGTGATGCTCGGTCTGCCCAAATCATCGACGAGCGAATACGACCTACATTAGAGGCAGGGTCCAAGGTTGGAAGCTCAAAACCGGTTCTACTGGTCATTGACGAAATTGATGGTGCTACCGGGGGTGGTGACAATGTAAGCCAACTCTTAGACTGATGTCTTGTCATTAAAATTGTTGCCCGCAAGTCAAGCGGCTTCGTCCAGAAACTGGTTTCACTCACCTTTAATAAATCGAACAAGAAGGGTATGCTGTGTACTACACTTTTTCCGTTGGTTCATTAGAGTCTACCTAGGAAAGAGTCGAGGTAAAAACCACTCCCGTCCGCTTCTGCGGCCTATAATCTGCATTTGCAACGACCCAAACTCTCACGCATTAGCAGCGCTTCGCCCGCACGCGCGGCAAATCCGGTACATGCGCCCAGCCGACGTTCACACTGTTAGGCGACTTCGCGAGATATGTGAGCTCGAGGGGTTGAACGTAACCGCAAGAGCTTTAAGCGTTCTCGTCGGCATAGCAAAAGGAGACTTGAGGGGCTGCCTGAACACACTGCAGGTCCGTCGCCGTCGTCGCATTTTCTGGGATTTGCCACCGACTATATACGCAGTTCATCAAATCGAGGAATGAGGATGTCACAGAACCACTCATACGACGGGCTACAGCGGGCATGAAGGAGGGAGACAGTACTACAACTACTGTCCTCAAGGAGGTCTTCGCACCACTTTCTGAGAGGCGAATAAAGGACCTTGCATTAGGGGAAGACGATGGGACGCGTTATGTCAGTCGCTTGAATCGGGCGATAGAGGTCCTCAATAACCCTGCCAGCGTCGCAAACGGTACGTCTAGTAGTGCATAATCCCCTCCTCACGGCCAATCTTATTTGTACTCAGGATGTTTTGCTCAGTATCCACACTATCGTCGGCACGAGGCGGATATGTCGCGATACCGGCAGGTAAATGAGTGGCTGGTGGCGTTTGATACCCTGTCGTCGGCCATGTATGCCGAAGGAGAATTCGAGCTGCACGGCTACCTCCCATATCTTCTAATACCCTTCCACCCCCTGTGTCGGGAACAACGGAGCCAGCGAGTGGAGAGGGATACATCCGATTGGGATGTAAGTGGTCTCCACTTCATCAACCCAATGCGCTGACGGGCGTATGAATAGAACCTACGACTCACGCGTGCTAATGAGGAGATTTACAAATCACTAGCTGATGGCATCCGCAACTCCAGCAAGACGCCCTGTGCTTACAGACACCTTATCACGGGACAGGCCCTCTCTCTTGAATTTGCACCATACATTAACCGCATAATATCCCCTCCCTTGCGACCAGTGTGTATCATCAGGGTGCATAAAATTTCAATGAAAGTAGCTTATAACTTGAATAGGTCAATAGCCAGATTATCAAGCCCGCAGAGCGTGCGTTGGTCTCTCGCCTTGTGGAGATCATGATATCCTTGGGTTTGCGTTTCGTTCAGGAAAGGGCAGAGGATGGACAACTGGTGTACAGGCTCGACCCGTACGTGTCGTTCGATTTCCCTGGCAATAATCGCTTCGCTGACGATTTGGGTACAGCCCAATGGATGTGTTCGTCACCTACGATGGCAAACGCGCACCTGACATTGCAACTTCGAGATACGCAGTTCGACATCTTATCGCCGCAGAGGTTGGTCTACTTCCTTCTCTTTAGTAAAGTAAAACTTAGCGCTTCGCTAGATTGACGCTGCTCTCGCTGTACATCCAGTCGATGTCACGCCGAAGAGCGGAAATTCCAGAGGGAGAGGTCACTCCAGCAAAAAGTCCGTGTTTCGCTGAGCACTCCGGCTGTTAACTTTTGCTCATATAGCCTCGGCAGGATGCTGGAGGAGCGACCTGATGGTGATATAGCTGATACGGAAGTCGTCGGCAAAGAGGGTCCGCCGCTACTGGACGAAGATCAACTTCCTGTTCACAAACGTCATCGCCCAGCAGACTTGATGGATGACAAGGCAGGTTTACATATACTGACACTCGATATAACCTTACATAGTACGGTTCCCTTCAGGACCCCGTTGATTTCTTTGGACGTCCAATTGCCGTGCCTCGCAAAGCATCGAGTCCAGGTGCCCCACGATCGGAGGGCGCGTTTGTCCCGTTCCGTACGACATATCGTTACCTCGAAGGAAATTCAGCGGCTGTGCGTAAGCCCGTGAAAGTCGCTTCCTTTCTGTAACATGTGGGAGATGTTTTCGCCTGTATTTGCATCCGAAAGGTGTAGCGGTTCGCTGGCCGCTCGGATGGTGCCCCTGCAAGTATCTGGGCCAATTCCCTGCTGTTTCAATGAAACTTGGATTCGTGGATGCATACACGACATTTCGATAGATTGTTCTCAAAGAGTTCGTCACCGACAGTAGCGCCAAGTGTCACCTACAACTAAGAGACGGCTGAAAACCACGGCTATTATTTTTGTACTGCTTGAGAACTTGCCGGGTGCTCCGCGTGAAAGCCAACATGTTGTGAAGCTATCGAGTGCATACCTGCATAACTTTATTTTGTCACTCAACTGGATTTATTTTAGGCGATGGCTGGCACCGTTGACACGAAGCAATCTCGTGCCGCGCCTATCCCGTCATCGAGATATGTACCATATTTTTCACGGGCTAACGACCGTATCGAGCCCACTGGGGATGTCTGTGGGACACTTGCCTGATAACCTGACCGCAAGTTCAGACACCGTGTTCAGCGTGCGGATGCCTTTCTCAAGGGCTCGTCTAAGTCACTAATCGCAGGGGACCGGACAAATGTAATGCACTCGCATGTTCAGTTTTGTGAGTGCCTACTGCCTTCTATTGACGTATACAATACGCAGCTATGCTGGCAGGCGCTACCCTTCCAGTCACCGGAACGGTCACTTCTGCATCACTCCGTTCTAGCCATCAAGTATCACCGAACACGTGTGAGCGTGGCCGTTATTTGCTATACTTATTTTCCTCTGGAAATCTGGACCCTGGCGTTAACTAGGCCAGTTAACATGTCATCCAACATCGAATGGTCATACATCGACGAATTCGACCCCCTGAAGACATACTTCGTAGAGATTCACCACGTCGCGGCGTATGTACTCAGTCTACGCAGCCGCTGGCGACTCGAAAATCTGCGAACGGCAGTACCTGCTCGCTGGCTGGTCGGTTCACTTCAGGAAAGGCCAGCTGCATGCACTAACTATGTCCACCCATACAGAGACTGCTGGCTTTGCAGGGTGAGAAATGCGCCCACGAGCAAGTAACGGATTGCCCCCTGCAAGGGTTGTTATACAACCGCGAAATCACAAGAGCCCAATCCAGCGAGAACCCCAGGGTTAGTCCGACTATGGATCCGAGCCTGCCCCCATCATGCGAATCCAGCGAATCGGAAGTTCCAGAGATCTCGGATGGATTGACGTTTGACGCTGCTGTCTCGGAGATTTTTGCCTACACCGGCAGAGAGAGCGAGGTATCGACTTCTATCGCTCGCTTGTTTGCAAGCATACCCGGATGCAAATTAGAGAGGTACTCTGTTGCACCAAGTTCCGCACTTCGCTTTTCTGAATACAGGTCCCTCCTAGGGATCCTAATCATACCTATTCTCCTAGGGTATCGACCACACGGCCTCTAGATTTTATGTTGTTCTCCTCGCCTTCGCGTAGCGGGAGCCTCGAGAGTCAATCTCTCGATATCTCGCTCTCGACTCGGCCATCCGTAATGTTATGGATGAAGGGTCCCGCCTATTGGCGGCACCAAGCGGACACGCGATTACAGGAGTCTTCACCAGCGCGTCTGCGAGAAGACATGGCTAGTCATGCGGGACCGCACCTGAGCAGCCTTATTGCTTGCTGGACAATATCAACATCTCACTTGGAAGCAAACGTGCTCCCAGAATGGCTTGTGCTATTTGGCGTCATCCACGATGCAGACCACGTGCGTATAGTTGCACACATACCGTTCCGTGGAAGACATGCGCCGCATTGTTACTTGTCTTATCTTGTCGACGAGTTGTCCTTTGGTGCACCACTTTTCCCTCAAGGAAGTGCTACCTGCGGACAAATAACTGACCGTCTACGTGTTCTTCTGGCTTTCGTGGCTTTACGACGGCACGTAGGTGACTTACGGCGGCTTCTTTTTGGGACTGAGCCCTACCGAGACGAGGCATTTACTAGTGTGAAATCATCTTCCTCGAAGTACTCACGGTGCTCTTCACATTACAAGACGCCGAGCAACACTTCTGTGCGTCTTTCCGATGGATCACCAGAAGGCGACTCCGAGTACTCCTCGTGCAGGTCTAGCGTTCTCCCTCGCATGGCAGGGCTAGACGATGAAACCGCTTACCACCGCAGGAATAAATGGCGTTCTCTTTCTAGAGTTGGGTCCACTCCCAAGACGGTAAATCACTCGAGCGACGGGCACTTAACATTTTGCACGTCCTCCGCATCCTGTTGCAGTAGCTTTTCTATTCTGTCGGATGATATCAGCTCATCGAGTTACGAGTACTCGGAGCGGTCACGGAGTGGATCTCGATGGTCAGGCTTTATGGAGCCGTCGACCAGCTCTCTGTACCAAGCAGATTTTGGGGCGAGTGAGGCAAGGTTACCTGACCCCTCATATAGTTTGAGAGCTCTAGATAACGGGAGGAGAGCGGAGATCGTCGCTTGGATTGAGGGTATCCATTCGACTCAGCCGCCTGAAGATGACACATACTTTATTGCTCTAGAGTGCTGACGCGCTGCAAAACACAATGGCAATACTGCATGAAAATGAACGAACAAAACATAGTGAGTCGTGGTCTCTCTAAAGAATGAAGCGTACAGCTAGCCCCCATGTCAGATAGGAGATCACAGGACGTAACGGAAGTTGCGATTTTCCTTATCAGTAAGGTCGAGGAATGTCCTATCGACCTTCACCTCTACGCCATCCTCTAGACGCACAACATGGACCGATTCCACCTCCGGATCCCTGCCCTCCAGTTCACGTTTGGCATTATCAGCGGCGAGAATATGACGCAAGAGAAGCAGTCCCAATGCGGAGCAAAAGTTGGTAGTAGTAATGACCGCCCATGGAATGTGATTCCTGTAATGTATGTGGTTAATTCCGGGGTTACACATAATTCAGTATTTTACCTTGGCTGATATTGAGCCTGCCACATAAACTGGCTGACAGCGTTTCCCGTTGCGTAGCCGCATAGCACCATAGCGTTAGTCGTGATCCCTGCGCAATGGTAGGTTAATCAGATTTGCATGGTAAAGTGTGATTAGCTCACGCTTGGTATGTCCCGAAGTTATCGAACCCACCCATCCCAAAAAGATGGTGAATGGAGCGATAGCAAAAACTGATGATTTCATGAGCGAAAAAATGAAGTGAGCCTCGTCAGCAGATAGGGGACAAGAGAACATTTTCTCACTGCAAATCCAATAAGAGAATAGCAGGCCAACCTTGTTTGAATACGGAAGAAGGCTGACAAGGATGGCACCCAAAATCGCAGGGAGGTACATCAGCGTACCAGCATATGCGCGACCAATATACTCTGATGAAGCAAGTCTGACTCCGAGCCAGATGGTCAGGACTACGGACAACTCCGTTAGTGTCCCTGCGGGCAAGAAAAACGGGTCTCGAACTTTCTACTACTCCATCCACACAACCAAGAAGAGTGGTCTGAATAGCACTGAAACCGAACTGAGATACTATCAACTGGCGTTGATTAGTAAGCTGATTGGAGAACGCCTGAAGTGAGAAGTTGGTCAATGACGAGCATGCACCATGCTTACAGAGTTGACAACGTTTCTATGCAGCCACAAGACCAGGATCAGACCGCCGCCGCCGAAGAAAACTAGGAAAACGCACGAGGCACCAGCAATGAAAACTAGAAGCCATGTTTTGGGATCCTTAACTGTCTCTACAAATCTGTGGCGTAGAAGTTCTCAGTCCTTGGTAAAGAAAGGCACGCGCGGACGTACTGCGGATACTTGAAGTGCTTATTCTCTATGCCGGTCTGGTTTACCCGAATACGTTGCACAGCCTGAGCGCGCTCCTTTGCGCTGAGGAACCATGCCGACGTTGGAGAGTCTGGGAAAAGGAACCTTCACGTGATGGCGGATGTAAATATCACACATCTCAGGCGGTGTTGCACCGAACTCCACGGGCTTACCAGAAGAGGACAGCTGTCACCAATGTGATGGTACCAGTGATGATCATCAACCTGGTGATAATGTCGGTGACTGAAGTTGCGGTTGAGAGGTGATGCCTACTTACCACTGCCATGGCATGAAATTGGGTGTATGGGTGTGAAGGACGCCGAAGCTAACGAAGCCAAGGATAATAACAGCGAAGCCATTCATCAGAACTACCTCCGCGTGGTTAAGTGACTGCAACAAACTCGGTAGTGTGAACCTACACCAGTAACCGACGCGCAGGGTTTGTTCCTCTCGCGTGTAGAACATAGAGGTCACGATCATGAATCCAGGGGTTATGGCGCCTTCACAGATACCAAGTAGAAAGCGGACAGCGAATAAAGCCCCGAAAGATTTACAGGCGGCATGACAACACAAGATGACCGACCACAGCAAAATGTTGATGCTGAAAGGGTCGAGGCGAAAATGGGGTCACTATAAATGCCACGGTGCGACAGTGCGGGCGCACCTCATCCACTTGCCAACGGGGAAGCGTTGAAGTGCCAGATTCTGGGGGTATTGAAACGCAAGGTAGCTGAAGTAGAAGATTGTACCCAACCAATTGTATTGATTGGCAGACAAATCGGCATCCTCGCTGCGATCGAATATCCATGAGGCAAAATTATAAACGGGAATAACCCTCTCCTTACAGTATACCGAGTACAGCAGCTTCGCCAAGGGTGGTCTTGTCCATGAAAGTGATCCTATTAACCAGTCAAAACGTGCCCTTTGATTTTCGGACCAGATCCGTACAAGTACATGACTGAGAAAAATTAGACGTTACAAAGCGGAAGGGTTAAGGGGTGCAAAGACGTACTACACATAAACGGCATGATGTGCCAGTCAATCTTTCGCCTGCAGTAGAAAGGTTAGTCTAGGTGTTATCACTCAGACTCGACAAAGAGTAGACCTGAGAGAGCGTGCCTCCTCATCAGAGAGGGGAACTGGTTTGAGGGTTGCCGCGACATCAACATCCCGAACATCCGATGGCTCTGCGTGCTTTCGCTCGTCGCTGCAGGAGGAGTCCATGGTGAGCCCCACGAGATGTGGAAGAGTTCTAAGAGAGGGTATGAACAACTGCCTTCATGTGGTCATGTTTCGGACATGAGCTTTAGCCGCTGCGAGGCGCGGATTGAGTTCAATGAATTGATTGAGTATCGTCATCAAGTCGTAGTAAGTATGTATCCCGTTTTGGAAATGTCATGCATCTGGGCGCGCACTGCACTGGGTCACTCAGGTGCTACATTCACTGCCATCATATCAGTGCCTTCCCAAAAATAATGTCTGATGTTCCCCAAGCTGGCACAAAGGAATGGGTACTGGAGCCAGAGACAGAATATCGCTTTGAGCTGGATCCGGGAACTTCCCTCGCGATTAAGGTATGTTAGTCCGACGTGCGCGGTGGTTCTCCCAATTATGATTTGAGACAGCTCTTACGTGGAAATGCCGAGATATTTGGTGCAGAACTTGCAGAGGGAAAGACCTATCTCTTTGGCTTCGAATGTAAGGCCGCCGTTTTCACCTGGCAAGGTTGTACAATTAAGATGAGTGCTTTTCCCCCTTCCCGAAGCTGCGTGACATAAATTCCCCTCAACACGTTACAGGACAACCTTCCACGGAATATGTATCAGAGGAAACCCCAATGGGCGCATATGCAAATCTCCACATGGCTTTCGAACAAATGCGTGTTCGTGCTCTGAGTGCGTTGCACGGATCTCCGGTGCCTGATGCTGATTATGGTGCGAGCGCCGAACCACCGCGAGTTCTTGTCGTGGGTCCAGAAAATTCAGGGAAGACGACAATATGCAAAATCCTTACCAATTATGCAGTCCGTGTCGGCCAGAATCGCTCTCCGATACTGGTAAACGTAGATCCAAGCGAGGTCAGCTTAGATTGTGTATTTGCATCCGTCCCTCCTGTCATGGTTGTTAGGGAGCTTGGATCATCCCTGGCACAGTCTCTGCCGCAGTGGTTACAAGCCCCATCGCAACTTCATCTCCAGTGAATCCGCTAGGCTCTGCAGCTACCACTGCTCCCACTGTGCTTGCCTCAAATGCCCTAACACCTCTAGTATATTGGTACGGTCATTCCGAGATTAAGAAGAATCCTTTGTTGCTTGATCGACTGATCCGCAACTTGGGGGAGAACGTCATGGAAAGACATTGCAATGACCCCGAAGGTACACCCAACACGCTCTCTTGCGTTTCCCGCTCATAAATTTCCAGAACGGACGTCGGGGTTAATCGTTGACACCTCGTCTTCGTTTGCTTCTGGGTCTGGTTCTGCGGACAATCGGCAAACTTTGGTAAAGGCTTGCGTCGACGCGTTTAGAAGTACGTAGAACGCTCCGGTTCTTTGAAACACGGCATGGACGCCGATCTCAGTAAACGTTATTCTTGTCGTTGGCCATGAAAAGCTGAACGTCGAAATGCAAAGGTCATACGGGAGCCGGCTTACCGTTGTTAAGATACCGAAGTCGGGAGGGGTACTTCTCAAAGGCCTCTAATGTGGTTAATATGCTCATATATAACTTCAGGTTGTCGATCTCGACCCCAGCTATCAAGAACGAGTGCACAACTATCAGTTACACGCGTATATGTACGGGCAAAAGCTTGATCCCCCTCCAGGTATCACCTCTGCCATCGTGGCGAGTGAAGCTGCAGCAGATCTTGTGCTTGCTCCCTCCTCTTCAGTTGTCAAGTTTGAGGACATCACCATCTACCGTATAGGAGAAGGTGAGGTATCTTCATCCATAGTTCTTCATCGTTTTTCCTCAATCATTTAAGAAACCATGGCGCCTTCTTCGGCGCTTCCTATTGGCGCTACTCGCACGCTTTCCGAGATGCAGCCCATCTTGCTAGATCCCGCCGCTGTTGGGTCAGGTCTTCTCAATCGTGTTCTAGGAATACTTTCCCCCTTCCACCCAGATGAGAATGAACGATATGACGAAGAAATTCTGGATTTGTCGGTGACGGGTTTCCTGGTTATGTGAGTTCGCCACCTGTTGCGGCGTTTCCGAAGAGACTGACCATCCTCGCGTCAGTACCAATTTAGACGTCCCGAACAGGAAGATGACAATTCTATCGCCTAATCAGGGGTCGATAATAGGGAAGACGGTTGTCATTGGGTCCTTTGAATGGCGAGAGTAGTATTCTATCACTTATGATAAAAGTCCCATTGGACAACCGTCGAGAACCAACTTCGCGAAAATTGGGTAACAGATCATTAAGTACCATGGTTGACTGGAGTGCTGCATGAGGTGACTGAGCTACAAAATTGAGAGGTCCCGACCCCAGACCCCCCTTGAGAAAACAAGCATCAGTGCATTGCCATCCAGCCTTTATGGGATGGGAAATGTACCTTATGATCCAATCAATCATTAACAGGGCCCTCGTCCTTGCGGAAACCTGTTCATTCCAGTACACGCCCCTCCACGCATACATGGCAAACAGTCCGCCCATGAATGATAGATTTCCCAGATCGAAAACAGCCGCATTGCCGATATATGCCAGACTACCCAGGTGCCTATAGCGGAACGGTCCCAACACAGCTTCATCCAGGTCCTTCACAAAGTTCGCTTCGAGCACTTCCCGCTGGGCAGCAAGTTTGTTCAGTTTTCTGCCAAGATACTTGCCTTGTTGGGAAGCAACTTGTGCAGTCTAATCACCGAACTGTCGTTAGGAGCCGACATAGGATAGTAGAAATATCCTACGGCTGGCAATGCTGTTACACGGTTACCGAGCTCCTCCAGGAGTTTGCATAGTTCGTTCAAATTTAAGGTATTGTCTGCATCTGAGTCGTAGCGGTTGAAGAGTGTTCTAATCTGTGCGAGCATCATCTATGTGACCAGAGGGATGCAAGAACAGCAACGACGTACCTTCGCCAAGTGGGACTCAGACATAGGGATACGCTGTTTGATCCTTCGGACTAAAGGAAATATGAACTCGTGCAGAACTACATCGCTTCATCCCTCCATGACTTACCCATGACTTCGAATTCGTCGAAGTCTATCTTTCCATTCTTGTCTCTGTCAGCTTCATCAACCAACTCCAGAAGGTAATCCACAGCAGAGGTCTCAATCTATGCAGCAGGTCAAATCAGTTTCACACTCGGGTTATATATCGGGGTTCCACACGAACGGTTGCACAATCGCCCATTGCATACACCTCGCCTGGCGGCGCACCCTTAACACGCAAGTGTGCGTCCACCACAATCGCCTTCTTGTGGACTTGGTTGGGCAGCAAATTCGAAACCCGTTCCGTGAATGGATTCATTGCAATACCAGTTGACCAAAGTACGAAATTGCTTTCGATTTCATGTGTGCTGATCTTCCCATCCGAGCCCTTGACTGTGTACACTACATGATCGGGGAAAACCGCACTAACACGTGCCGAGGTGATGAGGTCTACATTTTCACGACGGAATTTTTCCTGATCCGAGTTGCTCAGTGTGAGAGCCTAATCGACAGAATCGGGAGGTCCAACTCACCTCCGCGAACTTAGATATTGCTTCAGAGTACTGATAGCCAATTAGTCTGCATACCGTAGCTACTTATTTTCCTACTCACGGTGTTCAGGATGTGTTCACGGGACTGAATAAGATGTATTGAAACCTCCTCGCGACATATCTTTGGGTACTGAGAACCATAATGGGGTGAACTGATGAAAGCACAGCAACGGCTACCCAAGGGCTCACATAATTCATGATGTCTTCCTGGCACAAATCGTGAATTTCCTGCAAGGAAAGCAAGACGTTGTTAGCACACTATCGGTCTTACTAGTAGCTGACCAAGGACCTACTGCAGCAGTCTCGACGCCTGTGGGTCCCCCGCCACAAACAACAAAGCTCAAGAGGCGCTTGCGTTCTTCAGGACTGGTTGTTGGCAAGCTTGCAGTCTCAAAATTATCTGGCAGAACGGTCAGGATACATACTCATCGCGAGTTTGCTCCTCACTGATAATTCGACGTCGAATAGCCTGGGCGTCTGATATAGTCTTCAGCTGGAAACAATGTTCTAAGCCAGGCACGCCGTGAGTGCTAGAGACAGAACCGCATGCGATGATCAGCTTGTCATATCTTCCAAAGTGTAAGATTATGCATGTGGAGGTAAGCAACATTGCCGCACGGAACATAAATGCGCTGGGGTTGACGCGAGGAATCGAGCACCTCCACTTCCAGTAATCGCTCGGACATTACTAGATCCACTGCGTTACCGTGAATCATCTGCCCATGCAGTCGAGCAATAATTTTCCTCATTGGTTCAATGAGGCTGCGGATCTGAACCGTGCCCACGGCGGCAGCTGGAAGAACGGATAAGGACAGCAGAGTGCAACACTCAGCCTCGACAACTTACAGGGTAACAGGGGAGTAAATGTAGTAAAATTCTCTGGCGCGACGACAATTACATGGTATTCACCCGTCGCAAGGGTCTGCAAAGTTGCCACCGACTTGGAAAAAATATATGTCAATCAAAGTTAGACCACAACGTTGTTGCACCTACTCCCCAGCCACCCCCGACAATGACCAACTTTGGTTTCTCGCTCAACTTCTTGGCCTCTTCGTCCTCTTCGTCTGCCAATAAGGCTTTGACCACTGGTAAGTTTTTAGGACCACCACGTTCTGGATGCAAAGCCAGAGGGGATACTGGGACACGGTCCACGTGCCGGTCTGTATAAGTAAATGCATCGTGAATAAAAAAGCCTGCTCCGATCGCGAGTACGCCAAAAGCGGCGGATAGAGCGAAGTAGGAGGTATATTTTGCAACTTGTAGTGAGCGCTTAAGAAAACGAGATCTAGGACGAGGCTCTACAGGAATACTAGATTGTTGCGTGTCGGTTTGGAAAGCCCGTTCTGCAAGAAACCGAGTTGCGCAAGGGAGCTGCGTTCGTACCCGTACGGTTCGCCAAGGAGCCAGTTGAATGAGATTGGCTCGGGTCGGTTGGGAAAAGCGGATAAAGGAGTTCATCCTTTCTAGCAATGTCGCTCAGTTGGTTTTATGATGAACCAAGAACGAAACGTTCAGCGAGACCACGCAGCATGGAGCTAGCAATTGTCCGTGCGTACGTTTCAGACGTCACTAGTGTCCAACTTTGGAAACCTGCTCCGTGCAATTCCCACCTACAGCAACTTTGGACATCATTGAATTGCTATGGTAAGTTACAATGCTGGATATCAGTGTTAAGAGATGTAATGATGATAAAATACGGTAGTAAGCAACGGGGAATCGTCCATGCACACCAAAGCCCACGAGTTCACGACCTCCTCAACCGGAAATCACGTCCCCGCTTCCTGTAGGTTCAACGGTAGAGAGTAACGAGACGTTCGAGCTCTTGGACGACTTCTATCATTGTGGGACGTTCTCCAGGATCCTGGGCCCACATACGCTCTATCAGATCGACAATTTCAGGACACCATTGCTTCTTTAAGCCGCTAATTGGAGGCCTGTGTTTGAAAAGTCAGACGCTGATACCACAGGGTCCCCAATCAATATACCTTTGGCGTTTGGCACCGACTGCTTCGTAAATGGCGTGTTCATTCATGCCCTGTACACATGCTTAGACACCCTTCAACCGGAAAGAAGAGTTGACCGGGCTAACCTCCCATGGAAACTTCTTGTTCGGAAAGTGCCACTGTAGTACTTCCCAATAGACCATTCCACACGAAAACACGTCGACTTTGTGATTGTACTTGGGGTGAGCGTGCCAAAGTTCCGGGGCTTGCCAATTAACGGTGCCAACTAGGCTGCGCACCATCGAGCGCGTCGACTGCTTGACCTTAGCAAGCCCAAAGTCAGCGATCTTGGCAATCCCACGAGACGTTATTAGGATATTAGATGATTTGCAATCCCTGTGAATCACAGATGGTTTGCGCATGTGCAGGTATTCCAATCCACGTGCAATATCAAGCATTATGTTCAACTACGAGATGGAGTTGAAGATTTAGAATATGGCATGAGTGATGTGTACGCACAACTTTATATAGAGATGGAGGAGAGACATTGCGAACATAATCAAAAAGATCGCCATTTGCGCAAAGCTCGCTGACGATCATGACTGGCGACTCGCGCGGGTTCTCAGGAAGGGAAACTCCAAGCTACCAGAATTTCTTCAGCGGATACTTAAGAGTTAACTAGACAGACGCACGAAACGGACAATGTTTGGGTGATTAAATCCGCCCAGCAGCTTCAGCTCTTTGATGTCCACTAATCGCGAATCATTATCACGCGAGGACAACAACAAACAAACCACGTACTAGAGCTCAACTGGTCTCGGAATTCAGCAATGGCAACTCTGCGACCCTTGAAACGACCAATGTACACGTCTTTAAATCCACCACTGCCAATCTTTTCAAGTTTAGTCAACTTATCCGGTGGTATTTCGCGGTCTTCTAAGCCCAAGCTCTCCAGATCCAGCTCGAGTTCCGGTTCGGGCTGGGTGGCCCCAACATTAGAAAGGGGTGGTGTTCGGGGTTCATCTTGATGTATGCGTTGCAACCGCATCAGTACAGGAGGAGTCTTACTCTTGCTCTTGGTGCGACGACGCCCACGGACGCGAGCAGTAGATGGTGGGCGCACTGTGCCAGCAGAGGATGGTGACGAGAAACCATTGTCGTGACGATCCCGCCATTGTAATAATGACTGGGCCAGTTGAGGCTTGGTGCCAGCAACATCTAAATCTCGGGTTTCGCAGAGACGTACGAGGTCATCGCGTCGCAGGCGCACTAGGGACTTCTTTGTGGCAAGGGTGAGATCGACTAGGCGCAACTGTCAGTGTGGATCACGTTCGGGAAGGCGGGGACGCACAATCGTCATGATCCATAGTTTCATCTTCCTCCTCGTCAACACCTTCAGCACACTCAGCGTCCAAATCCACGGACTCGGTTTCCAAGTCAATCTCATCCTCCTCGTCATCTTGTTCCTCGGTGTCATCGTGTGGAACTTCACCACCCACTACTTTTCCACTCCGTAACTTACGCGGCTGGCACCCCGCTGGGGTCACGAGACTAGCAAGATATTCGCCATCCTCCTCACCACGCTCAGAATCGTCTAGGTCATCCTCTGCGTTCTCCTCAACCCCATCTTCCTCGACGTTTTCTTCAGCTTCGTCTTCCTCCAAATCTTCCTCAGCTCCGTCTTCCGCGATATCCTCCTCAGCTCCGTCTTCCGCGACATCTTCAGCCTCGTCTTCTTCCGCATCTTCCTCAACTCCGGGTTCGTTCGCGAGCTCCTCCGGTTCATCCTCATCATCACCTTCGCCTCCGTCGTCGGTTGGTGACACACGTTGTGTTCTCCGCGGCCGTAGCCGTCTCTTTACGGGTGTTTGACGACCCTGAGGCGGTGGCGTTGGAGAGGGCGATGAGATCAGTTCATCTACCTCCTCGTCATCTTCCATTAATTCCTCTCCCGTTTCTGAACTTGTTTGCTGCATACACCGCGTTCTGCTTCTGGCCTGACGCGGTGTCGCATCAGAGTCCTTTGCAGCAGGATGTGTTGCTATGTCACCGTTCGCTTTGTCCCTACTCCGAAGGCGCCTTGGACTCGCAGTGGAAGGACCAATTTTCTTCTCCAATTCCGACAGATCAGTGAGTTCGCTCTCCTCAGCTGAAGGGACAGGATATTGTACTTCGACATCCTCGTCGAATCCTACTTGCTTCACCTTGTTCTTACTTCTGGTATGGGAACCTTGTGATGACACGCGCTCCTTGGAAGATTTACTCCTACGACGACGTGTCGCAGGAGGTGATGGCAAAGCGTTGGCGCAGCTGGGTGGAGGAGATGAGCGGCTAGAAACGGACCGGGCATTTTTCCGCCTACCACAGTTAGGACATCCGTACTTAGCTGATTCAACAAGGCAACACACCTTGGAGCACCATTAAGATCAACTTTAACCTTTGGCATCGCGTTGAGCCCAGCAGGGCTTGGGAGTACGTTGCATTGGCCCACGGATAAACTACGCATTTTGAGCGCGCGGGCATCCATATTAATCACACAGTTGACGGTAGCACGCCGCCTGAGTCCGAATGGCGAACGATATTTGAGTGCAATGTCGGTCTCTTCATCCCCGGCAACGTTGCCGTCATCGGAAGAGTAATCGCTAGAGATACTGTCAGGCCTAGCCGGAGGGGACGAAGGTGGAAGCGATGCGACGTCGTCACGCGCTGCGACAATGGCTTCCACCAGCTCTGGCTTCGTAAATGAGTCTGGATCATCTACCAGCCCAGCCGCATTGTAGAGACGAACAAGTTCATCCCTTCGTAGACGCAACAGTTGTCTGGGAGGAGCCTCACTGATGAGGTATTCATCGGCTGCAGGACAATGAATGAGGCAGCATGAGGGATGACACATAACTTACATGATTCCGCGTCATCAGAGTCCGCATCGGAATCACCCGCTTCTCCCCAGGGCGGTTGAGAATCGACATCCATTGAGCCTCCTTCATCATCACTTTCCAAATTCTGAGATGTATCGGATTTAAATTTTTTATGTCTTCCAGCATCACGCGTCGGTCGCCCATGAGCGTGTGTGCTCTCATTAGCAGATACGACGCGTTTTCTCTTGGAGCCAATAGAGACGTGAACATTCTGACTGGCATCGCGCATGTTACCCTTGTATAGAAGGTTCTGACGGGATGGCAGCCTCCTGAGGTTTGGCTGAACGGTCGCCAAGATGGGACGGACTGAGACCGCAGTGTCGGAAGAAGAGGGAGACGCGCGCGAGGCGTGGGAATTAACCGAAGGGTGTTGAATTCTGTTCACGAAAGCGAGAGCGCGTTTCGCAGCGGACAAGTGGCGGAGAGAATACTTTCCGCTGCGAACTTTGGAGCTAATTGGCGACGATGTACTGACTCTGTGCGGTGAACGACGTTGGGCCATTCCAATAAGCAGGACTATAAGGGAGCCTGATTACACCGAGACCAAGAGTACCCTGTCAACACGCGTGCGGGCAGACTGATGAGCAAATCCACTCGCAGCCAGTTCCTCCCGGATATGTAGAGATGCGCTATTGCCGCTGATTGTTGCTGTGGCCGCCGTTGTCGCCGTCGTCGTCGTCACTGAAGACTAGTAGTCTTTGGTTTATTTGACTCTGTGTTGACCCCTCTTCACCCCTCGCCACATTGCAAACAGGACCAAAGAATGCTTACATAACGCCTTCTGATAGAAAGAAAATAGAAATAGAAATACAGTCGCCTGCGATCGAGAGCTTTCCCGTCTCCCCGCATATCTGTCACGATGCTTTTCAAATTCACCAAGTCAGACATCCTCAACTCTTCACTTGTTCACGCAGAGACTGGTGCTCTTGGATACACCATCCTCACCCGTCCCCACTACATCCGAGGTGACGATAAGGATTCAGACACCGAGAGCGAAGACGACTGCAGGGACACCCGCAGGACCGCCATATGCAACAAGGCTGGATCGGTGGTGGCAGAAATAAGGTGGAAGGGCTACCAGCCCATCGAAATTGTCATCGGGAAGGAGCGCATGTCTGCCAAGGGCGTATTTGGACGTCAGAGCGGTATCCTATCGTACGTTCTGCCCTTTCCTCCCCGCTTACTTGTCCTCATCCTCGAGTCCCCCCCTAGTGGAAATATTCTCGGAATACCTACGCGATTCGATACAGAGTATTTCTGGATGGCCTTGCCTGAAGGACTCACAGTACGCTGCCTTAGACCTTTACTGGCGAGGAATTACTCAACCTATCCAGCTTCTGGATCATGGCACTAACCAAGTCAAGGGACAATTTCACACCAACAGTCTACGTGTTGGTGATCGCTTGTTAGCGGCGCCAATATCGGGGCTGGGTCATGACTACCTTGAGTTCGAAGCCCATCCCCTTGTGTCAGTAGAAGAACTCATCGGTGGGTCCATTTTGATGTCCGAAATATGGATATTCCTTTGTAATTCTGTCATGTCTCAGTTACCTTCATACTGGTGGAGGTACTCCGACGAAGCCGCTTCCATCCTTACCCAGGTGATCACGATCGCCCGAAAATTTGGAGGGCCACATCACTGGCCAATTTGCGCCGGCGACTACGGCGAACTACTTTGTAGAACAACCAAGATATACCCCCTTCTCTCCGTCTTTGTATCCGTAACTACTCCCTCGCCGCTGTATGCGTTTCTCCTTTTAGGTGGGATACCCAAGTCAGTTTTTTTTCCGGTACACGGTTCCGACGTTCAACAGATCGTCATTCATCGCGTTCTGTAGTGATTCTCGGTGTTGGAATCCCGATGCACCCAAACAGGTGCTCCCTTTGTATGTGTAGCTCTTTCACGTAGCCTTTCAGAGTCTGAGGCGTAATAGACGTCATCAGGTGGATGTATATAAGTAGAAGTCAAAGAGAAGGACAAATGCGGTTTGTATATCACGGAAACCGGTACCTATTTTATCCGGTCACTCATATACACTTTTGACTTCATACATCTTGGACGAGATAGAAGTCGTGGGTAGCTCTCCGCACACTTTTGCGACCTCATACATCTTCGATGCTGGCCGCGGCTCAGCGTCCGACGATGCCGTCTTGGGGGTAGCGGCAAGTGCCTCACGACTTGCAGTATCCTTCCCTGCTGCCTTGCTCGCCAAATTCGCAGCCCGTCCATCAGGTATCTTGATAAACTCCAACTTTCCATCTTCTCCAGCACCGTCGAAGATATAGTACCCCTTCCTCTCGAACTGCATGATGTCGCCCTTCTTGAGTGCGTTCGCGTTTGCATCCGTGAACGCAGCTTCGCGGAACTCGCTAACTGGAGTGACGAAGTCCTTCACATCATCATCTTCTTCGAGCTTTTTCTTAGTGATGAGGTAGTCGTAGTCAAGAAGGGTGATATCTATTAAAGGATGGGCGTTCGTGGGTTGTGCGAGCCACGTTATCTTCTTTTTGGTTTGACGGAAGTCCCCTTCGAGATGCAGGTCCATCGTAAGTGAGGTGATCTCACCGTGTGGGCCAGTGGTCTTTGAGTGAACCACAGCATTGCCCCAGTCCATGAGGGTGATCTGACAGAAACATGTCAAAATTCTACACCGTAAATGCGCCAGGTAGCTGCACCTCTTCGTTATCCTCAAATGATGCGGCATCCTCCTGTTCCATTAGAATAGTCTTCGTATACACAACGTTCTTTTGCCCTATCGTTGGGTCTTTCTTGTGAAGAGGGAGCTGTTTCACCTCCGGCAACTCTGGCGCGCCGTTGACGATCACAGGAACACTACGGCCATCAGCAAGTGCACCCACGCTGAGGGACACACGTACATATTGTCTGTGACAATGGCCCACAATCGTGGTGCGATCGGGTCAATCACCTTCTTGTTGATCGCCCAGATAGAATCCCACTCCAGAGATACGATGGCTTGTGAAGGTCCTTGTGCCAGCATGAATTGCGAGAGTGCTTCGACCGTCATGCCGCGACGGCGAATCCCTGAATGCATATGTTACTCCTGACGATTCAGAGTCTAGTACATTCGACTCACCTCGGATAGTTGGGAACCGTGGATCATCCCATCCTTTTACGAGCTTGCTATCAACAAACCAGTGAAGTTTCCGTTTGGACAGTAGTGTATAGATGAAATTCAAGCGGCTTCGAGTGTAAAGCGTCAATATCTCTGACAGGAATTCGGAACCTAGTCGACGAACCTGTAATCCCATATGTTCACGGGACGGAGGCCTAGTGCGTCAATCATCCAATGATACTGCGCATTCCGTTCGCGGTATTCGTTCGTCCGCAGAGCGTGTGTTACACCCTCGATCGAGTCCACGATCGGACACGCAAAATCGTACGTTGGGTATATTTTCCACCGGTCCCTACAACGCACAGGTATAATCGAGGTCAGTAGAAATTGATATGCCACTTACCCTGTTCTATGATGAGGTATAAGGTTGCACCGGTAGATCACGGGGTCCCTGAGAGCCTTATTTTGGTCATCCACGCTAATCTTCGCTCGCAGGCACCAGCGCACGCCCTCCGGAGTACCAGCTTTCATCTCGGCGAAATGCTTTAAATTCTCCTCCACTGAGTCATCGCGATGTGCGGAAGCAATACCCTTGCCGCGTTCCTCTCGCATCTGCTCCAAGTCAGTCATTCGTTCGCGAAGAAAGAATCGGGCATACTTGAGCTTGTTCCGTGTCATCAGTATAAGCCTTCCCCGCCTTAATAAGTTGGATTGCGAGATCGTAAGTAGTGTCAAAGTAATCCGACGTGTGTGTGATGCTGTCTCCTTGGATGTTGAGCAAACTCAAATCCTCGAGAATAGTCTCCTCAAACTCGGTCTAACATCAAATGAGCTCAGAGATGGTAATTTGAAAAAGACAACAAGCACCTTCTCCTTCGTTGGGTTTGTGTCATCGAACCGAATGATCAACTTCCCGTTGTACATCTTCGCGAAGTATTGGTTCAGCATGGCAGCTTTAGCATGTCCAATATGCAGGTATCCACTAGGTTCGGGCGGGAAGCGCGTGACCACTTCACCTTGCTTCGCATTTTGCAAACCTAGGGCGAAACTTGCCGCGGTCTTATTGTTCCGCGCCTTATTTGCTTTGGCCGCGGTGACGCTCGCGAGAGCAATCTGGGTTGTTTCGAGACTTTCCAGATGAGAAAACCAGCGAAGTGCGTGGACGTGCTGCCCATTCTTGAGCAGGCCTAATGCCCTAATCGATGCTGAAGAGGAGAAAAATGGATAAATATTCAAACAGCAACGTATGATAAACCAGTACGTCACCTCTCATCGCTCCCCAAAGGAGCCAGTCCACCGCGATGATGTCGTTGGTCACAAGGAATGTGCGATAAGCGAGATGATTGTCGATCGAGTCCAGGACAGATAGGATGTCGGGCACTCCTGTTACAGTGGGTAGTGTCCTCGCCAATTCAGAATATGTCGCCGCCTGCAAAGATATTCTAGTTTGTAACGTTAAAATCCGAACAAACCGTCCAAAGCTTACCTTGGGGCTGTCCGCATCCAATCCTCCTGCCTTGGCCAAAGCATATACTATCTCGTCCTCAGCAGTGTATTGGACACCATCCAAAGCCAGCGTGACACTGGTTGCAGACTCATCGTAGTTCAGGTCTGCTTTCTGGGTGTAGGTCGCGATTGCGATCGCGGCGTAAGGAAAGGGCGTGGTCTTCGTCGAGAGAGTGAGAGACATGGCGGGTGCACCTTGGCTAGATCGATTTATTTTGTTATCAGTAATGAATCCCCTGTCGTCCACTAAAAACTAGGTTGGCAGGTGGCGCATCGTGAAAACTGTTTTGGGTGACCACAAATGACTCGAGTCCACTCAGTCAAGTCGGGTTTAGCGGCCTTCAATCCTGCATCCTTCACTGTTCCTGCCGCTCACGAACGATTCCTGACATGGGTTGTATGCTGTACGTCGGTCGATCTGTTTGGAGGTATACACTAATATCGTCCTTCCTAGCATCGACCCTTCTCAAAAGTACCAGCCGTACATCCCCCTCCAGTTCGATGGGCGAAAATGGCCCACGAGAACTTTTCAAAAGGCTCCCATCTGGCTATCCACCGATTTGCGTGATGGAAATCAGGCGCTGGCCAACCCCATGACCGCCGATCAGAAGCTCACTTTCTTCAGATTGCTCGTTAAGTGCGGTTTCAAGGAGATCGAGATCGCCTACCCTGCTGCCAGTGATACCGACTTCAATTTTGTCCGTTACCTCATAGAACACAATGAAATCCCCGATGACGTCTGGATCCAGGTCCGTAAGGATGAACGTAGTCAGGAGCTCGAGGCTGACGCCATGATTACAGGTTTTAACACCAGCGCGCGAAGACCTCATTCGCCGGACGTTCGAGTCCATAGTTGGTGCAAAACGTGTCATCATCCACATGTACAACGCAACGTGTGCATTGTTCCGCAGTGTCGTCTTTCGCAATTCCAAAGAGCAGACGATAGACCTTGCAGCGTCCCACACAAAGATTGTGCGCGACCTCTCGGACCAGTACGCTGCCTCATACGGTACATTGTTTCGATACGAGTATAGTCCGGAGACATTCTCCCAGACTGAAATCGACTTTTCCGTTGCCATTTGCGAAGCAGTCAAAGCTGTATGGGGGAAGGCGGGCCCTGGCGATAACAGAATTATTTTCAATCTCCCTGCAACGGTTGAGGTAGCTCCTCCCAATCACTACGCTGACCAGGTAAGTGCTAGATCTCGGCTGATATCCTTGCAGTTGTTTGACATACGCACACTATCCAGATAGAGTACTTTTGCACGCACGTATCCGAGCGTGAGCACATAGTTGTGAGCTTACATCCTCACAATGATCGAGGTATGCTGCAAACTGTCGCCAAGTTTATCACTTAACCCTTCGGCAGGCACGGGTATCGCTGCTGCGGAACTAGCCGTCCTCGGTGGAGCTGATCGAATCGAAGGGTGTTTATTCGGAAACGGCGAACGGACTGGAAACGTCGACATCGTCAACCTTGCGCTGAATCTGTACACGCAAGGAATCTCTCCCAATCTCGATTTCAGCGACCTTCAGGGCATCATCGATATTGTGACCCAATGCAACGACATACCTGTTCATCCCCGCCACCCTTACGCTGGCGAACTCGTTTTCACGGCATTCTCCGGTTCTCATCAGGACGCTATCAAAAAGGGCTTCGAGGAACAGAACCAGCGTCACGCACGTAACTCCGCCAATGGCGAACCGCAGATGTGGAGCATGCCTTACCTTCCGATTGACCCAGCTGACCTGGGCTGCACATACGAAGCGGTTATTCGCGTTAACTCGCAATCTGGTAAAGGCGGGATTGCATACCTCGTCAAGCAGCATCTCGACCTCGATTTACCTCGCAAGATGCAGATCACATTTTACCAGGTTATTCAGGCCATAGCTGACCGCGAGGCTCGGGAAATGACAGTAGAAGACATAACAACTGCATTCCGGAGCACCTATCACTTTGGTGGCCCGAAGTACGAAGGAAGGCTAGCGCTGAAGTCCTTCAATATCACTACGGAGCCCTCGACTGATCCCATAGATGAAGAAGAGATCCGTGACGAGCACCGCCACTTCGACGGCACTATCAAGGTCGACGGTGTTCTACGGGTTGTTCGAGGCGACGGGAATGGCCCTATATCTGCTCTGCTTGACGCTCTCCGCGTTCACCTGGACGTAAACCTTACTCTTCGCGAGTACAGCGAACACACCATCGGGGATGGTCAAAATGCTAGGGCTGCGTCATACATTGAGCTGGTGGCTGCGACAGACAATGTCAAAGAGGCGCGCGGGACCCCCCAATCCTGGTGGGGCGTGGGTGTCGATTCTGACATTACTGCCTCGGGTCTGCGGGCTGTACTCAGTGCCGTGAACAGTGCGATTGGTGATCGTGTCTTACCTGAACTGAAGCTCAATGTCGGCTTTAATTCCACGACGGGACAGGCTGACATCGCAGATGCCATCGTTAATTCTCTGGGATTGCAGTTGCCGCGACGTTTTCAGGCTTCATTCTTTCAAGTTGTTCAGCGTGCCACCTTCGACTCAAGCGGCCAGATATCACACGACAGCCTCACACAACTGTTCAAGGAGACGTATGGTTACGAAGTCCCACACTGTTCACGCTTCGAACTTTTATCCTTTAACCTTGAAAAGCTCACCGAGGCTGGCCGCCGTCGTATCTCTGTTGAGTTGCTGATTGACGGTGAGGTCCAACAAGTCACAGGAGAAGGAAATGGTCCACTGTCGGCGGTGCTGGCTGCCCTTCATTCGCAGATCAAGGGAACCTTTTCAATTCGAGAGTATTCCGAACACTCGATTGGTGAGGGTGCGGAGGTGACAGCAGTCTCCTTTGTGGAGTTGGTGTACGAGGTCGAGGGGAGGTCTAAAAAGGCAACTGCCTGGGGCATTGGCCATGATTCGGATATCACTGCCTCTGGGTTAAAGGCTGTTTTGAGAGCTGCCAGCAGCATTGATGTGATAGGTGGGACGGTTTGAGCTGTTGCCTTGTCTTTGTACTTTTATGTATGTACGCTTTATTCACTGCGGAAACGAGATTTTAGCAGGGGGCATAACCGGATTCTCCAAATGTAGATAATCCGACCTTGATTTTTTTTTGTAAGATATAGCTATTAGTCTGAGTAAAGTCCGACTCAACGATTTTTGAGTAACATATCCAAACAATCCGACGTAGGCAAGATCCGAATATAGGCAATACACCAATAGCCTGACCTCTCGCACGTGCATTTCCCCACCCCGACTATGCTCGACTCCATCGGCCATAGTCCAACTATAATACCATCGGAAGAGTGGCTCTTGCCACCCTTGCACCCCTCAGAAAAAATAATGGACTTTGCGAAAATTTTCCTTGGTCTCCAAGTTCACCGGTTTGCCATGTACACCATGAACCAACCCAAGGTATGTCGTACTCAAGTCCTCCAGCCTATCTACTCACCTCCAAAAGTTCCATATCGATGCTAACCAGGTGGTTCCAACCTCACAAGCTGACGAAACCGAGTTTGTTGGTCCCCCGACAGTCATCAAACGTAGGCCACACATCCTTCGACTTCATGTCCCAACCAGCGTCCAAAACGTTACGCTCTCTTTCGAGCCAAACTCCCAAGGCCCTGTGGTATGTGTGGCTAATTACCGTTCATGTGTCTTCCACTCATGGCCACACACCAGACCATAGAAATCTCCCTAACGACGATGTCACCAGAGCTTGGCAATGATACCTTTTGTGCAACTCAAGTGTGCGTTGTCGACTTCGGTGCTAACGTTGGTACTGGTGGGGTTAAGTTGGAGGCGGAAGTACGTTTTCGTGCAATCTTTCATTATTTGGAGGTCGAAAGACTTGTCGGGTATGGTTTTTAATTGGAGCTGTTCCCTCTGGCTCTATTGCATGTCGGGTGAGCGCTTGCAATTCTCATATTATTCACGCACTACCAGATGATACCTTTTCATTATTAAAGACACGCTCGGCGACTTCTTTAATGAACATGTCATTCAGTTTGTCGTCTACGTTGCCGAGCCAGTTGGGGCGCCAAAGACGTGTGCTGTCACTCGTCGATATGAAAGGTTCGTCGTTCTCGAGTGGTTTGATAGCAGCAAGGGCTGCGATGCGGTTTCTTTTCATCCCTTCACACTCGATTCCACACATGTGAGAGAAGAGCGGCTGGATAATAGACTGGTGCCCGGTGAGTGCGCACTCCGATACTGAATGATAGCGTAACGTACCTTGAGAACAGAATGGTCATTTGAATTTGTTCTCGACGAAGTATGCTTCTGTTGATCCACACATTTCTCCTGCAGTTCTCTAAGCATTTGCTCGACAGTTTCAAGGCGCGAAACGAGAGATTCAGTTGCCTCCCTGACGCTGGTAAGCTGTTCTTCCATGCTGGTGTTGGCCTCGCTGAGGTGTTTGACATGAGCCGTGAGTTGTGCAACTGTAGCATGCAAGCTAAGCTGGTCTCCTTGGTAAGATCCAGTTCGAGAGCGGGATGCTGAATATAAAGTCTGATAGTCTTCCATTGGCGTCTCACTACGTCCTCTGCCATTCGACTGACTATGGGAAGGTCTTCCAGCATACGAGAAGGACGTTTCGTCACGACCGTTGACACCCCCATGGTAAGGAGTGAAGCCAAGATGTTGGCTTGGTTGGTTTCCTCGGTGTGGATAGGATACCTCGTCCTGCGATCCCTGTGAATCGACGGCACTGGTCGGCTCCATCATATCAAAGGAGAACTCGGGTGACAAGAGCTTGGCAGATAGGGTGAGTTGATCGACTGACAACAACGGTTAGTAGTGACTGACTGATGGTCCACCGTGGTCTCTTCGCTGAGCAGGGCCAGGGCCAAATGGATCATCTAGGCCTGGCGCAGAAGGGAGGCGAGTGCCCTGCAGGGTGTTTGAGGGCGCCATGTTCATCTGTGGTACGTGATGTCCACGCGTGATGCTATTAATATTCTGGCTCAATGACTGGGATCCAGGTATCGCTCCACCACTCGGAAGTCTTTGGCGTTGAAGGTGCAAGGAGCTGGAGGGCGTCATGTGTGTCTGGGTCTGTGGTACGTGACGACCACGATGAGTTCCCTCCTGGCTCATCAACTGGGACCCAGGCGTCAGCGGTGGGGCGCCACCTGTGAGCCTCTGCGAATGCATCATATCCTGCCGTTCACCAAGGAGGGGAGCAAGCAAACGTGGGCGATTTTTTTGCACGGCTGGGGGTGCTGGGTAGGCATTTTGGAAGCACGCGTTGTACTAGGCACTCATCGAATATAATCTGATCTGGTTATCCTGAAAAACACGACTGAAGGCGGGAGGATCAATTGCATTTATACGATTTAACTCGGTGTACATAGCTCATAGTCACATTCGAATCTGATCTGATTATTGTTGCGAAGGTAAAAATCGTCATAGTGATAGGCATGCAAATCCGACCAGATTATGCTCCGAAACGAGAACACTTCGGCACTATATTCAGACATATTATTAGGAGTAGCTACCCTCGGGATATACAACGGTTATTGTCATTGACCCGACTATCTCCGGACCTGATTAAAAACCCGTTTCCGCAGTGATTGCTATTCAAATGGAAAACGGTGGATGTTCCTATTATGGGGAGTCCCAAACCTTGGCTGCGGTCCAGCGCCTCAGCCATCGTGTAGGCGTGCCGTATCAAATAACTTTGTACTGTCTTTTTATGTCTGCTTCAACGTCGCGATCGTCAAGAAACAATCACTCTTCCTCTTCCGCCTACGCTATTGGTGGCCTGTCGACCTCCCGACCACTTCCTCACATGCTAAATCCGCTCGGGCGAACACATCACGGATACATGCAAGTTAACCAATCCTTGGTGAAGGAAGAGGACGAGGACGAGGAACAAGACATTGAAGCGGGCCACGGAGCTCGGAGGGGAGTGTTTGGCCCGAGGTCGCATGGGAAGCGCAAAGTTACACACGGAGATAAAGATAAAGATACTTTGGGTCTAAGCCTGCTACGACCAAATGTTCGCGAGGAGGACCAACCTTATGAGCAAGACTCGGATGATGGAGAGGTGCCGCAAAGCTTCATGATAGAGGCGACGCGCCAGCCCTTGTCTCCAACTACCAATGCGCACTCCTACAAGGGCAAAGCTCGTTCACGGCCCCTACATTCCAATTTTGCGAGGTCCTTGCCACGGGAGGTTGCCAACCCCCTCGAAACAACACCAGCTTTGTCTATACCTCCAAGACCCTCCGATTTGGATGACGACGTCCTTCCTCAAACCGTGCCACTGCAGCACCAACCGTCTCAGTACCGATTACGTGGACTGGACGCCGCCGAGCGCGCGCTATGGAACTGGGTTAATGTGTGTAATCTGGACGCATTCTTGCAAGAGGTGTACGTGTACTATGAGGGAAAGGGCATATACTCGATTGCCCTGGCGCGCGGCCTAAACCTTTTGTCGGTATCACTCGCCTTCTTTCTTCTCGGAGGCTCATTCGTAACTCATAGGACAGTGGGGTTTGTTATCGGTTTCTCGACGTTCCTATTGGGCTGTATCGACTACAGCCTGTTAGATCAGCACAAAGCGACCCGTCTTTCAGATGTTGTCGTCGACCACTGTGTGACGAAGCAAGTATTCACGTTTATTGGAATGGTTTGTCGTACTGAATATGTGATTCAGGATTTCTGGCTTCACACTGTTTGTTTTCTTACTCTTCACCGCGTTCTACGTCTGGCAAATTATAGCATTCGTGTTTGATGTTATGCGTCTTGTTGACATGTACAATTTCTACACCCACCTACTGCGTATCCCGGACGTGCGTTGCGTTTATCGGTTGTAGTGGTGTCTCTGGTATTGACATTCACACACTAGGCTGATATTCAAACAATTTCGTGGCCAGAGGTCGTCCGGCGAATCGCTGCCATCCGTGAAGAAAACCCCATTACGGCCATTTCATCAGCATCCCACAACAACCCTGCGAGTCCTACGACGGCGTCGCTAGATGCTCACGACATTGCCAATCGAATTATGCGACAAGAAAATTACCTCATTGCGCTGTTCAACAAGGATTTGTTAGATTTGCGTGTGCCATTCCCCCATATTCTGAAGAGAGCATTCTACGGAGATAATGGTGAAGGCAACGGGAGAACGTTGACGAGAGTGTTAGAGTGGAACTTGAGGTTTTGCTTGATGGAGTTTTTGTTCGATCAACGTGGACGCGTGAGGAAGGTTTTCCTGAAGAATAAACATCGTGCTGTCCTCATTGAAGGGTAGGTGCCTCTATTTAACTGATTGATATTTGTATCATTGAACCCGCAACAGTTTGAGGCGACGGTTTATCTTCATGGGTATCCTGAATGCCATCTTTGCCCCCTTCATTATTCTTTACATGATCATGTACTCCTTCTTCCGCTACTTTGAGGTGAGTCATTCCGCGTATTGTATCCCATAGCTACTCACAACCCATCCTTAGGAATACTACAAGAATCCTTCTTCAATTGGTGGTCGTCGGTACACGCCCTACGCACAATGGAAGTTCCGGGAATTCAATGAGTTATCCCACCTCTTTACTCGTCGCCTAAACGAGTCGTATCCTTTGGCGAGCATGTATATTGGTCAGTTTCCCAACGAGAAGATGACTATAATCATGCGGTTAGTTTGAGTGCCACTCTATTTTGCATCCATTGATATCCGCCGTAGATTTGTAGCGTTCATCGCTGGGTCCTTTGCTGCGGTGCTCGTTCTTGCATCAGTAATCGACCCTGACTTGGTGCTCCACTTTGAGATTACACCCCACCGTACCGTCTTGTTCTACCTTGGAGTGTTTGGTTCAATTTTGGCTGCTCTCCGTGCAACGATACCAGAGGACAATAGAGTGTTCGATCCCGAGTTGCTCATGACTGAAGTAATCCAGTATACACACTATATGCCTGACGAATGGAAGGAACAGCTTCATTCCAAACGAGTATGCCATTTCGTTTATGCATCTCGCCAGTGTTTTACTCAAGCCCGTGATAGGTCCACCAAGAATTCGGAGCACTATTTGCCATGAAGATCCTCATCTTCGTGCAAGAAATTGTCTCCATCGTCACGACCCCTTTCGTCCTGTGGTTCTCGCTACCCCCATGTGCTCCTGCCATCGTTGACTTCTTCCATGACTTTACCGTGTGGGTTCCAGGACGAGGCTATGTTTGCAGCTTCGCTGAATTTGACTTCAAACGACACGGTAATGTCAAGGTTAGTTGAAAGTTGTAGTGACGTGTGGACACTGCTGATGATGTTCGGGCTGCAGTTCGGTGCGCCTACTGGAATACGGGACGAGAGAATGCTTTCCCGGGAAGGGAAGATGGAGAAGAGCTTCTTAAACTTCAAGGTCTGTCATTTGGTTCTATTTTGGGAATAATAGTTAGAAGTTCCGTTCAGGCAGCCAATCCTGATTGGAATCCCTCTGACCCAACTGGGTCCCTATACTTGACTCGCTTGGCGGATCTAAGTGCACGACGGCGTACGATGGCCACCCTGAATGCCAAACCTGAGAATGCAACTTCCTCCTGTAGTGGTAAAGATGTGGCTGACCGCGTTCATGAATACGATCGTGCACTCCTTCAAAGCCAACATGCTGCAGTACGACGCAGGCAGCATGGTGGAGGAGTCAGCGTATTAGGTGGCGGTGGCGTTGGAGCGTCCACAATATGGTCATCCGCTGCGGGTGGACTTTCCACGAGTCAGAGCATGGGAATGGCGCAGACTGCAGTGTTGGGCGATTCACAAGGGAGCGTGATACCTCAACCATTGCAGGTTCAACCAGATGAAGATGGTACCCAACAACGAATAGGCAGCGGGCTGGGGGATGATTCTTACGTGGATGAGGACGCGAAAGGAGCAATACCATACGAGCCGCACCAAGAAGGGATCAATGAGGGTGAAGAACACGTAGACGCTGGAGTAGTTGAGCTACTGGCACGGATCTACGCTTCTAGGGGGCCCCAGCCCGTGCCCATCATCTAATGTATACCACGCATATTATTTTGTACGCCCTCTTGTTACTACGACCTTGCCATTGCCAGAACTGTCCTAACGTTAAATGCAGTTCTCCTTGCTTGCTAAGATCTCCTCAACGCGACGAACTTTCCGGTCGTTGCCTTCACCAGGTATGACTTCCCTATCGGCACGTGTGCCGATACGGATGTCTGTGGCAATACGTGGTGCACCCAGCTGGTGCACAGCAACGTGACAGTCGTGAATAGCCTTGCAGACCTCAGTCCAGCGACCCTCTGTGGACATGTTATCGCAAAACGGTTTCGGTAGATGGATGTGCAAACCTAGGTTTGTCCCGTATGCACTTGAGACGACGTGAGCCTTTTACACCCAGAAGGACGGCGCAATACGTACTGCATCTTCCCAAGACTGGAGTTAGAAGAGGAAACTCGGGACATCCATAGATTTAATACTGACTTTGAACGTTAGTCCAGATTTTCGAAGGACCTTTTGACACTCAGCAATGTACTCTGCGACCTGGAAGCCATAAACGTTGCTGGCCAGCAGGATCAAAAGATACTTGGACGTACAGATGAATCGCCGGTCCCGATTGGGATGAGACAGAAGTCTGGACAAGTGGTCCGGGTGGGGTAATCTGTTCAAAATGCCGAAATACTGACCTGCGACTGCGTAAAGGTCGTCCTTGTCGTTCGACATGTTGCTTGCACTACTAGGATCGCGTAGATTACAGATACTTTTATTATCGAGAAGTTTCCGAATAAGGATGTAGTCCGGCCGGCGGGGGCAGTGGACACCTTTTGGGCGAGCCCGCTGTCGACGTCAGTCATGCCCTCTGCGTCTCTTCAGTCAAGGATAAAAGCCTTTGAAGCATTGACGACAACATCTTCGTTGTCGCAGGCGCCGACGACAGCAGCGAGCACTTCGTTTGCCACGCCCTACAAGTCAAGACTTGGAACAACTCAGTCGTCCGAGTCGACTGCAACCGCCTCAGGCACGTTTCAAACGAGAGTGCCGTTGGTAGCATCGGCTCCTTCCAGCGGGTCACAGTCACAGTCCCCTACTGTGTGTCGCAGGGTATCTTTGATTGACTTGAAGGATTGGGTTGTGGAGGATGGTCCCTTTGGGGGATCACTTACTTCCCCTCAGACAGGCGAAGCAGGCAACAACCAGTCGATTAACGTTTGTGAGCCGAGCTTGCCTCTCTATTCGGGCATCAAGGATCCACCCAACGATGCCCGCGATATGTCAACGCCACTTATCCATCTTGAATCGCCGCCAAAACAACGGCCACCGCTTCCACCACGCAAACCATCCTACTTGTCAGCTGGGGCGAGTCCTGTTCCACGTGTGCTATCAATAGAGGGCAATTCAGGCGCTACGCTTCGTCCTCCGTGTAGCTCAGATTCCCTAACCATCGAGCATACTTATCCTCCTCAAACGTTTGGTACCGCTCGTCTCCGCCATGCCCCGGCTTCCTCTATCTCATCGTTTCATTCCGTTTCGCTTTCATCGGAGGGAAGTGGCTTGGAAACCCCTGATCTAGGGACATTGCCCCAAAACGCCAGAAACGTTATCGATAATGACTCCGCGAGTATTGCCGATTCTTTTGAGGATGTATCAGTTACGTCTGTGGTTGATCTATCCACTGCGGTAACTTCTAACTGGATGACATCCATGGAGGCACCGAAGATTACCCCAGAGGCTGACGCACTAAGAACGAAGGTTGTGCCTCTGCCACCTAAACCTCCAATTCGACCCGTATCTGCAACCAGTCCTTCGACACTGACGACCTTGAAGACACGTCGACCGCCTCCGCCTCCACCCCCTTACGCGCCACGCTTCCGAATTCCAGCTTCCCGGACATCCCTTACACCTCATTCGGGGTCGACGTCTGACCGGTCCTCAATTCTTAGCACTACGAGTACTACATCTAGAACGAGCACTCACAGCAACACAGCGCGTGAAAATGCCATGCACTCCCAGCTTCACCGACCCACCCCTGTCCCTGCTTCTGCTCGCGCGCGGTACGAGACGCTATTTGTTAGCGCATTATTAGGTCAACGTCAGATTGAGAAACAGAGCCGAAGGAGGTTCCTGCCTTGTAAACCGATATCTCAAAAGGAAAGACAGGCCGCAGGATGGAGAGGCCTTTCGTTGGATTTACTTGCCCAACAAGAGGATCATACTATCTTGTCACCAGACAGCAGGGAATCTGAGCTTGCCAGCGACAGCGACAGCAATTGTGCACCAGTGAGTGCAGAAGAGAAATTGAATGGTCGCATAGTCAAGTATATATGGAAAGCTTCTCGTCTTGACCGACGGAAGCTTTGGGACATATGGTGAGGATTGCAGCCTAATCAACCCGAACACTCAACTGACACAACCTTTGTAAAGGAATGAATGTGATCCCCAGAAAACCGGGAGCCTCGATCGTAATGCGTTCATTCAGGGCATGTGGCGCATAGATGAGGAACTTCGGCGAGCCCAACTTGCCCGATGTACATCTGCACTCAGCGTTGCTTCATCGCAACGTATTCCCCACCGCCCGCTTCCAAGAAGTTCTACTCCTCTGCGACTAGTATCATAACATCTGAAGCAATGAGCATCAGGCTTTTGGCGATGTGCAATGTACAACATGGACTGTCACGGACACATATATGCAGCTGAACACTTGGTTTGTGTGGATAACCAATTAATGTAGCTAATGTTCATTGCTAATGTACACTGCAGTAACCTCTGTATGGTGGTTCAGCACACATAGCCCAGAATGTGTGAGTGAAGGATTTGGCCCTTCGCCATTTATATTTTCTTGGCTTCCCTATTCCTCTCCCACATCTTCAGCGGCGCCTGCCCGAACGCCTTCCTTGGAGCAAGCAAATGGCATGAGAACAACATATTCAATGTGACAAAGTTGCTTGCACTGTTCAGTGATCATGATGTATGCCAAACAACCACTAGGGACTCATTCCTAGGACCTTCTCTGAAATCTGTTTACAGTACATACTCTTTCATTATTAACTTTATACCCTTGACATGCACGTGCATTGAATCAACAGTAATTATGGGAATGATGTACCCTTTTTTTTTTTTTGACACCTGCACCGACGTCGTGACGTTAAAGTCAAAGGCTTGGAACTTTGGCTTTATTTGGTCATCTAAGCAGACAGGCGATCAGAATTGCAGTAGGACTCTCAAAGATTAGGCAGACTCGTGCTTAGGGATATGCGTCTCTGCCTCTTCCATCTACCATGGCTTCTATTGTTTCCGCTGGTCGCAGAGCTAACTTGCTCTTATTCGCCGGAAAAGCGCTCTTACCTGACCCATGACTATTTCGTTCTGGAGCATAACCCCGCAGCTGGAGCATCTCTGGACGAATGTGCCGGAGAGCTCGGTGTGGAAGTCGTAGAACAAGTAGGCGAGATTCGAAACCTGTGGCTTGTCCGAAGTGCGAAAGCAATGTCGCGGATACGTGCCAGGTCGACGGAGGACAGTGTCCACACTCGGTATGAGAGTCTCCGTACACGCGCGGCTACGAGCAATTCTTTTTGGGTGCGCTCACATCACCAGCGGAGTGCTCGCCGTATTCTCTCTTCCATCAACTATCTTGAAGAACAAGTCCCTCGCCGACGCAATAAACGTGACGACGCCCATATCCAGAGGGCCCCACCACCAACTACCCCCGCAGACCAGACCCCCGATGCTTCAACCTCCGTTGCTGCACATCTTGGCATTTCTGACCCCCTATTTACCTCCCAATGGCATATTATCAACCCCGACTACCCAGAGCATATGATGAATGTCACTGGTCTTTGGGAAATGGGCATAACTGGCCGAGGCGTAATAACCTCCCTCGTAGATGATGGACTGGATTATAACAACAGAGACTTGGCAAAGAACTTCGTGTGTCGTTTTTGGTGCCTTTTTTGCTGTTTCTTACCGGGCACTCAGGACGCTGCCCACTCCTATGACTTCAACGACCATACTGACCTTCCCACCCCAGTCCTTGCAGACGACCGTCACGGCACTCGCTGCGCAGGGCAAATAGGAGCCGTAAAAAATGATGTCTGCGGAGTTGGCCTGGCCTACGAATCCAAAATTGCTGGCGTTCGAATCCTCTCCGGTCCAATCACTGACGTCGACGAGGCTGCTGCTCTTAACTATGGTTTCCATAACGTGTCTATATATAGCTGTAGCTGGGGACCGCCGGATGACGGGAAATCAATGGAAGCGCCATCATATATCATCCAAAAGGCCGTCGTCAACGGCGTCCAGAACGGCAGAGGTGGAAAGGGTTCCGTCTTCGTCTTTGCCAGTGGCAATGGGGCAATGTTCGGAGATCAGTGTAATTTCGACGGCTATACCAACAGTATATATTCCGTGACTGTGGCCGCTGTGGATTACAAGGGACTGCACCCATACTACTCTGAAGCTTGTGCAGCAAACATGGTTGTCGCCTACAGCTCAGGGAGTGGGAAGAGTATAGTGGGTACTCTCACCTAACTATCTCTCGTTTTTCTTCGCTTACTAAAATATCTAGGTCACCAGCGATGTCGGGGATGGCAAGTGTTCCAATTCTCATGGAGGAACATCCGCTGCTGCGCCGAATGCTGCTGGTGTGTTCGCACTTGCCCTTTCAGTGCGGTAGGTTGTCGCCGCATGACTTAAATTCACCTCTGATGGAAGCCTTTATATATATATCATTTTTATTACAAAGGCCCGACCTATCCTGGCGTGACATTCAACACCTTTGCGTACGAACTGCCGAGAAGATCAACCCCGAGGATCCAGACTGGGAACGGACGGCGACTGGAGGATCCTTCAGCTACAAGTATGGTTACGGACAGCTCAACGCGTACGCTTTCGTCACTGCGGCTCAGAATTGGTCGCTCGTTAAGCCGCAGGCGTGGTTTCACCCTTCCGCAATTCAGATCAATAATGGCTCATTACTGGATGAAGAGGGAGAGATGACGGGCGGCGTACCGATTATCCGCGGAGGCATCTCTAGCACATTCACTGTGACACAGGGAATGATGGAGCAACACAACCTAGAGGATATCGAGCATGTGACGGTCCGAGTGTGGATATCTCACACGAAAAGAGGTGACGTGGAGGTTGAATTATTCAGTCCAAATGGAATACGGAGTGTGCTGGCTGCACCCCGCTCACAAGATTTCGACAACACAGGATTCCGTGGTTGGCGTTTCATGTCAATTAAGCATTGGTAAGACATGACCCACCGCCACAATAATTACTTCTGACTTGAACCTAGGGGTGAGAATCCCCTTGGCCAATGGACCATCAAGGTGTCAGACCAGGAAGGTCAGAATGGAACATTTCACGGCTGGAGGCTTATGTTTTGGGGCTCCACCATCGACGCTTCAAAGGCGAAAACCTATGTTCTTCCTAACGATGAACATCTTCTCCCTTCTTTGGAGGAACCGGAATCGATAGATATCCCCACATCTCCCATCACCAAAATTCTTCCGAAGCCCACGTTGGGTCTCCCAGATGATCACGAAAGTGCTGAGGGAGAAGCCAACCGGCCCGCTTTTTCTGGTAAACCTACGGGATCCGCGATACCTACCATGACGCCTACGCCCGATGAAGGCTGGTTCTCAGACATGTCTAATCTTGTCTATAGCTCGAGGTGGTTCTTCGTTGCACTGAGTGTGGTCCTCCTTTTCGGCATTGGTGCAGGTGTATTTTTCTGGCGCCGGCGTGTTAGGCGTCGCGCTGCATACTCATCATTAGCTGTGGAGGATGTGGCTATGACCTCAGTGACTGGCACGGTACGTCCGGGGGTACGTGCGAAGGAACTCTACGATGCATTTGGCGAAGTATCGGATGACGAGGATGTGGATGAGGAAGGACCTATGCTGGAAGCTTCAAGACGACCTGAAATCCATTCAGGCTTCTTGGACGATGATGAAGAAAGCGCCGAAGGCACACCGAGATACAGGGATGATCCCGAGGCTGGCGATGATGAGCAACGTCATCTCACGGCTGAGGTCAGATCGGATAGCGCAGGTAGTGGGTCTAGTTGGGATCATGCATCTCAGGCTTGACGCATTTTTTCCTCTTCGTAAGGGTTCTAATTGAATAAAGCTACTACTACTGTTATGTCCACTCAGGAAACCTGGAAGACCTACAATATATCTAACTACATTTGATGTACGTATGCGGAACGGAGAGCATCAGTAAAGCGGAGCTGGGAACCTTCCTCGTTAAACTCATGAGGTTGCTCATACTGCTACTGCTCTGCCAGTGTGCCGTAAACAGAACGCTGGATAACGCTGGTAACGAAGGTGACATACATGAACGGAGTCCTGTTCAGTGTTTGTGCATGACGCACCACCCGAACCGCCTGGAGACCTGGACTTGGAACTGCGTCCCATGATAATATATCTGTCCAAGTGGGTTGGCTAACTTGGGGGCCCTCGTGTACCGCCGACGGGTGTTAAGGGGGACAAGTGTGTCGTTGAGCCTTTGACATTTCCTGGAACTTCTGCGACCATGTCGTGCTCTACTGACAAGCGAAAGGAATGCCCGAGGAGGGCAATTTGGGATGTCAGACTTGGTGCTTAGACGGACGGACCATCGCTCACTCTGGAGATCTGCACGAACCATGATATTTACATAACTACCTATGAAGTACATACACACTGGTGTTGCATGTGATGGAGATTTAAGCACTAGATATCAATAAAGCGAAGTCGAGAACCGTTTGCGACTCGTGTCCAGACATCGACATTCTCATACTGCCATGGGAGACGAAGTTAGTGGAGTTCATGCTTGAATCAGGTGAGCCTTCACCTCAATGATAGTCTCATTAAGCTGCGCTTCATTGTAACCAGCACCCAAGACGCGCGACCGAACATCAACCATCGACAATTCCTCTTCACCTTCATCTTCGTCAGAATCCTCCGTGTCCGGGCCACCATTGGGACGCCTTCCAAATCTTCTTTGCCTCTTTCTCCGCTTCCTCCCACCTTCCACTACTATGTGTTTTATAAGGCGGTAGATTTGACTAACAACGGATCGGTCGACCTCCTGTTCCCGGTCTTCGTCTTCATAAAGACTCTCTTTACTACACTCCATAAGGCGCAAGGCTTCGTCGACATCGTCGTGCTGCACAACATTTGCAAACCGCAGGCGTGCAAGTGCCTGGGAAAGGCGAAGAACGCCGAGTAAAGTACGTGCAGACGTGTAGGTGTGCGACTTCTTCTGTTCAGCAGCGTCTTTCGATAATTTGCGAAGACGAACGTAAGAGTCTACGATATATTTCGATACTTCGGGGGAGACTGTGGGACGCCTGAGGCGTGCCTGGGCAATGTAGTGCCTAGGAACTTGGTGTCAAATACTACACAAGGCAAATGGGATTGCATTGCTGACCTCATGAGAGTCAGATCCACTAGGTCGAACTGGAGTTGAGGATGGGTGTTGTGCATGTGCACATGAGTAACATGCTGCGCTAACCGCTCGTCATCTTCTCGGGTCGGTTTATCAAGGATGAGAAACAACAAGTCAAAACGGGACAGTAAGGCTGCAGGTAGGTTGATATTCTCTACAGGTGAAACCTTCGGATTATACCGTCCGTACAAGGGGTTTGCGGCAGATAGAATAGACGTCCGAGCATTGAGAGTTGTGGAGATACCGGCCTTTGAGATAGAGATTGTTTGTTGTTCCATGACTTCGTGGATGGCCGTACGATCTGATTCTTCCATCTTGTCAAATTCGTCGATGCAGCATATGCCGTTGTCTGCCAAGACGAGAGCTCCGCCTTCTGTTCACGTGTAAGGACGCCTGCGAGCTTATGCGACAGCCGAGGACATACCCAGAACCATCTCATCCGTCACAGGGTCCCGCATGACAGCAGCTGTGAGACCGACTCCAGAAGAGCCTCGTCCCGTGGTGTAAATACCTCGTGGTGCAACCTTGGAAATATACTTGAGCAATTGTGACTTGGCAACACCAGGATCGCCCATGAGGCACACGTTGATATCTCCACGAATTTTCATGCCATCCCCCATGATTTTCGTCACCCCGCCAACCAGCAACAAGAGTAAGGCCTTTTTGACATCTACATGCCCATAGATCTCTGGCGCAATGCTTTGCGCAAGTTTGTTATAGAGTGCAGGATCCCTCTGCATGTCAGCGATTTGGTGCTGGACTTGTGGAGTCATCTCCATGTCACTGTACTGCTTCTTGAGCTGATGTACGTGATGTGTTTCTAAATAAGTGTCGGTGAGCAGTCCTGCGCGGATTGCTTGGAATCCAGTGTATGGTATAGGGAGAAAGATGCCCCCAAGATGAACGACATCTCCCGGATTCATGAGGCGGGTAAGACCACCATGCACATGGATGGTCATTGATCGGGGGATGTGACCGACGGGGACTTGGTCGGCCTATCGAGGAGTGAGTGGCGGCAAGGAAAGATTTGCACACTGCCTACCATTTCCTGTATTCTGACTTCTTGGAACGGAGTAAATCGACTTGCGCGCGTCTGCATGTGCAAAGTTCCACGGATCCCATCTTTCTTACACTCCGACTCGTTCTGGCAGTCGGTGATAGGAGAGAAGGTTTTGCTTGAGATTTGTTGGAATGTTTCAGAGCCACAGACATCACATGTATACGCGTTCACAAGGAGGAGGGGTTTCACTTCAGAGACACGGGTGACAATGCCACGAACCGTGATCAATTTACCAAGATGCGTACTTCGAACCTCACGCACGGCGAGAGCGACATCTGATTTCAGTGGTTCGAAGTAAATTGTACTATAGCGAGATTAATTGCAAGAAGGATGTGCCATGAGGACACTTACTATCTTCGCAATAGGTGTGCTGGAAAGCCTTCTTGCAGACCTTCGGTCTGCTCGTTTCGCTCACGACGCTGATGGAGTAGAATATCCATGACTTCATCGTTCTCACTGATATCTTTCGTTGGAGTTGGCATAAGCTTGTCCACGGCCTCATAGAACAAGGCGACATAGCGGCGCGCATTGCTTTGAATGCGAGCTACGAGTTCAACTACTGTCTTTTGATGCTGTTTTCAAAGGTTAGCGAGTGGATTTATTGAAATGGGACTGCTCACTTGATGGATATCTTCCAACTCGATAGTTAGCATTTGCTGCTCTCGGTTCGCTATTCGTTGCTTATTATTGTAGCCATTACTCGTCAACATATTGCCTTAGGGTACAGAATCTTCCGTACCAGTTGCTGCATGTACTTGAAGCGGCTAGCCGGTCCTTCTGATTGGAATCCATCGTCGTCAAGTGCAATGTTAGCGATTCCTCTGTTGATATCTTTCTCTTGCCCCACGAAGGTAGTCAAGAAGGTCTGAATTGCATCTGCACAGCGTCAAGCACTTTCACAACAAAAAGAGGTTCCAAAATACCGAGTTCATCATCGTACGCAACGTTGACCCTGATGACAGGCAGAGACATTGTGCACCGGATACAAGTTGTGTTTCGCGATTGGTCGCGTCTGTCACGCGTCTGTCACACGCCTTTCTCCGTCATGTGCAGTATTAGTCATCATTCGAGCGCGCCTTGGGAATATTGCAGCCAAACCATAGGTTCAAGACGTATGTATGTACATATGTCATGTACTTGGGGGATTCGAGGTTTGTCGGGTGGCGATGACTAGTAATGCAGCGGTGCTTATTTCGTGGAAATGACGTGTCGTGTAAAACACAGGAATCACAACTACTGCTTGGTTCTACGAGTAAAAATCGACCAGGAAATCCCACAGGGCTCCGGGATTCTTGAAGTTGTGGTGGAGAACACTCATCAACCAACGGGTTCTGCGGACCTCATCTAACATTGTCCTTTGATCAGATCCTGGAGGATAAAATGATGCCCATTCAGTCCATATCGAAAATGCTTCCTCCTGGATATGGTCAATCTCGGCTGGTGGCATTATAAAGGACAACATCCATACCTTCCAAGTCAGAAATGATTCCCGCTCAATTATCGTTGTCTGCACAATTTCCTTTCCAGGGAATACGCCCCACGTTACCGCATTGCGCGCATCTTCTGGGACATTGGTTCTGAAATCGCCCTACATGGCTCACAGTCATCCAATGGGCCACAAAAAAAGAGTTGACTAATTCCCACCTGAAGGTTGGCAGCGAAGTAATGAACTGATCCTCCTCCGCTCAGCTGTGTCTTCTTCTCGATTTTATCGACAACCTCCTCGGTGCAAAAGAATTCTATAAATGCCTTTTGGGAAACATAACCATCACGCGGACCCCAGCCAAAATTTTCGTCCGTAGATGGTAGGGTGTCCACTGCTGGCTGGGAACAAACGGTCCACAACCCTCCCCTAGTTAAAGCTTTCAGCTGGTGCAAAATTGTCTGCGACTCGGCAGACAGAGGAGACGACGAAAACGGCGTCGAGGCTGCTTTTGAGTCCAAATGCCGCAGGAACAGGTCAGTTAATTCCTCCGCTGTTGCAGGATTCCCCCAGTCGGGATGCACAGGGTGAACCTACGGAGGTGGTCAGCTCGTCAATATTGCAGGGAACGCACACGCGTACGGAAAGCCCAAGGCCGCCCCACTGGTCTTGAGCACCGAAGGCAGGGCTCTTGTAGTCCCCAAACCGGCCATTTGGAAAGTCATCCCATGTCGCGGCGTTGTTTATCTCGCCCCGCCCAGGCGGTTCAATCTCCACTGTTGTTTTGGAAGTCAAGGCTGCTGCTGCGTCGCTAGTTGCAGTAGTCGGGGTGACGACAAGTTCGGAGATTGGTGGAAGAGGAACGGGGGAATCCTTCTACCTGGTGAATGACAGCAGCAGTAGGAACCTCGTAAGAGCTTACTGCAATCAATTTATTCCTCGTAGTCGGACTGCCACCAGCCCATTTAAGACGTTCCAGGACGAGCTGTACGCTTTTCTCTAAGTTAAGCGTACAGAAGTGGACACCACGAATATCTCCGTTACCGGTGACCTTGAGAATGATATCGACTGCAAGCCGTATTCCATATTCTTTTACAAGTTGATCATCGTGCTGAGCGTGGTTTAGAGAATGCTCAACTGTGAAGCTTAACCACTCACACGAATGGGCTCCAGGTCTATCATTATGGATGGTGGAACCTGAATTCTGCACAGGTTCACCACCCGTAGGAAAGAAGAGTATGTCGGTATGGGCATCACACCAGGTATAATGGGTACACTGATACCTGCGCATTGTGGGCTGGGAGTGATCGTTTATAAATGAGGAAGCTGACCTTCTCGACGGACTCTTTCGAGCCAGTGCAAAAAGCGGTCGGCGTCGTAAAATAGTTGTGTCACGATGAAATCAGCCCCGGCTTCTACCTTCTCTTTGAGGACATCAAAGTCTCCGTCATCGTCAGTTTGGTTGTCCGGGTGCCCTTCCGGGTAGGCTGAAACAGAGTGAGTGTCGGGAGTCGACGGATTAGATGTGTGTAATACCTGCCACACCAATACAGAAGTGAGGAGAGAATTCCGGCGAGGAGCGTATATATTTGACAAGATCCACACCATGACTGAAACGGGAGTCTATGGGCGTCCAATGTTCCTGCCCGCGGGGAGGATCTACGTGAAAGGCCTAAGCACACCGTAACGAGGTCCATGCACTGCATTCGCGAAAATACTAACCACCACGAAGTGCAAGGATATTTTGTATTCCGCGGGCCTTAGCTGTCTATAACCAAGTTGGTGGTGTGGCTTCACGTAGGGCTGATAACTTACACGCAATGCGTCGTCGACCAGGCCTGGCACCATGTTTGTGCAGGTGAGATGAAGGATGGTATCTATTCCATAATCTGCTTGTGTGATCCCGGCTAGGTCAAGGCTTCTGTCCTTTGTCGATCCACCTGCGCCCCATGTAACGCTGATAGCTATCGGATCGAGGTTGGAGAGGCGAGATATGCGGGTCAGTAAATTGTCAAATCCCTGGTCTGTACGGGGAGGGAAGAATTCGAATGTGTAAAACGGACGGTGGGCGGGATGTGCTGCGATCTTGTCTGAGAGTTTCATAGAGTGCGTGGTATCTGAGAGGAATCCACGTCCAACCCTCTCTACAGGTGGCGATCACAAATATTTTTGTTGCACATCATCTATCGGCGTGATAGCCCATGCGCTCACACATCAGGCATGACCCCACGTGACGCACCGCCGGCAGCGGACAAACAGAGCCAAACATGTCTTTCCCCGAACAAGATGGCGCGCAGAAGCGAGACACGTCCAGTACTAGAGAGAGAGAGAGCAAACCGAAGCCATGGCATCCCCGTCCACGCCTGCAACAGCTGATTTCTCCTCGACCCCCCCAAAACGAACCAAAATCGTTCTACTTGGCGACCAGAGCGTCGGGAAGACCAGTCTCATTACAAGGTCACATCTGACAGGGCTGACACGCCTCGTACACTCACTCATACCCCATACACAGGTTCATGTATGATACATTCGACAATACCTACCAAGCAACCATTGGCATCGATTTCCTCAGCAAGACAATGTACCTGGAAGACAGAACGGTAAGATTGCAGCTATGGGACACTGCTGGACAGGTAAGCCATCGAAGCAGCTCCTAATGGACCACGAACTCCCTTCCGACGACTACTATCACCCGCCGTGTGATAGGAACGGTTCCGTTCGCTAATACCGTCGTATATCCGTGACTCCTCTGTAGCCATAGTCGTCTATGACATAACCAGTAAGCACCCTACTTTGTGCAGGCGTACCCTGCGTGTTCACCTTGGACCGAGACCGTCAATCGTTCTTGTCGACGTCCAAATGGATAGACGACGTCCGGTCAGAGCGGGGAAATGACGTCATCATTGTTCTAGTCGGCAACAAAGCAGACCTGTCGGAAAAGCGGTCTGTATGCAGATTCACTCCTGTATTTGTGGCTGACTAGCCATCCTCCAGTGAAGTGACGATCGAAGAAGCAAATACAAGGGCAACACAGTTGAACATCATGTTCATGGAAACGTCGGCCAAGGCAGGTCACAATGTTAAATCTTTATTTAAGAAGATTGCATTATCACTGCCGGGGATGGAGAAGGAAGGTCAGACTGAAGCTCCAAATACAAGTAGGTCAACGGTGGTCATGAAGCTGTTCTCGCCTAAAGGATGTTTCCAGAAATCGATGTTACGACGTCTCAATCAACCGCTCTCCCGGAGGCTTCGCAATGCAGCTGTTAATACCATCCTCAGCAGTTGTATGATTGTCTCGTACAATATAGTTGCATTCAGTGATACAGAACATCAGCTCGAGGTCAGAGGTTTAGTCGCTGACAATTCTATTTGTCGCTATCCACGGTTCATAATGTTGCCCGCACCCCTCGGATTGGCATCCTTGAATTGAGCCCATTGCTCGTCCTTTTGGCGTTTCTCCTCCGATTTCATTTCACCGAAGGTCGTGCCCTCCATCTCGGAATCCACAGCTAGCTGCTCTGATGACGTAGGCCTCTCTTCGGACTGGCGCCTGCAAGGTATGGATTAAAGCAGTGTAGCGGGAGGAGAGAGTAATTTGCTTACCCTCCGCCAGTAATGATATTCCCTCTCTGTCGTTCAACTTCAAGGTATTCGTCAATCGTCATGGTCGGTAAGCGGTGACTTGGTCCGAAGACCTGTGCCTGCAAACGGGCACGCTCTGAGGCACTGGAAGGTAGTATAGTAAATGGTCGTAAGGGCTACGAATGAGTGTGAGTGGCGTAAGTGGCAATACAGCCTACTGAAATCTACCTTGCCACTAGGGTCTAATAGCGGACCTCCCCCATTAGTGCGAGAGGTACTTTCAAGTCTCCACAAAGCCTCCTGATCTTTCGCTTTCTCGCGACGTTCGTTTTCTGGGGGTGACGGGTGAGGCGGAGGAACACTGCGCAATAGTTCTAGTTCCTGTTCGAGGCTTTCGAGTTGAGAGTATGCTTGGGCGTAACACAACCTCAGCAACAGCAGGGAAGCTTCTCGAAGGATATCTTCGGTCTCGGTTTCGTCATTGTCATCGTCGTTTGCGGTCGAACTCCTGGAAGTGGGTGGAAGCAAGGAGACCGCGAGATCAAAAACGTTGGGTGAACCACTGTCGATGGGACGCTGTCTCCGACGCTTTCGAACTGTTGCAATACGGGCGCGAAGATCTTGCTCGGCCTTGTGTTGCTGAATCTTTATTTCTCGTCGTTTAGCAGCATCCTTGATGGAGGGCAACTGTGTGTGAAGAGTCTGCTCTTCTTCTGATACGACATGCAGGTACTCGAGGTTAGATACGAATGTTTTTAAATGACTCTATCAATGAACGGAGTTGGCATGCTCTTCCTGATATTTGGGTTAGAGCTCACCTGAACTTGACTCAAGTAGGTCATACGCTCGCCTGCATCCGTGAATCGGGACCGGTTCTCCACCTCGGCAAGAACAAATGGAACTGTCAAGTATACGAGGTCTCTAGTGGAAATATCTCCAAGCGTGTCGTTCACACTGAACAACGCAAGTGCCGCGATTCTTGAGTTAACTTGCTTAAGATCGGACAGGGCTGATCGAAGCAACTCCTGAGGAAGATTAAGAATGAAGCAGAGTTGCGAGGATTTTCGTTGCAAATACCTGAGTCTCGTCTTCGATGGTGGGCAGATTTGCAGCTCTGGAGGCGGTGGAAAGTGCCCTTGCGTACAACGCTGGGAGTGGTTGAGTGCTTGCCATGACGTCTCCGTAGGTGACATCAGCCTTGACTCCGTTTGATGTGGTTATCGGTGTCCGGGGGGCGTCTACGGTCTAATTATACTATCGCAACGCGTATCGATTACGGCGCGGACTAGTCGCGTCACCGCGTGCCATCGCACTTGCACTCAAACTAGCATGAAGGGGTCAGCCCACTCGGAGGCTGAAAACCAAGCAGAGAGGTCCCGCTGCAGTCCAGATACCGAAGAGGATCTCTTCCATCGCTCCCGCAAGCGAAGCTCACGGAGTTTATTTCACCTCGAGGACAACAACTTGGGATATGTGGAGGGAAAGGTATTCATGAGCTGGCCGCCCGCGAATGGAGCTCGTCGCTTCAACCTCGAAGTATCCGAAAATCACTCCCTTAACAGATTCGAGGTGGCCCTCTCCGGGAGGTGCTTCCAGTGGGTGGAGACGTTGCCTTTCCGACCCCATGATCGTATCTGTCTCGCCCTCAAAGGTGCAGAGGTCGAGTTTCGCAAGGAATCTAGTGCTCCTCATCAGCTGCCATTGATCCTAAGGTATACCAGTGGTGTCGCAATCAAGTACCTCAGCGGCACTAACAAAGGCAAAATAATCAACACATGGGAAAGTACGTATTTACGATTTTATCGCTGCGACTACCCTCTTCTGTACGCGACGTTACTTAGAACACGCCCCGATGGAAGATTGGTACAGTCCCGGCCCTTTGCGACGAGTGTCCGACGTGATCATGGATGATGCATCCGCATCTAGGACGCCAGCTCCTTCGCCTAGTCTTGGAGACGTTGATCTATCCACTAACCAGCACCTTGAAGACAAGGTGCAGCCCAGCGACCACTGTACGTCGGATGGGCATCGCGACAGCAAACGTAGCGCTAATCAAAATGGCCCTGCGAGGCTAACAAAATTCGAGAGAAAGAAGCGTAGATGGGAGAAACACCGTGCATCCCGCACTTCTGGCCACCTTGAATGTGATATACGTATGCCCACCCATTTAAGCGGAAAGGCCAGTGAGCAGGTCGTATCCCCTCAACCTCCGCAAATCCCGACCAGTGTCCACACCGATGACTCGGAAAACGATAAAATATTATCAACGATCCCACAAGATAGTATGTCTGCCCAACCATCAAGCAGTACATACTTTAAGACAGATACACACTCTGGGGAGCCAAGCTTGTCGGTGGGCAACGCGTTTCGGACGGAAATGGTTAGGCGATCTGTTTTCTTTCCTGTCGCGGACCGATAGACCTTTGACAGGGCGATATATTCTCACCATTGAATGTGCTCCGTAAAGGTCATGAGTTGATCAATGTCATAGGTGTCGTAACTCAAGCCAATGCCCCAAAGAGAACCTCTACCAACGGTTAGGCAGTTTCGGTTTCTCGAATACGAAGCCAATTGCTTATAGTTGACAGAGTGGTCACGTTCATTTACAATCGTTGACCCTACAATAACCTCCGGCAATGGCCTCTCAGATGCTGGTGTCGGCGTGACGTGCTTCCAGAAGACTTACGTTGAGTGGCTTCCTCAAGTAGCAGAAGGTGATGTTGTCATTTTGCGCAAGTTGAAAGTTGGTAATGCCAGCAGCATGTTCTCCTAGTGCTTACTGAGGTATCTTCGTAGATTTCCGAATTCAGTGGCGTTTTGAAGGCGATCGGGTATACAGATAAACTGCGCTGGGCTGTCTATGATTCTGCAGCGAACGACGCTCGACCCGTTGACAGAGGGCAAGCGCCCGAGGAAGAAGCGTTAGCTAACGGTTTGGGTTATATCTTCACCCCCTTCTGGAAACCCAGCAAAGATGGTGTGGAGCTGCAATACTGCCACAAGCTTTTGACGTGGTGGAAAGGGTTGCGAGGAACAGAGAAAGAAGTAATCTGTGTACAACGTGCCACTCGTCCTACCAAAGAGCATCGCTTATTGTGCGAAGCATCCCCGGAAGTCGCTCCAGAAGGTTATTTCAACTGTACAGTCGAGGTTTGCGGCATTGATTTCTGGGGCATTCTGGATATTCACACTCATTGCAGATTTTACACAAGTTCCACAACGATGCTGGCTCGTATACAGTGTATGTGACCGACTACACGAACAATCCTCAGACGTACCCCCTCAAACCTGCTTGGTGTCTGCCAGGCTTTTGCGATCGTATCTTCCCCATCGAAATGTGGGATAAAGCAAGAGACTTGGCACAGCTTATGAATGCCGGGGAGTATTGGTACCTTTACAATGTTCGAGCAAGGTTGAACCGGAATGGCTACCTTGAGGGCAAAATGCATACTGCCGAAAAAGTTATCCAACTGAACGAAACGGAAGTGGATAAATACCTGCACTTGAAAGCCCTTCTTACGTGAGTTCCACAATCCCTACTTTGATGTTTGCATCCTAGGACGCTTGTACAGGCGGAAGCAGAGCTTTTCGGAAGGTGGCTTGAGCGCCGGTTTACCGAATTCCTTCCCATACAAACTGTTCCAAGATGTAGACGACACAAGCGTCTTTTTTTCGTGCGTTGTTGAGGTTGGTGACACTTGCCTCTGCCTTCCATCTTTCACCACAAAGCGTACGCAGGTTTTATCCGTTGATTCCGATCCGCGAGACGGGACTTCCATCTACGCAACCGATTATACATACAATCCAACTTTCTCGCGTCAGGTATCTACCTCCGAATGGGCGCGTGGCCTTGACTTCCGTATATTGAGGATTAAACTGGATGGTGCTCAGTCACAAATGGCGCGCGACATCTGCATCGGCAGTTCGTACAGAATATTGAATTTGCGCCTAATCCAAAGAGGTGATAGTTCTAACACCCACGGACGCTTAGGTGGTGAGGACAGACTCCTTCTCCCTCTTACTGACCGGGAAGAAGAGCAACAATCAACCCTGAAAGTGTGAGCAGTACGTCTTAGGAGTGTTCTGCTTATTCAAGAAGCGACGATTTAGGAACAAGGATAAATGGAAGCGGGAATTGATGCTGGATCGCACGTCGTGGCCTACCTCGCCAATGCCTCAGCCGATGACTTCCCAACGCGGAGCTCCCAAATACAGTACCATTCGCGAGGTCCTCTCAAGTACGACTTGTCCCAGCATGTTTACCGTCGTGGCACGCACGATCGACTTCTTCCCATTTCTCCTTGAAGACGCGTGTATTTTGCGTTGTATGGGTTGTCAATCAGAGTGAGTCCATGAGTTGACCTTTCTATGTCGTCCTTACTCTTTTCAGTGTCCCGCTGACTTTTAAGGCCTGTCCAGGGTGTGATGATATGACGGAGACCCATTGCAAGTGGTGTTATTGTTTGTACCTCCGGCTCGAGGACGATGCAGGCGACAGTCTCAACGTCTCACTTTGCGGAAAAGAGGTGCGTGGTTTGCCCCTTATAAGGTTGGATAGCTTAGGCGCTGACCTTTCGTTCAGTGCACTCTTTTGCAGGATACCCCGGCAGACGACTTCCATTACGACCGTGGCGCTTTTTGCAAATTCCTCGCTAAGCTCAAGCCCGTTATTGGAAATCTCAAAGAGGTGCATGATGCGTGGTCGGTGAATAGAGAAAAAGAGATCGAGTCGCCGCGTATGAATTTCACGATTGAAAGCTGGGCGATCGGTGATGACGAGCGTGGATATGGCCTTCTGAAGTGTACCGCCGCTTGAAGTTCTATGAATCCATCAACAACGCATGCTCTTCGGTATATATAAGTACTGTACTACCTGCTAATTGAGAGTATGTACGTAGATAGTATTGGTGATTTACTACTTTCTGATGTGGGTTCGGGTCTGAATTTGGAAGTACTACTGCATAGCACGCTCAGCCTCAGGGAGTCCTGGCTGGTCATAGAACACCGCGATGTCCATCGTCTCACCAACGCTCATTCCGCGTCCACCACTGATCCCATTGGTCCTTCCGAAAGCCCCTCACTTCGGCCCAGTCCCACTGCCGAAGCGGGACAGGTTCTATGGAAGATTGACTACCCGTCGAGACCTGGAACGGGAAATGAATGACTTGTCAGACGAAGAAGGTGATCTAGAGGAGAGCGTACGTCATGACGGAAGCTGGGAGCGCCGTATGTATGCTCATCGTTAGGTCTATCCTTTCTGCAATGCAGAATCTGGAAGTCCGTAATCGTGGGTTTTCTTGGTATATCCCCATAGGCCGTCATGCCACCCAATTGGAAGAGAAAAATGACGTGAGTTCTCTCATGCTACAGCGTAGTGCAGGACAGGCCTGAGCTGTCGATCTATTATAGGCAGAAGACGATTCAGAGGGCTCAGAAAGTGGGCAGTCTGGGGACCATTCGCCGTCAGTAGATGGGGAGGAGAACGGCGAGTCTGGAGCAGATCTAGATGCAGGCATGGAAGACATGGACGAAGGACGCCCTTCAGACGACGTCGATGTTACATCTGACGAGACAGAATACGAAGACGAGCAATCTGACGTTTGAAAAGGTACGTGGTTGATTGTACAGTCTAGCAAATGTACATAGTGCAACAAATAATTTATGCTTTGCGCAGTTCGCCACGGGGTCAGGCCAGCACGCCCTGTATGTCAGATACGGACAACAGCTGTCTGCCATGTCCACGCCGCCGAGAATTCCCAGCCATAACCAGAGGTCGCACCCATACTCGGACATGTCCTGCCTTTGTTGCAGTCACCAGTGCACGCGGTAGGAAGGTCAGGGAGGTAAGTAGGTCTGTATCGATCTGCTTTACCTGGAGACGTGTGGATCAGCGATCCGAGGAAATGGAAACCGCCACGATTTCGTTGATTACTTACGAGCACTGGCTGTACAACAGAGACTTCGTTCCTCGACGGCGCTGGATGATACCGTGACGTAGCGAGCTGCGCTGTAGACCCTACTCCGTGGCGGACCGCGAGCGAAACGCTTGAAGTCATGGACACGCGTACGTGATGTGCTGACTGTGGCTTTGGTCTATGTAATGCACTGCTCGAGAAATCCCACTGTAGCCGGTAAGCACCTCTCAAATACGCGGTGAGAGCACACTGACTAGAATGAGTTTGTTGTCCTCTCCTACACTGCCGAAGCGATAATTGCGCCCATCACACCGCAGTTCGTCAAATGCGACGGCTGAGACGAACGAAGAGTGTCCTTGACACCTGGCAACCACACGTTGTTCCCATGGTGAGAAAATTGTTAGCAGGTCATCCTGTCCTCCGGTCTATGCATCGTCGTTGGTCAATAGTGAGGAAAGAAAGAATTCGGTACAGACGAGGATGAAACGACCGTCAGGGGACCACGCGACACAGGTGAGCGCGCCGAAGTACGAAGAATAGCAGTCAACCAGCCTATAAGAGAGGCTTACATCAAGCATTAGCCACACCTGTGAAAACTCACTGTTCTGCTAAGGCATCGATGACACGCAAACAGCCGTCTTCCGATATCGCGGCAACGTACTTGACATCGGGAGAGAATACGAAGTCTGTGTGACAGTGAACAAGAGACTATGTAGAAGAGAAGCGCACATACCCATAATACTGCGTCTACTGACTCTCCAGTGACTTACTGGGTTCTTGGCTATACCTTTGTCTGTCCGTTCCTTGACAGCTACACTGGATTCAGGGTGCCATGGAGGCGTGGTGACATGCATTGTCGATGTTGGATCCCAGTCGGTACCTCCCTGCGGTTGTGATGGAGCTTGAATCTGGGCAGGCACGCCAAGGGCGTTTGGACCAGGAACGTTGAGCGTAGTCAACGCCGACGCACTGGGTATGGATGGACTGAACATGCCATCATCTCTCTCCTTGTCGTAGACGACGATCGTTCCGTCAGCATGCGAGACCAGGAATAACGTAGGTGATGAAGGGACCCAATGGACCGCAGTGCACGGGGAAGATGAGATAGCTCCCTTCGTTAAGATCAAGTTCAATGACGTTTCCCGACATGTCAATATATACATACCTGTTTGTTTAGACGGCCATAACGACTGGTCATGGGATCTGTACCTTTCTCAACATATCTGGCGTAGGCAGACATGATAACGTACCTAGCCATACAAGATCGCCTGTGTTGAAGCCGATGACGACGTCGAGCTTCTCTGGAGATGCAGTGTGCGGGTTAACGTCATGACATGTGGGGAAGGCAGAGAAGGTAATTCTCATCAGAGGTTCCTGAGAAGACCAGTATTAGAGAACGAGAAGTGACGGGAGGAGTCGTGGTATACACCTTCGATTTTGATCCGACCTCCACCCAGTGGAATGCTTTATTGCAATTATAAAATAGAAAGGTGGCATCCCCATGCTTGTTTGAGAGAATTTTGCTGAGCCCCTCGATGGTTTGTAGGCGAGTGATGAAAGTGGACGAGGTAGTACGCATGTTGTGCTTCGGTCTAGAGACGACCTTTCTCTTGCCTATAGCGGAGGGATGGGCGAAGAGAGGGTGGTGCGACTCTGGTGCGGTGGGCGAGTCCTGCGGAACAGATGTCTGTGGGGAGGAAACCTCTGGAGGGGTAATGTGGCTGTCATCTTGTGTCTCGGTAGAGGACTGGCTGCGCTCGTCCAGGAGAGACTTGTCCTTATCTTTCTCCTTGTCTCTCCTGGAATCTTTTGTCAGATTAGCGCCAAGCAGCTGTGCCAGGCCGGGTGAGCTGGCGGGCTTCGATGAATTGAAGCGGATGGTGACCGCTGAGAGGCGGGAGGGGTAAGCCGATGTGCCACTGCTGCTGGCTGTTGTGTTGGCGGGTGTGCTGCTCGTCTGATGTGCTGGGATGGCGGGGGGCTTGTGCTCCTCTGTGACGGAGTAGACTCCTTCTGGAGCAACGAATGCGCCGTCGCTCTCCATGTTCCGAGTGGGATGTGTGCTTTACAATAAGGGACCTGGATTGTGGCGACTCTCGCACGGACACTTGCATGCCGGGTGGGACGGATCACCACCCGCGCCAACGGATCTTGCTTGATCCTGTACCATGTTCACCCAAGCAAGCCCTCTCAGGCGCTTGTCGTCGTTCGTAGGCATTTCTGTTCACAGTTCACTCCCTCAGATCGACAGGCTCCAGTTCTCGCGCGTCCAATGCCGTCGCTGGCAGACAACCACTAGTGCTGCAGCCGAGCCTCCACCAGCAGGCGGTCACCTCTCCTCCGTAGCGTCATCCCAGTTCCTCTGTACAACGCGTGATTCTGCATTGCGCACTCCGGGCATTACCTGGGCAGATGAAGATACCCATCCCTCTTCCCCACAGAACGTCATCGGTGGCAGAGAAACGAGAAAGATGAACATGTACCAAGCCATCAGGGATGCACTCAGGCCAGTATCATCTATTCGTCACTACTAGGAATGACGTGCTCATCGGTGAATAGCATCGTACTGGCCAAGGATGACACCGCAGTCGTATTCGGAGAGGACGTTGCATTCGGAGGTGTTTTCCGGTGTACGATGGTAAAGTTATCCCCCTGTTGGTTCCGTGACTCGCTGATTTCCCACCTCTCGGAAAGGGTCTTGCAGAAGAGTTTGGTACGAGCGTTCACCAACGGGTAGATGTGTCTTCTAACTCCGGGCTTCTGAAGGACGCGAGCGCGTGTTTAATACCCCCCTGACCGAGCAGGGCATCGCTGGCTTTGGTATCGGGTTGGCATCTATGGGCCATACCGCGATCGCCGAGATACAGTTTGCAGACTACATCTTTCCTGCGTTTGACCAGGTACCGCTCATGCACGTCTAATTTGCGGACGTGTTTATTCCGCCCATGTGCAGATCGTAAACGAGGCAGCCAAATACCACTATCGTGCTGGAGGACAGTTCTCCATTGGTGGGCTCACCATCCGGACACCCACCATGGCGGTCGGACATGGCGGCTTGTACCACTCGCAAAGTCCGGAGGGATTCTTCCTAGGAGCATCTGGTATCAAGGTAAGCTGTGAGGGGTTACCTAGTATGCTAGTTTTATTAGTGACTTTCACACAAAACAAATATGTAGATCGTAATTCCTCGATCACCCGTTCAGTGCAAGGGTCTACTTCTTACTTCTATCCGCGACCCGAATCCGGTTCTATTCATGGAACCCAAGATTCTGTACCGTTCAGCAGGCGAGTCGATGATTCTATGTCTATTTTCACGAGACACAGACCTCGTCATCAGTTCGAGCAGGTTCCGATTGACGACTTTAAGTTGCCGCTCTCTCGTGCAGAAACTCTCCTGCCAGGCTCTGACCTTACGCTCCTCACGTGGGGAACCCCCGTTTACCACTGCGAATCTGCCATCTCGTTACTCCGTTCTCCCCCACCCGCCCTCGAACCACTCGTACCTCCTTCGTTGCGTTCCGCCGCAGTGGAATTGATTGACCTACGTACCATTCTCCCATGGGACGTTGAAACGATCGTGGAGAGCGTTAAGCGCACTAGGAGGCTTGTTATTGTCCACGAAGCTGGCATGACAGGTGGTGTCGGTGCAGAAATCGCCGCTGAGGTTCAGAAGAGGGCGTTCTTGAGACTCGAAGCACCCATCAGGCGCATCACAGGTTGGGAGTAAGTTAGGTTTCTTCATGATCTGCTGTTGAGTCCCTCATTCACTTCATCCTATCCAGTGTCCCGGCAGCTTTGCAGTACGAGAAGTTCAATATGCCCGACCCGATACGCATATTGGATGGAATTATGGAGACGCTAACATACTAGCTCTCATCTTTAGGTGTCGTGGACAGTTGTCACGACGGCGTAAATAATGTATACAGCCTGTAATCATCGGTGCATCGAGTAATATACATCACAACGTGCCATATGGCACATTTGCATTCTTCGTAGGTCCTCGTTAAACCAAGCTTTCCTCCACCGATGCTTCGATCACCCACTTCTCGATTAGCCCCCGGCGTACAAGGACAGCTTCAAGGGCCAAACAAACTCTTTGTTGTCGCCACTTCCGAATACCAAAGGCATTGATCAACATCTTGCGAAACTCTCCGTTTTCAGAGATGCGCTCATACAGACGCAGCAGCTCTTGGTGGTAGAGCATTGACATGTTCGTGGCCGAGCGCACAACTATATTACCTTGCCTTGTTGCGTGAGCCAAGGTGCCTAGCATGTCCAAGACGCAGGATAATTGTCTTGGGCGTCGCGGAGGTCCGCAGGAATCTCGTGTGCAAAGAATGAACGGAAGCAGCGCGAGAACGTGGTTTGCACTGCACGGTCTTATGGCCATGGACAGCGACGTAAATTCCAACGTCAGTCGTGCCCCGGGCTTTATGTTCCTGGTGCTTGAGAAGGGCTGGCAGTCGAGATTGATGTGATCGCCGGACGGCCGACTTGCCACAAAGGGACAAAAGAGGAGCAGAAAGGGGTCAACAGGAGATCTATCATGAGGGCTACACATTCTTTCACGGATTGAGGACTCAAGGTAATCACGGACCTTGATGTCGGCCACCCAAACAAGCCTGTAATACAGGTATCGTGGTGTCACCAGAAGCGTTAGAAAGATGACGACGACAGCGTACTCACCAAGCCCTCGGTCCGCCTGAGCAGCGACTTCCAATTAATGAATGGCAGGGAACATCTTTTGGCTTACCTTGTGGCTGAGCCATAATTCCATGGCGTCAACCCACAGTTTCCACTCCAGGTGGACGCATATATTCCAACCGTTCACTTTTATCCCGCCAGTGAAGTCAACTATGTCAATTAGGGGATCTCGGAATTCGATCACGCCTTCGAGAACATCCTGGATGACCATGTCGAAGGGCAACACGATGCAGTCGTTGGCACGAACGCTGGCTTGCTTGACCAGTTTCGTGTATCGAGATGGCCAGAAGGAGCACGACGGTGTGATGACGGTGAGAAGAGCTCGGAGGGCGGCTCTTGAACGCGCTTGATCCTCCCTGTGGGACTGCGTCCAGGACAACCAGAGTAGTGCGAAGAATACGATGACCAAAGTGCCTGTTACATGGAATTCCTTGAGAAATGCATGTTCCAGCCAAGCTGCGATCCCAAAGTCTGATAAAGGCCAGAATGCCATGACCGACGAGCAATGGGTCATAAAGGGGAGAGGGGCCAAAAAGAAAGCGACGCCAGCAGGATTTGAACCTGCGCCCTCAAAGAGGAACAGATATCGCGTTCGTTCGAATCTGTCGCCGTAACCACTTGGCTATAGCGCCTTGACAAGGCATCCGAGGTCGGAAGTATTTATAGGCCTTGGTACCAACAACTCCGCATCTGACGTCTCTCCTTCCGCTCCGCTGAAGTTCCTGTTAATTGAAGGGCACCTTCGGTCAACACATGGATTGGTATGTGGTCTCCACAGGCTCTGCTCCTTATGTTACCGACCCATGCCAACTAGTTTAGAGCTCAGCGTCCGACAGCAAGTCCTGTCGGACCTGGCCACCCTCAAGCACGAGACTGAAGATGCCCTTACCTCCATTCAGGAGCTCATTCGGTCGAAAACCGTGCTACCACCGGAGACGCATGACTCGGATGCGGATGTAGATGGCACCACTGAACGCGAAGTAACTTCGAGAATCTTTATGGTACGGCGCCTCCTCCGAACCGCCTTCGATGTAGTTCACAAGCACACAGTCCGAAGCGAGGGCTCACTGCAACATTGCGTTTGGAGAACACGTTGCTAATCTTGCAGAGGTACACATTCGTCGCCAGAAAGATTCCTTGATCACGCCCTTGCTTGATATCTTGCGCGACGCACCCCACATTGACTACGACCAGACTCTCTCTTGGGACGGTAATGCATTCTGCTGATGCTTGATCATAATGCTTACGTTGATTCTTAGAGTGGGCATTACCGGATCAATTGGTATACACAACTGTATCCGCCTTACTTCGCATTTGCTTCGTTTACGAGGACTACGCCGGTCTCGTTATCAATGCAATCCTGGGCTTCATCACAGACGTTATTGAAATGCTCAGGGTGGCAAATTGTACGTGCGTTCCTGAATGTAACACATCAGTTGATGCCTAACCTAGACGACTCCAGCCATAGAAATATTCACTCAGCTGACACCCTCCGTCCACGGCCTCTACCGTGCCATAACTTCGACCATATATCCCTGGGCTACGTCCCAATGGCATCTTTTCTCCCGTTCACTTGACGGCCTTGTCGAAGATTCTATTCTTGAGCGTATCAATCACCACCTTCTCGAAATTCACCAAGAAACAGACGTCGACATTAATTCCGACCCCTCTCTATTCTTGTTTTGTCACACTTTCATTTCCCGATACGTTTCTGCTGGACGTCCTCTTAGCGGATATTTTATTGTGTGCTGTGTCATGGAAATGCAGTGGACTGTGCTTGCCCAATCCCTCATTCCCATTTCTCCTGAGGGAATCACGTACGATGGGCTGTGGAGGGAAGCCGCCGCCGTTAACCGGGCGTGGTCCACCTTGATGAAACAGGCTGCACAGAAGGTGACGCTCAATGATGAGACTGTGGAAACCTTACGATCCACTATCAAAGGAGCTTTGCAGTGTTTCAGTGACCTTCTGGGCCAAATGGAAGTTATGGACACAGAGCCACCGTTGGACACTTACGCCTGGGAGACCATGTCAGAGAGCTTGGTATGTTGCTAATTGGCAGTCTGTGAAGAAAAAAGGGATCTAACTCTTTCGCAGAAATTGGCTTCCATATGCTCTGTTGCCGCGAGAGAGCTTGACCCGGATCTTTACGCTCGTCTTGGTTTGCTCTTAAGTGACAGATCGCCAATCATGTATAATCTCGTCCAAGAAGCAGCATCGAAGTCCATGATTGTGATTGTACAAAGGCTCGTCCCAAACGAATAGTTCATGTCGCAGAAGAACTTATTCTTTTCTGACAGCTTCACTGATATAGCCGGAGAACTAGTCCACCATTTACGCCGTTTTGTTACTTCCCCCTTACCAATATTCGAGTCTGCGTTCAATTCTGAGAAGCGTGCTCCACCGCCACTCACAGCTGCAGCAAAGTGCTTTGCCTTGTGCATTAAGGTGAGTTGGGTATCACTCGTTGGTAGCTTCTCTCACGGGCGTTAAGCTTGCTCCAGGAGAAGACTCGATCATGTCTAACATGTACTCTCTTCTGAACTTCATTGCAGCGATTAGCAAGGAAACCACCGAGTCGTCGTCGCAACAACTGCTTCATAATCCAATCTATGGTTTGCCTTACGCGTCATCCGCTGACCAGCTTACATATTGGAGCGAGGAAACGGGCCTTCGGGGACGCTCAGATGAAGAGAAGCAGCTCATTGGAATAACCACGATATCTGTCGTGGCGCGCCTTGCGCTGGAATTCGACAAGGAGGAGGTAACAGAGCTGACAATTTCAATGCTCTTACAGAGATTGCGAACAGTGGAACCGGCAGTTGAGGCGGCTCTCGTGTACAATTTGGCAGACCTCGCACTCGTGGCGCCGGTGGATGCATTTGTTGACATTGTGAAGGCGTTCTCGTCGATCAACCGTGTTGCAAACTCTGATGACCCCAGGTTCTCGAACAACGTGGTTAGTTTTTTTTTTTTCTTCTTCAATTTATGGGCCTTTTTCTACCGTCTCACCTCGTTTGCAATGCAGGTGTTGGCAGCGCAAACACAGCTTGCTCGAGAACTGGACCGGCGACCTGACCTTTATGACATATACTTGGAAGAGCTGCTTACCTTGTTCTCTGACAAGGGCGTTGCTATCCAATATGCTGCATCCTCTGCCCACCATGTCAAAGTTTGTTCTTAGTTTCCTTCGCCTGTTGCCTCTTTTGATGGTGTACGTAAGACAGAGGAAATGATCGAACAACTGGCGTCACTTTTGCTGCCCATCGAGGCGCTTCTCAATCATGCTGACTTTTCTCCGCATATCAATGCTACTCCTGAGTTAACATCATTGTTCAGGAACATGTGGCTTCTGTGCGTGCTGTTAAATCTTACCCTAGCGGAGGATAAGGAGCGAGAAAAATCTGCCATGACATGGCTCGTTCCTGCGCTTGGGCGCATAGCTACGAAGACCCCTATACCAGTCCTTGAAAGTGCCACCGACGTCCTCAGTGACCTTGAATACAACACCAACGTCCGCCGCGAATATGCTCGCTCGGTGAGTCCTGCCCAATCGCAGCTGGGTAGAGGTGCTAAGGCCCGTAGGTGATATCGAAACACCGAGCGTGCTTAACACGCTACATTCCGATGCTAGCGAGCGAGATTCGATCTCTATCTGCTGGCCAAGTCATTTTCGTATTAGCTATGCACGACGTGGAAACTCTGCGGTCTGATGCGGGTTTACCCTCATCGTTGGTATCGTATTTCACGAACCCAGGTCTAAATAAGCATGCAGCCCTCAGCGCGTGCATGGAAGCTATTACTGAGAAGGCATGTACTTCCTGGACATCCTTGGGGTCTTTCTGATTGTCTTGTTAGATCATTCAAGAGTGCGTTTCTAGTCTCAATATCCAAGCGGCGGAGCAGGCTCTTCCCTCTCACTTGTCGTACGAGCTACGGGACCTCCTGGTATTCAGCACGCACCGCATCACTCGGGCGCGCGAAGTCGCTAACAAATACCTGAACCGTCTGATTACTTCTTTCCCATCATTGATGTGCGATCCGACGCTCGTTTATGCTATTCTCGAATGTCTTACTCTCTTGCGACGAGCCTGCGAGGGTGAATTCATAGACGAAGTAATCTTTTATTCGTCCCATAACGATTTTCATCGTTCTGATGCAAAGTTTAGTACAGCCCAAAACATGAATTTTATTCTGAGCGTACGGGAATCACTCTCCAGTTGACGGACGATTATAAAGTTCGCAACGACATTTTGAGCCAACTACGGAATAACGCAAACAATTGGTTTGAACTTGCCCTTAGTCGAGCACCCGTCGAGCTTCAGTCGATTTTACAGGTAGGTGGTTCGATGCTGATGCGGACGTATCATGTTTTGATCCCTCAACCCCAGAAATATCTTGCCGCTACTCACTCACTGACCGGCGCTGATACGGCAGAACTTGGAGCGTCGGTTGCAGAGCAATTCGCTAAAGCCTTCGGACCTGTGCATCGCCAGCTCAGTAAGTAATGCAAGTGGTCCCCCCCGGTTGACAGTCTGACTGGCAACTAGCTGCACTTTGTTCACTTTCACACTGGAATTCGGACCGATCCAGGGTCCTGGCCAGTCAGTTGGCAAGCAAGGGCTATTTTGCAGGGGAAGCCGCAGGTTTGCGCCTTGCGTACCGTCAAGGTAAGGAGTCAACCAGTCTTCGTAGAGTGGGTTGTCCATAATTCGATTGTGTAGCTCCGGGTGTTTTGGACAAAACTCCGCCTCAACGTACATCTTCAACCGTCATTGAAGCGTTGAAGAGGAAAATGGAAGAGACAAGTGTCGAGATTTGGAATAAGAGCACCAGTCTAATGGTCCAGGACCTCAAGCGTCTACTTTTTCGTTGTGCGGCAATATTGATCTCATTGGACGAGGTACGCGAACATGTTGGCTTTAGCAAGGAAGCCCACTGATTGACACGGAAGTGCGAGTATGACCTTCTGCATCGTTTGGTCACGCTGCCGTTCGAAGTTTTCACTCCAGTTGCTGTCGCTACAGGTATTGAAGTCTGGACCTGGGTGATTGCTGAAAAGCCCTCTATAGAGGTTGCGCTGATGTCCGAAGTTTTGGCGGCATGGTTTCTTACTGTCAGGGAAAGGAAGGGGGTCTTCTCACAATCCCTGAAGTCGGTATCTCTCCAGCGTACGGAATTTGTTGGAGACTAACTCTAGCTTTTAGCTACCAAGACCCTTTTCAGCATCCAGTTAATTACGTGCCGACGGACAAGGAGGAAATTGATCGTGCCACCACAAATGCTCAGCGCCTCCTTGTGCCCCATACTCTTATTCTTCAAATGTTATTCAGCCGCCTTCAATCTGCCCGTTACCGCCGTTCTTCAGTGATGTTCCTGATCCAGCGACTTGTCTTGCGTTCCGCATATGCGCACAAACTCTTCAGGTTAGCCCGGTACACCTATCTGAAATATAGCTACTATCGTCTTATCAGTACGCACCCACTTGCGCGCGAACTGCGTTTCTCTTTTCTGCTGTTTGGGTTTGAGACTTTGAAGAGTTCTCATCTGGATGCGTACTGTGAGGGTCTGGTACGCCAGAGTTTATACCGAACTGCATACTCTTGGTTTGCCGTCCGGCCACAGTAAGCCCTCCTTCCAATCAAATGAACTGCCATTAAACTTTGAGCAATCTCAGATGGTCATACGGGGCCAATCGAGTGCAAGTCACTGCTGACATCAAGATCCTCCAGGAATTCCTTACGCACCTTCAGACTGACTGCGTGAAAGGAGTCAGTTGTCTGTCCAGCCTATCGCCGGGCCAATCTCCTAGTCAGTCATGTAGGTTTACTCGTTCACACTCGCTACCCGCTGCTAATTGTTCACAGCCCACGTTGCATATCTCAATCATCCATTGAGGTTATTGGTGGAAAATGAAATAACTAGACTAACGGTTTGGGCTAACCCAAGTAACGATTCCCAGCGAGGTACGGATCACCACAGCGTTACTGAGAGAAGTATGCTCGAGGTAGGATGGACCTTTCTTCTTGACTATCTAACCCTAACATGGACTAGAATAATTGGCCCACCAGTGTACGAACCATTTGGGAGATAGATCCCGCAATTGCACTGTATATGATGGAACGTTTCAAGAGCCCCGCCGCGCATGCGGAAGTGGAGAGGCTTGTCAGGGCCAATCCCATTGCGGTTGCAACTACGCCAGAAGGCCTAAGGTTTCTTGTTGACGACAAGGGTCTTACCCCTCAGACAAGTGATCTGCAGGTAACAAACATGCACGCTCCGCCAATTCGCTTAACTCGTAAATTTCCTCAGTACATTCTCGCTTGCACACCGGTTCCCCCCGTTATTGCTGTGACGTTCTTCGAGAAGAAATACAACGACAACCCGCATTTACTTCAATATGCGCACCGCGTACTCAAACAACACCCTGTCGAGCTGACGTTTTTCTTCGTTCCGCAAATCGTACAAGCCCTACGCTTTGACGACCTTGGTTAGTTTTTGACATAATTCTCATCAAGCGGTAATGACTGGGTGCAAAGGTTATATCAATCAATTTATTTTGGAAACTGCCAAAATTTCTCCTTTGTTTTGTCATCAAATCATATGGAATATGAAGGCTAATTGTTACAAAGATGATGCTGCCGAAATTGTAGGATTCCCTACCTCCGCTGTGCACGTCTAATTTTCTTTTCAGGAAGACCCTATGAAGCCTGCTCTTGATAGGATGATGGGTACCATAGTCGAATCACTGACAGGAGAAGCAAGATCATTCTATGACAAGGAATTCAGTTTCTTTCACGAGGTCACTTCAATATCCGGGAAGCTCAAGCCTTTTATCAAAAAGACAAAACCGGAGAAGAAAGTCAGTTGCACATAATCTCAATCTAGGTTCTCTCACGCTCGTATAGGCAAAGATTGACGAAGAAATGGCCAAGATATGCGTCGAGGTTGGAGTTTACCTCCCAAGTAATCCAGACGGGGTAGTTGTAGATATTGATAAGCACTCTGGCCGGCCGCTACAAAGTCACGCTAAAGTCCGTACCTTATCCGAAAGGCTGTATCACGAGACTGACCCCGATTAAAGGCCCCCTTCATGGCTTCGTTCAAGGTGAGGAAGTCACGTACCGTGGTAGATTCGGATCCAGAGGCGTTGCTCGACGACAACAAAGTGGAAAAGCATGAAGACTATGAAGTCTGGCAGCAAGCTATCTTCAAAGTCGGGGATGATTGTCGTCAGGATGTACTCGCACTGCAAGTGATCGCCATGTTCAAGAATATCTTCACCAGCATTGGCTTGCCATTGTACTTCTATCCGTATAGGGTCACAGCTACTGCACCAGGGGTAAGTGCATCAGAATTTGTATATGCGAGTCGGAACTAACAACGTTGTAGTGCGGTGTCATAGATGTCGTACCCAATGCAACGTCGCGAGACGAAATGGGTCGTGCTAAAGTCAACGACCTTCTGGACTTCTTTGTATCCAAATACGGCGGAGAGGAGACTGTCGCTTTCCAGAGAGCTCGCCTCAATTTCATCCAGTCTATGGCTGCATATTCGGTGGCATGCTATATCTTACAAGTCAAGGACCGACACAATGGCAACATCATGATCGACGCAGAGGGGCACATTGTCCATATTGGTTGGTTTCTACATTCTATGCAAATGCCAACTCACCCAACTCCCGTCAGATTTTGGGTTCCTCTTTGATATAGATAAGTCGTCAGTTCTTGTGGATTTTCCGCTGTGCTAAATGTCTTCATCGCATGTCCACGTCCCGGAGTGAGTGGATTGCCCTGTATCCTGGTAGACTTTTCTCTGACGGGCTTGATAAGGGCGTCAAATTTGAGCCGAGTTCCTTCAAGCTTAACGCTGAGATGGTTGCCCTGATGGGTGGTCGATACTCACAAGGATATGACCTTTTCCAACACCTCACCGTCAAAGGGTTCCTTGCAGTCCGCCCACATGCAGATCAACTGGTCAGCACGGTCCAGCTCATGCTTGGGACAGGGTTGCCATCATTCAAGGGGGAGGCTACCATCAGACGACTGAAGGATCGATTTGCTCTTGGGCTGAATGACCGCCAAGCTGCTGAATGGATGATGGGCGTCATCCGTAATGCTCATGAGAACATCCGAAGTACCTTCTATGACGAATTCCAACGGGTAAGTGGATCGTGGTCTTGGTATAGGTTGCCTTGCTGACAAAAATGGGTCAGTTACAAAATGGTACGCTTCCATTGGTCAAGATTTGAAGGATGTTTACCGTTCTATAGGCATACCATACAAGTAATTTCACAGGTGTCCTCGGTTCATTCGGGAGATGGCAGAGGTAGCTCGGGGGCCACGAAATCATCAGGTAGAACTGTTGATGGACATAAGCCTTGTTTTGTGTGCCGTCGTAGAGCCGCTGATCTGAACAGGCAATAATAAACAAGACAGCGCCAAAGCTACACTGAATGAAATACTTTTTAAGTACACACACACCTTCCGCTCTGCTGTTATCGATCTATGGAGTTTGACATTAGGAGGGTAAACGTTTGAACAACGAATACGCCATGCATCGCAGATCAAGCCCTGCACAGGTACGCTGACCTCTTTGTCACCGACAACGAACAACGCTTGCCGAACTTCGGCGTGATGATAAGCCTAGTGTTGCCGCAGAGCGAACCGAGGTGAATCGAAGTTGAAATTTGCATTCAGCATAGATCTCAGATGTGGCCGTCTAGTTTGTGTCACTTCGTTGTTTGCGAAGTATGTACAACGAAGCGACTACGCGAGAGTTCGCGAGGTGCAAAAAAGACACCCCGCTAGCCGGTCAGCTGATTTCAAGGGAAAGTAAACGATTACCACTAATAGTAGTGAAGTAGACTGGCTAAGTCAAGTACGATCAGGGGCTGTTTCACTCCAACAGAGGCCTGAGGTTTCGCGATTTCGCATACATTCATCTTTTCGAGGCAGACAAAGGGTTCACTCTTGTTTCTCGATGTCAAGTACTGCGCGAACAACCAACGGTGAGCTTCACAGCCTATATTAGGTTCCATCACTAAGTGGGAGCAGATGCGACAGGTACGCTGAATGTCGGTTTGCGAAAGTCCTTACTACGGCTCTCTGAAATGAAGTACAACTCAGGCAAGAAGGCCGAGTGTCCGCTTGATTCCAGGCTTCGTGCCCTCTTTACGGATGCCCATGATATCTCGGAACGAATGGTACAAGAGGCAAGGTTCTATGCGTAAGTTCCTTCAATATATATGCCAACTAAAAATTTAATGTATCAGAGATGAAATTCAACGTACTCTGACCCACTTGGAAGAGTTTCACCGTCAGAAACAAGGCACACATCAAGTTACGGTGACACGGATGGAGGAGAACGACGTATGAACAGCATTTTTATCGGGCAGCGCACAATAGATGTGATGATTATTATGTGCAGGCACCGTTCAAGAGCTTGTTTTCAGCAAATCCGGCCAACCTTGACAAACTCGTTACTCAACGTAGGCTGGTAATGGAGACTCTGGAAGATGATGGTGACAACTCCTTCACAGCATGTTTGGCTACGTGTTAACCTAGCATAGTGAGAAGTCAATCCACACGGATGAGAAAGGTACGCAAGCGCCTTTTAAAGACCGCGGAACGGAGGTCGAATGAACAGAGAGAACAACAACGGGTTCGTCCGTTAAATTGCTTATGAGCTTGCTTACATCTTGCGGTTCACCATAGCTCATTACCGACGCATCCATCTTTATTAAGCATTACAAGGCACTTATTGGCGCCTGAGTACGATGGAGATGGAGCATGAAGCCGTGCTGTATTCCCAAAATCTTGTTTTGTACTGCTACGACTGTGGTGCCCCGCTCTCAGTGACCGAACTGAACGTCAGGGCATCTGAGACGTGCTACTAGGAATACACGTTAGCCAAGACAGAGGAATGGAGGGAACACTAACAAGTTCACTCGTTGAACGATGTATGCGGTCGTGATTTGAATTTGGGGCGATTACAGGCCCCAGGTCCAAGTACTCGCACATAAATATCCTAAGAATAAGATTCCACCGACGCATGGTGGGAACATCAAGAGCAGATGCATCATCCTATAGGGCTCCGTTATCCTCTACATGTGGGACTCATCGAGGCGCACCACTCACCTGCAATGTGTGCCAAACAGTGGGGAATGGGTAAGGTATTACGTGGAGAACACTCACTCCTTTCCGCAGGAAAGGTACATGGTCATCCTCGATGTAGCCGTAGTTGAATTCGGCACCTCTTCGAGGTAAGAAAAAGCTGCGAAAATTCGCAGTTCCTTCTGATTCCGTGAGCAGCCCCGCCTGGTGTAAACGCTCTTCAACAGAAACCATCGCGTCGAATAACCACGCGGTGTCAATAAAGTAAGACCGTACAGATGGATTAGGAGCACCAAGAAGATCAAGGAGGATAAGGTGTTCAATCGTTGTCAACTCCGTCACACTAGCATGACTGAGCAATCGCCGCTTGGTGTATGGTGCAATATAAGCGTTTGACCACTTTTGAGATAAATGCCTGTCGTAGTATCAGAGTCCTGCATTTCCGAACGGACAAACTGTATTACCTGGCACCATATATGGAATCCGTCCCGGTCCAAGCCTTGAAAGCTTCCTCGCCGTCGAAGAATACCAGTTGAAGGGTGATGTCTTCGATGTCTTCTTCATCTTCTGTTTCAATTTCTTGCCGCCGACGATCCAAGAAGGGGTTCAGGGCCTCAGCAACGTCCAGCATCATGGCGCAGGGCGCCGCAGAATCTGTTGCTCCCACGAACTGAGTTGCAGAAGTTTAGCCGCCAAGTCTCGTAAAGGCGACGTTGCACGCCACAGACCTGGTTACTGGGATAGCTGAGGAAATACTTGCTATCATAGTGAGCAGACAAAATTACTCTTCGAGGTGCATTTGGGTCTTTTGTAGCAACGATATTAGTGAAGGTGCGTTCACCGTATGGTGTTGAATCCGTAAAACTGTCTTCCTCGACATACCAATCCAACGAAGTTAGAACCCGTACTATGTAATTGCGGACGAGAGTGCTATTATCACTACCCACTAAACATATTTAGTAAACATGCGAGAGGGAGAACAGTACCACGCGCACCAGGTCGCGGAATGAGCATCTTCGACAAATGAGATTGGGGATTCCGTGGGTCAATGTTCTTCACTGGATCAACGATGCCCACAAGAGCGTCTAGCTGTTCATCGGATAACTGTTTGAGACTACGCTGGAAGGATTGCGAATATCGCGCTTGACAGGGCCATGGCAACAGCGCGACAACACAGAAGCGAGCAATAAGACCATAGAGCCTCATCGCACGTCGGGGCAACTGGACGAGGGATGTCGCTGCTCGTTTGGCTAACAAGGGCTTTTGAAAACAGTGTAACACTAATAAGGTGTACCATTGCGTACCACACTGGCTTGGCCCCCTACTCGTGAAGTTGGTCAGTTGTGGGAAGTAACGCTCTGTCACAGCTTGCTGGATATTGAAATTCCGATCCGCGCAGGTACCGAGGTTTGCGTCGATTTTCTCATCATGGTTGTCTTTGGTCTCTGGGTAATCGCAAACTGGTGCTAAAGAAGGATGGTCCATTTTTGACGAAGATACCACAGGTAATCAACAAAGCTGGTGGACTGGTCTATCAGCGCAATTTTACAGGTTAGAGTTGTCCTCTGCTTAGCGACAATTAGCTGTGATGGGTAATTCTAAGATGGCCTTGCTCAGCTCACATCAAACGAATATCTCGTTCTCGCTGGGACTTTGCATGGCATCCATGCCATTACTAGCCGTCTCTCGCCCACAGGACCTAGCTCAGGGGCTCAAGTCATCGAGGGAGAGTCCTTCAAACTGACGATTCTACTCACAGTCACGGGTATGTGTGCTACGTCTTATGGGTCAAGGAACGTATGAACGAAGCGTAAATCAGGGACTAAGTTCGTTCTGTTGACACCGTTGGTGGGGGCAGCCGCGGAATCTACCCTACAAAAGGTGTACGAGATCTATTCAGACACGGTCATGAAAAATCCCTTCCATACGCCAGAGATGCCAATCCGCATTGATGGTTTTGACTCTCGCATAACTGCGCTCCTTGGATCTGGACAATCATAAGCACCGTCAGCAGTGCACTGCCGTAGTATACGAGGCAGCTGAAGGATTATATATGTCTGCTTGACCACTACAAAGAGCTACATACTGTTTTCTCGACCACGTGACACTAGCTTTGCGCGCGATTTTGAAACCACCAACAAGTGTCCACTTCTCTGTTCATCATCACCTTGCGATTCCGACCTGCATTTATGCGATGCAAGCTCAAGCACCTTCGACAACCAGCGGCGTCGAGGGAAGCATATCGACTATCTTTGCTTACTTCCGTCCTGACATTGTCACAGACCCTATGCAGCAACGTGAGCCTGCAGTGTGTCGAGACACTTCTCAGAGCTGGCCTTGGCTGCATAGCATACTTGAGGCAAGAAAAGCTTCTGTTCGATGCTTGCTTACCGTTGAAGAGAAGGCCACATATATAGGGGTCTATTGCCCTTCGAGAATTTTTCCGAATGTGAGTGCATATATGCGAGGCCTCAGCTCACGTTGCAACGTCCTTGGAAGATCACCTTTCTGCTGAAATCAACAATATGGTGTCTACCCAAGCGAGTGGCTCGTTTTCCACCGAGGGTCAGACTAGGCGCGCTGTCAGTGGTGTCACCATCATGAACCTAAAGCGGGGGTTCACTAACGAGGGTGACAAATTATTGGACTATTTGGTGTGCATATATTATCATGACGGTGCAGACGCATATATGCATACGTTTTCTAGGAGCATGGAATCTTCGATGCGATTGAGAAACAATACCTGCGCAAGTTCATATTTGCTATCTACTTGGTGAGCTATTCGTTGCTAATGTCGATACTCCTTGCATAAAACCCTCTTGTAGGACGGTAATGACCCCAACAAGTATGCAGTCCTACTTTGTTGTAGTGTTTCTGAAATCGCTTCTAGCATCGTAGAGGCATACACGTTCAACTTTCGGGTATGCGATTCAATATTACATGACCTATTATTGTTTTGATTATTTTCAAGTATCACAAAGTTCCCGGCACAAATACTGTCGTACCGATACTGTCGTTGGGAGACCAGCTGTCGAAACTGTCACTTGGCTATGCAAGAAGCGAGGAGCTCATGGCGAAGTCGTTAAAGCAAGGGAAGCTACCTACCTTAGGGGAAGTGAAGCGAAGTCTTAAGGTCTGAAACGTAGAGTGGTCAGACGACGAAGCTTACATCCACTTCAGCTGATGATCAAGACCCTTGTGACCACCATTTCGCACATGGAGAGTCTTCCCAGTAGGTTCAGATTATGTCGAGGTTTGCGAAGCCCTTATCCGGTCCCCAGAGAGCCGATTTGGGAATTTCAAGCTGTTCTTCAACGAGAGTACACCAGATGATTACCAACCCCCTCATTTTCGTGCTGGTGATCTCGATGGTAGCAAATGGTTTTTTACTACTCACGGCACAAGTGAAACCCCCGAGAAGATGTGCATTGGCAATTTTGAAACTGGATGGCATGGGTGAGCCTTACATGGTCGAAAACTTCGCACTCTAAGTACAGTTCCAGTGTAAGCATGAACGTCACTTCCGTTTCCTCCTATCTCCCCTCCGTGACCGAAGACAATGATGCACTTTTTACCGGTATTACAAATTCCGCTCCCAAACTGAGCCCCATCGAAGAAGCACGACTACGCGCCGAGGACGCAGAACTCCAAAGAAAGGATGCGCTAAACCGCAACGTGGTCTGGGACGCAGATGCGGACGCAGACGGAGCCAGGAAAGAGTCTTCTGACGATGGTGTAGTTCTCGCGAGATGTGATGGTGTCTCAGTTATTGTTCCCGTTGGACTGCGAGGGGATGACGGGGCCATTCAGCCCATTCCAGAAGCTTCAGGGCTAGGACATATTTCTGGGAAACCCCAAATCACTCCAACACGAGTTGGCAAATTAGTAAGGATCTCGAACACATCCATATTGCTGTTGCATGATTCGACCGTCCATAGAGAGACACTCATGACATGGAAGACACTCAAGTTATCTCGGGAACAGGGGAAGTTGAAATCGCCTCGCACTCGCATTCTCCCAGCATACAACAGCAACCTTCGTTGCCCCCGTCCGATTCGAGCATGTCAAATGCCTCAACCCCACAGGTTAACACTCAGTTTCTTGAAGAAAAACTACGTCGCAGGATGTTCTGTTCGATTACGTCTGATGGTAATACGCTTGGCCAATCGCTGATTCCTGAAAACGCAGAGATGGGACTGATTCTCGAGTAGATATGGAGACCCAGGAAACTCCTTGTCAAGATCTCTCCCACAGACTAGGATCCATGGCTTCTTCTGGCATGCAGAGAGGCGCAACAGCAGCGAAGACACCTGTGACAGCAGCAGCCATGGAAGGCGGATTTGCGGACTCTGACGAGGGAATACTTGACTGTGATTGTGGTGCAAAGGTAAGACAGCTTCCTTCAGAATTCCACTGTCCTGTGACGTATATCAATCAGATTGAGGACGTTAGTATCTTCTGCGAAGGAGGTTGCAAGAGATGGTTTCATATTTGGTAACCCGTCAAGTCCTATAACGAGACATTGATTTAACTTCATGTGTAGGTGTATGGGGTAGGTCCTTAAGCCTTAATGATTGGCGGAAACCAATGGCCGCGCAGCTATCACAGTTCACAAGACAAGCGACTTCCAGAGCGATTTTTGTGCCTTGACTGCCGCCTCCGAAATTCAAGCGAATGGGACATCATAACGGGCAAGATCCATTCAGATATCATTTGCCGTTTCAAGGATCTTGCACTATTCAGGGGAGAGTTGCCATTGTGCTTGGGGCCACTTCACTTATCGTTTCTGATTTCCTAGGCGTGCTATTAAAGTATTCGAGGTCCGGAAGCCTGCGACTGTGAAGCAGTTCAGAGAACAGATCGGCGAGCAACTTGCACACCGTTTTAGACATTGGTCTGACCCTAAATTTAGGTTGCACTGCAGCTTTAACGAGTCAATTACTCGCCCGGCTGGAAGACGAAGGTCAGTCATATCTGATCATGAAGAGCAGAGAAAATAGCTCCATTGAAAGTGTTCATCGCAACGGAATGTGCGATCAATGACGACCTTGGCTCTGTCCGAGATATCGAGAAGAAAACAAAGAAACAGGCACGCAGTAAAGCAAAGAGGACACGGAAGGAGCTGCAGAGAACCAAATTTATATTTCTCCATGCTTCTAAGAGGGGCAAGGCCTACCAAGATTACTTTAACCCGGATCCCGCCGTCGAGAACCGTTTGATGGGTTTGACAGATAAGGTAGATCCTGAAATTATACATAAGAGCATCAGTCACATGTCCGATCTTCAGATTCGTACAGGTTCTTCGATGAAGGGCGAGTCGTAAGTTTCAGTTTTATTTTGGGAAGGTGCCAGGAGGTAGTTGAATGCCCATCGCAGTAAACTACCTGAAGAATCGACTTTTCACCAGTCCCCGATGGATGAAGTACGTGAGACTACCCAAGGCGACGACTCGCAAACTCAAGAAGCAAGCCAAAATGTTCTCGTGCTAGCCATCGCTCGCCAAACCGAAGCATCATTGAAGCGAAAGGCTGGGAGTAACACCGACAAGCCAACCAAGAAAATCAAGATTTCGATTGGAACCGCTGTTGACCTTTGCGATTGACGAGGCCGACATTAGTTTCCTGATGCTTTTTTAGTGTCGTGCCGACTCGTGCACTTACCGAACATGATGCACAATGCATCAAATGGAATCTGTTGCTCCCAGATGAATGCAGGCTATCATGAACTATCTGATGTGGCGTTAACGAGGCGATTGTAGAGGTTTGAGACTAAGTCAAGTAAATACTACTAAGTCCGACGCCGCACCCGGTTACAACCGAGCTTTTCACTTGTCGCCGGCCCTAATGAAACATCATTGAGTACATATTGAAGTTGTAACATGCTTTTCTTCTGTATCAATCCCCTCACGATTCGACGACTCGTCGAGCTGGCAGCATGACACCCTCGATGATCTGCATCGGGAGGCCCTCGCAGGAGATGAAGTAATGGTGCATCGGCATACTATACACCCTGGTATCTCCCTACTGCATGCATTTTTACTGCTGTAGGGTTCGTTAACGTGGTGCACACTGCACGCCTCTGGAACTAGTACATACTATAGCGCTACACCATTCATTTCATTTCATTTCAATCCTCACTGTCATACAGAAGGGCATGCAGTGCCAGCGGTGTAAGCATTAAAATGAGGAATGCAGTCCATGAAATTGCACCTACCCAAGATCACGGATTACCCAACGCGCGTCTGTGACGATAGCTCTCTTGATAAGTGGCTCTAGGAGGCATCTGGTCAGCGTGCATCGTCGTCGTCAGGCTCCCGAATTTCAGCTCCTCAAGTTCTCTTCAAGGCTTCGAGATAGATCATACGATCACTATGCCATACAAGCTTTCAGCGACACTCTTGAGTCACACGTCCGATGTATGTGTTTTATGCGTAGACTAGGGTAAACATCCCAAACTATTTGCTAGGTTCGTGCAGTGGCGTCGCCTTCTGATAATCTCATTCTCTCTGCATCTCGCGATTCGAGCGCGATTTCATGGTCCAGGGTCTCATCGTCCTCGTTTGCTCCCGCTTCCATCCTACGAGCAGGGTCCAAGTTCGTAAATGCGGTTGCTTACCTTCCCCCTACTCCGAGAGCTCCGAGAGGTGCATATCAGCTTGTTTCCACCACAATACCACGCTAATTCTTGTGCATCACGACGATGGGACAGGATGTATGGTCGTCGGTGGGCAAGATATGGTCGTCAATATTTTCGCCCTAGATTCTTCGAATAAGGACGACCCGGAATATACGCTTGTCGGGCATAGCGACAATGTCTGCACCCTCAATGTTGGTCCGGAGGGCACCATTATCTCAGGATCTTGGGACAAGTGTGCTTCTTCATGTTTTGATGTTTGCACCCGTAACACCTCTGCAGAACGGCCAAAGTTTGGAAAAATTTCACTCTGCAGTATGATTTGAGAGGACACGGACAATCTGTCTGGTCAGTACTAGCTATCAGCGAAACCGAGTTTCTGACAGGTAAGTTGCACGTCGGCCCGTATTTTATATTCAGCAGCTTCACATGTTTATAGCGTCTGCGGATAAAACGATCAAATTTTGGGACCAGCATAAGGCGATTCGGACCTACGAAGGTCACCGGGATGCCGTCCGAGGGTTGGCATTAGTGCCGGATATCGGTTTTGCTTCGTGTTCCAATGATAGGTCCGTCAAGGACTTCCTTTCCAGAACGAAACGAGCTTACGATTTGGCTCCCAGCGAGGTACGGGTATGGACGATGGAAGGAGACACCGTGTATTCGTTAACTGGACATACGTCTTTCGTGTATAGCTTGTCAGTTTTACCAAACGGCGATCTGGTCTCTGCAGGAGAAGACCGTTCGGTGCGCGTTTGGCGTGGTGCGTTGCATTTTTATTATTAATAGTGTTTTCAATTCTACATAACCATTGTAGATGGAGAATGCTCTCAGGTTCTCGTACACCCGGCTATCTCAGTATGGACAGTCTCGACTATGCCAAACGGTGACATTGTTAGCGGGTGTAGCGACGGTGTTATTCGCGTCTTTAGTGAATCCGAGGAGCGTTGGGCCAATTCCGCAGATCTTAAAGCATTCGAAGACCAGGTTTCAAGGCAGTCTCTTCCATCGCAGCAAGTTGGTGATGTGAAGAAGAGCAATTTGCCCGGGCATGAAGCCCTCGCTGTCCCAGGTATTGTTGGGTTCTGTGTATTCTGCCTATCTTAACATCTCCCAGGTCGCAAAGCAGGAGAAGTGAAGATGGTACGCAACGGTGACGTCGTGGAAGCGCACCAGGTTAGTTTACTTTTGCATTCGCATGAATGACGGTTGCTCAGTTTCACAGTGGGACTCTTCGAGCTCCAGCTGGCAAAAGATTGGTGAGGTTGTGGATGCCGTTGGCTCAAGTCGCAAACAGCTATACAACGGCAAGGAGTATGACTACGTTTTCGATGTAGACATCCAAGAAGGCGCTCCTCCGTTGAAGTTGCCTGTGAACGTTTCCGGTGGGCGTTTTGCCTTGGGTAAATTACAATCGTACTGAGGTGGCCATTAGAAAATCCCTATCTCGCCGCCCAACGCTTCCTCGAACAGAACGACTTATCCTTGTCGTATCTCGATCAGGTAGTAAAATTCATAGAGCAAAACACTGCAGGGATCAAACTCGGAGACGATAGCAACTATACCGACCCGTATACTGGTCCGTTAGGAGACTAGTTATAATGAGCTGGTTCTCATTAAGCAACTTACCAGGGACAACTAGGTACCAGCCGCCTGTGCGATCCCATGCAGACGCTGCATCTTCGCCTTATATGGACCCTTACACTGGCGCGAACCGTTACACAGCGTCCCGTGCGAGTGCACCTCCGGAGTCACGGACTCTTAAAATCATCCCATACGTTCGTGCCTAGCAACGCCACCATACTTGACATCTGACAACATTCTCTTATAGTCCAAACCCTTATCATTTAAACAAGCAAATATACCAGCGATGCAAGCCAAGATGTATCAATTCGACGAAGCCCTTCGCAGTGAAATGGTGAGGCAGTGACTAATGTTATTCTCATAGATCCACGCTAATTCAACAATAGTCCACCGAGACCTTGGCAATGCACCCGGAGGAACTGAAGATGATCGAAGAGGCGTTCACGTACCTTGTTCAAGCGTCTTCTCAATCATCTTCTCCGTCTACCACGCTTAGTTGGGCACACGCGGAGACGATCACGCAAATTTTAGACCGGTGGCCCATGTCGCAAAGGTTTCCAGGTGTGCAGCGCTCTTTTTGCATGGAATCGTACGACAATTCAACTATAATGACAGTTTTGGACCTTTGTCGTTTGATAATGGCGTATCCTCTGAATGCCCCTGCGACTCCCGGTTCTCGAGAAAAACTGTTTGATTATTTGTTCAAAGCCTGCGACTGGACATCGGTAACCTTGGAAAGGAAGCCCATGACCAAGACACAGGAAACAAGTGTACTACTGCTGTTTCGTACTATTGCCAACTCTTTACTGGAAGAAACTCCTTTGCATAACGGACAGTGGGTCACACAAGTCAGTTTGCGGCCACCGTATACTTCTTTCCTAATGCCATTAATTTCCAGGTTTTCAAGGCATTGTCACAAGCTTCGCAGCTGCTTCTGACCAGAACTCAAAAAGTGGCCTTAGCATCCATTCTGTTCAAGTGAGTAAGAAATCGCTAAGAATTCAGGACGGGTTGAACATGGCTTCCAGTTTTTCATGCATCGGCCTTAAGGGATCTGTCCCTGCAGATGCGAGAGCGTTGCACCTGTCTTTGATATCACAGGTAAGGATCGTTAGATGATACGAGCATAAAAGCTTCACCGACTACAGTTGCTGCGGTCGCAAAATGACGACCCAGAAGCTGCTTATAGAACCTGTGTTGCTCTAGGAAATGTTGTAAGCAAAGTTTCTTTCTGAACGAAAGCCATGGAGTCACGGGACTGTCCAATAGCTCTATGCCACTAAATCACTGAAAGTCCCACTGGATATACAGTCTTCGCAGCTAACGGACATTAAAAATGCTCTGGGTGCAATCAAGTCTGCATTCCCGGATCAGCGTATCGCCGACGTTTACATGGACATCGTGGCTCTTGTCTGACGATCTGACCCGATTTCTGTGAAATCTGTGACGAGCTTCGTGCACAATTTTCAGCATTCACTCTGATAGAAACTGTGGATGGTATCTTGGAATCGGGTTCAGCTTGCTTAGAGGTGGTGATTGAAGTGCTAGTATCTACGCAATATGAAAATACAGGGGAAGTTGATGGTTCACTCCATGCCATATGTCGATGTCAGTATGTGATAAGTACGTCCGCGGGTATGCGTCAATAAAGATCAATCAGGCAGACGTCTCGAGCCTCTCCCCACACACCCAAGCAAGGTGATTAAAATGCGCGGCGAGAACGTGGCGGACCACTGGAGGGCATTACAGCCTGGGCCGGTGGGGCACCCATACGCTCGGGGAGAAGGGGGGCACAGGACCCCGCGCCGATTAGGTCAAGTAGTTGTGCATAAGATATTGCCTCAATGCACCTAAATTGGAAACAAAAAGTACGTCCGCCAGGCGCCTATGAATTCAAGGCTTGGTTCTATCTCGATATGACCTTCTTCCGGTTGTACATTGTACGTCATGGTGAAACAGACTGGAATATAACAAGAAGAATCCAAGGCCAGAAAGATGTCCCACTGAACGAAACCGGGATAGCACAGGCGGCATTGGTAGCGCAAGCTTTGAAAGAGGTTCCATTTGTTAAAGCCTATACCAGCGATCTGCAGAGGGCTTCAAAGGTAGGCAACCCTATCGACTTCAGCATCGGCATTGGCGCTCAGTGACTTCACGCCGCTGTAGACTGCCGAGATTATTCTGCGATACCATCCTTGCGTAATACTAGAGAAAGACGAAGCCTTGCGCGAAGTAGTAGGTGAACATTTCAGACAAGGGGATACAACGATTAACAATGGCTTTCCTAATGTATTGTTATTGCTAGTACATGGGCGAGTTGGAGGGTGAATTTGGGAGTTCGTCGAAGTCAGCACCTTCAAAGGAGACGACAGAGGCCCTGATGCGACGATGGCAGTCCTGGTACTCGCGTTCGATCATTGGGTACATGTTGTCTAAGGTCAAGAAAGACATTCCGGAGGGCGGCATTGGAGATCCAGAATGCATTCTCGCCGTTTCCCATAGTGGCCTGATCTCAAACATAGTGCGGGTGCTCGTAGCGAACGCCGCTATTCTACCCGTGCAAGGCGTGGTCGTTGGTCGTTGTCTAAATACGGGAGTGTCAATTATTGACTACTCCATCCCTAGACAAAACCAAGGTAGATATTTGAAAGGAGCGTTGGTCAGATACTCTGACGTGACCCACTTGGCGCGTACCAAGGTTGTGGAAGAGAATGTCGATGAGCGTATATGTGACGAAACGATCCCTTAGTGCCAGTAGCCCATGATTAATATTCTTATTAGTAGACTCGGAAGCGACGAATAGTGACGCACGAGGTGGCAGCCTGTGGGTGGTGTGTATCTTGGTTTTCCCCAGTAAGTCTGCAACACACATCATCGATAGGAACGCAACTAGGAACGCCGCGGCACGCGAGTTTCAAGCTTAGACATGAAGTCTTGTAAGCCATCCTCTCTCTGACTTATAGCCTGCTGCCGAGGGGAAATACTGTTCACACAATCTCTGAGATCTCCGCCTGCCAAGGCAGTACCAGATCAGACTATCAATTATCAACTTGATCTCCTTGTTACTACTCTAGATCTATGGACAGGGAATGGTGGAATCACGGTCGCGACCAGTCAGTGACAGGTTTAAACCATCTATTCGCTTTCTGATGCGCCCAGTCCCTCAGGCCTCAACCAGACTCCTTGTCACCGTCACGGGTCTCAACGCCGGTTTCCGGTGTCCGGATTTGTATAGGTAAAACTGCTTGGCAGAGCGCTTTTGTCCCGCTTTTCTGATGATCGTCTTAGGACAGCAACGTTTTCTGGAAATTCTACTAGGAATTCTATGTGGAATTTGACTGACGTAGCGTGGAGCACGTGATCACATGTAGAGAGGTGATACCCTTGCGATTTCCGGGAACCACAACCTCGTCATGTCACCGAACTCAGAAACTTCCCCCCTGCTTGGGAACAACGATTCACGCCCAGAGTGTTGGTCACGCAGAATCCTGCGCGCCATCAAGGCTGATGGGGAACCGTCGTGGACGGAATCTTTCAAGTTCTTTCTTTTGGGTTCTTGGGCCAATGTCCTCCTCCTTTTCATACCACTGAGCATCCTGTCGCACAATTTGCATTGGGACGCTGCTCTCAGATTTGTGTTCAGCTTCGTGGCCATCATTCCCCTTGCAAAGGTAGTGTCAATCTCGGGCTTCTGTCAGAGCCGTTGCGCTCATCTATGTTCAGCTGCTTGGAGAGGCTACTGATCAATTGTCCATAAAACTTGGCCAGACTTTGTCTGGATTATTGAATGCTTCCTTTGGAAATGCCGTCGAAATCATTATCGGTACTGCTGCCTTGCTGAATGGTAGGTTTCGAAGTCTTTTGCATGTTATATCTTCAGTTGCCTTTTTCAGGCGAGTTAAGAATCGTTCAGACCTCGGTTAGTGTGCTATATATCCTTTAAACCCTGCGCTAAGGGAAATTTTAGATGTTGGGATCTATCCTTTCCAATATCCTCCTGGTACTTGGTTGCTCCTTCCTAGCTGGTGAGTCATTCGCGATACCGGCGTCTTGAAACGTTTCTGACAGCATTCAGGTGGATTTTATCATAGTGAAGGATCTTTCAACCTGACAGGCGCACAGGCGTAAGCACTGGGTTTTCATGATGTTCCTCACGCACCTAATCGAAAACTGTGGGCTACAGATCAGCTTCAGTAGGCATCGTATATAGCTCTCGGCTTGGTACCTCGCTAATACATCCTCGAAGCTAATGACCCTATCTTGTATAAGTGAGGGTCCAACATAATTTCATTATGGAGTTCAAATTTCTCACACATAAATTAGCCCTCGTAATTCCAGCTGCGTACGCCAGCACCACACTATCCGGAATACCAGAGTTTCCGTGTGACATTCCGGATGACAAGGGAGGCTGTCCTTCGCCTGGCCTGTTAATAATTTCTAGGGGAACAGCGGTACTGCTGCTGTTCGTTTATTGTGCATACCTCGTGTTCCAGGTTGGGCTACTTCACTTCAACAGGCTCAATTCATCACTTAATGATCCGTAGCTATATACGCACCCGCAGTTCTTCCGGCAGAGTTCGACAGGCGAGGGTGAAGAAGAAACTGGCGGCCACATGAATATGATGGCCGCCACCTTATCGTGTGTTTGAGGTCATATGCCAGGGAATCTACTTACACAGTAGACAGACTCCTTCTGGTCACTGTTATCACCGCCTTTTGCGCAGAATACTGTGAGTCACAACATCCTGACTGCAACCGACGATCATCTTGAATGCGACAACCCCAGTGGTGGCTTCGATAGAAGAAACTGCTCAGCGGTATCATATCCCAAAGGCTTTCATTGGCGTTATTCTACTCCCCATAGTGGTGCGGATATTTTACCTTTCTGGGTTCTGGTGAGGCTATTTGCTCTGACTTGCTATTTGAAAGGGAAATGCGGCAGAACATGTGACGTCGGTTTGGATGGCGATAAAGGACAAGTACGAACTCACCATCAGTATATGCGTGGGCAGTTCTATTGTAAGAGCTCTTGTGGTGCACGTCCGCTAGCCCGTGATAAATCATCCAATAGCAAATCTCCGCCCTTGTTATACCACTGCTTGTCATCCTTGGTTGGATGTAGGTTATAGCCGAAGCCTGGTTCGATCATTGTAATGACGTTTTCCTCTAGCGTTGGACAACCATTAACCCTTCATTTCGAGAATTTTGAGGTTAGCCCTGTCACCTACCTGCGTTCTCTAACATCCACCTGGCCAACAGACCATCTTGTTATTCGTATCTGTCTTACTGGTGTCATTGCTGATCATGTAAGTTCTCTACACCGAATCTTGGTGTGCTCTAACACGTTATAGGGACGGCAAAACCAACTATATGGAAGGCCTTATGCTAACTATCTTATACCTAGTCATTGCTCTTGCATGTGAGTGCAAAAGACACCCTCCCTTATGCCGCAATGTTGTTGACTAGTTCGTCAGTCTGGGTCACCACGGACTAACAGCAGGGTGTTTTTCATCAACACAGCCCCCGGAATCACCCCAGTTCAAAAGATCTGTGTGTTAACAAAGCCTGAGATCGTAAAGAGAAGCAGGCTAGTCCTTCCCAGCTTACTAGAATTCCGAAGAACGATCGTGTTTTTGTTTCTTATTTATTTGTCTTCTACATTGAATGTTTCCAAATGCTATCCTAAGATACTAAACTATCTCCTTGGAGTTCTTCAAATTTACGACGGGCTATTCGAATATTCATTCTGATTGCTGCCGTCTCTGCTTGAAGTCAACTCAGGTGCCAGGCGTCATGATTTAAATCTTGCTTACCGATGGTGGGATCGTGAACCACTGCTAGTATATACGTGTTTTTGGTCATTTCATCTAGAACAGCTGTAAAATCTTCAAGTTCCATTTCCAGCGAATGAAATTCTTCGCGCAGTCGGGAGCAGGACTGCTTGAAGGTTTTGATCAACTCAGAGGTTCGTTCATAGCGTTTCGTATCCAAGGCATGGCCAGTTAATGGATCCACCGCCTGGTCGGAAGGATCGGACGAGGTCGCAATGACAAGGAAAGTGGTACGTTCAAATAGGATGACCTCCGTTGCGTTACAGGCTTCCGCAAATATTCGGAGGTGTTTGGACAGAGTGCGCACGTTCGGTATCAAGGTGTTTACTATACTCGACCAAGCCTTTGTTACATGTCAGGTGCTCATGCCGCGGAGAAAAGGGGAAATCATACCTTGTACAAAGTCTCGTCGTATATACTTGTGCCATGAACTTTGACTGTGACATCACCGCTCGCTTTCTCCAATTCTGCTGTCTTTCGGTGCAGGACACTGGATCGTTCACTTTCCCGGATAAGATCCATCTTGTGCACCAAGAGGAAAACGGTGGCATCCTTGCTGAATTGTGATAAACCAAGCAGACAATCGCGGTAATACTCAAGGTCTTTGGTCATTTCGCGTGATTCGACATCGAAGACGTAGATCAGCACGCCTACGTGCGAAAATATGGTTGCACGTTGGGCAGATAGATAGGAGTCCATGAACGCGTCCTGTCCACCACAATCCCAGAGGTTCAGGATCAGGTCATCGAGAAACCGGACGTGGTTCTGCTCGACGTCAATAGTAGCGCCCAAGCGGGAAGTCAACGAAGCAGGATTATTGGAACTGGGATAGCATCGTGAATGAAACATTAGGAGGGGACACTTGGACACCCGAAGCATTTTGACTCACAAGATCATTGAACGCATTGACGTCTTCCCGCTACCTGAGGCACCCATTAACAACACCTTGACAAGTTCAAGTTAGGCCATGCAGACCTCTTGGATGCCTTCGTTTGAGAACCTACCTTCTTCTTCATCGCGTAGGTCAGATCTTACAATTCAGATGTAGTCGGCGCGTCGGGTTGCAAGGGCTGAGCTGTGGTGTTGAATGTCTGAGCTCCCCTTGCTGACAATTCTATAATCACTACTACACATACAAGTCATACTTAGTTCCATACTACTGCTTGCTGCTTTCTACGCCTCCTCAATGAACCTTCCTTGGCTCCAGTTCCGACAATGAGTCGCCATCTCCACAGCGGCGAGTCCCCAATCTTCTCCATGATTATGACCTTTGTTTGAACCACCACCCATACCTGCACGCTCCAATGCTTGTTCTTCGTTTAAGGCTGTCAATACTCCGAAGATGACCGGTACCCCTGTATCTAGCTGAACTTTCATGAGGGCATGGGAAACGCTGTCGGAGATGTATTCGAAATGCATGGTTGCGCCTTTGATGAGAACGCCGATAGCGATAACAGCGTCAAATGGCGCAGATGGAAGGGCAGAATCTGCCACAGAGGGCGGGTTTGCAGAGGTGAAACCTAGCAAGTCCCCGGATGATCCTCCACTCTGGATGCGCGATCCCGTTATGATTCTGGGGCTCGATGAGGCAAATAGGCCAACGTTTTCCTACTGAGAAACATCCGCACCTAGAACATGCCAATGGAAGCTCGAAGCTACCCGGCACAGACTGGATGACTATGTTGCAAGCCTCAACGCCGGATAGACGCAGTTTGGCGAGCGCACCGGCGACGAGCGCATCGACCACGGGTTTATTCCAACGGGCGTGCACGATGGCAATTCGGAGGTTTGAGCCGTCGTGTTCGTTTATCGCAGGTCCCTTGATTGAACTCATTGTCGATGTCATATACGTACTTGTTTTTGTTTGTCCTTCTACATACAGAGTCCGTGTCAAAAAGGAAAAGCTATTCGTCTGCATTACTTTGCTAACATTCGTAGGCAGGCCTGCAGCAGCAGTTATGTTTGTATTAGGAACACAAAGTATATATGACTACGCAGTCGTGAAACGCATCTAAACTGTGATAGGGCGATAAGATAGTGCAGCAGAAGACGCAAAGATATCAATGACACGTGATGGAACTTCCAACTTCTAGCAGGCGGCGTCCTACTAATAATAGACACCGTTGGGGCTTGGTGCAAACATATAAAAAGGGATTCCCTCCGTTAGAGTTGTTTCGGACTCCCTCGATACTTCACAAGATTTACTTACCTATAGAACACCGGAACAGACAGACATGGACGGGGGCATCGCCAGTAAGTTAACACATTTATATTTTCCTCAGCTGACACTCCCCTCAGAAACGTATGCATTGATTTATCATTTCCTCAAGAAACAGTCACACGTGAAGGCAGCAAAAGCTGTGAAAAAAGCGGCCAAAGGTGTCGTCATCCTCCGAGACGACGTGGACCTTGACGGCCCGCAACTCGGAGAAATCGTGAGCAAGTGGGAAGCGCAGTCCGAGAAGTCGTGAGCACTCATCTTTCGCGTTTGTGAACTAACGAATCGGATTCTCATCTATTTCACCCGTTCAACGAGTGCGTCCCGTGGGGGTTACTGTGGATGCCAGCTCATTTTTTTTAAAAAGTTTCCAGGAAGAGCGGTGATGGCAAGCACCCCAAAACTTCCAAGAAAACCGTTGACTATAATGCGAATGCAACAAAATCATCAGGTGTGTAGCATCGAATTTACGCGAACAGCTCTTGAACCAAGTTGGAGTTTTCAGCTGAAACGAAACCATTGAAAATCCGGAAGAAACCCAACCTAAATTCTTCTGCCTCTGAGTCGTCCTGCTGTGAAGAAGAAGTGGGACCTAAGGACAGCACCAAAGGGATCGCTACTCAAAATGTTCAACCTTCACGATTGAGTCCCAGCCTAAGCTCTTCCGATTCGGGCTCAAAATCAGACGCTCAAGTGTTCAAAGAAACCGAATCAGAAAAGCTAACCAAGTCATCCTTGACTGATCTGGCTCAAAAAGAAGATGGAGCTCGAGTTACTAAGAGGCAAAAAGTATCGGAAAGTGGTCCTGCAGTCGCCACTGCTGTGGAAATTCCAGGGAACGCTGATCTTCAAACTCAACATCATAATGACAAAAAGACGCCTCGCAAAACTAACGAACGCTTCCAGAGAGTGAAACCTCAGAACGTCGCGCCGAACCTTTTGGTGGACAACGGGTACGAAGCGAAAGTAAGCAGTGTATGATGTTGCCCACGCGCATTAGCTGATGAGTCATTTCTCAGGCGAGGCCAAAGAATGACTACGGCGAGCGCGCACATCAAGACCTGATAGTTACCCGTGGGTCTGGGTTTAGGAAAGAAAAGAACAAGAAGAAGAGAGGTTCATATCGTGGCGGGGAGATCACTGTAAGTACCACGCCTTTGATCGCGATAATTTGACATGTGTACACTTTCATTCAGTTAGAGAACCATAGCATCAAGTTTGACGACTAGAATGCATATATACCACGATCCTCATGTCCTAATCTTGTTGCAATATGCCATTCATCTTGTCGGGCTCCTTCCCGAGAAGGACTCTGGGTAATGTCTGCTCGCATGGGCCTGGAAAGTAAAAGTGTGCGGATCCGATTCCTTGAGGTTCAGTGTTAAAAACGGCAACAGTACCCTTGCGTTCGGCTACACTGTGAGCGAATAAATTCGCAGGAGCAACCTTTTTCCCGACGTTAGGTGCAGTTGTCAACTATTTCTGGAGGGTCTTGTACTCACTCGGGAGGATGTGCCGATGACGAGGGCTACATCGGCTTGGTCCACGAGCTCGGATATCTCTTCGTCATGGAGGATGCTTTCCTCGAACCAAACCACCCCTGGACGAAGTAGACCTCGGCACTTTGGGCATCGCGGTAAATCCTCTAAGGAAATTTGGCGTTCTTTAGCGTGCGATTTGACTAGTTCCTCGGTCCCAGCGAGGGCAGGGCAAATTGGGCTGTCGCGATTTGGCATCCTGTCGCCACATTGCGTGCAGAGTGTTTCGAACAGGCGGCCGTGCATTTCTATTATTGGAGGGTCTGTCGAAGGGAATAGCATTTGGGAACAGAGGACGCTGAGCCCATCAACATTTTGTGTGATGAGTGTAAACTCTGCGTCGGGGGCGATCTCTTTCCTTTGGTCTGGTTGCGAAAACAGTGCCAGCGCGATGTGAGCAGGATTTGGGAGCGCTTTCCCCGCTCTGCAAGAGAGAATGTCAGCCAATTTGTGTGGCGCGATACTAATTCGATATAGCCGCACATCTCTCTGCGATAATGATAAAATTGCCACACTTTGCTTGGGTTTTTCCGGAAAGCTCGTGGTGTCGCCAAGTCCGACAGTGTGTAGTTTAACCATAACCCGTCAGAGCCACGGAAGGTGGGGATGCCTGGAGGACAGAGTACCAGTCAGTGCAACTTTGTGCGACCGAGCTTATCCGACTTTCCAGACGCTGCGGATAAGCCTGCACCGGCGATGGCAATGATGTGGCGACTCTTTTGCAAGATGGACTGGAACTTGGTGACATCGCTGGACGGTGCCATTGATGGGGCAGTGGTCAAAACGCTCAAGCTCTCTGAAAGGTGGCTACCACCAGTTCAAACCATATTGGATTTCGTGAGACAATAGGGGTATCTAGCTGAGGTTAAGATTATCAAACAATCACGACGCAATCAGCTTCAGGTTCTGCAGAGATCACCATGGGTCTGGGTGACCGGATTTGAATGCTACTACGACGCTTTGCTCACAGATCAGTGCAGACCACCCTCGTGGTAGGCACCAGGCGATCACCCAGCGCCCTACATCAGCCTACATCCTGTGTCAACATGATGTGGCATGCAGTCTACCCCTTTCTATCATGTGGCCATTGGACCCGTTCCTAGACCCGCATTCTAACACACGCCGTCTGCCCTAGGTGGCGTCTAGCAACCGCACCCACTCCATCGATATCCAAGGCCGAGAGCCCAAAGTATCGGTCCCTCCCTTTTCATCCAACACAGCAAGAACCAGGACCGGATCTGAGCCTTTCCGTAGTACGACCTTGGGCCAAAAGTAATCAGTCTGTGGCAAGATCTTGATGGATATCGGCTGGTCCTGAGCGTTGTTTAAGGCATCTCTCACGTGCTTCGGGATCTGGGTGAGATCGAATCTGACTAGAAAGCGACAATCATACAAGACTTGAAGGACATCTCTCGACGTGGCAAGAGCAAGAATGAATTGTTCGGTCAGGTCAACGGACAGCCGAGATGCAGAGCCGGCGCCTTCTTGTGGATTCTTGAGAAAGGGAGGCAACCGTGAAGCCAGCCAAGCAGACTGGCCACCGCAAGGTTGTTCCAAGTGACTCAGTGACTCGGAGCGAATTTTAAGACCTTTATTGTGGGAGTATAGGACTGGAGTCCAAAGTACGCCCGCACCAGCGGTAAACCTTTCGAGAGAAACGACCGAAGGCTCTGCGGGCCATAGGTGGTTCATTATGCGATGTATACCGGCCCGACGCCGGTCGCCATCAGCGCGAGTAGAACCCCAAGGGTGAAATGAGACATATCGCATCACACGCAGCACCATGGCAAAGCGGACCGCTGGACCGTCGACGGCAAGAAGCTTGGGTGATGAGAGAAGGAGCGTGCTCGGTGGAGAAGGCAGGGTGCAATTTTGCAATTGCTCGGTGACTTGACTATCGAGTTGTTCCGCTCTCTCTGCAAGAAGGCTAGTTGCGCAGCGTAGGCGTTCTCTCGTATCTGTGACATCTGTAGCGATGGACTGGAGAAAGGTAGACGCTCTCTTGATTTGCTTGAGTGACTCTGACGTATCTTGTTGGAGCGGAGGGGGTTCCGTCGTTCTGAGCGCGGGGGACGCCAACCTCTGGCGCACGGCATTTCGAAGAGTGGTTTCTGGATGTAGATTTGTAGGGTCGTTAACATAATTTAACGCGTGAGCATCGCATGTCGCCAGGATTCTGTCCTGTAGAGGAGTTACATGACGGATGGCAGAAGGGAGGGAGTGACAGACCTTTGGGAAGTCTAGGAGTGGTCTGATGATGAAACGACTCATGCCCGGATGGCCGACCCAGGCTAGGTCATCAGTTGAGTTTCCCTGGCCCATGCCCCATCTTCGGCGACGACGCATGCCCGCAGCGCCGACGAGAGTGGATCCTCTAGCGAGACGCATGAGAGACGTTTCGACTTGATCGTCGGCGTGATGACCGAGTGCAAGGATGGATGCGCCGGAGTAAGTCATGCCGCGAAAAAGGACATTGTAGCGGGCTTGACGGGCGATGTTCTCGAACGGAGTGCTTGGGACAGGTCTATTGGGGAATGGGGCCCGCCCCCATGGGATGTGGAGAGTGCGATGGGGTATCCCCATTGAAGCAGCATTTGCAGCGGCTCTGTCTGCCATGTCAGCAGACGCTGGCTGGAGTCCGTGGTTGACATGGAGGGAGACGACGGAGACGGGTGGTCTGAGACGCGACAGCAGGAAGAGCAGACACGTCGAGTCCGGTCCGCCAGAGTTGGCAACGGCTGGCGAGTGTCAGTCAGTCCAGTCGATGGCCACCGGGCCTTTGCAGAGGCTCACCGATGGTGACACGCGACGACGGCGACGACGGCTGAAGACATTTGAGGAATGTTGCCAGGAACTCTGCGGCGTGGATCGTCGCCATCATCCAAATATTATCCTCACACCACAAAAGCACAGGTTTCATCAATTGTTCCTTACCCGACGTTTATTAAGTACTGACAGGTCATGTAGCACACGGTCCAACAACACCCCCACCACTCATTATGGCCCTCGCCCCCGCCGGATACAACTATGCCAAGGGCGCAGGCATCGAGTCCTTCCCAGCCGCCGTCGTCTTTGCGGTCCTTTACGCCCTTTTGCTCGTGTTCTTTCTATTCAAGTCCTTTACGCGTCCGACGTTTGTCTTCTTCGTTCTCGCGTTCTTCTGTCTCCGTACGCTGTCCCCTTTCTCCTCGTCTCCGTCTCACCAACCCATGTTTTATTAGTTCGTTTTGTCGGTTTTATCATACGTGCATTGCTGGCACAGGTGCCTGCAGATGGCGAAAACATCAACCTCTTCATAGCGTATGAGGTCATCTACAACACCGGCTTCTTCGGTATCATATACTCTACCTACACTCTCATCTTGGACAGGTTCGTCGGCCTTTTGTCTTTCCCTCTGCATCCCCACTCATCTCTGCCCTTTCCAGAGTCGCATTCGCCAAGAATCTACCCCGCGGCCCCATTTACTACCTCCTCAAAAGGCGCTTCCTCTTCCGCCTCGCTTTGACCGCTGCTGTCTCCATCGGTATCACTGGCTCAATTCAGGCCCTCCTTGGAACGCAACCCTCGACTATCTCCACCGGAAACACCCTTCGCAAGGTCGCGATTTACATTTTCCTCGTTTGCGTCATCCTCGTTTTCTTACAGGCATTCATCCTTGCACGTGTCGAGTTTTCAGGTACGAACCCTAACTGTTGTCCTTGTGCACACCCCAAACTCATTCACGCAATCACAGAGGGTGGTTACAGCAGTGTCACCCATAGTCCAGGTGGAAAGTACGGCATTTATTTGCTTATCGTCGTCGCCCTTCTCCTCGTCGCAAGAGAAGCCTTCTTTGCCGCGACGATTAACAAGCAGACGATCCAGGAAAGCCTATGGTATCCCCTTGCGGCTCTGACCGAACTGCTTGCTGTCAGTCTATTTACGATACCCGGCCTCGTGCCAGCCCGTTCGGAGATCCCCCACGACTCCGAGTGGGCGTAGGGCAATGTGTTCGCAATATGCCCTGTTTTTCTGTGTTCTTCGTGTCTGGAGTGTGTGTATGGGTTGCCTAGAATACGAATAAGACGATTTGCTTGAAACTGTTTTCTTTTGTTCCGTGCGCAAAGCAGGTGACAGCCTTAAGTGTTCCATCAACACGAGTGTGATTTGCTAGACTCGTCCCACCTGGCCCTTTTGTTCCCCGATTTCCGCGAGATCTTCTTGGTTGGTCAGAGACTGGCTTGCCAGAGCACCAAAAAACCGACGATGTCTACGCAGGGCACACATCCTCTGTCCCCCCCTCCTGTGCCAACCTCACCCGCATCCACTGGTGTGCGCAGACACCACACCATCACGGCCACCTCTCGCACGGCAAGGGCTGGTGTACGCAATACCATTTCAGAGGAAACCCAGGAACAACAACTTTGGAACGACGATGAACCTGTCGACGAAGACTGGATCGGGGGCGTCGGCGCTGTGGGCGAGAAGACGTCCCTCCACAGGCAGAGTTCCCTCCCAACCAAATCTAAGCGAGGTCCATCCATCCTTTGGTCCATCCAATGCAGTCTGACCTTGTTTCTAGCCTTCCATGCCCTGAGCTCGAGGCAGCCCGGAAATCGCACCCCACGAGGTATGAATAGCCTCACCGCAATCGCTGGCCACGAGGGTGATGAAGAGGACTGGGAAAATGATATGCGAAGCTTCCACAACGAAGATGAGGCAAGCATCCTTGACTCGTCGGATCTCCCAGACTGTGCGCTAATACCGTATCACAACACCAGGACCTCTCGAACGCAAGCACTGCTCAGCATCAGCAGATCGTCGACGCACAGTCACAGTCATCCAGTGGCAATCCATCCCCACTCTCCCCGCAGTATGCAGGAGGACCTGTTCCGTCTCCCCCTCCCGCCGGCTCTGGGGTACGCCGTCATCAAAGCTTGACTTACGGGGCCCAGAGCGGCGTCAAACAAACGTCTGGATTGAAGCGAGCAGGCACGTTGCAGGCCGGTGCTAGGCAGCCTACCGCTGTCGGACAGTCTGCAGCACCTACCCCCGCTGAGGAAGATTACAAGGAAGAAGCTGAACTCGTCAACCCGTATGAGGAAGAATCCTACTTTTCCCCCAAGTCACCACCTCCCAACCAGCAGCAGTATGGGACGCAAGGTCAGGCCCAGTATCCAACTAGCCCCATGGGACGGTCGTCCCCTTGGGGGGCCTCGTTCTCTGCCGTGGGCACTGGTAATATCGACGACGTCACGCGTGCACTCTCCACTATGGAGCTTCACAATAACAGTCAGATGTACAACAACATGACAATGCAAAATAGCCAGTCTGCGCAAGCACCACGCTTCAGTCCCCCGTCTGCTATGCGAGGCAATTACATGCAAGGTGGTAACGGCGGTGGGCGCAAGTTACAGCTAAATTCCGAGCTCGACGGTCGCAAGACGCCAACAGCACAACCTGCGATCGGGCCGGTGAGTATAGGCTGTCGACCTTTTCACGAAATGAACCTCACGCCCGCGTGTGGAGTAGCGTGGGTCTGGCACCGAAGGAGACCGTGCAGGCGCATCCGGAACTGCTCCCTGGGATCAGAAGGAGAAGCTTCTGAGTCAGCGTACCTCGAACCCCAACTTGAATTATGGGTACAATCAAGGACAGAAGAGCAACATTCCCAGTGTTCCTCCCATTCCCGCTCAATACCTCAACCAAGCAGGAAACGCGCAGTCTCCTCGCCTGGGGAGCAACTTCCCACAGGGCTCCACGCGGCAAAACCAAGCTGATAATGCACAGGTACTGGCGGGTTTCCTTAATTCACCGGTGGATATTCCCACTTTGGTGGCTGCGAAGGGATACAACCCTGTGACCTTTGATACGCGCCCTCCATTCGTATGTGATATCTCCGTCAAGACGACATGTCTTTAAGAGATCATTACCTCCTTCTACCAGGCCCGATACTTTGTCATCAAATCATATACAGAAGACGATGTCCACAAGTCTCTCAAATACGAAATTTGGAGTTCCACTGACCCCGGCAATAAGCGCCTTGACAAGGCTTTCAAGGAATGTGCTGGGAGGGGTCCAATCTACCTATTCTTTAGTGTCAACGCGAGGTAAGTTGACTTCTATCGCGAACGACGCTGTTTCTCAACGGGATCTCAGCGGACATTTCTGTGGCATGGCGGAGATGTTGACTCCTGTAAGTTCGTTTTTGGTGCTGTACCTGTGGTAGGACTAAACACGTGGGTGAGGTTGACTACACACGGAGCAGCACAGTGTGGGCCTCGGATAAGTGGAAAGGTGTCTTCAAAGTACGATGGATATTCGTTCGCGACATTCCCAATGCCAACCTTCGTCACATACGCTTGAAGTCTGTGTTCCATTGTCACCGGATGTGATTGATCTGACAGTGTGACAGCAACACTGCCGAGCGCAAGCCTGTTACTAATTCAAGAGACACGCAAGAACTTCTACCGGAGGCCGGGCAAGAGATGCTTCGGATCTTCCATAGTCACCCAGCTAGGACATCCCTTTTGCAGGACTTTGCTTTCTACGAGGTACGTTTTTCTCACATGGCCATGACGAACTTCCTCACTTGCCTTTAGCTCCAGTCTCTGCAAAAAATGCAGGCCCAGCAGCAGGTTGCTGCTGCTTCTGGCTCTGATACGTCGACGCCTCAGTCACAGTCGCCGCCTCCCCAACAGCAGACGATGTTTCCCATGGCGAACATGGCAACTCCAAACGCCATGTATGGTGCAATGTCCCCTGGCATTGGGGGCGCAATGTCTCCAGCAATGTCTCCAGCAATGCTCCAGATGCAGATGCAGATGGGCATGATGAATCCCTTTGGGATGCCGCAGACACAAGCCATGCATCAGAGTGTCATGCGTCACCCAAGCCCAGCACCAACGAATAACCAGAATTACATGAACATGGGCGGGGTGCCGTTCTAAGCCGTAGGTAAACAACTTCCTAGGAGATGCTATTCACAAAAGTATAGCGTTTTGTCACATGCTAAGGTTTGGATATTAGATTTCTTTCTCGAACGTCAGGCTGTTTAAACGATCCGCCGTTTCTCTCTATCCAATCATGTATACGTACTCTTTTCTATGTCGTCCTCGTTTGCTACTCATACACCTCATAGTGTCTTGTTTGCACACCCCATCACTGTGTTACCCGCCTCCGTACCTTGATTCTCCCCGAGCCATTTACACTGCAGCTACAGAACGGCCATGGACACAGGACTCTGAATGGACGTGGATATCCGCTTGTTGCTACGATGTAATATCTCGTGTAGTTTCTCCATATCTAACGACGACGATACGAGTTTTCCTTTGAGTTGCCAGTGTTGGTCTTACTTAGGCAATGGGAATGGCCAACAAGGCAAAACAAGATAACAGCCAGCTGCGAGCAACAACTTCGACGATCCACTCTCGCGTCCTCTTGTTCCGTTTCGTTTCAAGCTCAAACGGTCAAGTGAAGGCGCCGGAGTCATCATGTCTTTGCTTTCTGAGCGGCAGAAGGAGGAACTGTGTGTGATGATCCCGACGCGGGTGATTTGAACGCTAACTCATCCTCGATCCAGGCATAAGTCTATGCTGGAATATCTTCGTGCCAACAATTTCACCTCGGCATACAACGCGCTAAAGGAAGACACTGGTGTAGAGTATACTCCAGACCCCAAAGCCAAGTATGCAGGCCTTCTGGAGAAGAAATGGACCAGTGTTATTCGTCTGCAGAAGAAGGTATCGGCTCCGTCGCGTCGTGCAACAGGACCCCGATGCAGTTCACCCCCGATCACAGATCATGGACCTTGAGACTCGAAACGCATCTCTTCAGGAAGAGCTTTCACTTGCCCCCTCAAAACGTGCGGCCATGCAAGCCGATTGGGTTCCGCGTGCCCCTGCTGCGCACGTTCTTACTGGCCACAGGCAAAGCATAACCCGTGTAGCATTTCATCCACAGTACTCGCTCCTAGCCTCCGCAAGTGAAGATGCCACCGTCAAGATATGGGATTGGGAGACAGGGGAATTTGAGCGAACGTTGAAAGGCCATCAGAAAGTGGTCAACGACGTAGAATTTGATCACAAGGGCCATTTGCTAGGTGAGTTCTGTGGCAGAACGTATGTTTGAATATTTTCAACCGAGGGTTTGGCCAGTAACGTGTTCTGCTGATTTATTCATCAAAATATGGGACTCGCAGAACGAGTGGAAGAATATAAAGACGCTGACAGGACATGATCACGCAGTTTCTTCAGTGCGGTTTATGCCGGGAGATCAGTATATTGTCAGTGCAAGTTGGGATCACTCTATCAGAATATTTGATGTCGCTTCGACGTGCGTCCTGTCCGCTCGGTGCTGGAACGATATTCACTCACTGTTCCTAGGCATCTCGTGCGCACCATACGCGGTCATACTGACTGGGTCCGTTGTGTCACACCGTCAGATGACGGTCGATTACTTGCCAGTGCATCAAAAGATCATGTATGGGTTCTTGCATCTCTCTCCCTGGTTTTTGCTACTGACACGTTTGGATGACAGACGGCCAAGATATTTGACCCCCTTACGGGAGAGCAGAAAATGGAGCTCAGAGGTCATGAGCACCAAGTGGAGATCATCTACTTTGCTCCTATAGCATCATATGATGCGATTCGCGAGTTGGCAGGAATCCCGGTCGGTCATACTCCCTATATTTACGTCGTACCCTTGATGTTTTTGTTTTGATTCAGAATACTGACCGCACCAAGAGACCAGGGGCATACGCGGCGACGGGTTCCAGAGATAAGACAATCAAGCTTTGGGATACTCAGAGTGGTCAGATGTTGAAGAATCTTGTGGGTAGCCCGGCGTTTCTGCGCGTCAGTATGGCTAACGGCGTGAGGTGAAAGGCTGGACATGACAATTGGGTGCGAGCGCTCGTGTTCCATCCCTCTGGCAAACTGTTACTGTCTGCTTCCGACGACAAGACCATACGGGTATGGGAACTTGCGACTGGCCGATGCATAAAAACGGTTGAGGCGCATACACATTTTGTCGCCACGCTGGCATGGGGACGGCAAAGAGTGTCCAGCAAAGCCAACGGATCGGATGGAGCTGACTCGAAGACAGGAGAAGAGAAATTAGTCAACGTAGTTGCATCTGCTGGGGTCGATCAGATGATCAAGATTTGGCTTCCATGAGTTGACGAGTCGGTGCAGCTAGGCAATACTTTAATTATGCTGGGCATGGTGAGGGACGCTCGGGAACTACAGGCATTCTTTTTCGTTGCAACCTTTGTAAGTCCGCGATGAAATTTTGTCAGACATTGAGACCGTAGACTGACTGAGGGCTTCCGGTACAGAATATGGCCGAGAAGTCAGAGACATTCGTTACGACACGCTGCATCGCGTACTACACAGCTCACGATCTTTTCTTTTTCATCTCTTTCTCGTTCGTTCCGTGTACTGATTTACTCCATACCCGTATTACTCGTATACATACACTCACTCATTGCGTGACGTGGTGCTGTCTTTCTGTCTGGCAACCTTGCCAACCATGCGAACAGTAGAAAAATTTAGCCTGATTCGGCAACCGCCGTGTCCCTGACACAATTCCTAAGGGACTACCAAGCAGTAGCCTTGCCAGCTTCGAACACCATCTCACTCCCGATGGCGCCCTCGTCGTCGTCGACCTCGTCCTGGCTCGACGACGTCCTGTGCAAGTCGGTCAGTTCATATCCCGTTGGTTTGTTTCGCTGTCCGCTCACATTTCACAGCCGTGCGTATTCGACCGACGACCTCCCAAGACACAGCGTCCATACCTGCCCGTTTTCAGAGGATTGTTGTCCATGGCACGTCTCACACAAGCGTAACCATCGACGCGTCCTCTGCTGCTCCAACTGCTTCCGGGTCTGCCACCGCTGTCGCTACGCCTTCCACGCCGACTGCGAAAAAGCAAGTCTTCTCCTTTGACCAAGTCCATTCCCCAAATACCACACAGCATGCTATGTTCACAAGTACAGCCCTACCCCTCATTTCCCATTTCTTGGAAGGTTTTAATTGTACTGTTCTTGCCTATGGCCAAACAAGCAGCGGAAAGACATTCACCATGACTGGCGTAGATCTGGACGCCAACCCTTCGGATCCCCACAATGGCATGGGGATAATACCACGGGCTGTATCTACCATTTTCGTCCAAGCGAGGAAGCTCAAGGAAGAACGTGGTGCATCCTGGAATTATACCATCAAGGGCTCTTTCATAGAGATTTATAACGAGGATTTAATCGACCTTCTCAGCTCGGACGACACGGGTGGCGTTCGACGTGAAGTTCAAATCAGAGAAGCTAAAGATGGCTCTATTATCTGGGGAGGCCTCCGTGAGGTCACCGTACGTAGCAATGCTGAAGTTATGAAGTGAGTACTCGCCCCCTCCCATTATGGAACCGACATTCATTTCTTTCCATTTCTAGCCTGATTCGCCAGGGTACCTCAATAAGGCGCACTAACGAGACTGACATGAACGCACAATCTTCACGCTCTCACGCTATCTTCTCTTTGACATTGACTCAGAAGAAATACACTGGTTCTGGCGTACCTCCCCGTTCGTCATCCCCTTTGCCTCCTTCTGGCCGCTCTCCTTCTCGCCTCGCCCGTCCGGGCTCCTTACATGCGAATGGGTCCCCCTCTTCTGCCCGGGTGTCATCTCCCACTCCGGGACGACCTTCTACACCAAGCTTTCAGGCTGCGATGGGAAGAGGCGCCGGATTGCGACCGGCTAGTTCGCTAGGTTTACGACCACCTGATAACCGAGCGGACGCTGCTGATGACGATGCTGGAGGTTGGACGACGATAGTGTCTAAATTCCATTTCGTGGATTTGGCTGGTTCTGAAAGGGTAAGTGCCATTCTGCTTCTCTCTTTGGTCACAGTCATCGACTGTTCTTCAGCTCAAACGAACATCTGCGGCCGGCGAACGCATTAAAGAGGGAATATCTATCAACAGCGGCCTTTTGGCCCTCGGAAATGTCATCTCTGCTCTAGGAGACCCGGCGCGGTCCAAGTCCCATACCAACTCGCACGTCCCCTACCGTGATTCGAAACTCACACGACTTTTGCAAGATTCACTCGGAGGCAATGCTCATACAATGATGATTGCCTGTGTCAGTCCGACAGAGTGGAATGTCGGTGAGACGGTGAACACCCTGAAATATGCTAACCGCGCAAGAAATATCAAGAATCGTGTTACCGTCAATGAAAAGGAGGACGGGTGGGACGACATCGAATGGCTCCAGGGCACCGTTACCCGCCTCCGTAAGGAACTCAAACAACTTAAAGACGGAGGAGCCATCATCCCCCCGGGATCCCATGGTCTGGGGACACATATAAGCGACTCTACAGAAAGTCCCAACAAGAGAGTTCTCCAGCAGATGTCGGAGTTGCGAAACAATTACGAAGATCTTCGGGAGAAATACGTGGAGCGGACAGAGGAACTTGCCAGGTTACGTCGCGAACTTGGCGAAAAACACCGGCAGTCTTCAGGTGGTAGTATAGGGGGCACGGCTAAATACGAGGAGATCGTTGGGCCTGTCATCGAGGAATACGAGAAAACCATCAGTGCCATGGAAGCAGAACTTGGCTTGAATCGTGCAGCATTGCGCCTTACCAACGAGATGGTGGAGGAGAAGGAGGAGGAGCTTGCACAGCTTGCTGAAAGACACGTTGCGACGGAACTTTATGTGGAGGAGCTGAGGACGCGTCTGGTCAAGTTAGGCGAGCGGGAGGCTTCAACTGAAGTATGTGGCCGCCTTCTCATGTGCCTTTCATTTCACTTATTGCCTTTAGGCCTATGTTCGTGACCTGGAAGAGAAGATGAAATCATATGACGAGACATGCGTTTCCTCCAGCGAGTCGCTGTCGGATTTGAAACGCGAAGTTGCCCGGTACAGGGAAGCGGAAGCACACTCCATTACCTACATTACGGAATTGGAGTCGCGTCTCGCTCGAGCCGATGAATCCATCCTCTCCCTCCAACAGAGCGTGGAGCATCTTGAACGTGAGGGTGAAAGGAGGCGGGAGGAGGTGGGGACGTTGCAGACGCGGCTGGAAAACTTTAAGAGCGACGGGGAGAATTGGCGGACCGACTTAGAGGAGCGAGAGAAGAAAGTTCGGGAGTTAGAATTGAAGATGGAGGAGTGGAAACAGAAGAGAAAGGAAGTCGGCGAAGACCGCGCTCGATTGGGCAGCGTGATTGGCGAAGTCGAACAGGCAAAGCGTGGCCTTGAAGACCTGACGACCACAAAGAACGGGATATCTAACCCCTCCTCTGGTGTCCAGACGCCAACGAAGATCGACCTTTCGGTCGAGGCCCAATTAGCCGATCTCCAACAAACATACGCAGCCACCCTAACTGACCTGACCTCGGTCTCTGCCAAGTACCATAATGCTTTGCAAGAGATCGCAGATCTTGCGGCTCAGATTCAAGAAGCTAAGCTCTCTAATCCAACTATCCCAGAATCGCCCGCAGAGAACGTAGAAATGCCAACTTTCAGGAGAAGGATGACAGCGTCTAGGAGCCGAGAAGCACTAGGTGATCCAACGCATTTTGACGCATCTGGGAAGCGGCATTTTTTCAGGCAAGCAGCTTCTTCAGATTCTTTGCATGCGAAGTATGATTGTGCAACTTTGTGTTTTATAAGGTACATGCTCATGGTCTGTCAGGTCATTGTCCCAGTCACTTTTGCCGTCGGTGTCGTTGTCACAGGAGCTATCCTTGGCGCGATCACGCAGAATCTCTGGTTCAAGCCATGGGACCTCTAGCCCAATTCCACAATCTCCCTCCCCTCATCACTCAACTCCGTCCATTTCCTTGTCCAGCCCTAACGGTGGAAGCACGCCAACGGAGCACCGATCTATTGTTAGTATGGAGAGAGAGATTATGCGGCTCCAAGAGGTACTGAAGGAAAGGGAAGCTGAGATCATTGCACTCGAAGTGTCTTTGAAAGAGAAGGAGCAGATTTCTGCTGTCGCGCCGTCAGTGACTACGGTATCAACTGATGCTACCGATCCCTCTACGCATCTCTCCCCAACTACAGCCCAGAAGTTCGAGGCTATCCGCAAAAGCATGGCACTTCACGGTGTTTCCCCACTTCCAAATGGCGCAAGTCCTGACACTGAAGTTGACGAATCGCTTGACCGGCTAAACGAACTAATGCTGTACGTTTATTACTGTTCGGTTAAGGAACATGTTTTCGACCGAAATTTATCAGGTCGATGGCTCAGAAAGAATCACAGCACCAGGAGCTGGTCGATTCCTTGAACCAGCAGTTGACTCAGGTCCGACGCGCACACGATGAATTGGTAATACTATCCAGAGATCAGGTAGGAGGTGACTCTGTCTTATCATGGAAGCACTGTCTGACCAGATATTGTGAAACCTTTAGACTCTCAACATGTCCACCGAACTCGAAGGTCTACGTCTTAAGCATGACAACACTCTGGAAGAGCTAGAAAGCCTACGTCAGCGCGAGCACGATTTGTTGGAGTCCATAAAGCAAGCGGAAGTTGACCATGCAGCTGCTATGGAGGCGTTGCGATCAGACCACCAACAAGCCTTAGATGCCAAGAGCAAAGAGGTCGACGAGTATGTTGCACGTGTCAAGGACGAACATGAATCATCTCTTGGGAGCCTTCGCGATCAACTCAACGAAGCGAATGCTGCTCTTGAAAAGGCGACCCGGGAGCACGAAGAAAACTTCGGCAAGTTACGAGCAGAGCATGATTCTGCACTCCAGCACTCCTTGCAAGAAGCTAGTTCCACTCTTCAGCGACTCGAGGCAGAACATCAGGCTGCTCTCGCTAAGCTCTCTGCTGAACACGAAGCGGCCATGAGGAGCAAAGAGGAAGCTACTGCTGCCGACCTCCACCGCACCGAAGAAGAGTACTACAACGCGCTAACGAAGTTGCGTAATGACCATGCCGAGGCTTCGCAAAAGCAGGCTGACGAAGCCGCGGCGATGCTTGAGCGCCTCAGGGAAGATCATGCAAGCGAAATCCGTATGGCTGAGAAAGCCCGGGAGTGTTCCCTTTCAGAGTCGGAATCCGCCCGTGACCAGGCTCTTCGTGAGCTGCAGGAGGAACATGCTTCAGCCATTGCTCGGAAGGAAACCTTGTACACGGAAGATATGGAAAGGCTCAAAGCTGATCATGCTCGTATTCTGTCCGGCAAAGAAGAGGATTACAGGTCTCGACGAGAGCATATGAAAATGGAACACACAACTGCGATGGCGGTACTCAGGGAACAATCTGAGGCACAAATCGAGAGCCTTACCAAGGCCTTTCAACAACTGGAACAAGAGGCTGCAGCTTCGGCGACTAAAGCGCGCGAGGAGCACGACTCAACCATTCAGGCTCTGCAGAGGACCCACGCTGCGGCTCTCGAGGAATTGGCTCGTAACCACGACGACGAGATTGCACAGCTAAAAGCGTCGCAGGAGAGCATGTTGCAAGCCACACTTGCGAAGGCCGAAGAGGAACGCAAGTCTCTTGTTGATTCTCATTCTCATGCAATCGGCGAAACTTGAAGCGAAGCAAGAGGCTGCCTTGCTTGTGGCCCGCTGCGCTCTAGAGGATGCACAGAAACAGCACCTCGCAGTCGTTGAAGGACTCTATGCAACAGCTGAACGTCAGCTGACAGAGGAGCGTGAACACTCTGCCACCGCGCTTGCGGAACTTGAACAACGCCGTTCAGCATTGTGCGACGAATTCGAGAATGAGCGCTCTGTTCTCCGTAAAGAACTTGACGTCGCTCGTGCCGGTGTCAAGATCTCTGAGAACCATCACAGACAGGAGTTGGAGACAGAAAGACAGCGCTCAGCGTTGGCTCTCGAGGAACTGCAAATTGCACACTCTGGTGAACGTGAAATGTTACTAAAGAACGTCGAACATCTCAAGAATGAGCTGAAAGTCACATCAGACAACGGTGGGCCAGCTTGGGCAAGCGCAACTCGAGCATGACCACGCAATGTCTGACAAAGCACAACTCGTGGCAACTATGGAAGAGGACTTGGCGAACGTTCGCTTGGAAAAAAACCAGCTCGAGGATGAGGTGGAGAAGCTCAAGGCTGAACTTGTAGGGATGCAGACGGAGCAGGCCAAACTTGTTCAAGAAGCTTCGAAGCGCCAATCACTTACTAACGAATTGGAGAAACATCGTTCTCTTATTGCCGAGATGCAGGAAAGCCTGCAACGTGTCAAAGACGAGAAAGATACCCTACAGGGAGAGAAAACTAGGCAGGAGAATGCGTTGCGCGATCTGCAAGTTCAGATTGCGCGCAGCTCCACCGTACAGGATGCACAGTCATCCAGAGCCACCCCAGAGCGCAACCTTTCGTTTACCAGGATAAATAATCTAAACGGTAAACTTCCACCCCCGACCCCTCCGCCATCCGTACCACCTCCACCAGCTCCCAAGCCCCAAGAATCCAACTTCAGCGTATCGACACAGTTTTCGGTTATTTCCCCTTCGTCTTCGAGGGACTCCCAAGCCACGGATTCGCCAGCAACCTCAGTTCTATCCATCAATGTTCCAGGCGTCCCGTCTTTGGACACAAAGGCGGTAGCCGCCAAGATCGAAGACCAAGCACGGCAAATTAACGAACAGGAGGCAATGATCAAGACGCTCAACAAGCAGTTGTCGCACTGTGAGAGTGATCTTGCTACGCACATGGACCTCGTGAGTACGCTGGAAACTTCTCTGAGCGAGTCCGAAAAGAATCGTACGTAACTGTTTCGTCATCTTTGGTGGAGTTAGCTTTGCTCACCCGGCTGAATTCAATAGTTCGCAAAGCTCGAATGCAAGCGACGGAACTCGTACGGGAAAGAGATTCTCTGAATTCGCAGATAGACAGTCTTCGCAACGAACTCCAGGATGCGCGTCGAGAAGTTGCTACAGTGCGGAAGTCGATCGCGGAAGAGAAGCAGTCCTTGGAGTCTAGACTCGACGAGGAGCGCCGGGCAAAGGAACGAGCCCGCGCACAGCTCGACTCAAGGATGGACGAGATCCAGCGACGCAAATCCAAGTTTGCGTGCCTCTAGCTTGATTTACTGACTTTGTTAATTTCATGCGTGGATGGATTTAAGTTTTCGTTTTTCTGTATGCCGTTACAGTTGTCCTACTTCCGCTGTTTTATTACACGTGCCAATACCTTTTGCGTGTTTTCGGCCTGTCACGGATACCCTTGTTTCCCGTCTGATTTCCTTCCGCTCCTTGGTTTCGCTACTTATATGGTTTACTATGAAATATCGCCAAGTCGGTACAACACTCAATGGATGCTATAATAATATGACGACGGACTGCTGTCGACTTCTGGCAAGCTGTTGGGAAGACACCTTTAAGTTGGATTTTAGTGAGGTCGGGATAGACCAGCGTTTACTTCGGCCTCTTGGCTGCGACGCGGTGGCCCCGGATCTTGTACGTCATGTCTGTTAAGTGGAGTTGCCTGTGTCGTAAGTTCCGGATCTTCCTAGGCCTCTGACTTTAAATCCCATCTGCCAACCACACCGCACCCATCCATCCGTTCTTCAAAATGAACCCGTGTGTTCTCGCCCGTGTCCAATCCAGAGCATTGCGCAATGCGGTGATACCTCGTGCAAGCCATCTTGCCAGATACCAGAGCACTTCAAGTGGAGCCATACCGAAAAGGATTCTTCCATCATTTTCATTAGATGGGAAGGTACGTTGTCGAGGTTTGGTGTTGGAGTAACTCCAGTCATCTCGTCCTCGCTAGGTCTGTCTTGTTACCGGTGCTGCAAGAGGATTGGGCCACGAATTCTGTCGAGCGTTCCTTCAATCGTACGTCTCCCTAAGCTTTGCCTTTGCCAACGGCAGCATACTGAGCCGAGTTATTGCAGTGGATGCACGCAGCTAGCAATCGTTGACTTGAAGGAAAACGAGGCCAAGCAAGCCGCTGCTGAGCTGATTACCGATGTGTGCGGTTAGTCTATAGGGAAAGTATGCCAGATCCGATCTGTCATTGAATTAACGACCAGCTTTGAACACCGATGCAACACCCGAGGACTTTGAGGTAATTGGGATTGGCTGCGACGTGTCCTCCGAGATTTCGGTACAAAAAGCCTTCAAGACTACCATCGACACATTTGGGCGGATCGACTCTGTCGTGGCCTCTGCGGGTATGTGCCTTGCTAATGCTAGCCACGAATGCTAATCAAGTCATTCCGCCGTGCCCGGTGTAGGTATCGTGGAGAACTATTCTGCTTTCGAGTGAGAAAGCGTCCGGACTTGTATCATTTCACTGATCATTAAACATTCCCTTCAATAGCTATCCCTTTGACCGTATCAAGCGGTTGTATGACATCAATGTACACGGATCATTCTTCACGGCACGCGAAGCAGCAAGGAGCATGATTCCGCAGGGAGGTGGATCTATCGTGCTTGTCGCGAGTATGAGTGCTTCTGTGAGTCGACCCCCTTTCGGCTTATTCTCGATTTTGCTGATTCTTGGACTTCGCCGGAAATAGATCATTAATATACCCCAGGTGCGCAGCTAGAGCCCGACACACGCTATAGAAGTGTCTCAAAACAGAATAGCCACAAACTCCGTATAATGCGTCTAAAGCTGGTTCGTTTCCAATTCCTGTGCAACACAGGTGTTCACTTCTAATTACGTATGTACACAGCCGTGAGACACATGGCATCCAGTTTAGCAGTGGAGTGGGCTAAGAAGGGTGTTCGGGTCAATACATTAAGGCATGGGGTTTTCCTAAGCTGCGCAGGCGTGGAGACTCAAGTTGCTGTCATAGTCCTGGATACATGCTTACGAAGCTCACAAAGACGATCCTTGCACACGATCAAGAGCTGAAGGTTAGTGTGTCAACTTTGATGGCAAGCACTTGATTGAACGTATGACTAGAAAACGTGGGAGAGTCTCACACCTATGGGCAAGGTGAGGTAGCCGTCATTGACCCAAAGGTGATGAACTTACCATGTGCGCCTGACCAGATGGGTGAACCAGAAGACCTTGCTGTGCGTTGATTATATCGGTCTCTCCCAAGGACTTTTCGCTGAATTTATGACAGGGAGCGATTGTATTCCTGGCCAGTGATGCATCGCGGTTTGTGACAGGTACAGAGATTCGGGTTGACGGAGGATACTGCGTTATTTGAGGACTTTCGTTGGCTAGTTACGGTACACCTAGAAACCGCCTAGTTATATGTTTTAATTGCAGGGATACCGACCTTTTAGAACTTAGATTCTCGTGGTTTTGGGTTTGGCTAGACTGTGTTATGTATTCGGCCACTTGTGCTAACATGTCGTAGAGTGGATATCTCTGCCTCGATGGACTCCTAGTAAGAGCAGGCAGTGTATGGAGAATAGGTGGAAGACCTTATGTAAAGAGCATGAAACGAAAAGAAGAATCAGGATCTTGGCAGAACGACCAGGAGGCAACCACCCCAAACGCCGCCACCGAGATGACCGGGAGTAGTGCTTGTGCACAGGTGTGCGCTAGACGAATAAGGCGAAGCCGTGTCTTACTGAGCCACGTGACGGGAGAAATACATCACATGACTAATCCCGCGGCTGCAGATCGGGGGTGTGGAGTGGGCGTTTGGCTCCGTATTTGGGTATCTCAGCCGGCGGCATAAGGCAATTGATACACAGGCGACGACGTCATAACAGGTTGTGGTTGGTATACAAGTTACACTACTATTCCGGGCATTAATTAGCGGCGGGCCGTTTCTTCTTCTCCAATGTCTGCCCACTCCCTCTCCACTGGCACGGCACAGAGACAGCCACAACCAAGACCCGTCTCGAGTTCTAACGCGTCCCAAATACCCTCGACGTTTGAGTTTACCAAGAGGAAGCGTTGGGCCGATCTCCTCATTAACGAACTCTCAGATGCCATTATATTCGTCCTCTCCAGTGATGCCAAAGTCTGGTTTTGCGGGAGAGCCATCATAGAGCTTCTGGGTTGGCGAGACACCGAACTCATTGATCGAAATTTCTTGGATTTTGTCAACGGTAAGTATATCATGTATATTGGCTGGATGCCACGTTTCATCCCACTTGTTTTATCACAGCAGAGGACCAGCAGACGTTTTATGTGGCGTTCCAGGATTCGCTCCATACGCGTAAAGAGATGAATTCATACATCCGTCTGCAATGCAAAAACGGATTCGTAATACAGCACATACCTCAATCACAAGTGCTATTCGAGCTAAAAGGTTACCCGCTATATCTGGAAAATGAAACTTCTCCTCGTTGTTTCCTTGCTGTGGCCAAACCTTATCCAAGTCGCAACGTCGCTATGTGAGTGATCAACCGTACCAACTCACTCTTTGCGGGGAACTGATCTTGTTCCTAATGTCAAGGCTCAACACATTCTTGGAGCTCAAGATTGAAAATGAGCGCTTGCAACGACGGCTTGCGGAACTGCGAGTTCGCACATCCTCTCCCACAATCCCCACAGCTGGGAGTTCAAAGTCGGTTGGGTATACCTCCCACGGAATGCCCGCTACCGGCGGGGGCGCCACTAATGTATCGAGGTCGTTACCCCCAAGTAGTGCACTATCAATCATCGAGGCTACCTTGCGATGACTTCACGCAACAAGCCAACCAGATAAGAGTTGCTGGATACGATCCACACAGTACGCACTCGCTTCGAGGACAGTATTCGTCTTCTGGAACACAGCCAGCCGAGGACGCAAGCGATGACACGTCAAGGCGCAAAAAGGTTACTAGCAATCTTTTTCGCATTCAGAGCACTGCTTTTCACACATTCTTCCTCAGATGCGCAAGATGCATACAACAGAGCAATACGTTTGCGTGACATGTGGGAGAACGGACTCGCCAGAATGGCGAAAGGTATGCAAGTGACCTTGAAGTCCATGGTCATGAGTTGATCTATCGCATTTTCAGGGTCCCCAAGGACCTAAGACGCTATGCAACGCATGTGGACTGCGGTGGGCCAAGGAAATCCGTAATAAAGCTGATGAAAACTCGAGTGCGGTGGGAACAAGTGGTGGGTGTGTGTGAATATGACACCTCCCAAAATCGAGGTATAATTTTAGCCTAGGACCTGACGATTTGCTGACGCGAACAGGATAGTCATACAGATCGTACATACACGGAACAAGATCAGTTGACTGGGAAAACTCAGACGCTATTTCGTTCTTTATCTCGATATCCCTTTATTTCCGAGTTTTCGCGACATTTTGTTCTAGAGGCCCCACATACACGGGAGGGCAAGACGGACTCTGCACTGTAATGTATCATAGTACTAACGGCGAAGGCATCGAACATTTGGCCTGCTAATTCGGTGAATGGGACTGGCATACAGATGGTTGTTAAGTCACGGGGATGGTGGGCGGAGGACAATTTCAACACGGAAACAACCGCGCCATATGACATTCGTGCTTCGTCCGCGATCTCCGCTCAAGTTTCTCGTCATGGTGCGTCCCCTGCAAATAAATGATACGTATCTACGTGTCATCCTCCCCACGTTTTCTGATAGTATTCTAAGTGTGGCGTAGAAGACGTATGCATAACCCCAGAATTATTCTAGAAACAGCGCCCCACCAAATATACGAGGATGGCTGGGTAGATAGTCTAGGTTTCTGTGTGGAGATGAAAGTGGGGCGAGGGACAGTACCACTTTGTACATATACATCTCCTCTCCAAACCCCATTTTCGCATGTCTGTATTGAAAACGATACACCATGGAGTCACTGTGGCTCGTATGTTAGTGTAGTCTACAGCCCACCGCAGGCCCCAGCACCCCACAACTAAATGCTGTCAGTGGCTCCACAGTACCGTCAGCTTTGTGCCGCTACTGCATTGTTCGAGGTGAAGGTCAAAAAAGTAGGGGGGGAACTTACATCCGATGACGTGCAATCGAGGGGACAAGCTGTGACAGACTAGTCAGTATAGACGACTCCTCGCCAAATTTCTGGAAGCCTTGTTCTAGCCCATCGTCTTATTACTGTCCCTTGAAACGCAGAAATGGGGGAAAGCACGGGGGAGGTAGTTCGAGCCACCAGACCTCGAGAGCGGACAAGGCAAGCAATTGTTGACCTACTGCCCGGCTCACTCTTGTCCACGTGCCCACGGAGGCGATGCCAAGGGCCGGGCTGGTCCCATCTCGAGGGCACAACCAGGGCATGTACTATTTGGACGTCGGCGTCCTCCGGTTCACCCACTTGAGCGGACGCCAGGCCCCTACCAAGGGAATATTTAGAGGCTACCGCTGTTTGTAGCGGACGGCGAAGAAGGTCGTCATCTAGCGATGTGAACGACATACTGCGTTCGCTGGTCTCCTCGCCAAGAATGTCCGCGGGTACAGGTGACCGTGTGCTTCAACAGCAACACGACAACCTGGGAAGACCCATCCAGTCTACCGCTGTCCACCGTCCAATTGCATGACTCCCAAACACGTCGCAATCCCCAAGATGACAGGGCGGTCAATTCAGACCTTGCAAGAGAAGTCCGGACGGAGGGGAGGAAGATTCCCGGCGATGCCCACTGCATACCCAAGAAACCGAGTGCGAGAAAAAAAATCCTAGGACCACCCTTGCGAAGAATCCAACTAAAATACCTACCTTGGTAGGCAGTAACATCTAAACTCAATCAGAATTCTGCGTGCGACAAGATGCCAGCCTCCGGTTTGCAAAGCAACATACTCGGAAGGTGAGTTCCATACTCACCAGCACGTATACCTTTAACTAATGGCAGGACACCTTCAACGGGGACGGCTGCTACGAGTTCGACAAAAATGCGTCGATACCCCCGAATGGCCTTGTTGGAGGGTTCAGCTGTGGTCATCACATGTGCACAAAATTCAGGCGGGACGGTACTCAAACACCAAGAGAAACGGCTCCACTGGGCCCCGTCACATCAGTCTCCAGGAAAGGGGTTACCAACACGTCGAGTTAGACAACACAAAGAAGCGATTTCGAGTCATCGTTGGGGGCCCGTGCAAGAGATAGCTCCCCTCCATATTGGCATGTTGTTCATCGATAAACGGACGACCACGATTAGCACCAGGAAACCGTCGGCCGAGATACCATGTGGACAAAGAGCCAATAGCCCGGTCACGGTTGTCTCCTGCCGTTGGAAGGTAACATTGACACTGGCTGAAAGCCCGCATCTTCCAGGAGAATATACCACTGCGTGCTTCACCTTTTCCCCTATCCTATGCAATCACAGCGTAGCAATAACGTGCAAGGGAGTTTTTGCGGGCAGAACGTCGGTTGCCTGGCGAACATCAATCCTGAAAAACCAAAAGTAAGGGAGACCAATATGTGACACCTTGGGCATTCTTACACAAACCGGAGGCAAGAAAGAAAGTCATTGCTTCTCTCACTCTGGCGCATCGGGAGCTGCATTGCCCTCTTCAAGTGGGATTGGACGTAACGTATATCCTGGCGTGCGCCGCGATACGCACTGCCAGAAAGGTTTCCATGGTGTTGATGGATAGGCCCTCGAATCGGAGCTGTCACCACGGGGCGCATAACATGTTGCCCAGTTGATGTGCGAAGTCTTCTCCCAACCATATCTGCAATTCGCACATCTTCAGCCTGGTCATCGTGGGGTTCTGGCGGTACACGCTCCCGAGGTCAATGGCGGCATCGAATGTCGGCCGGTTGGTAACATGGGGAGAGTTGAAGACTGTTTGGGAGAATGCAACATCAATTTGGAGACGTAGGTGCATAGGCTGTCATGTCGACTTGGAGGGTAGAAAGGCACCCCAGCTTTTTCACCTGTTCCGTTTTAACCTCCGTAAATCTCTGATTTTGGTGGTCTTAATGTGTAAGCGCAGTTTCTTGTCTTTTGGTGCAGCAATGAAGAGTTGTTGGAACGTTGCTCTCTTCTGATGGCTTGACAAGACATCGTGAGGCTATACAGAGCCGCCCGCGAGGGCAAACCGGAGCAAAGCTAACGCGGAAATCGAGTAAATCCTCCTGCTACCAGCGCTGCCTATGTTGCCTCGTTCCCCAATAAATTTGGGACAAGCAAGAAAACCGTGTGGCCTGGTTGGTATGTCGTGTTTTCGAACTTTTAGCCAACTGTTAGCCCACCCCAAGGTATCTGTTGAATCTGCCACAAAATTCCCCGCATTGCGCAAATTCTCGTGGCTCAAATAAACGTCTGCAAGCTGAGTCCTGTGCGCACTCAATAATCACATTGCAGTGCGAACATTTATTGCAGTCGAATTGACGGGTTACTAGGGTCCACGTTGGACTCCGTCGTGGAAATTACTACAACAATGACCGCAACTTTCTCCGATAACCTACTCGTGCGATATCGGCTTGGTGCGTGAAGGCAATGAACTCGAAGTTTGAGTTGTGGTATTCCTGCACTGACTCTACGCAGAACACAATGCAGCACACTACTAGTATACTGCGTCGGTGCGGAAAGTAGTCTTGCCGCTGCAGGTGCGAGCCGACGCTTCCGATGACCTTATATATTCACCGTCCCTTGATACCTATCCGATTGCTACGACACTTGATGTCGGACAGCAGTGCGTGGTATCGGACGGTAATTGGTTGGCACCCCTGACTGATCATGGCACACAAGAACATTACGCACGACATAAACTACGCAGAGGCCATGGAATCGGGGGTAGAGATTAACTGGACATCAGTGTCAGATCTAGCTGAGTGAGGCAGGGTAAGGAGTCGTGGTGAAACATTTAGATTCAGTCGGAGCTTGTAAATCACAGTACTTGTTAGGAAGGGACTTGATTAGACTGCGACTGGTGCGAGATCCATGATAGATCTGACCACGGACGCAAGGAATCTATTTGGCAGTGATATGATGTGATAACTATGATCCGACGCATCTGCTGTCCATTTCTGATATTGCTGTACAGGAGATTGTGTTTGCGACTGACAGATCTGAGACCATGTTAACTTTACCCCGCTTATGTAATATCAGGTTATGATGTTGGTCACCCATGCAGGTCCCAAGGACATACATAACAATAGCCCCGCCCTGCGTATTATGTATTTAACGCGACCCTCGCATCCTCGCAGCGCTTCGTTCATCTCCCATGGCACACAAGCACATTTTTTCACCCCGGCCTTTCCCCCCACCAGCCCTCGCTGATGTTCCCCTCGAGTACATCATCGACCAATTACACACCCTTGCTCCCCGCTACTGGAACAGACCAGAGACTGCCGATTGCATCTTAAGTATGGCGTTCCAATGACCCCCTTGCTCCCTCTTACCATGCCATCCCCAGTTGTGCCCACGCGTAATCACCTTCCACCGCCTGCATCTCCCTCCGCAACCTCTAATACCACTCCACATCTCACTCTCCATGTATGTTTTGTGCTCACGCATACGTTTCACTCTGCTTACGCTGCGCCACAAGCTACACATTGACTACTTGTCTGCCAAATCTTCTTTGCTCAAGGGGTTGTTCAGCGGTGTCTCTCCTCTTGAGCGTTCCCAGTCCATGCAGTCGTCATATGTTCTCCACGGATCGTCATCGCCAGTACCTTCCGAAAAACCAGTGCCCCGTCTCCTGGACTCTCGTTCATCTCATCCCGTTCTCTTACTCCCCGTGCCTGACCCCCGCTCGATACACCTTCTCATCCACTGGATCTACTTCGGAAAAACCGACCACATCGAAGCCTGTCTAAAAGGGGGCACCGTTAACTGGGAGGGTCTCGCCCGCAATGCGGAGTACCTTGAACTATCAACAGATATCAAGGTATTTCTGGGACGGTGGTACAGCAATTGGCTCTTGCCCGCACGCGATCAACTCGAACGTTGTCGGCACCGACCTGAGGATGATAGCGATGACGATTCGGATATTGCGCTCGGGTATGGGGAGAACGAAGTCGAGGAGACCTCTGACGATGTCGCGTGCTCTGGCTCGAACTCTCGTACTCCAGATGTTACCGCCGCCGAGCGTGGTCGTTCGCGGATTGTCCGCCCTCTCACCAGATTGCCTGAGAATTTGAAAGTATACGCTGCTGCATAGCATAACTTCGAAGATCTGACAGCCTACCGTATTGTGTTGAACGTTGACATACCGATACTCACAGCATGCATGTAAGATGACCGTTTAATCCCCAAGTGTACATCACTATCAGTACTCGTACGGTAGACCGTACATACCTAATTGCCTGCAGTCATCCAGTCTTATTGTTTTCGACTCCTACTAAGATGGTTTTATTCCTTTACTTTCATTGTGTGTGGATGAATGCCAAGTAATAAGCCTTTTAGGGAAATTTTGCTCCAACCTACTGGCGTGCATCCGCGGATACTGTCGTTTACGTGGACAGCTATTGTGTCGCCTGTTGTAGCACAACTTTGCGCCGGTCCCAGGCGGTTACATCTTTCACTCTTGGACTCCAAGGCCAACAGCAACGGTCGACGACCGCATGGATAATTATGTCTTTGCTAAAGGCCAGGGGTGTCAGCTGGACACCTTTCAACCTTGGACTCAGTACAGTCCCGTTTCCGGATGCAAAACATGACGGTAACCTCACCCAGGTTCGCGCTTATGCCGACAAGTGACTGGAATAACCTGGAAACGTGCTTGCTCCGCACGGGTTCACTCACAATAAGACTCGGAAGTCGGCATTGGCGATGATGACGATCGATATCGATGACACTTGCACCTGACATGGCAAGCCGAGCTGCCTTGTTGTCAACTAAGAGGACTCTTCGTCCCGTGTGCAGTTCCTTTTTCTTATTTAGAGTTTTGCAAATTCACGAGATCCGGAACACGGACACGCGTGTCGAGGAGGAGCGTTCTTCCGCTCCGCCCTTTGGCATAGTGCGCGGTCCACCTCAACCTCTCATAGTCAAAGGTATGGATAGATGGGCGTGGTGGCTTGACGCCTCGTCGTCTGCGCGCCAACGCCTTGGTATAATCATTATTCGCACCTGACTTCGCGGACATTAACGGGGATATTAAGCATCCTTGACACGTCCCAATTTCTCCTAGAGTGACACATGAAAACATCATGTTATGCGGCAGAACTGGAGCTCAATTTTGCCCCCGATAGATCTTTTTGTTTTCGTTGCCGCTCGCCTTAATCTGGTGCCTGAAGGGTTTGAGCTGAGCATATTTAACCGCTATCTACGCTGTCAACCAGCTCAAGGGATATCCGCGTCAATGACAGGGTTGTTACTATGTGTGGCAGTGTGTCGCTATAATAGTGCCAGACCAGAGCAGATCTTATTATCTTCACACTTATCAAATGTATTAAATGTGACAACTTACATGCCAGTTTCTGACATTGGTCGATCGTGCAAAAAAAAGAAGAAAAACCGACGTGTGGGGACGGATACCAGCAGGGGGGGACAGCGTGGGAGCATGGGCACTCCAGCCGAAGGCATGCCGAATCGATGGATTCTTGTGTATATATGGATTGCGAATGTGAGGCCGCTGCGAGGGCACACACGCCTTCCCGTCGAAAGTCGCAGTGCTAGTTACGTACCGAAGGAAGTGGAGGAAATGGTAGGGAAATGATGCCATCGTAGTAGCGCTACCAAAGGGACCACCTAAGCCTAATCACCCTGAACAGCTGGTTGCCGATGATCGTATTGTCGAAAGATTGGGGGAGCCACTACCCTCAGCTCCGGAAGTGTCTCCGGTTCTGGAAGTGGTTTATCCAGCCATGTCTCCATAAGATGGGGAGTACCAGGCACCCACGGAGCCTGGTAATGGTCGATCTAAGGTGGAATAAACTCAGAGATTCAAAGAATACGTACAATGTATTGACGCTGTTCCAACTTCTGCCAATCGATGTTATTCAGCCACGGGTGCTCCATCACAAGCCCAACGACTCCCAGCCTTTGCCTAGCTTCGTAAGTCAGTAGGGCAGCCACGAATGATTTCAGGGCCCTTCCGACGCGAATGTGTCTCGGCCATTTGTACCGCCTTGATTGGATGCGCCTATAAATTTCCTCTTCGCCTTTGCCATAGAACGGCTGACGTGAAACAGTCAGAGTTTTGCCCGGACATATCACAGGAGTGCGTACTACTCGCTTAACGATCATTTCATACAGAATGATTCCGCTTGCCCACCAATCGACGCTACGCCCCACTAAATCTTGGGGATCGATCAACTCAGGAGCCATGTACACTGGTGTGCCAACCATCGTCCATCCACCCTTCAAGCTGTCTGACTCTGTTTTTGCGAGGCCAAAGTCTGCCAACGCAAGGTGACCGTCGGGTTTCACCAAGATGTTGGTTGGCTTAAGGTCACGGTGGACGAGACCCTGCCCATGGATGAACATAAGCGCACAGGCAATGTTTGCGTAGTAGAACCGGGCTGCTGTGGCATCCATAGGACCGCGCTTGTAGATGAGATCGTGCAGAGATCCGGAGGGGATGCATTCTAGCATCAAATAGAGATGGGCGGAGTCTTGGAAGGCGCTGGCCACTCCATTAACAAACGGATTCCATGGCAGTTTGCAAAGGCTGGCTATTTCTATGTCAGTGTCATCTGGGTGGCGCTGCAACACGAATAGTGTGAGATGGCATTACGTCCAACTGAAGCGAAAACTCGGTGACCTGGTCTAAATCTTGCAATTCTCCCTTGTTCAATATTTTCATGGCGAAGACCGCGCCTGGGCGGTCGATCTTATGTGGACTGGAACGTTGGCGCACTCGTACTAGCACGACGCTGCCATAGGCGCCTTGACCTGAGAAACAACCCTGTTCACATCACAATGATCTTACGAAGCTGGTAGCATAATCCTACCTAGCGTCCGGACACATTCCAGGTCTTGTAAAGAGAGTGCATGAGGGCGAGTTTCTTCCGGTGTCGCGACCATCTGGCCCTTGTAGTATCCATGAAATCCATGGACCTTGATGCGCTGCTAAGTAGCGGTGGTAAATGCTAATGCCAAGAGGAGGCATGAGGTACATAGACGTACCCTACCAGAAGAACCCTGCGACTCTTTTATATGCTTTCGCAGAGCCTGCTTACTCTGAGTCAATGCCCTGGCATCTCTATCGGGCCGCCTCTTATTCCGGGAAGAGCATCTCGCGAACGCGTTGGACATAGCACTTTTTCTGGATCTTCTTGTAGTGTTTTCTGGCGTTGGCAAAGGCATGAAGGCTGGCCTTCCTATTTGTGTCGATATCTAGGTGAATGAGAGGATAGAGATGTCTGTATCAACCAGTATTCCCAGGCGGCGACACCAATAAACCTGAGGGCTTGCTTTGGCCATCGCTAGGTTCCAATTGTGCTTCGGAAATGGGACAATAGTTGTGGATATTGTTCTTGCTTTGTCTGATGTTAGCACAAAGCAACCCGGTGCTGTGAGTGCCATATCGGGATGTCCGACATTACAATACCGAGGACACTTTCCAAGTCCACCATGCCCATGGCGAGTCGACTGCATGTCGCCGATAGTAGACCCGAGGACTGGGTATACGTCTCTGAAGGTGGGGCAACCATCGTGTTCTCTTACAGAGGCACGGAGAACCCACACTTCCAGGGTCGCGTTCTCCGCCTGCGCAAAACTGCTCTCTCGAACAACGACACGGGTCGCGGTGTCGAGGAGGAACCCGATGATCCCATGATCGCGTTCCAAAGGGATGTCATCTCGTGCATAGTCCCTCAGGCATTCCTCCCGGATCTGGACGTTGTTTTGTTGAACGAGTCGTGGTTGGATGCAATCGAGTGCCTGCGCAATAGTGATCGGCCTCAGGAAAGATGGAAGAAAGATAAGATCGACAAACGACGGAGAAAGGGGGTCCTCGCGACAAACCTCGTCGGAGGCGAGGGTATTGTTGCGGTAGAGATAAAGGTCAGCCACATACTGGTTTATGTCGACCAGTCTTTCGACGCGCTCTATACACACAGCCCAAGTGGGGATTTTTACCCAGAGAACACCATCTGTCGCCGCAAACAGTCTCTACTAAAACATCGACTTGTCGGTTTTGCATGCACACCCGTCTCAGGTCGCAGGAGGGTGCCTCTCCTACAGACTATTGTCCTATGGATCTATACTCTCGCAACGAAACTCGCATGGTGAAAGCGATTCATGACCTGTGGAATGCCTGGGTCAGGAGCGACGGGTCGTTGAACAATTTTAGAATATTCGTGTCTGGAAAGGTGATCAAGCCTTCTCATCATGTATGTGCACCCGTTATCCCGCGGGAATTTCAACCGACTGTTTCTTACAGGACTTCCACGATGTCCCAATCGGGCCGCCAGACACAGGGGTGTCTTCAAGTTTTAATAGTGGCTTTAAGGAGACTCTCATGGAAAATCTCATGCGCCTCCTCCTTGATACGAGAGTGTTAGACATCATTTCTACCTTGCAACGCACCCTGGACGAGCTAGATATCGAGGGCATTTCTAAGCTTTGCTCTATGTCGAAAGCAGATCTGGCTTCCATGGTCGCCAATCCAACTCCCGAAGACTGGCGTGATTTCATCAGGTGTTACCAGACAAGTTATTGTACATGGGATCACGCGAACCCCGATCCTAAGAATATCAAAGACTATCTCATGGCATATCTTCTTTCAGCAACGTTCAAAGACTGCTCGATCATACTCAGGTTCAACCAAGGCGGCGGATCGTTGCCATCGCATTCAGTCAGTATCATTGACCTAGACCCTAAACCGATGAACAAGCTTGGGGAATGGGAAGAACTTGACAGGAGGGTCGTTGAGGGATATAGAGCTGGAGGTCAACAGAAGCGTTGTGCTCCTTAGCGCTATTTCCTGTAACTGTAGTCCACTTTGAACAGATTAAGTAATCAATTAAACCTCCACATCGACAGGGTCACGTGATTTGCTCCTGAAGACCTGGGTATGTTCCGCGGAGCATTTACTTCCAACCATTACCATGTCCTGCGCATTTTTGTTGAGATCTACAGCAAGCCGTGCGCTTTGTCCACGCGTTTTCCTTGCAAATTCATATTCTGGTATCAGACATGTATCTACATACAACACTGACATAGCTGGGCTCACTGACGAACAAGCGGAGGTATGTCTTCCACATGGTTGTCACCGATATTACACTTCGTATCCTTCTTACATCCACGACAGTTTAGGAACGTCGTGGAAGAGTTCGCTCAGCGTGAAATTGCTCCAAGAGCGGCAGAGATCGACCGCACAAACACGTTTCCAGTGGTTGGTGCACTCAGTCATAATACCATTACTGCCTATCATTCTCTTGACTCCGCAGGATGTGTGGGGAAAACTTGGGGACATGGGGCTTCTCGGAATGACCGTTTCGTCCAAGTACGGTGGGCTTGACCTAGGTTACCTTCATCACACACTAGCCATGGAAGAACTCTCACGAGCGTCCGGATCTGTCGCACTTTCGTATGGTGCTCACTCTAACTTGTGTGTGAACCAGATTCATCGACATGGAACTGATTCCCAGAAGGAGAAGTACCTGCCAGATCTTGTGGCCGGAAAGAAAATAGGGAGTTTGGCGATGAGCGAGCCTGGTAGCGGGTGTGCCTGATCGCATCACAAAGTGGTGCATTGTTGAGACTCTCTCTAGGAGTGACGTCGTCAGTATGAAGCTGCGAGCTGATAAGATAGACGGTGGATGGAAGCTGAATGGTAACAAATTTTGGTGAGAGCTTCGCCCTCATAGACGGAATTATCACTAATTCAAGGCAGGATCACAAATGGCCCCACTGCATCCACGTACGTGGTATATGCAAAGACGTCACCGGTGAAGGGATCCAAAGGCATCACTGCATTCATCGTCGAGAGGAGTTTTAAAGGCTTCTCGACTCACCAGAAACTGGACAAGTTTGGTATGAGAGGGAGCGACACTTGTGAACTCGTATTTGAGAATTGTGAAGTTCCTGATGGTAAGCGAGGTCAGTCACAGTGACTTGAGTTGACCTTTCGCTCTTCAGAGAACGTCCTGGGTGAAGTAGATAAGGGTGCCCGTGTGTTGATGTCGGGACTGGATCTTGAGCGCCTTGTGCTGAGCGGCGGCCCTCTTGGGTAAGAGTCTTTTCATGATGTTTATGCTTACGCCCGCTCAGTTGGTCCAGTCTGATGCAAGCAGCGTTTGACTATGCGGTAGAATATATCCATCAGAGAGAGCAGTTTGGTCAAGCTGTCGGCACTTTCCAATTGATGCAGGCCAAAGTTGCGGACATGTACACGAAGATTAATGCGAGTAGGTCATACGTTTATGCTGTCGCTCGCGCATGCGATAGGGGCCATATTAGCCGCCGGGTACGTGTTTCTCTCCTAGGTATTGTTACGGTGCAGATACATACTGCCTCCAGGATTGCGCAGGTGCTATATTGTACAGCACTGAGCGAGCTGTCGAGGTGGCAATGGAGGGTATGCAGTGTCTTGGTGGCAATGGTTACATCAACGGTTGGTGTAAATCTGTTGAAGCATTACGACGACATGACTGATCTTTTCCAACAGACTACCCCATGGGCAGAATTCTGCGAGATTCGCGTCTGTACACGGTTGGAGCTGGCACCCAGGAGATACGGCGTATGCTCATCGGAAGGGAATTCAACGAGCAATACGAGTCATAGGTCCCTGAGCTGGGATGTGCGGTACTTTATGGTTGATCACCGTTTGCCATCCACCGCAATGGGAATAATGGTGTGGACTGATTGGCCAAGCTGTAATGTATACAGGATGGTGACCTCTCGTTAAGATGTACGTACCTGCTGTCCCCTTTCTCGACAGTGCTTACGCTAGGTGAGAATGGATATTGCTGTGAGGTATTACGAGCGTGTGCTGGATCTGAACACAAGTCGGGAATATCCCTTATCAATTTCGCTGGAGATTTCATCACCATTTGCGATGACATCATTATACATGATCGCAAAACGGACTTGTGCGGCTTCAATGTCTACATCCACTCATCAAAAGGATGAAAATAAAATCAGAAACAAACACCGGTGAGCGAGTCTTCAAGGCGAGGTTCAATGATCCATAAGCCCTAGCTGTGTATATTATGCATGACGTGTAGAGATATGTGCATATGTCCAGAATAAAGAAAGCATGATTGATGTCATAGGCTAAGTAGGAGAGGTGAATACGCGTGTCGCGCTACATATGACAGGGTGAGTACAGCATTACGTGGGACGGAGGTGATACAAGGATGACACGATAGAGGTGTGAGAACAATGCAAGAGCATGGTAAAATGAGAGACGGGTATCATAGGTAGACAGTCATCCAGCACTGCCAAATGAGTGGAGAAAAAAGAGAAGGAATATATGTACGTGAAAAGATGTGGGTCTTGCGATGTATCATGGAAATGGGACAATATAAAGCTTTCTATTCACTGAGACTGAGGGGGGTTGTTTTCAATGGGAGTCGGTAGAGGGGCAAAGATCATCATTTCCGGGAATCGACCGCCATGAAGGCGTTCCTGGTGACGGAAACAAGAGTCGTTGCGGGCGAAACTACACATTTTCATCATCAGCAACTACAGCGGACTTGTACGACGTTGTAGACTCACCGCTGATCGCAAATTTGGCATAGCCAATCGCCGCGAACTTTGCTCTTGGGTTTTTTAGCTTTGCGATGGTGCAGGGTCTGATCGTGGTGCCATTCTCTACCTGGAGTCACCGGTCTCTTACAAAGGTCACATGGGATCCCCCTCTTCATTTCCTTCTGAAAGTTAATAAGCACCGGGTCGAGCAGAAGGACAAGATAGGGAAAAACCCACCACCTTAACGACTCTTTTCGGTTTTATTGAGCCGGTGTTAGCTTTGCTCTGCTTGGCTACGGGCGACTTTTTGGCTTGTTTCGCGGGTGGATCGGAGGACTCGTTAGTCTTCCCTTCGAAATCTGTCCTGCTACGTTTTCCAGAAGCCCCGGCGGGACGAGTCGACACTGTCGAGAGTCCACCAGATGGTTGAATCTGCTGAACATACAAGGTAGCACTTGTGGCAGGCGAAGTCCCCAGATTGGCGTTGTTCGCCGTCGTCTGAACCGAGCCACCGTTGACACGTGGAACGTTAGAGTTCCTGCTTGTAGAAACTACAAACACTGATTGATGGGTGGGATTGGTTCCCAAGCTAACACCAGGGGCACTGGGACCTGGGTTGCGGACATGATGAATAGGTGCGGCCGCTACGTTGTTCCCAGGGTTAGACGCATGCTGCTGATAAACACGGCCGGGTTGCACATTAAGGTTCTGCGAGAATTGCAAGCTTGCTTGGTTGTGAAGGTAGGTCGCGTGCTGCTGATAGACAGAGCCAGGTTGTACATTCAGGTTCTGCAGGGACTGCGAATTTGCTTGGTTGTGAAGGTAGATCGCAGGGTTAGACGCGTGCTGCTGATAAACAGTTTGCGATTGCACGCCGACGTTCCCGGAGGACTGGGAGTTTACTCCCTGAATATAGTGGCTACCGGAGTTGGACGCCTGCTGCTGATAAACGGATCCGGACTGTATCCCGACGTTCCCTGAGAGCGGAGAGTTCATTCCCTGAAGATGGTGGCTCCCAGAGCTAGACGCGAGCTCATAGAAAGGGCCAGGTTGCACATGAAGGTTATGCGAGAGCTGCAGATGTCCTTGGTTGTGAATGGGGTTCCCAAAGTCGGACGCATGTTGCTGGTAAACGTGTGCGTCTTGCGCCTCAAATCTCTCATTTGCTCCGCTAAGGTGGTTCTCAGAGTGAGACGCGTGCTGCTGGTAGACCGATGCGAGTTGCACTCCTACGCTCTCGAGGGACTGTAAATTTGCACCACTGAGGAGGCTCCCAGAGTTAGACCCGTGCTGCTGGTAGAGCGATCCGAGTTGCACTCCTACGTTCTCGGGGGACTGCAAACCTGCACCATTGAGGCGACTCCCAGAGTTGGACGCGTGTGGCTGATAAACAGATGCGGTTTGATCAGCAAGGTCGGGGGACTGAAAATTTGCCTCGTCAAGGTAGCTCCCAGAGTTATACCTGTGCTGCTGATAGACTGAACCGGGTTGCACTGCGGGGAATTGAAGATTTGCTCCGTTGAGGTGGCTCCCGGAGTCAGATGCGTCTTCTTGATAAGCAGGTGCGAGGTTCTCGGGGGACTGAATATTTACTCCGTTCAGAAGGCAGCCCTCAGCGTGCTGCTGATAGACTGGTCCGGCTTGCAAGCCAAAGTTCTCGGAGAACTGAAGGGTTGATTGGTTGTCAAGGCTCCCCTGCCCCATTGCGGCCAGGGTATTCAAGAGGTTTTCCATCTGCGGATATGCTTTGAAGGTAAATGGATAAGAGGTAGGTAATCCAGACGGTGCGGCTTGTGGGGTATCCTCAGGTTCCCCACCAGGCATATTATCCGCATAGTTATTAAAGCCACCCGGAGCGACAAGGTAAGAAGATCCAGGCGAGTGATCGATGTGCACAGACTGGTGCTGTGAAAGGGGAAGTGGAAGGGAGGGCTGAGTTCCTGTGGCAATATTCGCAGCACAGAGAAGGGGAGGCGCGAGGGTCGGTACGAGGGGTGCCGTCGCGTCCAACGCATCATCGTACTGGTCTACATTCTCGTGGAAGATGTTGGACATTATTAAGTTCTGTAGAGTCGGTGTAGGGAGGGATGAGCTAGACGCGGTGGTGGACGTCCTCGAAGAGGATCGGGAGAGCGGGGGGGTGCCCATGAACGCGTCGGAAATGAATAACGGCGCGGAGCCATCTACGCCAGAGGCTAGTGGCTGCGAGGGTGGATAAAGTGGCCACACGAGACGCGTCGCACCGTGTTGAACCTGGTTATAAGACGCGTCCAGACGCGTCGACTGAAATATGTCTTGACCTGTCGGGGCCTGCATCGTCAGACAAAACAACGCTCAAGAATATAATGGGGATGGGTCTCTAGAGAAGATACACTAGAAGTGATGAAGAGGATAGGAAATGAGGAGGGAGGATAAGATGATCTGAATTTATAGTAACTCAGACTAACTCCCTCATTTAGTAGCGCAAAGCAGCTAGAACGTTGTGACAAAACTGTTGCTTTGATATTACCCTTGCAAACAGAACGCTTAGGTTTTGCTTGGAATATTAACTCGCTGCGCTATTGTCCCCATATGCCTGGACACAGAAAATATAGCAAAAATGGAAAGTCACGTTTAAGAAAAATTGGCACACCGAGATGGACCACCCGGAGGCAGCGCACAGCTTTGAACGCGCTTTGACAAACACTCGGGATTGACCGAGTTCACAATGATCGACCATCCTCACTCTTCACATTTCTCGAGATCCAAAGCGATATCCGTCAACAATGTATATTCTGTGGTTGAACTCTGTTGTTACACATTATTGTCCGCATCCACAAAATACGTGAATGCTCAGAGTAAAGTCTCCCCTAATGAGCAGCGTGAATTTGCGAAGGGAGCAGAGCGTCTATCCAATGCTCACTCACCCAGTGCAGAACAGACAAGGGAACAGCCCACCGCCACTGTCTGCCGGACACTCTCCGGGTCAGCCAGTGACGGGTTGACCTCCTGTGCAACGGCCGGTAAACTGAAGTTAACATCTAATATCACAAGACAACGAACCATTAAATCGAGGGCCACGAGGAGCCCCGTTTCGTGTATTGCTTCACAAATATAGTGACCTTCTCGGAAGGTTAAACCTCCGCGCACCTAATTGTGATTGAATAAATAGCGATATCAATTCCTAAAACGGCTTACAGGTGTTCCGGTGGACGGTGCCACGGAAGGGTCGAGTGCATCTACGTCGAAACTCAAGTGAATTGGTAGATCGCGATTCGGGTTGAGGTGGTCAAGTGCCATATCCACCACGCGCCCAATGCCGTACTTGTCTACCTCGTGCATACTAAAAGCTTTGATATTGTTCTCCCTCAGGATGCGCTTCTCTCCGGCGTCGAGATCACGCAGGCCGATGTAGACAAGACGTTCCGGTCTCAAGAGGGGCTTGACCCAGGCATACTCGGGTATCTTCTCTCCAAGTCCAAGAAGGAATGAAACAGGCATACCATGTATATTTCCTGTTGTGACATCATATGTATCCGTAATTGACGTAAACGGTGTGTATACATACCGCTGGATGTCGTTTCAGTAGTATTGATATCAGCATGGGCATCAACCCATATGACGCATGCATCGGGATAGGAGCTACAGCGCGCAACGTTAAAATCCCTAAGACGTATATGACGACGGCGTACCTCAACTGTTCCCGAAATGGTACCCATGGCCTAGGCGTAAGTGTTAACACGGCCACGAGAACACATCGCGAATAAACATCTACATACGAGCGAATGATCGCCTCCAAGAGTGACTGGTAACTGGCCGTTCCTTACATGCGTACCGACAACCTCTGCTACGGATTCGCAGACGCGGGATACGTGTCTGGGGTTCTGAAGTTTGCCAATTGGTGGGTCCGAAGCAGCTGAGATTTCTTCGAATTGATGGTGACCATCAAAGAGGACTCTCCAGCCAAGTTCCTCAAGCCGAGTAATCAAACCCGCTTCGACGAGATGGATTGGGCCTTTGTCGACTCCGAGTTTAGGCTACGTGAAACGGAAGTAAGTGATCGCACACGAAAGAAGACGGAAAGACATACCTGACCGCCACTGTACATGACAACGGACGAGTGAGCTAGGTATCGCTCGTAAGGTGACCGCATGGTCTCACCTGAAGGGACAACCCACGACCTCCATATGAACATTAACCACTTATACCGATGTAAGAGAATAGGTGACTCACAGCGATGGTCTTCGGATTTGGGAGGAACTTGTTAGTGAGGGTAGTCATAGGCAAGCAACCAGGAGCGGGAGAGACAAGGGACAACGAGGGAAAGCCTGCTCTTGGGTGGGACCATTTAGATCCGTATGGTCGTGGCGGCACTTGCCGGACCCTAGTCGGTGGATCACCGGGCGCGGGTGCAACGCTCAACGGTGCCGAGACAGCCAAATAAGCTGGGGACCTGGGCTGGGCAGTGTGCGAGACGTTACCTTTGATGAGCGAGAACAGAGGTTGCTTTGATGCCGACGATGACCGACTCGGGCGGTGACAGTCTCAGGTGGTGTTACAGCTTGTCGTCACCGGTTTTATTTGTAAAGCTTACGCCGAGGTCGCATTCGAATCAGGTTTTTCTTGTTAAATCAACTTCAGCGGTGCTGCAGTGCTGCCACGACACAGCACGAGCTTGATGGAATCTAATTTTGTATCGTTGCCAGTGCCCTGAGCCCCGCGTCAAGCATATAAATACCAAGGGAGCCGTCGATATCGATTCGTTCGATTGCTTTGTTCTCCTTCCTACACCATCCAATCAGCAGCCGTGAAATGAGCACATCCAACAGCGGATCTCCCTCCTTTCTTTCCAGAAGCGGGACTCCTCTTATAAGGGACTTTGTGAGAGATATCTACCCATCTGCAGTCGTCCTATGCACCTTCGCTTACCCCGCGTCCCTTCGGTTGCGCAACTTGCTCACCAGGTCCACGACATCATGAAGCACTTCAAACATGAAAAGGAGTCCGAGGCTCATCAGGTCAACATCATTGTCGCCTTTCGTCAGGTTTTGCGCAGATTTACTCTCCCACCATAGATCTTTCGTGAACGAGCCGGTCACAAACCAAAGGGAATCGTGCCCGACACTGTCAATCCTGTTAGTGTCTCGCTCCCTATTTTGTATCGCACATTCTCAGTCAAACAGGACGAGGAAACCGTACCTGGGATAGAGCACCCAGGCAGCACTGGTGTCATATACTGCTCCGATCGTGCTATGGCTAATGGCTTCAGCTATCACAATGCTTCCGAATGGGCCAATCTCGGTCAAGGAGCCCCAGAAGTTGGACCGATCCCAAATGCCCCCGATCGCCCAGAGTCCGTTTCGCTGCCTGTTGGCTCACTCGAATACGCAGCCTACCACAGGCGTCAGGGGTACCTTCTATTTTTCTCCTCTCTTCCCGTCTCACACACCTCTTAGCTCTGCGGGAAGTCTGTTGCCGATTTGTACAACCAGATGTACCGTCAGGGAAAAGCTAGTCAATATACGTATGAAAACGTTTGCATCGTCCCTGGTGGTCGTTCTGGGCTGTCCAGAGTCGCCGCCGTCGTTTCAGATGTCTACTGTGTACTGTTTCCATTTTTCGAGCAACCGTGTCACCACTGATGTTTACTTCAGTCATACCAAATTCCCGATTATACTGCGTATGACCAAGTCCTTAGTGCATTCAAGCGTCTCGTTCCCGTACCCACAGCGTGTGTGTTCATACTCTACCCCCAAATTTTCACTGACTTGTTGTTAGCCTCGGACCCCAAGGCTCGCACTTCCATGTATTAAGGGTTTTCCATTTTATTGACGTACCCTCTAGCATAAATACCGCCTCGATATCGAGCAGACTAAGGTTCGTAATTCTGAGACACAGCTTTTCCGCAGCTGATGAAAAACAGAGAGATATACAAACTCAAGGCCTTTCCGTCATCATCGCATCGAACCCACGTAACCCTACGGGTCAAGTTATAGCGTAGGTCATTCGAAGATCCTGCGTGATGCCGCGTTTGACGTCTCCTTCAGTGGGAAGGACCTCAAGGAGCTGGTCTCCCTGAGCAGAGAAAGCACGACGCTTATTCTTGATGAAGTTAGTCTCTCCTCCCCTTTATATCATTGATCCATAATAAGATCTTGTGGTTACAGTTCTATTCCTGGTACATCTACCACGACCACGATAAGGACGTTGGCAAATCTGTTTCCTCGGCGGAATATATCGAAGACGTGAACGCAGACTCCGTCGTTATCATCGACGGTCTCACTAAGGTCAGTTTCCATAAATTCGACAATCTCCGAGACTCAATCCACACAGAACTGGCGGCTTCCCGGCTGGCGAGTATGCTGGGTCATCGGACCCAAAAATCTGATTACTGCCCTGTCGCAGTCTGGTCAGTTGCCTATTCTGACACCCTGTGCCGAATTAATTTCATCGTAGGTTCATTCCTGGATGGCGGCGCTAATCACCCGTGCGTTGAATTCGTGCTTTTGGAGGCATTTGTACTGAATGCTTTGCCAGGTTGCAGCTCGCGGCCATTCCAATCCTGGAACCCGCCCGCGTTGCAGCAGAGAAGGTATTTATTCGATCGAACGTCTGTTTTCTGTCACCTTTTAAGTGATACATTTACAGCTCGCACTTCAAAGACACTTCAAGATGAAACGTGATCATGTTCTCAAGCGCTTGCGTGAGATGCATCTCGACGTAGACATACCTCCTCAAGCTACATTTTACATCTGGCTCAATCTCGAGAAATTGCCTGCTCCCATAAACAACGGCTTGGTGTGTCTTCCCTCGTCCGTGGTTAAAGACGCGTAAACCAAAACCTGTGTAGACATTCTTCGAGGAACTCCTCAAGGAGAAGACCATCGTCATACCCGGCATTTTCTTTGATATCAACCCTTCGCATAGGAGAAATCTCTTTAACTCCCCTTGTCACCACTTTGTCCGTTTGTCATTCGGGCCTCCTTTGGAGGAACTTGATAGAGGTTCGTTCGGCGTCTCATAACACGGGGCATTGCACTAACAATGGTTTGCAGGTCTTGATGCCATCGAAAAGGTGGTTAAAATTGCGCGTAAAGAGGGCACGAAGAGGTTTGGTCATAGTTACAAGAAGAGTCTCGATAGCGCTAGTGATCACCAAGTTTGAGCCTTAACGTCCACCGTAGAAAGCTAGACGTCCAAAGCTAGACGTCGAAGTGCATGCGCGCTTTAATGTAATGTGATAAGATGGACTACAGTGATGGATCAAACGAGGCGAACGCCGTCCTGAAGCTCTCTACGTCCGCCTTGTCTTCTTCCTCAGTGAGCATACAGGCTTTCCAGTCGAGCCTGTCTACTGTGTTTTGGAGAGTCACCAAAACCTGCCTGCAGGCGACATAAGATGATATATACGGTTTCTTGTTACCACGCACATACCTCCCGAACTGGACACTAAATGGCGCATGAGGCCTCATTAGATGGACCATCTTGCGACCGTCTGGTAAGTCTACGCGGAAATAGCTGTGGCGTCCTCCATTACACGCTTCCAATGCGCCCTCCGCGTCCGGTTCGAAGTCGATGCCTTGTGCATGGCCTTCGCTAACAAAGGCTTCTTCGACTTTGTCCTGCAGACCACGCGGAACCGGGACGGCTTGAATGTGTGCGTGTCCGCCCTTTGAGCTCAACCGACCCACTTCAAAGAAGACCGCCGCTGCACCGTACTCCGCGTACAGGTTCCTGAGGGCGCTTTTGTACCTAAAGTGACCACATAGAAAGAGGGGGGGAATCGATTGAAGAATAGCCTACCTTTCCGTTTCCTCGAAGATAGGGGGTGCAATGTCTGGGGAAATCGACGTATAGGTGGGGTGATGGGCGATAGGCACAATGAGGACATGGCCACCTCCAGGGACAAGGGACAAGTTGCTTCCCGCAGCAGAAGATTGAGTCGGAATTATTTGACCCTTGGGTAGAGTTAAATAACATTCCGTCCCAATCGAAACGATGAGGTGTTTGCTACAGAAATGAGAACTTGAGAAAGGTCGCCAGCTCATATTGAAAAAATACACACGCTAAATTGGGATTTGACAAGCAAAACCAGCATTCGTCCGCTAAATATACATTATGACTAAACACTTGACGATCAAAAACAAGGAACGTACGTCCGATTTCCTTAGGGGGTCCTCTCTTGGCTCGTTCCCCATGCGGACGAGATGTTTGCTGGCTTCCTACCGGACAATCCTCGATATAATGGGATCCACTGCCACAGGTACGACAAAGATACCCTTCTTTGGGCTTTCGTCTGGCAGTGTCTCCCGCAGGGTGCCTGGTTGGACAGTCACGAATAAGGTGTCCGGGGACGTTGCAAATTCTGCATACGTAACCCTCTGGAGGTCTTGTTTTTTCAGGGCAGTCAGTAATAAAGTGCTGGATACCATGTGAGTATAATCCCTGTTCAGTGGTCGCGGCTGTAAAGTCACCTCCAATGACCCACACCGCTTGCATTTATATCCAGGCGGTGGCTTGGCGTTTTCGCCACTTGACCCATCTATAATTGAGACCACATGAAGGATGTATACGTGGTGAAACTCGTAGTGCCTTGCCTGTTCTCGAGCGCTTTTCAACATGCTCGACATTGCCCCATATGAAGTTTTCACCCTCCGAGGTGTCAAAGGTGCGCTTATATGGCCGAACGGCGATGTCTGCAAAAGGGTTTTTGGTAACGTTGGATGGTCGCTTAGCTTGTGGGCCAGAAGGTGCAATACTGAATGCATAAAACCACTGTATGAAAGTATGAGCAGGAGAAGCGCAAATATGAATGACTTGACTTACTCGTTCCTTCTTTCCTGTTACCTTTTCACTCCCGAACGCACCCAAACTGATAAATCGAGTTAATCTGTCACCCTCATCCTCCCAAAGAAACGGTTCTCGTTCCCAAAACACAGGAGGGTCTGCTCCTCCCCCTGCAAAATGATAGCGTGGTTTGATCTTCCTCAGGATATCATCAAGAGGAGATGAGCCAGTCACGTTGAACGTTGGGGAGAAGGTAGAGGTAGAACCATGGGAGCGTATTGATGCGGGCCAGTCACTAGTAAGAAGAATATCCACGAGCTGCGAAGAAGATGCAGAGTCACGGACTGTAGCAAGGGAGCTATAATTCTGACCCGTTGTCGACTTGGAAAGCGTATTGGACAGCAGGCGCTCTACGTTGTGCACCGTATAGAATGGCGAGGCAAACCCCTAACAACCAACGGGGCACTAGTCAGATACGTCCGAAATGAGACCAGACCACCCACGGGAGCTGCTTCCGATGAACCGTAAACATCGGGGTTATAAATACCCCCTAGACATGCTATCCGAAGGTCTTGTATAGTTGTCACCAGTGCAGACTTGTCTGCAAAATTGTTTGCTGTGAGCACGATAACACGAAATGCGTCTACCACTCACTCAGGAGAAATACGTCTTTGCAGAGTTCGCCTCCCGTATCTGCATACTTTTTAATGACGTCTTCCGGTAAGGGGTTGTCGCCCTGCATGATGTAGCACTTCAAAGGCGCTGTGAGCACTAGTCAAGTAGTGCCCTTCTGGCAGTCGTATGCTGACATGCCTTGGATCCTTCCGTCTAACAGTTGAGAGACCTCATCGGAAGCGCCATCATGAGCGCTGGCATCTTGCAAAGGGCCGAAAAAGTCGCCGACACACAACACGTAGTCGAACTTGCCGTGTTTCGCGTCTATAGACTTAATCTTCGCGAAGAGGTCCCGGACTGAACCGAGAGCAGCGCCGACGGCCAATCTGTCCAATATGATGCCATTGTTCGAAGCACTGCATAAAAGATTAGTACTGCTTACATTTTGATACTTTGGGTCGAACTTGGAGTCGTCATGGCGGATACTGGGTCGCTCGAGCACACGTGACAAGTGACTGGTTGACGGGTGGCTGATCCCGGAAGTTGTGCCAATCATAATACCACATCATCGCCATCACAACGGGTCGGGCGCATATTAGGCTTGTTCAGTAATTGGTGCTGTATTTACACATCTGGGACGGAGGAATTTGTCGTTGCTTCCGTCCCCAGAGAGCCAAACCCAATATTTGGACTTACTAGCATATGGACGAGACTTGTTGGACAACTCGAACAGTTGCAACGTGCAGACAAATGTTGACAGGCACACCAGAATAACGAATTACTTGGTTACGAGCGACGACGACCAGGGGGAGAACGTCGTATTCGGAACAATGGCTTCGGCGATGCACTTGGACCTGGTTTCATGGGTAGTTACACACGATGGCTAAGATTGGTCCAGTTACCGCTTATTGTTTCCGTCCCATCCACGTCTCCCCAGGTCCTCCCATGTTCCTCCAAGGGACTATCTTTGCCCATCCGTGTCTTGCATATCACATCGCCTTGTATTCGTGCGGCTTACCTCCTCTCAAGAACAAGTTATTTTTTTAGAATATATATATATATACCTGCCTTTTCGACGGGAGGGTTCCTTTTCATGGGGACAGCTCTCTGGCACCACCAGCCCTGTGGAGCCATGGTTCATCTTTACATGTTCATGTTCGCCGTTATCGCGTCCCTTGTGCTTGCTGGCCCCGTCCCTGGGCTGGAGCAACACACTCGACTGTGGCAACCTAATTTCGATGGTTTTTGGATCAATATCTGCAATTACCTTCCCCACTCCGTCAAATCTTTCTGTTCACGCGACAGGGTTATGCAGTACTCAACTATATATACACCCTTTGGTCCCGCTAATGGCATTGTTGACACGCCCTTCGTGAATAGGTTTGTTGTCAGATATGCATCCGCCCAGCGGTGGCAGCCTTCTGCTATGGCTACTACCTGGCAGCTCCCGTATGTGCAGCCCAATTACCGTCGCCCTTTTACTTACTCGTAAGTTCCTTTGCAACAGTGGAGCAGTAAATATTTCCACGTTGCCACCGATGTGTCCGCAGCCTTATGTGTCGGATTCCACTTATTCCGAAGACTGTTTGGCAATGGTTCTGTACGTTCCAACTTCTCTAACAGATGTTAGTTGTATTCCTACGTTGGTGTGGTGAGATATTGGTCTCCATTGCACTCCTTGCTTTTCTGAAGCGCACGCAGGATTCACGGTGGCTCTTTCATGGTTGGCTCAGCTAGTAATCCCGGGCTTGATGGGTCAGCTTTGGCCCAAGCTACCGGTTCAATTGTTGCCGTCATACAGTATCGGCTTGGTGCTGTAAGTATCTCCTCAATATGAACCTTGAAAATATCTGACACGCCGCGTAGCTTGGATTTATTGCTCCTAATGGTGAAACCAATCTTGGTCTCAAAGATGTTGTCAATGGCCTCCAATTCTTACACCAAGTCCTTCCGAGCTTCGGAGGTGACAAGTCAAAAATAACTTTGGCGGGCCAGAGCAGTGGTGCGAATATGATCCGCGCACTTTTGGCTGTCCCCTCGGCACAGTCCCTTTTTCAGTCGGCAATCCTCCAATCCGACCCAATGGTTTGACTCATCTTCTCTCGTTTAGACGATCGAGCTCACCTGGTTACAGGATTACGGCTTTCTCTCTGTATCAAATCAGCAACAGTTACAGGACTACTTTGTTTCCCTGCTACCGTGCCAAGTTTCCGACATAGCGTGTTTGAATGCGTTGTCTGTTGACGAGATTGTCAACGGTATCGGCTTAAATCAGTTCTTCAATGCATCTCAGATCGTTGCTGCTGCCACGCAGATGGAGCCGATGCGTGTTGTGAACGATGGTTCTTTCATCACCTCCACGCTGGACTCATCCTCGCCTTTTCCTGCTGTATCTAAAACCATCCTCCTTTCGAATGTGAAGGACGAGGCGGGATATATTACTTACGGTAACTTGCCTAATCCTGTTCCTCAATCCGAGTACCAGGCTCTTGTGGACGCTTCCTTTGGAGAAAACCGATCCCAACTTCTCTTGAATATCCAGTCTTACGCAGTCCAGACATCCACCGTTTTCGACTACAGACCACAACTGGAAATGCTAGGAACCGACTCTGTCTTTCGTTGTGCTACATGGACATTTGCTCGAAACTGGGTGTCCCATGGCGGCACTGCCTACGTCGGGATGTATACCGTCGGTGCAAGCTACCCCGGCAACTCACAAGTCCCATATTGTTCGCAACCCGGCGTGGTCTGTCACCAGGACGATATCGAAATTGTCGTAAGCTATGATTAGTGGCCCCCATGATAACTGGTAATTGACCAAAGTTTTCGTAGTTCGGCACCGTCGAAAACCCTACCGCTGCCCAATCTGCATTGATCGCGGAGATGCAAGCTCGGTACAAGTCATTCATGTGCGATTGGGATCCGAACCCACCTGGTACTTCATACCCTGAGTGGCAAGCTGCTGGAACTTCCGACGTCAACGCTATCCTCTTCGGCAGCTCGGGAGAAGCTCCAATTGGTGCCTGCACTCCTGAACTCTGGGGTAGTAGCATTGAATATGACTATCAATTATTCGATATTTAGACCCTTTCCCGTGGACATTTACATTTCAATTATCCTAATCCTTAATCACTTCGCACTTCCTTGTGATCTTATTTTTTCTCATTCCCTCCGCCCCAAACTGTAGCGATAATGGTATGATCTTTGCTAGAACGCATGTACTCAGATTTGTACACCTATTTATTCAGTATACTTGCTACACCTATGAAAACAGTGAAATGGACATACACGATGAACGGCAAGCGCTTTACTCCCAGACAAGTACAATAATACATGGATCGCGGGCCTCATCAAATATATGTGACAAGATTGGGTATGAATTACACAAGTAATATCACAATTTCGTAGCAGTAGTCCCAGGCGCCTCAGAGACATCGACTGTGAAAATGTCGAAGTTGCGCTGCAAATTGATCTCCAAAAAAACCTGTGAAGGCTCAGGAAAGGGATGTTCGACATATTAGGACCACTTACCGTACCGTTCTGCTTCACAAGGACCCTGTGCAGCTGCCCCACTGGGCCACCACGCAACTCATCACCTTCGTATAGAAACATCGTCGCACTGGATACCGGGTCTTGATACAACCTGGGTCGGATAACCAATCGGCCAAAAGGCCTCTGAGACAACAGAATCAACTTTTCACGTTCCTCAGGTGTTTGGACATCACCTGGGAGCAACTGGCGCAGCGTTTCGAGGATGTAATACTGGGGAGGTGCGAGGTTGATGTTTCCTTTCTTGAATTCTGCGATTGCGACGCGGGGATGGAGAAAACAAGTCGACTGGACTTCTTCTCCGCCATCTGTCGTGGGGACCCTGCCTATACCCGTCCCGGAGGAATGCTCTTCTGAACAGGTCGGGAAGAACGAAATGAAGAACTGGGTGCGGAAGCGCCTGGCTTTAATCAACGAGGGTTATTTTGTCGACGCCGCGCACTTTTACCTTGAGGAGGTGAGCGGGGTAATCCATGTTGTGAAGGGACGAAGAGATTTCAAAGCTGGCACGCATTTGTGACGGAGAAGGAAAGCTTGAAAATCCAATTCCTGACGGTGGACTGCGCTTCTATCCCGCTCCAGATCAGACTTACTTAGAGCTTGGGGTGACGTGGGTGATGCAAGGAGGACTCCTGTTTCTTCAAATGTCTCGCGGATGGCAGTTATCGCCAAGGATGTATCGCGTCCGGTGTCAAAATTGCCACCAGGAAAGACCTTTCACGTCGTACGTATCAGTCAGGTACGAGGATCTGAGACTTAGTCTTACATGCATCCCTGCGAATGAGCGTGTCCGCGTGCTGCGCTGGACGAGCAAGACTTCGTTGCACTCGTTGACAAGAATCAAACTGGCAGACGGAATAAGGTTGTCGGACGCAACAGTAGACATGGCACAAAATTTTGGGATGAAACCGGCCGTCGATATGACAGACTGTGGTTTGATGGATGAAACCCAGACGAGAAGTCGTGAATTACCAGTGATTCTGTCTCCGAGAGTTAGCCTTTCATTGATCTCTGTGCCGATACAACTTGGGACCCGCACCTGGAGCGACGTAACAAAGGAAACAGTATCGTGTACGTCGGCACTCGGTACATCCGCAATCGGGGTACGCCCAAGCTGCGACAGCCCGCTCAACCCCTAGATAGTCACACGTGACCTTGATAAGTCAGTTTCCTTCTCTTTTGTTATTACACTCGCGCACTTACAGTCACCGGGTCTCAGGCTGTAGGTATTGCAGGCCTTGAAATGTCATCGGAAGTTCTCGTTACCACTCATGAAACTCCTGTCACTAGTACTGTTGCTACGTCCTCCTTGGAGGTTCGCCACTCTCTTGGTATCGAAAGCTAATCATGATGACATGTAGACAGACTACTTATGACGGCTTGAACGCGGCGGAGGAGACTTGGATTCACTTGTCATTCTCGTGGGCTGGAAAGACCTTCAGCCTCGACTTGGCGGAGTCAGACAGGTACGTCCAGTACTCCATCCGCTTCTGACGCAGCAGCTGAATTTGTCCAATTGGCACAATGTTGTACGAGTCAGGGTTTACGACTTGAAGGCTGCACTTCTAAGTCTTACCAATGTTCCACCTGAGAGACAAAAAATTCTCGGACTCGTAAGGGGAAAGCTTCCTTCGGATGAGGGGAGAATGTTCGTCAACCCGCTACATCTAATGCAAGCGCTTATGTTCTTCGACCGTTAGTTCGGACCTCAGGATCACTCCCGGAAAGAACTTCATTTTAGTTGGAACATCCCACCTGGAGACGAAATCAAAGACCCCTCCCGTAAGTTGCGACATCGTACCGCAGAAACGACACTCTGATATTGGTCAGAACTGGAATCCCTGCCTGACGTAGTGAACGACCTAGATGTCGACGTCACAGGAAAACCCTCAAGCTGCAGCGAGGTATAGAAATGACCCAAGAAACCATCGCAAAGTTCGAGAAGCAACGTCGAAACTCCAAATCGAATCTAATAAACCCTTTGCGCGAAGGAAAGCGATTACTTGTACTCGACCTTGACTACAGTAAGTGCGAAGCCGTCTCACACGCACGGTCTATCGTTGATTGACCACGCTTCCTGAGCAGCTATTCTCGATACCAAACCTCTTACCTCAGGCTCGCTACCTCCTGCAGAGTGCGCTCGCCCTGGCTTACATGAGTTTCTGGAGGACCATATACCCATATTACGATATATGCATCTGGTAACTGCTGCCCTACACGAAAAAAAAATTCTCAACGAAAGCTTTACCAGGTCCCAGACTACTTGGGTATGGTTGGAGGCAAAACTGGTAGAACTCGGGATGATTGGTTCCACAAGGGCATACGAGGTCAGTGCAAACCACTTCGTGAACCCCTTTGTGACTTCACAGCTCCCTAGATATCATTCGGTGACTAGCATGCACTTGGTCTCCGATTTATGAAAATGACAACGATCTCAGTCCTCGATAAGACGTGCATGTTCACCGTCTTCACCGAGCGTAATGGGCAACCATACACTCATCACGTGAAACCTCTGCAGATCATCTGGAATAAATTCCCTCAGTTGTGTGTCTCTTTTCTATGCTACCGATCGCGGGATGTTTGACATTCTGCGTTTTCGATGCAGCAGCGCAAAGAACACCATCCATGTAGACGATCTGGTAAGTCTGAAAAGGAATGAATTCCTATAACTACCCATTGTCAAATGCAGAGCAGAAATTTCGCCCTTAACCCCGACGAAGGCCTGAAAATTCACGCGTTCAAGCATGCACACATGGAGCAAGCTCAAGCAGACAGGGAACTCGAGAAACTTGCACGCTATATGGTTCACATTGCGTCCATCGATGACTTCCGAACGGTCAATCACAAGGTAATGTCTCATCAGTGTAAGCAGTGGTATTAGTCACTTGACTCGGCCCCAGGACTGGAAGCGTACGCTGCGAAACCTCGCGAGGCCTTGACGGCGTTTACCTTGATAGAACGCCGCCAGGACGTTTCTATGACGCCTTTCAGTGCTTGACAACTAAATACTAGGGGAATAGAATATCTTAGATGCTTTGGTTCATTCACTCTGTACGTATATCTATCGACATTCAATACTCGGTCGCCATGCATTGCTCCGGACGCAGATGCAGACTGTTTGCGTTAGTGGTCAAGGCGGCGTTATCATTGCTTTACTAGAGTTTTTAGGGTGCCAAGGTTATCGGCTACTAGGCCGTGTCGAAAGAAGATCATCCGAGCAGTACCAGGTGGCGTTTCGGAGATTTGCAAAGAGAGCGTCATCGTCGACAACTAAGTTACCGGGACTCGCGATCGGAAACGCGCCACCGCGGCCTTGGCATCTCCCTGCTGTGCGGGGGACTCATTTCTGATTCATTCTATGGTAAACGGCGAGCTGAAGGAGCACAGCACGGTTTGTTACACTTGGAACCTCGATTTAAAAAAATGCATCATTATAGGTGGTCATTTGGTCAACAAATCAGGGTCTCTGCATGTCGGACGGTGAGGCTACTAATCCTTTACCCAGCTATCCAAGGCCGTGCAGTGCGCACCAAGAAACCCTAGGACAAAGACTGGCATGGAGACTTGACCGGTTCTCGGCACCCTGTGCAAACCGGAGGGAGAAATTTGAGAATCGCACCGCTTTCCACTAGTAACTGTTGTTTCCGCGGGCAAGTGCGACACCAATCGGAGGGGTGAATCTGCATGAACATTCCTTATACTCGAAACATGAAGTGTTATGACCAGTTTCACGTACACTGCAAATGACGGAAACCATCAAAGGCATGCATAACCCACATACTAGGAGGCGGCAGAAGGGCGGCCTGACCATACAGCTCGCCGTCACGGATTCCCTGGCGCAGATGCTATCTGGTGCGGTGGTACGTTCACACGGAACAATAGTCTGTCTTTCTACCCGTTACTGGGATGAACTTTTTAGGTACATAACTTTCCCCAACTACTACCGACGTTGCTACGTTCTTTCATTTGTTTCTTACAAACCACTTTCTAGTTTAATCAGATCGCTAGCAACTGAATCGAAAGTATCGAGAGATGAAGGCGCTAAAAGAAATAGCGCGTCAACAAGTTTGTAGGGCAGCTTCGATAAATAGATTTACCTGGGCATTTCGTGTGAAGGGACGTGTCGTTCTCGTGAAGGGGGGTGAGCGTGTCTGAGGCAGAATCATACTGCCAAGTTCCAGAGGTGGCTACTGGAGACTCAGATTCGTGCAGGGAGCCGTTCCACACATCATACCAGACAACACCTGTTCTCGCGAGACACCAAGATAAACCTGGGCTTGGGTGGTCTCGATGGACGAAAATGCCCGCGAAAGGAGGGTAAAGGTCTTCTGTCTGAATGAGTCTGCAATAGCAACTCAACAACCAGTTGTTTGCTAATTGCCCACTGGTAACGTACCCACAAACTGCGTTACCAAGTTCGTGATGAGGTTCGCCAAGGTATCATTAGCAGATTCTGATTGCTGTGTCAAGCTACACATGACTTCGGCGTGTGTGTAGACTTGAGTATATTCCCGTTCCGATGCTGATGCTACCAGGCTCCCGAGGGCCCTTGTGAGGGGGTGAAAACGCAAGTTCTCAGGCAGGCGTGCCACGGCAAGTTGGGCAAGCGTGCTTAGGATAGTGTGAGATGCTGCTAAGACCTACGGAAAATAACATACAGGTTATCCAGTATCAGGTAGGTCAGGGTCAGGGGCACGATTAACAGCAATCGAGAAGGACTCCGCGGGCTCTGTCCCTGGCAATTCATAGCGCATATCCCGAGACCAAATTTGTTGTGTGGGTCTCACCTTCAAGTCCATGGTCTCAGAATAAAGTGCAAGTGCTGAGAAGTCACGCTGGATTGCTAGTTCGTAGACATTGGGAAATGCCTTGTTGGTAAGTGTCCATGGTAGGGACCGCTAATGGCGGAGAGGGTGTCCTCTCGGCGGGTGGATCAAATGATCCGTCAAGTACAGCGTCTCTGACCTGGTCTTGTATTTCGGTAGTGCTGGTGGGTGGAGGCGTCGGTGGACCTTGGGTCATTTCGATGAGGCTACAACGATCGCAGTGTCCGAGCGTTAAATTAGGAGACCTGCTGCTGACGTAAACACGGCCCTCTTACTTCTTGAGCCAACTGAGCTACTACTAAATTCACACCGGTTACTGCAGGCGACAATGGAGGACTTTGAGGAAGAAATCGAGTCTGTGCTGTACATCGCCAGGGAAATCTCAGGTTGCTACCACTCGTACAGTGTAAGGCACGACTCAATCGCTTCTTCCAGTGTACAAGATTCCACCTCTCAGAGTCAACGAAGGCCATCGGGCGAATGATTGGGGGGATCTCGCGAATCCACTCTGGAAGGGTAGACTGCGTATCATAGAAACGAAGAAGAATGCGACATTGAAATTTGAAGACAGTCAGACCGGTACGCTCACCAGTTTCGGACACGTCCGCGGTGATCAATTGATTTATGCGCTGCCCTTGCTACAGGCGAATGTGTGTGAGGCCGATTGCTTCGCGCCAAGGGACTAATAGTGGCGTAGTATTTGCACAGGCCCAGTACGACCCTTTGAAACCGTCGGTGGAAGCGGTCCTCGATTCATCTCGTTACTTCATAGTTAGGGTCGAAGACGCGGGAAAGAAAGCATACATCGGGATGGGTTTTGCGGAGCGCACAGATAGTTTCGACTTCAGTGCGTGTTTTCTTCACACATTTCCCGTGTATTGGTCATGAATGCGATCGCTCGCTTCAGATGTGGCATTGCAAGATTACACCAAGTAAGTGTCCACGCGCGTCTTTTTACGATCAGTCGCGTTTAGGGCTTGGCTGGCGTCGGCAGGCGATACAAAGCAGCCTTAAATCCACCAAGCCCAACATCGGAAACACCGTCGCCTCACGTATCCCTGGGGCCGAAACGGGATTACTCGTTGAAAGAGGGACAGACTTTTTCGATATCCATCCCTGGCAAGAGCCGAAAACACGGCACCGGTACCAATCTTTTGTCGTCGGGTTCCACGATGTCCGGGAACGGTGGTGGTATCCCACTGCTACCGCCCCCGCCTAGTGGACGACAGAAGTGATGCCGAGGGGTCAGAACAATCTCGGTTGTTTTGTGTTCAATGAATGGCATACTCCCAAGCACACATAGACTGTATAACAATTGAGTTATGGTTGCCTTGTCAGCAATCAACAGTCAACGTCAAATCTACGTTCAGAGTGTGGCCGACTGCCATGGCCTAGTGCTATTGGGTGAACTCGGTCGGGATATTTCAAAATATCCTCGTGGCAGGTTTGCAGGCGTTGGACCAAGTGTGTCTCGCTGACAAAGCTATTCCCACACTTTGTCATACTAGTCTTCGTCATTCCTGTTATTAATAGACCTACGCACTCCGAGTTTTCTCGCTGTTCCCGTCCCACTCATTACCACTGTTCGTCCCTTTCGGAATGTTGTCGAGACTTGGAACGAGCGCAGCTGCCAACACAGCTCTTAAGCGTTCTCCGAAACTAGCCGTTGCTGTACGTAGAACATTCGTACAGCCCTCTGGTGCGGAGAGGGCGAATGTAGTCGATGTGCCTCCCTCTTTCAAGAATGTGGGACACTTTACTCCCCGTGCTGGTGCGTCATCGCCCGGCTGTTCCTTGAGGTATTGAACCGCTTTTCCAGACATGCTTGGTTTCAAACTGGATGCTTCGGTTCATGAGAAGTCGGCAACTCAGAAGACACGTCCCATCTACCTGGATATGCAGGTATGTGGGCAGACATTTATGTGAGGCTGTGCATACTGATCGCAAGCAAGGCAACGACTCCTGTGGATCCGCGGGTTTTGGATGCGATGCTACCATATCTCACAGACCAGTTCGGTAATCCTCACAGTCGCACTCATGCATACGGGTGGGAGGCAGAGCAAGCAATCGAAGTTGCTCGTCAAGTAACGTCTTTTTTTCATTACCCATTATCCCTTTGCCTCACCTCTTGTTCCAGCACGTTGCAGCTCTCATTGGCGCAGAAGCCAAGGATATTGTCTTTACCTCCGGTGCGACCGAGAGCAACAACATGATCATAAAAGGCGTGGCTCGTTTCAACCAAGATAAGAAGAGGCATATTATTACCGTGCAAACGGTTTGTCACTCTTGTACTCCCGAGTGTGTCATTTCTCACTTGTGGTCATCAGGAACACAAATGTGTACTCGACTCATGCCGAAAACTGAGCGAAGAAGGATTCGAAATCACTTATCTTCCAGTGGAATCAAATGGTCTCGTTAACCTGGAAGCTCTCGATTCCGCCATCCGACCGGACACAGCTCTGGTTTCTATTATGCTGGTCAACAACGAAACAGGCGTTATACAACCGATGAAGGATATCGGCGCGATTGTCCGAAAGCATCGCGGCGTGTATCTACACACCGATGCAGCCCAAGCAGTTGGGAAAATACCCATCGATGTTAATGAAGCTAACATTGACGTGATGAGTATCTCCGGGCATAAGTTATACGGTCCAAAGGGTGTCGGCGCAGCTTATGTCCGAAGGAGACCAAGAGTCCGGTTAGATCCGATATTGAGTGGTGGTGGGCAAGAGCGTGGTCTGCGGAGTGGTACTCTCCCGACGGCCCTTGCAGTTGGGATGGGGGAGGCCGCACGGATATCTAAGTCGGAGATGGCGGTGAGTATCGGTTCATATGGCTCATATGATGATATTTGTGCATCTATATTGAGTGTAACCGAGTGGCAATCCCCCCAGCGAAAAAGTCTCGGGGGCTGCCAGCTTGGTGATGACAAGGGTGCAGGGGTACTGAATATGGCGATGTTCGCGTCGGATCTTTATCAGACCTGTGTACTTACTTGCTGCTTTGCAGAGGGATCATGCAAGAATAAAGCAACTTTCAGAACGCCTGCTCAGTGGTATACATTCTCAAGTTGACCATGTTATTCGCAACGGCGATCCAAATGGATATCCAGGCTGCGTCAACTTGTCCTTCGCATACGTTGAAGGAGAGAGCCTGCTTATGGCCTTGAAGGTGATTGACTCCCGTGCTTTATAGCCGTACTTGCTTTGCTCATGCTCTTGCAGGACATTGCGCTGTCATCTGGTAGTGCCTGTACGTCAGCGTCGTTGGAGCCCTCGTATGTGCTTCGTGCACTGGGTAAGTGTAGTATCTTCAACTGCGTTCTTTTACCAATCCTTCAATCAGGTGCTGCCGAGGATATGGCACATTCTTCATTACGGTTTGGCATCGGGCGCTTCACCACAGAGGCTGAAGTTGATTTCGTCGTACAAAATATCGTGCGAGTCGTTCAACGTCTTCGTGATATGAGGTACGTCGATACCTGCATTTGCTTTTCTTCCAAGCCTGACAAATTTACCAGTCCGCTTTGGGAGATGGTTCAAGAGGGGATTGACATCAATTCTATCAACTGGTCGCAGCACTGAGCTATTTTATACTTGGCGGTTTTTAAGCACGTATTTCCATCAGTGTATACTCTGTTCGGTTCGGTTTGTACCAATATCAATATGTGTCATGAGGACAGTGCGGTGCACGGGGTCCCCGTGCAGAGGGCGCACGGGCCATTTACAGCCAACGCATTCAGACTCCGCTAAAACTTCACCCTTCCACTTTCTACCACCATGGCTAGACGGTTGTATCTTGGCAGTACGAATGACTTTAATCATTGCTTTTCCGTTTTGACTAATGTTTTGAATGCATAGGACTTCCACCCGACACTCGTGCGGAGGATGTCGCAAAATTTTTCGACGGTTACGGTCGCATCGTCGATTGCAGGGTCATGACTGGTTTATCTTTTACTTCTTCGTACTTTTACTTTTTTTGTCTCAACGGTTGTCAACTAGGTTTCGGCTTCGTTGAATTTGAGAGTTCAAAGGTTGTTCCTCATACTTTGTCACGTTGTTCGGGAAATTCACCCTTTACAGGATGCTGAGGATGCTGTTCATCACTTCAACGGCAAATCGTTCATGGGAGCGAAGTACGTTAACTATCTGGACGGCTCTTCAATACTAACTCGTCTGTAGTATTGTTGTGGAGTTTGCTAAAGAAGGCCGTCCCCGTAGGGATCCCTACGAAAATGATCGCAACCATGGGTATAACAATGGGAACCGACGTGATGCCCCTCTAACCCAACGTAGCAGTGTTCGTTCTCGCAGACCCCCTGGCGTGCGGCTCATTGTCTCAGGTATATCGCGCGATACTAGCTGGCAGGTAGGTTTTGATGACTTCAAGCGACCATTGTCCGGGTGTCATCTCTATTTAAATGACTCCGCGGCATTATCACCAGTGGTTTTAATAACGATGGTGAAATCTGACAACCGTTATTAGGATTTGAAAGATTTCGGGCGTGAGGCTGGCAGCGTCTCCTTCGCTGACATTGACCGTGACCTCGCGGGCCAAGGGTTAGTACAACCGGCTGTTCGGCGCAAAATTGCTTTTCATCCGATGGACAGGGTTCTGGAATATCTTTCGCGTGATGATGCCGACCGCGCCGTCAAGGATTTGGACGGAAAGGATCTCCGAGGAAGGCCTGTGCGGGTTGCGTACGACGAATCGGTATGCTTCAAATAGTATTCTTGATGATTATTCTGAATGCTGTGTTATAGCGCGGCGGTGCTGACAATTACAGGCGAGATGATCGTCGCGACGATCGTTACAGGGAGGAACGTCACTACCGAGACGAAAGGTCCTCATACAGACGGGAACGGTCAAAATCACCTCCTCGCCGTGTTGAAGATGATCGTCGCCCCAGGTCTCCACCTCCGGGCAGGAGGGATTATGATGAGAGAAAACCTGCAGGGTACGATGATTACCGGCGGGGAGGCTATGATGATGATCGCAGAGCCCCTGATTATTATGACCGCCGCAGGGACGATCTTGACAGGCGGCGCGAAGAACGCTCCAGGCGCGATGATAAGGACGATCGGTACGACGATAGGTCGGCGAGGCATACCAATGGCGATGGCGGTTGGGTGCGTTGACAGGGGAAATGGTCGTGTAGTCGTGGTCAATGGGCCGAGCGGCGGTCGCTTTCGTAATGGTCTCCCGATCTCTTTTAAGGACATGGTCACCTCGAGCTTTGGATTTGCCGTATGTTGGGGCGAACGGGAACTGTACTTGTCTTAATGGTCGAAACCCCTTGGTCCGCTTTGTCGCGTCATGAGGATGAGGTCGCTATCTCCGGAATTTGGACCTTAATGGTGGCGCCGAGAATGAGTTCCACAAGCGCTGGTGTTCCTTCCATGGTCATTAAACAAATGGGACCTGGTCGCAGGCGGAATTTCAGAACCACTACTATAGTCGCGCATACAGCGGTGGCTTCACAAGCGAGCGATCGACACTGCAACAATGCCTGGCAGTCACCACAGCCAACCCCTTGCTTAGGGTACGTGTTCTTACGAACGATATATCGGGCGACTGATAATAAATGGGATGGTTATACTGCACTGATTGTCACTGTTCTGTACTATTTACTGTAACAAATACATCTGACCCATTTTCGATACCATACCAACCTAAGTCATGCCTGTCGTCGCACAATTCAACAAACCCGTCTTCCATAGATAGCCAAATTTCAACCATATTTCGACTCACTGAACGCGGCAATTTCAAGGTTTTCATCAGCTGAAGTCTGAAGATTGCCACCTTCGTGGTTGGCAAGGTCTTAAGTGGAGTTGGTTTGCCTAGCATGGCTCTGCTCCCCAGGACGTGTAAGGCATCGGTAAACATTTACATCTTCGAAGGATGGTCACAGGACAGAACAAGCAATAGATGTTGATTGCCTACTTATGAGTGATTTGCTGAGTTTGGTGTCGTCCCCTCCTCCTGGCAACCGTTCCGAGGGTCTTCCATGTTCTACGCATTCACCTTAATTACTAAACGTTTGGAGCTATTTATATCACCCACTGTTACACAATGCAGTCCATTGAGGATGAGCGCAACGTATTTCTTCCTCGTTTCCAGATAAATTCCGGGATATGAAGGAAAGATAGAATAGTTCACTATCCGCCCTCTCCCTCCCGCATATCTAAGTCCACATGATGGCCAGGTCAACAGGTGAAAACACACATCCAATACACGTACCGCAGTGCCATCTAGTGCAAGTAAAGTCGGTATCTTTGCGATGGCGAATTGCCGAGAATGTCGAGCAAACCTGCCGTCTTGAAAGGGACCCGTCGAAAAAATATGAAGGGAATGAATAATAAGCATACTTTCGGTGAGAGGGTTCCCAGCCAAGTTCAACGACTCGAGTCTGGGATACCATTGTGCCAGTCTATCTATATCTTGCCAATCATTGAGTCGATTTTCGGACAACGCAAGACTTCGGACACTTTGCAACGGTGAGCATTCTTGACCGAGTGGAGGAATTGTACAGATGCCATTGCGCGACAGAACCAGACGTCGCAATCTGACCTGTCATTAACAACTAGGGGAGGTCCATGTTGCAAGAACTCACGCAACAAACTCTGATAGAGAAGGGACTACGCTTGCCCAGTCATTGAGTTCGTTGATATCAAAATTCAGATCATGAATGGGAGGGGCAGGTTTTGGCGATTTTGGCGATAACGAAGTGAGGCGATTATAGCCTAGCTCCGCGACTCGTAAGGCCGACATAAAACACACCACCTCTCTGAACTCGGCCCACGTGATCAGTGTATCATTCAACTGAAGCTCCGCAACATGCTCGAAAGCCGTGGCAAGGAGCCCGCTACCAAGTGGTAGGAAGCGGTTTTGACTTTCCCCTCCTTGTGTCAGATGGTTATTCAACGGAGTAATGAGAACCTACTTGAGGATCAATCTCTCCAGGCACGGGAGTTCGACGGTGATAGCAGCTACAACATTCCAACTAGGCAAAAGATTTTTGGACAGATCAAGCCCCCGGACATCTACAGGCATTGGTCAGGATAGTGATTATGTGTGACTATGGTCAAGCACGTTACTTGGGCAAGAACGACGAATTTGACCAGGTGTGTCCATGAACGCCACCTTTTCGTTATCGAGACTCACCTCTCGAAGGCGATCTAGATCACGAAGTTTGCTTCGAACTTTGTCGAATCCAACTGCCTCGACTTCGATGGCACCATTCGAAGATCCAAGGATGATTTTTTCGCTGCCTGAGGCGTCGTGTGTTTCGTCGATGTATTTAGCGGAAAGGGCAGCTAGGAACGTGCAACCAAAGTTTAATGATTTCGACGGCCGTATGAAAGATCCAGCATTGGGCACACTTTGACGGGAATTGCTGAACGGGTCATTACCGATGAAAATGATACGATGATCTCTTACAGGCATGTAAAGTATCGGCGGCCATCCTTCACGCCGTCGTGTTTGCCGCGGTTGGGATCATCCCATTCGACACCATACCAGATGCCCGGGGTACCGTCAACAGGACCGACGTACTTGATGGTACCCAAATGTCCCGAAGCAGCGTGGAATCTTGTTCCTACCGGAACTGGACCTTGTAGTTCCATGACTATGGTGGACTACACACTCCAATTCCAGGACTAGATATGCAAGTAATAGTAGGTACTACCTTACCGAGTCCTTACATAATACAGACATTCTGCTACCTGAGCGCCGAGCACTCCACTCGGAACTTGCCAAGCTTGTCGGGTTGCCGCTTCCGCCATGCTAGCAATTGCAAGGATGTCCAACCACAGGGTCACAACGGCTATTACGAGGACTTGTGCAATTGTTTCACATATGTCTACAAGTGCAACATCTTCCCTTGACCAGGTTTGCCGCCCAGCTACGTTGCCTCAGATTCACCTGACTCCTTCCCAGCCAGTACTCTTCCAGTCCAATGGTTACACTCGAACATTCGTGCTAAACAGGGCCAAAAAGCTCAATACTCTAAATACCGCCACGGTGGATACACTCCGACACCAGGTCGATGTGAGGAACCACCAAACAAAATTGCAGTCCCTCATGAGCTGAATTGCTGTAGCTGTGGTCAAAGTCCGACCTTTGTCAAATCATTATCGGAACTGGCTCAGGCCGCGCCTTCTGTGCGGGGGGAGATGTTACGTGTATGTGATCATGCCATGGCAGTACCTATTAATTCACATCATGCCCAGCTGTTCTACGCGATGCTCTAGATGCAGGGACACGACCAAAAGCATTGGATTTTTTTAGGAAAGAGTGAGTGTGCTCGGTTTTTGTGCCATGCGCTCCTCATGCACTGCTAGGTTTGAACTGGTTTACGTCCTGTCACAACTACCTAAGCCATATGTGGCTGTCTTGGACGGCATTACCAGTCCGTTTCTGTTTTCGAACTCGATTCTACGTTATTGACATCCCCACGAGTGGGTGGAGGCGTAGGTCTTTCCATAAACGCACCTTTCAGGGTAGCGACAGAGAAGACTGTGTTTGCTATGCCAGAAACAAAAATAGGCTTTTTCCCGGATGTAGGAGCAAGCTACTTCCTGCCGAGGTTGGAGGGTGAAGTGGGCACATATCTTGCTTTGACGTCAGAAACTCTCGTTGGGAGAGAAGTCTTGTGCGTATTTCGGGCTTGAGTTCGTCCATCTACTTACGAGTTCTGCAGTGAGCACGGTCTTGCCACGCACTATATCACATCACGATCAGTTCCAAGCCTGCTTGCACACCTGGCCGCACTTGAGAACCCAAGTTTCTCGCAAATTAACCGCACTATCGAAGAGCTGCATATCGAACGTCAACCAAACGAGGCACATAGTAAACTGACCGGCAACGTTCGCGAGGCGTTGGATGCTGCGTTCTGTCACGATACCGTGGAAGAGATCATACAAAGCTTGGAGGCCTCCACCGAGGCTCCTGACACGCGCGTTCGGTTATGGGCCAAACAAACTTTGGAGACTTTGCACATGCGCAGTCCCACCAGCCTCAAAGTTACCCTCTCAGCTCAAAGACGGGGGAGGGAAATGTCCTTGTTGGAAGCATTGCAAATGGAAATTGGAATTGCCGCAGCATATTGTGTGAGTCACCGCTGACAATGTGCTCGACGTACAAACCTTCATTGCAACAACTCCACAGAGTGATGCAAGTCAGGATTTCTGCACTGGCATTACCGCAGCTTTGATCGACAAAATTCAAGGTCGGCCAGCGTGGTCCCCTGACAATGTCAGTGACGTCTCCTCCGAGACCGTACACCGGTTTTTCTCCGAGCAATCGCCCTATCGATCCTTGGCACACAAGTTATCGGTGGACAACCTCCCGGGTCGGAATTTTGACTTCATGACTTACAGTCTGCCATCCGAATCGGAGTTGTTAGACTCGATTCAACCAGCCTGCAAGAAAGGGCCCGTGACTATCCCTGACCTGCTGTACAGTCTGGATAGTATATGCAAACGTAAATTCGGCATCGCGGAGAAGATTCTAGACATAGTGCATCGTAAATGCCACGTTACTACCAGCAATGGAACGGCCACCGCCACTTGGAAGGGGGAATGATGCTGATACCATCGCGGTGGCTAAGGGATAAAATACCTGTGAACTTTAGTACTGTTGGCGCTGGTCGACTATGTACAGCGTAATTGATGCGTTTTGGTGCCGCGCGGCTAAAAATGTCCGTGTGTATAGAGACATTTGCTAGTCGTCTGTCCAAGGCTTACTTTCGCGATTGCGTCGAGCTATTTGCTGTACGAGGCGCTGGTGTCTGAACCTTGTTTTTTTTTACCATCCTCCCGTCCGTAGCGTGCTAGCTGAAGAAAAACTTATCGGCGGCGCAGCCCCTACGTCTGATTACGCAGCTAGGAGCACGGCCATGAACGCAGCCTGAACTCGATGGGTCATTAACATTTGCGGTTGCAACCTTGTTCTTGTTCTTGTTCTCAGATAGTCGCTGCTGACGTGTCGACACCGACTGCGAGGGTTCACAACTTGATGATACGATCTTGAGTGATCGAGCGCCCCGAGTCGCGCCTCATCCTCATCGACAGTGCCTCCGAAACTGCTGACGAGCTGATGCGAAGCCCATGCCGTCAGCGCCTCAGAGCCCACGCGTACAGTCGGCGTCGTAACTTACAGGATACCTGTTTGAGGTCCAAGTCAGCCAGTACTTGGGGAATGCCGCACCAATGCTGTGTCTAGTATCTACCCGAGATGACTCGACCACTCGAGTCCATGCTGAATGGGTTTTGGATTTTGGAGAACTCAGCCGACGCCGGGTGTTATAACTCTCGCACAGCTGCGGCGGTGACGAAGAGCCGCTTGGATTGAAGAGTGCGGCTGCTGATCACATGGGCGGCGGTCAAACTAAGTTACAGTTACTAGTACTAGCACTGCTTTGACATTTGCTGCGTGTGGCATGTCCATGCACAGCATACAGGGTGCTGAAACTGGGCGGGATAGCGTTCGCGTGGTGTTTCAGTGAGCAATGGGGGTGGATAGAAGCCATACCACCTTTCAAATCAAGTGGACCGCGCTGATCTATCACTTGGCTAGGCTAGGATTTACTATATACGATGATCACTACATCAAAGGCAGTCATCCTAGCGATGAACCGCGTAGACCAAGGTACGCCATTGACCAGGTACTTGGAAACGTGGTCGGTACCTGAGAGGTCGGCGATCCATTCATGACTCAACTCCAAAACCGCGGTCGAGTCAATTCGTAATCATGCACCGAGTATCTGCTAACGTGCGGTACGGCTGATCAATAATGAGTGATCGAAAATAACAATGCGCATCGGAAACAGGCAAGGTGGGTCCGAATCAGATCTTGCGGAGACGATGCAACGGAGGAAAACCCAGTGATGCCGCCCAAGTAATAGCAGGATGCAGTAGCTCCGGTAGTCCCAGCCACTGCAACTATGTGACTAGGTTGCCCTGTTGACAGCATGTATCATACACTGCACACAGGATATAAGAGCACCTCATCGTCAGTGGACAGACCATCCTCACTTCACTTGACTCACCATGTATCCTATAGACCTTCTACCATCGCCTATTCACCTAGTCAACGACGCCTTCTGGCTGCTGCGGTCCTTTCAAGCCACCCGAAGGGCATCGCCAGAAGTTCAGCCCAGCCCCAATGACTTCGACGTTAACATCCGAACGGATACAGGATTCTTGCCAGCGTCTCCATTACCAATGCTGCAAGGTCCCTATGATGTATGGGAAACCGCGCTTGCGAATGCACAAGGGGGTGCTCAAGCTCGGCGAAACTCTATTTGGCGCGCCAGAGGAGGTGCTTGCAGCCGGAGAGTCCTGGCGACAACGGATACGATCGGTAAGTAAAACCCCTACTCACCAACAATACATTGCTCATGACCTTGCCAGATGCCAATCCTTCCCACGAACATATTGATGGGGGACTCGATGCTTCTACGCAGAGCGCATCAGGTTCTAGCTTTCCTCGTCCACTTTTACGTACACTCCATCCCGTCCGATTCCGCGACCGGATCGATCGTCGTTCCACGTTCGCTTGTGGCACCCCTCATGGCTGTCTCAGAAGCCTTGGAGATAGCGCCGGTGCTCACATATTCCGACACTGTCCTCTGGAATTGGGAGCTCATTGACCCCGAACTCCCCGCAACGTTCGAGAACATGCGGTTCGGACGGATTCTTTTTGGTGGATCGGATGCAGAGCGCAACTTCTATCATGGTTCAGCTCGCACAGAACTGGTTGGGGTGGAAATTCTGCATATCATTCATGAGTATCACAACCTACCCAACGTTACCGATCTGTCGTCGGTCCGCAAGATAAACAGGCTGCTGGAGCGCCTGGCTGCTTGCATCGAGGACATCAGCTCTAGCATCCAAGCAATGCGGGAGGAAGTAGATCCACTGGCGTTCTACTGGGAAGCGCGTCCCTGGTGGAATGGTAGCGGAAGCGGGCCGGATGCACCTGTCTGGATTTACGAGGGGGTCGGAGATACGTCCAAACTAGATCTGAGCGGTCCGTCTGCGGGACAAAGTAGTGTCATGCACGCGATCGACCTCTTCCTGGATATCGATCACAAACTTCAACAACGGAGGTACCCTGCCCCATCAAGGGAGAACAAGAGGGCCGATCATGGATTCATGGCAAGGATGCGACGGTATATGCCGGGGAAGCATAGGAAGTATTTGGAATGGATAGCCAAGTCCCCGAGGCCACTCAGGAGTGTCGCTCAGGATACGCCTGTTATCCGAGAGCACTATAACGCAGCGGTCGCTGCGCTGAGGAAGCTGAGGGACCTTCACATACGAGTTGCATGCCTCTACGTCGTAACGATGTCGCATACCCGGCCACCTCCTAGTTGCCCGGTGGCAGCGGTTTTACGAAGGATGGAGAGAGAAGCAGCAAGACAAGGACCGGCAACAGGTACTGGTGGGAACGAGCTCTCGGTCCTGTTGAAGGCCGGTCGTGATGCAACTACGCGAGCGGTTCTGAGGGCGAACTAACGCCTGCGATGAAGAAAAGACAGCTATATAAATTATTATTGCGTCCTCTCAAGTATTTATGAAGCTCACCCGTGTAGCGATAGTGACCATATAGTTTACTTACAGATTTACAGTTATTACACAGTTGTAGCAGCCAAGTTCTCCACTTGATCCCCACAAAATGATAATAGAACGTACATACGTACAAACAAACCCCCTTTCGTGCCAGGTGGTCGCGTTGCAGTGTGTCACGACAATCCAAGCAATATGGTACAACTTACTTCGGGCATTTGCAGCAGACTCAGCGAGGCGACCCCGGCAGAGATCGATGAGATTGGCGGGGGATACACCGTCCAGCTGGTCTCAATCAAGAAAGTCGCCGCGACCTCGGCCGCAGCTCCTGCCATTGACCGTTACCGAATCATCATGTCGGACGGCGTTCACTTCATCCAGGCAATGCTCGCAACGCAGTTGAATGAGCTGGTTGCTAACGAAGAGATCGTCAAAAACACTGTCGTTATTATCGACAGGCTGACCTGCAACGTCCTTGGGGACAAGAGGTACGCCCGTTGATGCGTACTCGTGGCTCACGTTCTCACGCGTCTTCAGGCTTATCATTGTCCTCGACCTCCATGTCGTGTCCAGGGACGAAGAGAAAATTGGTAACCCAACTGCTGCACCATCTCTAGCTCAGCCGCAAGCCGCTTCTGAGGCGGGAACCGCTGTGTCCGCACCAGCCCACCAGGCTTCGCATTCTGCTGTAAATGAACCTAGGCCCGTTCAACCTGGTCCTGCAACAAGCAACAGACCAGGGAGATCCATATTTCCCATAGAGGGTCTTAGCCCCTATCAAAACAACTGGACCATCAAGGCCCGTGTCACACAGAAAACCGAAATCCGGACCTGGGTCAATCAACGTGGAGAAGGAAAACTATTCGGCGTCACTTTAATGGACGAGTCTGGTGAAATCCGTGCGACCGCTTTCAATGCAGTCGTGGACATGCTTTACAACAAGTTGGAAGAAGGAAAAGTATACTACATCTCCAAAGCCCGTGTCAATTTGGCGAAGAAGAAATTCTCTAACGTCCAAAACGAATACGAACTAAACCTCGAAAGGAACACAGAGGTGGAGGAGGTAAGTGGTTTGCAGTTACACCATACCATCAACCAAAAATTGCTTTCGTCCAGTGTCTGGAACCAAGCAGCGTACCCACGGTCAAGTATAACTTTATCCCCCTTGCCCAGCTAGAACAATTGCCGACGGATTCCATTTGTGGTAGGTATCCCATGTATTGGCGTAGAGGCGTGCCAACCATCGTGCACAGATGTCATTTGTGTAGTGAAGGAGGTAGGCAAATTGGAGGAGTTGACGTCCAAAACCAACCGAACGGTAGTCTCCTCATGACATTCGTAGCTATGTCTGACTTCTCGCTCAGTTCATAAAGCGCGATCTGATTGTCGTCGACAAGTCTCAATATGCTGTTAAGCTTACTCTGTGGGGAAAGCAGGCGGAAACTTTCGCAGCGGATGACCTTCCTGTCATCGCGTTCAAGGGTGTCAAGGTCGGAGACTTCGGAGGTAGGGTCGGTTTTACAGCCTTCTCTAAACGCTTTTCTCATAAAACCAAGGCAAGTCGTTGTCGATGCTAAGTTCCAGCGTCATGACCATCTCTCCGGACATCGAAGAGGCCCACCTCTTACGCGGATGGTATGATGGAATTGGAGCAGAGAAGACATTCCAATCATACTCTAATATGTCGTCTGGGGGCGGTTCCTCTATGGGCTTCAACCGTAAAGAAATACGGTCCCTGGTCGACATTAAAAAGTCCCAAATCGCTGACAAGGCGGAGTTCTTCTCAACTCGAGCTACGGTAATGCATGTGAAGAGCGAGAATATCGCGTATCCTGCCTGTCCAAGTTGCGGCAAGAAGGTAACTGAGGTGAATGAACGCTGGAGCTGCGAAAAGTGTGATAAAACCCACGAGCGACCTGAATACCGGTAAATGGTCGTCTTTTGTTGTTTCTAGGTGTTTTAACATGTTCCAGGTACATACTCTCGATGGCCGTGTCTGATTGGTCAGGACAAGCGTGGTTGCAGGGCTTTAACGACGCAGGATTGGCCGTTCTTGAAAAGACTGCAGATGAAATCATGGAAATGAAGGTGTGCATCTTTTCAGGTGGTGTATGCCTGCCTTCTCATATTCTGTAGGAACGGGACGAATCCGAATATAACGCATACATAGCACAAGTCACGGGAAAGACTTACAACTTCAGCTGTCGTGCCAAGCTAGATACTTATAATGTAAGTGGCTCGGCATTCCTGGCGAGGGTGAGGTGCTCAGCGATTTCAGGATCAAACCCGGGTGAGATATGGCATCGCGAAAGTCAGCCCACTGGACCACTACGAAGAAGCAAAATATCTTCGTGATCTCCTTCTGACGTCTCCTTGGGGCCAAGGTGCTTAAAATGTAGCGTGTTTGCTCTGATGTAAATTAGTAGTTGCGATTTTCTTGAATCATAAGACTGCTCATTGCATAATATCTTTATGGAAGCGACATTAAGGGGGATCTAAAGGATAATGATATACAGTCCTGAAGACTTGCCAGACAACAGTCAGACCCCCGACAAGCTTCTCCCAACTTCTCTGTGCAGTAGGAATAAGGTCAGGTGGTAAGGGCCAATTGAATGGGAGCACGTTGACCGGCAACAAAGAACTCCCTCTAGAATCTAACGAGGGATCAGAAGGCTCGGGAGCCCCCTTGACAAGTGTCGGTGTATTTCGTTCGACTGGTCGTGAGGAAGGTGGTATGACGGTACCATCATAAGATACAACATGAATCGGCGTTACTGCCTGCGCTGACGAAGTCGTAGGCGTGGGAGAAGGATGACCTGAAGACGGGCCCTGCGATGTAAAGATGGTAGTCGTGACGAAAACTGTCTCAGTGATAGGTGTTGGGAATTGCTGCCAAGCTGAGTTGGACTGCGTTGCGAGTAAGTCGAATGATTGTCGCATCAGCCTAAATTCCGAGCCTAGGTTGGACAGGAGCATAAAGAGAATGACGACGGGCAGAATGCCTAACGCTAGGACGAATTTTCTAAGATGGAAGCGGCCCGTACCAACTCGGGAAGCGCCAGAGTGTAGAACCAAGGTCACTTTGGGACAGAAGAATTCTTCCAGGGAGTAATGAAGCAACCGGTAGCCTTCAGGCGTCTGACGATGGTATGCGAAATTCGAATCCAGCGAGTCAATATCTGAAAGAGAGTTAGCATACATGGTTGCAATCTGGATCCTCGTTAGGTGCGTACAGGTAACGGAGTCTATTGTGACGTCCATCCTTCCGATTGGTAGTGTGAAAGTAGGTACCAAGATATTCACGCGTGACTTGTCTATGACTTGAGCTTTCCCTTTTGTCATATGTGTCGTGAACTTTTGGTCTGCGTGCGGCTTCACGACATAATCCACGAGAAGACGACCGCCTTGCTCGCCAACTTGACACCTAACCCAGGTAATCCAGTCACTCCGATGGTTTTCGGTGAGGGTGTTCCCGAAGTCGATAGTTGGAGTTGCTTCCTTCTTCCCCTGCAAGCGGTTCTCGAAACGTATCGGGACATCGTCAACGCTGACGCTGACAATCTCGACATCAATCTCAGGATGGTCAGCAGCGTCGGTGGATCGTGTACCGGAGGACGTGGTGGAACCCGCTTCCCGTGCGAGACCGAATTCCAGCCAGTCAGAATCTCCATCAGGTGGTGCGTGGACGCACAGGCGCACAGCATGTGCGTTGGGGAGTTTAGAATTTCCCAAACATAGTGGTGTTACCGTGATGTCGACAGCAGGTATCATCAAAGGTCCATTGCGTTGCCTTCTCATCAACATGGCTTGCGGGTGAACAGCAGACGACGAGCGAGCCACAAGTTCTTTAGGTCCAATGGATGTCCTAGGGCGAGGCGACAGCCGGGAGCTGTCTAGTGAAAGTTCTGTTCTATTACTCCTGGGGACCGATAGTTGCACTATCGGACGTAGCGCTATCCGTCCACCGTCGGAACCACACCTGGTAATGCTGTTGCGTTGCAACACAGTGCGCCGGGTCTGGGCATCTCGCAAATCTCCGGCGATGTTGTAGACCTCAACGGTAGCATTATCGGTTTCGTTGCGGATGATTGTTGAGGTTGACTCAGAATCCGCTGCCAGCACGGAAAAACGCGGCAGGACAATGGGAACAGTAGCCTCGTCCTCTGAACTCGAACTAAAGTTCGGTCTGTGTTCATTCACGCTGCGAGAGGGCGTTTTCGGTACAACCAGGATAGTCCCAGAGATAGTAAATGCAAAGACGTTCTTGGCTGGTGGGATGATCTCATTCATGTTGATGTGAATAGTGATAGGAACGGCGGGCGGACGAGGAGGTTGTGCATTGGATGAGGCGCGGCTGCGTCCCTCGGACGTCAGCGGAACAGAACTGATGGAAGACAAGGTCACGGAAGGTGTCAAGGACGTAGGTGACCCTTCGAATGAATAATCCGGCAGCTGGTCCGCTGGCAAGGGAGCACGAAGCAAAGAGGACATAGAGGAAGAAGAACTGGATCTGACAGCCATTGATGGGGCGTGCAACATTCCGGATGAAGATGGAAAATCGAGCGAGGGCTGCCTTGATACCGGTGTAGAGGGGGGACCGACGTCGAAACCTGTATATCCAACACCTCCTGAAACTGACCACTTCGCTTCTTCACCAGGGGCCCAAACGACATCCGAACCTGGAGCATTGAGACCAACATCCATTCCCAACATTGTGGCGACCCCGGGGAACCACACGCCCTTACATGTCCCCTTGTACTCGACCTTCATTAAAATGCCTTCCCTTTCACTCTGGGGATCTTGGGCTTTTCCCAAAACGAAAACGGACGTCTCGCCCTTGGCTTCCTTGACTCCTACACGCCTCCTGCTATCCCCGTTGACCGTGAGTGTCTTAGTGGGTGGTGCCCATCGGACTCGAAGACGGTCGGTAGAAGGAAATGTGCCCCGGACAATAATACCTCCAGAGGCACCTTCTGCATACGAGGAATCGGATGATTCGTCATCTGCAATATTACCGTAAGAGCCACTGCGGGATGCGCGCGTTGTCGTTCGAGTGACATGAGGCTCAGAGGTCAACTCCCAAGAGCCGGGGTCTTCCTCTGCCGAGGATAGTGACGCCATGGAGGCAGACATATTTGTAGTGCTCGCAGGGAATATTCGCAACTTAACGTTATTGGAGAGACAGCGAGGCAGAGGCAATGAAATCTGTTCAACACGATGAGACGCTTGTTTATCTTCAAGTGGATATATAGTACGTACCAGAAACGGTGCTTGAGGGGGGCGTGATGTGAATGGGACGAAAAGGTCGATGGCAGCCATGAAATGCATGTTACTTCTTTCACTGACGGAACCTCGCCGCATCTTTACAGCCGAGAATGTGGAGACGCGTAGTGCACTGTCGTCACCGACGAAGCGAGGAGGGAAATCTTTTGGAAGGATATATGAGATATTGTATCCGCTAACTATGATGTGTCCAGTGTATCTGTCGTCTAGGGGGGGGCTTGAGGTACTGGTAGAGGTTGAGGATGACGAGCGGCTGGAATGCACGGAGGTGGTCGAGACAGACACGCCGAACAAAGAGAGATAGGATTTTGAGGACCGGGCGGGCAGGTTGAGGGCTCGCGCGGCGTTGTTCAGCATTGGAAATGCTGAGCTGGAGAAGTTGTACGGAGTGGAATTAGCGTCAAGAGGATGAACTTGAGCGGACAACAGCTTGAGGTTTTCCTCTACGGCGATGGCTCAGAAAGATTGTACAAGAAGGAAGAAGATACGCACCAGCGAAGAGCGGTATAGTTGAGCCGGAAGAGACGCTAGTCCATAGGGATGGACAACTGTTGCTCGTTTGATCAAGACAAGGAAAAAAGGAGACACAGTGGGATATTTACCTTGAGATACATCCTGATGGACGCTCCATCCTCACCGTGTCTTGCCTTGCCTTCGATCGCAAGACGCGTGACGACATTGAGTTTAGGCTGATGGGTTGTGGTGACTTGGGAGGAGCCGGTGGTCGAGAGCGGAGGACTCGAAGCACGCGTGTGACGCGATGAATGCATCGTGCAAGAGGGATTTCCAGGTTTCAGACCTTCCAACTCGTCAGCTCTGTCGACACAGTGCGCGTGGCTTCAAGGACGAGCTCAACAAAAAGCGGGTCAGTCTGGCCGCTTAGGGCGCTCAGTCGCGTCACGTTGGATCAGCGTCAACGCGCGACTGAACCGTAAATGGGGCACTTGCACTCCCAGTTTAAACAGGCACAGGGTAACCATGGCATAAGGGAAATTACATTTCCAGAATGCATGCTTGTTCGGTATCGACTACTACCCGGTCTTGAATGGTGCATGGAGTGCTCATCAAGGGTGGCATCATCGTGTGCACGGCGTCAGTGGAGATAGACCTAATCGATGGTACTACCGCCGCAGTCATCATCGTTGCGGTCACACTTGGGAAGTTGGGGGCAGCAAGCTCACAGAGTCCAAGATGTCCGAGGACGATGCCAGCGGCATGTATATATAAAATTAGTATGTACGTGGCGAAGAGAAGAAGAGCACAAGCGGGGTCTTCACTCGGGCGTAGTACAAGCTAGTTATCGCACTGTGGATTGAACCGACTGCCAAGGTACTCGCAGAAGTCGTGAAAATGAGCCAATATTGCTTGCTCTTTACGTCCATCCATTTAAATGAGGGGGCTGCCCGTGCTAATACGTTTTACAACCCCGTGTCTGTACTTCCCTCGCGGTCCCAGACTAATACCGCCCAGACGTTGCCTTCAACCACCCTCTCATCGCCACGCTCTTGCAATGACAGCTTCCGACTGGAAAGTAGTCCCTCAGAACCATCTCATTCCTCTATACAGTCTCTTCAGTAGACCTCTCGAAAGGTCTCAGGTTGACGACCGTCAGTACAGCGTCATCAGGCTCGAGAATGGTCTCACCGCCATGCTCGTCCATGACCCATGCACCGAAAACGCAGCCGCCAGCCTCAATGTGGGCATCGGACATCTCTCTGATCCGGTTGGATATCTTATTCCTCACATAGCAGAGAACGAAACTGATTCACCCCACTTCAGGATGACATGCCAGGTCTGGCCCACTTTTGCGAGCATCTGTTGTTCATGGCACGTACTCTGACATGGATCCCATCCATCAGTTAACACCCATCTCTCAGGGCACCAAGCAATTCCCCAAAGAGAACGAATACTCGGAGGTGACACTGCTACGCCCATGTTTCTGGGAACCGTTGTTCACATTTCACCTAGTATCTGTCCAAGAACAATGGGGGTTCAAATGCCTATACCTCGTCATCCAACACCAACTATCATTTTCGTGTTTCTCCTTCAGCTCTTCCAGGGGCACTCGAAAGGTTCTCTGGTTTCTTCCATAGTCCCCTCTTTGCACCGTCCTGCACTGCGCGTGAACTCAATGCGGTAGACTCGGAGCACAAAAAGAATCACCAGGCGGATCCGTGGAGAATCTTTCAGCTCAACAAGACCCTCTCCAAAGTAGGTCACCCTTGGAGTAAATTCGGTACGGGAAACCGTGCCACCTTGACTGCAGCTGGTAGAGAAGCCAAGGCGAAAGGCAAGCTCTCTACCAACACCCTCGTCAACGGAAGCGAGGCTGTAAAGTCCGACAGCATCAGCAAGGAGCCCTCCCCAAGAGCTTCGAGAACACCATCTCCGACCCCTTCCGGCTCGTCCGCTAACAGTGAATCCGACGCAGATGGTGGCTCTATAGGCCGTGAAACTCGTCGGCGTTTGATCGAGTGGTGGAGCAAAGAGTATTGCGCGAGCCGGATGGAGCTCTGCGTGATAGGCAGGGGTATGTCTTCTCCCGCGACCAACGTCTTTCACTGCAGCTTTGTCCCTAGAACCCCTCGAAGAGTTGGCAGCTATGGTTTCCAAGCTTTTCTCTCCGATCCCCAACCGTGGTCAGGGTCCGTCTCCAATAATCGATGATCATCCATTTGGGCCCAACGAGACAGGCGTGCGTAATTCTTATATTTATTCAGAGTTAGTTTCCAACTGGAGGAATTTTAGACCCTCGTCTCTGTGCAGACCATCATGTCCTTCCACGCCGTCGAAATATCATTTCCTCTTGCGTGGCAACCACCACTGTGGAAATACAAACCGGGAAACTTTTTGTCTCATTTCCTGGGACACGAAGGTCATGGTTCTCTATTCGCGTACCTCAAAGACAAGGGATGGATCACTTCCCTCACTGCCGCAACTCAAGCACTGGGTCGCGGTTTCGCAATGTTTAAAACGACGATGTACCTGACAAAGAATGGTTTCGGTAAGGATGTCAAGCGCGCTGGGATTCACGTGTATCTAACAAACATAGACAACTACCGCTCTGTCGTGCTTGCCACATTCAAGTACCTCAACTTATTGCAGACTTCTGAGTTTCCACACTGGTTTCAATCCGAGATTGCTACGCTTGCGAAGACTCAGTTTCAGTTTGCTGAGAAACGTTCAGCGGAAGGGTATGCTGTTTCAATTGCAGAACGGATGTCATGGCCGGTGCCAACCGAGAAGCTTCTATCCGCCCCTGCACTTATCTCCGAGTGGGAAGGTGACCAAGGAGAACGACAGGTTAGGGAAGCTTTGGGAAATCTCCGAGTAGATTCAGGGCGCGTGGTTTTAATGGCAAAGAAGGAGGAACACGAACGTATCTTCGGTGGAGAGAAAGCCTGGCAAAGTGAGAAGTGGTATGGAACTGGGTACACCGTTGAACGGTGGGATGACCAGTTTTTAAATGAAGTGAGCAGAAGCATCACAAGGCCTTAGCTAGACGGCTGAATTTTTCAGGCTCGAAGTCCCAATGATATTCCTGATCTTCGACTCCCTGGACGCAATGAATTTATCCCGACCAATCTTGATGTAGAAAAGCGTGACGTTCCTGAGGTTCGTCAACTTGGACATTGTGGCAGTAGCGTGGTACTGATGATCGTTTCTCAAGCCTCAACACAGGCCCCATCTAATCCGCCAGTCCGACATCTCCAAGGTGTGGTACAAGAAGGACGACCAGTTTTGGCTGCCGAGGGCGGCTGTGATCATCGATATCCGCAGGTATTTAATCACTGTGACGGTTCGTTGATGACTTCTGACCATCAGTTCTACTCAGTCCGGTGGCCAATGATAGTCCTCGCACTACTGTCCTTACTAAACTTTGCGTGGACCTTGTCAATGACTCCCTTGCCGAGTACACTTACGATGCTGAATTGGCTGGACTGGGATACCACGTAACTTCCCAAAGTCTCGGCATGACGATATCTCTCAAAGGGTACAACGACAAGCTTCCCGAACTCGCCAAATACGTTGTCAGAGCGCTGAAGAATTTAGTGCCAACACAGGACAGGCTGAATGTGATGAAAGAAAAAGTCGGTACAGATCTTTGGACTGCCACTGATGCTGTTGACGGTATTTTCTGCGGTAGCTCAAACGCGAATGGGACAACTTCTCTATGAATCAAAGTTACCAACTATCGGACTACTATGGGCGGTACATGCTCGCGCATCATACCTGGACTATCGAAGAATTGCTCGAAGAACTCCCTGGTACGTACGCCATACCTAGCCGTCGGTGCCGTCGTTCGTCAACCCCCGATTCCTCTAGGAGTGCAGTTAGAAGAGGTGACAGCCCACATTAGACATGTGCTTAGCAAGTTAAACATGCAGATGCTAGTTCTTGGGAACATGTATAGAGACGTGAGCTGTCCTTCGAACCTGCGAATCCTTCTTTCTGATCCTCATAAATTACAGCAAGCTGTCGCTTTGTCGGAATGTGTCGAGGACATCCTCGATTCGAGCCCATTGGCCGAAGAACAAGTACCCTCTGACCGGGCCCTTATTCTTCCCGATGGTAAAGCGGTTCTAAGTCTCCAATATAATGAACTTGTTGACAGAGAAACAGGATCCAACTATACGTGGATTGCTCCAGTACCCAATTCCAACGAAGCGAATTCCGCGCTGACGTATTACGTCCATCTTGGCCAACTCAACGACCCGAGGCAGCGGGTCGTGGGAGCGTTATTGGCAAAGATTATGTCCGAGCCAGCATTTAATATCCTTAGAACCAAAGAGCAGCTGGGATATATTGTTTCGTGTTCACGGTGGACGTTGCTTGGTGATTCCCAGTTTGGAATACGCATCGTCGTGCAGAGCGAGCGTGGGACGGGATACCTTGAGGAACGCGTAGAGGCCTTCCTTGATACCATGGATACCAGGCTCGAGGAAATGGAGAACCAGGAGTTCGGTGACTTCAAGAAAGGTATGCAGCGAAGGTGGAGAGAACCTGCCAAGAACCTTGGTGAGGAGGCTTCCACGTATTGGCGACACATCGACTCTGGCTTCTTGGATTTCCTTCGACGTAAGTGACTCAGGACTTTTGCTCATCGTGTCTAATATACGATGAACGCGTCTTGCATAGGCTTCGAGAACGCCGACCTAATTGAGAAGGTGGAGAAGCACGAGGTCGTAGCATTGTTTCGAGAGCGTGTGCACTCCAAGTCACCAAAGCGCGCTAAGCTATCTGTTCACATGCAATCTCAGAAACCGCGGCCCCCACGGATCAGCGCGACAGCTGTGGAGGCATTTGAAGCCCTGGTTCGGGAGGCAGATATACCTGTTGACCTGGCGACTACCAAGGGCGAATTCGACCAAGCAAGTCCGGTTGTCGCAGATTTCATGAAGCATTGGAATGATGTACTCACGGAGGATGTTGTCTCCGCTGACGTCGCTAGAGATTTGTTAGGGAGACTTCCCGCCCTGATGGAGCAGTACCCCGTCCGGAATGAGAATGTCTACACCGGTTCAGCGGACGTGACTCATATAGAGGACATTGGAGCGTTCAAGGCGACTCTCGACGTATCGCCTCCCCCTCGACCACTCGTAGACTGGAGTGATCTTCCGAACGCAAAGTTGTAGAAATTCGGTGTGATATTGTATTGTGTACGAAATATGCCGCTGTAACACACAACCTTAGTCTCGCATTAATGAAAGGGATTTGTAGCATTAACGGCTCTTGCTGATAGCGAGCGGTAAAGTGATAAGCAACCAGAGGGTTTGTTCCACTTAGCCGTAACGTGGCGACTTTTACAGGACATTTTGAAGGCGATTCGGAGGGGTGCGCTGCCGTATGTTGGGCCATCGGCTATCGTCCAGGAAGAGTTGTAAGTAGTACTTAATATAGAGCGATGCCAGGCAAATATCGCGGTCCGTAGGATGATCGTTCACACCATCCGTGCATCCATGAATTACCCGAGGCCGTACCTGGACCCGTGGCACAATCTTGAAGTGCCACGACACTCCAAAGCCAGCTAGATTTTGCCTACCAGAAACAACACGGTAAGTTACAGAGTTCGGTATCGTAGGTTTTATCCGTTCTGATTGGAATGATGTGCTTTGGGATTATCGGATTATCAACATTACAGTAAAATCGCTCAGGTGCTGCTGGAGCCATCAAGTTTATATTGAAGACGGCGAAGGAGGCCACATCCTGGTCCGCGGACGCCTATATTATCAGCATTTCTAATCCCACAAGGTGCTTCTATCTTGAGTACGTAGAAGAGAAAAGGTCGATCGATCACGAGTAAATTTCAGAGCAGTTTGTGCTAGAGCCAAGATGGGCGTGCGCCCGTTTGAGGGATCATTATAACCTCTGCGACAAGCGAGCGCCACCCTCGTGTTCGAGGTGACTACCTCATTGAAACGACTAAGATGGAACACAGGCGAGAGTACTGGTGACAACTTACTTGCCTCAATTCATCGGTTTAACTCTAGTCGCAGACATCTTACACTAATGGAAATTCCACTTCGAACTTCAGCTAGTGCTTGGTTCGTCAGTTAGCATGACGATATTACGGTGCGTATCTATCACAGAGGCTGCAGATGGACTCCGGATGGTTGAATTTGGTAGGCCAGAATGGCCACCTTGCTGGAAGCGTTCTCTTCGAGGGGAATGTGGTTACAGGGTTACATTCGGAACAACCGCCTTCCTTCAACTTACAGTCAGGTACTAGGGGAGATCAGTGGACAGGTGACTTCCCAAGGTGATGTCAGGGGGGCTCGCCAAATATCCGCAAAGGCGCCGGAAACCCCTCGAATTGGCAAACATATTAAGATAACGTCAAGTACTCGAATTATTCCTATCTCAGAGCAGAGCAATGGTAAACGAGAAAAAACATGACAAGAATGACAGCAACAAGTGGAGCTATGAAGAGCTACAAATAAATGAGCGAATGTACACACGGTTACTTCTTCCTGGAGTTAGATGCCTTAGCGGCTTGCTGAGGTTGTGCTGGGGGTACATAGTTCCTAGGTCGACGGAATAGCAATACGTGAGGTTCGGGAGCTGGAGAGGATTCAACGACATGTGAGGTTAGCACAAAGAAGTCATACATACCGTGAACTTCATAATGCTGCCATCCGAGGCTCTGGGTGATCCCGATCCCTCTCCATTCAGCTTCTGTCAGCAAACGAAGAGTGCCCTCCTTCTCATCAAAAAATTCCTTTGGTATAAACTTGAGAAGAGGTTTGGGTAAAATGACATGACGGTATTCGTAGTGATCATCCGTGTAGCGATCGGAATAGTGGATTCTGTGATGGCAACGTCATTAGCACTCGACCGATTGGCGTGGCATGACTCGAAAATACCGACTTTTCGATGTATTCTTCGATCTTGTTGGCAAGCTGTGGATCTGCCATAATCCGCGTGAAATAGAGCTTAGAGTGATAGTACAGAAGGAAGAGAGCTTGGCTAAGATATTCCACAACCGCGTCCCACACGCGAACTACTGCTGAAGCGCTGAGCACTGAGGCCTACTGAGGCTCACTGTGTACTTCAGACCCACGTGACCTCTATCTGTCACGTGACCAGTCACGCGTACTCAAAGATTCGTGTCAGTACTTGTGGCCGCTCCTTTGCTTGCGAATATCCATCTTTACAAGACCGGACTGGCCATTTCTAACAGCTGTTTTCGTAATGCGCCACGCTAAAAACGGATTCCAGTATTACGACTCGGACGACACCACTGCAGACCATGTATCTGTCTATTACTCCCCCCTGCAGCACCCCCAGTACAATATTGCCAGCGTAGGGGGCCACTATAATTATAACGGAAGCTCGCCTGGCACTTTGGGTAACTATATGCGCCGTGAACATACGTTATATTTGCTGATATGCCCTTAGACTCATCCCCATCACCATCAGCTCGTCAGGGGTTGGTCCGAGGCCAACCGTCCGAACACACCAGCATACCCCTGACGAGCAGCAGCCGTTTTACGCCTGGATACTCTGGCTCCGAATACTATACACCCAATGATGCCAGGCAGATGTCTTCCGGAGGATATACAAACAGCAACCAATCAATACCACACCATGGTAGGCTTGGAGTTCGTAGCCGCCCCCTAATATCGAAGAACATTGTTTTGCTAGGCTTCCAAGGTTGTTTGTTGCAAGAATCAAAGCCAGGGACGGAACAGTTGACACGAACCGAACCGTCAGTTGCGATCTGTTCACCGGATCTCCCAACCCAATCAAGGCATCGTCCGGTCAACGATTATGTACCGAGCGGGGAGAATCCTCGCAATAGCTTTGGGATAAGATTGCGACCTGTTTCTGATCTGCGTAGGTCTCACTCTCTGTACCCGTCAACACAGCAATGATTCCCCAGACAGCCGACCGTTATCGTGGTGTCTTCAAATTCGGTGTGTTCAATGCGATGCAGTCCACATGCTTCGATAAGGTAGGGGTCGATCTTGCACCGAGTTTCTGATGCGAATTATTTGGACAGGTTTTATATTCGGATGAAAACTTGGTACGTCAAGTGTGGTGGTTTGCCATGATTAATGACAGTTCTTTCAGGTAGTTAGTGGTAGGTCTGGAAACCATATCCCTTCCAGCTTAATCAAATTTTTGGTTAGCTCCAACCGGAAGCGGGAAGACTGTACTCTTTGAACTGGGCATCATACGTATGCTTGGCCAAGTCACGAACAACAATTCAATCAAATGCGTGTACGTTGCTCCGACAAAGGTCAGCTTTCCAGGAAATGGTGGTGCTTTGTCCCTTACGTATTGCGGTAGGCCCTTTGTGCGGAAAAACACAAGGAATGGGCTGCCAAGTTCGGAGGGTTGGGGGTGAAAAGTAAGACGCTAGCAAATTCTCAGGAGGGCATCCGCGGTTGACCTCGCTTAAACATCAGGCTGTGAGCTAACGGGGGACACCCTTGGTTTTGGTAAAGGGATTTGGGGCGAAGCACGGAATGCACAGATTATGTACGTCTTCCTGCACGTCATGCATTTGTTACTTGAGCCTTGATCTGTTTAATCAAGAGTAACTACGGTAAGACCCAGAACACTGCAATAATTCCGCCTTTATGCACACCATTCCCATAGGCCGAGAAGTGGGACAGCTTAACACGAAACTGGTCCAGTTTTCCAGACCTTTTAGTATGCGATGCTAATATTTACCGGTCATCGACAGGGCTGATCATTTCAAGGTCCTATCGCAAATTAAACTTTTCCTCGTGGATGAGGTATTCACGTCATCCCCCAGAATAGATGATTCTCAGCATTGATACAGGTGCACATTCTGAACGAGTCAAGAGGAAGCACTTTGGAAGTCGTAGTCTCTCGCATGAAAGCGCGCGTACCAGCTGTTAGATTCCTCCTTGTCTCAGCGACGGTGCCCAACGTAGAGGATATTGCGAATTGGATTGGTAGTAGTGACGGCGCTGATCACCCAGCTACAATATTTCAGGTCAGATCAATCGATCACAAGTATGCGTTATCTAATCATGGGAAGTTCGGCGAGGAATTTCGACCTTGCAAGCTGAGCAAAGTTGTTTACGGAATCCCTAAACCGAAAGGGCAGAACGATTTCGTCTATGCTCACACCTTAGATCGCCGCCTCTTCTCTCTTCTGCAACAACATTCGCAAAATAAGCCGATTTTGGTGTTTTGCCCAACAAGAAAAGGTACTTCTGTGATAGTAAGAATAACAGAAAGGCTGATGGTGTGGCTCTTCGTACGTTATTCTATTTTTTGTAGGTACCGTGGCTGCGGCAAAACAATTGGCGATGGACTACGGAGCAGCGCTGAAAGCACGAAAACCTCTTCCATGGTTCCCTCCAACGCGGTATTTCACAATATAGTTCCAGGTTGTCACGTGTTCACTGCTAGACGAATATTAGGATCGATCTCGTCTTCCACGATAAAGATCTTGCTTGTAGGTTAACTGTATCTTACTTGTGTGTAGTGTGTCTGATGCAGTTAATTAGCCCTTACTGCGATGGGCATAGCTGTTCACCACGCAGGCTTGAGTTTGGATGACAGGAGGGCCGTGGAAGACTTGTACACCGCAAAAAAATTGCGGGTATTGGTTGCCACTTCCGTAGGAGAAACATAATTTGCTTTGCTCGATGCTGATTCACTACAGACTTTGGCTGTTGGGGTCAATTTGCGTGGGTCGTCGGTGTTTTTATTGCTAGTTCGTTCATACACTGTCTACAGCGGCCCATATGGTGGTCATAAAGGGAGTCAAGCTCTTTCAGAACGGAGAAACGCGAGAATATTCGGATTTGGAGATTTTGCAAATGATGGGTCGTGCTGTGAGTCTCTAAGGTTGCTGAGTTGGGCGAAATCTCACGCTGGTGTAACAGGGTCGGCCACAGTTTGGTGAGAATGTTCACCTTGCATCGAGCACTTTGCTTATGCTCTCCCATCGGAGACGACGAGGGAATTGCAATGATTCTGTGTGAAGCAGAAGTGGAAAGTAAATATCGTGCTCTTGCGCACGGCACGACGACCATCGAAAGCAGCCTGCATAGAAATCTCGTAGAACACCTCAACTCTGAGATCTGTTTAAGAACTATAACGGACCTTAAAAGCGCCAGGGACTGGTTGCGTCGTTCGTTCTTATTCCAACGCATCCAGAAAAATCCGCAACACTACGACATTGGTAAGGAGGAGAACGAGTCGTGGCAAGACAAAGTAGATGCGATCGTGATGGAAAGCATCTATAGCTTACGCGATTCACAACTAATCATGTACACGATGGAAGACGGAGCTCTATGTTCCACAGAATATGGAGACATCATGAGCAAGGTAGGATTTCTTTGTGAGTTTCCGTACCTCATGTGCTGAGTAGCACCCTAGTTCTACATTTGTCAGACCACGGTAAGCGGCATACCTGTGCGATGATTTGACATGAACGCTTTAATGAAGATGTACTCGATACTGCAACTCCCTGGCACGGCTACCATCCGTCAGATTGTAAGTTCGAGAGTGTGACGGCTAAGTCCCGATTGTCTGACGAACCATAGCTCGAAATGATGTCTTGTTCTAAAGAGTATATGATTTCTCCTAACCACTATTCGTCCAAAATGACCGTGCCCGTAGGTTAGCTGACTTGAAGCTGCGTGGCGGCGAAAGACAGGTACGTCATTACGCTGTAAGTCTTTGACAACGCAAATCTCTCCCAAGATGTACGAAAAGATCCGTTGCCATAACGACATACGGTTTCCTATCCGAAAGGTCACTGGGGCCAGCGACAAAGTGTTTTTGCTGGTGCAGGTAACCGTTCATATCATATTTCTAAGATGTATCAGCCCAACATCTCCAGGCCATCCTCGCAGGCCTACCACTTAACAGCCCGGAATTCAGAAATACGGAGGGCCAACCGTACCTAGAAGCAATTTCAATTTTCCGGCATTTTTCTCGCATCGCGACAGGTGAGTTGTACCTGGTCGAATGCGCAGCCACTTGAGGAACCACATCAGCCATCGCAGAGGTTGCCATTGTTAAGCGTTGCGGCGCGCAAGTCAAGCACGCATTAGAACTGTACGAACCGCTGACTTCAAGTTTCGTTGTTCCTCACTCGTCAACGCAGCGCACGATGCCTCCATGCGAAAGCTTGGGAAGATCACCCTCTTGTCCTCAGGCAAATCGAGCACATCGGTGAAAAATCGTAGGTGTTTACGCTGATGGCTGCTCCTTACCTTTTCATCTTGTGCTTTCAGAGCCAAGGTAGGGGCGACATTTGAAGCAGAGAAACTGCTTCGCTGAATCTAACGCAACGAGGTCCTTGCAGAACACGGCATCGGCTCGATCCAGAAACTCGTGGAGATTCCTGCCTTCCGTATCGAGGAGGTGGGGTAGTCAACAACAACTCCTTTCTACAGCTGACTTCAATAGCTCCTAAATCGCCGGCCACCGTTCGGCTCCGAGGTCCTAGCGGCGGCAAAAGAGTTTCCCAAGTACTTCCTGAGCGTTAAGGAAACTAAGACCGTCCCCAGCGATGGGGAAAATCCTGTAGAGGTAGAATTGACAATCGAATGCGGTCTGGTTCCAGACTCCATGATGCCGCGCAAGGCCAAGGTGCCCAAGAGGGCTGGAGCGGAAATGACAACGCTTCTCACTCTCACATCCGATTTGACATTCGTTGATTTTCGTCGGATTGGGCGAGTATCACACGCGTACTTCGGGTCAACTTCAGTTTCACTTATACGGCGTAGAACAAAGGCTCTTATGGAGAAGAAGGAATTCACTCTTACTGCATATCTGACCAAGCCGAGTCAGGCTATTAACATTTACATTTCATCGGTATATTTGAAACCTTTTTTTTGGTGGGAGGACGTAATTCACCGATTTACAGGAGAAATCTGCTGGGGTAACGATGACAGCAACGTATAAACCTCTCATTGAACACTCGAAGTATCCGGTGGTGGATACGCGACCACTGACATCTGTTGTATGTCCAACTTCTCAATCGCGGTTCGAAGGCTTCCTGATTTTGCCAGGAATTGGATTTGCAGGGGCTGGAGAATATCCCAGACCTGTGGGAAATGAACATCAGTGACGACGAAGACGTGCATGCTGCACCGGCAGCGGACACCAGTGAGTGGGCGTTCCTCAGGGGTGATTGGGTTCTGGAATCGGGATTTAGGTAGTGCGAGTGCCGCGCGAGCGGCTCCTGTTACACAAATGCAACATTCGTCAAGCGCATGTGAGCAACTGAAAGATAAAGGGCATAGGATGCGGCCGGATGGGAAATACGAGTGAGTTTGTTGTGTCGCGTGGGAGGCTATGTTTAGCCTTCCACCAGATGCAACCATACTTGCAAGGATAAGATGAAATGTCGACATTACTGGTGCGTTTCACTGATCAGCCTTCCATATATTGACGTCGTTGGCCAGCTGTAAAGAGGGACTTGCGGATCCCCCTCGTCCACATAGAAAGGATGCCCAGGCAGAGCTTCCCGTCAGAAATCAGGAGAATACAAAGAGAAGTACTTAATTCGCTTTGCGCAACTTGTTTTCAGCCAGCGATTGATCCATTTCCTCGGGTAGACCATCGTAAAATGGCAAAGAGTTGCCTTTCAGGACAAAAGCACGCAGAGTCGAGCTGCCAACGTAACGAAACATCCGCCCGCCCGCAGTGCCGTATTCCGGAAAAAGGTGTCACGGAAGGAAAACGAAGATTCTTCCCAAATTTTGACCTCGAACTCGCGTCTCTGCGGGCGAATTCGCCTATTTGCGACCCGAAAGCCTTGGAGGGCGATGATGACGGATTACAGACGATTTCCGAGATACTGAACTGCGATAGGATCTCGAAAGCAAGAGACAAATGACCCCGGCACCGACAACGCCATCACACAGCAGGCGCATGCCGATTTCTATCCGCCATACAAGTCTGGGCGAATAGCAGGAATAGCTAAAGTTGGGAAGAATAAACGCCCAAGGGAGAACACCGTTAAGCGAGAATGACGCACCTCCGTTGAAACACCGCAGGACGGTAGACTATCCGCCAAAAGAAAAGGTGACATGGGCGCACTTCTGTCGTCGAGGCTAATACTTGCCATACCTTTAGTCGACCTTTACACCCCTCATCAACAAGTCCCCCGAGTCTCGCGTCACGCCACTCTTCACTAGTTCGCCCAGCACCAGAAATCCGGAGCCCAGCCAAATCTCCGGAAGTAATTGTGACCGACCATCCACACCTGAACAAACTATTGAATACGAAGAATTCTACTTCGACAATACTCGCTTTGATGCCTTCCCTGCTTCTGCCTCGGAAACTACCCGAGCTACGGATGACTCGGAAGCAACCCCAAGACATCTGACTCCGCAAAGAGGGCGGAGCGGCTCAAAGAAAGAGAAAGAGAAAGAGACGAACTCAAGTGCAAGCATCGAGGCGAATACCGTGTGTCCAACAAGGGAGCCAATGAAGTCGCCTATATTTGAACAGCTCTCAGTATCACGAATCTCGGGGTTCATTGCTCGGACGATTTCCGACGGGGTCAGATCGAGGGACCCATCACAAGAATGGTCTGACAATCGCAGTCACCAGGCAAACACGCCTGTTCCCATACCGTCTCTGGCAGGAGTCCAAGTTTCCCCGAATGCTAATACAAACACGACAGACGATCCCCTTGGGGAATTCAACTGCTGGTTAGCAAGCGGAGCAGTAGATATTGTCGAGTGAATAGCATAATTCTGGGAAAATATAGCAAGAGGTTGTTGCCATGAGTTTTTGTAGTGTAAGTGGTTGGCGAGCACCTTCTAGACTCCGCCTGCCTCAGTAGATCCATCGTCTTCCTCTGGAGTTTTGAACACCTTTAAAACGCCTCGAAACATCTCAGCCCAACGAACACCGGTTCCCGGTCTGACAATGTTCCATCCTTCCTCCTGTGCCCTCCATTTCGACTCCTTGGCCAACCTTTCCGCTCTTAGTTCCACCTCGCTCGCAGGTGGGTTCTTCTCCTCTTCCTTGGTCATCTCGCGTTCGCCCCGCGCAAGTTGTCGAGCGGTCGCCAAACGAGACGGTAGTGTGGAATAATAAGATTTGCGCGCATCAGAAATGGAGGAGAGAGGGGAGTGTGGTTCAATAAGCTTTTCTGACCATAACATGAAGTCGAGGTCGCCCCCTTGCACAGAATCCTGCACTCCCGATGCCGTACTACTCTCGGTACTTTTACGTGTCTCTTGCAATAGAGTGTCATCTGAGTGCAATGAATCTGGACCTCTGAAATCCCGGGTTTGGCCTATCACCAGGGCGTACGCAGACTCGGCGCCGGCACGGACTCTGTCCCTTTCATTAAAGAAAGACCAAATCATATGAGGGATGTAACGGAACCCAATGTGATTAGTGAATGGAACAAGAAGCAGTGGTGGCTGGGGTGGAAGAGTAGATGGTGGGCTGTCCACCACAAGCGGTTCGGAAGTAGCGTCCGGTATGGATGGAGATTTCGACAACACAAGCGGGGGAAGAAGAGCTGTATTGCGGGATGGCGGGAGACGGGAGGAGGTCGGTATAGGTTCAGCTTCGGGATCGTGCACGACTCCAACCGGAGATTTGCCCTCCTCAACTTCGTCAAAAGTACCGTCTGCAGCCAACTCTTGCGCTAGGTGTTCCTCCCCGTCTACCTTCTCCAATCCTCCGCTCCACCCTCGTTCAAGGCCTGCCATATACTCCTTGAGAGTGTGTCTTCCTACGAGAATAATGCCTCCTTCCAGTTCGCGTGTACGCTGCTGTTCTTCGCTAAGTTTGTTGGGGAGATTTATAGGAGATGCAGGGGGCCGATCAATTCCTAGGGCATTGCGACGTTGGTTGACCACCGACAAAGCAACATGCCGTGTAAGGTCGCCCAATTGACGCGTTGCAACGATTTCATAGTCGATAGCAGCCGCTACCAATATTGGCTATGAGGGCACAGCTAAGTACCGACGTGTAGCTAAAACCGACGTAAGTACCTACCTTGACATACTTCTTGAAAAACCGAGTGGCTCTCTGGTGATCCTCGTCGCCGGGCCACTTCGCACCGTAAACTGTCACCTTTCTGGGCAATTCCGAGCTTTTCATCGGTTCCTCTGAGAAATGTTTGACGCGGTCGATGTACGACGCACGAATCTTGCGAGCCTGGTGCCGATCATAGGTATAGTAGGAGAGAACTGACGAAGTGAGGGTGATAAAGACGAGCCAGTTACGTGATGGAAGACGTGGACGAGCAGACAGCCAGCTTTGAGGGATGCCCGTGTACTCGAGTGCAGCGCGGATGCCAGATTTTGGCTTGTCCATTCACACTTACGCAGCGTTGCTCGAGGTTGCCGGTCTCGGGATTCGGAACACAACTTTTAGCACAGCCACTGATTGCGTAAACACTGTACAACAGTCCTTGGCCTTGTCCCATCTCACAGCCAGCTAATACTCGACATGGCTACTCTCGCTGCGTGCGCTCGTTTCTACGTTCGTTTTATGCTGTAGCACTGACAAACCTTACAGCGCGCTTCCGCAACCCATTCATACGTCTACCATCACGGACGAGGAGGAGTTGCAACAGTTCATTCCGTCCCAAGCTGTTGTCACGAGAACACCAATACCGCCCTATGGAAAACGAAAGGGATGGAAGCCTACTTCACAAGAAGACTTCGGTGAGTTTCCTGCTGCATTTTCATAGTATCTTGATTGTTTACCATGACTAGGTGATGGTGGCGCCTACCCCGAATGTCATGTTGCTCAGTATCCACTGAACCTTGGAAAGAAGAAGGTAAGTGTGTTCGTCTCTCACCCGTTGGCGCGCCTGCTAATCCAATTTGGATGCTATCTTAGACCCAAGCCGGGAACACTCTCGCTCTCCAGGTTGACTCTGAGGGTAACGTCCGCTATGATGCTATCGCCCACCAGGGCCAACGCCAAGGCAAAATTGTGCAATCCCAATTCAAAGACCTTGTCCCTCTAGCACATAGAAAGGACCTCGACGAGGACCAGCGCAACCTAGACCGGCCATCAGAAGAGGAGGTACAGGCTACCACGGAAAAGACGAGACAGGCATTGGAGAAGCTGGTGACTGGCAAAATCAAAGTCGCTCAGCCTAAGAACGTACCAGATAGCAATGGGAAGACGTCGTATGTCAGGTATACTCCCGGCCAACAGGGTAACGGGGACGGGTTGAAGCAACGAATTATAAAGATGACAGAAGTGGCGGAAGACCCATTAGAGCCTCCACGGTTCAAGCACAAGAAAATACCTCGAGGTCCACCAAGCCCTCCGCCTCCCGTCCTGAGAAGTCCTCCCAGAAAAGCTACCGCCGCAGAGCAAAAAGAGTGGATGATTCCTCCTTGCATATCGAACTGGAAGAACAATAAGGGCTACACCATTCCTCTGGATAAACGTCTCGCGGCAGATGGTCGCGGCCTTCAGGACGTGAGTTTTTCAGTTTTCTCGATTCTGACATTGGCTGTAATGGTATCATAGGTGCACATCAACGATAACTTCGCCAAGTTTTCGGAGGCGCTCTACATTGCAGACAGACACGCTCGCGAGGAGGTCCGTCAGCGCGCGCTGATGCAACAAAAACTGGCGCAGAAAGAAAAGGAAGCAAAGGAGGAGAATTTGCGGCTGCTGGCACAGCGTGCTCGAGAAGAACGCAGCGGGGTATCACAAGCAGCTCCTTCACGACCGACTACGGAGTCTCGCGCTGCCGTTGCTACCTGCTTTGGGTGGTTATGGCAGCGAGTCTGGGACTGAAGATGAAGATGAGGAGGACGAGGAAGCAGCTAAGCTTCGGGATACCCTGCGCGCCGACAAGCGCCGCGAGCGAGAACGAGAGATGCGCATGTCAAATATGGGTGCGGAACAGCGCGCGAAGATGCTCGCGCGACAACAGAATCGCGACATATCTGAGAAGATCGCTCTTGGGCTGGCCGAAGCCGACGATGTCGAAGGAAAGCATGTTGGATTCGAGGCTCTTCAACCGGGAGAGCCTTAGTAATTCATTTGGTGACGACGATGGCTATGCTCTATATGACCGGCCGTTGTTCCATGGGTCAACCGCTGCTGCTGCAATATACAAGGCAAGGGGAAATATTGGGCCGGAAGGCGGCAACGACGAGTCGTTTGGTGGTGGGAACAGAAGAAGGTATAGGGAAAGCTCTCGATAATGACCGCTTTGGTCTGGGCAGACCGCCGGTGGGATTCGAGGGTGCGAATGAGCAGGAGGTGAGAGAGGGGCCCGTGCAGTTCGAAAAGGACAAAGACACTGGCGATGTCTTTGGCCTTGACAAGTTCCTTGACGAAGCCAAAGGTGGACGGAAGCGGGGTCTGGACACTGACGTTGCAGGCTCGAGGAAAAGACTGCAGCTCGAGAAATCTGGAGATACGTAGTTTATTGTCAACGTTCTGTAACATACTCTACTTTTGTTTCGCATGGATGTGCCTAATGTATCATGTAAGTACCAAGTATGAGGCTTCTGATTGGCTGGAGTTAGCGGCCACAGCCAGCGTTCCATTGTTTCGCACTCTCGTCACCCACGCCCTTGTAATTATCCGCTCCTCCCCGTCGACGGCGTCGTGAACCGACTTAATTGCCGTTTGCAGCGTTGCTCAACACGCTCCTTCACTGACACACTCATTGTCCACCAGTATATATATATCTGCTTCCATTCGGGCACCCGTTCCCTCTCTCAGCGTCCTGGCGATACTCTTTACCCTTTATACCTTGCCTACATAAATGCACAACGAGCGCGTTCGCCATGTCAAGCGTCTGGGTCACGTTCAAGGCTGGTCAGGACCAACCAATCTCGTACTTGCTAACTCCGGTGGCAAAAACGCACAAACAACGTCGACCTCAGAGACTTCGACTACAACCTCCAGCCCAGCTTCCACAACTTCTGCAAAACAGGCCACGAGCACCTCCTCTCAGGCCACGTCCACGTCAAGCTCGAGCTCATCTGTTTCCAATCTGACGACATCCACCATACCTCTTTCCGCTGCTGGGATAATCTTGACGACCGCTACATCGCATTCTACGGGCTCGCAGGTCGCGACCACACCACTCATCTCTTCTCCACCGCCGCCGCCACCCCCCACGTCAGGTCCTTCCCAACAGTCAGTCAACCCACCCACTGGGGGCTTATCTGCTGGTGCGACCATTGGCATTGTTGTGGCGGGTATCGTTGTGGGTGTCGCACTCCTTGCATTTTGCGTGCGGAAAACCTACCTTCGTCGCCGAGAGCGTAGGAGGGCTTCATTGTCTGGCCTTTATGGTTATGGAAACAGAGACGATCCATCCAAACTTCACCATGGTGTCCCCGAACTCGGGGAAAAACCCTTCGGCAGTGGCACCCTGGGGCCGGGTGATCGGACTGTCCTACGCCACTCGTTCGGATCCTTCAATCTTCCAGTCGACAATAGGTAGTTCGCCATCGATTCATCCGTTCCCTCTACCACCACCAGCTTCTTATAATAATCCCATACTTGTTACGACTGCTGACACTACCCGCAAGGCTACGGCTCTAGCAGCCGCTCGGGCAGCTGCGGTGTCAGGAGGTAGTCCGAACGCGCCGGTGCACTCTACTGGCACCCAGCCGGGACTCCTAGTTGCAATGATTAAGTGTACCTTCGTCCCTACTCTTCCGGATGAACTTGCTATTACAACCGGCGAACTGGTCCGCGTGGTTACTCGATTCGATGATGGCTGGGCCTCGTGTGAAAATGGAAGAGGGGAACGGGGCATGATCCCACAAGACTGCTTGTCAGAGACCACTGTCGACTCAGCCTCAGGTGACACTGATTGGAGAAATGCCAGGCGAATGAGTAGCTTGAACCCCCATGAAAGGAGGTTCTGAGCCGAGCCAAGCTCTACTTGTGAGTGTGTTGCCACTCGCTCGTTTCGCTGCTCAGCGCTCACACCTTGACCATTCAGTCGGTGTCACTAACGCGAGCTTATACCCGGTCATCTGTTTTCAGCATACCTGGGAACCCCACTCAGCCTGCTCTTTTTTCTTCCTAATTTATATTTCCCTTCTTTTTCCGTGTCGGACAATTTGATGCTGATGTATCCATGCTGTGCTACTGCCTATTACCTTGTTACTTGGGGTTTTTCAGTGGACGTAGATCTCTGTATCCTAGCTCAGGCAGCAGGTTCTGTAGAACATCGATACCAGCTGTTTTTGTTGCTGGTTTCTTGTAATGAAGGCTGACATGGATCGGAGTACTTAGTAGAATGTTCTGGAGGCTCTGATGTCCTTTAAACAGCATTCACCGCGCGGCACACGCGATTCTCCAAATTTTACATATCTTGTATTGGCTGCCGACTTTATTCTATCTTAGAAGACTTAGATGGCCATGTCGATGCCAGCTTCAACCGCGAACTGGCACTGGAAGAATAAGAACGTGACATCGTGGGCAAGAGCTTGGTTCGAGCGTGAGCTCACGACCATATCTATTGATGGTGAAGGCTCAGAGAACGTCTCCGTGACTTCGGTTCGGGATGTGGAAGGTGACGTGGAGCTCGGCCAGCGCAAGTCCAAGTAGGTCTCAGAATCAGATCGCCTAGATAATTCCGCAAGCGGTTCTGACGATGCCTGATGTTTAGGCTGATTACGATCTATGACTGCAAGGTTCAGCTCGAATGGTCTGGCACGGCTAGCGATGGAACTTCGGTCAAGGGCAAGCTCACAGTTCCTGAAGTTTCGCACGAAATCACCCTGGACCGCTTGTCTGACTACATCGTACGTGACAATTAGAATTGCGCTGTGCAGCTGGATAATCTGATCATCTTATAGTATGAGTGGTCATTGCAAACCAAATCCAGTGTTGCTGTGGACGCGCTCTATGCCTTTGCAAAAGCGCGTATACCTCCTGCACTCGAGGCCAAATTTGCAGAGTTCCCTGTTGCTATCATTGACACCCACGGCAAGGACCTCACCGTCAGTGCTGAACCTAGCCGGACCGGTACCCCTGTTAGTTCCCTGGCGGCACCTACGCACACCACCAACTCGGGGGCGGCTGCTTCGACAGCCAAGCCTATGCCGGCCAAAAAAGTGGCAGTAAACACATCAGAGATAGTCAAAGATGCGATGTTTATGGCTGCCGCGGAGGATCTCTATTCATTACTGACGGACGAGAGCCGCATCCCGTCTTGGACACGTTCTGCAGCGCAGGTGTGTGATTTTTACGTCGTCAGTTATGAACTGGTGTAAGCGATCTTCCACAGTCTATTCCTCAGCCCGGCTCGTCGTATTCGCTCTTTGGAGGGGGTGTTAAGGGGAAATATATCTCCCTCGTTCCGGGGAAGGAAATCAAGCAGACATGGTCGCTTCAAAGCCCCGTTTGGCCACCAGGTTGTTATTTTTATTTTCTTCTCTTCGATTTTTCCTCATCTGAAGCACTCATAGAACACGAAGCTACGCTCACCATCACGCTGAACCAGTCGTCCGATTCAACGACGGTAACCTTTACTTTGGACGGAGTGCCAAAAGGTATGGAGGACGAGGTTGGACGCAATTTAGAGGGTTACTAGTAAGTGCTCGGTTGGTCCGTCACGAAGTCGCTGTCTGAACAAGCGTTCGCCAGCATCCATGGTTTGAAATCAATCGGGTATGTACTACTAGGTGTTTGTTCCCGCACATCTTGTGTCTTGTCAAACGCTCCTGCAAATGTTGGGAGGACAAGTATAAATTATACGGCAGCGATAACTTTCATTTTGTGTTCTCTCTGTTTAATGCGCTTTCTTTACCACTCATTTTCATGGCACTGACCATGCACCCTTGGGTACAGGTTGGGCACTGTCCTGTAATAGATGTACAAGTTAGGGGTGGCTGGGGGATGTGTAGAGCAATCGCTGTCACGTGATCGTGTAGGAGGACCCCAGATGTAACTAGCACAAACAAATTTAGCATGGGAATTGCGTTTGCTCGTTTGCACTCACTCTGCCCTCCCAAGCTCCCCTCCCCAAAAGACTGGCAAGTAACATGGCTGCTGCTGCTGTCGAGGAGATTCGTGCGACAGCCTATGTCGGTTTCGACTCTATCACCTCACAGATCGAGCACAAGCTCTTGAAGCGCGGATTTCAGTTCAACGTGATCGTCGTTGGTGCGTAGCGTAGATTGGATGAGCAGCGCGTAGCGGCGTGGTTGACGTGGCCTATGGAATCATTTGAACTATAGGACAAACCGGTCTGGGAAAGTCGACGTTGATCAACACCATATTCGCGTCCCATTTGATCGACTCGAAGGGTCGTTTGGAAGCGGATGAGCCTGTCAGACAAACCACGGAAATTCAGGCCGTCTCGCATGGTATGCCCCGTTTTGTCATTCGTTTCTCTCCTCTTATGCACGTAACAACAGTTATCATCGAGAATGGTGTCAGACTCCGCCTAAACATCGTCGACACACCGGGTTACGGTGACCAAATTAACAACTGAGAACTGGTATGTAGTGTATTCGTGGTTTGTGTGCCTCTCATCGAATGTGTGATTCAGTTGGGACCCAATTGTCAAGTATATCAAGGACCAACACAGCGCCTATCTCCGCAAGGAGCTCACGGCCATGCGCGACCGTCACATTCAGGACACTCGCATTCACTGTTGCCTGTACTTTATCAGTCCTACTGGGCACTCCCTTCGCGCGATCGATGTCATCGTGATGAAGAAGTTGAGCGAAGTTGTTAACGTCGTGCCGGTCATTGCAAAGGCAGACAGCTTGACGTTCGAGGAAAGAGAAGCATTCAAGCAAAAGGTACCTCGCTTCCACGACGCACAGGATAATTTACTAACGAACTAAAGATCCGCGCCGAGCTTGTATACCACAACATTCGCTTGTACCCCTTCGACACGGATGAAAATGATGAGGAAGAGATTCAGCTGAACGAGGGCATCCGGGTAGGTTCAAATGCGACTGGTTTTGTTGCTTTTGCTGACGAGTGCTGCAGAACATCATTCCGTTTGCTGTCGTTGGCTCTGAGCGCAACGTGATCATCGATGGCAAGTCAGTTCGAGGTCGCAAAAACCGATGGGGCGTGGTGAACGTCGAAGATGAGGACCATTGTGAATTCGTTCATCTCAGAAACTTCTTAACGAGGTGAGTCATCGTTGTGGTTCCGAGTGCGATTACTTGTGTTTAAAAAGCCTTTCTCGAATAGGACGCACCTCCAAGACCTTATTGAAACGACTGCACAGATCCACTATGAGGCGTTCCGGTCTAAGCAGCTACTTGCACTTAAGGAGGGCGTGCAGCAAAGGCCGCCGACCAACCAGTGAGAGGACGAGTGGGTCGGACAACTTTTTTCTTGATCCCGCAGAGAGGCAGTTATACCCATCCAGTACCATTCCTTACGCGCTCGTTTAGTCCCCCGATATTCTACTTGCATGTTTTGACTCCGTTCTTTTTGATACACCGAGAAGTTCGCTGCGATACATATCAATACTGTCAACGTTTCAACTTTGGAATAAGCGAAATGAGCGGACGGGTGCGAATCCGACGGAGGCTGGAGGAAGGCGTGGTAAATTTCGGCATGGGACCCATCAGCCATGATGCATAATAGCATCATCACTGCTTATATAGCCATCGGCACTGGAGTTGTCAAGTCAGTGCTCAGCCCCCACCTAGCTCCAATGTTTTAGCTGGCTGCCATCCCCTGCCTGTCAGGTTATGATCCATGCTTACCCTACCCCCATCGTGGGCCACTCGCTGGGAGAAACTCCAGAATTTCAAGCTCGAGTCCCTCTTCGGCCCGCAACCGTGGTCGTGGTACCCCTCGCACGGTGTATTTCAACCAAGATGTCCCCAACTTCTACTCGGACTGCCAAAGGTCGGCCGAAGAAGGAGTACGTTTACTGCACGAACCAGGTCATAACTTCAAAGTACACTGTTATCACTTTCCTCCCTCGCAATCTGCTAGAACAGTTTCAGGCGCATCGCAAATATGTGCGTGCGCTTATCTCTCATCCTGATATTCAGACTTATGTCCTGCATTCTAGCTTCTTCGCTTTCATTGCTATCCTTCAGTTTTTCCCTGAATTTGCAACTATCTCGCCTGGTCTCGTCATTCTTCCTCTTCTCATTGTCTTGGGCATCACGGCCGTCAAGGATGGCTATGAGGATATCAAGCGTCACCAGTCAGACCGCCAAGTTAATCATTCCCGCGTGCGCGTCTTGAACGGCGGTGGGTGGACTAATCCCAACTTCATTGGAAGCAAGAGCCGCACGTTCGTCAGGGGCATTGCTCCAAGGGTTCTCCCAAAACGTCACCGGGGCCGTAACGAGGATGTTGAAACGACCATATCTGCCGATGTAGAGCACGATACGGACGCTGAGTTAGATGAGGGGATCTCACTACCGGACGGGAAACACCACCTCTTCAGTGGCGGCCACAAGGTTGCCCGTGCGCACTGGAAGAAGACGTTGTGGGAAGATGTTCGTGTGGGTGACTTTATCAAAATCATGAACAACGAACCTATACCTGCGGACGTCTTGATATGCGCTACGTCAGAGGAGGATAATGTGGCTTATGTTGAGACAAAGAATCTCGACGGGGAAACAAACCTCAAGTCTCGGAATGCTTCCCCAGGGCTTACTGATTTACGCACAGCTGCCGACTGCGCCGACAAATTCAACGCCTTTTCCATCGATTGCGAGCGTCCAGATACCAATATGTACAGGCTAAATGCAACGGTATCCCGCAACGGTGACAGATATCCCATTGACATACAAATGGTTCTTCTTCGTGGCACTGTTCTTCGAAATACCGATTGGGCAATCGGTGTCGTTCTATTTGCAGGAGAAGATTCCAAGATAGTCCGAAACTCGGGCGGCACTCCCAGTAAACGAAGCAGAGTGGAACGCCAAACCAATCCACAAGTGTAGGGTTTCTTTGCTGTTCCCCACTTGTGATGTCGCCTCTGAAATGATTTCAGCTTCATAAACCTTGCTATCCTTGCCGCTATGGCCGCAGTATGCGGTATTGCTGACTACAAGATCGAGTCGCGACTATATCCCGAGGGCGCTCCTTGGCTTTACGGTGATAATACGTCTGGAGACAACCCCGGGATTAATGGCTTCTTTACGTGGGCGTTTGCATTGATCACGTCGGTGTCGTCTTTACGGTGCTTTGATACGGTGCTGACTCCCGTTATTCACAGTTTCCAGAACATCGTGCCAATATCGCTGTACATATCTATAGAGGGTGTAAAGACGTGTCAAGCGTTGTTCATATACTTCGACTATGAAATGTTCTATAAGAAGACGGGGCAACCTACCCTGGCTAGGAGCTACAATCTCTCCGATGACCTTGGGCAGATTGAGTACATCTTCTCCGACAAAACTGGGACGCTTACAGAGGCAGGCATTCCTTCTCTCTGGTATATTTGCTAACATGCTCACTATGGTCACAGAATTCGATGGTTTTCAGGGAGTGTTCCATAGGGGGAGTCGTTTACTACGGTGACCACGAGATGGAGTCAGATGTTGAAGCGCAACACACGGGAGGTGATGGTAATGATAGGGAGAGTCCTGTTTCACCGGCAGATGTCAAGTTGTCTAGCGGTGTTCGCCAGCACTTTAAGGACAATCAACTCTCGCAAGACCTTGCAAGTGCTGTCGATGCAGAGCCTGGCTCCGACAACGCTGCGCACGCACGTTCACTTAATGGCTTTTTCTCTGTTCTTGCGTTATGCCACACTGTCCTGGCAGTTGTGGATCCTCACACTGGAGCTATCGAGTACAAGGCTCAATCTCCCGACGAAGCTGCTCTCGTCCAAGCAGCGGCTGATATGGGCTTCGTCTTCCGCGGGCGAGACAAGGAGGTATTGAAGCTCCAAACTCCCTTTTCGACTGAGGTTGAACGCTACGAGCTACTTAACATCCTGGAATTCACTAGCGTTCGTAAACGCATGAGTGTTATCGTGCGCAAATTGGATGAAGTGGATTCTCGGCTGTTCTTGTTGACGAAGGGAGCCGACAGCGTCATTTTTGAGAGACTAAAGGCGGGCGGGGATGAGCTTAAACGAGCAACTGAACAACACCTGGATGGTTTTGCAGGTGCAGGACTGCGCACTCTGACATTGGCTTACAAAGTTATACCAGGTATATGGAGCATCATTCTCCACGCTGAATAGATGTGTACTGATGCATGATATAGATGATGAGTACGAGGCTTGGAACGAACGATATCAGCGTGCGGCCACTTCACTAGAAGATCGTGAAGGCAACGTTGAGGCCGCTTGCAATGAGATTGAGCGGGAACTTCGTTTACTTGGTGCGACGGCAATCGAGGACCGCCTTCAAGATGGCGTTCCGGAAACAATTGCTGACCTGAAGCTGGCTGGCATAAAGATATGGGTGGCTACCGGAGACAAGCTAGAAACTGCTATAGGTATTTACCTTGTTTATCGGATTTGTCTGGACTTCAGCTGATGTTGCGTTTGTTGCGAAGCTATCGGTCATAGTACAAATCTCATCGCTGATGATTCGAACATCATAGTCATACGCGGTGGCGATCAGGGACGATCGGTCTTTGAACAGTTGGTTCAGGCTCTGGAAGACTTCTTCCCCGACAGCGATGTGCTTAAAGGCGACTCCGTGCGTCTGGAAACATCGCAGTATCAAGAATCCGAGACGCCTTACGCTATGCGTCGTCTTAGTACAGGGGTGACGTCGCTTGTAGGCGAAGACAATGGTCGACGACCAGGGGGCTACGTTCTTGTTATTGATGGCGCTGCACTAGGAAATGTAAGTTACTCAAAGACTTGGCTGTTTAATGCTAAACTTTCGGCGTAGGCCCTCTCGGACGACCACCACAAAAAACTCCTACTGAGTCTCGGAACACAGTGCGAAGGGGTCATATGTTGTCGTGTATCGCCACTCCAGAAAGCTCTTGTTGTCAAACTCGTAAAGGATGGATTGCATGCAATGACTCTGGCGATTGGTGATGGTGCCAACGACGTTAGCATGATACAGGTAATCCCGAGTTTTCTTATCTTTGTTAGTGTTAACGTAAATGTTGTTCTAGGCCGCTGATGTTGGCTGTCGGTATTCGGGGTGAGGAAGGTCTTCAAGCTGTCAACTCTTCAGATTATGCCATTGCTCAGGTATGACGGCTGATGTTGTCAAAAGGGCGACCATTTACCCTTTGTTTTAGTTCCGGTTCCTGAAGCGGCTCCTCCTTGTCCATGGACACTGGTCTTACGCCCGCAATGGTTCAATGTGAGTGTTACCTAGGTGTCCTGTGACCAGCTCACCTTTCGTCCAGGATCCTCAACTTTTTCTACAAGAATATAGTGTGCATTGGGGTTCTCTGGTGGTTCCAGATATATTGTGGATGGAGCTCAGCATAGTGAGGATTCAAGTTCACTTCTTATGTGTTGTATCGCCTAAATGTCGTCAGCGCTTTCAACTATACCTATCCTCCTTTTCTGGAATTCGTTCTGGACGGTAGCTCCAGGTGTTGGGTATCGGTTTGTTTGACCGCATTGTTGGTAAGCAAGCATGGCTTTCCTGGCTCTCGAGACTAACTCTCTATTAGATGCTGACATCCTTATGGCATTTCCGGAGCTCTACCGGTACGGCCGCGAGCGAACGTGGTTCACACTGAAATCTTTCTGTGGGTATATGTTGGATGGAGTCGTACAGGTATGTCATTGAGTAGAATTGCATTTATGTGACTCTAACCGTCTGACCAGTCCGTTCCGCTGTATTTTTTGATTACCTACGCGTACTTCACGACAACGGCTCGGAGTGATGGCTATGATATTGCCTTGTACGAGTACTCAACAGTATGGCATGCTCACCACACCATTTTGTATCACTCACTCACTCTCCTACCACAGACCATGGTGTTCGCCAGTGTTACTGTAGCCTGCCTCTATAGCGGCCTCAACACCAACGTATGGACAGCATGGGTTTTCGTTGCAGTCTTCATAGGCATAGTGCTATTGTGGTTATTCACTGTAAGCAAAATCCAAAATCCCGCGTCTGATAGTTCTGATCATGTGTGTAGGTGGTATATAACTCGATTAGTCCAGGCTGGTTCGTGACGGGCGTTTACGGAAACAACCACTTCCTCTTCAGGTCTGCATACTTTTGGCTATGTCTTCTCCTGACCGTCGCTATCTCCCTGCTACCTCGATACCTATACCGCGCTTGGCAGCTAGGGCTACGCTCCAGGGGATTTGGAGATCTTGCGTTATATCAGGAAAAAGCATCCTGAACTCGACATTGCGAAGGCTTGTCGCCTGGGACCACACGACCAACACTCAAGGACCTCGTTGAGACTGAGGTCGTCTTCACGAATGTCACGGCCGTTATCAGTCGCGTCGATCGTTGGCGGCACGCCCACAGATCGTAGCGTAGACCACGCATCTGCGGACCACTCAAGACCACAAGATGTTCGTCGGGCGAGTCACACTGACATGTCCACCGGTGTGCGCTCGGTACACCGTGGCTTCGACTTTGCAACAGAGGAAGGGGGTGTTGCCATGCGTCGAATACAGACCGACCTGTCAGAGCGCTGGCAGAGCAACCGCCATTTACCCCTTGCGAAGGCACAACCACTGAAGAAGAAAGCATCGATACGCATCTTCTCGTCCCTACGGCGAAAGAAACCCCCTACTCCCAATAGAGATTCATAACGTTGGGACCTTACTTGGATACACTTTTGCATGGCTCTTGTTTCTTGCATTCACGACCTGTACGGTTTACCAATTGTATCACCCCCTCCCACTATTTATCCCCTTCGTCATTTGTGATAGAGTCCGTTCACAATCATGCATACCAGTTTCTAGGGTGGGCTTGTCATACAACCCTATAATTTACGATCACGATTATAAGACGGAGGTTCGTCACGCTACAATAAACTTGGAATCAAATGTCGTGGACCTTCAATCGTTTTGTGGGAGGTGTAGCTTCCCTACGATTGGTTGATGAAGTGAGCTTGCATTCCGGCACGCTAGGTTGCTGGTGTTTCGTGTCGTGAGGCTCAACAACAGCCGAGGTAGAATCGGATTCTGCTATGCAAGATCGACCGAAATTGCAAAAAAATCGGGGGACTGTTAGTGGGGTGTCGACTTCCCCCTCGTCTTGAGAGCTCTCGCAATCGACAGCTCTCTTCCGCTTTAGGTTGCGGCGCCCTCTTGCCCTGGTGCTGGGGTTCTTCACGGCATCACAGTCCTTCTCCACTACACGGCAAATCTCTACGGGTACCGAAGCCCTGAGCAATGCATCGATCCAAACCTTAAGAATCCACATTGAGTGCTATTCGAGCAGTGGAAAGATTGCACTTGCCTTCTGATTCTCTCGTAAAGTATCGCCGGGTCCTTTCACCTCCACAAACTTACATATACGCTGCTCGGCATTCCAGAGGAACAAGTCTGGTCCTCCAGACTGTCGCGCAGCGTAATCTTCGCAGAGAACGCGACACATCAATGACAAAGCTTCCCCTCCGATACACTGTTCGACGGTCAGCCACCAAGACGTTGCCCCAAAACAGTACACGAACCGTCGCTATATCTATCAGGTCTTCACCACTGGCCAGGTCCCACTGAACACCCACACACCATGTCTCACTCGTTCTATGTATAGCATCAACCCGTCGAATGATGTTAGCAGCTTCCCCGTCTTGAATTTCGGATAGACGTTTCTCCATGAGCTCCTGTCGAGAGTAAAAAAATGAGTCTTCTGCAATGTCCAGGGGTGCAGCCTGATATGGAGTTTCGAAAGCCCCTGGAATAGGCGCAAAGATTATGTCCCAGAACAAGATGCCAAAAATCATCGCGATAATTCGCGTCTCGCAATGTACACTGAGTTGAGAACATTTGAGTCTATTCATAACAAAAAAACTAAATTACGAACCCTTTATACCCTTGTTCTTCGTACCATTGAAGGACAAGTGCCTCGACAGTGAGCTCTTCGCCGTTGCGACCTTCCCACCTCGACTTTCCATTTCGTTCTTTCTGGATCAATGCTGAGTATCAGTGCTACACTATTACAGGCGGGGGGCCTCCACCCTACAGAAGACTCAGGTGCAGACAACACCGTTGCAGTTTCACTTGACCCATTAGCTGCTGGCGTTGCAATCCTTTCAAAGTATTGTGCGAGGGTATGATTTAGCCGAGGTGGGGTATTGCGGTTCTGGCGGGTCTTGTCAAGTCTTGCGTCGGCGGACTGGTTCCGAATTCTGGTGGCTTCGAATATAACTTCCTTTGCACTTTCAAGTCTTACGTTAGAGGTGAACCGATCCCCCGGGGGAAGCTTCAAAAAAACTTCCAGCCTCCGCAAACGACGTTGGAGCTTCGGTCGGTAAACTTGAAGCGTTTAATGAACGATTTGATTTTTCAGTTGAACAGCTCACCTAAATGAGTATCGGGATCTTCCAACGCATCAATCACAGCAGTCAGAGCGCGCTCTGCGGTGTCCCGACTCTTTGGGAAGTGGGTGGACAGTATCAATGCTCTCCTTTCATGCCAACCTCCACGCCGTCCTCTGTGCCATCGTCTTTGCGCCAATAGGGCCTCCAACACCTCAAGTTCTCGCTGATATTCCCCAAGAATACCAAGGGCAGACGAACCTTTGCAAACCATCCGCGTGAAGACATGTCCTTGACGTGGGATCAAAGCTCACATCAGTGAAGTCAACTAATACCGAGGGTAGGACATCCATACCACTTTCGAAGCGCTGTAAGCCATAACTCCTTTCTTCTTCAATGTTGGCACGTAAGGCGTCTTGCCAACGCGGATAAACTTTTTCAAATATTTCTTTCACTAGACGTGCCCTCTGTAGTCGAGCACTTTCAAGCTTCCTTTCAGGAGCCGGACCCTCGCCCACCGAAGCTGCGTAATCTCTCTTCTTTACACTACTGATGATGCCTTCAGATGCCTTTGGGGTCTGCGAACGCGAGGCCGGATGCGCCTGGGCCTCAGGAAACACTTGTCCTCCGAAGATTGCATCAATCCGACCTTCAAGGATAAGAATCTCTTCGTATTCAAGCAATGCTTCACGCGTCTTCCAGATGTCTTTCGAGCGGGCGTATTCATAACTAGAGTATGACCGCTTTTTGAAACGGGGTAACAGAGCCGTAACTAGAAGATCTGGATTATATTGCGTGCTGCGCAGTTAAAAATGCGTCAATACGTCGAGGGGGATTAATGACCGATATTTACAGGCGGAAAAAGATTAGATTGGCTCGTCGAACGAGACCGTAGAAAGCATTGTGGACTCTCACACATTTCACTGGAAGACCATCAATAAATCTTATGGAAGTAACCATGGAGCTCACCAAGGATGCGAAAGACCATAGTTCGCAGTCGTTCCAGTTGAGATCTTGTTTTTGGTTTTTCGAAGGGAAGCGGAGTCTGCGCCAACGCAGTTGACTTTATGCCATGACTCCCGTTAGGTGTTGGCACAAATGTAAGCGTCGGCTGTGAAGAAGCAGCGCGAAGCACACTAGCAATGAGCTCTTGCTTCTGGATGTCACGTCGAACCAAGATCGTCTTGAAGATGTTTAGAAGTTCTCATACCTTTCCCTTTCCCTTTGGCTTCAGCAGCAGCTGCCTTGCAATAGTTTTGAGCTCGTCGGCTTTAAGACAATTCAGAAGAGCCTCCAAATCCATCTGGTTCTCATCTTCGGCCAGAACGACGGATTTACTGACATCCATACTGTCCAAAACAGAAGTCTGTGAAGAGCAGTGTCTCGTTGTGATCTAACGTCGACTCCGCAGTTTCGCCATGCTCGCACTCCACCGTTAGGTCGATAATTTCGCGTGTTGCGCTCATGTCTTGCATTGTATCCGGGGAGCGAAGTTGATTCTGACAGATCTCGTCCACAGCAGCGATTATGGCTTCGTGTCCGCCCAATTCATGCTGGTACTTCAGGCTATCTAGACGGTGCCACGTATCTGGCTTTCTGAGCAGTAGTCTAACCATTAGAAAGCGTGCATTATCTAGGAAGATGTAAGCGAACCCATTGCGCAATGGAGAATTTCACTCACAAGATAGGTTGGCGAACCTTTCGAAGAAGAGGATTTCTGCCTCATCAAATAAATGAGCTTCGAGTTGAAGAACAGTGCTAAGCATCTCTGTAAAACCACCCATGAGCATTTAAGTACATGAAGTCTTTATCTTTTGACCTTCAAATACTTGTACATATATACTGATGTGTGGACCGCTCGGTAGCTCTTCCTTGACTTGGTGTGATGTCGATGATCCTGGCAGGGATGGGTGCAAGAACAGGTCTACATCTCCGATATTGGCGTCTTCCGTCCAAGTGTCCCCGCCCGGAAACACGAGACCACCCACTGGGCCATACGCCATGTATGGAGCGTCTGAGTCCCCGACAAGTATTACGAGTAGCAACACTTGAACGACTCAGACGTGATCAGCAACCGAACGCAGATCACGTGCACCGCGTCCACAGAGGTAGTGCATATTTAAAATTAAATAAAACCCACAGGTGCATCCTCCTGCAACCTTTCATTTTCCTCCTTCAATTGCTGATTTTCTTCTCATAGCAATTTAGTCTCTCTTTCCCATCTTTCTATAGCCCCCCTGAGTTCTTGTCACCATCCTTGTCCCATCCACACAAGATCCAAGTGTTGGAGTGAAATATCCATGTTGCAGTCTAACACGTGCACCTCATTCCCTGCTGCAAAGAGTACCCTATCACCCTTGTCCATGAAACCAAGCATGCCAGGACCAGAATATATTACTTCCAGGAGGCCTTCAGATATTGTATACCTCTTTATTTGTGACATGACAATGAGATAAAGTGTAAATTGTTGGATGTCCAAGCACCTGATGGTGCATCTCAGCAAACTCAATACTGGAACTGTGGTCCCTGAGTGATTTAGGATGCTGGGGCTGTCAACTCTGGTCCTGTTCTCTGTCACAGCAGCCAGCATTAGTGCAAAGAGGGAAAGTGCTTGGTTGTCTTGAATGTTGAACCGTGGCAGGTTGAGGTTGACAGCACATCCACACCACATGAGCGCATTATCACTAGCTAGCAGTAAGGTATTCGTTAATGTAGATGGCTAAGCGCCTTATTACTCAAAGTCCGACTTATTACAATTATTAGACATCCTTCGCAAACTTTACCCGCTTCTGTTTCGAATTCCGGTCATGCTTCTCCTCGTAAACGCAGCCAGACTCGACATCGACATCTGCTGCCGAATGATTCTCGCTACTGCGATTGAAACTAGGAGCTCTTGCGTCAATCAGAGGCATGGAGAGTCGATCCGGTTCAGATGAAACAATGTTCAAAAATTGAGGATTCTCATCAGTCAGGTAAGACTGGTGCACACATCCGAGAGGTCAATTCACGCACTTCCATAAACTGGCGCATGCCACTCTCGTCTGTCATTTTCGGAACTTGTTCTCGACAACTGAGGTGTTGTCTACGAGCAAGCATGGCCTCCTCTGCCGTGCCTCGGATGACAAGAGTTTTGACTGTACAATGTTAGAATAATTTTGTAAGGTGTTGTCATTAAGTTGTGACAAACCTATGATGCGATTCAATTGTCCAATCCGGTGAACACGCTGGAACGTTCTCTACTTAGTAAGTACTAGACCATGAACTCGAATTTCCAACCTTGATAGCTTGGGACTCGACATCTGGGTGCCATACAGGCTCACAGAAGATCACACGCGAAGCAGAGACTAAATTTCTGGACCTGTAGTTAATTTCCAGGCACAATGTTAGTTGCGCGAACACATACAAGCCGCGTGCTCCAAGCTTTAGTTCAATAAGGAAAAGCCTGTAGGTATCTGAGGATTCGAAGGTCATGACAGCTTGCTCTCGTAGCGCAGGTTGCATGTCGCAAGTATAACGAAGATATTTGACACCAAATAAAGCCAGCCCTTCTGCAACGTGGGCAAGAGTAAGGGGTGACTTCGAAAAAATAAGGAATTTTTCGTCCGCAGAGTACCGTAATGCCTTGAGATGATGTGAGTTACGCAACTTCTTAAGATAGGAGGAACGTACCTCAGTCAAAATGTAATTGAGCTTCGTCGACAAAGACGGGCCAACGCGCACCCCGGACAAGGGTGAATTTTGCAAGAGCTGGAGATTTGGAAGGTACGAAGGTGACTGTGATAGGAAGGTGTTCGCTTTCTGCCGAACCTTCGGCGTGCCTCAGGAAGCTGTGATGAACGCGCAAGCTTCACCTTTCTCTTCAAAGTTTCCATTTCTTCATTAAATACTTCTGTCACCGATTTGATTGTGCCGGCGTGTGTTGATTCTCGTGCTTGAGAAGGTTCCTGCTCTAAAGGTCTCGCCCCTTCTGCATTGAGTTTGATACCTTCACAGATTAAGTTTTGGGGGGAGATAAGAGGCCGTACATGGACAAGATCACGAAGCTCGATCAAACGGTTAGAATGCATGAGATCAACCTCGCGAGATTTCGCCTTCAAATCACCCCGTGTCCAGGCTTCATAGATGCCGGTGTCGAGGCCTGTTACCTTGAAGGGTACATCCTCATGCTTCTGTATAGCGCGCCACAAGGTGTCACTTGCAGCTGCAGCTCTAACACGACCCGTAAACGGCTGCGCAAGAAGATGTATGGGGACTTACGCATGAGTCAGGGCGCCCTCCAATAATTCATACTCCTCCTTTGGAATTCGACGCTGGAGAGCACGGGTCCTGAACGATTGTGCCTCTTGACATATTTGGTCGACGTTGTATAAAATGTTCGAAGCCGACCAAAACATTCCCCTGATCGTTCTTTGGTTAGATAGAACATGATAATGGACAGTGGTTGACCTAACTGTGATAAGTTATCCATGGCGATCTGCAGCTCTCTCGTTTTCTGCAACGTGGGTGTTTCAGGGTACTATGAGACTTTCCCGGGAGGTTTCTTACACTGGGATGAAAGATGTAATCCTGTGGAGAATGTTTCTCATTTGTTGAGCAGTGGTATTCAACTTGAGAACATACCGGACCTTGCCGCTCGGAGTCAATGGCATTAATCGCTACAGCAGCCTGCATAGCATTAAACGACTTCAGCGCGTATTCACTCAGGTCCATATACACAAACTCGTGCTTCATCGGTGGCAACACAACGTCTTTTTCTAAATCCTGGACTCTTTCCCCCCTGTCATCAGTCTATGGGTTGAGCGTAAGACCTATGTCCTTACCTATGGCGAATCATCACCATGTGCATTACTTGACTCAGTATATCCGTAGCAAAAGGTTGCGGGCCTCGTCGATTGTATAGACGTGATGAAACATGAACTCCAAAAGATTTGTGATCAGTACGGAATTGAGGTATAGCAAGAAAATCTGCGATCATCGTGTTCAACTTGCGTAAGTTGGCGGTATCATAGCGACTCCAGATCCGAACGCTAGTATCCGCACTTGAAGGGGTAGTGTCTTCTGGTGTATTGCAGTCACTGTTATTCCTTGAGCTGGGAGAACCACTGGGATCTGTTTCCCACCCTTCTTTTGTGCAACCCAAACTGAGGCCTAACATGTTGGAAGTAGGAGTGCCGGTAACGATCCATTTCCGCTCGATACTGAGTTCCTTGACAAAATAATTGATAGTAGCGGATACGTTCCCAGCAATGTGGCCTTCATCGACCACGAGTCTCTTCCACCTTACTTGCAAAAGAGGTGTGACCCGGGTATCCCCTGGACATCGGCAGTTCGGGATGCGAGACCCTTCGAAACAGGGGCATGTGCATCGTGGAAGAGCGTGGAGTCGTGCAACCTTCTTGTTTCTCGACTCCCTGCAAAAACCTACTGAAAGCATTGAACCGGAAGCTCCTGTTAACAGTCGTTACACGTACGAACGTCGCTCATGACAATGAGCTAAAGACCATCATCAGGTTTAAGACAAGCGGGGATTGATGCAACTTACATCATAGCTTGTTGCAAGTATCCTTGCAGCAGGGAGGACATCCGATTGACGAACGATGAGGACCCTAGCGTTGGAATGACAGTGCTTTTGGATTTCTCTATCCCATTGACCGAGCAGAGTCAGAGGCACAACGACTAAGGTTGCTGCGCTTAGGTACATGACGCGAGGACCCAGCTCCACTTGACTGCGAGAACGTGACGATCCAAAAATCTCGGCAGTAAGATTGTCATCATAATGATGATAAAAGGGCGTGTTGCCGTGTAATAACGGCCACAAACTAGTGCCCTCAAGAGTGTCCTCGTACTCACACCAACTAGAGGCTTGACTGCGCGAACGTATGTAATGAAGAAGAATGTCAACCAAAGAAGGTATGTTATAGACGTCCGATGGTTCCAGACCTGCTCGAGTTCGAGCGGTCACACAGTCGGGTAAGGCGAAATGCCGATAAGCGAGAGGTGTTAATACTGGTCGGAAATCAAACATGGACTCCTCTGGTTGGGGAAGCTGGCCGATGGTCGAGAGGATGAGAGCAAGAATCATGATAGTTTTGCCGGTGCCTAATGGGCTGCTGTTAAAGAACTCTCTCGAAACATCACATACTCACCTAATTCTTCACAGAGTATTCCGCCGCGTCCTGGGGCGACCATCGGAAGCTCGCATAAGATGGTCCCATCTGAGGGTCGGAAGTAGTACTGCTCTCCATGCATGCTGGTGACAGCAAGGTATAACGGATCTGGAACAGGCAGGTGACTCAACTCCTTCTCAATCATGACCGCAACGGAGCATCGTTGATAGTCATATAAATGGCTTCGAAGTCCCCGCACTGGTTTGCCATCAGCAATTTCTCTGGCTAGTGGAACGCATTTGGGTGGAACCACTGGAGAACTGAGGTCGCTATAAATCTCCGCCATAGTTCGGTTGTCCTGAACATGATGAGCAACATAAAAGGGTAAGGAATTACAGGTTGTGCATACTGATTTCCGGGGTAAGAAGTGGTCGTACTCGGAGGACAAGATAGGTTCCTCAGCAATCCATAAACGTGGGTTGCAATTGATAAGGGATAAGACGCTGTGAAGGTAGCGTCTTCCTTCCTTAATAACAGCTGCACCCCGACAGCGTAGTCGCCCTTGGACGTTAGGCAAATCATGAGGGATGAGGTAGAGCACGGATGAACAGAACCTGGCCACTGCAATTCAGTTTACACGTGGCAGCGTAAAAATAAGTTATGGGCCAAAAATCCAAGACCCAATAAGAGGGGATCCTGAGGTCGTTTCGACGGTTCTGGAAGCATGCGCCATGAACTATTACCCGAGGCGTCGCAAGACACGCCCTTGCCATGGACCGCAACGGTGATTGTACCCGCAGCAAATAAGTCTTCCAGCGGAGGTAAGTCGGAGTCGTCTTCAACCTGTTCTGTTTTGGTGTGGTCTGAATAACATAGCGGACAGTTTGCGAGTTGCATAGTATCGCTCACAAGCAGTACTAGCACATGCCGTTGGGACGCACACGAATTATGAGACCATTAAATAATACCGTGAGAAATTATTCCCTACTGTAACTTCTGCAACGTCCGACCTGGCACAGTTGCAGGCAGTTCCAAGCTACGCAGAGCCCTACGATGACCGCCACATTAATGTTGAGGTCGTGCGGCCGGGGGTTGCAAATTACCGCAAGAACGTCCAAGCAGAGAGGTACAGGAATACGACCTATGTCTACCTGACAGTCAGCCTCTCTCTGCAAAACAAAACCTGACCTGGCCCAAAGTACCTAGAGATACGACGCCAGAAGCGCAGATGGGAAACGGTAGAGTGCAAACGTTTCGAACTGCGACTAGCTTGACAATAGTTTTGAGCAGGCGGTCACTATTCCCTTTACATTACTCGGTCTGGCTGGGGGTGCCGCGTACTTCGGGTCGATAGAGACTGACGCGACCAAGGTCATCATGGTAGGCCTTGCCACACGCACCCTGAGCCTTTCTCCTGACTGGACATGTGACAGGGTATAGACCCCTTGTTCTTCTACGGCGGTTGCACAATCGCATGCATGGGTAAAATCGAACTGTCGAGTTGCAAGTGTACACACTGAGTATCTCTCAAGGTTTGGGGTATCTTATCGGTCCCGTGGTGGGCTCAGCCTGTTGGAGGTTAACGCACCGCCGCACCATGGGTCTCATCGAAGAGAAGGACCGCGAATTTCACAAACGAATAGTAAAAAACCGCGTGGATCCCACTGCACAAAGTGCCACAAATCCCGTGCCAGACTACTATGGTAAGTCGTGGTTGTGTAGTGCTGACACGTTTGTCTGAATATTTATGTACAGGAGAAAAGATCGGGTCGTTGCACCAATACCGACAGGTAGGTTGCCGTGCTAGACAGTTCCACATTGTTCTAACATTACCAGTGGTTGCGAGACCAAGCAAAGTTCAGGCGGAGAGCGCAATTCGACGAGCAATAGATCTTACTACTTACTCTGCCATTTTTCCGATTCCTCTTTACACCTCATTCAAGCAATATGGAATTCTCACCTTGATTGGCGCGACTACCCAGCCACAGCTTCTACGGTGTCGGGTAGATGCCAAGTCATGGGATGACAAGTTGAGTGATCCAATATAAGTTCGCAATCCGAATTAGAAAAGTGATGACCGCCAAAGTGGGGCAATGACGGAAGTTATGATAGTGGTTTTAAGTCTAACTGTGCCAGTGACCATATAAAGGTGGTATTTGTGAAGTGTACTTCTACGAGCATCTTGCCTGGGCATGCCTAGTTAATCCCCTGCTTTCCAGGCCGGTCACAGCAAGTGCACGGGGAGTCAAGGGCGACGACAAGGGCGAGTGGAACTCATTAGACTGGGGGAGATCTTTCTCAGGGAATGCGGGTCCACTAGGTGGCGCAGACTTCGGTGTGAATTCCGCGGATAGATCAGGGCTTCTTGAAACGAAGGCTGGAGGCGGTGAGCGCGCGCGCTTTACTGGTCGCGCGAGGTGCCTTTTGTCCATGCCCTTGGCTGGTGTGCTACAGCTGATGGATCGTATCTGTGGTGTCCAGCCGACACCAGGAGGTGCGGGAACGAGTATCAGGTTTCGAGTGGGCGTCTGAGCCTCAGGGTCGTACTGGGCCTCGTGTACTTCATCCTCCCCAACTCTCCGCAGACTTAGTGCTTTGCGCAAAGCCAGGCCTTGCGATGATTGTGGAAATTGGAAATCGTAGTATTGTCTAATGGACGAACGCACCTAACACTGTCAATGCGAGGAGGGACAGTAACAACGCTGTCAACGCAGCGTCTGAAAATGATGACAACGTTGTAGATAGCACCGAGTGTGAAGTCAACTTCACAAGTATTGGTGGTATGTCCTCTGGTCTAGAAGATGTCACCGCCTGCGCAGTAAGAGGTTGGACGGTGAGCGACATTCAACGTGCTGGTTGAAAGAAATGCAAACGTAGTAGCGCTGAAACTCGTCATGATGAACCAGACGTCCCCTAGCAACACTGAGTACTGATCAGCGCTCAGCACTGCCAGCACACAGTGTTGGCTGGTACCCATACTGCGCTCAATCTTTGATGTGAACAGAACGTACAAGTTGACAACTAGTCAGATGGTACCTGAAACACAGCTTCCTTGCTAATAAAGCGCGCACCAGCGTGACTGGATTACAGGGAGGACCAAAGCCTACATAGCATCCACAAGTTGATTAGATATTGCTCTATGTAACGATCGAGCCCCTTCGCCTGGCACATAGTGAGGCAAGGCCTTCATCACCAACGCCTCCACCTCCTGTGGGGATAATTCTCTGGCACTATCGCCACCCAAGGCATAGACCGATTCGGCGGCGATAGCTTTCTTCTCTTCCAAGGTGAATGGTACGAATGGAAGGACAGTGGTAACTCGGGACAGAAGCGACGCCTACGAGCATGCTTAGTACCTCATCAGTAAGGGACAAGTCAGTCATAAACGTACTCCAAGACACTCCGAAACTCGAGGGCGCAGGATGTCCATCAGTTGGAGGTACTCCTCACGTGTCAACGGCTTATCTTGTTCTGGGTGGTTCTGGTGATGTTCAAATACCAACTCGTGACCGATATTCGATGTTCCCAGCCAGATGACGTTGTGGACGTCTATATGGCGCGTGCCAGCTGCCAAGGAGCAACGTCCTGAAGCGAATGGTCAACAAGGAAGTGAGATCACGACCCAGGGGACTGACCGAGTTCCCAAGGCATGAGCAGAGACCATAATGCTTTCTGATCCTCTGTCTTTTCGATTTCCTGGAGGAAAATGAGATTTCATTGATAAAGCACCGGAATAATTGATATTGCGTACGTCAAGCACAACCACGCATCTCTTGCCTTCATTGGCTATGAAAAACTCTGCCAAGGTATACGACGAAGGTTCCTAAGGAAGTTCATGTAGAGTCGAACCGCAGGATGCAGGCGACTCAAACTTACCTCATAGGGGCTCATTGAATGCGATTGCCATATATCGTGCGTCGATCGAAGGGTAGTCATATTTACAGTATGCGTAGGGACTTCCAGTAGCGAGCCGACTGAGGGGTCCCATTTTGAGATTTTGTTGTCTCTCACAGATAACGACTCACATTTTCGGGCCAATAGGCTCTTCCCATGACCGCTAGGACCTGTATGGGTATCAGCCAGATGTTTGGACATGTCTGGACCGTCCTTACCGCACAGCAAGACCACTATAGGCGCTACAGCGAGGCGCTGAGAATGCATACTGAGGACCCGGAAAAGCTGCTCTAGTGCCCAGTCTTGACCTACGACGTCGTAACGCACACGCGTCAGAGGACGGAAAAAGGATCTATATATTAACCGCGATGTTTGCCGCGTATGTGCATTATCTGCTCGAGCAATAAAGTACCTGGGTTGGGGTAGGTAATCATCAAAAGAAAATCGCCATCTGTAACCTACCTCGTAGCGGGGTCCATTCCTTCCAGAGTAGTTTCGGGAGGGGGTCCAACATTACCCTCCTCCGCTCGAGCCGTTGGATTTAGCGCTGGATTTCGAAGCGCCGACGGATCTGCCCCATATGCAAGGAGGACTTTCACAATATCATTCCTGCGTGCTAATTTGTCGTTCGTAAGCGTGAAGGCAAGGGCTGACTGTGGTCCAACGGGATCATTTGGTCCCGCCTCGCCACTGTCAAGCACCTTCCGTACTTGTTCCACATCATCGCTCGCAATCGCAAAAAGGAGCGTAGGCTTCGGAGTAGCGATGGCATGTATAAGACCTTCCGAAGCGGAGGCAGGGCGGGGGATATGGTCACCATGAATTGATTGATCGGGACCGGGGCTCAGGGAACCGTCAATTTCCACCTCTTCACCTGGAACGTACGAAAAACTGAGTGTCGAATTACGCCTAGGAAGGCCAACGGTCAGCTGCGGTGTAACTACGAGAGTTCGCCCTATAGTTAGATAAACGCCATGAACTAGGTTGGGTTGGGCCAGAAGTGGAGGGTGGACTACACTGCGACCGGTTGTTGTTTTGCGACGATTGAAAGTGAGGGGAAACAGGCGAAGTGCGGGAGTAGTCCGTCAGATGATGCGAGGGTATTGCGGTTATGCTCAAGTAATGAATGACATGGTGACGAAAGCTTCAGATCGCGTGAGCGATTACTACCATTAAGGTGAGAATGACATACCAAAGGATTATGGCCAAGCGAAATTGTAGATGATAATACACTGGGTGATCGTATTGTAGATCCATTGATAAGGTTGAGTTTTGCTGATTCTCCGTTATCGACCGGTAAAAAACTGACAGTAAGCAAACTTACGAGATTGAGCAGATGCAATGCTAGAAGATGAAGTTGCCGAAGAAAATTTCCTCGTAGTATGGTTGGAGGACTGTTATGCATAAGCAGTCTATATGGGTTTGGAGCACGTTGGCGAGATTGTGCTTACCAGCCTGAGTGGCCTAAGACCCCTGCATGGGGGTGCAGAATGTGATCTAGGATGCGAAGACAATGACTCTTCGACTGCGGCCATATTCACAAGAGAGCGCTTTGAACATCCTGTGAATGTCGTTTTCAATGTCGCCCATCTCCAAGAATCCTGAATGCGACGTACCATCATCGCTAATTGGTGTCGGCGGGTGTGTAGAGAACTACATGTAGTTGTGATGAGCCAATGCACACTGATAGTTCCATCATGAGAAGTTACCTGTCGGTACCGAAGGGAATTCTGAGAGACAGATGTACTCCTAGCCTCTTTCGCCCTTGAATGCGATAGCGCTGAAACTGATATCGACCTATCCCTCGCAGAAAAGGCGTTCTGAGAAATACGGTCGCCGAAGAGAGATGCCTCAAGCAGGGACTTGCGGCCCGTGAGGAGCGGACGAAACACACTTCCTGAACGTGACAGAACCGACTGAGATACAGGTGGTAAGGCAGCAGCAGGCGGGGACGATGAACAAGGCGATGAACAAGGTGACCGCAATGCTATATGCTGACTTTCTTGGCTTGCTAGGATACCCGCGCCGCGCGGAGTGGAAGTCGTGTAGGAAGTGTTTGAATGAGTGTCGTGGAAGTCATCGCCCATATGTTGGTGGTCTGGTGAGTGCGGAGAAGATAGCTTGGAACACCCCTTTGTTGAAGCTTGGCCCAACCCGTCCGCAGCGGGCAGTGAAGGTCTTTCAAAAACCGGAGAATGCGCGAACAATCTATCTGCATCTGCTGGGCTCGCGTCGGTGCGACTTCTGTCTAAATCTTCGCTAGTAGAGGAGATCCCAGAAATGGCAGGCTTTTGCTCACTCGGACAAGCGTCGACTGCGAGGCCCGAGGGTGTATGGATCAGTTGCATACTGTGATTTTTCGCAATGGTAGGCGGAGATCGCATATCACCTACGCCGTCCTGAGGGACTTGCTGGAAGGTGACATCGTCCTCGAGAAAAGCCGATGGAGTAACACTTTCAGCAGTCGGCGCTGGAGGCATGGGAAACTGCAACACTCCTTCAGCTGGGACCAGATCGAATGAGGCGACTGTTTCCTGAGGGACGTTGTGGCCATCTGTTTCAAGGTCTTGAACAGCCTTCAAATATCCCTGCCTTGTCGGTGCAGAGTAACACGGCGGAAAATTCGCGTCTGTACCAATAGCGGTGTCCAACTTCTCGTAGTCACCAGTCCCACCCAACTGAGGTGAGTGAGACCTCTGCTCGATGCTGGCTATACTCTGTGAAGGTGCAAGGACCTGTTGATGTAACGTGTCGTCATCTGTCACACTCCAAAACATTTCCGACTGCATAACATGGTCTGCATTTGCAGGGTTGGGCAAAAATAGACATTCTTCGACGCGTGAGGAGTCACCATCTTGAGAAAACAAAGAAGTGTTCGGAGTGGAAGAGCCTGAATGGGAAGAGAGCAGAGAGTCTTGCCTCAATAACGAGACTCGAGAAGACGTGACGCTGAAATCAAAGGACGGCTGGGCGGACAGAGCAGGGCGAAATGATACACTCTCGTTATTCGTAGGCTGCACAAAGGGCTCCCCGGATATTGAACACCCAAAAGTGCCCGATGGGGGAGTAACTGTAGCCGTAGACGAACCTGTATTAGGTGGTGCGCTCATTTCACCTTCGCATGCCTCGCGTAGGACAGCAGGGTTAGAAATCTTCATAGTTGGCGACGAGCAATCCTCGACATCGGATGAAGAACTCTCGTAGATGTCTATTATGGAGGAAGTACCATCGTCGCTATCTTCCGTGTCTTCGGGTACACTCGCTTCAATAGACCCCGTGGAAGGTGATGGATGGCCACTGGACATACAATACGCGAGTTCGCATTTTTGCATCTGAGGCAGGGCAGATGACAAACTATGGGAGTACCCTGAGCTGGAAACCAGATACGGCAGTGCTTTTGGCGGAGGTGACTGTGACAGTGGCTCCGGGTCGATCCAACTATCGCCCTCCGCGTAACCGGAGTCTATTGAATCCCCCCTTTGAGGAAGATAACGGACCGAAGATAGCGAGAAGGGGCGCAGCTTGGCGGACAACTGGACAGGTGACAACAAGTCAGGGGTACGAACTTGCATCTGGGTATCCAGCGGGCTACTTGCGAACATTTTGCCACAGGTATCTTGAGGGGAGGCCAATAGAGATACACCGCTGAACGGTGACGCCACAGAAGTAACACTCTGTCTTCCAAATGGCATCGTTGTTGGCTCCTGTTCGAACTCCCCCGCATCGTACTCCATCGTAGCTACTTCTTCCGCCTCAACTACGTGGGATACACCATTATCCTCGCAGGGCTGGGCAGCATCCACCTCGTAGGCGAGGTACTCCACAACCTCTTCGCTGTTGACCGCCGCAGACAAAGAGCTAGACTCGTCCAATGTTTTGTAGGTAAGTGATGGATTTACGTAGGGTGAACCGCACCCGGAAGGGACTGTCAGTTCAGTGCCATCGAGAGGGAGAGCTGGATCCGAAGCTATGCTCGAAATACTACCCTCCGAGCCACAGTGGCCGACAAGAGTCGAGTCAGATTCCGTAATCACAGTACTGTTACTGCTCGCTGTCACCAAGTGGGACGACGGGTCGGAAAGCATCGCGTCCACGCCGTGCTGGATGGGACCAGTTGGATCGGGGCCAATGACATCCTCCAGAACCGACAAAAGGCTCGAATAACGCGAGGAATGAGGGACAGGTCTAGAAAGGCCTTCAGAGGGGGAGCTGCCGGCGGCATTCACAACAATGGCAGGGGGGTCGCTGGAGTTGCTTGGAAGGAGATTGCATTGCGAGGTCGTGTGGGCCACTGTGAGGTCGACGACGGGGGCCCTCACCTTAATATCGTGAAGGAAGTTGCACGAATCTGCAAAGAGACACCGTCCTTGAGAGTAAAACGGACACGGACGCGCTGCGAAATCGATCAGAAGGTCAGAACTCGGACGCGACGAACGCGACCAGAGGGGACACCCACTTCTCTTCCTCCAAGCTGGTTCTCGAATTGACATTCCAACGGATCATTGAGCGCTTGCTAGCGAGACTTGCTATACATCTACTGGCTAAGGCAGCTCGACTCTGTGAAAGTGGACGACCCCTACGTTACGGTGATTTGTGGGTCCTTGTTTTGGCGGTTCATACAACTGCCCAACGTCAGCCACCTCATTCCCTTACAACCCGGTTGTTAGACACCGGCTGGTCTGACATGGCAGCGCGCTTTCCGAGAATTCCCCGCCTTGTCCTTTTCTCTGGTCCCAACTGCTCTCTCTGCGATGTCAGTCTGAGCTCTTTGCGCACCCAGCCTAGTCACTGACCGAGATGAAGATCGCCAAAGCTGAACTCGCCAAAGTCAAGGCTCTAGTGAGAACTACTAGGACCTGCTATATGCAAATCACGATTGACCTTTGTAGCATGACTTCGAGTTACAGGTGATCAACATCCACGATAGAGGACAGGAAATGTGGAAGGGGAGATATGTCTACTGGATACCTGTACTTCACCTGGACGGAGAGGAGATAGCCAAAGGTTGCTGGGGTGCTTCAACGGTGCTGACGGCTTTGCGAGAGCGTTATTCAGGACTGGATTCCGGGAGCCCACCAAAATAGATTCCGTTTGGTACTACGATGTCTACCTTGAACTCAGTCGCAACACAGGATGCGCAAGGAAAATAGTCGTCCCTGCTCCGCTATGGTGTATTCGCAGAGGCACCGCGACCAAATTTCCTCCGTGTAGCATTTGGTTGGAAAGCGACAACGAATCCTTCCACTATAAGGAGTCGCAACAACGCCTCAAACATACCAAGCACATATTCCCTGTCATGGGTTCCCGTACTGTTGCTATCTCTGCCGTTGACGACCACACTGGCCACCTTGTTGCCGGGCTTCTCCTTAGCGACTTCCAATTCTTGTCAAAGTTGAACAGCTTTATGATCTCACTTTGGCTCCTGATAGATGCAAAGATCTCCAGGAATTTCGTCTAGAGTTGATTATACAAACCCGATGACCACACGGGCTTGGTTAAAGTGCTCATGGAATCCGAGGCGGGCACTATTTCTCATCCCGCCTGCTCACGAGCATAAGAAAAGCTTTCTTACCAAAATGTCGAGGCCGCTAATGAGTACGTGGTGAAAGTGCGAACGCAATTTTGCAGTTTCGTCAATAAAACACAGTTGACAGCGAGACTAAAGCTACACATACAAATAAAAAGTGCCTTCTAACATAAGTAAATGAACGAAGGGCTGGCTAGAAGTTCGACCGGATCAGTATGTAGTACACATCTACAGTGTCTGCGAGTGGTCCAAATGGTCATAATCTCATATAGCAGTATCGCTAGAGTTGAAGTGTGGCTGAGGCGTTGAAGAACGCGAGGACGTCGATGGCGCGCTTGTGGGACGAGCAGCGTAGCGGGGCAGGGTCTCCAATGGCTTTGAGATCAGGAAACCTAAAAGATGCAAGTATGTCAGACAACGGTAGCGATCTCCCAAAACGAACTAGACCGACCTTTCATTCCTGCTGCTTTTTCACCCTGACGCCCGAAGCCATATCCAGCACGGCCACGGGCGGCACCAAACTCACTCATATCGCGTTTCTCATCGCAAACAGTGGTCGAAGCATAAGACTGCGCCGACGTGCAGGTCGTGGAGCGGTTGAGGTCCGCGGCAGGTGGCAGATGCGAGGGAAGGACTATCCCTGCTTCCGTCGCGCCACAACGTGATGGAACGCTTCTCCTTTACTGACTCCCGAAAGATGAGACCCAGGAGCATATTTAAGCAGGCTACGACAAAGAGGAAAAACGCGGCGACGAAGGTGAAGTCATCCACATGCTGAGAGAGAACCGCGGCGCCCATGCTAACATCGATAAGAAAGAATGCCACAAAAAAAGTGTGATGGGTACTTACAATCCCTGGAAAATACCAAGGGCACCCAAACCGAAATTGGAGCCGAGAACGGGGAAGAAACGATCAAAGAGCGGCATAGGCCAGCCAACTTCAGACATGATGAGGATTATAACTTGGAAGATGATAAGGAGGCGGTTGACGATGGCCCAGAAGACGCCGCCTAGTTGATTGGGAACAGTGCTGTTCCTGTTATGAAGAGTAAGACAAGGGAAATCGGAAACGTGCAATTCCTTTACTCAATGTAATCGCAGTTAACGAGGTCCACGTTGGTAGTGTTGCTACTCTGCTTGGACTCATAGGAGTTCACAGCTTCGATATCAGTGACCATGACAAAGATGCTGCTAGCGAAGACGAGAAGAAGTGACACGATGCTCAATACACGGGCAGCGTTGAGGGCGAAGAAGATGTCTGTCGGGCATAAGACCACATGAAGGGCATACCAAGGTAAACCTGCTCACAAGTCTTTACAGGTGCCATTGAGTGCTCTCTTTAGTATTGCGTTATTTGAAGGAATGCAAGGAGGCAAGGCTGGAAACGAATGATAAGGTGACCCAGCACCGGACTGAATGGACTTGAAGACTAGGAGAGAAGGAGAAGAAAAAGAGATACAGGACAAGAAATAAAGTGCATGGGGTGCTTGCCATATTCCAGCCTTTATACTTAGATGCAAAATGAGCGGCATCTTATTGTTCTCTCCGGAAAGCCTTCGCGACGAACAAAAGCTTCCCGCACAATGGACCACCCGGTTATTACCTCATATGGTTACCGGAAGCATTGCAAGGTCGGCTTAGCAATCAACCATAAACAAAGCCAAAAATATTGGAATCGATTATACACGATTCCGGAGCGTCAACAGTTTTCGGGAAGAGCACATTAACGCACAGCATATACCGTCAGACACGAAAAATGTTAACAAAGACTGGAGGCGGATTAATTGGTCAAGTATATTATGTAGCCCAAAGGAAAAAGATTGACGCCAGACCAAGTACTACTACACACGTTAGGTTGGAGACCTAATTATTGGCAAGGACAACTACCTAAAGTAAATGATCGATTAATCAGAAAGCCCTTGGATTTAATGCCTAATAGTAATGTAGGCTTTAACTGGGGGGGATACAGTCATCACGGGAAAAAGGGTGAAGGAAAATGTTAAGGATGGTGTGAAAATGGCCGGCGACTGTACAAGGTATTAGCATTAATTGAGATGGCATGATGGAAACAGGTCGCAGAACGCACGAGTACAGTCCATAAAGACGGCCTAGGAAACACGGAGAATGTCAGTTGGCCTCCAGCACTTGTGCGTACTTGAAAATTTCCGGCAGAAGCAAGCACACCACCCTCAGTCAACCATAACACTCTCTCCAATCGATATCCTCCGTCGTCGTCCAGCTTTGGGTCCTGCCGTCTCTTGCGGCGATACTGCAGGCTCTGTGTCCTTTAAAACTTCATCCGGTTTAATGTCGACCACAGTCACCCGAATAGCGACCACCTTTCTCTTGGGACGCAGACTTCCTTCTGACTCTTTGCAACAACCTAATACCCGCCTTTTTGGCAAACCTCCCAAGAACGATGATGGGATCCTCCCCTATCTCCTCCGAAGATGGATCGATAGACCACAGCGGTTTCCGTCCTTCTTTAGAAATACGTGAATGGCGTGTGCGCCCCGAAACCCCAAGAGGGGGGATGGAGCGCTTCCTGGTTGACTCGGTCTTTGGCAGAGGTGCGAATCTGACAGTCGGTGATGGTTTCGTCGAAGAGCATGAAGATCGTTCAGAGTTGGGTGCTAAAAGAGTTGGGGAGTTGCGGATGTGCAAATCGCAGGAACGGGTTTCGGATGAGAAACGGCGATTGGTCACAAGGACGGTAGCATGGTCCTCGAGATAGGGCTTGTTCTAAGGCCAACTCTGCGACTCCAGAATTCATGTCGTCGGAAGCTGGGGTAATTTATGAGAAACGAGTGTAATTAAAGTGAACGTGACTCGAGGGGGGGGCTAGAAGATTTCAAATCGCTGCCCGGTTTCGAGAGCAGCACAGCAGCAGTCGATACTCGATCTTGTCGTGGCTAGGAGGAGAAATACCTCTGGCATTCACCAGGCCAGGGTTTTTTGGATCCCAGTGACAACTTTGACAATAAGTAGTAAGTCCTAGTATCATTTACAGCTGGCTTGATGCAACTAAAAATTGGCAGCACGTGACATCGATAAACACGCGAACGACAAGGCAGGCCAGAAGTTCAAAAACGTCATGATATGACCACCGCACGCACGGACTCGCAGACCATTCAATATGGCCGAAGGAGATCGAACACATTGCAGTCTACCATTGGAAACCCTCCGCCAGCCCCTTTGAAACATGGGGATTTCAAGGTTCTAAACACCTGGGTCCATGAACCGAAGGAATCACCCAAAGTCATTTTCAACCAGTCTTGGTGGCCTGGTGTGGCGGAGGGCGATGTCCTCCGCATAACTGCGCCACAATCCGAAGACTTTTCCGGGATTCTCTTCACCGTTCCAAAAGATGAGGGTTGCTCCAAACCCGACACTGCAGGTTACTGTTTTCTACATGGGTCTCAGCTGCATGACAGTTCACTACTCATTTAGATTTCACTTCCTAAGAATGCCGCGGATGTCTTTGGTTTGAAGAACAACACTGAGGTCACAGTAACCAAGGTGCTGTTTGTCGCAAATGTTCGGCGCCGAATCACTGAATTCCTTTGCCAGGTGGACAGGGAGGAGTACTCGGTCGATTATATCGAGTTTACTTTTCAGGACCAGTACCTTGGGTCGTAATGACATGTGGAGACTTGGTGAACATCTCGTGGGCCAGTGCGTATTCGTCGAGCAGGAGATATCTTTTATTGGTGTCATAGCCGCCAAAGTACAGAATATCTACGTTAACGGTAAGAAGGTGAGCCTTTTTCATATTCACGTACCAGAGGACGTAATCGCATGATCACTTATTCCAGGTATCGGCCGGCTATGTAACCTCAAAAACCAAAGCCATTTATCGGTCGCTATCTGCCAAAGTGACCATCTTCATCCAGGTTTGCCGCGAACTTTGGGAATTCGCTGGTGATGGAGAGCGCTACAACGAGAAAATTATTCATTCATATCTCCCTGCTTTATTTGCTAAATGGCGAGAAGCTGGCACAAACCATACTGTCACAATCGTGCTGATTTCGAGAGTTTTCTATGATGAGTCCGAACTTGAGTACGCGGCGGGCCCCCTGCGTCGTGACGAGGACGGCAATTGGTACAAAGATTTTTACAAGGTAATAACAGACCTCGAAGTCATCAATGACTGGAAACCTACCCTTGTTGATCTCAAAGACTCGTTCTGGGCATTCCAACGCGATATCCTGTTAACTCACCATTATCATCAAGCATTCGTGGAGTCTACTACACCAGATCAGGCGCGGTTGGTGGGAAGGATATCATATGCCCACGACGGACCTATTCTTGAATCCTTGAACCTTGCTCTGAACCCGAACGAAACTCATTATATCGATCGATCCCTTTCTTTGACCTGGAACTGCAACTATCCTAATCACCCCGGGGACAGGTTATTTCCGAGTGTCGAAGCCCCTTCTGCGTCTCACGACGACGCGAATGCTTGACCACGGCTTTGGCCTTGATCTGGTTTGCCTTGCTAAGCGGCCTTTGCACCAGAGTCCCATTTTCAGCTTTCGGGGTTACGATCCAAAACCTGATAAAGACGGGAAGAACGGCAGCCGCACCGCCGACCCGCTCTGGGGCGGAGACGAGATCCCAAACGATGCGACAAGGCGGGAAAAGGTGACGTTTTGGTGGGAGCCTTTCTGGATCGGTGTCACTTTTTGGGATAAGCAGATGGATCTTCCCTTCCGACAGGGCAGGTAAGTTTTGCTACCCCTTCCCTCGGTAGGCCCAACCCAACAGCCTGCCATCTCCAGGTTCATCGCGAGGGCCAAAATGCATGAAATACAGATGCTAGGTCTGCTCGCACATGACGTCCTTGCAAACATCGAGATCCCGTTCCTCCCGGAAATTCGTGATCCAACATCTTCACCCCCAAGGGAGTCTCTTGTAGAGCATAGAGCTCCGACGGCAGCGGAAGCAGAGCAAGCTGACATGGAAGTATTTGTCTCCAAGGAAGTACCTCGGCCATTGCACATTAATCGTACTTCGTATGCCTCCAGTTCGAATGGAACGGTTGGCACTCTCACCCATCGTCCATCAACAGCAAGTGAGAGAAGGGCTATGGCGTCGCAGCGTGGGTCGATCACTTCGAGCCGCATTGCACCCATCTTAGAAAGCCCTCGACGGATTTTCATGGATTTACCCCGTGAAGGCGATGACAGTCTAATTCACTCGTTAACTGGACGTAGCACGTCACCTTCGCAGTCTTCCCTGAGATCTGAGAGGACTTCCGTACCCTCCGCTTTTATGGAAGGTCCTACAACGACGTCTGAGACCACCTCGTCTCGCTTGGCGAAGCTTGCTACGTCTTGGTTCTACAATCCCTTTAGAGGTGCGAACGAGCCACAGGCACCGAAGGCCGAACGACCTTTCTTCAAGCGGGGGTCAGGTTACCCCGACACCTTCCATCCGGATCCCGAGAGCTCCCGCAGTTCCAGTGACTCCTTCAGTCTCCATCGCTCGTTCTCCTCGACCAATGGCTATCCTACATTCTGCCTCTGGCGGGCCAACAGTGAGCCGTACCTATGACGAAGACTCTGCGATACCGCACCACGGATCCTTTAGGCGGCACTCGCCACTCAACAGCCCGCAGTGCGACGACACATCGTTCGGGGTGCGTCGTAGAGCAACGCTCACATCTTTAAATGTTCCGCTTTCGTCTTCGTTCCCATCCACGAGCTCGCATGCGAACCCTTCGCGTCCACAGTCTGCTGTGTCTTACGCGCAGTCTTCGCTCGCCAGCCGCTGGAAACACGTTTTCCCGATGCCAGTATACAAGCACGAGGTAAAGTGGGCCTCCATGGTCACACCTGCCTGCCTCCCACTCACTGTGGAGCACTTCCCGAGCAATGCTGAGCTCGAGTCTTCTTATGACGTATTTTCGTACGACTTTGTAGTGGACCCCACGGAGATGCGTTCATTTATGGTCAAGGCTCCAAATGTTATTGGGACGGTGGATCAGATTCGTCGAGCATGGGCATTAGTCGTGATGCGCGGCATGGTGGCGGTCCGACTTGCACAGGGCTTCCAGTTTGTCATCCGCCCGCGCAATGCCACCGCAACTGATGGAAACGCGAAGATCACGCGGCATTCTAAGTCGTTTCTGGGTGAAGAAGACGCAACGCCGAAACCGGGTGGAGCGGCTGAGGTGCTGCTCTCTACTAATGACCCTGTGTATCTGAGTATGAGCAACGAGATCCACCGACTGTCGTATACGGGGGAGGCGATCCAGGTACGGCGGTACGTGAGGAGGATGCCACCTTCTCAGCCAATTGATTACGAGTGCTTGATTTGGCCCAAGCTGGGGGTTGGGTACACGGAACTCCAGACCAAGTTCGTATCTCATGGTCTTGAGAATTATGGCTGGAATAGGTGTGCGGTTTGTCATCTCCCGAAGGTGTCTGTTTGACGTCTCAAAGGCTAGACATGTTGGTCGCGGGATACGAACATCAATTCAACGAGTCCTTGCGATACTGGCGCACCAGGTTCGTAGTAATTCCCTCTGCCGACCCGCCTCAGGTATATACGGGTCCATCTGGTGAGAAGCTGGACGAAGAAGAAATCCGTTTGATGGGTATCGACAAGCTGGCAGAGATGTTTACTAAAGCCCGTTGGCAATTTCTGGACGAACGCGGTCAACAAATGACTCCTGTGCGGTTCCTACCGACTACTCTGGGACCCGTGCACTCCGTTGTGGACGAATCGTTGATGGCACAACTCGATGAAATCCATGCCTGCAGGTCCATTAAAGAAAAAAATGAAGAGCGAGCGGGAGATCGCGGATATGTCTCTCATTGCGATTCGCCAAGGCAATGCGAGAGGAGGATGGGGTGCCGATCAAGTTGCACAAGTGGCATAGAATGAATTTTCCAGATTCGTTCACTGGATTCGACTTCGTGTCGTGGCTCGTTCGTGAATTCAGGGATGTCTCGTCGAGGGAGCAGGGTGCGGAATGGGGGACTAGACTTCTCGAGCAAGGTCTATTTGTCCACTGCACCGGCCGGCATGGATTTCTGGATGGGTAAGCTGACGGTCCTATATCATGGTTATTGATTCATAACCATCCCGTCGGAACAGGCATTACTTCTACCAGCTGAACGGAGAGTGCGCAACTGTCAGTACGCCCAGAGGTTGGTTCAACAAGCCTCGCCACTCGTCTAATGAGGACACCTCCACCGGGCGAGGTTATAGCATGTCCAACCAGAGCAAACCAAGTGGAATCAGCCCTAAGCGAAATAAGAGGCAACTCATCTTGACGCAGAGCATGATCATCGACGCCGATTTGACGAAGGTCACCCCTATCCTCCCACCTTATTATAGACATATTGACATTGATGTATCACAGAAAAGCGACCAAGCGGAGTCGGTTATTCTGCACCATGACATCATCCAGAACCCTGGCACAGTCTTCCATTTTGAGTTGCAGTGGATCGGGTCGACTGCTCGATGCATCGACGACATGCTCCGTCAATGGGGCAGAACTATTGAGAAATATGGGCTCAAGCTTGTTGAAGCGTACGTAACTGAAATCAGCGACATCCGGGAACGCAACCCATTTCAGTCGTGTTTCCCCATACGCTTATCCCTGCCTATTCCTGTCGTGCCAGACTTGGAGAGGAGGGTCCCTGAGGGAACACAGACTACGCACTACATGGAATATGCGCTGTTGAAGCGATTTGGGTTCATTGTCGATATCGAGTCGACTAATATGTATCCCCGCGACGTGGACGTGGTATACTCCTATCGCAGGGCACCGTTCAAGTATTCACAGTTCGTACACCGATCAGGAGTTGCCTTCGTTCAGGTGCTAGGGGACTCACAGGGGTTTCTCTTCCTGACAAACCGCCTCATGGGTAGTGGGAGGATGGGTACGACACTCAAAAGCAGGGATCCCAGGCCCGCAGCAGCAGCTGAGAGGATCCGGATGAGGCTCCAGGAGTTTTGTGGTGATAAAGCAGCACTTCTCAGGTTCTACGAGGAGGAAATTGCAGCTCTAGGCCCTGACGAACCGCCCCCGCTAAGCATATGAATTATTTCCATACTGTCGATATGTGTGAAAGCTAATTTTGTGACTGGGTAAATGAGTGGAGATCGATAAGTTACACATGAAGCGGGCGGATGTGTCTAAGGTGGGAGTGCAGGATCAGGACACACTACCCGCACTCACGACAATCTCACGTCCGTTAGGCCCGCACGGAACGCCGCTGAGGGTCTCGTGAGAGGGGTTTCCGCATATCTGTAAGATGAACGGTGAAAACCACAACGGTAGGCAAAGCCAACATTGAGACTCACCGAAAGCGTCTTCTTCATCTCGGCCACCTCTCCCCACGCCTAGACTTGCCGTAATATTCCCTGACCCTTCTATAGACGGAATAGCCGAAGCCCTCATACATGGATACAGCGAGAGCGTTGTTACATCTCACATAAAGATCTACGAAGAAGCCCTTGTAGTGTTGGTCGGACACGAGCTCGAGACGGGAGACCATGTTTCGAGCGAGTGACAACCGCCGATATTCGGGGGCCACAGTAAGGGCGGTGATATGACCGTGCCATTCAGTGGAGCTTCCCTCCGCCTTTCCCAAGACTACGGGCCGTGAATATGAGCAGAAGCTGAAGGGAGGGAGATCAAGAAGCGTACCTATAGCCCATCATGCGACCGTTGGGAGCTTCTTGGACACAACACAAGTCCGGCCAGCGAGCGAGATAGTCGAGATAGAAGTTGATTCCGTACTAAGAGCATGCCAATCAGGTTGCGCAAATGGGTCATCACATGCAGCGACTCATTACCGTCTCTGTCCAAATGTCCAGGTTGCTTCAACTTGGGTTAGCAAGACGAATGAGTGTCTGACAGTCCATCCTCCACCGCCCTGGGATAATATCTGTCAAGACTCACATGTTATTGAACTTGAACATGTCCATCGCAGAGAATGCTCTTAGGACGCTCATTTTTTTGTTCTTGAATCAAGTGGACGCAATGCAGACCAGTCGAAGTGACAGTACCCTCGTGTCATATTGCCTAATTTGGATGGTATCACGGTTCTGTGCAATATCGTGAAGTACCATTGGGGTGGTTATCCGGCGGCACCTGAGATAAGTAGTGGTCAGCAGAATATTTCCTGTGAAAGGAAAATGAGGAAAGCGTGAAGGAACAAAGTCGTCATTCCCAGGGTGGAGCGGTGGAGTCCCACCTTTTCATATCTTGCACTCTCACGTCGTGTGACGCACCAAACCGTTTTCTGTCTGTTATCAGCTCATAAATGGTGTTGTCGCCCACTTCCACTACGATAAGAGCCATCATCTATTCACATACTTACATACATATATGAACTCGTGAAATGGAAGGACGATGAATGGGCAGGCGAGTACAGGGGCTATTTCTCCGCATTTGTTAATCATCCTCGGGGTCCCGGTAGGCCAAAGACCTGACCACAGGAGGACGAGACCCCGGAGCCCTCTAATTCTGCCATTTTCCTCAACCGTAATAGACGCGCGAACTCGCCCCGTCGAATGTATCAGCAGTTCGCCGCATCGACGTCAACCGATTATGGCCAGACGATAATCGGTGCCCCTGTTGCAGGTCCAAGCACTGTCGCACCACATGCGACGACCACGACGCAGTCTACCACCTCGACCGCGATGGCTGCTACTAACCCCGCTGGCGTTGCTGGCAATGCAGGTACTACAGCTCTTTCTCCACTCCACCAGAAACCTCAGCCACTGGTCGCAACTGGCGACTGGGCCAGCGAGCTCGTCCACCTTGCCAAGACGGCAGAGTTGAAGTGGGTTCTCATTTTGCTTTACTTGCTGACATGTACTTTCCGTCTCCCGAAGACGAGGCGCGAGCGGGGGCATGGATGTGTCTCTGGTACTGTACATATATCCTTTTGGGACCGACTGACACTATTTCAGGAAACACTCATTGACACTGCAGTTGCACACCGCGCACATCGTATCTGCCCATGCTACACTTGAGCAAAAGGACAAGGCGATACAAGATATCAGGGAACAGAAGAATAAGTACGTCTCTCTGACCATATATAGCATGTCGCGTTCTGGTGGTCTGACGTCCGTTGTCGGTGGACATTCTTGCAGACTTGATAGCGAGAGAATACGTCTTTTAAACTGTCTGGCGGAGGTCCGGCTTGTCTACCCCCGTCGCATCAAATCACTAATCGAATGGGTCATCCTTTAAATAGATAAACGCAGATCGCGACAAAGTATGCATGCAACAACCATACCTGCCCCATTCTAATGCCCCGTGCAGGCCGACTTGATGGAGGCGTCCTTAGCGCGAGAGTACGTGCTTAATATATGTCTGCTGAAACCATCCGTTATAACAGGAGATCGACAGATGCGCGGAACTGCGCCAACAAGTTGGTGCGCTCCAAGAGGGGGAATATGCCGTTGCGAAACGGGACGTGGACCGTCTCCGGGTCGAACTTGGACAGCCTCCGCTGCCACCTCTTCAGACAACGCTAGACGAGAAGACATCCCAGTGAGTAGGCCACTGTATCTGATCGTTGTCCTGTGTACGAGAGCGATGATGGCGGATCCGTCTTCTTACTTGGTGTGATCCGGGACCGGATCGACTGTCAAGGGCAACCTTGATTGGTTGCTATCTGCTTTCTGCGATACAGAATGTGTGCTGATGCAACGGACATGCGACGTCGCAGGTACCTACGTGAACGCCGGATGAATGGGGAGAAGCGTATAACGAGTGACACGCCACCGGATGTACAGCCTATAGCAAAGCGACCTCGAGGACGACCAAAGGGCAGCAAGAATCGTGGAAGCAAAGTGGCGACGGGTTCAGGAGGGAGTAGTGCTACATCGGGTGGTGCATGAATGGGGCGGATCGACTCATGACAGTGAAAAGGTCTCGTGTATGTATATTTGTGTACATATGTGTAAGTATACGGGACCCGCCCTGTTCGGGGGGCAGATCAAAACGAGGCTGATTATGTCATGCCGACGGTAGAGTAAGATGAGAAATCAGTGCCGAAGATGGTGCCGAGAGTAATAGCTTTTGGGATAGTAATTAGGTAATACATCCGGCTTTCTAATGGAGCCGTGCGGGTGTGTCGTCGACATTTGTGTGCCCACGCACTCACAGCGGCTAGCTGTGACTCGGGTGTGTGTCGTTCTCTTCGTCAGAGTACAATCATGCCTTTCTCGTCACCCTTGCAACCCTTATATATCCCCCCCTCTTCCCAGTCCATGTGCTCTTTGCCACCTCTTCTAGTCCCTCCTCAGCACCCATCCTCATCAGCATCATGGTTGCCCTCCACCGTCCCACCGTCCACAGTGCCAGTCTCGTGGACCCTGCTCTCCACTCCCCCGCCTTGCTCGACTTGCTCGAGATCAAGCTCTCCAGGTCCATCATCGGTAAATATGCCCGCTTATCTTACTTCGGCTCCCTGTCTCACCTACCGCCACCACAGAATATGTGGTCGATTGCACCGCAGATACCGTTAACTATGCGATGGGCCGTCCCTCGTCTTCACACCGGGGTCGCTCTGTCGCCCGCCACTCTGACTACACCCCGTTCACAACCTTCGTGACCAAAGTCCTCACTCGTGCAGAGGTATCTATCCCAACCCTCTTGGTCACCCTCGTATACATCAACCGTGCCAAGCCCCATCTTCAAATTGCCCTCGAGGAATGGGCTTGTGAACGTGTCTTCCTTGGCGCTCTCATAATAGCTCACAAAGTATGCCTCTTTCCCTCTCCCACTGTTCTGATCTTGATGTGATGTTTGCAGTACCTTCATGATTCTACCCTCAAAAATGTGCAATGGGCGTTCTGCACCGGCGTTTTCGGAAAACGCGACACCGGTCGCATCGAGCGCGAATTTCTCCAAGTCTTGGACTTCGAGCTGTCTATCTCCGAAGACGATATCTTAAGCCACCACGACTCCCTATCTGTCATTGCGCTCCCTGTAAACCGCTACAGGCACCAACGCCACTTGGCTCGCGCGCCCTCCACTCATCCAGTTCATCGTCAGAATGACCACAGCGCCACTTGTCCCGAGTTGGCACCTTCTAGTCCCAAATCCTCATCCTCCGGAAGCTCGTCCTCGCCTTGCACCCCAGAACCAGTCGTATTCACCGCCGATGGCACGACACATAAACCACCTGTTGATCTGGTGGTTGCAGACGTACCTCCTCCGGTGCCACCGAAAACTGCTTCCACACTCGATATCTTGCGGGCTTTCCCTCCTCCCTCGAATTCACATTCACACATGGCTCCACCACAATCAGCATCTTCATACCTACATAAACCTCGCCACCATTCACGCTTCGCAGTAAATTCTATGACGCAGGCTACAGCGTAAACTCGATTCCTTGCCTGCCAAGCCTAATCACTTTTCGCACTCCTTACCATTTCACAACAAGGTCTCCTCTCCTTTCGTTTTTCGCCCTCAAATTTAGACCCTTGATATGCACTATTGAATATAACTGCTAAGCTATAACAATCATCAGTCAATGAACTATTTTGAAATTGAAAGGCACTTGAACTGAACATGTCACCGCCCGTTGCAAGTGAAGGATGGTGTGGATGTGTATAGCAATACATGTCGTACCACGCGTAGGGCTGTACCTGCTGTACGACGTTACCCAGGGCGCCGGATCATTACAACGTGGCCAGACCAACGAACCTTTGGGAGGGTGCACACGAACTTGGGCCTAGTGATTAGTAATGGATATGTGACATGCCGAATGTTCTCATTCGTAAATCGGCCGAGTCGAGCATGTGTCATTGTCGTCCGTTGATGACTTCGTCCGTATGGTGAGTATTACTGTAGTATTTTTCACCCGAGACAGCGTAATAATCTGATGATTAAGATCCTTAGATCTCAGTAATGAATAACGTCAATAGTATTCAGCGGAAGACTCGTGCTGAGTCACGCCATGGTACCGCTTATCTAATCCAATGGCGGTCCTGTCAAGTTCTACACAGGTACAGTAATTGGTTTAACTTGAAGAGGAACCAGGAACTTACTCGGGCGAAACGACACGGCGAGATCGGAGACCCACAGGAGAGTGGATAGAGCGTCGGAAACGGAGCAGCCATAGAGGAAAACACCGTGACAGCCATCATGATGGGGTGCCCTAAGTGGAGACCGCCCGCAGACGATTGGACTTCCCTTACTGTCAAATCACTAATGTCACTAACTACCTCTGGGCTTCTTGCAGGCCGCAGGCGATATTTCGCTTATTTCAGTCACTGCGGCCTGCGAGAGCACATGAACTCAGGTGGTACCAAGTCCTTCAAATATCAATGCGCAGCTACTTTTATCTAACTTATCCCTGGCGCAGCTGAGTATTCGAGATCCTATCAATCCGGCAACTTTGCCGATGTGGACGTGTAGGACAGAATGAACTCAGTGACTCGAGGATCACGCAACTGCTATTGTGCACCATAGCCATCTATCTTCCTGAGCGAGCCACGATGTAGATGTTACAGTCTTCTTTGGCAACCCGCGTATAGCGGGAACCGGTTACTTCGCCCCCCGCGACACACGAAACAACTAATAATATAGTCTCTAGGATACCTATGCTTGACGTTTTCCGGGCGAACCGGCAGACTCACAATGTTGCGGTGTCCCTCATGCCCCGACTATTCGGCCTACGTTGCGGAAACCGATCCATAGCTAATGATGTTCGGGAACAAAGACAGGGGGGATTGCGCCTATCGTCCGCAATATCAAGTTCTCGTAAGTTTTCGGACGACGGAGTTCGGAACTGGCTAATGGCGAAACATTCAAGCACAATTTTTTCTTGCGTCAACACGATCACCGCCCATCAAACGAGCCTAGGGTCACCAACGCGACTTGGTTTCCAAAGGTATTGGGACAGTGACTTTTGACATCAGTCTGGCCATGTTGCACGTATGTACGTCGATCTTAGGCCTTCAGGGATGGTACACGTGTAGTTGCACTCCAGGAGTAGATTCAGGAACATGGCATCAAAGCTGTGCTTGCACGTGCTTTGGTTAATTCGAATTGTCGTATTGCGCAGGGTAAAGTACGAAGCGGCATGTGATCATTGGGCAGCGTTCTATTGAGGCGACATGGTGGTACAGCGGCGGGGTAGGCTTAAGAGTACTGGGATGTCATGGCACTGCTCGAGCAGTCCTATGGGATGTAGATCTTCGAATACCCTTCCACACTAGATAAATTGGTCTATCAGCCGGGCAAACACCCCGAGCCGCAAGAAGTAAGGTACGCACCTTCGTCGGCAACAAGGGCACATATGCTTCGAAGCTGAGGAGCGGGAAGCGAGGTTCTCCCGGCAATCGTCGCATAACGCAAAGCACCTGCACATATCCACACACACAGGTGCATGATTCAAGCGTCACCTAATCACGGGCGTACGGGTAAAGGATTCATGCACGTACCGGCATGGCCAGCATATAATCTGGCGTGGTTCTACTGTACAAATGACACAGTTGTGTCTAAACTCGTTACAGCTTCCCGATCCCATCGAGCTATCACTCGAGTTAGTCGCTGCCATGGACACTGGCCGCCGTGCACGTATTACTTCCATCCACTCATCCTCAGTTTGGTTTTGCGAGCTCGTCGCCAAGTGACCAGATAGCATCCGGCTGAACCGTCGCCTCGTCAGCGGCGTGGAAGAGGTGTCCGCCATATGTGCCAATAGGTGTGATGGGGACGTCGATAAGGGCACAGCGGAGGACAGGTCAGCGTAGAGGTTCATAGTCTCCTGTTGAGAATCGCTTTCGTCGGCGCTGTTCCAGGGCGAGGAGCTGCTTGAATGGGAAGGTGACCGAGACGAACTGTCTCCTGGTTCGAATTCGTCGTGATCGTCGTCGCTCACTTCTTCACCGTGGATAAACTTGTCGTATGTATTCTGCTCGTCATCTTCGGGGTTTTTCTCAGGAAAGCGGAGGAGAGTCATTGTCGTCGGCGTCCTTATCTGTCGAAGGCAATGAAGGGGTTGATAATCGTCCACCCGACCCAGACCTGCCCCGAGCAAAATTCCAGACTCGCGTGTACAGGCCCTTTACGCATCGCGTCACACCGACACCAAACCTTGCAAACTCACGGCACCAGGTCATGTCCAACCACACATCACTGTCAACCGAGGCTGCCTTGACGCACTTAATTTCGTTCGCAAACCCTTTCTTCAGCCGACGGTTCCTCCCTTCGCCTTCAAATGTTCGCGAAACAGATGTGACTCCATACCGACCAAGCTCGACTGCTCCCCGTTCAGCCGGGTTGGCAGCCGGAGCTGTAAGCGCCGACACGCTTCCGACCTCGTTCCCGAACCCAGGCAACTGACGAGGCTTCAAGGCTCGCCGTACCCAACCGGAGAAGTGCGATGGAAAAATCTTCTTCCCATTTCGGAAGTAGGACGGAGTGATGGCCAAATAGTGGCCGTGTGATAGAGCCCTTCCGTGACGAACTGTGCCAATGCATTCAAGAAGACAGGCGAGGACGATGAAGGACAGCAAGATCGTTTCGAAGAGGCAGGGCATATAGTTAAGGAGTGGATATGATGACTTGGAGAACCAAAGGACAGCATGGAAATGAAAGAGACCGAGTAAAGATACAACTGCTGAGGGGATAAGACGGTGATTTGACCATTTTTGCTTGATTCCTAGACAATGCACGATGGTGAGCTGAGGATGGGGTAAGAATCACCGGTAATCAACGCAACGCAAGAGTTTACAGACGTGTAGAAGGGGTAATATGATAGTAAACACAACGTGTTTGTCAGGTCTGGACGGAAGTCCATCGAGCTTGTTGCCATGTGTCATCGGGGATGAATATATGTGTAATAAGAACGCATATGCAAACTAGCAGGTCAGGAAGATGAGCCTCGTTTCCGGTGCCTGTAATCTTCGTGGCGTGCAACTTACCAGGTTAAATGGGGATCCGCTGTTGGTCCCTCCTTCTAAGCCACGAGTCAAGGCTTCCATGCAGAGGACTCCACACACTGAACAGAACGTGGACCAGCAAAGGGTCGCCATTTCCTGGTGTGCCACCCAGTTCCCATAGGATAGTAGCCACGGCGAGCCCAAGAATGAAAATTTGTTGGCCGTTTGTGCTAGCGTGATGACCCATATGAGTAGTGATTTGCCAAGGAAGTGCAGAGTCGGAGTACGCAAAACTAATCGAACTCGACTTGAGGAAAGATCGAGAGGGAAGATGGAATGTAGCAAATAAGAGAACGGCCTATTTCTTTGCAACGGGGTTCGGTTCGGAAAGTGGTGTCGAGGCGGAACGACGATGTTCTGAATACGATGTAGCAATATTGCCTTGATATGATACACATGAGCTGGCGGGCAGGAATGACGACCGAATATACAATACCATAACGGCTAATCCTACGATGTACCCCGAAGTCAGAAAGCCCCAAGGTCCGGGGAGGGGGCTAAACGCCGGAACGTTGGACGGACGGGCAGCAAGGACACCCTCGCCAGCATCGAGATCGCGTGCGTTGCGAGGATCAAACCTACCGAGTAATGCATTCAGCCTACGAAGGCAAGAAAGCCAGCGGGTGGAGGACGCAGTGAGTGCCCTGTAGGACTCCTTCTTCAGTCGCGAGACCAGGCGGAAGGGTTTCTCTGTCGTCACGTTGAGATCCATGATAAGTGTCGATTGTGGTAGGCCAACGGTGCTGTTAGACAGACAGTTAATATATGACCGTCCAGTGTCAGGGTCGAGCGCGAGGACGACTCGAGTTGTCTCAGCTTCTTAGCCGTCATCAATATCATCACCCAAGTCCTGGCTTAGTCAGCATTCCCTCCACCTGACCATCTACTCAAAAATAAAATTCTGGACATGTCGGTGCTCAACGCAAGGTGCACTGCAGCCCTCCGCAGGTCGTTTTCATGTCGTCGCCACATCACCACACAGCAGCTTCATCCCTGTCTCCGCGACTTTGCTTCAGCCTTGGCTGTTAAGCAGCCGTGCTTCTCTCTGGCTTCCAAGGACGTTCATATACTCCATGAGCCAGCTCATTTTTACTCTAGATTGCTGGTGAGACTAAGTTATAGTACACGTGTAATCGACTGATCCGTCTGTCTTTGAAGGGAATAATACGTCGGGCACGTAGGAGAATATTTCTGTCTTCCTTGTACATAGGATCAGAGGAACGCGAACTAGTGTGTCAATCTTACTGTGTGTCCCAAAACGTGATCCCACAGACAGACAGCTTGATGCCTTAGACTCTGCACTGCGAGAAAACCCTGGCCTCCACGTGTACTTGCTTCTAGACTACAACCGTTCCACCCGTCCCGGCGCTTCCTCACCCGTTCTTGCACTTCTCCCGCTTTTGCGCAGTCATCAGAAACGCGTGCACGTGTCTTTGTTTCGCAGTCCAATGCTTTCCCGATTGGCAACAAGTGTAGTACCTCCACGTTTCAAAGAAGGCTGGGGCACTTGGCATGCAAAGCTTTACGGCTCTGACGACGAAGTCATTGTCAGTGGGTAGGTGCTCGACTGCGTAGTGTATCCCTCACTCACCGATACGTCCTTATCTTGTAACAGCGCTAATTTGAACAGGTCGTATTTCACGAACAGGAAGGACCGGTACCTGCATTTTAATTCTCAACCTATTCTCGCCGATTATTGCTTCTCTTTCTTGCGCCTAATATCTGGGTTTTCATATCAGTTAGCACTTCCGGATCCGGCATCCACTGAGCCGGTAATAATATGGCCTGATCCTTGCACTAATCCTTGGAAAATTCAACCGCTCGTGGAACATTCGCTTTCGAAGTTCCAGTCAAGTCACTTAACGTCGGCCACATGCCGTCATAAAAGTGGCGATGTGCTCTTATTTCCCATGATCCAAGGGGGCCAATTCAATATTCGAGAGGAAGAACGTACGGTGTCTCTGCTTTTCCAACATCTAGCGCCATATATATCCTCTTCCGTTGTACCTACGCCCTTAATGAATCTAACGAGCGGCTATTTCGGTCTGTACCGGCCCTATCAGGAACAAATTTTGAAATCCTCCGTCGGTTGCAACATCTTGGTCGCCAGTCCGCAGGTTCGTCGAACCTATTTTTTCGTTATAGTGACATGCTAAAGCCCATGGAGGCAAATGGTTTCTACGGATCCCATGGATTATCTGGCCTGATACCTGAAGGATACACTCTACTGGAACAACGGTTCATGCGAGCAGTTCGTGCTGCCGGGCGAGATGCCGGTCCCGAAGGTGACTCTTCCAGCGCCGTTCGGCTTTCTGAGTGGGTAAGAGAAGGCTGGACTTACCATGCGAAGGGTGAGAAGCTACATCTTCGCCTACCAAGCGGATTCCTGGCATGTGCTCACACTACCGTAGGCATATGGTTCTCTCCCTCGCAAAGTTCACCTCCAGTCCTCACCCTCTTCGGTTCGACGAACTTGAATTCCCGTTCCGCAAATTTGGACACCGAACTATCCTTTGTCATGCTGACATCCTCAGAGGCCCTTCGGAAGAGTCTTCAAGCAGAAGTTAATGGATTATGGCAATGCGCCGTACCGTGGCGAGGCGCGGAAAGACATGTACGCTGGAGGACGAGGACTATCGTGGGTATGGTTGGAGGTATGCTTTAGCTCGCAATTCTGCCGGTGTACCGCAATCCCACCTCTTCACAAATTATCATACTGCACGATTTGCTGCGTGACTCGGTAACCAGCCAAAACAGTACATGCAATATTCCTAGAGGATGTATGCCATATTCTCGAAAACCAGGACGCCTCTGATGTTGGAATCACTCTTAAGAACCGTGCCTCACCGGTAGAAGTATAAGCGACTTCCGATGAAATGTCACTAGTAGGTGCGACACCGGTCCCGAAGAGAATTAGAAGGTTATGAACCACCAATGCGGTACAGTAGTTTAACAGCTAGCACCGTCATTATGGATCCGAAGCAATCTCTAGATCAACCGGCGTCAAAGTTGAGTTTCCCGGCTTCAATGGCTTCTCAACCTTTCGGCCACCGTTGTTGTGTGTCATAGGGGTAACGTACTCGAACTTCCGAGAGTCCAGGGTGAAAGTAATGGGACCCTTGGCCGTCAATGAGTAAGAGTGTATCAGTTATCAAGAAGTAAGAACCTCGTTCGTCAAGGTCACATCCATCATGGCGCCAAACTGTCCATCTATAAAGGTATTAGAATTGGAAAAAGGTCAACGGAGAAGTCCATTTGCCTTGAATGCGATCTGCAACGTAAAGCTGGCGCATCTTGCCTAGGAAGGCAGAATAAAATTGCCGCGACGACTCAGAGGACTGAAGGATGAGTCTAACTATCGTCCGAGCCAATCTTGGTCATTTCGAGTCTTACCATAGCGCGATGGAAGTCGGGCTTATTTCCTTTGCTAGTGTTGGCCATCAGAGTGAATTGCGATACGCATAACACCTCGCCAGAGATGTCTTTGACGCTTTTCTTCCACATGGTCCCACTGGCATCTGAGAACACCCGAAGGGACAAACTAGTGTGATTAGATACTTTGCTTCTAGTACCCGCACAAAGAACATTGGCTCACATCTTATTGGACAAGATATCTATATCAGCAGGGGTATCGTCTGCCTTACGGGACGGGGATTATCAGAAGAAGAAACCCTGATCGAAACAATAAGAGAAATATACCAGACCCAATGCCAATTAGCACCATCAAACCTTTTGATATGCTAGAGATCACTTTGCCGTCGACTGGATGCGCCTTCAGCCAAATCTGTCTGCCGAGGGATTGCACTGCTGTCTTACCAGTAACGGATGCAGAGGCGACGCGCTGCACGACCGCCCTCATGGTAGACTCAAGCTGTCTAGGATGCCGCCGTAATATGAACGTAGTGTGGTCAACGCTCGCATCTCTGGCTTACGCTTACCCCAAATGGTGGAACTCCGCTACAAAACATGCTCATATTCGAAAAAACACTAATATCGCAGTTGCATCATTCCTTGAATTCTGCTCCATGGATAACCCCACAACCAAGACACCAATCGTGAAGATATAGGACTGCTACCTGACCTGGAGCGATACCCTTCTGCGGAGCGCCCAATGTTATCCGCAATCCATTCTCATCCCTGATATTTGTCAATTGTTAAATATTGGATAAGGGGACAATAGCATCACAGACCCGTGTACAACGCAGTCTTCGCTTTCCATGCAATGTCGATACTTGACTTGTGCCGTCATCCCGGAAGGTTGCTGCAGTCCTTTGGGCGGGCTGTCCGTCCATATCCAGTCAAAATCTGATACATGGATAGTATTAACGTGCAGTGCTGGATGGTGCCTAAAATGCTGTAAGGAATTGAGAACATACGATAACTATCTCACTGACGACCCTGGGACCACGAAAACTGTATTTGTCTCCGGATCCTTTTTCGCCACAAACATGCGTGTTCTACATCCACGTATCTTGGCACCTTGGCCGATAGTGTAATTCCACAGACCATGATGTGTAGCGATTTGCTGAGAATTGGTCATGTCTATGATAGGACCAGGATTTGGGGGTATATAACGTGCTGGGGAGAGTTAGTTGCAAACCACATAATGCGAAATGGTACTTGCATAAGAACTCGTTGAATTTCCGCTTCTCCCCAACAAAGCAGACTCCCATGCTCTCTTCTTTGACGGCGGTCGGCAAACCACAATTTGAGGCAAGCTTCCTGACCTCTTTCTTTTGCATTTCGCCAAGAGGAAAGAGCGCGCGAGTTAGGCTGCTCTCTGGCATCGACGACAAATAATAAGTCTGATCCTTTGACAAGTCGCGCGCACGGAGTAATCTAGGTCGATGCAGAAGAGTGTCATTATGTTCTTGCCAGTCCTTTCGGGCGTAATGACCTATTCCCGCATTCCAGTAAGAAAAATCGATAACGAAGAATGATTCCATGAACTCATATACCCGTTGCCATCCACAACGCCTGTGAATCTTGGACCAAGTGCCGTAGGAGGGCGCCAAATTTTATCTCTCTGGCGAGGGGTAAGTTCGAATGCGTAAAATTGATTCCTTTCCCCTACCTATTGCACCAAACGTCAGGATTTGGCGTTGAACCAGACTCCCAACTATTCAGTGATGGTTCAAATACTTGGGTCCAGTATTGACGGTGTAGGTCGACCTGCGGGGGGAGAAATTCGCGACACAATCACAAATAACTTGATCTCTCACCATTCTACAGGGTATGTCGAGCATGCGACAAACGCGCTGAACGTCCTCCCAGTCCTTTTCCCACTGACAGCCAATGTCTGTCCCCGACTCGTCTCGTGTATCCCAGTTTCGCATGAAAACAGCAGATAGGTCGTAGTCCTGCATTGGATCAGCGCGCTTCAAAATGGACGGCAGAGTAAACTTACCTGCTCTGCTAGGAGTCTCGCAGCGACCGAAGAATCGACTCCACCGGACATGGCGACGACCACTGGACGTGTCAGAATCATTGTTGACTCAAAATAATGGGTTCATACCCTTGTCTCCTTTAAGTGGACCCCCGGAGTAGGCCTCATTGTAGTAGCGTACGCGGGGTTTCAGTAATTTCTTTGCAGAGCACCGTTTGAGCGGGCCAGACATCGACTGCAGCGTGTCCGCTTAGGAGTACTTCGTACACACGCACGTGGCGCGTGGTGCCGAGCCCCGAATTCCGACCGCGATTAGCATCATCGGACTCGGAGCGCAAGTGAGCGACTACTGACTCTTGCTGGCACTCTAGTAGTATCACCACACATATATCGTCCAAAACTTCGATATGGGTTCCAAAGGTGAGTTCGATTATCCAAGTCACGAACGAGTTAAGTTATTTGCTACCATCAACTCTTTAGGTCCATCTCAAGCAGAAATCCTCCTCCGAGTGACTTCCTCAATCGCAGCGGAATTGATAAAGGCACACGATTCAAAAGAAAGCGTGTCCCTGAATGAATTGAGGGCGAAGCTTTCGAAGAAATATGGATATGGGGGTGTTCCCAGACTTGTCGATATCATTAGCGCAATCCCTGATGAGTACAAGAAAGCGTTACTACCAAAGCTACGTGCCCGACCTATTCGGACGGCGAGTGGGGTACGTCCTCCAACGCTTTTTGACTGACGTGTACCCAAAGGAATCCCTGGTAGATTGCTGTAGTAGCAGTGATGTGCAAGCCTCATCGGTGTCCCCACATCGCAATGACCGGGAACATTTGTGTGTAAGTTACTTCTCGTCCGTAAAATGGCCTTCATTAACTTAAATTATCGAGGTAGTTACTGCCCGGGGGGTCCCGATTCAGATTTTGATTACAGTACACAAAGTTATACTGGATATGAACCAACGAGTATGCGTGCCATTCGGGCACGATATGACCCGTACGAGCAGACTCGTAATCGCGTTGAACAGCTGAAGGCATTGGGTCACAGTGTTGACAAGGTCAGCGGTCCTCATATTCTTGTCCATGTACCAGCGATTGAATGGCACGTCAGGTCGAGTTTATTGTCATGGGTGGAACATTCATGAGCATGCCCGAGGATTACCGGGCGAAGTTTATCGCTCAACTACATAATGCGTTATCGGGGTTCACGGGCCTTGATGTCGACGAAGCAGTTCGGTCAGTTTTGTCTCGGCCCTGTCCTACTGTCAAATAATAACTTAACCCTGCGTGTTAGTTACTCGGAACAAAGCAAATCAAAGGCCATCGGTATAACTATCGAGACCCGCCCAGACTACTGCCTCCGACCGCATCTCAGGTTTGTGGAAGATTGTTGCTGAAGTTGATTCGCCAATACCCATACTCACCCAGCCAAATGCTTCGATATGGCTGCACCCGACTGGAAATCGGTGTACAGTCGGTTTACGAAGACGTTGCCCGAGACACCAACCGCGGCCACACAGTCCGCGCCGTTTCTGAATCTTTTCACCTTGCAAAAGACGCTGGCTTCAAGGTCGTAGCCCATATGATGCCCGACCTCCCAAACGTCGGAGTCGAGCGCGATCTCGAGCAATTCAAAGAATTTTTCGAAAACCCGGCGTTCCGGAGTGATGGTTTGAAAATCTATCCAACACTTGTCATCCGCGGGACAGGTCTTTATGAATTATGGAGAACCGGAAGGTACAAGAACTACACACCAAATGTTCTGGTCGATGTTGTTGCTAGGATACTTGCCCTTGTCCCGCCATGGACTCGAGTCTATCGAGTGCAAAGGTACGATTTAGTATCCACAGAAGCACCGTCGTGCTGACTGGTTCCTGCAGAGATATACCGCTCCCTTTAGTCACGAGCGGCTGTGAGAACTCGGGAAATTTGCGAGAACTTGCGCTCAATCGCATGAAAGACTTTGGTGCTGAGTGCCGAGACGTGCGGTTCCGAGAAGTCGGGGTGAGTGGTGGTGTTGGTCTCACCGTTCCGTTGCTCACTGAAGCGTCAGATTCACGAAATCCACCATAAAGTGCGACCGGAATCGGTGGAACTAATCCGCCGAGACTACACTGCAAATGGAGGTTGGGAAACTTTCTTGTCCTACGAGGACCCCGAACGAGATATCCTCATTGGGCTTCTACGACTTCGGAAGTGTTCAGAAGAAGGGACATTCAGGCCGGAACTTGTCCGAAAGGAAGGTGCGGCTGGTGGTTCAAGTATAGTACGGGAGCTGCATGTGTATGGGACGGCGGTACCGGTCCATGGTCGTGACCCGACAAAGTTCCAACACCAAGGGTTTGGGACGCTGCTCATGGAAGAGGCAGAGCGCATAGCAAGGGAGGAACATGATAGCGTGAAGCTTGCTGTCATATCAGGTGAGGGGAATCTGTCAATGCGATAGTCAAGCTCTTATAACATCATACTGCAGGGGTGGGTACACGAGACTACTATCGCAAGCTCGGATACGAGCTCGACGGACCCTATATGAGCAAGTCACTCGTATAGTACCGTTCCTGCATAGTATAGTTGTCGGGCTACTTGCGGTTATTGAGTCCTGTCCGCAAGAACCAACGTATGAAAATTTGGAAAGACAAGCTCTTCCTCGACGGTCTTCCTAATAACATCTTGTATGAATTTCTCCACGCGCGTGACATTCTTGAGAACATGCTTGTCCGTCTGACCTATTTCGCTTTCGATGAATATGGAAGGCAGCAAGCGTTGACCAACAGGCAACGGTTTTTCGTCTCGTCTGCCACTGATCTCGTCGTCTACGTCAGAAGGTGTGCTCGGCTGACTACTGCGTGATCGTCGACATGCAGGCCCGTAAGGGTCCAACTCATCCAATATACATAGGTGAATTCGACCTCTGGAACCCTCAAAGGCCACGGCGACCTCGCTGTTGAACACGATACCGGTTACAGATAGCTTGATAGGAAGGGACATGAAAGATGGGGATGGGTAGTTGATGAGCAGCGAGGTGGTAAGAGTCAGCCTGAGATTCGATTGCCAGTTGATATGAAGGTGGACTTGGAGGTCCGGTTGCGACTGCTGTGAAACAGGGGGATTTGGTGATTGGCTGACGTCGGATGCTGTGGTGGAATTGCGAGGTGGCATAGATGGCTTGGAACCGTCAGCGGGAAACGACTCTGGGGGTGATTCTGGTAGACTATAGTGCGACGGCGACCTCCGAGGTGGTGCTGGTGGTCGATAGCCATAGCCATTGAAACTTGAATGCAGAGTCCCGACTCCCCAGTGGTCCCGTGATGGCCCGGGGTACAATGTAGGCGTGGACATAAACAGATCCGTAGCTGGGCTGCGTCCATAACGGACGTGTGGGGGAAGATGATGGTAGGCGAGTGCGTCCTCGGCCAGCTCGCGACGGGAAGCTCTTCTAGACACCCACTCATAGCCATCGTCGTCGCCCTCAGCGCCTTCGGTGACCTTGACGTTGTCCTGCTCGGACTCCAAGTCTGAATCATCTTCGAGAAAGTCAGGATGAATGTCCCGCAAGTCCACCAGCTCCACGTCCGGAGAGACGGTGCCAAAGTCAAAACCTGTGATCTCGACTGGGCCTATGACGGAGGGACGCTTAACGCTCACTAGCTGGCGGTTGAGGATGTCAACTAGTGCCTTTGCAAGGGATGAATCCAATCTGTGCCATTCAAGATCGACGGACATGGTTGGCAGGCTGATGTGTGATGTAGACGCCTAAGTAAATTGGCTCCCGCCATCACTCGGAATCATATGGCTACCAGGGCTTACAACGGACAGGAGGCAGAGGTCATCGTGAGCGTACGTCCCAACGACTGATGATCATGGCTTTATTTTAATGGGCGACGTCTTCCAAGTTTCATGATGGCTACTCTTACTCCAAAGCCAAGTTGGAGGCCAGTCTACGAGAGCTCGTGTATGATCGCAAGCCCGTCAAACCCGCCAAAGAACCGATCAACGCCAAACGGGAGGACGTAGATATCATCGTAGGTGCTATGGGACGTCTCTCTGAGTCATGTCTGACTCGGATGGACCCTGCCAGGTGAACGAGTTCGAGATTTCGCGACAACAAGCCGAGAAGCTGCTCACTGAACATGGCGGCGACCTCGACAAGACACTCAGAGCACTCGTGAACAGCTAGGCCAGAACCGTAACGACCATTCTCTTACTCGAGTAGTAACTACCTCAAATATTTCATGGTCCAGCAATAGCATTACAGCCAACATCGAATAGAATGCCAGCAATCGAGTAATACGCAGAAGTTATGTAGACTACCCGTCTGCATGTACTGTGGGGAAGAGGAAAAGAGGGAAGGAAACGTATACTGCAGGCGAATGGGAAAGTAGCAGATTCAAAGATGATGTGTTGCTGAGTGCACCAAGTAAAAACGGATGGGCTGAATGCAGAGCGAGCCGCGTGGAAACCATGAGGGCCGTTATGAAGCGTTAAATACCTTTGAAATAGATCGCTTGCTGTCTGGATGTGTGAACGCTACCAGGGAGGGTTGTAGTGCAATAGCAGTAGATAGGTTTGCAAGAGTCTAATGAGACTGGGGTATAATTGGGTCATCACATCAAGGGTCGTAGGGTAAAGAGGTTTGTTCAAAAGAAATTGGATCGAGGCGATAATGTTAACAGCGTTCACGTCCGCTCGTCTAATCGGGGGGTGGGTGTGCGCGAAGGGAATGGAGAGCCATAAGGAGCATTAAGATAGCGTGAGGTGGACTCCATCTCCATAAAGTATTCCTTCTCGGAGGCGCCATTCGACTTCTCAGCTAAACCAAGCGCGGACGCGATGGCACGAGGGCTACCAAATGGCGAAGACTTCTTTGGGGAGAACTGTCCCAGGATAGGCTCCTCTTTCCCGAGCGAAAGCGGTGTAAACGACCTTTTACTTCCAGAAGTGAGGATGGTAGGTTCCTTGGGTGTTGGTTGGTTGTACATGGCAGTAGCAGCAAGTACGGTAGAGGCTCCGATGAGGAAGGAAGGGGTGACATGGAAGTCAAAAAGCACGACCGACGAGAGGAATGAGAGGATGATGGAGATGGACGTAGCAAAGCCTTTGAGGATGTTGTCCGAATACTTTGATGACGACTGCGGTAACGAGGCCACCAAACACCTGAATGCACACCGTGGCCCACGCCCAACCACCAAAATTGCGGAAAAGATCGCTAATTATTCCGTCCGATGAAGGGAACGGAGAAGCATAGATGATAGGAAGGATGGCAGGGAGAAGGGAGAACAGGGAAAGCTGGACGTTGCGCACCCACAAGTCGGCCTTGGAGTTTTTCAAGACCATCTCAAAGTAGACACCTGCTAGACCCGATGTGAAGCACGCTGCGGTCACGGCACAAAAACCTCTAAGTGGGCTCATGATATGAACGTGCAGCGGTGCTGCGTCATGCGCACTTCCGACGCGGAACTCCCTGGTCCGGGGGTTCGCGGCGCTGGTCTGAACCTGCACAATGGCGACACCGATTGCAAGGAAGAAGAGGGACATCCACTTTGTGGATGAAAGTCTCTTCCGGAGGAGAAGCACGGAGAAGGCCGCGGTGGTCAGGATCTTCATTTGGTAAGCGACTTGGAAAGAGGCGACTGGAAGGTTGCCGATGGCGACGAATTGGAGTGAGTTTTGGACGACATAAAGCAACGCGGGTATGGATAATTTCCAGCAATCAGCACTAAAAACCTCGCTGCAAACTTGTCGAAACGGCGCAGACCACGGGAAGAGAGCGGTGAGGAAGCCGGCGAAAGGCTTGCGGGAAGAAATGTGTAACTCCACCTGGTACGCCTTCCAGAGGGCGATCACGAAGGATATTGAGCCCTTGAGGATCTCACCAACGAGGACGGCAGCTGCTGGAGAGTAGGCAAGATGAGTGGGAATAGACACGCGGGAATAATGCATGACTATCGACAAGGACGCGTTTTGGACTGCGAGCGTGACTAGGCTTGGGAACGGGCATGTGGGGTGAGTACGTTGGAAGGATTCAAAAAGCACAAGGAGACCCACGAGAGATATTTCAGGGGAAGCCCACAGACGGTTGCAGGTCTCGCGGGGTGGACTTGGGGTGCAACATCGGTAGGAGACTGGTTGAGAAGGAGGCCGGAAGATTTGCTTGAAAGGCCGTCGAGAGTTGCTGGAGGGAGAATGGGTGCGAGGCGGGGAGTGGACTCGGAGAGATTAGAGGACGAAGAGACTGAACGTATAGCTGGGTAAGCCCTGTGATGCATTTCATTTGAGAGGGAAGGCACTGCGGAACGAAGTTTGAACAGTGACATCGAGACAAGAAATGTATTTTTTTTTACTTTAGACGGAACACGGCGTCGGACAGGCTGCAGACCGGGTGAAGAACTGTGGAACCAACTCGGTGCACGCGTAATCCCAGACGAGGACAGAATGGACAGACGCGAAAAAAGCGAGCCGAGTCGTGTCGGTGGGTGACAAGTTGAAAAAGACCAGCCTGACACTCAAAAAAGGGCCTCCTTCCGAACACGGCTAATCAACGAAAATCACGACAATATATTCAATTCCATCCAAATACATGCAGAAAATCTACTCTACAGTCTCTCTGTCTCTGGAGGAGCAGCGTCAGCATGCCATTCCACATCGGAGCCATCGCCATCGAATAAACAAGGGGCTGGAACACCTCAGCCTCGCCTTTAACTCGTCACCCACACCCATCTGTCCGCCGGGCTCCATCACGAGCCTCGCGCGTGACACCAACACAAAAGGGGAGGACCCAGCGTGCGCAAGGCGGGGTATGTACTTTTACCAGGATAATCATCCTCGGTGTCTGGCCCAGAAAGCGAAATCAATCTTCATTAAAACCACTTACATGTTACAAGCGCTACATGAGAGGGTCTACACGAAGTCGTCATGCCTGTCGGCATCCCCAGGTGATCCTGCCTCCTCATTCCTCGACCAGCGGGAGGAACTTCAGCAAAGATTGTTTTTGGGATGTCTTGTCTGTCTTCGACGCTTGTCTGGACCATTCATCCGTGTAGTGTAGGATCAACAGTAATTTGAACGTCTGGAAAGAAAAAAAAAAGTCAAAACCGAAAACTCTTTTTAAGTGCACAGCCGCCGGCAATTTCCGCGGGTATAGCGATTACATAATAAGAGAGAACTTGGCTTGGCTGAGGTCGGTCATGGCCAGCGCCGTTGCCAAAGTTTCGTCGTTCGGACAGCTCCTCAAACAGTCCAAGTTCTCGTCTTTTGACACTCGTATCGCTCAAGTATACACTACCCACGGCGGAGATGCGCACCGTGGTGACTGGGGCTTCAAACGACCTCTCTCCATCCGACGTCGTGGCGCTTTCATCACCGTCAAGAACGTCGACACTCCAGAGCACCAGACAGAATGGAGCTCGGCAGAACCCCAGGCTCTCTGGATGAAAAATTGGGACGAGCTCCAGATCACCCCTCAGTGGTCGCATCACGCGTCGGCGGAAGAGCCAAGGGATCACGTTCAGGAGTCGGATTACCTTCCCAACCAACGGGATCCGTCGACCTGGCGTCCACCCTGCGTGCCCAATCTCGATGCTATGACACGAGAGGAGTTTAGAAAGTATCTTGCTCGAATCCAAGCCCACCGCGACCAATTCCACAAGGAGACGCAAGCAAAGAAAGGCGTGCCGGGACTGTCGCCCTACCAGCTGAGCAACACGTATACTACTGGCTGGGACGACCTATATGCCCAGTATCTCTCAAAACGGCGCCGGGAAGACCCCCGCAGTCGGCGAATAGAGCACCTCCCGCACCGTAACGGTGGTCTCAGCTACGCAAACTATACTCCTCTTCAAACATTTTTGATGACGAAAGAGCGCAAGGGTAGACTGGTGGATGAATACGTCGGGAAGGATAGGAAGAAGCTGTTCTACGTGGCGTCGTTTGCGGGAATGGCAGGCATCGTCCAGAAGCATCATGCCGTCCTCGCGCAGCCGATGGTCTGGGATGATCCTCAGCGAACCGGACAAGTGATGCTCAGGCCGCAGAACGCCGTCCTCCACCGTCTGCCAAATGTTGTGGGGAGAGTACGACAGGGGTTGAAGGCGACGAAGATGGACATGGAGCTCAAGGTCTCGGATAGGCAATCCCACGTGCGGAGCAACCCATATCCACCCGGATCCCGACAGTATATTGCCGCAGAGCCTCTGGGGTCCGCGTCGAGCAGGCGGAGAAGGATGGACGACGCGGCAGCGCGGAGCAGGGCTCGCCTCAGTCCGTCGACGGGTGTTACGCTTGGAATTCTCAGCAACATCATCCGCAAGGAGGACTCTTCATAGCGAATACTGTTGGCCCGTAAATGATAGACTAGACTATGTATGACTTTGTAAAGTCGGCGCGTGACACGCGTCGTAGTCTAATTACTACGCGTTTGTTTACTTTTCCCACGGTATATGCCATTCCGCCCAGCCGGCGAGGACGGCGAGGAGGACGACGACCAAGGATGCCACGCGAGCCGAGAAAGTCGTCGCTGGGCACCCGACGAGGACCTCCAAGAGAACACATTCCATTCCGTGCAGACGATCTTGGCCACGGAAAGAAGACCGGCATAGCAGTTCAATATGTCGATCGCAATTCCGACGAGTTTGAGCCTTTCGACGAGGTCATGAAACAAGCAGACAACCGCACCCCGCCCCGCATAAAGTCGAAGAAGAAGCGCATAGTTGTAGTCAGCCCAGTACTTGACGAAGTCGACGAGGACGGTGAAATGTCCATGGACCTGGCTGAAAGTGAGTCTATGTAGTCATACTCTCGTGTACCACCTTCATCCACCCGTCCTTCCAAAAGGCAATCAGGGCAGTCCCCTCGCGTACTTCACCAATGCCAGTCATCTATATCACTCAACCAACGCACGACGATCAAGCTCCCTCCGTCATCCGCGTCGATCATCGATTGTAGAGTATGATCAACTCCCCTCTCCCCGACATCATTCAGACACCCTTTCTTCCCGCAAGTCGTTAACAAACGGTGCAGGTCCCTCCCCCCTCACCAAATCACATGCCGCACCCGACGCAGAACTCGACGTGGAACCCCATAACTCTCAGAATTACCCGGACGCTCCCGAAACTCAGGTGGACGACGGTGCTGATTACAGTCATATTAGCGATGAATCCGAAGAGGTGGCAGAGGTGGCGGAAGAAGTGACCGCATTACCTAGGAGGTCGAATAAGGGAAAGGAGCGAGCCATACCGTATGAGGACCAGGAACCAAATGGGAACGGGGTCAACGGAGTCGAGGACGATATTGCTCGGGGTCTGGAAGGAGTGGGGGATGATGCCAACGACGCGGAAGCAGAGGTACCACCAAAGAAAAGGGCCAGAGAGGAGGGTCAGAAGACTCAACAGCCACGGGGTCGTCCAGCAAAACGTGTAGCAATAGCCCCTCCTGAACGTACGTGCACGGAGAAACCGCACATCAACGGATCTGTATAACCCTCGTTTTAGGTTCACCCACCCCAGAGGGTGTTCGCCGCGGTCGACGGCATAGGTACAAGCCCTTGGAATGGTGGCGACAAGAGAAGGTCGTCTACGGTAGGCGGGAGTCCGGTGTGACTCTAGTACCACAGATTAAAGAAATCATACGCATACCTAAGGAGCCCCCAAAACCCCTCGGACAAGCCGGCAAAAAAGGACGTGCAGGTTCTGTGCGAGCCAAGACACGAGAACTGAAAACCCCCGTGCCAAGCAATCCAGAGGAAGGTTGGGACGAGAAAACACTTGCTGACGGTGTTGTCCTTGATTTCTTGACTCGAGAACCAGTCAAAAGACGTGAGTTTCCGCTCTACGATCTACGCTTGTTTCGTGATCAATTATCCTCTTACCACTCCGATAGGGATCATACAAACGGCTAGGATGTTTGAGCCTAGGTCTGCCGCCAACAGCAACTGGTTCTTTCAGAAGATATTCGGCGAAGGAGACTTCATTGCTGCTGGAGAGATGCGCATACCGCCACGTGGTGAGAAACCAAGCAAGTCTTCCAAAGATAACGCATATGTGAGTAGCCGCACATGTTACAATGTTGACGCGTCTGTTTCACGGTTCCTCAGGTGTTCTATGTCGTCGAGGGTGCTGTTTCTGTTGTCATTCATGAGTCCACATACATCGTTTCTAGTGGTGGCATGTTTCTCGTTCCTCGAGGTTTGTGTTTTCTCCCCTCATCCGTGCTTTGGTCGCCGACTACTCAGCACTCAGGAAACACATACTGTATCCATAACATTTGCCAACGGGACGCCAAATTATTTTTCACGCAAGCGCGACACGTTGGCGAAGAGGAGATTACACCGGAGCGTGCTTCTCAATCAGTGCCTCCGACGCCACACCGGCGAAGGCATTCCGAGGTTGCTGAGGACGGATCTCGGACGTCAACTGGTCCAAAGAGATCCAAAAGCCGACATTAACATAACGCAGCAGCCGCACAGGGATTCGTACACCGGTCCAGGAATGATATTTTTCATCCTTGAAAGTGATCGAGATGGGTTGTGTTGCTACATGTACTCTAGTAAACATCGTATTATTTACTCACTTATGGTCTGCGGCAGTCAGCTAGGGACACTCAGGAATTGTTTCACGTTGCTTTTTCGCAGCCGCTTTTACGCAATGTCTATTTATAAGCATAAGCTTCCATGTTTCGATACTCTCTACCTTGTATACGGGTAACCGAAAACATAACAACGCGACAGTATAACGTGTAGGATGAGAAACCCTGCTCGGGCGGCAGAAGTACCCGTGGTGAGGATATTGGCCAGGACCGGAGGAGGATAATCATCTTGCCCGTAGTAGATGGGGGACGAAGACGGGGAAGGTGCGACCAAATGCAGTAGCAGCTGCAATTGCTGAAGGGTTCCAGATGAAGCACGAGTTAAATAACTCTGGAGGGAGGGGCGATCTCGGTCCAGTAAATGACCGGCTAATGTGCGTGTGCACACAACGTGCGTGACGGAGAGTAAGATCAGCAGGCTGACACTCTGGTTGATGCGCAACTGAAATCAGAAAACGGTGACGCCGGATTGGGTTCCAGTGTATTGACTCTTCATGTCATCGGTGTCAGTGGCACCATCTTGACTCTTGTAATCATAGCCACTCAAGCTGCCCACGTCCGTGCCAGTGGCAGAAGAGAAGGAAGCCCGCCTACGCAGGCGATCCGACTGGGAGTAGGCGATAGACCCACTTATGCTCCCAGCGCTAATGCCAGCACTGCTGGGCGGTCCAATATCTTGGGAGACGATGGAACTCGCATAGCTTCCGTATACACTGCGCTTCCCGGCGCCGCCAGGTCCGCGAGTCATGCCAGACGGGAAGCCTCCGGTGGCTGCAAACATGGGCAGACCAGAAGAATAGGTAGCCTGCGAGCGCAAGGACTGTACATCGGCAGGTATATATGCAAGTGCATCATGAGTGCGATAGAAATTGGCATCAAAGCGGCTAGGTGTGCCAGACCGGCCCCCGCTACCGGGCAAGTACTCGCGGGCGTTAGTTTCGTGACGGCGGAACTGGTCCATGGATTTGACAAGGGAACGACGGGGTTTACTAAACTGGATCATACTGGGTTGCAGATTATTGAGTGCGCCTTCAACAAGACAATTCTTTTCCTTGTAGTGAGTCAGTAGCGCATGCCACAAAGGATGCTAAGAAGGAACGTCAGTGCGTCGAGATCGAAGTCCTCCTTCAAAGGCTAACCTTGCTCAAGACCTTCGGATTACCCAGAATGACGATACCATACTTGGCACGAGTAAGAGCAACGTTGAGACGACGGGGGTCGTTCAAGAATCCGATGCCCTGATGTTCATTACTCCTAACACAGCTCAGGATAATGTAATCCTTCTCTCGCCCCTGGAATGCATCCACGCTGGCTACCTCAACCTCCTTGTAAAGGTCCTTCTTGAGCGAGCCGTTGAATTGCATGTAGTTCACGATGTACGAGCGCTGTCCCTCGTAAGGGGTAACAATGCCGATTTGCGATGGGACGACACCAGATTTGAAAAATTTCGTGACAATCTTTTCAACATTGGATGATTCCGTCCTAACAGATGTGTTTAATATTTCTTTGCCTTACCGCAATATAAAAATACACACCTGTTAAGGAACGACGTTCCGCTGGACGATATTTCCTCTTGTCCCAAGTTTTGATAGAAGAACATGGGTGTGTCCGGAATGGGCCAAGGGAAATCCACATTCTTGCGAAGACGCTCCGGGGCCGTAACACCATTTTGTAAGGTACCCTCGTAGAACATATTGGAAGGAAACTCGGATAAACAAGGGTGCATGCGGTATTGCACTTGAAGTCGAATAGGACGATTGCCGAGCACGACAAGACGCTCAAACAGAGACTGGGTGAGGCCGGCACGAGCAGCTTTCTTGTTCATAATGACCGGACCAAGTTGTTGGTGGTCGCCGACGAGCACAACCTGTTTGCAACCAAGGACAAGCGGAATCATGCATTCTGAACGAAAATCAACACTTTGCTGCTCAGCATAATATCTAGGAACTCACCTGGCTCAGCAGCCTGGGTAGCTTCGTCGATGAGGACTGTCCGGAACTTGAACTTGTTCAATCTTGGATCACCAGCACCAACACATGTACAACATATCACATCTGCAGCTGACAGGATCTCCTTCTCGCACTGACGGATGAGGGTCTTGTATTTGCGTTCATCGTTTGAGCTCAATTCTCCTTGTTCGTTTTTGAGCTGAATCAATTTCTGGAGTTCTACGTGCGTGGTGCTGTTCGCAACTTGCTGGTGGAGAGTCAAAAATGCAACACTGGAGTCCAGAGCTTCGCGAGATTTGGCGGTAAGGCGGACAACTTTCAGACCAGTAGCGTGTATTTTCTCGGTGAGTTGGTCTACGGCGACGTTCGACGGCGCACAAACGAGGACTTGACCGGGATTCATCTTCGCGAGATGGTAGACGATCGACGCGGAAGTGACAGTCTTACCCGTTCCGGGAGGCCCTTGGATCAGGCTAAGCGGCTTCTGCAATACACTTTTCACTGCATACATTTGGGAGTGATTGAGCTCCGGGAGGCCAGGGGCTGAAAAACGTTTAGGCATCTGTGTCCGAAGACTCTGAGGCTCGACTTCATGGCCAAGAAGTTTGTGATACTAGGCATGCGTCAGGGCTCATAGGAAGTGTCAAGTGGAGTAAACCCACAATATAACCGTTAACACTTTTTTCGTCGACTGCGAACGTTTTCATGGCCAGTTGCATGCGATCGAAGCTAGTGGATTTCCAGACGAAGTCTGCCGAAAAACCATGAGTACACTCGGTGGGCACGCCTTCAGTCTTCCTGAGCTCAAGGGCGATCTCGTCCGAGACATCTGAGAATATCAGCTGGACAGCTGACCATAGATGATGAATCCAACTCACTGTTGGGTATCTTGATGACATGTCCAACGCCCTCCCAGGGTTTGTGCAGTTCACCCTGATACCTTAACCTCAGTTCGTCACCAACTGCAAGCCTGACTTCACCACTCTCGAGTTTGGGCATACAGAACCAAGCTACCCTCTTCTGGTTCAGACCGAGATCCCAGCGCACCGTTATATCCGTTTGCGTCTGACTTTCCTTGAGGCGCTTGTCATAGTCTGCTTCGATCTTCACTAGCGGACCAAATATATTTTGGTATTGGTAAGCATCCTCATAACGCATGAGGATTGATTGGGGTTCGTCATCAACGCCAGGTTTCTCCAAGTCCTCGAGTGTTGCATTGGCGTTTTCACGCCACAGGTCTTCAAGACGATTGATTTGATTGAACGAGATCTGGCGCGAGCGAAGTTGCTCTGTTTCACTGGGCGGCTTGACTAACCAAGACAAGAATGAGCGGTCATCGATCAAAGGCGCCCATAGAGAAGCATTCCAAGACATGTCTTTGGTTGTTGCTGCACAAGGTTGACTAAATGTATGCTGTGTGAGTGGGAAAAGCGCTCAGGCGGTATTAAGCGAATCCTACCGGCATAACAATACGACGACGGTATCGCTTTTTGCAGGGATAAATCCGAGCATAAACACATTCTTGCTCCCGCAACTGTAGCATTCAGGTGTGGTTTCGCCGAGAGGGGACTCTGCGTGTAATATAACTTCCTTGTGTTTAGCTCTGACTAGGTGGTTTACGATGTGGGAAGCAGAGGTATTTCCACGAGAATTACAAAACCATTTGGAGCATATAAGACATTTCACGACAGATGCTGGAGAGTGGATGCCGCAATAACTGAGCATAAGCATACTTAGCACAGTGCAGACGGCAAGCTGTGATCGGATACGCACCTGCAAGCATGTGGAGGGAGGTCGACGGTGCCCTCATCCTTGAGATCATCAAGTACTGCGTCGAAATCGTCGTCGATACCCGAACGTGGTAGGTGATGGTGACTATCTGAGTCAGTAAAGGACACATGTGACCGGTCGTCTGAGATGGAGAGACTACTGAGGTCGACTGGCGTGCGTGTGCCGGTGTTGGCGGTGTAAACAGATGAGTTGTCGTCGACTACGCTGATTCCCCCGCCGTATGACGATGCTGAGTCGTACTGAAAGTTGTCGAACGAGTCCATCGTGGTGGTCGATGACGAACAGTCCCAAGTCATTCCCCACAAGCTTAATACAGGCCACGCATATGTCAACTCATTCCCACGCTTGCATTATCTAACAGAGGGGTTATGGTTACATCTTACTACTAGTAGAGAAAGTCCAAAGTTGGTAGAATTACAACAATCAAGGTCAACGTCTGCCACCGTTTCTCGTCGTTGGCCTCACTCTAGGTCGAGTAGGGGTTTCTTGCGTAGGTAGGCGTGTGGGTATACCGTCCATCAACGGGAGATTGCTTCGCCTAAGTAGACTACCCGTCGGCATCGTCCTATTCCGCAGCTGGTGGGTGCCAGCTCGGGTCGAGGAACTACTTCCACTCTTGGAGCCCTCAGCTCCATCCACTCGATCCATGGGCTCATCCTCTGTGTCTGAAGGTCCGCGGAAACGATCGATATCGTCAACGACACCGAAACTTCTTGAACCTTCTTGCATACCCTCGGGCTCTGCAGAGCCCTCTGACGGGTCCACTTGGAGATCCTGGTCCATCGCGTCCACGTCTGCCTGCTCCTCCGCCTCGTCTTCTTCATCCGTCTCATCGTCATAAATACCCCCCGGCGGCTCACCGACCCAATGGTCGTCCTCATCTGTCCCAAAGTCCCAAACGTCCAGCATGGTCGCATTGTTACGATTGCTTGCTGCAACACAACACCGACCTTCGAATACAACTTGCCAGACCCCATTCACACCAGTAAGCAAATCCTTGGCAACCGTTCCTTCACGGATGTTCCACATCTTCAAGGTTCCGTCAGAGCCGCTGAGTACTTTAAACTCGTCATGTTGGAAACACGTTATAGCCCCTGTGTGGGCCGCAAGAGTATGGCGGAGCTCGCCAGTGTCAGGATCCCAGGATTCGCAGCGTAGAGTCGGCAGCGGCAGAAACCAAATAAGAGGGAGATAGGCCAAGTAATCCAACAAGGGATGTATGCCCAGTCAGTGTCTGCTGACACTGGCCGTTGCCGAGGTTCCAGACACGTACAGTACTGTCCATTGATCCAGAGCAAGCAATGTTGCGGTGAAGGTCCAAAACCACACTATATACTGGATACAGGTCAGAGGAGATGATGGCGGTGGTGATACATAGGTACCTTTTTGGGTGTGCCCCACTAGCACCCATTTGCATTCCCCGGTAAAGATGTCCCATACTCGTACGGTACAGTCATAGCTACCCGAGACGAGCGTGCGTCCTCGTGCAGCTAGTGCACGAACAGCATGATCGTGGCCTTCAAGGTGTAATTTGTGATACGGATTCTCCTCGACGTCCTCCTAGACAGGAAGATGAGGAACACTAAAGCCGGTCGGGGCAAAAACGTACCTCAGTCAGTTCTGCGTCTCCATCGTCTGCACCTGACCATCGGTACTCGGGTTCACCCTTACGTGGCAAGGTCCAAACTCGTAGAGAATGATCACGGCTACCAGTGACAATGAGAGATCGCTTCGGCCACTTCTGTCTCGTGACGACACCCCCTTCCCCTTCGACAGTCGATTACTTCCGGTCTCACGATCGCGAGACAGCGAACAGTGCTAGTGTGGCCAGCAAACACATGCGTGCAGCGACCGGTGTTGAGGTTCCAAATACGTACAGTGCGGTCCGTTGAGCCACTGACGAGGATGTCCCTGCTAGCGGCGAGGGCCCAGACGCCACCCTCGTGGCCTTCTAACGACTGCAACAATTCCCCAGTTTCAGGAGAGTAGACGTGGATGGAATGATCATCTGATGCGGATATAATACGGCCATGTGACAATATGAGACAAGTGACGACAGAGGTACCATGAGCAGGGAATGACAGGTGCTTTGGATTTTCGTTAGTTACCCAGCGTTTCCGAGTTAGATGCCTAGACTTGAAGAGGAGCTTGTAGGGATGAGGGAGGGGAAGCGCCATCTTTGGAATCTCGAGCTTGCGACGAGCGTAGACTGAACGCGCGAAGGCTTGTTCGCTGTCGCCTCCAAACCAGGTTTTTGTATTCTTCATGAGGTCTCTCCAAAGGACAGGGTCGGAATCTATGATAGCGCGCCATGCTTTGGATACTCTAGAGGCACGGGCAAGGGTAGAGTATGGAAGATAGCTGAGGATGTGAGAAACGAGTTCTGGGGGGAGGAGTGTTAAAAAGTCCCGCGCCAGAGTTGGAGTTAATACGGAGTGAAGCACACGAAGGACTGGTAGTGGGGAATGTCGAATGAGCGTGAGGAGAAAATGAGCTTGAAGGGGCTGTGGAAGATTTGTGAAATGAGTCAACAGAGAAGGGAGGGTAAGAAGGGTGGTAAGGGATAGATCCGGTTGAAGGGGAGGTTGTGATTGCGGTGAGGAAAGCCCACTTGGCGGAGCGGAGGGCCATATCTGCTGAGGTGGAGGGGAGCCGTGGGGTGATGGAAGAGGCGAAGGTGGTGCTGCCGCATTTATGGTCGAAATTGGAGGGACATGGGTTGCTCTAGCCTTCTTACGTGGGGGCGTATGGATGTCTCTCTCCGAGGTCGGTTCTACACCCTCCATCATGGACTCTGCTGCGTGTGACCGCTTCCTTCCAAAGCGTTCCACTGCCTCTGCCAGTCCGACTACCCTGCCCGTTTCACCCGACTCGTCCTGCTTAAGCATTTTCCAACCGACCCCACTCGCCACCGGCTCCTCTTCTTGCATTTCCTCTTCCCCGTTTTCACCATCATGGAAAGTGGCTCGTGAGCCGCCAGGAAAGACAAGCGTGAACTTTCTGAGGGATGGGGGTAAGTTGGCGTGTAGCAGAGGATAAGCCTTTGGATTCTTTGGCTCAGCTGGAGGGGGCAAAGCTGGCAGTGGGATGGGAGCATAGGTCGTGGTAGTGGTGGTGGTGGTGACTACACTGAATACACGGTTACACGCTGGTACGAGACAAGGCATTGAGAAAAGCGTACGTGGTGGTATTCACAGATGGTGCCAGCACCAACGACGGTCGCTGTTGGTGGTTCATGGCCACGCTGGATAGATAATATACGGTGCTGGGGACGAGTGAGTGTACGCGGTCCAACACATTACACAAGGGCCACCGAAGCGTCGAGTTTCAGGCGCCGCTCGAATAGAAGCCAGGCGCATCGACGTCGGCAGGGCATGCCGGCCGTGCTGCCCCTGTGTTGTATTAGGGGCTATCAATATATCATGTCCCGAGGGCGGGGGTGTATGTTCATTGTTGGCCGGGGACACTTTTAGCTCACAGAAACTCTACCATCATTTCCGCAGTACAAAGTCCAACTTCCCGACGGACCGACACACGCAGATGGCAGGGCCCGTGTATATAAATCTCTCATGGGCTGTCATCATGACAGGGTCAGCATCAGCAGAGGTACTACAGGTGAAATCAAGGTTAGACAGATAAGGTAGTTTCTCGACCTCATGGCCACCTCATTTAGCAAGGGTGGGATGGTGGCACTGTCATCGGGAGCATTCCGCCCAATCTGCGTCGTGAACGGGTAGATACGGTGTGTAAATCGCCGTATACCTGATACATGAACTGAAATGAGGTATTTGGATGATATGATCGATTATAACTCCGACGAGTCCGATTACATCGCTCGGAAGGCCTTCTTCGACGCCCTGTGTCAGATCGAAAGCGACCAGCGAACGATCTGAACTGACCCGGGAGGCGTGCAGGAACATATCCAATCAAATAATATATACTGACCACCCGAACACGGGTTGCCACAGAAGCCTTGCTCGTTTCGTTTCCTCCGAGCTACCTCCGCCAACTCCCCCCCACCACTCACACAGATCACACCCCCGCTGCCCACCCAAAGCTGTAGTTGTTTCTCCCCGGGTCACCTGGAGCACCTCGAGTAGCCTCTGTACGAATACATCATGTCGATGCACCACCATGACCACACCATTCCACAACCCCCGTCGAACATGCCCCCACCGCGTTCTCCCCAAATCGATCCAGCGCTCTCCATGTACCCGGGGTACTATGCCTATCAACAACAGCCCCAACAACACATGGTCGCCCATCACATTCTTCCAGCAAACCTACCCTCTCCCTCTTCCCAGGGTTCCGACACCGTTGGTACCCCTCCCACCGAAACCATGTCCTATCCTCACCCCAATGCTAATGGTAAACGCCTGTCCCCCGCGATGTCCGCCCCCGGAGATTTCAACAGAAAAAGAGTCAGGATCGAGGACAGTGCTGCAAGCCCATCAGCTGAAAGGGATGAGACTAAACCAAAGTCAACCAGAGGATCCCGGTGGGTTTATTCGGATCACCCCTCCTATCCGGCAATGCTCATGTTCTCCCGTTGTTTTCAGCGCCTGCACCGTATGTCGGCGCTTGAAAATGAAATGTGTCGGTGCGGAACAGAAACCACCATGCCAGCGTTGCCGGACCGGTGGTCACGAATGCATATTCGAAGAGTCAAATCGCGGAAAGCGGACCGCCAAGTAAGCCCCCTCATACTATTGACAGGCGAAATATCCAACACTCATGTTCAAGCCCAAGAAAACACGAGGTTCTCACCAAAACCATCCGAAAAATGGAACAGACGCTTGATACCGTGCTCAAATCCATCGGCAACCCCGCCATGACTTCTGGCATGGTTTCAAGGTCACCTTCACCCACATCCTCAGGTCAGGCTGCACAGACCCAAGCGCTACTGGCCTCGCCTTCTCCTCCACCGCAATCTCTATTTCCACCACAACCTACCAAGGAGCCTCCAACTTCGTCGCCAAAGTTACATTCACTCCCCGATAACCCCTTGAACCCGCTTGGATTATTGGCCGAGGCAAGCTTGGCAAATCGAAAGGCATACGGGGTTTCTTCGTCTTTCACTGCCCGTCCAGCCGATCCGGATCCAAACCGCCGTCTAGGTGTTGCCAGCGACAATTACTTCAGGCCAGGTACGATAAAAGATACTCCACGTTCATCTGTGGCACTTATTTATATCGCAGGTCCTATGTCCATTCTACCACTGCGACGATTGTACATCGAAAGGCAGATTCAACCGGAAATGCTGAGCTTCGTAAGCACGGATGAAGTGGTAGCGTTATTTAAGATGTCAGTGAACCCATTCTTTCAAGAGGTCTTGGACTAAAGTCTGAAACTAGTTATTTCGACCATATGAACGTCCGTATCCAAAACTCGCCAATGTCAATTCTACGGCTGATTTCGTCACAGATGCATTGCGGTCTGCTGGATCGCGAATTCCACACCCCTTCACTAGTGTGCTCCCGTTCTCCGTTCTTACTTACGACAAGTAGGCATTGTTTTACTCTTGATTATCAAGCCTTGCTGACGCTTGTTAGTTTGTGCGATAGCATCCAAATTCTATCCCGTCCGCGCGGACCTCCATGGAAAGCTTTCCGACATTGCCCAGAAGCTCGCCTTCAGCGTTCCTGCAAAAGGGTACAAATCGCTCGAGATCATCCAAGCTTATCTTCTACTCACGCTCTGGGGCTGCGGTGCCGTGGAGCGGTATGAGTACGATAAGACATGGTTGTTATTAGGGATGGCCACCCGGTTAGTGTGTCTTCCCCTTGAGTTTTACTTGCCTGACCGCGACTCTATTAGCATGGCAACGGATATGAATTTACACCGTAAGACGACGGTCAAAAGTGATGACACGGCGGAAGGCCGAGCACGGGACAAGGAGGTACATAATCGAGAGCGCACCTGGTACTTATGTTTTGCGCTTGACAGAAGTACGAGTGCGCAGATGGGTAAACCCCATTCCATAAGAGAGGAGTGAGTGTCTTTCTGGGCCATATGGTGTAATGCTAACGGCCTCAGTTCTGTCATACGGAATGTCTTAGAATGGATACGCTCCCCTGACGCAACGACTGGGGATTCACTACTGGCAGCTTATGTGGTGCGTTGAGCACGAAGATCTAGTTTGCGATCCACTCACCATGACCTCCAGGAATTACAACGAATCGTGTCAAGAAGCCTCGATTTCCTTTACTCCGGAACTAATACTCCTTCCGGACTACAGACGGATTGCGATTACCTTTTGATCATTAAGACAATTGAGACACAAATGTATGCATGGCAACACGAGTGGACTGGCGCCCGCCAGTTCCAAACCGGTTAGTGGACATCCTATGCGCCTGCCTCTTTTCAATGCATTTACACCTCCAGGCATAGACGATGAGGTCATCAAGGCATATCGCTCGACGATGATGAAGTTCTACTTCCACTACTATATGCTCGTTATCAATTCCTTTGGCTTGCAGGATGCCATGGAACACTCTTCCGTGGACATCCCTCATTTCTTTGCGCGGGTCCATACTGCGGCGACGGCTGTGTCGGCTATTGCGCGGGACGAGCTTGCACCCCGGGGATATTTGAGATATTCCCCAGATTCGCACTTCGTTTTCCTGTCTTATGCCGTGCTAAGTTTGCTGAAGGTAGTCAAATTCTCCACATAGCTTCCGTTGTATTCTGACGTTTTTCCTTAGCTCATTCGACCGGAATTCCAGACGTTTATCGAGAATGAACAAAAAATTGTGGAACTCGTCAAGGATGTTGCAACTGTTCTTGGCGAGATTGCCATCAATTCCCATCACACTCCTGCACTGTACAGCACCTTCCTGAGAGCACTTATCTCTGCTCGGACGGATGGTGTTCAACAACAGCAACACCACCACCAGCAGGGACAACATCAGTTGCAGCAGCACCAAGCATCCGGCGCAGATGCAGTAGAAAGTGATGATGCCATACAGCAGACTGATGTGGGCATGGTACCCAATTCTACGCTCTTTTCCGGAAATCCAAGCATTTCCGTTAGCGGGGTGAATGGAATGAATGACTACCAGTTTGCCAGTGAGATGGGTCCGCCGTTGGATATCTCAACGTTCCCGCCTACAATGGCTCCCCTTCCACCAGATGACGGAATGAATATGTTCTCGATGGAAAACTTCCTCAGCAACGGATTTTGGGACAGCGTACTTGTTCCAGGTAAGTTGCTGAGTTCCATTTGGAGGCGACAGATCTTTGATAGTCTCGTTTCTTAGGTTACTCAGACACGATGGAAGGGCTGAGCGGCGGTTTCGTGTTTGGAGCAGGAGGTAGTGGTCTCATTACTCCCGGGTTGCTACCGTCTCCGGTGCCCTCAGGATCCACCACCCCAGCTCGTCAGGATCCCAATGCCGCCATTGACTTTGGCCAGCAAAATCTCAATGTAGCGATGATGCATAGAAAATGATGAATTCTGTATTTGTCCCCTGCAGCATATTGGTGGTATTTGTTACACCGTTTCTTGTTCTTCGTCCAGGTCTGTTTGTCTTGATGATACTAGGTGGTTTATGTTGTATGTGTTACGCACGTTTCCAAGTCTGTTTTATGTATAGTGTATCAGCTTGTCCACTCAGGCTCAGTCACTAATTACCAAATCCCTTCAATACCTGAGTGTCGCTTTCCAACTCGACGTACACAGTCGTCCCAAATACTCTTCCGGAGCCAGTACTTGGGTTTATCGGCCTTGATAGTACAATGGCTACCGGGGCGGACGACAACCAACCGGTTTTCTCCATCATGTCTCTTTCGTGCTGCTCGTTCCCTGATCTCCGACAGACAATATTTCTGGACCCTGGCCACTCTTGTGATCGTCTGCGATGCTGTCCTCACCCAGCTCATCATCAAGTTCATCCCATGTCAGTCCCTCCTTGTCGTCGACATGCCGCTCCTGGTTACCAACTCATACGCTAGACACAGAAATCGACTGGGAAACCTACATGATTCACATAGATCTTTACCTGAAGGGTGAACGGGACTACTCCAAAATCACAGGCCCTACCGGACCATTGGTGTGAGTTTGTATCGGTGTTACTGACGTTTCAAAAAAGTGGAAGCTTACAAGGAAGGAGCAAGTTACCCCGCCGGACACGTTTATATCCACAACATCCTTCACTACCTAACTGACTCTGGAAACGATGTTGCTGCCGCTCAGCAGATATATGCCGGCCTTTACGTGCTGTCGCTATTGTTGACGTGCGCTGTCTACCGGAATGCGGGCATGCCCAACTGGACGCTTATGCTCTTGCCTCTGAGCAAGAGATTGCATTCTATCTTCGTGTTACGGCTATTCAACGACTGCTGGAGCGTTGTCTTTGTACAAGCGGCTATCCTCGCATCCCAAACTGGAGTAGACGGCACAGCGATATTGTTATATAGGTCAGAACCTCGCTTTCGTGCATACTCTATCTATTGACAGTGAGTGCTCAGTCTAGCACTTTCTGTGAAAATGTCAGCCTTGCTATACCTCCCCGGGCTGCTTGTCGTCCTCTTCAAGCGACACGGGATGATAGGCATGGCACGTTACATGGCAGTTTTAACCGGTTCTCAGATTCTCCTTGCAAGACCATTCTTGGGCGAAAATACCTCTTCGTACATACAAAACGCTTTCAATTTTTCCCGTGTTTTTCTACAAAAATGGACTGTCAATTGGCGCTTTCTGCATGAGGAGGTTTTTCTGAGTTCATCGTGGGCTATGGCTCTGGTCCTGGGCCATGTTACCCTGCTCACAGCATTTGGCCTCTGCAGATGGTGCAGGAGTGACGGAGGTACATTGGCTGTTGTTCAAAGGGGTTTCCTTCGCCCATTTCAACCACCGGCACTATCACCCGTGTCACCTGATTGTTTGTCTCCCTTTTCACTGGAGTGAATGACATGCTAAAGTCAATCGATAGATATTGCAACAGTCCTTATGACCTCAAACTTAATCGGTATCCTCTTTGCTAGGTCTCTGCACTATCAGTTCTATTCATGGTATTGCCAACAACTTCCATTCTTGTGTCAGAGGACAAAATATCCACTCCTTCCGCAGTACGTGAGCTTCGAAGGCGCTTGTCAATGACCATTCTGAGTTGGTTTACTCCAGACTCCTCATCTTGGCCGGAATAGAATACGCATGGAACGTATTTCCCTCGACGACACTATCTTCAGGAATACTACTTGCAGCACATGTCTTACTGCTTCTGGGAATTTGGTTCGGTTTCCCGGAGGGAAGGACAGTGGTGTCTCGACACCGGCAATTTAAAGAGAAAATTACAGAATAGAAATAGACCGCTACGTAGATTTGTGTGGTAAGCCGATTGTCGCGAACTATAGAATCCATAGAAATTATACCCTCTTGGTTCCCATACTGACTATAAACGTGCTCCTGCCTCCCCTCGGTAAAACCAGCACTGTTTCAGCGCCATGGGACTGGTGAGTGTCACTGCTAGGAAGGACTCTTGGCACGTCCTCTTCCCCATCTAAGGGCAGCGGCTTCACTTCAACCTTTGGAAGCTCAATGTGTCCGTGATGTAGCGCAATCAAAGTCAAGCAGACGCTAAATGTGCTCTTGTCCTGTGCAGGAAATGAAATATAGGATTGCCTGCAATGCTCAAGATTCGTACCTGAACGAGGAAATCACCTCGCTTTCTGCCGCATATAAGCCAGTCTTTGGTACGCTCTTCAACATCATAGCGCATTCGATATCGTTGCCGTTTGTTTTCTGGGTCATTCCAGTGCAAAGATGCTGTGATGTAAACCGTGGCTGAAAGTGCCTGCCCAGCGTAAATCGATGGAAGTTGGCTGCGCGGCAATTCCTCGGCTTGTGGAGGAGGCTGGATTGCTATCCAGGCGTCTGCGACAATCTAGAAGCCAGTGAGGACACATTCACCCTCTCCGCTAATCCACAAACATTCATTTTGGGTACATCAACGGGTATAGTCATCTCTCGCCAGGGACCGAGGGATGGCGATGGTGGGTTGGGCTGGGACAATATCTATCGCAAGCCATGCTTAGTTACTATCCAGTCTCTTCAATACGACGCACCTTCTGCACGGAGGAGAATGCCTCTTCTAACTCCTCACCTACATCGAGTGAACTGGGTATTATGAGTTCACCCGTGGTGTTGTACAACTCCACCCAGGAAGCATCGCATTCCAGATATTCTATGATGGCCTGTACCAATTTGGTACCAACGTCAGATTCTTGCGACAGTTGACGAAGGGCGTCCTCCACGGCTTTATTCACCAAAGCCTCTACCTCTGTCAATGGCATTCTAAGATCTATCTTGTCCGAAACTGCGGTAGGCATATCGCACCTTCTCGTAGCAGACGATAAGAAATGACAAGTTTTAACGGGTCTGAAACTGAAGAGACATGACATTAGCTGCGTTGAACTGAGACACAAGGACAGCGTTGCAAACCTGGACCGCGGTCCGACTCTATGCAAAATATGTAGCTGACTGGGCGGTCGGGAACAGCCGTCTGCGAATGACCTAGAGTAGGGAATTTTTACGGCGAAAATTGGCGGTTTAACTGACCATGACAGAATGACTAGGATGACATCCCAATATTTTGGCACCTTGTTCAGCGTCAGGCGCTGAAAGTAGCCTTGCCGATGAGATCCGAACATGTTGCTGGGTAGTTGTTGAGATCGTGAATCTCGAGAAGAGTCTGGTAACGAACATAGTTCTGAGCTTGACGCTGCTATCTAGTCCAGGGATGACTTGCCTTTCTCCACGAAAAAAATCCTCCACATTTACGGCAATCGGGAGAGCGACAGTGACGATCCTAGACGTTCGCAATGTCCGTTCCAGTGCTGGATCCCGAACCGTCTTATACGTGATGCTAACGTCAATTTTCTATACCAGTCAATAGCCATTATGAAGGTACTGGAATTCGTCTTACGATTGCACGGAAACGCGTTGCATCGGAATGGGGCACGGAGATTATCACATTGGAGTTGGAGGGCACATTGAAAATGCTGATACCATCCTCTGATGTATCAATTTCCCCTACACCTATAACCTCCAGCCTCGCTGAGCCCGGAGATTTGCACGGTGTAAATTTATTGCTCACCCTCGGAATGTAATTCGGAATTTACGAAGGCGAAAGTGATTCCTGCGGGGGCCGACAGTCGTACACTTGCAGTCGCAAGATCATTCCGCCCAGAAGAGATTGTCAAGTGTAATTTTGGAGTTGTTCCCAGTGCAGCTATACAACCCAACAACGGATGAAGACTTGGAAGGAACAATAGGGGAAATGTGCTCACTATTGGGAGGTAGGCAAAGCTGGACATCTAAACTCTCAGGATTACGTGGTAAATGCACCGGTATGGCATGTTTTCGAGATGTCAAGGCGTCGCCTGCACCACCACCACTTTTGCGGTTCCACTGGAAGTGGAGGCGAGCTATTCGGATTTCAACACTCTCATGTACGTATGTACCATGTGATGACGTCTAGTGAAGAAGGTTAGTGAAGAAGGTGTTAAAGCATGCATGCAAGTAGACAGCGTAGACCCTCACCGGACATGTCAAGACCAAGTAATTCCTTCCTGATACTAGCTTCGTGAACTCGGCGGTGAATTTTAAGCGGGTTGTATCTTCACCGACGAGCACCACGCCAATTTTGTCCACGTGAACATCCTAGTCGATACTTAGCAGTCGATAGGAAAGTGGAGGCACGGACGCACACAAGGTAAACGATTGTGGATTAATACCGTCAAATACACCAAATCCTCATCCTGACTGCATCGCGTGTCCTTGGTAATCTCCAGAGCCATAATGGGATGGTCCAGATGAGGGAGGTCTAAGAAATCCATATATTAGCAGAGAGCTTTTTGAACTGTGCAAGGCATTCACCTGAATCTAGCTTCTCTGAGGCCTCTCGCAAGGCCGTCACTAACTTAGTCACATATTCGTTGATGTCATGGGATGTAAGCGATTCCGAAGTGGGCTCGTTCACATAAGTCTTCAGAAACCCGAGCAAAAGATGAATCCATTCTTGATCCCGCGGCTTCTGGAGTACGGCGTGCGTATCGATTGCACGAGAGAGCATAAATGATTCCAGAGAAGTCCACATGTGGGGGGCATAATGTGCGGGGAGCGATGAAAATATAGCCAGTGCATTGGACAGCCGCCCACGATGACTATGAGGAGTTCAGCGACATCTAGGAGATGGTAGAGTCAACATACTTGTCAAGAGCAGCAAGACAACCATGTAATTTCAATGCAAACTTCCGTCGCCCAGCTTTCACATATGCGTCAATTGCCCGATTTGAGATGGTACAATAGAGATCATAGAATGCTTCGATATCCCCTATGGCAAGCATGATTTCGTACTTGCTAATCCGCTGTGATGGGTTTCTCTCTGGCAACGGCGAGCTGGGAGTTGTCGAGACGGTTTGTAAAGCCATCAAAAATGGGGGCTTTGGTGGAAGATGTCCGACTTTGACACCGAGGATGTCAAGCTGTAACTTGAATCAGCAGACATTAAACAGCGTACACATGTGATACCGACTTGGCTTTTTGCAAGCTCAAGAAGTTCGCCTTTAATTGCATTATAGCGTGCAAGCGCGATTCCCTCTAGCTCGAGCCAAGAAGAAGCCCATGCACCACACTGGTCCACGACACTAAGTGCGGAAGAAAATATCCAAGACTCAACGAAATATTCGGGTAGCGCCATCTGCAATAGTATATTAGCTTCATGCTGGAGGATGCTTCCACGCGAACGGACCTCAACCTCACGGAGCCGTTTTCCAAACGTGCTCAAAAAGAGTATTGCCTTTCGACAGATTTCAATTGGCTGTTGCATTTTGTTTAACAACATGCTCTGCCTTGCGAGTAAGTACACTCGGAGATCGAAAATCGATATGGTGTTCGCAAGAATGAGCTCTCGGTAAGATTTCTTAGAAGGAGAGAGAAGGGGTAATGAGTCGTCCTTGGGCGCTGGATTGATCAGATTTCCGAACCAAGACATATTCTTCTCTCCCAGAACGTTCATGAAGGTAGCCTCAAGCTCGTTGTATTGTTGCAATGCGTCTTCGAACAGGTTGACACCTTCGAAAGACGATGCAAGGCTTTCCTACGGAAAGTGTTCCCTTCTAGTACTTAGCAAGTATGCAACATAGGCAACCCACCTTTAAGACAAAATACGTACAAAAGTTCCATCCTGGCATGTGACGCTGGCCTTCGGAACGTTTCACTTCCTCCTCTCTTGCTAGTACGGCTGTATCAAATGCAGCAAGGAGTCCATCCTTTATTTTGCCGATGAGATCCGCCCAAACTGCTGGACTCTGTTCGCCAGTAGACCAGGGTAGTTGTACACACCTAGACGACATGAATCAGACCGACAGGATCGAGAATTCGGCACACATACCTGTCTCGCTTGTCGATGTTAAAATCTCCCTTGATCTTGTCCAGGACCGATCCTTTCATGCTGAAAAACTTGCGGTCTACGTTTTTACTATCCGGGCGTACGACGTGAATAATGAGCCATTCCTGATTCTTACGTTGGTTGACGGAAGTCTGCCAATCCTTTATCTGCTTCTTCACGGTGGTCTTGTATGTCTCTGCATCCTAGAAGGGATTGATAACTGCTGTCTGAGCATGATCTCGGGGCCGCCTGCTCACCTCACAGGACAGCACATACAAGTTCAGGAGGGGTTTCTCAAGCAGAGTGACAGGTACTTGAGAAGTATGCTCATCGCGAAGCGAGTCGAGGGGAACCAGAGAAACGTCAAGCTCCTGAACAGTTCTCAAGTTCGGACGGGAGGTTGGTTTCCAATGAAGGTTGCGCAGTGGTAAGAGGGAACGCAAGGCTGCCAAAAAATGTATCCAGTTGTCGGAGGACTGGAAGGACTGGGCAGCGGCGTAGGTCACAACCACACGCTGGTTTGCCATGGGAGATTCCGTTCAATGGCGTTCAAAGCCTGAAGACTGTAGTATCAACGGCACTCAGGAGTACTGCTTATACTTGGACGTGGGAAATATGTGTGTGCGATCTTCCAGCACTCTTGCAAATCACCCCGCCCTTGGCCAGGAAACTCGAAGGAATGCCAACGCCAGATGAAGCCTCCACGTCCACGGCACCCCAAATGTCGTTCAGAGAACTCGGTCTTATTGATCCCTTGCTCGAAGCCCTCGAAAAAATGAAGTTCAAGGCTCCCACCGAAATACAGTCTCAAGTCCTTCCACATGCACTTCAAGGCCGAGATATCATCGGCGTCGCCGAAACAGGTTCCGGAAAAACTGCAGCCTTCGCTCTCCCTATCCTCCAAAAGCTTTGGGAGGAGCCAAAGGGACTTTTCGCGGTCGTGTTAGCACCCACTCGTGAACTTGCTTACCAGATATCACAGCAGTTCGACTCGTTAGGTGCTGCAATGGGTGTGAGATGTCTAGTCCTCATCGGCGGTGTGGACAAAATGCCTCAGGCTGTTGCTCTTGCGAAACGACCCCATATCATAGTCGCCACCCCAGGTCGCCTCAACGATCATCTGCAAAGCACCAAAGGTTTCAGCCTTCGAAGCCTCAAATTCCTGGTATGGTTTACGTTAAAAACAACCTTCTAGTCTCTCAAGGAAATAGGTCATGGACGAGGCTGATCGACTGTTGGACATGGACTTCGGCCCCGAAATAGACCAAATACTCAAAGTGATCCCGCAAGAGCGTACGACCTATCTATTCTCTGCAACGATGACTACGAAAGTTGCTAAGCTTCAGAGAGCCTCCCTATCGAACCCTGTACGGGTCGAAGTGTCATCCAAGTAAGCTCGTCAAGCACACTGTCGACACCACACTAACAAAATGCAAGATACCAGACTGTTTCGACCCTTTTGCAATACTATCTCTTCGTGCCGTTAATACACAAGGACGTGCATCTAATATACCTTGCTAATGAGTTGGCATCTAACTCAATCATCCTATTTACAAGAACTGTGCATGATGCCCAGCGGTATGCATATATTATGGGGGAATGACATAAATTCACAGAGAACCCTAGATTGTCTATCATGTTGCGCACTCTAGGCTTCCCTGCTGTGCCCTTACATGGCCAACTGAGCCAGAGCCAGCGGTTGGGTGCGCTGAACAAGTTTAAAACAGGAGGTCGCAAGATCTTGGTGGCAACGGATGTTGCCAGTCGGTAAGGTCCCTGTTAACGAGAACCGGTCCTTGTGCTTATGGGTGGTGGAACTCAGGGGTTTAGATTTACCATCTGTCGACGTCGTCATAAATTTCGACGTTCCAACCCACTCTAAAGATTATATCCACAGGGTTGGACGTACAGCCCGCGCTGGACGTGCTGGAAAGTCAATAACAATCGTCACACAATACGACGTCGAGCTTCTGCAACGCATAGAAAAGGTCATTGAAAAGAAACTTGACTTATGGCCTGTCAGTAAGGAAGAAGTGATGTTGCTCAAGCAACGCGTCGACGAAGCAGGGCGAATGGCCATCAACGAACTTAAGGAGCAGACAAAGGGAGAAGGGAAAAAGCGGAGGCGCGATGAGGGTCGTTCCAGGGATGACAAGGATCGAGATGACGACGTAGTTGAAGCTGGTGTGCCAGAGGTTAAGAAATCTAAAAGCCGTCGCTAGAATTTACTTTCTTACGATGTCATCCAAAACGGGAATCAGTCTAGAAACATCAAGTCTGAGCGAAGTACGTATTTTGTTCCCTCCCGAACAAGCGTTCCTTCGTGCAGTAGGCATTCGCTGCCGTGCCTGTCTATGGTGTTTGCGCCCAAAAGAAAAGTCGGTAGGGCAGAGTACGCACCGGTGAAGGAGGGCTGTACCCCGGGTGAGGGGGGCAACAATCGTTTCACGAAGTTTTCCCTTTTCGATGTAGAAAACTGTCTGTAGGAATTACATATGTAACAGTCGAACTGATATGTTCACGACCGCATACCTCTCCGCCTTTGACACCGTCTTCGACACCTGTAAGATAGATCAAAAGTGTCCATTCCGATTTTGCCCCTGTGTGTATGTCCTTGACAGAGTCATCATAGTGGGCTCCAAAATGTTGCATGGGGGCATACTTGTATATCCGGATATTCGAATTGCAAGAGTGCGGAAGCCGGCTTCGATGGTCATTCTCACGAGCAGTGGGTCGTTTGCTAGCAGACGCAGGATAGGGGAAAGATGGCAAGTGTGGTAGTAGCAGGGAGTGTAACTTCTCAGCAAAAGACGGTGATAATACCGACGTCCTGTCTACGGAATTAGGTCGACTCGAGTCTTGGTCAGTACATCCCGGACGAACAAATGTCCACTTACAATTGACCCTCTCGGCTTCCCCTTTCCTCTTGGGCGGGGTAAGCTCGAGCGATAACTCGTCAATGAATTTGACGAATTTCTTGCACTCCTCTGCAGATAAAAGTCCCTGTAACAATCCCAGTTAACACAAGAGCTAGTTATAAGCGCCAAAACGCACATCGATTATGATTATCTGGTCTTCGAGGATAACATGAGGGAGCAGGTCATTCTTTGGAAAAATAGGAGGAAAGCCGATGCGCTGATCCTCGCATTTCGGGGGTGCTGTCCTAGCTTGTTTCGACCCCTTTCTCACCATCATGAGTGCACCAAGGAAGGGACGGCAGCTTTCGGCTCGTCTGTCATCCACCGAATGTTGACCGAATGCAAGTGTTGTCGACGGGTGAAATTAATTGTTTGTATGTGTGCCCCATGGCTGAGTTGGTTACAGCGTCCGACTGTTACTACACAAACATCGGAAGGTCGTGAGTTCGAGCCTCACTGGGGCAGACTTCTATCTTTTGGTTTGCTTCGGTATATTTTTGTTGGAGGTTAATTGCATACCCCTGATGTTAACCATAGGAATAATGTACGAGGGTTACAAAATTGAAATGTTGATGGTCAAACCTGGCTTGAACTATACTACCGATGCTCATAGAAAAAAAAAAAAACCCTGCCCCAGTGAGGCTCGAACTCACGACCTTCCGATGTTTGAGTAGTAACAGTCGGACGCTGTAACCAACTAAGCCATGGGGCATGTACAAAGTGCTAGGGACTCGTCCTCTGATATTGTAGTGTCATGCAAAGATATATGGCATCCAAATTGAGGGACCAGAGTGAGTTGCGTGTCCTCCTGACCATTGTGTCAAGCGCCCGCAGACGGTTCCGTGTGGATAAACAAGCGAAGGAGCTCCGTTTCATCAACGGAACATCTGAGGCCGACATCAAAGTTGGACAATGGACATCGCGCACTTTGAAATGCTGTATGGCGAAAGTTGTCACCTTCGACTTTGCTGTCACTGCATTCAATTCCTCACTTGTTTCTGTAAAATATGTTACCCAGATGTTAGCTTCATCACAGTAGACAGTCACTAATCAAATGTTATGTTCTTATGAGGTTATTCAAGATGTCGCAAAAATTATATGTCTTGTGTTCCATAACAAGTATGGAAAAAAAATGCGTCACCTGTGCGATTCGAACACACGCGGGCAAAGCCCAACCGCTTGGCTTATAGCAGGCGATCCCGTTAACCACTCCGGCAAAGTGACTTGAAACTCCTGAGCAAACCTGTCCCACATATAGACTTCATGGGTTCCCCATACATTCTGCTCTCAAGTGCAAGGGACAAATATTACATCTATTGTGCCACGGCGCTCTCCGCTTCGACAAACTCAATCATATAATCCACCAGTGTCTGTAACTTGGCTTTCTGAAATTGCGTTGTAAAGTGAAACTCGAACACCTGCCAACGCGTTAGCCCACCAAGTAGGATGGAAACACAGGGTTGACCTACCTCCGACAGATCTTCAGAGCCTGGTCAGCCCTCATGAAACTAAAACCATCGCGAACAGAACTCACCGATGCCCACGCAGCCCTTTCATATTCCGTGCCTCGGTACCAGCAATAAACTGGTCTAATTTGCCCTCACCAACGACGTCGAAAACGACGTTCATCTGACTGCCAGAGTCATCCCTAACTTTGCTTTTGAAGACACCCTTCTGTTCTCCTCTCTTTAGTGCATCGTATACCTTGGCAGACTTGCTTGCCGAAAGCGCGGCGTACTTCTCCATTGCGTCTTCCCCAAACTCCAACATCATTTGCCTAAGAACGAGTCCACTGATATAGATCGACAATACGGGGGGCGTGTTATACAGGCTTTGGTGGTCGGCTAGTGTCCGATATGCAGTGCATAATGGAATGGGTATAGCACCGTTCTGGGCGGCTTTGTCGACATCAACGATGCAGTCCTTTCTGACGATGAGCACCGTCAATCCTGCTGGACCGAGGTTCTTCTGGACCCCAGCATAGATAATCGCGTGGTTTTGTAAACGAGGAATAGGGTGTGACATGAAGGAGGAGGAGTAGTCCCCGACCAGAGGGGAATCCTCAGGAAGGAGGTGGAAGGGGAACGAAGTCTCATTGCCTTCCTCGCGGGCAAACTCGACCCCATCGACAGTTTCGTTGGCACAGTAGTAAATGAGGACGGGGTTCTTCGAGAACTTGTAGGCATCATTTTTGTGACTGGGTATGTTGTCGAATTTCCCTTGAGCAGAGAACTTTCTGGAATCGGCGACGACATTGACTGTGCCACCCCCGAGCCTTCTTGCCTCCTTGGTTGCTTTGTCGCTCCACGATCCTGTGATTACGTAGTCCATCACTCGCTGCTCCGGTTCGAGTACGGGGTACCGTTCATGATGTCTAGCTAGCATATTCAATACGACAGCAGAGAACTGTGCTGATCCTCCTCCCTGAGTGAAGAGGATCGCATGACTGTTTGGGACCTTGAGTAGCTTCCTGATGTCGGACTCGACACCTTGGAGATAAGTCTTGAACTCCTTCGAACGGTGCGAGATCTCTGCGATGCCAATGCCTGTGTCCTGAAAGTTCAGGAGGCCCTCGCCAGCCTGCTTTAGCACGGATTCCGGCAACGCCGAAGGACCTGCACCAAAATTGAGAGCGCGTGCGGGCATCGTCTGCGATAAGAATAAAGAGGACGTTACACACCTGGTCTTAAGTCAGTAGGCTAAGTCCGTTTATTCCGAAACACTCACAGGTGGCAGTGTGTGCGAACTGCAAATTTTGAGTCGGCCGCTCGGAGTGTCTGACGGCCTGTCGATGCGGTAACACGTAATAGGCGCCCAATCCGGCAATCGCCGAACACCCAGTGCCTCTACGTTCGCCATCGCCGACGACAGCGAGCAACGAAGCATCCGCCATTTGACACCCTACAAATACCAAGGTGAGCCATTCGTCGTGGTAGTTGGTTTGTTTCTCGGTCGCCATGGAACACGCCTTTCGTGATTGTGTGATGGATTCATGTGCTGTGCCTCAGATGTCTGTCGGCCTCGTTCGCTGACGCTTACTTAGATGTCTGCCGAGGAAGTTCAGTCAGACCATTCTGAGCATGAGGAGGACCCCACTTCTCAGGCTGCTCTAGACAAGATTCAGTCTCGCTCTGAGCGCAAAGCCCGTAAAGCCCTCCTCAGCTTAGGCCTCAAAAAGGTGCCTGGTATCACTCGGGTCACCCTCCGCAGACCAAAGAACGTCCTATTCGTGCTTTCTTCACCCGATGTATACAAGTCGCACAACAGCGATTGCTATATCGTCTTTGGTGAAGCAAAGGTGCAAAGTTTCCTTCTTGCAAATTAGTCGCGCCCGACGGACTGATCGATTTAGATTGAGGACATGAATTCACAAGCACAGTTGTCTGCAGCTCAACATCTTTCTTCGGGTGCAGCGGCTGCCAACAATGTTCTCTACCCTAGAGAGCTTCGGGTGCAGCAGTCGAAGCTGACGAGGATGACATTCCTAACCTCGAAGCACCTGAGGATGATGGACCCGTCGATGAAACTGGCGTTGATGTCAAAGACATAGAGTTGGTTATGAATCAGGTTGGCTGTTCAAGAGCCAAAGCGGTTAGGGTACTGAAGGAAAGCGAAGGAGATCTGATCAATGCTAGTAAGTAGCTCCTACTCTCCCCCAGACGAACAACTCATCACGACAAATAGTTATGGCAGCGAGTGATTGATGTTCGCAGTCCATGATGACCTCCTTCACCGCCACTGTATCATATCATCACCATGCCTTCGCAATACGTTTTGGTTATTGGTTGCTGTCATCGTAACGCATGTGTGAATATTGAACCACGAGGGCTGAACCCAGAGGTCACGATATCCACCGTCTCAACTCTATATAATAGTTCGAACGTTCCCAGCCGTCCCGAATAATTTCGCAACCCAGCTTGTTGGTGGCGTCAATGGTCAAGGGCCCAACGATGAGACCCATCCCCTCTGCCGCCTCCTCGACTAGCTTCGTGAGCTCCCCCTCAGCAAACATGTGGTAATAACGGTTGTAAACGGAGACATCTGCCGGCAGCGCATCTTTCTGTGTGCTAGCTGGTTCACGAGTTGGCTGACGCGTCTTGGTGTGCGCGGTCGTCTGTTGGGACATGACCCAGGGCACGAAGACATCCAGGCCACCAGATCCACCTCCCTCGTTTGCAGGCACAGGTCCTTTTCGATAGATCATCTTGCTCCACTGCCCAGACGTAAATCAATACACGACCGTGAGCAGGCGAAACGCATTGTAGGAGTCGCTGGGCAGAGTCGGCTGGTGATCTATGCGTAAAGATGTGTACTGACCTGCACGGCGAGTTGCCTTCGCTGGTGGGAGGCCAAATGATGTATCGTAGCTATAGAAATAGCATAATCCTTCGCAAGATCAGCTGCAACTGGCCGGAGTGTTGATCAGACTCACGAAGGCTCCATCCCTCCATCCATTTCCGAGAACATCGCCCCTCACAATCTCCCTTGTAATCGGAAGTCCAGGTCCGCTACCTGCGTGCTTCGCGATCTGCAAGAGGTTCCAGCTTCGGTCCATCCCAATGGTAAGGACGCTGCCAGGTCGTTCTGCGGGGAGGGGCAGGTATTTGCCGTTGCCCGTCCCCGAGTCGAGACCAATCCAGCCCGTAGGCAGTGAATCGAGAAACGCAGCGATGATTGGCCATGGCTATCTCGTCGATATGTAGTCCTGAACCAAAACTGCGCGCGTGGATCGACACACCTTGTACCGCGTCGACGAAAAATGCGACGCTATGTGATCGTAAACGGCGTGTACATGCTGATCTTCATATGCCTGGGGATCGTCGTTGTCGACGACAGCAGACGTGACGCTCTTCATGAAACTGTGCGGACAAAATTACCACTACCAAGAGTATCTAAGAAGAGCTGACATTGTATCCCATCTCCTGGTCGATCAATCTACGGAATCTACTCCCGTCAAATGGTGGAAATGGTATCAAACTCGATGGGTCAAAGGCACTGATAGTCACTGCAAGGTTGCTGATGACTGGTCGATACGTCTCAAGGACGAACCACTACAGGATCACTTACTTGACTGTGGTCGCTTTAAGATAACCAAGGGCATCCAGTCTTGACGACAGTTCTCCTTGATGGTCGTCGAGTAAGGTGGGATTTGGCACTACGATCATGGGTTTTCCCTGTCTGAGGGCGTCGAGAATCGTTCCCGACCCTAGACCAGAAATCGACACGTATACAACACAGAACCCAATAATCGAATACCTGCATGACTGACAACGAGGGTGGCACGTTGGATATCTGACAGTATGGACGACTTGAACTTCCAAGTTTCAACCTCCATGCCGTTTTTCTCAGACACCATCAGGTCCTGTCCGTTATCACCTCCATTCGTCCCCAAATCAGAGTTGCCCCGCTGAATCACGATTTGCCTGTACCCCTTTTTGTGTAGTGCATCGAGAACTTGCTCAGAGATGGCAGCTTGCACGAGTGCATCAAATCGTGTCGAGCCTACGGTGACGAACACGAGCATTTTTTGACTCGGGTGTGAGATGTATATGATAAACGGGCAGTGAGATTTTCGGCCGAGTTCACAAGCACTCCCCTTTCAAACCAACCACACACGATGGGATACACACTGTGTGTGATAGGTAAAATTCAGACTTGGAGCCATGATACAACCCAACTCACATGCCCTGCAGGATGCGGCACGATGGGGATTGCCATCATCTCTGGTGTGATTGCCAGCCTCCAGTCCAGGGATGCACCATATCCCGTCCCCAAGTGGGAGTCACATACGCCGGGGACATCGACACCCACTGCGGACACACCTGATCCATCTCTGCCCTCGCTGTTCATTGCGACTGTCACGCGCCCGGATAGCGCGAAGAAACTTCAGGAAACTTTCCGCGGTCTGGGTGGACTCGGACTTTCCGTTCAGATTGTCATCGGACAGAACGTTCGCTGCTGTCCAACAGGCCGATGTTGTTATCCTATGGTACGGAGCCTCAGCTATGACATCTTATGTACACATGGGATTACATGAGAGCAGCTGCAAGCCAAACCAAGCCTACACCATTCTCAAAGAAAATGGGATGCAGGAAGCACTCGCTTGGAAAATTGCTCATCAGCATTCTGGCAGGTGTCACCATTGCACAGTTGAGGGATCTGGTCCCTCTGACTACCAAGGTCGTCCGCGCGATGCCCAATACGCCATGTAGGGTAGGCTCTGAAAAGCCCGTTATGCATACTATCCGCACCTGAAAGAATTTTTCTACAGATTCGCGAGGGTATGACCGTCGTTTCGAACCTCCCGCCATCCGACACCGAAGACGCCGAGGTGGATCGTTCGATCATCCTGAAAATTTTCTCTTCCATTGGGCGCTGTCGCTTCCTTGACGAAAAACATTTCGATGCTTGCACTGCACTTTCCGGGTCTGGCCCTGCGTTTGCATGTATCTTCTTGGAGGCAATGGCAGATGGTGGCGTCATGATGGGTTTACCGAGGGCTGAAGCACTTGAATTAGCAGCACAGAGTGAGTAATGCCTGCGAGCCGATCATAAATGTTCCCGTTCATCTTCGTCGGTAGCTCTACAGGGGGCGGCACGCATGGCCCTCCAAGCCGGAGCGCATCCAGCCCAGATCAAGGACTCCGTGACAAGTAAGTAGCCCTTAAAATCTATGTCCTGATCCACCTGATACGTTTCGTAGCTCCTGGAGGTTGTACTATTGCCGGGCTTCTGGCCATGGAAGATGGTAAAGTTCGATCAACAATCGCTCGTGCCATCCAAATTGCAACTGAACGGGCTAGTGAACTTGGTCAGCCAAATAGAAAGTAGTCATGCCACTTCAAAAAGCATCAGTTATTGCTGTCATGGACCTGACGATACCAGATACATATGTTGTAAAAAACATGTATTGGTTGTTAAAATGTCCCCCAGGATATGTTTGAGCCCTTCCATAAAAGGAGGTACAAGGGCTAACAACTGGCTGGGTGACTGCAATTTGTAGTACTTCCCTCTCGCTCTCGTAAAATGAGGACGGTCGTGTGGGTCAAAAGCGCCGCCCAGAGTGTTGGAGAGCAAACCAATCAAAATCACGCAATAGAGTGGAGTAATATTCGATTCACTTGATACCACTCGTGAACATTCGAGGCGGTGGATACGAAACTTAACTCACCAGCGTTATATATATATGCTGTTTTCAACAAGCTACGACTCAGCTTATGGGTACGTGCATGTTTCCTGCGTGTGAACCTCGAAGCTGTGCACGACGAAACGACGAGGTGAAAGAACTATCAGACAAGGCCACCAACGCAGCCAGGATCGATTTCGCTCCGAAGAATGAGCGCCTCGCCGTAAAGGTGCGGTGAGACGCTAAAGTGAAAGAGCTGTTTGTCGGATGCTTCAAAACTAGATCACAACACAGGCAACAGAGAGCAAGATATGCACATGTAATACAATGCAATATCTGAGGGATCCATCAGTCGACGTCTTTGAAGGGTTAACTATAAACTTACAACCAAACAAGATATCTATCGATCTGTAAAATAGCGATGAAATTGAGTCGGGTATTATATGATATGTTACTGCAAAGACTTACAGAACTCGTGAGTGTCGTCCGCACGTTTGACCGTTTGCTGAGGAAGAAAAAGAAAAAATAGGCAGTTGAGTTTGGTTGATGTTGACCAAACACGGCACAAATAACTCACTTTCCACGCCTCTTCGAAGTCTACAGGGAGGATGACATATCGGTTCTTGCGGACAGCTAAATGAACGAGCTGAGGACATCAGCTAATACAGATTCGTAACTCGCACCTTGCAGCCCGGCAGCTTGAACGATGGAAGCGATTTCCGCAGATGATAACCGATCCGGTCGTGAGACGACTGAAAAAGGCTGAACGTTAGAACTAATCATTTGTTGGGGACCAAATTAAAACCGACAATCTTCCAGATCGACATCAGGACCGAGGTTCATCTTACTTGAGCAAGTTTGGAAGATGAGTCGCTTTTCTCGTCTTGATGGTAAAGGAAATTCGATCTTTCTGTCCAACCGGCCAGGCCGAAGAAGTGCAGGATCCAGGGTATCAGCCCTGTTGGTTGCCATAATAACCTGCCCAATAAAAGAGAATTACCATCACAATAGAAAATGTTTCCAAGTCACCTAGTTTACCTTGACATTGCTGGTTTGATCGAAACCGTCCATTTGGTTGAGAAGTTCAAGAAGGATACGTTGGACTTCACGGTCAGCGCCGGTTTGTGCATCGAACCGTTTCGTTGCAATAGCGTCGATTTCATCAATGAAAATGATGGCGGGTGAATTTTCACGAGCTAGACGGAAGACGTCTCGAACCATTCGAGGGCCTTCACCCAGGTACTTCTGCACGAATTCACTGCCCACTACACGAATGAAGGACGCCGTGGTATGATAGGCGACGGCCTTGACAAGCATAGTTTTGCCGGTGCCTGCACACAGGTGGTTAGGCGACAACGTACAAACATGCAGACCCCATACCTGGAGGCCCATATAATAGTACACCTCGTGGAGGATCGATACCGATTTTCTTGTACAAATCAAAGTGCGTAAGAGGGAGTTCGACAGCCTCACGGATCTCTTGCTTCTGGGAGTCCATACCACCGACATCAGAATATGTTACATCTGGTTTTTCCTCTTTCCCAAGCATGGAAATGGAAGAGTCAGCCTCCGGAGGTAATATGTCGACGAGGGCATTCGAGTGCCGATGAAGGGCAACAGAGGATGAGGGTTTCAACAGTTCACGGTCCAAAGTCGACAGGATACGAACTACGTAGTTTGATCCTGTTGTCGATCCGACAATACCAGTCTGCTGGTCGATTGCTTCGAGGAACTGTCCGATAACAAGAGGGACGGACTTGATCCGCTTGACTTCTTCCTGCGCGCGGATAAGTTCTCGCTTGAGGTTGGCCTGCTCATCCTTGATATAGCTCTCTTGGATATCGAGCAGCTGCAGATGGCGCTCAAGTTTCTTGTACTTTGTGTAGAGGTCCTCTTCTTGAAGCTCTTTATACAATGCTGACTTTTCGGCCACGACAGACTCGAAAGTAGGTTCCTGCACAAAAGGGTGTTATAACGGTTCTGAAATAAAATTTGGAGAGCCTCAAACACACCTCTTTCTGTATTTCCATTCCTATGACCTCCATGTTTGCTGCCATGTCTCGACTTGAGCAGTCCGCTAGTGACCTGGACGCGACTGGTGACGCGTCCACATGTACGATGGGAAATGTTTTCCTTTTTAGGTGACCTTAATGCACACTAAATGCTTCTCTCCCCGACCATTAGCATTGGCCATGGCACACGTCGTCCAACCTCTCGACCAACCCTCAAACTACAAGGATTCACAGACAAAGCTCGATAGGAAGAGGCAGTATGATTTTCTTTCAAAATCATCGACATTATACGTACGACATTTCACACCACCCTTCGTAACTTGACGTTTAACGGCTCCCAGATTGGTAACTTGAGCTTCTATACGACTGAAGAGCAAATATATGAATTGTTCAGTAAGTGTACCAGTCCAGAGGATGGCGGTGGTATCAAGCGCATCATTATGGGTCTTGACCGCAACACCCGGTAGTGTTTTTTTTTCTTCATCGCCCGAGGTATCCGTTTACCCCCCCACCTGACATTCTCCTCTTCAAAGGACGCCCTGCGGATTCTGTTTCGTGGAATACTACACACATGCAGAAGCGCTCGCATGCATGAAGTATATCAGCGGTACCAAACTCGACGAACGCATTATCCGCTGTGACCTCGATCTTGGATACGCGGAAGGACGACAATTCGGTCGTGGCAAGAGCGGTGGTCAGGTGCGTGACGAGCACAGAACAGACTACGACCCTGGTCCGCGGAGGATGGGGTGCTCAGGCGCAATTGGAGAGGAGGAGAGAGTTCGAGGAGCGCTATGCCGACGCTCAGGAAGGACCTGGTGCTGTCGCGACTGGTGGTGGAGAATGGAAAGCGACAGAGGTTCCTAGTACGACCCTCAAACGCGCACGGTCACCAGACGACGATGGCGACAGTTCTCGGCCGGTTCGTATCATTGTCCATACCCTAATTTGAACTGCGTCGCTCAACTTTGGTGTGCTGCAGGGTCACCGTTCTCGCCTAGACGATCTGGCAGAGAGAGATGGGATGTAGCAAAGTCGCTTTGAACACTTGTATTACCAACACTGTATGTACCGTTCTACTCGGGTTCCGTAGACTGCTAGTTGCACCGGCAGCAGATGAGCTTGGATACGACAACCGCTCGACCGTTTAAGACTGAACGTTCAGCGAACTACGCAAGCATGCACCTGAAATTTTCTCCCGAACACCTCAGGCTGGAAGTAAGTCATATGAATACGTCGGACGATATGGTACGAGTCAGACTAGGGACTGTGTCCGTAACAAGTGCCTCGAGAATAGAGAAAAAGCGTTCTCCGGTCTGCATCAAACGTGTCACTCCACTGCTAGCGATCAGCGAGAGAACACATACAACTGGAACCTGGTATATTTCTGTCTTGTCGTCCAATTTAGTCAGTCCGAACTTCTGGAGGTATTCTTTGATGCTGTCCGAAGAAATTTTAGGCGGTAGGCCCCATATACAAACATGCCTTCCGTTGTTTGGAACGCATCCGGACGGCCCTGTTCCGGTGATAGCGCCACGCTTTGCAGCTAGTTGACGTCCCTTAACGCCTCGCAACTCTGAATTGACGGAAGGCACATCTGTTGGGTGTGCAGTGACGAGGAATCCCCCAACGGACGCCTTTTCGAGTTTTGCGATATTCTGTTGAAGAAAGTCCGGGTGTGACAGTGTAAGGTACGCACGACGGTTTGAGGAAAAGCGATACAGATCAATTTGAACTAGCCGCGAGATGAAGAGGGGCGACATAAGTGACCGTGAAAACCTACCGTCGTCTACGCCAACAACCCGTTCACGCCTGAGAGTCCTTCGAATATCTGCTACAAGCGCAGTCCGGGGCAGATTCTCTACTATGATATGCTTTTTGACATCTGGCCATGAAACACCGATTCAGAACCTGAAAATGGGGGTCACAAGCAAGCTTACAGTGGGCGTCTTCAGCAGCCCGACGGACCGTGCTTCCTTTGAACATGCAGAGGACCGGCGCCGTGGAGGCGTGTATTGAGGCGTACAGGTCATGTGACTCACCTTCGACTGCCACCCTCATGTCGTCGAGGACTGACCACAGGCGACGCGAACGCAGCTGGGAGCGCGAAGACAGAGATCGAGACAAATACAGAGACAGAGATCGATATTCTAGGAGCAGCAAGCCATCTACTTACCGTGACGGTGGACGCAGGCGAGACTCCCGGTCCCGGAGTCCAAGAAGAGGTATGTTTTTTCACGTTAAATGGGCAAATAAATAAAAATTAATGTAAATCCTGCATGATCAAAGACAGACCCGACTATGACAGGGAAAAGGACAAAGATAGAGATCACAAGTACTCAAGGAGGGACGACAGACGGGATCACGACCGTGGCGATCACAGGGAGGACGAACGAAGAAGCAGCAGAAGGGATGGAAGACGTGACTATGAAGTACCTGACAGAGTTTCCACAAAGAACTTAGAGGGCCGTTCAAAGGATGTCGCACAGCGTACTGCCCCTCAGCTTCAAGATGGACATGCCGACAGAGAACTTGTGGCGGAGCGAATTCAATCACCACGTAAGTGCCTTGCTGCGCCTGAGATTATGGGTTAATCTCCCTTCAGAGGCGTCCCTCTCGAAACTGGATCATGACATGGATGCTGCTCCTGAAGAAGGCGAAGAAATAGAAGGCTACGACCGCTGATGAGGGAGCCATGATGGCTGCTATGGGTCTCTCAAGCTTCGGATCAACCAAAGTATGGAGCATAATTCACTACCGGCTGCCCACCGCTCACTGCATGAATGACAGGGAAAACACGTCGAGGGCAACCAAGAGGGTTCTGTCAACGTTAAGAAGATTAGGACTTGGCGCCAGTACATGAACCGGTACAGTCCTGTTCAAGCTTTCCATTTTTCGAATTAGCTTTAACCATGTTGTTTTAGACGTGGAGGATTTAACAGGTATTTGACTTGGTTCAGCCCCATTGTCCTCCAGTTGATATTTGGTTCACAGGCCACTTGACAAGATCAAATGAAGTGCTGGTTCAAACCATTTCATAGAAGTTGAGTCATACCATTTGCTGTTTGGATGCCTTTTATTCGGTGCATATGCTGTGTAGGCTGGGGGACGCTAAGGTGACCTGCCAACCCGATTATGTTCGAATGCAAAAGAAGTAACTGTACGAATGTAACTGGGAAATACATCTAATTGTAACATGCATATCAGCCATGACAACACACTGTGCATATGAACAGCATAAACAATAGCACACAGCTTGAAGTGCAGCGCTTCCAGATAACTGGTGTTTCATCAAATTCCCACCCGTCCGCGACCAATTAGAATCCGTGTATTTTGATGGAAGACCTACTCATGCCTTGCTCTACGAGGAAGTTGGCGATCTTGGCCCTCTGATCTCCCTGTAGTTGGATGATTTCGCCCATCTCCTCGTCTTCGACAACAGTTCCATTGCAAGCGAATTCCTAAACGGCGGATAGTTGATCAGAGGCTATAGAACGTACGAATAATACACACACACCTTCTTGAAGGCCTTCAAGAGCTTTTTCGGATCATATTCTAGACAGAAGCGTGAATCACACGAAGGTGCAAACACACTTTGCAACTCGTACCCTTTTGCAGACCCTGTAGTGTGGTCAGTGTCTTCCTTCCATTCCTTTGCTGAATACGGATGTGGAGATAATTCGACTGGGAGCCGACATCGGCGTTCCCTGCGAGGGGATCGCCCTCATCAGCAAAAGGATCTAAGAAGCGCCGTAGTCAATCTTCCCGCGAAATCATCAAATGACGCCCGTATTCACCAAAGTTATTCAAGTTCTCTACGTTCATGCGACGGATAGAGATATACAACACGTGGGCTGTGTGGATGAGTTTGCAGGACAAGAGACGAGTGGAAGCGCGGAAAACGGAGCTTGATAGCGGGTGATTTCCCGTTATGGATATTCCAAGAATTATGTCAGCATCTCTTTCCTCATCACTAGTTCCATGACAGAACGGAAGGCGAAAAAGCCCGCTACATTCCACTACCTCCCCAGAAACTCGAGGTAACTTATCAGTGGTATTTCCATTCCTCGATCTAACCTGAAAAATCACAGCTAAAAAGCTCAAAAGATCGTGGGTTGACAGTAAAAAGCTGAAGAGCCAATGGAAAGCAGCAGAAGAAAAGAGAAGGAATATGGAACAAACCTAGTTCACAACCTGACAATTGTGGAGGCGAGATGGCAGGAACAAGCCTGTCTTAATGGTGCATCGGATCCTTCCCGTTGAATCTGATCAGCAAGGCTGCTGAAGATACCTTGCTCGTCGACAAGCACAGCGCAGAGACTTCAATCACAAAGCCAAGTATCTTTGCGTGAACTCAAGAGGCAAGCATATTCCCCAAGTACCCTCCATACCCACAAATCGGATCCGGTGCGCAAGCGGCGGGGTACAAATGCTTCATCTCCGCACAGCGTGAAGAAGGATCCATCTCATTATTCCAAGGGCCAGCCAAACATGAAGTTGCGGATGAACGCAATGCTAGAAAAAATTAAACGTGACCTTTGTTAGGCGTGTGGCAGTCATTTGTAGGTACGCGAACATACATCGAAGAGAACACTCTAACGTGCTCGGCTTCTGTTAGATCTTACATCCCAGGACTTTTACCTTCTATTTCCTTGCCGCCAGTTGTATCGACTGCCATCTCTGTCTCACCCTGTTCGACCTGCTCCTCACTCCTCACGAATCTACTCTCCAAGCTCTCGATGAAAGGACGGGACGTCGTGACCGCTGTGATTGCGGTCGGGTGTTCGCTCATGTGACCAGGTCGTGGATCATCAAGCTCATCGACCAGTCCTATTGCTCGTTGTGATAATGCTTCCCCCAGGGGTTCTATATTGCTAGATGCTTCCATTGCAGCGAGTGTGAGGGGAGAAGGGGGTGGACTACACGACTTTGACCGCCTTGCATCGCCGTGTAAGAATGGGATTGGTGAGAACATGGGTGTGGATGGCGCAGATTGGATGGAAAAATTAGCTGACGTGCTTGCGAGAGAAAGACCATTCAGCGACGTCTCTGGCGGGAAGGAATTCCATGTCGATGTGACAAGGAGGGACCTCTCTACAGCACGGAGATATTTGCCTATGGCCTTGTACTGTTTTTTCGGATTCACGCAAAGTTCACAAACACGTTGAATCGTGAATGGAGGATTTCTAGGGATAAACTTCTGGTTAAATCCCTGGAGGCAGTACATGAATCACGCACTCGTCAAATTCATGGAGTTGTTTAAATATGAGATTTTTCAATTCATTGGCCTCTTCTTCGTTCATGTGTACTTTTGGGGCTTCGATAGGGTTCAATTCATTCGGCTTACGAGGCGGAAAGGGGGGGAGCCTCAAGTTCCCGGAGCTATCGGGAATACCAGTAGCTAGCCTCGGTGAACCATTGGCTGACATCTGTATGTTGTTCTGCATCTGAAAGGAAAACAATGATATTCTATGCTCTGATATCAACATCGAGTGTCAGTGAGGAAAGACCGGTTCACGAACGAACCTGCTCTAGCTTAAATTTGATCATCTCCCGGAGCTGACTCCATTCTATTCTGGTGTGAGATGACTTGTTAGTTGGGACGATTATGCACGAGACGCAGGATAGCATTCTAACTCTGGTCCTATGATGTCTGTGGCAGGCTATGCGCTCCAATATCGCTTCATAAGCTGTACGAAGGTTGTGAGCCGCAGTGCGCAGCACGACAGTGCACGACTCGCTCCTACCCGGATCCCACTGAGCTGTTGGCGAGAGGTGGTACATTGCTGCGGTTTGTGACTTCGGTACCACCGCTCCTTTGTGCTTGGCGCGGCGTGCTAATCTCGTGTTCCGGAATGGCGGTGGCTGATATGCTTTATTACAGTTTTATTACCCTCAACACACTTTTCCTTCTCAACACACCTCCAGGACAGACGTGTCACGATGGCCGCATTCCCAACGTACTTCAATACTCGTACAGCCAAGAAAACAGACAACAAAAGACGCCTCCAGTTGCTCAAGTCATATGGCCCTGACTGGTATGTCCTTCTGTCAGCCTCTAAACCAGCGGTACGCTCATGCGCCACCCACGCAGGATTATTACCATCGCTTTGGCGTACGTCGCTCCCCAACCGGCCTAGTAGATCGCTCATTTGTCTTGCAGGGCTGTATTCTTTGCGTTGGACAATGTACATGGCTACAGGCGAGAATTTTCTGTCAACGACGAGACGTGAGTTATGTCTTGCCATTAAACGTGTCCACCTTACCGCTGCCCACTACATAGGTTACGTTTTCCGTAGGTTCAACTATCTCGCGGCTCGTCATTAGCTGACCGCAACAATGCAGTTATGCAGTGCATGAACGTGTCCCGGTAAGATAGCCTCATTCCCATACGCTGTCTGATTCTAACATTCATCCACTAGAACTGGGCACTGTATATAATCGCCCTCGTGGCTCCTATAATCATTCATTCTCTGGTAAATGTAGTCACCATCCGCTCGTTTTGGGATTTCCATAACAGCGTGCTCGGCCGTAAGCGCGCAACGCTCGTCTCATTATGTCCGAGCTGAAAATGCCTCAGTGATTCTGGGCCTCGCGATTACGGGTGCTATTACCCAATTTTCTAAGATTACCACTGGTCGGCCTCGACCGGGTGAGTCCTGAAACGAGCATTTTTAATATCGTTCACTGAATGTACATACAAACACGCTTAGACTTACTTTCTCGCTGCATTCCGAGGCCTGGATCTCAAGACCCGACCTACGGTTTGTCCAGCGACGCCATCTGTACTCAGACGGACCAGTATATCATGATCGATGGTTGGCGCAGCTTCCCAAGTGGCCACTCTAGTCGTGCGTAGCCATCCATGCGTCTCCTCTCGCACGTCTCACGCAAGACGATGGCAGTTTCCTTCGCAGGGCTTGGCTTCTTATCTTTCTATTTAGCGGGCAAAATGCATCTCTTTGATAAGCGAGGACACGCGGTATATCCCAGCAATATGCATATCTTCTACCGCTTCTGATTTAAACTTGTGTCTAATTAGCACAAAGCTTGGATATCCCTAGCTCCGCTCTCCGGGGCAACTCTTGTTGCTATCTCTCGGACAATGGACTACAGACGTATGTTTCGCTTTGCCCCATCAAACCTAATGTCTGACCATTATTATCAGATCACTGGCACGACGTCGTAGCTGGAGCTATCTTGGGTACTACCATCGCTTATTTCACCTATCGGCAATATTTCCCATCACTGGCCTCTCCCATGTCCCATCGCCCATATTCCCCGCGCGTTCCCCGTGATGAAGAAATCTTACCGACTGCTGCCTCCCACGGCGGTCCACGGTATAGCGAGAACGACGAAGGCGCTGAACAGGTTGAACTCATTGACGGAGGCGTGCGTAAACCTGACCCCGGCCCTCTGGAAGACATCTGGCGTCACGGCGGTGATTCAACGCGTGACGATGCAGAACATTCCTGAGAACGATTTGATGTGGACTTCAGTATGTAGTTACTTTACGACTTTGTATGTATTCGGTCCTGTGATACTTTTCGATTCCGAAGGGCCAGGACGAACTTTTCTTCGCGATGTAAAGTAGGATACGATTTACATAGTACTGGGGTGGAGACACCTCGCAGGCGAGATGATTCGTGGTCTTCTAGGTGCTTCGGCCGGCCGCTTTGGCAAGATTTTGGTAAGATGCGATGTCCCATATGCATGAGTGTCAGACTAACAAGTGACTTGTCCCGACTAGCACTTGAGAGGATGTCGTTGCCGATAAAGCCCAGGGCTAGCCCCAGAAATGTCAAACTTGGTTGAACAACGCACCGTCAGTGCCCTGCCTGTGAGCTTCGGCTGGCAGATACATACATGGGTGGGATGTGTAATGGCCTAGCAACATCTCGCAAATTCCATGGGTTTTTGCTAATATAGTGAAGTTCCACTTGATCACTACATCGTCGTACACTCAAGAGACGAGACAAACAGAATATATTACGTGGTGAGCTAATAGGGGGTTGTAGTCTAGATATGTGTACCACCGTCGTGACCCATCCTGGGGAGTGTTACCGTAGTCTGTAGCCGCCCGCCATGTCCATTGCCGCCGTTACTCATCAGATACGTCTCTCTCTTGAAGATCCTGCAAACATCGTGCGACGCGAGCAGCTGAGGGGTGCAGTGGATGACTTCGTCAAGGCCCCATTAGATGAACCGGAGGTGATTCTCTTCCAGTTGGAAGAGGAGCTTCGGACCATCCACAACGACGTTATGGACCATACTTCGTTGGCGCACATCGAGGTATTCTTGGGAGTTCTCCACGGCCTACGCTCACTCCTGTCCTCGGCTTCCATTATCTCGACTTGGTTCGATGTGGTACTTCGCCCTGCACTACGGGAACTCAAGCTTCCTACTACCTCAGCAAATCATGCAAAGGAACTCATCGTTTCGGCGGCGACGCACGTTGATGAACGGCACCCCGACAAGGTATCTGAATTCCGGAGGAGGCTACTGGAGTTGTATCTTCTAGATACCTCGGTCGAAAGTTCCGGTGACGATATCCTGGAGTGGACAGAACTTGATCAGAATCTAAGAGATAAGAAATATCAATGGAAATCTAACTTGGAGGATACCCTCGTCAAGTTTGGCTTACAATGCACCCGAGTAAGTCCCGAGAAAAGGGTGGACCAACGCTAATGATCGACACTATCATATATACAAGGAACTCCTGGACGAAGTACACTCGGCATTTGAAACACCCTCTTCCCGTCTCCAACTGGCCATTCTGCTGAACTCCCTCGCATCAGATCAGGCATTCCCATCATTGGCGGCTAAAGTGGCAGATCACCCGCAGATCGGCAGCCTATTGAATTCACTCCTGTTGGACAATTCCTCGACTCTCTGTACCATTGCCCTCACCGTAATGGTAAAACTATTGCCTATATTTGCAGTCCATGCCCATCAGGAACTCAAGAAGATGCTTCCTCGCCTTTTCGTCATCCTTGCAAGAATCATGTATTGCAAGAGAGCGCGTCTCCTCGTCATTGCCATCCTCTTGACCAGATGGATGAGCCGACGGGCCCAGATGAATCTAGCTCAGATGGGTTTGTTGAAACACCACTACTGGAGTTACGTCCCGATCTAGGTTGGCAGAGACTCGAGCTAACAGTCAAGGCCGGGCCTCCTGCACCCCCCTCCGAAGCGTATTTTTCGTTAGTTGTATTATCTCTTTCCATGTAATCTTGTCCAGTTCCTTCGTGGTCCCGCTCCGTACTTGCAAGACAGGGGCTACCAAACGCCGTATACTGTAAGTTGGGAAGACGCACTGGATCAAGCAAACATACAAAGTAAAGCAGAAGTAGGTTTTATGCCGTGTGCTCGCTAATAATGGTATTGACGTCCTGCATCGAGGCGCTTCTCCGCTCACATACAGTGCACTCCGGAATCATTCGGCGCGACTGGCGGATTGAACTTGAGGAAGGAGGATTCGTGGGCCGATCACAGTGTCTCTCGGATCACTAGCGAATGTATGATGCTTGACGCGCATAAAATGGCTACTCGGGAGTCGCGAACAACTCTCTACCTACACACGAAATTGAAACCCCACGCTTGATGATAGTCAACGAAGGAGCAAATTCAGGATCGCCGACCCCTCAACCAGCTCTTCTGGAGCTTTCGTCTTCCAAGTTGCGCGTATCACTGCAGGACATGATCACCACTTCTGTCGCGCTTAAGTCGAATCGCGAAGTTGAAATCGACGGTCCAATGACCACGAAGTGGCCAAGCTCACTCTTTACACGTAGGGGCGACTCACCGTCGAGGACTAATGTCGACCTACCATCTGAACCCGGAAGTGCGGATGACGGTTCACAACTTTCCGGGCGGGTTGCGGAGGCAATCGCGAGATTGCAGCGTGAGGTACTCCTACTCAGGAACGAACTCAATTTAGAGCTGTGGCTATCGCGGCAGAATGTGCAACATATTGGCCGACTACACCAGGATCGTGTCCTTTCCAAGAATGCGGAGGTGGAGCGCCAGGGATTGGTGAGTTGCATAGTGGGCTTATGATACATCGTGTTCATCTTCGGCAGTACAACAAGTTGCGCCAGTACAAGGCACAAGTTCAGAGTTTGGAACGAGAGATCCGCGAGCATAAAGAACAGTCCTCGTCTGCAAAGAACAAATACGCAGACTGGAACAATGAACTTCAGAAGAAGCTTCGCGAATTCCGAGAGGAGAAAAGACGATGGATATCTGAAGAAGCAGCGCTGCGGACTGCCAATAAGGAGATTCTGGTGAGGACGGTATTTATGGCATGTCACTAGTGCAGTCGGCTGATGGACCGTCAGGCACTTTTCGAAGCGCAGGGGAAACTGCTAGCTGATGCGGAGAAAGATGTATTCGAGCTCAAAACTAGACAGAAGGAGAACGAACATAAGATTGATCGTTTGCATGACTACGAGCGTCAAATCGAACAGCACGTCCGTATGCAGAAGCTCTGGTACGTGCAGGCGTCTAATCAAAAAATCGCCCTAGCTCACGTTGTTTAGGGATGTGGACTTTGAGAGATTCAATGCCCGGGGACGAGAGGTGGAACAGATGAAAGCCAGTTGCAAGCAAATGGAGATGATCCTGGACAGTTGCGAGAAATCGTTAGCAAAGATGGAGGAGGAAGCACGGTAGACTTTTTTTCCGTGCCAGTCACTTGTGCGATTGACTCATTGAATGATCTAGGGTTTACCGTCGCCAAAACCAGGCGCTGGAAGGACGTCTGGCGCTCATGCAAAAAAAGTACGACGCCTTCCGGCGACTTCCAGAGAGCGAGATTACAGCTATTGTTGCGGAGAAATCTGACCTCGCTCTCGCCAATGCGAAACTGCGGGAAGAAAATGCGGAGCTCAAGGATGAAATGGAGGAAATGAGAGCTGCTGTGGAAGGATTGCGTGCACAGCTCAGTGGCCAACGGGGTCTGATCTATGAGCCAAGGCCAAGGCCAACTGTCGCCAGCTAGCTATTATCTACATCGTAGCTGACTACTAGTGTGATTGTAGCCACTATTAGGAACATCAAGTTGTGTCGCTGGAAAAGGCAAGTAGGGGAATGTTCTGGAAGGATATCAACTGGCCTTTGGAAGAATAACAACATATGGTCGAATCTTCTCGAAGGATCAGAAAACACATAAAGACGAGGGACGCGTCTCCCCTCCTAACTTCAGGTTTTCGTTTCTTTCTACATCTTCCTCGCAAACAAAAAGAGTGAGCACAGAGGCCCATGGCATCTACGCGACATTCGCTCACTTCGTATTTCCAGTTCACAAAATGGCCACTGAGAGCTTTGGATTCCAGGCAGAGATCAGTCAACTGCTTGACTTGATCATCAGTATGTTTTAGCCAGCATCCACGTGGTGTCGCTCTCTGATTGCGGTCCTCAGACACCTTCTACTCCAACAAGGAGATCTTCCTTCGGGAGTTGATTTCCAACGCCTCTGATGCGCTTGACAAAATCCGCTACGCATCGTTGACAGATCCCTCTGTCCTCGACTCCGGCAAGGAGCTTTACATCCGAATCATTCCTGATAAGGAGAACAGGATACTCTCCATCCGTGATACCGGTATCGGTATGACGAAGGCAGATCTCGTCAATAACCTTGGTACCATCGCCAAGTCCGGCACCAAGGCGAGTTCGAGTACCGTTTTCTTAATATTTGACTGACATCTTGTCTCCAGGGCTTCATGGAGGCCCTGAGCTCTGGCGCCGACATCTCTATGATCGGTCAATTCGGTGTCGGTTTCTACTCTGCATATCTCGTCGCAGAGCGTGTTCAGTTCATCTCCAAACACAACGATGACGAGCAGTACATCTGGGAGTCCTCCGCCGGTGGTACTTTCACCATCACCGCCGACACCGTGAACCCTCCCCTAGGCCGCGGTTCCGAAGTTCGTCTCTACCTCAAGGAAGATCAAGCGGAGTACCTTGAGGAGAAGAGGATCAAGGATATCGTCAAGAAGCACTCTGAATTCATTTCGTACCCTATTCAGCTTGCTGTGGTGAAGGAAGTTGAAAAGGTTCGTGCAGGATGTGGCGTATGTTTTAGTCCTTTTGACGTTCGTGCACAGGAAGTCGAAGATGAGGAGATGGAGGCCTGAGGAAGAGAAGAAAGATGAGTCCAAGATCGAGGAGGTCGACGAAGATGAGGACAAGGCCAAAGACAAGAAGAAGAAGACGATCAAGGAGAAACAGGTTACCAACGAAGAATTGAACAAGACGAAACCCATCTGGACACGCAACCCTTCGGATATCACGCAGGAGGAGTATTCTGCCTTCTACAAGTCGCTCACCAACGACTGGGAAGACCACCTCGCAGTCAAGCACTTCTCCGTCGAGGGTCAGCTCGAATTCAAAGCTATCCTCTTCGTTCCAAAGAGGTACGCGCATTGCAACTTGACATATACGTGAACGTTAATTTATTCCAGGGCTCCCTTCGATCTCTTTGAGTCGAAGAAGAAGCGCAACAACATCAAGCTTTACGTTCGCCGTGTCTTCATCATGGATGATTGCGAGGAGCTCATTCCCGAGTACCTCAACTTCATCAAGGGCATTGTCGACTCTGAGGACCTTCCCCTAAACATCTCGCGTGAAACCCTTCAGCAGAACAAGATTCTGAAGGTCATCCGTAAGAATATCGTGAAGAAGTGCATGGACGTCTTCAGCGAGATCGCCGAAGACAAGGACAACTTCAACAAATTCTACGAGGCGTTCGGAAAGAACATTAAGCTTGGTATTCACGAGGACTCTCAGAACCGCAGCAAGCTCGCTGAATTCTTGCGCTTCTACTCTACTAAGTCTTCCGAAGAGATGACCTCCCTCAAGGGTTTGTATGATTGGTTGTCCTGAACGCACATGGTTGACTAATGGATTTACGTGTAGACTACATCACTCGCATGCCTGAGATCCAGAAGTCCATCTACTACCTTACTGGAGAATCCCTGGCAGCTGTGAAGGAATCCCCCTTCTTGGAGGTACTTAAGAAGAAGGGCTTCGAAGTTCTTCTCCTCGTGGACCCTATCGATGAATACGCAATTACTCAACTGAAGGAGTTTGAGGGGAAGAAACTCGTTTGCGTTTCGAAGGAGGGTCTCGAGCTGGAGGAGACCGAGGAGGAAAAACAGGCACGCGAGGAAGAGGCGAAGCAATTCAGCGACTTGTGCTCTATGATGAAGGAGACGCTTGGCGACAAAGTGGAGAAAGTTGTTGTTTCCAACCGTATTTCGGACTCGCCTTGCGTTCTTGTCACTGGTCAATTTGGCTGGTCATCTAACATGGTATGATTATTCATGCTCAAACGTGATCACAACTAACTCTTGGGCTACAGGAGCGTATCATGAAGGCACAGGCTCTTCGCGATTCATCGATGTCGTCCTACATGGCATCCAAGAAGACGCTGGAGCTCAACCCCCACAATGCTATTGTGCGGGAGCTCAAGCGCAAGGTCGCAGAGGACAAGGCTGACAAGTCTGTGCGCGACTTGACGTACCTGCTGTTCGAGACAGCTCTCCTTACCTCGGGCTTTTCGCTTGAGGACCCGTCGTCGTTCTCGAAGCGTATCCACCGCATGATTAGCTTGGGTCTCGATGTTGGTGAGGAGGAGTCAGCAGAACCAACCTCGGCTGCACCACCACCACCAGCAGAGGCCTCGACGTCGGCGATGGAGGAGATTGACTAGACGAACTCAGAAATTGTATCATACATACGCCTTTGCACTTTCATCGTCTTTTGCATTTTTTTCGTGTCGCTGGTCTGCATTTGCGTGAACTATCAGTACGCTTTCTAATAGTGTAGCGAATGGATCAATTGAGTTGCCCCTAATATTGTTGCTTTGGGAGTCATGATACATAAGCCAGTTGCCGGATTTGGTTAGCTGTGGTACAGCTGCTCCCCTTTGTTGTCCTCCTTTACACAGACAATAATGCTTGCCTGACACACACTGTTCCCTCTTGGAGTCCCCTGTATCATTATTCCCCCGTCCACCAGTGTAACTCTACTGCAATGCCTTATATCGCAGCCCCATCGCCTCGCCGTGCTCGTTCATCCAATTTGTCGGCGCGATCAGTGACACTACCACAGCGCTTCGCAAGCCCATCCCCCGCTCAAACCTTCGCGCGTCGTCTTCCTCTTTGTCTGGACAACCCCGGCTCCAACTCAGAGCTTCCCCAGTCACCTCTTTCAGCACGCAATTCAATTCCACCTTCACGTTTATCCTCACCAATCGCACTTCAAGACATTCCTTACATGTCTCTAGTACGTGCCAGATTCTCATGGTCGCTCCATCATTAATCACCGACGACTTTAGCATTCCAAGTCGCCTACCCCCTGTAATGCGCCACTGAAGAGGAGGACCACTCCCCGACCCTCCCGTTCGGCGAGAAGGCGCCTCCACCTGCCCCGTATTGATTGTCCGCTTGATCCCTTCAGGCGTGCAGCTGTCTTCGATCAGCTTTCGTGGATACCCGCCCTGGACGCACCACCATGTGTAGAACATGATATTGCGGACCTCTCACAAATACCCCTGAAAGAGGACTTCTCGCATTCTGCACATTCCGTACCCGCCACTGGACCAGTACGTCGAAGAAAGACGTCTATGCGTTCAAACTCTCTCGCCTCGACTCCTAGTAACCCAACCGATGTTTCTATATTACCACTCTTACCGCTCCACCCGTCCGCATGCCCGACGACGCCACCCCCACGCAACTCTTTCGATCCCAGTCGGGTTACTTTCCAAAATCTTATGCCTGTTTTCCCACATGGTGCCAGTCCAGACATGTCAACTTACGACACTTCTTGAGCCCTGACTCCCACCGACCGTTCCCTAACTCCTCCCTCGTTAACTTACCCCGGATTTGGCACCTTGCTTATCATTAACGGACTATCTATCTCCGTCCAATTCAATGCCCACCATGTCAACCTCTTGTAAACAAAGCAATGTAGCATCCTTTTGACGTTAATGTACCTGCTCCGTCAAATCTGCACCTATTATTCCCATCCACTCCACTGATGTCATTTTTGTATGAATGCCATGGCACGCTTGTCCATCTTGGGTTGCTGCCATTTATTCTTTTCGGATCGACGTTCGCGGTCCTCTTTCTCTTTGTCGATGTGCAGGCACCGTCATGTCAGCAGTATCATTATTGCCGTGTTTCTTTGGACTGTAAGGTTATGCAAATCGTATTGTATCTCTCCTTGTGTGGACACACCGCATCAGCACGCAGCGTACTGCTCTGCAAGTCGTGGCAACTATCTCGTATACGAGGACTCTCTCAGGCTGAGGAAGCAATAATCCTGTTACGTGTAGTCAAGGCTAGTAATGGTTTGGGCTTTCAGTAGTTCAGGACTCAGTTTACAAGTACATATTGCCCGCCTGTAGTACCGCAATTTGACCTGGTCCTCTCGGCTTAACGAGTGACCCCCGCGTCAGCCCTCTTCGGTTTATGGTCCTAGAGGAATGTCCGCAGCCTTAGACCTTTGGAATTAGGGAAGGCGATGGATCCCGACCTACCAGGACCGAATTCTGAATCTCAAAGCTTTGGGATCCGACGAGAAGTCCTGAGTTGGCCATAACGCGGATAGCCCCTAATCAGCGGGTGGATTGTCGGTCACGTGATTTGTTACTATACAGTTTTATCCCACGCATCCTTTAGCCGCAAGCCTCGCTGTGTACCCCGCTCGACAGTCTCTCAGCTTTCGCAATGGAAAACGATCAGGTATGTGTTTACGCACCAAATCACCCGTGACGTATGCTTGATCGGTCTTTTCAGGGTGTTCTTGTTGATCTTTACGTCCCCCGCAAATGCGCGGCCACTAGTAGGTCTGAAGCCGTTGGAATCAGCGCAGTGACAATCGTGACCTGTCATGCAGGTCGTCTCATAACTGCAAAGGACCACTGCATCGGTCCAAATAAACATTGCTGACGTTGATGCCAATGGCCGTGCACTTCCCACTTATACGGCGTTCGCATTGTGTGGCCAGGTGCGCTCGCAGGGAGAGTCCGATGACTCCCTGAAACCGGTTAGCAACCAAGGCTGGTTGTAAGTGTTCCTTTATGCCCGGTATCTAGGATGGCATCGGCCCTGACAGCATTCTCGCAGTGCTTCGGAATGTGTGGTCAGCCCAAAAATAAGACATCGTTTATTATGTTGTTATCTCCACCTTTTTATGACCACCATACAATTGTATACTGTGCGTGAGGTATGTGAGTGACACCGCAGGTCCATATCGACTCGCAACCTATCGCTTTATCTGTGATGCATTGAGTACGAGGACTGCGGTAGAAAGTGCTCGATGTCACGTGTACTCCTGAGATGTGACTACTCTCTGAGGGGAGCACAGCCGTGAGAGGGACACATCACCGGAATATAGATAGATAGACACTAGTTGTTGACCCCATCTCAGCACCTCGGCTGGTGAGTACATATTGGGCTCGGAATCACAGCTGCTGCAAGAATTGTCTCTGTATAGACAGTCTCCATGCCTGCTACCAGGTCTCAGCGTTCTTCGCTGTCCGACGGTTCTTTGTCCACGCTCTCCGTATGTAGTTCACGCCGTTGGCTTGTAACCACTAATGCCTCCTGTGCAGTCGGATTCCATGGTCGAAATCAAACATGCACATGCCCAGGGCCGCGAAGACGGTGATCAGTTATCAGCCTCGGCCGTCGAGGAAAGCAAGTATAGGCTGCTATACAGCAAGTCTAAAGTATATGTCAAACCCACGGCCCACGACAGGGACAAAATGCCGGGTTTCGTGGCTCTCGTGAAGCGTGTACGTGGAATTCTGCACGTTCAGATTTTCATCACTTACCACCGCTCCTAGGAGGCAGTCAATCCAACTTATCTACTCGCTTGGATTCCGGAAAGCTTGCTCTGCGAGAAGGGCACAGGGGAGTGGGAGAAGTTCGTGAAGATCGAGGAGAGGACGAACTTGGACGATGAGGACGAAGGTCAGTGAACTACGTAGTCATCTCGTCCGCAGTGCTGACTTTCGGACTATAGATGCGGTCTTGATCGACCTCCCTGTGCAAAGGCCCGAATCTTACGCATTCTCCGTCCCATTGACATCTATATATTCACTGTTGGTTCACCCTCCGGCACTGTCGTTATGGCGTACGTTTACCTCCTGCCTCACGTTCTTTTGGCACTGACCCTATTGGTCGGCGCAGATGGAACCATTGGCATCAACCTCATTAATGGTTCGACTCTGCCGACGTTGCATTTCCATGACGATGAGTCATTGTCGATGACTTTCCCGACGCGGCGCAGCAAGAGAGAATATTCAAGTTCATACCCTCCTACGCCGACCCGCTCAAATCCTCGTCTGCCCGTATCGTGGGGAGGCGAGGACCTTTTGTCACGACTCAAATGTTATGCCCACATTCTTCGTTCCACCCTCGAGCCATCTCTGTACCTCGTGGATCCTTCCAAGGCTGATATAGAAACGCATACAACACAGATCTTTGATGACGACGCTATCGATGACATACTAGCCCGGTCTTCTTATGCCAATTCTCATTCTCCAGTTCCAGCGCATCGTCGCCCGCGCCCTCTTTCCTCTTCAGCGACAAACACGCCTAACCCATATTCGGGTCGGTCGTCAGTGTTGCATCGTTCGCTCTATCCGCCTTCAGTTTCGACAACTGCAGAACGCCTCACAGGCCAGAATGGCCCTCCTCCAGTCGTTCTCGAATATCACTCGTGCCACGCGGCATGCTGCTCAGAACATCCTCTCTCACCCATATGCAAAGCCAATCCTGCCTCACCTACCGGATCCGGTGAAGTCCTTGGTCAATGTCAATGGTGAGTGCGAGTGGGGCAGCTGGGTGGAGAAGGGCGGAGTAGGGGAGTTTGAGAGTGCCCGCGTTTACCTTGCACGGTGGGCGCGAATAGTCGCCGAAGAAGGAGATCGGGCGCGTCGAGGAGAAGCGCAGGTGCTCTCAGCCTCTTCGGGGAATTTGGAGGAGGAAACGTCGTCACTGGGTGTATTCGAGCTACTGCAGTCAACTATCAACTTACCGGCACCGAAGACTTCAAGAGAACCTTGGGACCCTGTTGATGAGGTGACGTGGGAGAAATGGTTTGACACGGACGGTAGACCGAAGGTGAGAATGGAGGAGATGCAAAGAGAGGTGTTTAGGAGGGGAATAGACCCCACAGGATCACTGAGGAAGAGGATTTGGCCGTTCCTTCTCGGAGTACATCCATGGGATGCTGACCACAAAGAGCGCGCCATAAGTTGGGAAGCAAAGAGGTTCGTCCACTGTCACCGTGCATTGTTCCCACATTAACAGGCTGTCGCAGGAAACGTTACCACGAGATTAAAAGCGAGTGGTACGGTGTTTCCGAAGTGTTCGATCGGCCAGACATACTTGAAGAACGACATCGTATAGATGTAGATTGCCGTCGTACAGACCGTACACATCCGCTCTTCTGCACAGCTTACCCCGACGTTTCGAGTGACGAGGCCCATCAAGCCCATCGGCGCATCACTATTTCTCCGCAGACTGATATCGGGGCGCAGTCGCCGAGTAATGAGCACGTCGACAAAATGGCTGGCATTTTATTGACATACAACTTTTATGACAAAGATCTCGGTGAGCGGGTGCAGATTAATTCACATTAGTACATGTTTTTGACGCGGTGGAGTCATCAGGATATGTGCAGGGCATGTCCGATCTTTGTGCCCCTTTGTATGTAGTCATGGACACGGAAGAGGAACTGACGTTTTGGTGCTTTGTTAAAGTGATGAACCGCATGGTGCGTGCTTTCGTTGACTCGGCGAAGCTGGATCCCTTACTATTTTTTTTTGTAGAGCGAGAACTTTCTTCGTGACCAGAGCGGCATGAAGAAACAACTGTTAACGTTGCAGGAACTTATCAGTGTCATGGATCCTGAACTTTACCGACATTTCGGTATGCTTCTTTTCTTCCGTCTTGCTAGCGTTCATGACGCGATCCACGACAGAGAAAACAGACGGACTGAACCTTTTCTTTTGCTTCCGGTGAGTCAAACATTCGGCATACGGATCTCCACGGCTGATGCTCTATTCAGTTGGGTACTTATCGCATTTAAACGTGAATTTGTATTCGACGACGTTCTTCGGCTTTGGGAAGTCCTTTGGACGGACTATTACAGCAACAACTTCGTTCTCTTTGTTGCACTGGCTGTTCTGGAGTCTCACCGCGACATGATCCTGCGGTATTTGGTAGAGGTACGTCGCCGTCAGCTCGTCCCACGAATGTTCTAACCCGCGCGGCTGCTCAGTTCGACGAGGTATTGAAAGTGAGTGCTAAATCTCTTGTCGTTGCGAGTTCCAACTGATGACTGCGCATTATCTAGTACTGCAATGAGCTTAGCATGACCATCGAGCTGGATTCAACTCTCGCGCAAGCAGAGGTTTTATTCCTTTCTTACGCACAACTTGTTGCCGACATCGACCGGCGTCGGGCGGAAGATGAGAACCAATTTTCTTCGTCCAGCAACCTCCGTCACCGCCGGAGCTCGACGTCCAACTCTATTGGAGCGACGCCGAGAGCCAAGGTAGTACTACCGACGCTAAGTGAGAATCTGAGGGAATTGTTGAGAGCCGGACGATCATAGTACGTCGATGGACATTGAAGGATACACTCGATGAGACTGTTGTACTCGATAGTGTATGCTACATGTAACTGCACATTATTGTATCACACCACAGTACACCTCCCACTTACGAAGACAGCACCACGTCTACGCCCCCAATCACTGCGGAAACGGGTTTTTAATCAGGTCCGGAGATAGTCGGGTCAATGACAATAACCGTTGTATATCCCGAGGGTAGCTACTCCTAATAATATGTCTGAATATAGTGCCGAAGTGTTCTCGTTTCGGAGCATAATCTGGTCGGATTTGCATGCCTATCACTATGACGATTTTTACCTTCGCGACAATAATCAGATCAGATTTGAATGTGACTATGAGCTATGTACACCGAGTTAAATCGTATAAATGCAATTGATCCTCCCGCCTTCAGTCATGTTTTTCAGGATAACCAGATCAGATTATATTCGATGAGTGCCTAGTACAACGCGTGCTTCCAAAATGCCTACCCAGCGCCCCCAGCCATGCAAAAAAATCGCCCACGTTTGCTTGCTCCCCTCCTTGGTGAACGGCAGGATATGATGCATTCGCAGAGGCTCACAGGTGGCGCCCCACCGCTGACGCCTGGGTCCCAGTTGATGAGCCAGGAGGGAACTCATCGTGGTCGTCACGTACCACAGACCCAGACACACATGACGCCCTCCAGCTCCTTGCACCTTCAACGCCAAAGACTTCCGAGTGGTGGAGCGATACCTGGATCCCAGTCGTTGAGCCAGAATATTAATAGCATCACGCGTGGACATCACGTACCACAGATGAACATGGCGCCCTCAAACACCCCGCAGGGCACTCGCCTCCCTTCTGCGCCAGGCCTAGATGATCCATTTGGCCCTGGCCCTGCTCAGCGAAGAGACCACGGTGGACCATCGGTCAGTCACTACTAACCGTTGTTGTCAGTCGATCAACTCACCCTATCTGCCAAGCTCTTGTCACCCGAGTTCTCCTTTGATATGATGGAGCCGACCGGTGCCGTCGATTCACAGGGATCGCAGGACGAGGTATCCTATCCGCACCGAGGAAACCAACCAAGCCAACATCTTGGCTTCACTCCTTACCATGGGGGTGTCAACGGTCGTGACGAAACGTCCTTCTCGTATGCTGGAAGACCTTCCCATAGTCAGTCGAATGGCAGAGGACATAGTGAGACACCAATGGAAGACTATCAGACTTTATATTCAGCATCCCGCTCTCGAACTGGATCTTACCAAGGAGACCAGCTTAGCTTGCATGCTACGGTTGCACAACTCACGGCTCATGTCAAACACCTCAGCGAGGCCAACACCAGCATGGAAGAACAGCTTACCAGCGTCAGGGAGGCAACTGAATCTCTCGTTTCGCGCCTTGAAACTGTCGAGCAAATGCTTAGAGAACTGCAGGAGAAATGTGTGGATCAACAGAAGCATACTTCGTCGAGAACAAATTCAAATGACCATTCTGTTCTCAAGGTACGTTACGCTATCGTTCAGTATCGGAGTGCGCACTCACCGGGCACCAGTCTATTATCCAGCCGCTCTTCTCTCACATGTGTGGAATCGAGTGTGAAGGGACGAAAAGAAACCGCGTCGCAGCCCTTGCTGCTATCAAACCACTCGAGAACAACGAACCTTTCATATCGACGAGTGACAGCACACGTCTTTGGCGCCCCAACTGGCTCGGCAACGTAGACGACAAACTGAATGACATGTTCATTAAAGAAGTCGCCGAGCGTGTCTTTAATAATGAAAAGGTATCATCTGGTAGCGCATGAATAATATGAGAATTGCAAGCGCTCACCCGACATGCAATAGAGCCAGAGGGAACAGCTCCAATTAAAAACCATACCTGACAAGTCTTTCGACCTCCAAATAATGAAAGATTGCGCGAAAACGTACTTCCGCCTCCAACTTAACCCCACCAGTACCAACGTTAGCACCGAAGTCGACAACGCACACTTGAGTTGCACGAAAGGTATCATTGCCAAGCTCTGGTGACATCGTCGTTAGGGAGATTTCTATGGTCTGGTGTGTGGCCGTGAGTGGAAGACACATGAACGGTAATTAGCCACACATACCACAGGGCCTTGGGAGTTTGGCTCGAAAGAGAGCGTAACGTTTTGGACGCTGGTTGGGACATGAAGTCGAAGGATGTGTGGCCTACGTTTGATGACTGTCGGGGGACCAACAAACTCGGTTTCGTCGGCTTGTGAGGTTGGAACCACCTGGTTAGCATCGATATGGAACTTTTGGAGGTGAGTAGATAGGCTGGAGGACTTGAGTACGACATACCTTGGGTTGGTTCATGGTGTACATGGCAAACCGGTGAACTTGGAGACCAAGGAAAATTTTCGCAAAGTCCATTATTTTTTCTGAGGGGTGCAAGGGTGGCAAGAGCCACTCTTCCGATGGTATTATAGTTGGACTATGGCCGATGGAGTCGAGCATAGTCGGGGTGGGGAAATGCACGTGCGAGAGGTCAGGCTATTGGTGTATTGCCTATATTCGGATCTTGCCTACGTCGGATTGTTTGGATATGTTACTCAAAAATCGTTGAGTCGGACTTTACTCAGACTAATAGCTATATCTTACAAAAAAAAATCAAGGTCGGATTATCTACATTTGGAGAATCCGGTTATGCCCCCTGCTAAAATCTCGTTTCCGCAGTGAATGTTCCTTTTACGTAATTACACGACCTAATAGACGTCATTCCAGTTCACATTCAATTCAGTGACGGCAAACCAGTATATAGTAGCTGGTAAACTGGGGGGTACATAAGTTAGCAGCCATTCAATCGTTCTTGGGGTGCCACCATGTCGAATCTGACCATCCTGCGGTCCTATGCGCGAATGACGAAACCCGAAAACCTTCCACCCGCCATCCTATTCAACTGTTCTGAGACGTGTCTGACGGTCTTTGACGCATTTCCAAAGGCGATCTTTCATTTCTTGGTGCTCCCCCGGGTCAGACCGCCATTGAGTGTGTCTGAACTCACCGATCTGCGGTCCCTACTCAAATGTGAACGGAAGACCGCGAGAACCGTCCTGCAGGACCTAAATGACCAGGCGGACAGTGTCAAAAAGATGATCCAGGAAGAGATGTTGAATCGGTACGGCTTTCAATGGCAGATTTGGGTGGGGTTCCATCCTGCTCCTAGCATGGAGTAAGTCACTATTGTCGTTTATCCGCCAATTCTTGCCAACCGCTGGGTTCTACGTGGAGGCACTTGCACCTTCATGTTATCTCCAGTGACCTCTGTTCACCGAAGCTCAAGACTAAGAAACATTACAACTCGTTCCACCCAAAGCTTGGATTTTTCCAGCACCTGAGCGATGTACTGTCGTGGTTTGACGCAGACCAGTCATATTTTGAGATGGTGCGTCGAGCATAAGCGCTGAGTTGCCGCATTTGCCCAGTCACTCACTTTTAGCGCCCAGATGTCCCAACTCAGAAAGATTGATTACGAGCCACTGCTCAAAGAGGACCTCGCCTGTTGGAAGTGCGGGAGGGCTATGAGAAATATGCCAACCTTAAAGGAGCACCTTCAAGAAGAATGGGATGGCGAAGGACGTAAAGAGAAGGCCAGGATCGCGAGAAAAAGCGCAGGTTTGAGGAATCGTGAAACTTCCCAACCCGGCTCGTCCTCTTCTCAAGATTTAGGGGTAAGCTGACGTGCGTCGTCAGATGTGACATACGTATCCTGAAGCGTCGGCGGTACATATACAGAAGTCTTGACGGTAGGCTCATCCAATACCTTTTCTCTGATAACATGATACTGCCATATCAGTACATAATCCTTAATGGCACACACACCCCGTGGCTTCGAAGCTGTGGTGGGTTCCCTTTCACTTTGCCAGTTGTGTCTGACAACATTACGTGTTACGTGGGCTTTCGAAGTGCCCAGGCCTGTCTCGCTCCTGATGAACCGTCACCTGCGTAAAAGGTGCACCACTGCTGCGCAGACGGAAATGAGCCCAGTTTCCACTTGATCGCATCGCATCTCAGCTCAATCTCAGCTATTTACATTCGCGGTTCCTTGTAATGCCACTGTTCGTGCCAATCAACTATCTGGCTTATCATTCTTGGCAAACTAGGCCGAACTCATCAGCGGCCGCCGCCTCAGTTTGTATCTTTCCACTGAAGAGGCTCTGAACTCTACCAGGATCGAGATGATGGTCATTGCGACGCCCAAGCTTGCGGGTGAGGGGCCCCGTGCCATTACAATGCTGGCTGGGTAGTAAATTCCTAATATACCAAATTAAGTAAGAATTTAAACTCAGCAACTTCTCCTCCACGATAACCGCCAAGTGCCGAGACTGGAGGGCGGGGTTTGAGTTCTCACCCAATTTGGTACACTCATGGGGCCCCTAGCCATAGTTTCCGAACATCGGTCGAGGTAAGTGCGGGTCCCCCATGATCTGGCTCCGGGGATTCCTTCGTGCGAACCACTAAGGGTTTAATTACAAAGTACATGGGGATCTGATGGCTATCTACATATCTACATATCTCTATCGGTATCGTAACACTGAGCAGCAAGTTTCTCTCCTTCACCAGGCACATCTCCGGAGTAATCAAGCCTCATTCTCCTCCTCAGCGAGCACTTCTTCGACTACTGAAGTGGCCGGCCTTCTAGTCGCCAGTGTCGTAGCGCGTGAACGCTCACTAGCCTCACGAATAGCCCACGTAAACTCGTAAGTCCTGCAAGCGTCTGCGCGAAACGTGAACGTCCAAAATCACGTGTGTAAAACATTAAGAAGATCGTACCTTCATATGTGCTCAGAATCTGAGCGGCCTCCGGATCCTCCTCAATGTCCTCAATGATATCGATCCAGTTGGATATCTGAAAGAACGGGTTAGATCCGAAACCCCACAAGAGGGAATAGGCTAACTTCGGAGAAGAAAGGGTCATCATCAGGGAAAGTGAACGTTTGCTCGTAGTCATCACCAGGTTTGCGGACGTGAAGGACGGGTTGGACATAGGGATTGACAAGCCTATTAAGGCACCACTGAGTGACTCATTCCAAGGAACAGAAGAGTACCAACTTTAGGCAGTACCCATCGGCATGGACTTCCAACTCGCAGCTGTAATTACGACCCTGGAGGGTTGCGACGTGTGTCAAGCTTCCTACCGCTCCAGAGTCATATTTCCTGGGAATATGCTAAGTTTAGTACAAGGCGATTCCCAGCTTGACAGCAGTCACACCAAGTAGCAGCGGTGACACGAGGGATCCTGTTTTCGGGAGCGATCTTGCTCTCATCGATGCGCAACTTGGAAAGGTGGCCTGCCTCTTCGTCCCATTCAAGTGAGTGGGCAGTGACACTGGAGATGTCAACTTCACCGCCGAAGTAACGGGAAAGGTCACAGAAGTGGGTGCCCTGTTCGATGATGGGACCGGCGCTAAGTAACGTAGAGTCAGGCGACCACAAGGGCGGGAGCATCGCGTTTACCTCTTCGACTTGTCCCACCAGTCAGGTTTGGTAATGGCCTCATACGCAGCAGCATAACGGGCAATTGTAGCCATTACGACGAGACCGTTTTCTTCGATGATCTGTTTCATCTTCTGAACTGCCTTGAGATACCTGAGCATATACCTGCGGGGTGGGAAGCGGTTGGTTAAGTAGAGGAGAGCGCTCTTATGACGGTGTTGCCCCACCCTACGGAACAGATAGAGTTGCTATCGGAGATGCGTCTAGCGATATTGAATGCTTGCTCGATCTCACTCTTGGGACCTGTTGCGGCAGGTTTCTCGATAAACATGGCTACGCCAGGGAAATGTTTCATGATCTGTATCTCGACGTCGCGGCCGGGTTGCAGGGTACCACGGAACATGGGGGGGCTGCCGACGACGAAGGCGCGGGGCCGCTCCTTGGGGGTCATATTTTTGACGAAATCGTCTAGGGTCTTGAAGACACGAGTGTTCTGATATGCGGAAACGACGAAGGAGTCGCGTTTCTTCTTAAGGACTGCATTTGCGCGTTCGACAGCTGGATCGACGATAGCGACGACTTTGAGGCGCAAGCCAAGCTTACTGAGGGAGGGTGAGTGGATGCCAGGAAGATGTGATGACAGCAGCGTGAGGAGCTCACTGTTCGAAGCGGAAGGAGTGGTTCCAGGGGCCCTCGTCCGAACCTGGAGCATGCGAGACGTGGCAAATTAGAATTAGGGTGTGGAGCCCACTGCGTGGAAAGCGGGCACACCAAACATAATGTTCCCAGCGCCGATGAAGACGACATTGAAGTCATCAGTGCCGCCGACGTGAGTAGTTCTGTTATCGCAAGGTTAGCGGGCATTTGGTAGGTTGGTAGGTTAGGAAGATACCGACTTGTCCATGGGGATTAGCCTGGATGGATCGATGGAGGGCCTCCTGGAGGAGAAGCCAGCGGACGAGTAGCCAGAGCCACGCCTGTCCGTCATGCGAAGCTCTGAGCCTCTCCTGGAGGGGGGGCCCTTGGAGGAGGTCATCTCGAGGGTCGACGACAACCTGCGATTAATCGACATGGTGATGGTGGTGAGATGTGTCCGACGCTGTGATCGACCTTTTATCTTGTGGAGACGCTGGTGGCGTGTTGTTCCGATGCGGACGACCGTATGTCGCTTCCCTCAAACCTTATATAAACACGACACCGCACACACTTATTTAGACCGGACACTGGATTGACATGGACAGAGCGGGCAACGGTACTTGGACAAATATGAAAAGCGCAATCATAACGGGAAGTGCTTTCGGGTATCAGAACGGGGTTTGTGGAGAAAAAGAAGAAGAGAGTAAAAAAAAAAAAAGAAAAAGGAAAGACACGGAATGCATTGGACGGGTATCAAGTGTCAACATGGGGATCACAGAAGTCTATGATGGGCGATGTGGTTTTTGGTTTCTGTCGTCCAATTCGCGGCGCTTGCGTTCGGCAGCCTCTAGTCTGGCGGTCATTGCTCTCAGCTCCTCTTTCAACTTCTCGTTCTCCTGTGTTAGCTTAAGAACATTACTTGCCCTCTTGTGCACATTCTCGACGCTGCGAGGTTCGGTGACCACTCGTCCCCCTCACAAAGCGACTGATCTGAACTCGATCGCACTTACCGCGAGTCGGGGCCCTTGGAATGCCCCAATATGGACTCGAACGAAAATGTGAGATCGAGATTTGAAGTAGGTATCTCTGGTAGCGACGGAGATGGGGGGCGAGATGTTGATTCAGGCAACGTGGACAGAATTGCGTCTGAACGGAGCCTGTAACGCGGATTTGTGTGAGTCGCCGTGACGGGCAGATATGCAAGAGAGCCCGAGCGCACTTTGAACTGGCAGACGCGCTCGCGCTGGCCATTTGGTAGAGAGCGAAAGGGACACGCGCAGAGCACAGCCATCGGGGCCTCCGTCTTTAAACGCCCAATACGGAAGTCTCTTCCCACGGGTGTGTGCCGCGATCGGGTTATTTATGACTCTGCCATTTAAACGAGCAGCCAGGGCTCCTTTTCCCCAGTCCCCCTGCTTGGCCATCCGTTGTCGCCGTGTGAGACGACAATGAGCAACCTGGACTCACAAGCAGACTCTGGAGTGACCGACGTCCTCTCCACCAGCCCCCTCTCGCACTCCTCCACTTCCCCACATGATGACGCCGACGTTCATGACCTCAACATTCACGTCCCCCAGTTCCCTGCTTCCATGTGCACGAACATCTCTGTATCTACTAATTGCCAGCCAAACCTGTATTATAACTCCTTCGACAGCTGCACTTGCTCTCCCTTCCCTGACAACCTCCACTCCCTCAGCTCGTATCCTTATCCACTCCAGGACGAACACTTGCAAGACGGTCACCTAGACCTGAATTGCATCTTAATGCCCGAAATTCAATCAACCCAGAGTGCCGCTTTTATTCATGATGGCCCCCACTTAATGTCGAAACAGTACCAGAGCACGCAGGACATCTCCACTGCTCGTCCTTCCTCCGACCACGGATCCCAGTATCAGTCCTCTCCGTCCTCCTCGTCCTCCCTCTGCTACGTCTCTCCTCTCCCAGACATTCCCTGCCCTTCCACAACCGTCACCACGCGATTTGCCATGCCTCCTTCGCCTCAAAAGTCATCCGGACATGCTCACACCATGCTCCCTCCCATCGTACAGTCAAATCCTGCAGACGTAGCCAAGACAGAAAGTGACGTGAGTCCCCCCTACACGCGCCATCTGCATTCACATCTTTAATTTTCCTGCAGAACCGCGCTGCTAACAAACGTCTTAACGCCGGAGCATCCTCTCAAGTAGATCCGTATGCTGCTGCGTTTTTGCGGGAACAACTTGGCGAAGAAAAGTGGAATACCTTTTCCGCGCGCCTGTTCGAACGGCGTCTTGGTCCCATCAAGTCCAAAATGCGGGTCAGAGGCAAAGGCCAGAATGACGAGCCCAACTCCGCTCCGGGAGCGACGGCCATCGACTTTCTCGTAAAGGTCGAGGTCGTCAAAGAAGTTCTGCGAACGTATGTCCCGTACGTGTCCAGTCAACATTCCCACCCCTCACATCAGTGCATCTTTGCAAATTCGGATCTTACTCATCTTGTGATTACACAGACACCCGTACAATCCCCTCAAGTCGTTGTCCCACCCCTTCCCAGCTTCCCCCTCAGGTGTCGTCACTCTTACGCGCTCCACCATCCTCGTGCTCTCTGGCTGGTCCAACACCCAATTTTCCTATTGGGCTCGTCGGTCAGAAGGCATATCTGTTCTTGCAGCTCATGACGACCGCCTCCATGCGGTTGCCGTGGCCCTTGATAAACGACTTAAAGAAGGTGGAGTACTCATCGATACCGTGGAAGACGGTGAAACGTACGGAAAGTATAGTGATGGAGGCCCAAACGTCACCGGTAAAGGCCTCGATATCATCATCGAGCAGGTCAAAAAGCGTACTGGTCTTAGCCCCTTTCTTCGCGGCAAACACTCCAGTCTAGACCCGTTTGGTTCTACGAACAGCGATAAAGACACGGGCCCCGGTCCCCCTCAGGGAGTTCCCACTGCACCGATATATATGCCTACGTTCCAGGCGATGCAATATTCACATTCTCCTGCAATCACCGCAACGGAGTCGGCTTCTGCTCGACGGCCGAAAAAAAAGAGAAGGATGAGTTTGGCTGATTCTGTCTCGTCATATGCCAGTTCAGGTGTTCTGGGCTCCGAGAGATCTGACTTTGGCGAAGGCACTATCAATCGGTACACACTGATGTTCTCAGAGAATCGTTTGACGCCAGATCGAGAGAGCTTGTCATCTTCGGACATGCAGCCTATCTCACCGCCCTCTTCCATTGCTCTGCCGCAGCTTCTTGCGCGTCCACGTGGTATGGGTGTAGCTGAGGGGGGCTTGAGCCCTTATGAGCTCTCCTCTCATGGATCCATGATAGCACACGGAGCCGAGGATGGACGTCCAGAATATTTTCCCGTTTCCAATTCACGGTCGGACTTTGATATTTCCGACACTGAAAGCGGTCCTAGGAAACGGTTTTGTGGGATTCCGGATAGGAATCTTGAAAAGCGGCCCAAGTTAAGCATTTAACCATCTTTGTGTCCTGTCTCCGCCTTAGCGTAGGAGCTTTCTTTGCATGCAATCCTGTGCTTCGCTCAGTGACATTTGTTTTGTCGGCGAAGTTGTGCCGGCGTTCCATATTCATGGATAATTTTTGTCTTCGCCTTGTTGTGCCTATGCATTTTTCCACCGCTGCTCTCCCCTTCATATGCCCTACATTGTGTTTAATTGTACCAGTAACCGATGCACTCCTCATTCTGCAACTCAGTACACCTGTTACCATCCTGCCTACTCTACGCTTGCATTCCAGCTTCTTGATGACCTGTACTGCTTGTAATTCTTGCGTGTAGTTTTAGACCACAGCCCCCGTGTATGAATGAAGTCCCGTGTCCACAGCAACTTGCATGTGAAAAGGAATGGATTGGATTTGGACCCATATCTGGCGTTCCAGCCGCATTGCCTCGGGATGACGGCAGAACACATGTTCTCTTTGAATATGGGCCACTTTATCGTTGGCCTCACCGCCTTGTTTTTCATCCTCGCGGGTTATGCGGTGCTCGTGAGTGCATTCGTTCCATCAACAGGGATCTACGTACGTCTAATAATACGGGTGTACCCTAACGAGCCACGGTTTCACTGACGTACAGATCTCGCCAGCTGCTTGACTTCCTGGCACAGGACACGCACTACAAATACTTTGCTCTGTTTCTTATACCAACCAGTTCATACTTTGTTATCGCGAACTGGGTGGGTTGGCAGTACTACCAGAACTCGTGACGACGCTTGCCCGGGTTCACGGACTCGGAACCCCAGATAAGGCTGCTCGGGCTGGCAAAAATGCCGCTCCTTGGCGCGTCAATAATCTCGTTCAGGATGCAAAGCCGTACGTCTGTAGTTGTCGGCAGGACTCTCCGAAGTATTATTCAGTGATTCGTGCCGTGGCTCATGTATGCATGTGGGGGCGAAGAAAATATATTATTAGTGGGTGGGGTCATGGCATAGGTATACTAACCATAAGGGCATACGATACAAAACGAGGGGAACAACATAGGGAGCTCAAGTTACCCTGTGGAAGTAGAAAAAATAAATACGGTAGCATGCGACGTCCTTGCACATTTTGACACATTGTCAACCACAGCAAGTGCCATAGAATTGCAATACCCTCAGGGTGGCACGGGCGATCGTGACCGTTCAGTGGGTGGCCGGGACCTCATGCGAACCTGTCTTAGTTCTTGCCACAACCGACTTCGTTCTGGTTCCTCCAGCTGGCGGATGGGGCTCACGCGGGCTGCAGACCTTGTTGGACTGGATCCCCTTGCATACGACGTGGTCGATCGCGCAGGACTAGGGTTCCTTGTCACACCAAATTTCGGCCTAGGCTGCAGTAGGTCGTCCGTTGCGGGGGCGGAAGTCATAGACCTAGCAGGGCTGGAGTCCCGTACCCCTCGGCTAGACAATTTCGGACGTGCACGATGGGCAGGCTCAGTAGGCGTGCGAGTCGAAAGAAGGCTTGCAATGCCAGCCCTGGGCGTGCGGGTGGCCGGACGTATAGCAGGCCGGCTTGGACCTGCGTCAGATTCCTCTGTTTCGGTATCTGCACGTAGTGCCCGACGAGGGAAAGCATTGCGTGTTGTTACCGGCACCAGTGGACCAGTAACCTTCGACGCCGGGGCAGGCTGACCAGGAATGGCACCAGGTAATCGGAGGTAACGAGCGCGACTACGTGAAACACCCATCAGTACATAGTCGAAGACGACAACATTCGTACTCACGCAATCTCCTTCAAATGAGTCCTTACTTTGTATCCTTGGTGCCATTTCTCAAACGCCCGTGCTGAAGGAAATTGAATTGGAGCACAGGTCAACGATTATCACTACTTACATAGGACGGCCTTTGTGTGCATCTCACGCGCTTTCTTTGCTTGCAGAGCTTGCGGCATGGCTGCTCGCCATTTTTGCCAAGACCGTTGTTTTAGTTGGAACGCGTGGAAGCGGATAGCAGGAAGGGACTAGAAGAGGTGAGTAAAACGAGGATGGCTGGGCACAGCGTGGTACACACTCTGGTCTTTGCGAGCCATATGCCGAAGGCGCGGAAGAGAAGATTCTTCTGACTCCGTAAAATCACTTGGTTCGCCTAACAGGGACGTCAGCATTCGGGAATAGCCACCGATAGGGGTATTCACAATCGGTCTTAATTTTTCTTTGATGAACTTTTCTCGCCACCGATCCCAGGTAATCTGTAAACTTGCTCGAATGAACGCAAGTTCTTTCTCTCGCAAGATCGTCCGCCTTTGATGGCGAGCACGAGCGAGAGCAAGCCAGCGGTGGAAAATACGGCGTATAGTTTCTGGACAAAAAGAGAGCATCAGCGGGTATCAGCGTGACAGGTGAACTTCTCAACCAGCTCGTTTGATATCTAGATGACTCTCCATAAGGCTAAGGTCTTCAACGTGTCTTAGGCATACATTTTTCCACTTCATGAAAGCGAACCTGGGGCCCAGAATCAGCGCCAAAATGACAAGCGCGCGCATCATACACACATCTCCAGAGCATGTGAATACCTCCACTCCACATCCATTTCCCTCGACCTAATCTCGACGACACGGGATTTCCACTGATCCAAGGCGCCGGTAATTAAACGCTAATTTGGGGTTCAGCGGAAATCCTGTACTTGCACTGAGGACTACTCACTGCAGCAATGCGGTTGGTGACCTGTTGCTCAGCCGCACGAAGCGAACGTATCCGATTTGCTTTGCGCTTCCATACTACGGCAAATGATTGAGTATTCGTCCGGTATTCTCCAAAGCACAGGACAGCCATACCACTTATGCAAGCTTGTAGCTTGCGGGTTTCCAGTGTCTTGAGTTTCTCAAAACGTTTCTTCGTTTCCAGTTTGAATCTCCACAATTTGAGTACCCGTCGCTGGATTAGAAATCTTTCCACTATCCTGGCATGCTTTAATAGTTTGAGCTTCATACGTAGTTGTAACCGCCACGTGAGAAGCGCATTAAATTGTACACGAGCCAGGTGGTGCTGGATGGCGAACGTATGGCGGTTCCGATATACACCGTATACCTGATGCCATTTCCGAAGAGCGGATGCTGCGACATATGAATTAGATCGCATAGAAAATGCAATGGCATAATCTAGTGCAACATAAGCGAAATAAGAGAAAGAATGATATTCTCAAGACAAACCGTGAAAATGTCGGATTTGGCGTACTCGTTCTTTCCAAGTTGACCAGGCGTCCTTCAGAAGACGCGAAGTCCTTACCCGCTCAAGCAGCCAACCACGTTCGCGGGCCTTCCAAACTCTTATGACCGCTCGGATAAGGACGTTATCTTGCCTTGCTAGGTACTTATCCGCGCGTCTCTCCATGGCCTATGCGGAAGTGAGTGGGGGTCGTTGGAATGAGATGGCAAACTTACACGTATCCGATCACGGGCTGCCTTCCACGACCTTATTGACCGCTTCAATATATACACGTCATGGAACTCTCGTGCCAATTGATGGTCACGTCTGAAAGAAGTGTAGTTGTGAGAAGGGGCAGTTACGGATTTCACTTACGTCCGTTTCTTCCAAATATCCACGACCTCTCGTTTCACTCTAAGGCCGGCATTCGCGGTCACCAGATGTGCCGCGTTTCGGATTCTCAGAGCACGTCTCCACAGTTTCCATGCATGGGCAACCGTACTACACCTCGGACGTTCCAGAAAGTCGTCGGCAGACACCTCCAAACGGCCGAGATTGGTGAGTTTAGTCTTCCAACGGAGGAAAAAACGCGCAACCAAACGGTCCGTGAACCGCATTTCTGCCAGGCGACAACAGTATGCACGCCGCCACTTCACCCATGCATCTTTCTGAATATTGCGTTCTCTCTTTTCGCGAACTGTCTTCATTTTCGCCCGCATCTCATTTCGCCACATTAATTGTTTCCTTTCCTTCAGCTTTGACCTCCACATAGCCATGGCTACTCGTAATCGGCGGACATTAGCGACGCAAGCAGCACGTTCATCTATTTCGAGAAGTAGTGCAGTCTTGTTGTGCCACCGGCGTATGGCTGATCCAAGGATGACCTTGTCTCGGGCCTCTGCCACTTGTTCGTTCGTGGCCTAGATACCTCCGTTAGCGCAGCATATGGTGGAAATGGAGTCCCGTACTATTATCCACTGGTAACCGAGTACCCATGTCTCCCAGCAACGTTCGAGAAGCTTGAACTTGCGGAACTTATCTGCATCTTCTTCATCTCTTGCCATTTTAATCTTCTTCCAAGCATCTTCTTCATTGATGACACTACCCCTCCGTTCACGGGGAGGAGCAGGCACTTGAACCAGGTACTCAGATTTGGGAGGTTGGGCGGGAGGTGCGTGAGGAATCTGACTTGCGGGTACGGCCGTTTTGTTGTTCACCGTGGCTCGAGTGGCTGCTCGATAGGACGGTGGTGTAGTAGACGGAGATGGTAGCGTGACGTTGGTATCGTCCGACATGTCATCCCATGCCGATACCTGTCTGATTGCCTCCAAATATTTGCTTTGGGGTCGGGGCGTGGCCTGACGTGTCAAGCTCGGCGGTAGAATTGGATTGGCGACACGGGTGGGTGGGCTACTCAGTAGACGTGTTAGGCTCTGTGCTTGCCTAGGGCGGTCGACGCAAACGTGTGTCGGTGTATCATCCTTTGCAGACAATATTGACGAGTGCTCTTCCGTGGTGTCAGCACTCTGCATTTCATGGTGACGCTGATACGACTGAACAGTAAATACGTCGTCGTCGCCACCACGGCCCACAGGAGTGGTGGAACGTGCAAGTGAGCGTGTAGGAATTGGTAACAGATGCCGGCCAGCAGCGGGTTGGGGGGTTGTTTTGATTCGGGAGGCGGGTCCACTTCCAGAGGGAGCATTTGCATATCCATACAGCTTCTTAACACCGTCCCACTTCGCCTGCCAACTTGGACCCCTCAGCTTGCAAAGTTCCAATAACCTTCCATAGTGAACAGTTTCCGTTTGACTATCCAACCCGCGATCGTGCAGCTCGTCATTATAAGCCTTGAGTCCTGCCAGAAAAGAGGTGGCATTCAATGGTATTCTTCTAACGACCGCGTCCAGAAACTCGACCTCAAGTGGGGAGAGGGCTTGAAGTTCCGATTTTGATGTTGCAGACGTCCGCGATATATCTGAGGTGCCAGCAACAGCAGCTACCAGAGACTTGGCAGGCGAGGACGTAGTAGAGGGCCTAAAACCAAACATACGCTGTCAGTACTAGTAAGTTCCGCGTGCTTATGTCGCTCATATCACGCCCAAATCTCGCGTGTTGACAGGGCTTCGGGCGTCTCAGCGTCGCGTCGCGCTCTGCACGTGACACGTGACCACTCAGTGGACTACATCTTACGTAAGACAACTACATCGTCTCTCGTACAAAGGCCAACGTTCCCAGCGACGACGAAAGCAACTCAAGGATTCGTGTGCTTTCCTTTTTTTGCAGTTCCAACAGGTCCTCCAACTCCGACTGCAGTTCTGCATTCTCGACTAGGACGTCCCCGTGCAACCGCAAAAATACATTCTGCAATGTTTGGACCGCTTCGAAGTCTCGATGAGAAAGCAGCCGCTGCTTTAGTGCACAAAGGAACTGCCGGTGATGATGAAGTGTAACCAATGATCGTAGCTCGACGTCAATGGCAGCGGGGGACAAACTCTTGATGTAATCGAACAGGTCATTTTCTGCGAGAGAACATGAACACGATTGAATAGCAACGTGCAGGCCAGTACTAACGTTGTCCCTTCTTTTCTAGTCCTGCCAGTTTCTTTTGGAAGACGCTCTTGGACTTTGCCATAGCCTTGTCCAACCGCGTCTTCTTTTCATTGGTGTCAGATTGCTTCTGGTCAATTGCAAACCGATGCTCCACCCCAGGCAGAGTGGGAAGGAAGAATGGTGCTTGTTCAGGTTTCTTTGGCGGTTCCTTCGGTTTGTTTCGTTGCTGGAGTCAAGTCATAAGTTTCACCCATCTCTAGCTTCCTTTCCAACACCTACCTCGATAACCTCAAGATTCAGCAGTGTTTGCCATCGCGAACGTGGCAGTAATGTCAACGTCACAAGGTCCCCATCCAGCTGGGGGGGCGTAGAGAATATGTCTACAGGCTTATCTTCTACAGTCAATGCCGTCAGGGCTTCTAAGGCTTTCAACAGGATAAGCATAGATAACCCAGAGAACTTTGTTCGCTTACTTTCGTCCTCAACCTCGCCTTGCATTGAAGGCATTGGGACTTCGGCAAGGTCCTCTTCAGAGACAGATCGGAATCCAGCTTCCGCAAATTGGGCACGGTTCGCCCTTCTATTATCAGGATGAAGGTTCACCACCAGGAAGGCCGGCCTACCAAAGAAAGATGCCAACACTGTCTACGTGGGCCGTCGCCAAAAAATCTCCGGTGGGAGAAAACGCGATACTGGTGGCCACACTCGGCACGCGAAAGGCATCTATAAGGCGACAAGTCGGTATGTCGAACGTTCTTATTATGGAATCCAGCGATGTGGTTACGATCCACCGGGAATCGGGCGAAAATGCCTGGAATACGGTCAATCAGACGAAAGAAACGACACAAAGAGATCGTCTTGCAATATCCAATACTCGGCCCTTTGAACCGCAAACCAGCTCCCTGACAACTCGCCTTGTTTCGATATCAATGACACGAACTGTCATGTCATCGCAAATCGCGGCCAAAAGCCCTGAATTGTGGTGTAAGTTAATTGACGAGATCGGTGTGGATAACGTTAGGGTGTGCTGTAGATTTGCCGTGTGGAAATCGAAAAACTGAAATCTCATAATCAAGTACATCACCGATCCGGCAGTTTAAGAAACGACGTACACTGATCGTCCCGTCCCATGTACTTGCAATGACGACACGGTTCAAAGAATCTGTAGCTAACCCCGTAATAGCGCGGCCGCTTGTTTTTGTTTCACCTTTCGCTCCTGGCGATTCACTTGCAGTTTGTGGACACGGCCCAATTTTGAAAACTTTTCGTTTGATGCCGGATTGCATATTCCACATGTGAATTTCGCCTGTCGATGAGCCTGCAATGCCGAAGTTGCCACAAGCCGTAACGCAAACACACTGCAACGCCCGTCGGTTATCCGTAACATACTTCGGTATCATTAGCATTACATACTTTCACAGAACCCGAACGTGCGTTCCGTTTAGAGCTCTCAGCATAACTCCACGTATGCTTTCCGAGGCGTTTATTGGGAACGCTCCAAGAACGCACCAAAGGCTCGTCCACGTGGGCTGTAAGTACGTCGTCCCAATCTTTTGACCTAGTTGTTGAGAACGAGATGGAAGCGACTGGGGGGAACTTCAGAGAGGAGAGGGATTTCGACAAGGTGGTGGCCTTGCGGGCAAGAGAACCTTGTTACAGAAGAATGTAAACGTTATCTTAAAAAGGGTTGACACCCTACCTTGAGACAATTCAAAAGATCGGGAGTCGCGGACAACAGAAGTGTACCGGAGACTCCGGTCAGCCGAAGCGGTCAGCAACTGTTTGCCGTCTTCGCCGTAATACCGGATAAGGTGAGGGGGACTGTGATGCCCTGCCCGGAACTTGAGAAGCCTAGGAGCAGCTGTTGGAGAGTCAAATAGCCATTGCTGTCCTTGGTAAGCACAAGAAGAAATCGGATGAGTTCTAACTAACTTTAATGCTGTTGTCTTCTCCAGAAGTTATTAGTACAGGCTGGCCTGGAACCCATTCCGCGCTTGTGATACCACCATCGTGTGCGCCTCGGACGAGGTGAAGAAGGCGACCTCCAGAATTTAAATCCCAAAGTGCCAAGTGGCCCGAAGATGATACAGAAGCCAGGACTGGGAAGCCATCTGGAATTTATCGTCAGTAATCATACGCCAGAATTCTTCGCCAGCTAACCGCTTCGAAAAGAGAGGGCTCTGACGCCCCCACCTTCCATGTACATCCTCATGAGCCTCTCGTCAGCGCGTATATCATAAACGTAGATTTCTCCGGACATAAACCCCACGCCGACCACATCAATTGCAGGTGACTGTGACAGAGTTACGATAGGGGTCGGATGAGGATTAGAACCGGCTACTGTCAGTAATTTTGAGGTGGAAATCGTGTGTATACAAGTCCTGTGACAAGAAGAAATGAGTACTACTACCCTCCAAGGCGATTGACGTACTGCGTGCGTATATTCCATAATTGCATGTTCCCTTCTCGGCTTGCAACCAGCACTTTGTTCAAATAAGTTGCTGGATGCAACATCTGCACAGCGGTGAAACCGATATCGAATTGGATAGTAGCAAAAAATGACGGTCCTGCAAGCTGTCACTTAAAAAAAGCTATAGCCTGTCGCTAAGATCGCTGACCATCAGTGGAAACATCCCAAATCAACATTCGTGTTCCGTCTTCTGTGAGAGCAAGAAGGTGTGACCCAAATAAAATGAGGGAAGATAAAATGGAGCCCAGGGGGTTTGTCACCCTAAAGACCTTTGCGCTTCATGAGGAACGTGAACAACAACTGAACAGATGTACGAACTTCTTTCCCTCTAAGGTACTTGATAGCATGCATGCCCGATGCACACCAAACAGCGTCACCGTCCATGGCTACGCAAGATATAGGATCTTCGACCTCCTGGCCTGTTAACTCTGTTACAGGAAATAACCAAAAGGTCAGGGAAGATAGACTCGCCAACAAATAAGAGCGTCATCTTCCCGCCTTCCCATAATGCCCATGACTTCCCCAAGCAAGTCAGGATGTGGATGCGTGGGCCGTCAGTGGCTCCCTTATGGGCACGGGTTTGTACGTAGAATGGGATGTGATTCGTTATGAGACCGAGTGCGCGGAAAGGCGCGAACAAACGCGGCTCTGCTGTACGTTGTGTACTTTTGGTAGACTTGCGCTTCAAACTAGTGCGTGTCTTTTTGCGAGGCCGATCATCGCCGAGAACGTCCGGTTCAGTTGGGGCTGCCATGGCGTGCAGGACTTCGACTTGGACCTTTTCCTTCCTCAGAGTCACAGGTTGTAACTTTTTCAGGAGGGCCGAGATCACGTGCTTAGCTCATGTGAAGGCGTCTGATCAGTGCGCCAACGCGTGTCGTCACCGACGTTCTTCAAGTACTACGTAAACGCCTTCGGCGACGGTCGACGAATCTCAGCAACACGGTTCCATCATGTAATATCTTCGGCGTTGGTGCCATCCTGAACCCTGCACTGAAAATATACGACACCAAGTGCTGTCTCCACGCGCATGACATGGTAGACGAACACTGTACATATCAGCGCATGATCACGCTCCATTTTTTTTTCTTTCGAAAATACTGTATTGCTCTTCAACCCAGGTCGCCAGATGGTACGAGTTCGAGTAGGCTTGAATTCAGAACCTTCTATCGATTAAATACCTAGTGAGTCTGATGAAATTGCCAACATGCTGATCATTCGAGGGCCATGATAGCCTCCAGATCTGAGCAACGACGCCTTCGTAACAGAAATTCGCCAAGTGGTAGGTGGGTTACATGGTGTAAGCGTGGTCGTCTTAATAATTGTAACCTTGGCATTCGAGGCTGTTCCGTGGCGGACGCTGATCTGCCAGACACAGGAGACGGGATCATCACATCACATTTCCTGTGTTGCAGTAAATCCCCATCATGTGGCGACATGTGGAATGACGAAGTGCCTCACCGCCCCTTGGTGCTTCGGTCTTTCGTTCCATAGTTTACCGCCTACCAGGACCAAATACATCGAAGCTGCGGCTCTGAGCGTTGCGACAGCCGAGGATTCGATCAAACATTTCTCATGTGTCGCACTGCCCCATCAGAGTGAGAGGCACGACTGTTACAGCCTCTTCGCTAAGGACTTCAATTCAAGACCCTGCCCTGGATCCCATCCAAGTATAAAAGGTTGGGATACGTCGTCTCCTGTTTCTTTAGCCTGGTTGCTCACCCTCGCCTCTGTTCGAACACTGTCATTTTGCGTTCTCCACCTCGACTTTTCAACATTTAACCTATCTATTACCTTCGTCTTCGTCCCCTCGCCTTATCGTCGAACATGCGCTCTTTCAGCTTTGTTGCAGTTGCTCTCTCTTCCGCTCTCCTCTCTTCTGGCGCTTCTCTTTACTCTAAGCGCTCCACCGCTTACCTGCAACAAAACGGGGCCGCTGCTAAAGCCTTGAATGACAAATACGCGACCTTGACCGCTAGCTCGTCTTGCAATGATGGCGACATCGCTTGCATTAGTGGCCAGTTCGCCCATTGTTGGGACGGTTCCTACCACTTATACAGCTGTCCGGGTGACTGGACTTGCGCTGCAATTCCTAACGAGTGGTCCAACGGTACAACCACGACCTGTGATTCCCCAGACGATATCGCGTATCGATTTTCGGTGGCTGGTGTCTCTGAGACTAAGCGATCTACTTCCGACAGACCTAAGTCATTGAAGACGTGCGTAGCACATTCTCCTGCTCCTCGTCCCCTCGTGTTGATTTCCATTCAGTCGCTCTACTGCCTACCTCCAACAGAACGGCCCCGCTGCCAAGGCATTAAACGATAAATATGCCACGTTGACGGCCAGCTCATCGTGCAACGACGGCGATGTCGCCTGTATTAGCGGCGAATTCGCCAGCTGCTGGGACGGCTCTTATCACTTGTATAGCTGTCCGGGTGACTGGACTTGTGCTGCTATCCCCAATGAGTGGTCCACTGGTACCACAACTACTTGCGACTCCCCTGACGACATTTCATGGCGCTTTTCAACGGCTGGTATCTCTGAAACCAAGTAAGCGGCCTCGAGGTCTCCGAATTCCTTCCGGTGGGTTGTACAGTAGCACGGATCCTGCAGCTGTTGCTTATTCTTTGAATTTGACCTGCAGGCTGTTTGGAGCGCCTTGTTTTTGGTGGTTTACTGTATTAGCATTCCGGTTGATCGATGATGATGTAGTTAGGATAAGCTTGTGAAGACTGTTTGATGGAACGCCAACAACACTAATGACATTCTGTTCTGACTGGCTATCAAATCGCCCTGCGAGAGGAAGATACATAGAACCCGGAGAGTTGCGAAACTAGCTACATGAGAATATTAGGTGTCAGGTAATGAAACATGATTTGCACCATAGCGTGAAATGGTTAACGGCATCTCATCGATCATTATTCAGTGTCTATGGGTGTTGCTTGGGGTTAGAGACACCATAGGGAGGGCCCAATTGTGTTGGATATCCGGATTACAGTAAGTGAAGTTCGTCTGCACTGGCTTCTCGAGTTCACTTAAGACGAAACGTGCGTTCGTTCAGTGGTATCGTCGCGTGCAACTTCTTCGTCATTCCCTGTTCCTTTAGTGTCCGTGACTTCTACGCCACCGGTACCAGCTTCGGCTTCTGATTGAAGTGCAGCCCCTTTTTCTGTGTCAATTGGTTTGGAAGCCCCACTGCGGACAATGTTTCGTTTCAGTGTATAGGCCTTGATACACAGTACAGCCAGGAACCCAAATCCAGAAACAGGTGTATTAACCAGCCAGATCGTACTGATGGATCGAGCGTACGCGTGCATGACCTCCGCTCGAATGGTAGGATTCTAGGAAGTGATGGCGTTCAGGAGGGTGAGAAGGTGGAGAGTGCGCCGACTCACGGAAATCGAAGCAATTTGCCTTACGCTATCATTGATGTCCGCAACAGAAGTACCTATACTCAGACCTTGAATCCCAATAAGTTTTCGGACGAGCACGTTTGAGATAATAATTTCGCCGGTGGTTATCCCGAGGGTTCCACCGAGCATCCTGAACGGATAGTGAGGATTGCCATTTCCGAGTAACGTCATGTCGCACTTACCGGAGAAAAACAAATGCACCCGTGCTGGTGGCCATGTCCTTCAGGGGCATAGCAGCCTGCAACCCGATAAGTGGCGTCTGGGTTCAAAACAGAATGTTCAGCGATCCGACCAAGAGGATATCAATTCCGTACCTGAAATAAGCAACCAACCCCGATTGCCGTGACCAGTGGGTATAGTTCCTTCTCAGCGCTGGAGGAAAAGGTGAGATGCGATCGCAATGGGCTGCGACCACGCACTTATTAGAAGTACTATCCAACATAATCATGAGACCCCATCCGATAGTCATTACCGCCCAAGCGCCCCACATCAGTGGACGATAGGATCCAGTTCGGGTAACTAAGATCCCTGATAAGATGGACGGAAGTACGTTACCGAGGGAAAAGGAGAGCGTCCTGCAGAAAGTGATGAGACGGTGCAAGAAAACCTGGGGATCAGCTGACCGAACGCCAGAGACCGTAGCAGAAGCACCAAGAACTGATGTGCGACGTCAGGCATTAGCGCGGTGATGTAGTACACCAATCCTACCTTGGTAATACATAGGCAGGTAGCTGTAAAAATGTTAGGAAGTGCAAGTGGTGACGAAATAAAACCGTACTAGGAGCCTAACCAAAAAACAAATTGGATGAAAAATCATAATCACCAAAGCGAAACGCGTACCGTTAAAAAACATAAATGCATGTAAAAAGGAAGAGATCAGGATGGCACTAGTTGTACGTGTCTGGGGGGGTAAGGATGAATTGTGAACCATGAACGGGATACGTACTTTAAACAATCTTGCGGGGATGATCGCTGATCGTTTGGTGTATATTTCGTTGACCCCCCCAGCGCCAAGCAGAACTCCGCCAACCACAAGAAGCACGATTGTCTCTGCACTTCGCCCTGAGGGAGAAAAAAATGAGAGAGCTGGCCATTATGACAGTGCTGCGATGACTCACAATTAATTTGACTCGAATTGAACCCCATTAACAAGCAGACAACTCCAGATACTATGAACGCAAGTCCAAGAAAATCAAATTCATGGACGTATTCACGCCACGGTTTTCGCTGATGCGAATTGAGATTCAAGAATAAGAACAGCAAGGCACCCGCGATACCGCCAGTGGGCCTAAATCATGCTTAGACACATAATTTAGAGAAGGTAAGGAAGTATACAGATTAATCCAGAAACACCTGAGGAGATATCAACACAAAATATTCAGAGTGTAATGGCTCACTTACCAGCGCCACGAGACTTTATCGGTCAAAACCTACCAAAGACGAGTTAAATCCTCCGATGACATGAAACTAGAATATCAACGGACTCCACCGAAAAGCGGTCCTACTACACTGTTTGGGACTTCAGCCAACGTGTCAGTGATACTGGAGTGCAGAATTACCTTGCAATCCCCCAGGTTGAGCCAATGTATCCAACGTACTTTCCTCGACTGGAAAGAAATTAGCTATGTGACAAGGTGGATACAAAAACTCACTCCTGCAAGGAGACGATGTCCGAGATAGTGATCTGGACGAGCTGAACGATACCGGCACCCCCAATGCCTTGAAATGCACGGGAAATGATAAGCCACGTCATGTTTTGGGCAGCACCACAAAACGCGGAGCCCACCTGGGCAAAGGGGTTAGCAAGGGTTCCTACCCCACGAGGATACGTACTAAGAATATCACAATGGAACCATATAACACGGGCTTTCGGCCTGAAAGGGGAGGTGACGACGACTGACAAAAAATCGACTCGAAGAGAGGACTGACCTAGCATATCAGAGAGTTTACCATACAATGGCCCGAGGGCAGCACATGTCACCATGTAGGCGCTATTGATCACGCACTTGAGCATTTAATGTAAAATGGTGCCAGCGACCTAGACTACCTTCCAACCCAACTATAGTTCCTCCCGCCGCCAAGATCTGCCACAATAGTGGGCAAAGCTGTAGCGACGATTGTCTGGGGAAGTAAGGGCATGACTGAGGCTACGGAACGATAAATAACGTACCTGGTCCAAGGCGGCCAAGAAGAGGGTGGACATTAACCCAATGAAAACGATCCACAAGTGGTTTTTGGGTAAGACCTGTTCTTCGTTTTGCTTCCATGACGCGCCAGCTTCCTTAGTGGGCTTGCTGTCCTCATTCGTTGCACTTTCAACAGTCATTTGGGCGGGTGAATGTTCTTCGCGACAGCCTAGAGACACTAGGAGGTGAGTGGGAGCAGAGAACCCTGTGAAGCAGGTCGTGGCAAGGGTATTTCATATCATATATACGAATGGGGTGATGCATTGAGGCTAATGCATTAATGGGTCAACGAGTGGCATAATACACGGGTCATCTCGTTGCGTGGCGGACGGAGGCATATCACTATAGAATCGGCGTTGATAGGGAATGCAGAATTCTTGACCGTTAATCCGGGTCACACCGGGTTCTATGTTCGCAGGTGAACAGCTTCTCCGCGATTCGCCCGTACGCGACCGAGTGGGACATGTAATGGAAAAAGCAATCCGGTTTGTATCGACTGTCGGGTCTGAAGATCTGACATCCTGACCGACTAACATTATACCACGAGCACCTCTTGACAGTAATTGGATCATGTAGACATACCAATGCATTACGTATCCTCCAAGAGCTTGAAACGTTGGCCCGCGGGCTCGTTGGATAGGTGTGGCATACCCGAATGACACCCGCGGGTTCTACTACCCGGGAAACCCCAGATTGCCACCCTCCATGGCAACATCCAGACATATGAAGACATCAAAAGGTAGGTAACATTCCACTCTGGCTGACGTCTACATAGCATAAGTTAGTGGGGATGAAGACGTGGAAATGAACAAATAAACTGGCAGCTCGAAAAATTGACAGTGGCGGTGAAACAGACCACACTTCGCCCCATTGACGGCATCGTTGGCATTTTTGACAGGTCATCCTCCGTGAAGGTCGAGAAAAAACTAACTTTATCAAGATCTTCCTTGTACGATCGGGGTGCATGACCCAACTGTGAAACTATGCCGCTGAGGACATGTGACCAGGGTACAAAAGCATCAGCACGAACGGTGCTGACGCAACATCCCTAGCCTGCGAAAAACAGAAGTTACAAGTCATAAATCTGCTTCGTTATATATTACAGCGGGGGATGCTAATGGACATGATCCACACTACAGTATGCAATGGTTGACGTATCTACGGAGATCGTAGCCTCTACTATGAGGGTTGCTTGGGATTAGCGATACCCTAGAGATGACCAAATTGCGCCGGATATCCGTTATTACAGTGAGTGTAGCTCATCCGCAGCGGCATTCCGAGTTCACCTATGGCGAAACATGCGTCCGTTCAGTGGCATCGTCGCGTGCAACTTCTTCGTCATTCCCTGTTCTTTTAGCGTCCGTGACTTCTACGCCACCGGTACCAGCTTCGGCTTCTGACTGAGGTGCAGCCCCCTTTTCTGTATCAATTGGTTTGGAAGCCCCACCGCGGACAATGTTTCGTTTCAGTGTATAGGCCTTGATACACAGTACAGTCAGGAACCCAAAAGCCGACACGGGTGTATTGACGAGCCAAATCGTACTGATGGATCGAGCGTATGCATGCATGACCTCCGCTCGGAGGGTTGGATCCTAAGAAGTGAGGCCGTTCAAAGAGAGTGAGAGGTGGAGAAGGCGCCGACTCACGGAAATCGAAGCAATTTGCCTTACGCTATCATTGATATCTGCAACGGAGGTGCCAATACTCAGACCTTGAATTCCGTTAAGTTTTCGTGGGAGCACGCTTGAAATAATAGTTTCGCCGATGGTGATGCCAACGGTCCCCCCAAGAATACTGAACTAATGATGAGGGTTGGTGTAACGTAAATGAACGTCGCACTTACCGGAGAAAAACAAATGCACCCGTGCTGGTGGCCATATCCTTCAGGGGCATAGCAGCCTGCAACCCAATGAGCGGCGTCTGAATTCAGGATAGAATGTTCAGCGATTCGATCAAGAGGATATCCGATTCCGTACCTGAAATAAGCAACCAAGCCCGGCCGCCGTGACCAATGGATATAACTCCTTCTCAGCGCTGGAGGGAAAAGGTGAGATGGATCACAACGGACTGCTATTACGCACTTATTAGAAGTGCTGTCCAACATGATCATGAGACCCCATCCAATAGTCATCACCGCCCAAGCACCCCACATTACTGGACGATAGGATCCAGTTCGGGTAACTATAATCCCTGATATAATGGAGAGCAATGCGCTACCAAGAGAGAAGGGAAGCATCCTTGAGAAGGCAATGAGATGGGGTGAGATAACATAGGAGAAGTAACTGACCGAATGCCGGAACCCGTGGCAGAAGCACCAAGAACTAGTGTGCAAAAATAAGGTATAGGGGCAGAGAGGTAATGTGCTGGTCATACCTTGATAATACATTGGCAGGTAACTATCGAAGCGTTAGCAAACGAAAGTGATGGCAGAATAAAACCGTACTAGGAACCTAGCCGAAAATATATTAGATGGAAAATCACGGTTGGTGAAGTGGGACGCGTACCACCAAAAAACACAAGTGCATGCAAGAAAACAGAGATCAGGACGGCGCCAGTTGTACGGGTCTGGAGAGACCATCAAGGGCGAATTATGACCCGTGAGAAAATCACGTACTTTAAACAATCTTGCGGGGATGATCGCTGATCGTTTGGTGTATATTTCGTTGACCCCCCCAGCGCCAAGCAGAACTCCGCCAACCACAAGAAGTACGATGGTCTCTGCGCTCTGCCCTGAAGAAAGAAAGAAAAATAGGAGAACTAGACATCATTGCAGAGCCACAATGACCTACATTCCGTTTCACTTGAATTAAACCCGATTAACAAGCAAACGACTCCGGATACTATGAGCGCAAGTCCAAGAAAATCAAATTCATGGACGTATTCACGCCACGGTTTTCGCTGATGAGGATTGAGGTTCAAGAATAAGAACAGCAAGGCGCCCGCAAGCCCGCCGGTGGGCCTAAACTACGCTTAGATGCGTAATTTAGAAAAGGCAAAGAAGCTCACAGATTGATCCAAAAACACCTGAGGCGACGTCAAACATAGTCAGAATGTATTGGCTCACTTACCAGCGCCACGAGATTTTATCGGTAAAAACCTACCAAAGACAGATTAAGTATAATGACCTGAAACTGGGAACATCGACGGACTCCACCGAGAAGTGGTCCCACTACGCTGTTCGAAATTTCAGCCAGCTTGTCGGCGGTACTAAAATCCAAAATTACCTGGCAACGCCCCAGGTTGCGCCAATATAACCACCATACTTTCCTCGACTTGAAAATGAATTAAATACTGTGCGCCACGGTTGACGTGCATACTTACTCCTGCAAGGAAACAATGTCTGAGATGGTGATCTGCACGAGCTGGATAATACCGCCACCCCCAATGCCTTGAAAAGCACGGGAAATGATAAGCCACGTCATGTTTTGGGCGGCACCACACAACGCAGAGCCCACCTGGGCAAAGGGGTTAGGAAGGGCTCCTATCCCACGAGGGTACGTACTAAGAATATCACAATGCAACTGTATAACACGGGCTTTCGGCCTGAAAGGGGAGGTGACGATGGCTGACAAAAAAAACGACCCGAGAACTGACCCAGCATGTCAGAGAGTTTGCCATACAATGGTCCGATGGCAGCACATGCCAACATGTAGGCGCTGTTAATCATGCATATAAGCATTGGGTGTACAATGGTGCCAGTAACGTAGGCTACCTTCCAACCCAGCTGTAGTTCCTTCCGCCACCAAGATCTGCCACGATAGTGGGCAAAGCGGTAGCGACGATTGTCTGGGGAAATAAGGACATGATGGACACTACGAGGGCGTAAGGGGCGTACCTGATCCAAGGCGGCCAAGAAGACGCTGCACATCAAACCGAAGAAGACGATACCTAAACGGTTCTTGGGCAAGACGTGTTCTTCGTTTTGTTTCCATGACGTGCCAGCTTCTTTGGTGGACTTGCTGATCTCGTTTTTCGCACTCTCAATTTCGACAGCCATTTGGGGCGAGTGAATGTTCTTCGTCACTGCCTAGATGCCGAGTGGGAACAGAGATACCTATGAAACAGGCTGCAGGGCTGCAGGTACATTTCATATATATGTACCACTGAGGTGATGATGACAGAGACTCTGCAGCCAGGACCGAAGGTTAGAGGAATGCCGAGATGCCGAAGGCTGACGCCCCGTGACATCGCCCCTTGATTACTCAAGTACTCGCCGTCGAACTATTGAGACGGTCCTCTCCCAGGTAACCAAAGGTGGAGTCGATAGAGACTTGCAAGTGATTTGGTGACTATTTGTGGTATCCCCTGCACTATTACGATGGCCTATGGAAAGTGGCTAGTCATACTTGTGCCACTGGAGCAGGAGTGCCGCATCCTCCCACGGAACAAATGTACACTGTCAGCAGGTTATGTCAACGATGACCATATATTTACTCTTGACAGCTCCTCCACCAAGCGAACCGCATTATGTTCGACCTGAGTCTGATCTGCAAATGTAAATACTTCAGCGGAGACTTGTCGGTGGCGGATATGTGCTTACGATGTTGATGCGATGACCCTATCATTCTCACTGCACATCAGAGATCTAAGATGCCGTGTTCATCGTCCGGTTGATCCGCTGCAGCATGTACTGTGAGCGTGCTTAAGAAATTCACCGTTGAACTTGGGACGGGAACGATGTGGTGGTAGTACTTGACTCCAAACTCCACGCCATATCATAGGGGTGGGATCAGCACGTGAGCGATGTTCAACACCCCCCACAGGGTGGTGCAAGGAAAACAAACCTTATCTCATCTTCCGTTCTTTGCTTTTTGACTTTGTTCCAATCCGTTTTCTTCTCTTTCATCACTACTATCTCTCTAATTACGAGTAACGGCTATGGCCCAGGGAGCTCCAGTTCCTACCTTCAAACTTGTGCTCGGTACGTATATCTTGACCCGTCGACCATCGTCGCGCTGAAAACCCATCGTCATACCATTCATCTGATCGATCCATGTGCTTGTCGGTTTGTATCCTTGCTTTCAATCACCCGCCGTCGCCCGATTTTGCTTTTCCGTACACCCGAATGGTAAATCAACGCAGTTGGTGATGGTGGTACCGGAAAGACGACCTTTGTCAAGGTAAGAGGAAATGCGCTGCCGATGATCGCCCGCTGATCTAGGCAAACTTGTAGCGTCATTTGACTGGCGAATTCGAGAAAAAATACATCGGTATGACTACTCCCTATTATCCGTCGTTCATGTGGCGTGCAGTGTCCTGACGTGGGCGATCAGCCACGCTTGGTGTCGAGGTTCACCCCCTCGGCTTTACAACGAACTACGGCACGATATGCTTCAATGTTTGGGATACTGCTGGCCAGGAAAAGTTTGGTGGTCTTCGTGACGGCTACTACATCCAGGGGCAGTGTGGTATCATCATGTTCGATGTCACATCGAGAATCACGTACAAGAATGTGCCCAACTGGCACCGGGATCTTGAGCGCGTTTGCGAGAACATCCCCATCGTGCTGTGTGGAAACAAGGTTGACGTGAAGGTATGTGTGATCAACCAACCGTCGGTCGGAGTGGGTTAATAATCCTGCAACAGGAACGCAAAGTCAAGACTGGCAATGTCACCTTCCATCGCAAAAAGAATTTGCAGTACTTTGAGATCTCCGCAAAATCCAATTACAACTTCGAAAAGCCATTCCTTTGGCTGGCAAGGAAGCTCGTCGGGTTAGTATTCCACCTCACCAGTTCAGGAATAGCTGACTAATTGCATCTATTAGAAATGCCGAGCTTGAATTTGTTGCAGCCCCGGCACTTGCTCCCGCAGAGGTCGCAGTCGACGCTAAGCTGATGGCACAATACAACGAGGAGCTGAAGCATGTATGTATTTGGTTTAACGTCGCTTCGACCTGAGGCTAACACGCGGTGTAGGCCGAAGCCGTTCCTCTTCCGGAGGAAGATGACGACTTGTAATTCATTTTGACGCTTGATACGACCTGTGTTTCCCTAGTCTCGTTCCATACAATTCCTTTTTGATACGAATCCTTTCATTGCTGCTATATCCACCACGCGTCAACTATTCTCTTGACGGTTTTAACTTGTAGATGTGACCCTGCAAGTTTTAAGGGGAATTGGATTATAGAACGTGCTCGAGCATGACATACAAACCTACACGTGAATGATCTAACAATTCGGGGGGTCACTCCAGCTCAACTAGCTTACGTTACATATCTGCGGGCGGTATTTTCACAATGAAGTAAGAAAGAACCGACTTCCAGGCGTGACATGCGCAAGATTCCGTTCTCCTCATTGAGCCATTGAACGCGTGCGTTCGGGGGCCAGGAGAGGAACCCCTGCAGAGAGGCTTGGTCGCGAATGCCAAGCATGACGAAGGCGTCGATATAGGCTTCCAGAGAAGGGCTGGCCAACTGGAGAAACTGCCTTACGACGCCTTTGCCGGACACAATAGCAGGGTCGGGTATATTCGGTGGTTGTTCCGGTTGCGGGGAAGTGGATGCCAACGCATCTGCATGGGAAAGAACAGGCGAAGAAGGTCGACTGGATGATTGTTTCCTTCTATAGGGAGGAGGTTGCTATGCGGAATGGATGGAGAGTGAATGGCGGGAGGCAGATAGCTGAAGACTCACAGTTTTTTGAGAGGACGTCCTGAACCTGGTCCTTGATTTCAAGTACCGGTGGAGGTATAACATCGCAGGCCAGTTTCTCTCATATGTCCTAAGCCAAGGGTGAGTTTGGAGAACCTATAAGAGAGTGGTTTCCTTCCGAGATCCAAACGGGTAGCCGGGAGACTCACAGCACTCATGACGGTTTTTATGCTTTCACTGTCTTGTTCTCGGGCAGGAAGACCGAGGACAAGGTGCTCCTTGGCAGCAGCACGGACAGAAGCCTAGGAGAGCATCATGTATCACATGAGGTGAATGGTCTTTCACAGAACGCACTTTTAATGACGCGTACTTAGCAATATCGATGTCGCATGCGTCGAGAAAGTCATCGATGGCAGTGGTGGATCTAGCCAGCCAGGAAAACTCCTGATCGCTGGGTCGATATCGAACCTCGCGGCCCCTGTCTGTGATGGAATGAGATCGGATGCAATGTGATGAACGACAGGGGTGTACCCCGTGCGATCTGGCGAGCACTGATCATCTTTTTCAGTGTGTTGCGCATCATCGATTGCGAAGGGCAGGGGGAAGGTAATACTTACACTGGCATACACTCGGGCAAGACAATCGCATATTGATTATGTCAGCACTAATGTGGAGAAAAATTGCAATTACGAGATGTGCTGCGATATGTGCACGTGACGCGCGTGCCTCATCGCTAGGCCCTGTCTGTCTGTCTGCTCTTGCAGGTTTGCTGTCGCCATGCCTGTGAATCACCTGCACCCCCTCCCCATCGAGCAGTCCCTCCAGCTGGACACACAGGCTACAAAATACTGCTCACACTGTTCATCGCCTTTCAACGCAGACGCCGTCTTCATCCTCGACGACCACGACCCAAACCTCGTCTGTGGTGCATGTCGTCTCAGAATCCTCTCGGGGCGCTCAGAGAACCTGTCCGACCTCCATGTCGACCGGACTTCTCCGATAGACGGTCTGACTACCGTCGACTCCCTCTTTGAAGATGATATCCAACTCAGCTCGTCCCTTTCTTCCGCCATCGACTCTTCCATCTCAATACCAGCCCATCGCGTATGTCAACCCACCACTATTCCTTCGCTGTCCGTTGCATCGAGGAGGCCTCAACGCCTCTCTATCCCTCCTACATTCACCGCCATCACTCGTCCCTCTTCCTCTTCTGCGCAGTCCTACTACACCCAAGAGTCTCCGCCGGATCCCTCCATCGATATCACTCGTCTGCGAGTCCGTTCTCAGACTTACCACTGCCTCTATCCCGGCGCGACCTTCTCCGGCACCCAAAAGAGTGGTCGGAACAGCTACGACGTCACCGTAACCATCGTTGTGCGCATCTTTTTTTTGTTCATGTCTACCCTCCATCCCGTTCACACACCATTTCAGGACGTCGATCTGTCGTCTTCGTTCCTGTGCGGGTACCTCTGCATCCGCGGGTTGACAGAAGACTGGCCAGAATTGACCACGTATTTCGACGCAGAGATCATAGGCAACCGCCATGGTTTTCTAACACAGAAGTGGGGTGCCACTGAGCAGGATGACATGACACACTGGCCGCGGTTCCCTGCCTTCCGCCATGTCAGAAACGAACTCAAACGGCCTCGTTTGACAATGCCCGATCGCGACCGTGGTGCCATTTTCATGCGATGGAAAGAGAGGTTTTTGATACCTGACCACAAAGTACATGACATCAGCGGTGCAAGTTTCGCCGGTAAGAACGCCCCTGGGGAGAGGAGTTCACGATATCTGACGCGGCCATGGTTCCTGGACAGGCTTTTACTACGTTTGCGTGGAGTTCAATCCACAGTCCCCTGCGCCCAATCTACGTCCTGCCGTGGTCAACGAAAGCAGTGAGACTGCCATGGCGACGTCGCCGCCCCCCGGACGTCGTCGGCGGGACTCAAGTGTGCGGAGAGCCGGCCGTGGATCATCCGTTGGTCCACGTTGCCCGCCACCGGCTGCCACGATGAACGGATTTTACTACCACCAGAAATCGGAACCGTGAGTCGTGTTCCTGGCATGCTAAGTAATAACAGATGATCGATTTCAAACGACTACAGATACCAACAACTATCTCTCAGCCACGTTCCGGAGATGTTCAGTTCGACGTTTGAGTTCCGCTGAATCTGGACCGGGGCCGTGATGAGCTAGTGTAGGCGAGGTAATAATAACGACGGTAATATGTTACGCAAGTGGGGGACGAGATGTACGAGTAACGGACGTGTGTACCCCCGCCCATATGTGTACTTTATGCGATCCTTGCCGACGAGTGGTTTTTTTGAGTTGTTATGACCGTGTGTGCGCAGCGGGAGCAACTGTCTGGTTTTGGCAGGCAGTACCGAACAACACCTGTTGGGCTGTTTAGCGAGCCCAGCCAATCTCCACCCGCTCGCTCTTCGCCTGAGCAGGCTGAGCTGCGTCGTCTGTCAAGCCGTTCCGCAAGCCCTGAGGTCGACTTCTCCTTCCTCTTCCTTGTCTTGACCCACCACCATGTCGTCTCATGGCACCCCAAACATTGTCGGTGTCCACTACCGCGTTGGCAAGAAAATCGGCGAGGGTTCCTTCGGCGTCATCTTTGAAGGTGCTGTCGGCCTCCTCTTCTCTACGCAGTCCTCTCGCTGAGCCCTCTCCAGGAACCAACCTGTTGAATAGCCAGACCGTCGCCATCAAGTTCGTACGTCGGTGACTACCACTATGCTATTAGCTACTTGAATCACTTCTTTGGCCACAGGAACCACGCAAGGCCGAGGCACCCCAGTTACGCGATGAGTGTCGCTCCTACAGAATCCTCGCGGGTTGTCGTACGTCGACGCTTCATGACATCTCTCATCCGCCTCACCTTTCCCACACACACATACAGCTGGAATCCCGCAGATATACCATTTCGGACAGGAAGGCCTTCATAACATTCTAGTCATAGACCTCCTCGGACCCAGTCTGGAAGACCTGTTTGATATGTGCGGACGCAAGTTCTCCATCAAGACCGTTTGCATGGCCGCGAAGCAGATGGTTCGTATCCCCGCTTACTTCCCACTTCTTCCACTGTATCGACCGTCCCTACTTCCTAGGTTACTAGAGTACAAACTATCCACGAGAAGAACCTCATCTATCGTGACATCAAGCCAGACAACTTCCTCATCGGTCGCCCCGGAACGAAGAATGCCAATGGTAAGCATGAATCTCGCATATATGCACATGCGAGCCGACAACCTTCATATCTCAGTAATACATGTTGTGGACTTTGGCATGGCGAAGCAGTACAGGGACCCCAAGACAAAACAACACATCCCCTATCGCGAGCGGAAGAGCCTGAGCGGAACAGCACGGTACATGAGTATTAACACACATTTGGGGCGAGGTTTTTGAGTTTTACTCATCTAGCCTACTCTTTCTAACCGACTTTTTTCCCCCTTCAGAGCAATCGAGAAGGGATGACCTAGAAGCCCTCGGTCACGTTTTTATGTACTTCCTGAGAGGTAGCTTGCCTTGGCAAGGTTTGAAGGCTGCCACGAACAAGCAAAAGTACGAGAAAATCGGCGAGAAGAAACAGACAACTCATATCAAGGAACTGTGTGAAGGATACCCTGGTTAGAGTCGGACATCGATGCACGCCCTATCGGGTAGGCTAACAGAATACGTTCTGCAGAGGAATTTTCTATCTATCTCAACTACGTCCGCAAACTTGGATTCGAGGAGACTCCTGACTACGATTTCCTGCGGGATTTGTTTTCCAAGGTGCTGAAAAACATCGGCGAAGTTGACGATAGTGTCTTTGACTGGAACCTTCTGAATGGTACGTTGCGCGCCCTCTGAGCGGGAGGATTTACTTGATATTCAGGCCGACCGTCTCAGGCGGCAAAGGCTGGGAGGCGCCAACAGTGAGTGCAAATTATCCGTCTCCTCTGTCTGCCTTTGGTGACACTGGACTGCACCTTAGGGCCAAGCGCAGCTCTCGCAGGTCCAGAATATCACTCCCCAGCCCCAAGATCGCAGGAGAGACGCGGAACGCCAACGAGATGCGGAGTGGCGGAGAGCTTCACAAGGTGTCGCGCCTCCTTCCCCCGCTCTCGTCCGTCATGGGTCAAAGCGCAGAGGCCCCACTGGCACACCCGCTGGTACACCAGGCCAAGGCACACCCTTGTCTGGTGCGGCACACGTAAACGTGCCTATATCCACACCTCAGAACCGCGCAAGTCACATCAGCGCCTCGCAGCATCCGTATGCAAACGCGGCCCCTGGTGCGGACTATCCACAAGAGTCAAACGGAGATTCCTACGCCGCGCAAGCATATGGGCGAGGGTCTCCCATGGTATCGACCGTTGCTCCACCAGCAATCAGTAACGTGCGCGCACAAGGCAATGAAGTTGGGGCATCGCAAGGGGTTGGAGAGTATCACGAGCAAGATGGCGACGTTCTCCAACCCAAGTCGACTTTCTGGCAGATCCTTACCTGCCGGTGTTGCTGAGAAACGACATCGTGTCTCGTTGCGCAATCCTTTTTCCCGCAGCTATCGACGCCTCTCCAGCAGCTCTCGTCGACCATTACTTTGGTTTCCTGATATATACCCTTCCACTACATGACCCCTAATTGCATTACTTGATCATACGATCCTCTTTTTTTCCTCTTCTTTTCCTCACGGGACGCCGACTGTGGCGCGGACGAAACCTCGAACTATTCCGTAACGATTTTAGCAGTGCTTTGAGTCAGTAACGAGTACACGTTGATACATGTGTTCATGAAGCTCGGGACCCCCACCCCTATTCCCATGGCAAAATAACCCTACACTACATGTGGCACTTCGTCGTCATCCCCAAGTGATATCTCGTCCTCCGAAACAACGCAACCGCACTCTGGTTCCTCGAGCTTTAGCCCCTTGTGAGTGGCGACAACATCCAGTTTGGACGCTACAACCACAAGGAACACGATAGATCAGATTTATGATATCACAAGAAGATAGAATAATGTACCAAGTCCATGTTCCTCGGGATCTCGTTCCCTAACAGTAGAAGAGCTACTCTGGGATTGGCCACAATACCCGGCCGGTGAATGCAAGGACAACGATGCCGATGACGCACTAGGCGGCACGTCGGGGTTGGCCACAAAATCATTACGGATGCCAGAAGGCACCGCAAGCGTATGAGCCCTAGCCGCAAAAGACTTTTTGCCTTCTCGACGGAAACTTCGCCCTCGCGAGGGTCCGTATTTAACCGTCAGATTACGATGGTATCCACTGGAAGAACGGTTCCAGTGCCCGTTATCAGTGGAGACACCAGTACTATTGATTCTTCTCATCCTGTGACTCCGCGGTTCTGTGGGTGTGCGTCGCCTGAGCGAAGGTGCGGGTTCAATCCGAGCGAACAACGCAGGTACAGATTCCGGCGGAGAGGCCCGCGAAGCAGAAGAACTTTGTGCTGGCGGGACCAACGAGCCTCCAAGCATTGCGTTTAATGTTGTTAAGCCTTCCATCTGTCCTTTTAGGTACAGGTTCTCCTGATGGACGGCACCCAACTCGTCCTGCAAAGTTTTCACTCGTTTCTCCAGAGCACTGGGTATATCCTGGGCAGGTGCGACCAATTTTGTGAAGTGCAGCCTCGTCTGGACAGCCCTATCAACGTGCATTGGCGTGTTGCATTCGAATGTTACATTGAGGGCGCGAGCAAGCCCGGTGTCTTCCAAAGCCCTGGGATGACTTTCCATAACACGTCTCCGCTTCGCTGTCGTGGGTGACCTTGGTTTAATGTAGACGTAGTGGTGGGGTTAAGGATCCATCCAAGGACAGCGGATGAATACTCCTTACTGAGGTTTTGGCTGCTTCCTTGCCCTTCTCTTCGGAGTCGGGGGGTGCTTAGCTGAACCCTCATGCTCGCTTCCGACAAGTGTCGATGGACTACAGTTATTAACATCAGCTTTGTAGTTCGATAGGCCCTTTGGGCCAAGATTGAGCATGGAACGAGCCAACTGGTGGATTGGAACGTCATCAGACTACGAACATTACAGGTTAATTGACATTGATAGATAGTGAGAAATGACAACCTCAGGTGTATTGAGTGGCCTTGAAAACCGAGGTGCAGCCGCTCTCTTCCTGCGCATCTTCCTGTACCACTCCGGCCGCGGCACCTCAACAAAATCCATGACCATTTTCTGTTTGCCCTCTGGGCGTTCAGTAGCGTTGTTTGGTACAGCAGAACTCGCAGCTAGCATGGTGTTACACGTTGGCTGGGGGGTACCATCGCGCGTTGGTACATCGATCTCGGACGGGAGCTCTGTCAACACGCTCAAGCCCCCCGGGGAACCAAGCTCGGCTAGAATGATTGTTGACTGTGCTGGGTGATCGAGAATCATCGACATCTGCGTTCCAGCAGGTTGATCAGCGGTATTGCAGTCCATATCAACTGTTGACTGTACTAGATGATTGGGAGTTATCAACATTTGCGTTCCAGTAGCTTGATCAGTGGCATCAGCAGTCCATGTCGGCTGGTCCGTCAATACCAGGGCAAGGTGTAGGTGCCGTGTTTGGAGTATCCTGATCACCAGCGACATCGTCTGGAAAGTCAGAAACAGCCTCGGCTTTGCTGGGGCCAATCTTGGACATTCGTCAAAACGGCAACAAAAAAGAAAGGTCGGAAATTTACCGGTGCAAGCATCACGTATGCGGATTGATCATACCATCCAGGCTTCGTCAATTCGGGTTTCAAGGGCTTGCAAGTGGTGTAGGTCTTCGCCAAATGAGCTAGCCTCAGTAACATGTCTGGTTTTCTCCCATGTTTTTCGTCTTCCAGGATAGTATGTTGCGAGGAGACGAATTTTTGGTGGGACGCCTGATGATGGTGATGCCAGCCGATATCATTCCCATGGCGGTCAGCTACACCAATTATCTCCACCGAGTGAAGAGAATTCCGCTCGAGGAAATGCGTGAAGCAGCGGGAAGCGTGGCATGGTTTACATGAAACGACCGACGGAGCTGGGGCCGGATGCGATGTCTCAGAACCATGCGAAAAACGACAGCTCTTCATCTTTGGTTCGAATCAGAACGCTGAGCATCTAATCAAGGACGATGCGTCTCACCTTTGGTGCGGACTGCCGTTGCAGGTACAACTTGCAGGCTGACTCGAAAATTCCAACACCCCTTTCCAATAGTTGACTACGTCCTTATCAGAAGAGAGCCCTATGGTGCAAAGACAAAACCCACTTGGGATGCTCCGAAAAATATCCAAGTTCCTGATCCGCGAGGCTTTCGAAACGACGAATTGCCTTGACGGCGCGATCTCTGCGTTGTAGTAAGTCGCCCATGACTCTGCACTGAACTGGTTGCATCTCTCCGCATTGACAGGTTCTGCCCTCAACATAGCAGGAGGGACATAGGACCAACCCATCGCCTAAAACTACGATGCGTGACTCCTCTGAGTTCCAAGAGGACAAAGGCAGACATTTGCCACACTCGAAGAAACTTTGGAAGATATCAGCGCCACAAAAGTCGCAATGAATGCCATCAAATGAAATGGGTTCTGAGTCAGACACATTGGAGATATGCGCTAAGGATGCATGCTGAGAGGTATATTCCTGAGCCAGAACATCATCAAATAGTCGTATCAGTTGCTTCAGTTTGCTGGCCGGCGCGGCCAACTCGATCTCGGGCTCTGTCTGTTCAACGACGCGGGTATAGTGATCCATAGCATGGTATATGTTGGATTTAACCTTGTAAATTTCTTGCCGGCATACGCTGGATGGATTACTGCACATGTTCAACACCGTCAGATAGCAACTTACCGGTGGTAGATAGGAAGTTCATGATAGGCAGCCACACACAGTCCATCCAATGACATTCGAGACCACGATGTCTTGATAGTGATCCCACCACTGTTGACGACTTGGTGACAGCTGCGTGGAGGGACGAGGACCAGTTCGCCAAGCCGCTGTTCAGCGATGTAGACATCGAACGGTGCCGCGCGCAGTTCCTCCAAAGTGACAACGTGCGATTCAAGGTCGACCTCATGGCCCAGCTTATGGAAATGAGAGACTACTGTCGGGGCATCCGATGCTTTCGTCATGAACCAGAAAGATGAGCCACCGTTCTCACTGTAACACATGAGATTTTGTCCTGATGAAGCACACAGATCCTTGTGGAAGGGAGTGAAAGTGTCTCCGATTCCCATATAGCACATCAGGGTTTGTACCTTTGCCTACGCGGCGCGGGTCAGAAAAATGGGCGAAGAAGAAATGAGAATGCGAACCGATTCCGGGAGAAACTTCAGAAAGTCGTCTGATCCATTGAATAGGACCTCATCCGGGATCACTACCACCCTCTGTGAGCCACTTGGTCCACTCAGCAGGGCAATCTCCGTCTTTTCCATATAGCCTCTCCTTCTCTGAGATACATTCACCACACTTCAGTTCTGCCGAACAGAAGAGGATCACAAGCACCAACCTTGGGGGGTTGCATATGGGGAGCTAGTACGCATTTTCTCGATGAAATCCGGAAGTGGTATCTGGGAATCACTCCAGTCGTGCACGTTGCGAACAGTAGGGCCTTTTGGCGCTGCGTCAACGCCAACGTCACTACTACCATGCTGTACAAGCTTACTCTGGTCACCATGTTTTCGGAGCCACTCGATATTGAACAAGGATTTGGGCCAATGTGGATGCCTATTCCATCCATGAATTATGAGGGGGGTCCCGGAAGCATCGTGCTGAGACATGGATGCTCTAAGAGAAGGCGCCGAGTAGTGCAGACGGGTCACGCGATGAAAGTTGGGTGAGCTTTCGATGATGTCGTTCAATGACCAGTCCCTGGTGGTAATTCTTGGTGATGGGATGGCGTCGGCCATGGTTGATTGAGGATCGACAGGACTGATCAAGAGAGGGCCCAGGGGTGGCCATGTTATTGGACCGGCAGGCAGCTTTCTGCAGCGTGCTGGGTCATAAGGTGACTGGGATGGCCAATCACGTGACCGAATCTATTATGTCCCTGTACAGCCGCACATCGCTACAGCTGGTTGTGCAGCATGTCGAGAACGGAACAAAGCACTGAACAAGACTCGATCGACTTTTGGGACTTTGTCAGTTGTGGTCTCTGCCATTTTCCTTTCACAACGAACCAAAAAGGACCCCCTGCTGTGCCTTTCTGGCTTACCGAGTGCGGTCATGTTGTGTGCAACAACCATCTCAGTACGGTCAACGCTACCAGCGTCTATCTGACCCTATCACGATCTTCACACAGACCCGGACAGAAGCTGTGCAAAATGTGGAGACCAGGGGATCGAGCTAATCCCCCTACAGCGGAATGTATGCATCCCCTTCCCCCCCTGTGGCCGCCTTTGTTGAAGGCACAGATGGATCCCCCTATGTCGGATTGGTTCCGCTCCCTGCCTCATGCGATAGACAGCATTGCAAACGCAGTCAAAGTTGGCATTGTCACGTAACAATCCCCGCACAAAAACTAAAGGTCCACTGATAGTTCCAACAACAATCTCTGGCAACTCTTGTACACCACTATCGGAGGCAGTGTCTACAGCTATCTGCCACTTGCGACCGCTTACGAAGCGAGCGCAGAGAACTGAGAGGGTACGTACGTTCTTTGTCCTCCATTCCTCTCATGTCAGGGTTCTGGTAGAGAAGTAGAGACATTACGTCATGACATCACACAGCTAAGGCAACATCCGGGGTCTGTCTCAATGCACAGCCAAGAGCCTTCCACGCATCAAAATGCGAACGGGAAGCGCCCTTTGGTTGAGGCGGGACGGTGAGGGCACTATCGATAACTAGTATTTTCATCGACGTGAGAACTCGTTACAGTCAAACCCGGAGCGTCAGGACGAATTCCAGCCCCAGATCGGTCCCGACTCCAGTCGCCCCATTACGATTAACGCTTCTACCGGGTGATACGCTGTCACCGAGTTATCATCGACACGATGCATAGACTTTTCTCGCAGCAGAGACCACGCCCAATCGCCGATCGACCTGGGAGTAGCCGCTTCGCGGAGTATGCCGTTGTGTTATAGTAATGACCTTCTTTTCTGAATCGGTTTAGGCAGTACGCGTACCAAGAAACTTCCAAGTCCCACACTCTGCGAGGAACATACGATCAGGCTAATCCGCAAACCGTTCGAATGGCCGTGTCAGGTCCTCACAATCCTATGCCCCCTCCGCCGACGCCACAGGGAAATCGCTTTAAGCCAGGAAGTGAGCCGCCACGACCGTCAGCGTCAACCACGCAAGAGTTGAACGGATTGAAGCCTTCAAAGCAACGCATTTCTGGGCCACCTGTCTCAATGCAACCGCCTACCACACCGCGACGACCGTTCTCCAGAATCTCGCAAACTCCAGTTACACTGACTGAGCGAACTGGTGCATTGCAATCGAACCGGTTCTTACCTGACGCTAACCAAGGCGTCGCAGCACTTGGACCCGCATTGCAGACCACGTCTGCCCAGATCTCGAGAAGTGATATCAGTACAAACAGTTCCTCGGGACATCAGCGAATGGCTTTTCTTCCTGGAAGTGTGAATGGATCCCGATGAACCAAACACTCGACCCCCATTCCTGAATGGCAACTAAAATGTTTTACTCGCCTGTCAACTTGCTACAGCATGTTCTGTTTTCTGGATGTCTGTAATTAAGTAAATGTTTATTATTTCAATTGGGTGCCTGGGAGACCAGTGTGGCACTGCCCCGACACCTCACGGTTGTACTGCATATCCGCAGTTCCAAATTCCATTCCTTTACTCCACACCACCATGGCGTACAGAGACCCGTTTGCAGAGCAGTATGGGCACTATGACCAGCAGTATAGCGAAGGACCTTCTTTCGATCCTTACAACAGCAGTCAACCTCACCAAGCATACGACCAAGGGGGTTATGATCCTTACACTTCGAACGGATACAGGGATAATGGTAATCCCACTACTCACGAGCCAGTAACCGCCGGAATGTCGACGTTCCCACCGAAGGAGGGAAATGGTTTTTATTCCACCACGGCAAGGTTCGTTTCTGTCGATAGTATCTCTTCTTCGAGATTCATTTCCGCTGCGCAGTCAACCCCGGGACCTCCGGAGGTGGCGGTATGAACACAATCGTTCACTCTGGACCAAGGTGAGGTACCTTTGGGTTTGGATGTTCACAATAACTGACCGTCGGTCAGGGAAGCAGAGGGCGGTGCATAGGGCGGTTCTGTTGCTGCACCATCATGATCACATTGTTCTTCATCATTAGCATCATTCTTTCCTTAGTACTGGTAAGCAACCTGATGTGCATGTTCTCACCCCTTCTCTGACATGGTTTCAGTGGGCCCGGCCTCCCAATGTTATAATTGGAACTGTAGGACCCTCGTCCACGGCAAGCGAGGTGCGCTCTTAAGTTTGCAATCCCTGTTCATTCCTATGACGTATTTGGTGGAAAGGTCCAACTAGAAAGTGACGGCGTGCAGCTTAATCTTGCTATTAACATAACGTAGGCAACGTCGTGTGGTTTGGAGTACGCTGCAGCTCAATCCTTGACAGCGTCAACAACCCAAATTATTTCTCAGTATCATTTTCGTCCGTAAAGGCGAATGTATGCAACTGAGATTTAAGCTGCAATACCTTGTCTGACATTTCTGGTCTTTAGATATACTACCCTATCAACAATACTTACGTCGGAGGAGGTAACCAATCCGACGTTACCTTCCCATCCCACACAAACAAAACCATCACATTCCCCTTCACGGTTGCTTACACTACAACAATGCCTTCTAGCGCTCAGATCTTGGCAGATCTGGCGACCAAGTGCGGTCTTACTGGAGGTACAAAGTCTGACATCACCTTGGATTACGATATCACGGTAAGCAGATTTTATCTTCTCGTCTAGTAAGCTAATAGCGTGTTAGTTGGGTTTGCGTGTCCTTTTCTTTACCGTATCACCGACGGTCAGCAGCTCCGCCAGCTTCCTCTGCCCGCTATCCTCGTCAGATTTATCGGTCAGTTAAAGGACACTTGAGTTTTGAGAATTCCAGGAAACTGACTTCTTATCAGGGTTTCTCTTCCGTCCTTGGAGGAATTGTATAAAATGTGTTGGTTCAGCTCCCTGTACATTCACCGTTGATTATTCCTATGCAGTCACATAGTGTTTCTATAGTCTTTTCCTTGACATTACTTGTCGTGCTCCGAGACGTTGATCTTAATCTACGTTGATGCTAGCTCGGTGTCTACGATACTTGGACTTCAAATGCTAATGCGTCGTTTTATTGTTCGCTGGACTCCGTTAGAAAGATGTTCGGGTGCTATGTAGCTGATATCGTTCTTTCCAGATTTCTCGATTTCACCTTTCAATTTCCCCCTGATTAGATATATGTCTCATGTTGACCGAGGACAACTGCCAAAGTCTCATTCAAGCCGCCATTCAAGGTACTTGTAAATCAATTATTGTTATGATCCTAGCACTGCGTGAACGCTGAGTGTTGACCTTCACCACACAGCGAAGGAATATGCGTATTCTCCTTATTCCAAGTTCCGTGTCGGGGCTGCGATCCTATGCGCCGATGATACGATCGTAAACGGAGCCAATGTCGAGAATGCTTCCTGGGGTAGGTATCCGTCACCCAACAAAGCAAACTGCCAACCTCTGGTTTCGTGCCTCTGCTAGGGGGCACTATCTGTGCTGAACGAACCGCGGTCGTTAAAGCAGTCGTACGTACTGATGAAGCTCTCTCGACCATGACATACTAACACATCGTCCGATGCAGAGCGAAGGCCGCAAGGATTTTATAGCCCTTGCCGTGACATCGTGAGTGCGCTTGTTGTTCCTCTCGATGCCGAGTCGACGGCCGCTCGATCAAAGGGATATCGCTGTTCCAATCTCCCCTTGTGGCATTTGTCGACAGGTACTTCGAGAGTTCTGCACCTTGGACATGCCCGTTTTCCTGGTTCCTGTTGATTATCCCAAGAAAGACGCAAAAGATGGAGGTATTCTGAAGATGACCGTGGGTGGTCTGCTGCCGTATAGTTTTGGCCCGGAGCATCTTGAATTGCCCAGACAACCCACTGGCCCTCAGTGATATCTATAAGTTTCTGTCATACTGATGACACGGACACAAGAATTCGAGTCCATGGCTCCATATGCTTTAGCGTTCCCGTATCAAATCCTCTGCAGAGTGTTCAACGTTACGTCTGCTGTAATTGGAACCTTGTGTTCGTTTCTAGCTATCCAGTAGTGCGGATGACTTGCGGTGTAAGACGGACACCGTATGCCAGTCGGTCGAGATAATTGGCATGCCGAAAGCAACCAACAACTAATTCTAATTCGTTTCCCTCATCATCTAGGGATTAGAAACCTCCTGGCAATTTGTATGGGGAGCAGTTTTCACCGGGATTGATTCTGAGCAATACTAGCACCTTTAGGTTGTGAGGCTTGTCTTCGACAAATGTGCTATTGTTTTCTCGTTGGTCAATGCACTCCATAATTTCTTCCGGATGCTCAAATCTCGACTTACTCCTCAGCTAGTCGAAGGGTGTCACAGCCAATTATTGCATATTCTCACAATTCTGCAAATCAAGACCTATCACCATTTCGAACCCTTCATTTGTGGAAGTCAATGTCATATACCCGCTTCCGCGCTCCATTACAGTGCTCGAACTACTCCTTGTCGTCCCTACAGCACTGCGTTATTGGTCTCCCATAGACTTACAAGAAGGTTCTTGTTTTAAAAAAAGAAAAAACCCCTTCGATTCCGCCTTTTGCGGACAAACGCCCTGATCCGATTTCTTTCCCGCCTTTGATCCGCTCCATAGGCGTCATGATCTCATACCACCGGGAAATTACCGTTGGTTCCAAAACGCGCCAGCGACTATGGCAGTTTCTGGGCGATCCAATTCCATGCTTGCCTGGTAGATGGGAAGTGCATTGCCTTCGACAGCGCTACTACGTCGCTATGCACATTCCGATCGGTTGCGTTTGATTATTGCACACCAACGAAAAGATCGGTGTCAGGCCTTCCGGCTCTTACCCAAGAGAGTAGGGGTAGTCGTCAGTTGGGAAATGCAAGTTTGCTATCCAAAGTGCCGTCGTTTCTCATCACGGAAGTGCAACGAGTGGTCCCTCTTACTGCCACATCCCTGCTATATTGAATGTCCATTCAGCATCCAAGTAATGTTCTACAGAAAAAGTCGAAATTACATAGGGGATACATCTACCTTATGCAGTTATTGTCGCTGTTGGTGTGTTCGACGAACTTGCTGATGCCTTAGACGCACCACCATTTTTGCTACGCCCCCACCTGACACTCACTCGTTGACCGTCTACGTCCAAGCCCCTCGCCCATCCCTCAGCAGCTCTCTCAGCAGATACCCGATCCTTGAAATTGACGAAGGCACATCTGTTTTCGTTGAGGAAGAAAAGAAAACTACAATGTCCTGATTGCGCACCTGGACTTCGCCACGTGAACAATCGACCTGAGCTGAGACGACGGTACGTGAGGCAAGGAATTTACCACGTGCGTGCGGATTTCTGCCTCGGTAATAGAAGCAGGCAGAGAAGAGAGAAATAGAGACATCTGAAGGGCCTTCAGCGACCGTAGAAGTCAAATGAAAGGTTATACCCACGATGGAGCCGTCTTCAGGAGGCGTCAAGCCTTGAGCTACTAGCATAATTGGATAGAATTTTGTGCGCAACGGGGTCATTGTTTCCGTGGTATCGATCTTTGATGTTTTGGTGGGACAACTCATTCTCCACCGCCTTCTCATGTCTGCGCGGAGATCGAGGGACCGTCTCAGGCGATGGATGATATGGGACACACCTGTATGGACATTCATCCCCCCGTTTACACTCGCCCTTGACAAAGAAAGAACATAGGTGGGGCCGATTGCGTTTGTAATACGGATTTGTGCGGGCTAACTCCTTCAGCATTTCCTTCCCTGCCGAAGACGTCTTGCCACCAAGTTGCATCATGGATTTCGTACCATTCGCCATCTAAAAGAACGATCAATACCCAGACACTGCCAGAATCATTAGAATTATATGTACATTGTTCTCCATATTCTGCGCGTAGTATTCGCGATTGACGTCACTCGTCGGAGCCTCAGTCTGTCTTCCGAGCGCAGTGTCGCGAACTTGTGTCGGTAGCCCATATTCAAGATCCAACAAACACGTTTGACAGACGTTCTTGACTTTTGCGCACGTTTGACAGATAACGGTCGTTTTGTAGCGGGCGCCGGACCCCGGGTTCCAGCGAAAGACAGTAAAAGGGCGGGCACATGTCCCACACGAACGACCGAATTCTTGCTTTGTCTGAAAACGAGCTGAAATACTCACCCACGAGAGACGTGCAAAAGCTGCCTACCATTCGGACGAATGGGTTGTTGCCGAGACCTGTAATCCCGGTGAGCCTGGACACGAGCTGGACGGCTATACGTTCATGCTACGTACATGTCTCACAGAGAATAGGAAACTCGCTCTGTTCCCAACCAGCTTTGTTGATGTCAGCTTTGGGCATCTTGGATGACTGCCAGCAAGGCTTGATGCTTGACGGGGGTAGCTGGGGTGCTGACTAATCCTCGCAAACTAATATAAGCACACCTTCCTCTTTGGTCATCCCACTCCGTATCAGAAATACAAAATACATTGCCCGTCTTTCCAGCTGTACTGAACCGTAGAGCTACGTGTACTTAATAACCAGCTCAAGGATAAAAGGAAGGGTTGAAGCGGTGACGTTTACCGGGTCGCCCTCTTCTACTAGCTCCGATACCTTCTTTTCCAAGTTTGGTCGTGTAGCTTGTTCAAGTTGCGGCGGTCCTTGAAGATATATGTACTTGGTTGATGTCGCCAGTGACGGTTTTTTGATTTGACTACACAAATCAGCGATCAGAGGACACCAAACACCAGACATGGAGACGTACATGGTTTGCCTCTCCGTCAACATTTCAATAAGTTGCTCAACGGTGGTTTCGTGGCTTATCGATATCTCGAGCAGTTCCCCACCACAAACCGGGCAATCCTTACGCTTCTCGTGCTCAAATGTGTAAGAATAAATCCCTTCAGTACCTATCAACATGAAATAATTGTTGAGGTACGCAGCAGAGCTGGTGGCGATCTTGAAGGCTTCGTTGCAACATGACGCTGGCATGATGTGAACGACAGTGGGATTATAGGGCTGTTAGAAACTCACCCGCTATGATAGCATTTGTTGAAGCGATCGCTGGTATTATACTCTTGACGACACCATGTGTCAACGAGTATGTGACTCCTTCAATGTTAAATTCTTTCGCTCGTGCGGCTGCGGCTGCGTATAGCCAGGTGATATGCTCCGGATCGTCCGTATCGAGCTTTTTCTCTTGAGGTAATGAACCTATCATGGTGCGGCACACAAGCACAACAAAACCTACTTGCCTCCATGTATTCGTGGCCATTCCAAAACGGATGCCCATTCAATGCAATGCTCCGGAAGTCGTGGGGTATTGGCAATAGTGCAAATCGGAAAAGCTGTAGGCTTGTTCAACATGTCGAGAGAGCACTCGTAACACGACGTTATCGTCGGTAGGACCACACGGGCTTGACCCTTGAAGCCTGCGGAACCACAGTGAAGTAAGGGTTACATGTTGGGGTGTGGCGCATACCTTCGGTGCCCCCGTCAATGAGGGGCTTTAGGCTCTCAGGGTTTTCAGTGTCTACGAGATTGACGAGGGTAGCATTAATCCATCGCCGAGCCTCTACGGAGTCGAGGCCGCAGATTACGAGGTTGAACTGCATGTAATAATCGACATCTTTATCTTGAATCTTTCCGAAGTAACTACGGGTCATGCAGTATCAAGTTAACGTGGCTAAAAGGACGTGCTTACGGTGTAACCTTAACACCTCGTACTCGTTTCATAACATACTCCGCTGCAACTATTGCCTTGGGTTTGCCCACATCTGCTGGTCTTGACATACGCTTAGGACGATGTGGCAAGGTACCCAAGGAAAACGGGGACTTCCTACCTGAAAAGAAACTGTCGATTCAGGTTGCTAATGTCGATCGTGTCCATGTCAATGACATGAATGTCTTTGAAACCAGTCAATGCGAGATTCGCCAGTATCTCGCAGCCCAGACCACCAGCACCGATGACGAGGATCTTACACTTGTTCCTCAGGAAGTCCTTGACCTATCCATTGTTAATGAGCTGTAGCGGTCATTCCCTACTCATCTAAGCATGTATACCTTGTCACCAGCTAAAAAGGACGGGTCCGTCCGCGGACCTGGTCTGTCCAAGATTTGATCTACATGGAAATAGCGGCCTTCCCAGTCTTCTGAATTTGCTAAACCATCGACATTAACGGATACGCTGGCCATCAAGAGATGCGCTAAGTTGCTGTAGTGAGGTAAGTAGCAGCAAGTACTGAGTCCGATCGCGCTACTAGTATGCCCCTCTTCATTATGTAAGTCGGTATCGAAAGTCTGCTTGCACGGTGACGGTGACCCATGGCATCCGTGATTAGTTACAGTGGTCACCAATACCTCAGACAGCGTCTGGTACTGTCTATCCTCAGTGGGAAGCCGGTTCGCATAGACAAGATCAGATCAGAGCACGAAAATCCTGGTTTAACAGGTTGGCTTTTGCCATACTCGAGTCTACAATGTGCTGAACAACATCACATCTAGATTATGAGGTCAGCCTCTTACGACTACTGGAAAAGGTGACAAATGGAACCGTCATAGAGATTTCTGTGACCGGTACGTTTTTTCGTAGAGTTCATGCGGTTGTTTCCTCACGGTATATATTAGGTACCGCTGTTCTGCTGAAACCTGGAGTTATAACCGGCGGCTCTGTCACCCATGACTGTCCACTATCACGCGCGATAGGATACTTTCTAGAACCTTTGGTCATGCTAGGACCTTTCTCCAAGAAGCCATTCCACCTCACTTTGCGAGGCATCACTACGGACCAGGATGACCTCTCCGTGCGTCTTTCCACTCCTCAATTTCAGCGATTTTTGACACTAAACTCGCTAAGGCGGACCTAATACGCACCGTCACTCTACCGCATCTGCAACTATTTGGTATTTCGGAGGGTCTTGAATTGCGGGTAGCGCCAATCTACTTGGAACGGTGACATCATTTAACGAGCATGCATAGATAAAGAGGCGCGGAGCGCCTCCCGGTGGAGGTGGAGAAGTGCAGTTTCTCTGCCCGGTAGTTAAACAAGTTAAAACCTTGAACTTCGTCGAACCAGGAAAAATCAAGAGGATACGAGGAATAGCGTAAGCGGTTGGACCATGCTTGGATATGCTGGTTTTCTCATTCAATACAGCCACGCTGTGCGCGTAAGCCCACAGTTCTCCAATCGTATGATCGATGCTGCCCGGTCGGTTTTAAATCGCTACATCCCTGACATATACCTCTACTCCTGACGTCTATAAGGGTGAGGAGAGTGGGAAGTGCGTTGTGTCCTTTCAGCACCGCTTAAGACTGGACATTTGGATATAGGTCTCCAGGATATGCGTTAAGTTTACTGGCCGAGTCTTACGACCTCTGCGGTACACTGCGCTGAGGCTGTTTCGCAGCCAGGTGGGACTCCCGAAGACGTTGCACTTCTTGCAAGCCGTGCTCTTCTATCAGAGATACGACAAGGGGGATGTGTCGATAGGAAACATCAATGCCTAGGTACTGTTGATGATGGTACTTGGAAGTGAAGATGTTGGACGCTGCAGGATGGGCGAGCCAACAGTGCGAACGTAAGTCCTTCATCCTACAGGCGCGACGGACTATAACTCACGAGAAACCCTATGAAGAGTTCAATTTCTTCGAGATATCAGGGACTTCTTTGGAACGTCCTTCAAAATTGTACCCGCGAACCCATCAGACCCGTCAGTGTACGGAACTGATGTATTCCTGCTACGGGACTGGCTATGTCAACGTCAACCGAACGCTCGCTTAGCTGCAATACCATCAAAAGTATTTGTACGTTACTCTTGACCTGCGCGTACTATGCACAGTTTATCGATATATCATTACTACTCTCCCGAAGTCACCGTCACCCTTCCCGCCTCCTATGGTAGTTAACCACTGCTGCAGCAAAGGCCATCCAACCTCAAAGTGAGTGGAAAGCTCGTCGGTATGATGTTCTCCATCGAGCATCGGAGTCAACTCCGAGGGTGGGGGATTGAACATCTGTGGTGAGCCTTGAGTAGACGGCGTATAAGTCTGTTGCGTAGCTGTGACAGAAGGAGAGCGTGATATTAGCAGTGGAGCGAGGAGCTGGCACGGTTACGGAGGGATTGTAGAGTGAAACTCGCTTGAGCCCTTCATTGATTTCAGAGGTTCCATACTGGAAAGGCGTGGAGTGCCGTCGCGTGTCCGAGTTAACTCTGTGTCTCCCGAATGGACGAGCCTGGTGACTACCGCTGCCCTCGTCAGGGGATGCTGAGGACACTATTTGCGCACGAGTAGAAGAAGTGGACTGCTGTCCGTTGGAGAGACATGTGTAACTGTTCCTAGTGCCTTCTCAGCAGCACTCGTACGACGTTGGGAATATATGGGAGGTTCCATTTCTTTGGTAGGTGAATACAACATCTGCTCGCTGCCCATAGGAGCAAGCGAGGGAATTCCAGAATATCTGATTGCATCTACAGAAGTGGATGTTGGGCTTGGTTGCGAGGAAGTGTTCAAGTGGCGCAGGAGACTTCGAGATGCTGTGGCGTCGTCTATTGGTCGACAATGAAGGGTCTGGTGGAAGGAGAACCGGGTAGCGATGAACGCGACGCAAAAAGCCCTGGCGAGAGGTATAGAAAGGGACTCGAGGTAGTGAGGCAATTTCACTCAGCCTTTATCACGCCAAAACTTGTGAATCGCCGTACGTCGACACCAAGATCATGAACATTGTGGCTTTCCATCCACTCGAACACCGTCTTTCCCGGCTTAAGTCTCGAGTACAAGTGCAAAAGCTTTGGCCAGTCTGGGATTGGCTTGCCTAGAAGGATTTAGGTAGAAGTAAAGTACACAAGCCACGAAGATTACCGGGCTTTGTCACGTAGGGCCCGCATTCATCTTTGACATGGGGCTCATCCGCAAGCCATTGCACATTCTTCCTCAAAGTATACATATTCGAATATTGGAAGATGTCTACTGTCATGATGACCTGATAGTAACTAAGGAATAAATCAGTCATGGCTCTACGCCGGTGGAATTACACTCACAGCAGGTGTGCGACCGCTTGACGCGTCAGCTGGAGATCACAATCTGCCAGCTGGGCTATGCGACGAACATGATTAATACCGTTGATGTGTTCACAGACCTTTTGGATGTCAGTAACTAGATAGACATCAAAAAGACGTCCTTCTTCACCTTCTTCACAGTGAGATCCCAGTTGTCCTCCACACGACTTTTCAGATTAATTAACGCGAGCGGCACCTGCCAATCCTTGACTGGTGGTGGGTTTGGGTAGAATGGGAAGATTTTGAGTTCGATAGAATTGAACGCATCAATTGGTATTGAAGTTTCAGAATACGAATTCAGGTCTTCGTAGAGCTGTTCGAGGATAGCGTGCATTGCAGGAGAAGACTGCGGAGAAGACAAAAACATGGATTCTTCCTTCAGCCTCCCATGAGCCAGTACCGAATGAAAGAAGATGGAGAGACCACACCTCACAAGCCGCCAAAACGCGACTAACTTTGCGAACGATTGGCTTGTAACAGCTCAGATCCGCCGCGCGTTCGAACACGAAGCAAAGGTTGAATCTGAAGTAGTTTCGTTTATACTCAGACCCCAAGATGGACACGGGAAATCCAATGATACGATGGTTGCGTGTAGCACAGATGACGAGACGGCCACAGAGTGGGTTGGACGGTATCACATACTTGGAGATGTCACCAAAGTCGAAGAGAACCCGGTTCGAGGATGGATGTGGGGGAGAGGAGACCTGCCTTGAACTTGGACGAGGAGCCTCTCCTTCCAGCGCGACCGTAGACGATTTCGGTGACGACGCCGCGGATAAGCTGGACAGACCAGCTGGAGACGTGGCGATTAGGCCTTCGGGGACCTGGTACACGATCTTGGGCCCCTGCTTGACATCGAAGATGGCGTAGAAAACGGAGTGAATCCGTGGTAGAAACGTCTCAGAAGGCATGATAGCGGACCCCCGTCAACCAGGCGGCGCTCAGGCAGACATCAACATGGCGGCAACAATTTATCCAGCTGGATTTCGATATTTGCCTCTACCAACAGTGCAGCTCTCTCTGGCAGCGGTGCTGAATTGCGGACAATCTTTCAGGTGGACATCACTGCCTTTGACTTCTGGCCACGAATATCGATTATGCTTGCGAGACCGAGTGGTCTGTCTGAGGCAGTCCCCTGACGCTCTATTCTACCGCTCTGTCTTCCCAGAAGGGGACTTGCCCCATGCAGAGACAGCCCTCCGAGAAGCCGAGACATTGACGTGGATAAAGGACTACTTCCAGCTGGACGTCAATCTCCTTAAGCTGTACGACGACTGGAGTGAACGCGATGCTGTCTTCCGCACCCTTCGATCTCGCTTTTCCGGCATTAGAATTTTGCGACAGGATCCATGGGAGAATCTCATCTCGTAAGTAATCCATGCTGCGAAGTAGGCCTACTGTGATGCTAAGTACAATGATTGTCCGTTGGAACTATGCATTAGATTCATTTGTTCCTCCAACAACAACATAGGTCGGAATAACTAAGATGATTCACGCGCTTTGCAAGAAGTACTCTTCCCCGTTGCTCTCACTAGCGCCGCCATGCCCAGCCGTCGCTTCAGCTCCAACGGTGGCAACATACCATCCTTTCCCACCGCCAAGTGCACTCGCTGCCCCAGAGGTGGCAGCTCAACTGCGGTCACTAGGATTTGGATACCGTGCCGATTTTATACAGCGCACTGCGAAAATGCTTGTGGACGAACATGGCACCACGGTTGCAGCGAAGTCCATAGAGGGGCCTGAAAGGTGGCTACTGAGTCTCAGAGATGTGGATACGAACAAAGCGAGAGAGGAATTGCTCAAGTTTGTCGGGGTCGGGCGTAAAGTTGCCGACTGCATTTTGCTCATGAGCTTGGACAAGGTTTGTTTGTTTCCTTTTGAGGGATTTGCTCAACATGCCATGGAACAGCGCGAAGTCATTCCGGTAGACACCCATGTTCACCAGATTGCAATGAAGCATTATCACTTTCCCCGCAGCAGCTCGAAGGGAAAAACGACGATGACGCCGAAATTATATGACGAGATCAGTAAAAAACTGAGTGATATATGGGGTGAGCATGCCGGTTGGGCCCATTCCGTACGTGTATTCTACAGTGGAGGAATGGAGACTGAGTATTGGAACAGATCCTATTCACAGCCGACCTGAAAGCATTCTCAACGTATGGGCTACTCGAGGACCAGTCTAGATCAGCACCCGAGATGGTGCTTGGCGCGGATCCAGAATCAGGGAGATTTACGAAGGAACCCGGTCCGTCTTTGAAGAGGAAGCGAGGTAACGACACAAATGGTCAGGCGTATTCGTATTTGCAGGATGAAGGGGCCAGTCTTCTTGAGCGAGTAAAGACGCGACGCCGAGGTGTCGCTGTACTCGCATAGTCAGGAAGTGTGTTAACTTAGGAGCTTTGATGACCTGTAGCCACATGGCAATATCGTTCCGTACACGCAGCCCGTCACGTGGCTCAGGAGTAGTGCCTGCTGATAATCTCGTCCTCTACTACTGCCTTCGTCCCCGACACAGGATACCGCGAAGATGAAACAAGCCGGCGAAGAGGAAGAACGCACTTCTGGCTCCGAGCAGGAACGTCACGATCCCGGGGATGAGGGTGGGGTTCTCGAGGAATCGCAACCCTCGTCCTCGAAACGTCAGCACAAGAAACGATCTAAAGTATCTAAAGTTTTGAACACACTACGTGGAAACGAGATACCACAATCAATTGTCAACCATGTTGTAGAGCAAGTTAAGGTAGACCAGGGCAGCGCTTCCCCCGCTGCGGATCCAGACGCCGTCAGGGCGGCGTTGGAACAGCTGAAAATCATGGATGTACTCAAGGGAAAGGCAGGTGTGGCCGGCCGGGGGAAAAAGGCCATGGGTGAGCATAAGGTAGGCATGATCTCTGGACGCCAATTGCCTTCGTTTGACATGTAGCGGTAGTTCTGGGCAACACAACCGGTCCCCCAGATAGGTAAGGATAACACTCATGGTCACGTTTTGTCTGAAGAAGCCTGCGTTTTCCAGGTGAAGAACCCCCGTCAGAGGATGGGTACATTGAGCCTACAAAGGCAATCGAAGACGTCCGTCGCGAGCCATATCCCTTGCCCAAAGATTTCGAATGGTCGACTCTTGACATCAACGATGGAAAACAGGTTTGTTGGCTCTTGTCGCATTGGCTGTGCACTCATAAAAAGACAGATCAAGGAGGTTTATGATTTACTATCACTCAATTACGTCGAGGACGACGACGCTGCTTTCCGTTTCCAATATAGTGCTGAATTCTTGGAATGGTAAAAATTGGCTCTTTTGTCGTGGGACCATACCGTATTAATAATTATGATGAAGGGCACTCAAGCCTCCTGGTTATTTCAAAGAGTGGCACCTGGGTGTGCGAGTGTCGTCGAACAAGAAACTTGTCGCTTTCATATCAGGTGTCCCAACAACTCTCCGTGTCCGTGGAAAGTAAATACTTTTAGCGATCGTTGTTTTACCACTCCAACTCTCATTCACAGCGTATTCCGCGCGAGCGAAATCAATTTCTTGTGTGTCCACAAAAAATTACGTTCCAAACGGTTGGCGCCGGTGCTTATAAAGGAGGTCACCCGGCAAGTGCATCTCCAAGGGATCGCTCAAGCAATATATACAGCAGGGGTCGTGCTCCCAACACCGGTGTCAACATGCCGGCAAGTCAATAGAGGCCTTTCTTTCGTTACATCGTCTCAATATCACTCAGATACTACCATCGTTCATTAAATATCCCCAAGCTTGTCGACGTCAAATTTACTTACGTTCCTCGGAACATGACCCTCGCACGGATGATCCGTGTGTACAAGACAGATTCTGCACCACGTCTACCAGGCCTCCGGGAGATGGAGGCAAAGGACGTGCCCCAAGTAGCGGACTTGTTCGCGCGGTACATGCAAAGATTTAGCATGGCTCCGATAATGACAGTTGACGAAATTCGCCATCTATTCCTCAGCGGAAGGGGGGATGTCGAACAACCCTGCGAAAAGTACAGGCGGCCGAAGCAAGTGTTATGGGCATATGTAGTGGAGGTACGTGACCCTGGTTTGCAAGATAGTGTGTCATAAGCTCAGGGAACGCCGATCAATTCCAGGATCCCAAAGAGCACCGTATTACGGACTTCTTCTCGTTCTACTCACTTCCTTCTACAGTTATCAACCATCCCAGACACAATCTTCTGGAGGCTGCCTACCTTTTCTATTACGCGAGCGACGCCGCGTTTGAATCCGGGGTAGACGAGTCTAACAATTTAAAAACACGTCTTGTACATCTCATTGGCGATGCTTTGGTTATCGCGAATCAGGCCAAGTTCGACGTTTTCAATGCTGTCACGTTGATGGACAACATGAGTTTCTTGGATGATTTGAAGGTATGAGCTTGAAAAGCTACATTTTGATTATGTTACTCACACACCAGCTCAGTTCGGGGCAGGAGACGGTCTGCTTAACTTCTATCTGTATAACTGGAGGACGGCACCTCTTGCAGGTGTTAACTCTGTAAGCGATGTCGAAGCTGGGCGGGGTGTGGGGGTAGTTATGTTGTAAACTGCCCAACCTATTTCGGAGCATCACTGGTAGACTAAGGATCTCGTATGAATACATTCCTAGCTTTACACGGTCAACTACTTCAATCACTATCTATCTCGATAATGTCATCGTCATCCACGCCCCAATCAGGAGTCGGGCTCCGTCGCCTTGGTTGATTGGGACGACGGGATACTGATAGACCTCCACCGCCAAGTTCTCGACTCCGGAAGCCCGATGGAACATGGAGGAGTGGTGAGCGGGATCCGAGCGTCTGCCCACCACCCCAGGAGTTTGAGCTGGGGCTAGATTGCGATGGCGATTTCGCTCTTTCCTTTCCTTTGGGTGTGGAGCTTGGTTCAACAGCTCTCCCGCTGAGCTTGTTCCCAGGACCGGAGAACGTAACCTAAGCCAGAACATGTATGAATAACGTGAAGTCTGAATAAATATGGCACCCACGGGTGGACTTGGCGACCCAGCAGGAGGCTGAGCATCAGAAACTGGAGGTGTATATGGTACAACCCTAAAACCAAAGAAAAGCTTTCCGAACGGAAGGTTCAAAGCAGCTGGGACCTTGGCGTCGGATTCCAGCGAGTCGCTAGTGACGACTGTCCGTCGGCTAAACATAAATTGAGTTTCAATCACAGCTCAGAGTAAGTCAACATACTCGGTGCGCATGATCTTGCTTCCGTCGGCGACTTCCTCGACAGCACGATGGCTGATACCTTTGCCTTTGGTCTTCCTGCCTGATAAGGTCTCTCCTTTACCTTTGAAGCTTTCCCAATGGTCGCCTCCTTTGCTCACAGCAGCGGTGCCCCCAGACACAAACCCTCCTGCGAGGGAAGAGGATGGCCTAGACGAACCAGGAGAAGATGAGTTGAGATCAATGTTAAGCTTCGACGCCATCGTCGACGGTGGAGGAGCCTTGGGGCGCTCGGGTTCAACATATCCGACAGGGGGAGCAAAATCCACTTCAAGATCTGTGTCGAGGACACATATGCCACCCCCATTTGGGACCGTTTCCATGACTAGGAAGCCGAAAACCATGGAGTTGTAGTATATTTCAATAATGTCTCCTTGGGTGAGTGCAGTAAAGTTACGAAGAGCTTGTTCCAACCTGTCTGGGAGTTCAGTATAATTGACCAATTCCACTCGAGAATGACATACACGGCCTTTGGATCGGAGATCTCGAGAAAATGGACGGTCTGTGCTTGGAGTTTGACGAACTTGCCTTTGGGAAGTTCTGCGCCAGTTATTCTAATGGGGTCCCCCTCGTCGAGCCGCAAAGTTTTCATCATCCAGTAAGGGAGATGGACAACGCCCTCATCCGCAATAAACTCTAGGACGCCAGCGTGAGTGGATGCTGCCGGGTTTGACGGGTTGCGCAGTTGAAACATCCAAGGGGACTCGAGATCCAACCTTGTGATGTTTGCTAGTGCAGATGGTGGCATAATAACTGGAGAAGTAAGGTCAGATGCATAACATGCCTCCAACTCTAGAATACGTACTCTTTCCCCCGTAAGAGACATTTTCACGCTCCCGGCCAGGAAGCATGGCAAGACTGTGCGCCTTTAAGTATTCATCGAAGGCCCTCGGAGGCGGGCGAACGCCTCGAGGACCCAGTGGCCCCCCAAAGCCCCTGGGGATGGGAGATCAAATCATCTAACCAGGTAAAGCAAGACATGATGCGTACTGTGCCAACTGAGCAAACAGACCACCTGGGGTATCCACATTTCCAAACTGGCGGTCAAGGTCAGTTTCACGATACCTCGCAACCGGTGGTACTTACAAAATCCATGATGAGACGTGGTTTAAGAGATTGGTGACGAGTGCAGGCCACGCAAGTAGGACGGCAATGGCCGTACAGACGTCCAAATGAGGAAGGAGCGCAAGTGAACTGCTCTGACTACTTCATAGATAATCTACTCCAGCACTCGAGCAGATGGCTTCAAAAACTGCCTCAGCAGCTGCCCAGATATCTCGTGGTGGCGCAAATGCCGCCTTCAATGACAAGGTACGCATCTACGTCTTCGCAGGACATACACAACCGACTCTTGTGCAGGGCAAGCCAATGGAAGTCCGGATGTCTAACATGGTCGCCGCCAAAGGTCAGTGGTACATCTGTAAACGGCGCTAGCCATGTAACTCAATATTCGTGGTGCAGCCATCAGTGATGCTGTCCGGACATCACTCGGCCCTCGAGGCATGGATAAGATGGTAAAAATCTCAACCGGTTCGTCACGTACTTCCGGCAGCTTAACTTGTCATTGCATCAGATTCAAACATCAAAGGGAGAGGTCATCATCACTAATGACGGAGCAACAATTCTTAAGAGCATACAAGCGCTTCATCCGGCAGCCAAGATGGTAGACATGTTTTCACCCCCACGAACAGTACAACAAGCTGATCAGTTTGCGTGTTAGCTCGTCGACTTATCCGCCGCCCAAGATGTCGAGGCAGGTGATGGAACAACCTCGGTTGTCGTCTTGGCTGGGAGCCTCCTGGGAGCAGCGGAAAAGATGCTCGCGAAGGGCATTCACCCGACAATTGTGGCAGAGTCTTTCCTCAAAGCATCTGCAAAAGCTGTGGAATTCTTAACAGAAATATCAGTCCCCATCGATCTGAACGACAAGACTAGCCTCCTTCGCGCAGCCAGCACGTCCTTGAACTCCAAGGTAGTAGACACTCTGCTCACTGATCGTGACTTATTCGACTTACGCCCAATTTGAACTCTCCAAGATCGTCTCCCAATATTCGTCTATTCTCGCGCCGATCGCCGTGTCTGCAGTCACTCGTTTGGTAACGCCAGATTCTTCCAATGTGGACCTACGGGATATCCGAGTCGTGAAAAAGGTCGGCGGTACCATCGAAGACACCGAACTCGTGGATGGTGTTGTCTTAAACCAAAATGTCATTGTCTCGGCCGGTGGCCCAACGCGCATAGAAAAAGCCAAGATAGCCATCATCCAGTTCCAACTTAGCGCTCCCAAACCAGATGTAAGTTCGTCTTCGGTGCAAGTGTGAGCGTAGCTCAAGACCCTAGATGGACAACACTGTCGTCATCAATGATTACAGACAGATGGACAAGGTCATCAAGGAGGGTCGCCAGTACCTCCTAAACATATGCAAAAAGATAAAGAAGGCGAACTGCAACGTAGTTCTCATACAAAAATCCATCTTACGTGACGCAGTCGATGACACGTCGCTCAGCTTCCTCAAGCGTCTCAACATCATGGCCATCAAAGACGTGGAGAGGGATGAGATACAATTTCTGTCAAAGAGTCTCGGGTGCAAACCGATCGCCGATATCGAGGCCTTCACGGAGGACAAGCTGGGATGCGCTGACTTGGTCGAAGAAGCGTCTCATTCTGGTGTGAAAGTCGTGAAAATAACCGGAGTAAAAAACCCAGGACGGACCGTCAGCATCCTTGCAATGGGTGGCAACAACCTTGTTGTCGAGGAGTGCGAGCGAAGTCTGCACGATGCACTCTGTGTTGTTCGGTGCCTCGTGAAAAAGAGGTGATGCGGATTCGTGTTGTGACTTTTCGAGTGTGACTAACATTTTCACAGAGCACTCATCAGTGGTGGTGGCGCTCCGGAAATTCACCTATCCCGGATGCTTTCTCAGTATGCGCAATCACTAAAGGGAATGGAAGCTTATTGTTTTCAAGCGTACGCCGATGCGTTGGAAGTTATTCCGACAACACTGGCGGAAAATGCGGGCCTAAATCCCATCCTGATCCTGACGGAACTCCGCAATCGACACGCCCTCGGTGATCGAAATGCTGGCATCAACGTCCGCACCGTAAGCTTGTCTTTGTGCGAGGTACATGATAACTTGGCTAACGTATTCCGCAGGGCCTCATATCGAACATTTTGGAGGAGGATGTTGTCCAGCCGCTATTAGTATCGACAAGTGCCATGGAGCTAGCGACGGAGACGGTTTGCTTGCTGCTAAAGATCGATGACTATGTACAAGCACGATGAATATTATAGCGTAGAAATAAGCACTATATTCACATCCGCATCTGCTCAACGGATAGCGCATTTCTTCCGCTCCTTTCTCGGTTTGGAACATAAGGAAAAAATAACTAAAAATAAGTGCCAGGACCGTGGATTGAACACGGGACCTCCAGAACTTCAGTCTGTTGCTCTCCCAGCTGAGCTATCCCGGCCTGTTTCGTTCTTGTGAGTCTGCCCTTGAAACAGCCTTGAAGTTGACACTCGCAGCACATCTACCGAGTCTGTAGTTGCTTCCATTCGCCCAACATGTCGGGTACAGGTCCTCGCGAAAATGTCTTCGCAACACGGATGGCTCTCACGAACATGAAGCTCCGACTGAAGGGAGCAGAAACTGGACACTCCCTCCTTGCGAAGAAGCGCGATGCGCTTACGACGAGATTCCGGGCAATCTTGAGGAAAGTCGACGAAGTATGTTGGTGAAAGTATGGACGAGTCGGCAAGACAGCATACTCATCCCTCGATAGGCCAAACGAAAGATGGGGCGCGTCATGCAACTCGCATCCTTCTCCATGGCAGAGGTCACCTACACCACAGGGGATATCTCGTATCTAGTTCAAGAACAGGCAAAACTAGCCACATTCCGCGTGAAGGCGACGCAGGAGAATGTCTCTGGCGTCTTGCTTCCCGCGTTTGAAGTCGATCGTACTCCTGGTTCAGGTAGGTGTAAACCGTTGGTTTCTTTGTCCACATGTCGGTACATTTACCTGCCTGTCCCTACACAGACTTTAATCTCACGGGTCTGGGCCGCGGCGGACAACAAGTCCAGCGAGCCAAAGAAGTTTACGCAAAGGCTCTTGAGACGCTCGTCGAACTCGCATCCTTACAGACCGCCTTCACTATCCTCGATGAGGTCATCCGAGCTACGAATCGACGAGTGAATGCTATAGAACATGTAATCATTCCGCGATTGGACAACACGATCAAATACATCATAAGTGAACTGGACGAAATGGATCGTGAAGAATTCTTCAGGCAAGTTTATTTGCGTGACGGTTGCATGAACTTGTTGGCTTATTTGCGAACACCCTAGGCTGAAGAAAGTACAAGGCAAGAAAAAGAGGGACGCTGCCATCGCTGCCGAGAAGAAAGCTAAATTAGAGAAAGCTGCTAAAAGAGCAGCGGCCAAGGCAACTAAGAAAATACAGCCCGCACAAGGACTTCGGGACGACGCCAGGGAAACACTTGGAGACGCGAATGAACAGCAATCAAGTGAACCTCCTTCGGTAGCAGAGCAAACCGCTACCGAAGCCGATGCTAAGGCAGAATTAGGCACTGATACCGCTGCTGGGGCCGAGGAGACGACTATCGAAGGCGTGGCTGGCGAAGAGCGGAAGAGTGAAGACCAAGCAGAAACTGCAGATGAACGTGGCAGAGTACAAGTGGAAGAACAGGTGGAAGAACAATCCACAAATGAACATGTCGTTGAAGCACGGGTTACAGAAGAGCGTCCGGACGAGAGACCGGCGGATGAGGAGATTGTCGCAACTCCTGAGGCGCCTGAGACACGGGTTACAGAAGCAGACGAGGAAAATAAAGCGGAGGATGAACAGTTGATTGAGGGCGATGATGAAGATGAAGGTGAAAACGAGACAGAAGAAGCTAGTGGCGGTGTGAACGAAGATGAACCTGCAGCAGTTGAGGAACCTGCGATGGATCTTCTGAGCACCAGAGACGAAGATATTATTTTCTGATATTCACTCAGATACTAGATCGCCGCAATAGCTCTCACGTCCTTCACGAATTGTACATGTCTTTCTCACTCGTTTCTACACTTCTCTAATGTCAGCTTGGCAGGTCATGATGCATATCATGTGCAGAATGGCGCATAGATACATGGCGATTTTAAGCAATGCAACGCAACGGGAAAGGTATGTCATATTAGTTCACTAACTGGACGTGAGTCTGGTTCCAAGAACCCCCAGAAAAGGACGTACCTCTGCCATTTCCACATCACCGGCAGGTTTTACGTTCTTTGATCTGTCCTTCCGGTCCAAGATTGCTCGCCTGGAGACATAAGACTGTGAAGAAACGAGGACATCCGTATTTAACTCACCTGTCCTTGTCGAGCTTAATGGTAGTGATGACAACCTTGCTTGGGTGAACGCCAATGGGTACCGATGCACCATTTGATTTGTCGCGTTGCACGCGGTCGACGTGAATGACCCATTTCTTACGGTACACCTGTGTAACTTTGCCCTCACGGTCCTTGTACTTCCCCCGCACGATCCGAACTTCGTCATCCTTGCGAATAGGTAGCGACCGTACCTACGGTGGAACTTAGGTTGGAGAAGAGGTTGTACAATATCCGACGTACACTGTATTTGGTGCGAAGTTCCTTGGATAAGGGCGACGACATGATCTTGCGACGGACGGAAGAGGGAGCGGAGAAATGTGCCTTACGGGACTTGCGCCGTGAGGATGAAACGTCTGTTGGGCGGAATGACGCTTGTGAGTACTTCACTCTTGGGTAGGGAAAAATCCAAGCCGTAGCTGAGCCATCCACCAGATCCAGCCAAGAATGGGACGAATCGGTGTACGTGGACGATACATCCGGCTATTAGCATGCAACGGGACGAATACTGACCGGGATTGAACTTCATTTTGATCTTGAGGACGACGTTGACGATGGCAGTGGCCGTGGATGTTGGGTGTATGAGCGACTTGTTTGGTCCAAAGTTTGGAATTCGGAAGTTGCCGAACAGCGTGTTGTACAACTCATATTAATAGTCTCTTGCCCCGGTACGGTCTGGTCACCAGACTATCACCCAACCGCATCATGGATAAAGCACGCTCTACCAAACTCAAGTTCAAGGGAGACAAAACAAAGAAGAAGCGTAAAAGAGAGGACGAAGAAAGCGGCCCATCTAGGTCGAAGCATGTGGAGGACGAGGAGGAGCCGGAAACATGGGTAATGCCAGAAAGTGCGGCGGAGATTCGCGGCCCAACCTTCGTTATGCACCCCTCTGATCCCAGCCCCATCTCCGTCAACTTTGATGCCACGAGGAATCGGATAATTTTACATCCTCTCGATAAGGACTCACCGTCGTTGATTGAACGTGCCCCTACAGAGATATCCCAGGTCTGGGTCGTAACACGTGTTGCTGGCTCTCCCACAATCAACCTCCGAACGGGCACGGGGGAAGGCAAGTTTCTCTCATGTGATAAACACGGAATAGTTTCGGCAGACAGGGAAGCTCGCGGACCAGAGGAGGAGTGGACGCCCGTCCTCCTCCCCGACGGCATGGTCGCATTCCAAAATGTATACGAGAATTATCTTAGCGTCGATGAAGTCGCTGGCGGCACCCTACAGTTACGTGGTGACAGTGAAGAGGTCGGTTTCAGAGAACGGTTCTGGGTAAAAATTCAGAGTAAGTACAAGAAGGAAGCCCACGAAGAAAAGAAGAAGCGTGAAGCTGTCACCGAGGTGACAGTCATCGATGAGACTGGAACCAAGTGCGTTTGATCGCTGCACCGACCCTTTCCCACTGAACCCAACTTTCGTCTAGCCGCATATATCAGGCATGGGGTGCCGGTCGTTCGGTCGGTTTCCAAGGATGACAAGAAAGAGGTGAGCTCCGATTTCCTTTCTTTGTTGACAGGCAAGTCATGTGGTGATACAGCTGAAACGTGCACGCAAAGAAGGCCGGCTGGCTGAAGCGTTATTGGACCGCAGATCGAAATTGAAAAGGTGCGCTGCCAGCCCGGCAGTGGCAAATTAACTGACAACCATCTTAGTGATCGATTCTGCTGATTTTCCGATCTCGGTCACTCACTGTGTATTTTCTACCGTCCGTTCCTGTAAAGTATCCCTTCCGTGAAATCTTCTCGACCATCCCCCAGAATTTATAGTAAGTGGATATGAGAACAGACGACGGTCTTCTACGTTTGTCCCACTCGCGTTGCAAAGTAGTATCATGGGTGAAGGGTGCAGTTCGCCCATGCCTCTTTATCAGATCCGTACGGTGGGACTGTTACGCGCAGAGATGCACATGGCGCACTCACGATTCAGCGAATTTGTTGTGAGTAACCGACACCCACTTGTACATTCGCCTTGACATGGAGAACCATCAGTCCTTGGTCAGATCAGCAGCAAAGAGGTACCTTGATTGTACACTGAGACCAGAAGAGCAAGACCCAGGCGATCTTCAGCGATTGATGAGATTGGTGAGGCACCCACGAGCTCTACGCATCCCACTACTAACATACATCAGATTCACCAGCGCCAGCCAAGCATTGCAAAAAAATACGAAGACTCTTGGCCGGTAATGGCTTATCTGGAAATTTACATTCTATGCAGGATCCGGAGTGCAGCTTATTATAGGCGTCGTTTTGGATGCTACAAAGAGGGTTATATCAGGTGTCCAGATCCCATTTGGCTCCGGTACGCTGAGGTATATTAAACATGTCTTTGATTGTGACCGCTTTGTTCTGAATTTTCTGCTGCAGGCGAAAAAATCTGGTGCTCCATTCAGACGGAACTGCCAGGTCACGGAGAGGGTTTACTGTGTGGTAGGTCTACCTCATGGTGCTAGTGACGATCTGGGAGTGAACATCGACCAGCCAAAGAAGCTGAAGAAGCCGTCATGGTACTGCGAACGCACGGCTCGCAATAGGGGAAATGGGACCGTAAAGAAGAACTACCCGCCAGAAAATCGTGTTTCGGTAGTTGTCAAGCAGCTCCCAAAGAGGAAAAGCGAGCCGGTCGCGGTCTCGGACTGTACAAGTGACGCAACTACCGAAGATGACCTTGACATCCCTCCTCCCCCTCCTCCCTCTCCTCCCCCCTCCCTTCTTCGCGTGACCGTTCCATCGCGCACATCGTGCATTGACCCCGTTCTCCACTTCTTGTCCTCAGCGAAGCCCAATCTCGCGGATTTTCATTCCCACTTCGTTGACATGGGATTCACTGACGAAACGGCATTGAACGCTTTCTTCTCCTGGCCAGTCGATGTGCAGGAAAGTATGATGAAAACCCAGTTGGGAGGGTCCATGAATGCCCTCCAGCTACATGGTCTGTTCGTTGCAATACGTGCACATCGAGAGTCAAACTAAAGGATATGTACTTGGCCGGTTTAGCTGTAGGCTACATACATAGGAGTTGTTGGTGTATATAACATACAAGAATGTCGGACGTTCTGCCAGTCTAGTTAGGTGCCTGCCCGCCGGTCGTGATTGTGCGGCCCGTGGGGGCTCGGACGAGGTTTGCGCGAGCGGGCTTGTGTGTCGCGTTCTGGTTACCGATGGCACTGCGGAGGGCTTCCGTGTCCTTTCCTGAGATCGTCACCTCAACTCGCTGAAGTCGGTCTCTGGGAGAAGTGTCTTGACATTGCCATTCTCGACAATATGTTTGGCGCCAGGATATAGGCAGAAAATTGCTTCGATGATAGCCTGTAGACTGTGTTATAAGAGCGCTTAATATTCATCGAGCCTGCTACTCACCTGCATCTAAGCATCTAAGGACAGATCATAGGTGCACAGTACGTTGGTTGCCGAGCTTCATGTAGATGCACTAGGTATCACGTGCGGTACAGGTCACGTGGGCAGCGGTGGCGCAGCTTATAATAGTGTCTGACGCAAAACACGACTGCAGTGCGCACCGCCTTGCTTTGGTACGCCTGCCGCCATGGATAACAACACTTCCGTGGTTTCTGCTACACCCGAAATTATCCCATTCATTGGGAACCTCTCGACCAGAAATCTTACCCTCCTTTCGATCGCTGCGGCTGTGGTCTTTTCTCTCGGTGCGATCTAACCAAGCGGTACTAGTTCCTCGCTAAGTTCATGCAGCGTTAACGTTGACGAAGGCAAAATCCAATTCAAGGGGAAATTCAGTATTGTTCGTTGGACCTCCTGATGCAGGCAAAACAGCCATACTTTCCTCTGTCAGTTCTATTCTGCCCTTCTGGCCGGCCCACCGCTGATGGTGTAGAAGATTAGCTTGCGTACAATGAGGCGTTGCCTTCACACACGTCTTTACAGACAAATTCTGCTCACGTAGTCTTGTCGCCGTCGAAGACCCTGCGTGTCGTGGACGTACCTGGGCATCCCCGAATTAGGGACCAGTTCCGACAACACCTCAGAGGTGCGAAAGCCATCGTTTTTGTTGTCGACGCGAGCACGGTTTCGCGCAATGCTCCAGATGTGGCTGAGTACGCGCTTTTTTTTCGTCCGGCTTGGTTTTGTCACTAATATGTTTCAAAGGCATTTGCATCATGTTTTGCACGCCATGACATCACTACCACCATCCCAACCTACGCCACAGATTCTCATTCTTGCGCACAAGACAGATCTTGTGAAATCTGGTGCTTCGTCGAGCCCAGTCACTGAAGTCGCTATTACACGAGTGCGAACTATTCTGGAACGTGAATTGGAAAAGAGAAGGTCTTCGCAGACGGGGGGTATTGGAGTTGAGAGCATGGGTGCGGAGAGTGAGGCTGAGCTTGGCGGACTGGAGTGCAGTGGAACTGCTGGGGATTCATTCAAATTTTCTGATTGGGAAGGTGGTGATGTTGACTTCGTCGGGGCATGGATTAAGGTTGGAGAAACGAAAGACGGGGAAAAAGACGGAGGTGAAGATGGGCTTCGTGGATTGAAAGATTGGTTGGAGCAGCTTCCACATTAACATGAGCACCTTAGGAGTCGACTCTCTTTTGGCTATGGCAGTGGTAAATAAACACGACCAAACACGGAAGTACTTTAAAGAGCCGGGAGTCACTTGAACCTTCTGCAACGCAGCCTTTAGACAGTGCCCGTTCGACCCTTTTGACATCCAGGTGGGACGATGGCGATGCTGGTATGCGAAGAGGAACGCTGGTTTGGAAATAGAGCACACGCACCCCTTCTCCCTTGGTGTAGTGAGTGTCAGACCTTTCCTACTATACATTACCTTTGTCTTCGTACACGATAAATTTTATTTGACTACAAGAGAAAAAAGGAGAAAATGATTGTTGATGCTTTGTGACACCCTGTCACGTCACACCACTGAACTGCGCCGCCGTTTGGGTCTGACGTGCACACTTGCGCTTGTCTCCATTCGACGACGACGAACGACGACGAGGAGTCATGTTCATCTTCAACTGGTTGTGGGACATTCCTCGCCCAGCTAGGTATAATCAGTGCCAGCTCATTTGCTTAACTTGAAAGCTCATCTTTTCCGTACCCAGGCTTAATGCACAAGAATGCCAAAATCCTCTTCCTCGGTTTGGACAACGCCGGGAAGACAGTGAGTTCCCCCGGTTTTTCGCTCAGCCTCCACTTGCTTAGGTCTTGTCTGTAAAGACTCTCTTGCACATGCTGAAGAATGACAGGTTGGCTACACTTCAGCCTACCCTCCATCCCAGTACTGCTTTCCACTGCCTCTTTCACCGTCGGACTAGACTCAATTTTTCTTGACTAGCCTCCGAAGAATTGGCTATTGGTAACGTCAAATTCACTACTTACGACCTCGGAGGACACCAGCAGGGTACGTGGCGCTACTCACTACACTTCGCTGGGAGCGGTTATTCAAGTTCCTTCCAATTCACGCAATAGCCCGTCGTCTCTGGCGAGACTACTTCCCCGAAGTCGACGGCATTGTCTTCTTGGTCGACTCTGCCGACCACGAACGCTTCGCCGAATCCAGAGCCGAGTTGGACGCCCTCCTCTCCATAGAGGAGCTTTCCAAGGTGCCCTTCCTTGTCCTCGGCAACAAGATAGATGCGATCGGTGCCGTGAGTGAGGAAGAGCTCAGGCATCACCTCGGACTTTACCAGACAACCGGCAAGGTCAGGCTCCTATCTATTGTCACTTTGACTGCCTTGTTTCTGATATACTGCCTTAGGGTAAAGTGCTGTTGAATGATATCCGGCCTATAGAGATTTTCATGTGTTCCGTCGTCCAGAGGCAAGGTTACGGTGAAGGTGAGCTGTTTTAGACCATTATTCGCACATCCTTAATCCTATTTTTTCTGCAGGCTTCCGGTGGTTCTCGCAATACGTGCGTCTGTCTCAACTTCTTGTTGTTCCACACCCAACACGTTTGTTTTACAGATATAATTCGTCGCTGTTGAGTAAAGGAATGAGTGTGGAGGGATGTTTTCACCCTATAGTACTTTTTCTTTCTTGTAGCGGGTATTCTATGTTTTCGCCTTTTCCCTCGCACTGAAATGCAACTTCACCAAGGCTATCTTGCGGACTGATTGCTGTAGTATACCCCAGGTAGCAGCTACGTACCAGTATACGAAGCACCCACGGCGTAGTCGTCGATGACCTTCGCCAACACCCATGTATGACCGGCCAGGTAAACTAAACCCCTCAGCCAAAGACTAAAGTATGCGTTCTCCCCTAGAAACTCGAGTCTGTATGCTCCTGCAAGCCACAAGGCCTGTGTTCCAGCCCAAACGACTCCACAAAGCCACGGTGACCGAATGCGTAGAGCAATCAACGGGAGAAGCAGGGTGTACCATAAGAAATACTGAGAAGTGCAGACACGGTTAAACAGCGCGAAAGCATAAGTCTGCGCGAACCACGCGAATGGAAGATCTACTGGTTGCCGGCCGAAGAGGATACCGAGACCCAAGGAGAGAGTGAGCTGTGGGATAAGACTTATGAGTGGGGAGCGAAGGAATCGACGCCATAGCGGAATCTCCAACAAGTCTCCACCGCCTTGCCCTGGATAAGTCAGATACGTGAGATAAAAATACGGCGAAAAGTTGTGCCGGTGGTCCAGTCGGTGCATATGATAGAGGAATGCTTCATGTAGAAACGGGTACCCCCATCTGTCCCGCAGTCAATCTAGGTCTAGCCCGACGTTCTAACCATAGACAACTTACAATGCATAGCAAATGGCGCCTAAAGCAAAGAACGTAGACGCGCTGATAATCGCAAAGCGCATGCTTTCTTTGCCAAAAAGTCCCCGTAAGAGTCGGTGGCCCTGGTCTGCCCTCCGCGTCTGCGATGCGATAGTGGCGATACAACTAACACCATAAATGACGGGGTATATTTTCCAATGGGTGCTTACACCTAGTAAAATGGCAGCAGTGTCCCACCAACGCTTCAGCGCAAAATAAAGTGTGAGGAGGATGAATGTGCATAGAATGGACTCGGAGGAACCGCGCGTTGATATACTGAAAACCAAAGGATTTAGGAGGTGGGTCCCAGCGAGGAAGCTTGCCATAGCACTGCGTTCCTCGATATTCTGAGATGCTTCCTGTGGTTTAACAGTCGTCCGCGACTTATTTCCTAGCAGTGAGGCTGGTGATTTGGTGCCCTGCAGAGGGAGGAGCGACGTGACGAGGATTCCGGTATATGAGAACCCCATTTACAAGGTCGCATGCAGCAAACAGGTACTTTCCGAACGATGGGTGCAACAGCTCGTTGGGTAGCAGCAATAGTGCTAACAACGGCGTGTACCGGTACGTTTCACGAGTGTAAGGACTGGCTGAAAATTGGATCAATGCCAACCCAACCGATTCAGAGTGACTTGCCTTCCAATACACAAGCCTAATCGCCTCGCTATCGGGCCTCTGGCTATATTGTCCAGCTGGGTCCCGTTTGGTTGAAGCAAAAATCGCGCAGCGTCGCTGAAGACGCGGTAGTCGACGTCCGTGTATTTCACGGTGGAGTGGGCATCATGCCATTCGCTGTAGGAAATCAGTCCCACTCTCAAAATCGCGGACGCGACGAGAGTAGACCAAAAGGGTGGAGTGTACTTCTGCCAGCTGGCGTTGACCATCCTGGACCTCGTGGTAACACATAAACAGAAGCACAGGCTTGTCCACTTCCCTTCGACGATATACTCACCTTTTGACTTGCAGGAAATGACAGAAGGCGAGGAAAGACTGCTGGTTCAGATTGGAACTTACAACACCAACCTTCAAGGTGGTGCTGGCCTTCCTCAAGATCTTGTGGACTGGCTGTCACCAACTCTCCACGTATCTTCTTTTCTTTCAAAGAATCTTCAAGCCCCAGACATCGTTGCCATTGGATTTCAAGAACTATTGCCACTTCATCTTGGACGTGCGCGTACTCTACCCTTAGTTATCTGCGTACAAACTGAGTCCTCTCGACAGTCGCTGGACTTTCAAGCGCTGTAATCGACGAGAGGGACGTGCACATACGAACACAGATAGAAGTCCATGCTCCGAACTACGAGTCATACTCTTTGGTTGCCAAGGTTGTCAACGTCGGCGTAGCGTTATTGGTTTACGCCAGGGATGACACGGTCGCGCGCTGTGTACACGACGTTCAAACACAATGGACTGGTTGTGGACCCGCGTATATGGGCAACAAGGGTGCGGTAGGCGTTCGATTTCGTGTTTCCGACCGCGGTTCCAAAGCTGGCGAAGTCTTCACGTAGGTAATCGTTGTATGTATTCCCCCTCAAGCCTTACAATAACACTTGACAGGTTTGTGTGCGCACACCTGACAGCCCATGAACCCAACCTTGCGTACCGCATAGCTAACTATGATCATATCGTCCGCACACTGCTGTTTGCTCCCATGTCATCGAGTGCCAACCAGCGAGCCACGACAATATATTCAACCTCACACCTTTTCTTCTTTGGTGATCTCAACTTCCGGGTGACAATGCCTCCTCGATCTCTGGGTAATGAAGGCTCACTTCATGGGGAAGCATTGTCCATGTTGACAGATGAGAAATCACGGGAGGCTTTGAAGGAATTCGACCAGCTGCGAAGTGCGTGGCGAGGCGGCCGGGTGTTCGTGGGGTTGAGGGAGGGACCGTTCTGGACATTCAAGTGCACGTACAAATACGAGCTGGGTGAGATTGATAAGTACAAGTAAGCTCCCTCCCCCCCCCCTTGCATTTTTCTCGCTTGCCTTTGCTGACCCTTTTTTTTTGCCAAGTACGAAACGCTCGCCGTCCTGGACAGACAGAATCTTGTATGCCACCTATACAGACAGCCCCGCTTCTCCCGAACATTCTAATATCAACAACATTTCGTACACCTCCGTCCCTTCGTACACCACCTCAGACCATGTAAGTTATTTTTGCGGTACATCGGCAAGCTTTGCATGTCCATGCCTTTTCAGAAACCCGTTGTGTCCATGTTACTGCTTCCACCTCCGGTGCCAGCGACGTCGGACGACTCTGAGTCTTCGGAGACAGAAGGGAAAATCCCCGTATTGCAACTACCGTCTACGTACATCCCAACTCCCGACCCACTTGCCACACTCAAACGCTACATCGGCCGTATACTGGACCGCATCATTGGTTATATATGGGCCTTCTTTACCATTATCGGTGCAGGATCAGCTGTCGTTGGAATATTTAACTTATTCTGCGGTTACGTCGCTTGGATGTGGTGGTGGAAGACACCAGCCGCCATGACACCTGTTGAGGTTGATTGAATAACTGTACATCTTATGTACCTGTGCATGTGAATGCATAGCGCTGCTGTACACAGTATTACCGTGACTTGAACGCCAGATTTGTATTTCTGAGCTTTGCTTTTGCACTGGTTTCTTATCAACATACCTCTGCCGTTCACAATGGTAAGCTCGATACCAGTAGTGTTCCTCGAATGGCTCTTTGACATCGAATGATAGTCCCACACCGTCGATATTCCACCAGAGCTGAAGAGTTCCCTTCGCAAGTTTCGCTTCGCGAGGCGCAGCCAGGGGCACGCTGCGCTCGTCGTCAAGATCGACAGGAACGAGCTCATCATGAAAGAGGAAGAACAATACGATAACATCTCCATCGAAGAGCTTTCTGAGGGTATTTCCTTTCACGCGTGTCTCCAGGGAGATCGGCGGGACTGACCGTCGGATGGCCAGAACTGCCTGAGAACTCTCCACGATATGTTGTACTGTCATACGAGCTCAAACACAGCGATGGAAGGACTTCCTTTCCACTAGTCCTTGTAAACTGGGCGCCAACAACCTGCGAGATCAAGATGATGACTCTGCACGCCAACGCACTAATCGAGTTCCAAAATACGGTACGCGTCCAACTGAACTGATTGTGCAGTCTATGACTCCATACTCTAACAGGCGGACGTAAGCAAAGTGATAGAGGTTCGCGACGGGCCGGACGGCTTGACCAAGGAAACCATAGACGCAAAGCTTCTATCCTAGGCCCGATAATCCGGCATGATATGATAGCAAAACTCGCGATACCCTTCACTCACAGACAACTAGAGCTAGTGATGTCGGAGAAATGCAGGCTGCATCATTACGGCAAATGTATGAATAACATGGATTACTCCTGGGGGACGAATGGACTGGTGACCCGCTTGGAGCGAGCCTCGATGACAGTAGGCAGATTCCGTGCCATTTCCCTCGTACCGGCCGGGAATGGAAGATCGTCTACGCCCTTGGGCAGCACTTTCTCGTACGCGCCGACAGCTTGATGTGCCTTCGCCAGTGTGACGAGCTTCTTTTTGGCATCACGGACTAATACGTGGGCATCGTCTGCGCCTGGAACAGCACCCTTGACGAATACCAGATCCAGGTCGGTGTCGACGCGCATGACTGTGAGATTTTGCGCAGTTATGCGCTTTCCGCCGAGTCGACCCGCCATTTTCCTTCCGGGCCACAGTCTTCCAGGGTCCTGTTATGGGGAAGGGATTGTATTACGGGCCAGAAAAGCAGTCACAAGTGAGGCTTGACCGACCTGGTGTGCACCAGTGGCACCGGCAGAACGGTGAGATACGGATACACCGTGGCTGGCTCGCAAACCTCTAAAATTCCAACGCTTCATGACGCCTTGGAATCCTTTCCCGATACTGTTAGGGGAACGACCTTCTGACTACGAGGCAACGAGGATAAAATAGGTGTACGCACGACTTGGCGGTTACATCGACGTACTGACCAGGAACAAAGTGCATGGCAGATAGAGTAGTGCCTACGAAAACTTCCTGTCGGTCTTAGCCAGACACCTGTCCCAGTAGGACTCACCAACGGGGACGTGCGCATCGGGAGTGACGGGGAATTCCCTGACGATGTATTTAGGAGGAACGCTGGCTTTCCGGAAGTGGCCTTTCATTTGAGCTGTCGTTGTCCGGCTTGGACGGTCGGAAGCGCCAATTTGAACGGCGTGATACTCGGAACGGTCAGATCGTAAGGTTACAATATTCGAGGTTACTTGGCAATTTTCGAGCTGTACCAACGCAACACGTCAATAGGCAGCCACGAGAAGTTGCACGGCAACTTACTTGAAGAACCGTGACTGGAACCCGAGCACCGTTGTCATCCCACATAGCGGTCATCCCGCGCTTGCGAGCGATGAGGCCGGTTCGTAGCGAGTTGGCCGTCCACTTAGGTTGCGGCACTGTGTTTGCAAGGTTCGCTGCGGTGGTCCGCATCAGCCTACATTGTTGCATTAGCAAGTGTGGGGTCTGTGCGAGTGACCAAAGTCCGGGCATCGTCCTCGGTGGTGAAAAAGAAAGTGGCAGCCTTTCCTAAACGGGTGTGCTACTCTAATTAATATTTATGATTACATTCCCCTACACACAGGCTCTTTGCATCATGGCGGGTGTATTATCCCACTTGCGTAGGATACATGCAGCTGGTACATTGTACATCATTCACGTCTGCTACAGGTGAAGCGGCACAGGCGGGTAGGAGGTCACCGAGCGTCTTGTGCTCTCTGGCGCGTTCATCGATACAACACGGAAGGTCGTCAGCGTGCCCGACTGTGACGAGCACAAACATGTCTTGGGAATAGGTGATTATTTTGCAGAGCATAGGAGACACGATGTTGCTCCCCTTTAGCTCCTTTGCCGAGTGCTGTCATTCTGGTACAAAGATGCAGTGCGGTTCAAAAGCAGGCAGGAACACACAGAGACAGTAGAGCCAAATGCAGCGGTGGGGGGTGGGCTTCTATGATGATTCAACGGAGCTGGATGAGTCGCTGGCTGGTAGAGCGGATGAAGGTTGACGTTGAGGACGACGGAAGTTGCCCAGTACTTTAGGTTATCTAATCCATGGTGTTACCTGTTAGTTTGATACATCACTTATTGAGCTGATGGACTCGCAACACTGGCCCACGGACGAAAGACAGCGCACGACACAACGAAAGGGCGGGCCTGATTTGCAGGATTCCGATTTCTGGAGCTGGCCGCACCTTGACCACGGTTCACTTGGTCGGGCCACCTTGACGTCAAAGGCGGATGGTCGACTGCAATGGTCCATCGTCGCAGATACAACCCACAGTACGTCGACCGGTGTTACCTGATTCGTTTCCAATCCAGACGAACGGAAGTTCAGGACGTACAATCGCGCCTATCGGCCCGTCCACGAGAACATTCCCTGAAACGCGTCCACCTGAAATTAACGTGTGCGAGCATTCCGTACGCAAACGCTCAGAAGGGGGGGTAAGTTTCCCTTACATTCACGCTGATCGTTTGTATGATGTGATTGGAAACCAGCTGCAATATCTGCGTACATACTTTCCAGATACCGACTTCCCCGGAGACCTCGTGCAAGATGAGCTTACTGCGGCACCTGCAGGAGTGGACCCATCCGATCCTCTGATGGGGAATTTGCTCGAGTTACTGCCGTTCCGTCACTCGAACGATGGATATGACGTGCTCTTTCCGATGGGGTCTCTGGGCAGAGAACTGAGTTAGACTGCACGCATCTTCCGTTGTATCGCCAAATTGTGCTCACAGTTATCTGTAGACGTGTCGTCGCTGTCGCCGAGTCCTTCGGGCGGCTTCATCTTCAGGGCTTCCGGTATTCCCTCTTTCATATTCGAGACTCCAATCCTGCACCTCTCTGGTTCAACTTCATCGTCAAAAAGTGTCCCGTTGCCATATACCATCGCTCTCGCCCGTACTTACACCTCAATTTCACTGATTAAGCTCTCCTCTTCTGAAGATACCTCGTTGCAGGTCACAAGGGATATTGAACTTACTCGTTCCGACACCGGGGATATCCCAATAGTAGATTCTCGTATTCTAGGGGCAGGACCGGATATAATATCAGTCAACCGCCTTGGACACGTTTACAAGTCTAATGTATACACAGCAGGCAAGGCCACGTGCGTCACGCCCCCATCTGGAAGCATCGTCGTCTCATTTCTTTCACAGACAAGCAATCGAGGGTAGCAGAACTGCAACCGAAGACAGTCAAGTTAACCCCGCAGACAATTTCTGGCAACTGGGTGCAACGAGCAACAGGGACGGGTGCTTTCTTACTTCCAGTACCTGCGTAAAGTATCTGGATTTTAGAGTATGTTCGTACGGTCGAAGGATGGACTGGTGACTTACGTACGCTTCACAGACGAGCTGCACAGCCCAAGTCGTTCACTTTCTCGACAAACCTGGAGCTGTAGTAACCTGCTACGAGCCCCCAGGACAGGATAACCTCAGTCGTGTCACAACCTCATCTGACATTATTTGGCTTGATGATCGTTTTCCTAAAAAGCCGGTTTTAAGCTTTAAACACCACAGGAGTTATGATAGGACACTTAAAACGCTCACCGTTCAACTCGGCTTTGGTCAGTCTCTTACTGTTACAACAAGATTTCATAGTTGACGCCAACACTTGCAGGTCCCCTGGTCTTGTTAACCTCTCGGAAAAATGGCCTAGTCACTGTCTATGACGTCAGCAGAGGCACGGATAACCTGGTACACTGCAACTCTCCACCTACTTGTCTGTCCTGGGACAGACCACTGTATACGGCACATACCGGGCATACAGCCGTCGCGACACCTTGCATGTCTAAGATGTCGTTCCTCCGGTTGACTCACCAAGGTAGCATTTATCAGCAAGACATCCATATCACCACTGGCAACCAAACGCAAGCCTTCAAGGAAGGGAATCGTGTTGTTCGAGAATGGGATGCAGACGTCGAGAAGTTGGATCGGCAATCAAGAGACTTGCGCCCTGACCCAGGTCCCGTTGGGGGGAGGCACTTTACAGAGGTTAACTTCCGTGGCGTTTACGAAAGTTGGTGCCTTCCTCTGAAAGTGACAACTAAGATTGATTCGATAATTTGTAGGGATATTCTCGCTGAGAGACGATGGCTCAGGTGAAGCCTTCCGTGACACGCTCGCACAACTCCCCGGTTTCTGGCAGCAGATGGAAGAGCCTCTGGAAATCATGCTAACAACGTGGATTGTTTCCCCGTTCGCCGATTGATTCACTGATTGTGATACTTCCAGGTTCGACCTAATAGCTTACGAGAAGTCAAAGGTTCCGGCAAACTTCTTCACAGGCTGCACTGCGAATGGCAACTCAGCCTTCCAAGCAGTTGCAAGAGGCGATATACCCATCAAGGAACTAGCCAGTCTTGCCCCTTGGAGCTACAACATTCTCGAAACAATGCACCGCTTACCCTATGATATCTCCGAGGACTGGTCAACATTCAGAGAGCACCTGAAAAAGTTGCAGCTGGAATCGGATAGAGAGGGCGCAGGAAATTCTCTACGGCTACAAACTGAAGCACAGGAGCAGCTCGTCGTCGATTTAGCGTTATCGTGTGACGTATTTTCACCTCGTCCTATTACCAAGCCCCATCCCACAGAAATTGGATTTGGAACAATTTCCGAAGAAAACAGACGCACTGGAGTCACGGACGAGCCTCCCGACGTCGAATTCAGTTTTTTTCATCCTATTCGCAAGATTGGTGCCAACCATTACGTCGCTGCAGAGAAGACCAGCCCGGCGCTCACTGAAGACGACACCAAGGTCTCTTGTCCAATGGGAGTGCGGCTTTTACTGGCTGAGTGGGAGGTAGGATCCGACGTCAAGAACTATACATACCGCGACCCGTATACTGCCACAGAAGTCGACCATGCTTCCGGTCCTAGGCGAAAACAGGCATTACGCACTTCCCCCGCCTACACAAAGCATGGTGGTACCGTCGCAGCATCCGCCAACTGTTGTGGCCACCGGAACACGACCACAATGGGAAGTAACTGGCACGCAGGTTGCCCATGCTGCAAAGCAGAGCTACTCTCAAGAGACAACCTCTTACCCTAAGCTTGATACTTTTTCGCAGGACCCCATTCAGACTAGTACACAAGTTCTCTCAGGGCCGTACGGCGGGCGGTTAATGGTAGGGAAGAGACCCACCAAGAAGCGAATTGGGGGGTTTTAATCTTGCCGCAGCTACATATCTACGACGTTGCCACAAAGTGTGTTGTACTTACATGTCGGGTACTGGATTGTTATTACACCGGACTGTCGTCTGTCGGTCTCTGAATTAGGCACCCTAGTCGATTTCAAGACTTACGGTAGCATCCCTGTGCCTCCTCAGCTCTTCTTCCTGGTTCCTGTCAAAGTCACAAAACCCGCGCCTGCATCATCGTCCGGCAAGTTCTCATCGACGACGAGTATCGCACGAAACCGGGATTTGTGGCTGGTCCAGTGAAGAAGGCTCTATGGACGGTGTTAGGTACGGCGAAATGACGTTCACTTTTCATAGGTACCCCTTGGCGCTCAAACAACCAGTAGTACGCCCCAAAATCCTTGGTTCGACAATGCTGCCTTTAACGATACTTTGCGACGTATGGTGTAAAAGATTTTTCAAACTGTAACGAACTTCTGAGGGCCTAGCACACAGGAAATAAGTCCGTAGTATGTGCGCTCTCAGCAAGCTACATATCTTCAGTTCGCAGGGTACCCGGTAAGACGCCCATTTGTTACTCTAGTCTGTTCTTAACGATGCGATGACATCTGCACAGCTTGACTCCTTGAAGTCGCGATTGCAGACCACCAAGACACGGATATCCCTGTTAAAATTAGCGGGGCTTGTATATCGCGAGGAGGGCTTGATTGGTTTTTATCGGGGACTCTGGATCCCTCTGGTGACGATATCCTTCGTCCGTGAGTTGTTCGTTTCGGTCACATCCATTCTTCCGCTAACGATTTTTAGGTACCTGCCTCCTTCACGATTTACAGTGATACAAAGGAGTATTGCCGCAGGAAGAACTATTTTTCTGGTGACAGCATGTACGATGCTGCCTTCGCCGGGGGTATAAGCGGTGCCCTATCGGGCTCGTTGATCTCGTTCGGGAGCGCACGTGAGTTCAGACCTTCTCCCATTTCATTCGTGGACATTTACCTTTCATGGTCTGCAGCGTTTGAACTCGTGAAGGTAAGGTTTCCAGCACGTGCTAGTTCGCAGACCTTGTCCAATTGGTTTGCAAAAGGTCCGCCGGCAATTGGAATACAGCATCGCCGCAACAAAGGGTATCCAGTTAATCAAACCGCCAAATACCATCGAAGCAGTCCGTGATATCGTCAGGATGCATGGCGTGTCCGGTCTTTACCTCGGTTTCCGGTTGCACTTTCGTGGGTTCTGGTCTCCGCTTTCTACCCAGCCGCTTACCTGTTCACTTAGTACGGGACACATCCGGAACTGCTTTATATTTCTTCGAGTATGACGCTATGAGGCACTTACTGGGTCGGGAGCGTTCTGGAGAGCAGGGTCCAACACCTCAATGGCTACCAATACCTAATTCTCTAATTCCCTTCGTCTGCGGTTCATTCGCTGGTGTCACGTCTTGGGCCTTAATCTATCCACTTGACGTGTGAGTCTGTGTTGAGCTCCTGAGACATCCACCATCCGTTGACCAGCTTACCTGCAGCGTAAAGACGAAAGTCCAGCAACGTGCGTTGGCCAATACTCCTCCAAGAGGAGTATGGGAAACTTTCCATCGCCTCGTTCGAGGTATGACAAGATCTATGTCTGGTTCCCTGTTTTTGAGCTCTCCTGCGCAGGCCCGGATCCTAAAGATCCAAAGCCAGTGCTTGCTGGCATAGCACGGATTTACCGTGGTCTTGGTGTTAGCGCAGTGCGAAGTATTACCACACACGGACTTCTGTGGACGTTCTTCGACTTCACATCACAATACATCGATGGTTTATCTTGACCCCCGTCGCGATACCACACTATCTTCCCCAAGGTAGATCTCGAACGCCATCGGTGTTCAAGGAGCTCATATGCGAATCTTCTGGTTTTTAAAAAGCTTTCGGGCCACTCCACAGCTCGGAATGAGCCTTATGGAGCTTAAATGTGATCTTCTGGGACCAGCACCACCACGCATTGATTAATTTTATTACAGCAATCAACTCACGCACGAAAATCACCTCCAGGCTTCCTTGTCCCCATCACAGTACAATACAGGCAAAGACATACCGTATGTATATGTAACGAATATCTGCCATCCACGCCACACCTTGACCACAACCCACGTGTGGTCCCCCCAGGAAGAACCAAAGGAAAGCGCCACGGTACCACTTGAGATGGTGGACCTGGCGCTCTTCTGCCTCGCTTTCTGAGGCGTAGGCGGGCAATACTTTGTATGAACTAAGGTAATGTCAGCGGCTGAAATTCGAATTTCGGAGGGGGATCAGAAGGAAATTTCTCGATGTACAGTGACTTGCCCGTCGAGAATCAACCACACAGGCGTGCAGAGCAGGGTTCAAAAGGCGACAGATGCAGTTCATTAGGCCGAGGAACCCACTCGTGCATTTTCAACTGAGCCGATCATATACATTTATACATCTTCAACTTGAGTCTAGGGTGAGACACAGCTGTAAGTTCCAAAGAACATGACAAATTGGTTGGGAAATGCTACAGAATTGCATCGTGTAAAAGCTCTGAAGATCCTCATGGCATCATCCCAGGTGTTGATGTTAGTCATTGGTCAGTGGGCAAATTGAAACAAATGGGGTTGATCTCACTCTGTTCTTGGTCTCTTGCTGCTAATCAGCATGAAACCTAAAGTCATGGCATGCATATCAGGGTGCAAGTCAAACCGATGTTCATATTGGCCGTGATTCATGTGTTCGACACTGCCGGGATAGCTCAGCTGGGAGAGCAACAGACTGAAGTTGCGATTGGCATTCTGGAGGTCCCGTGTTCAATCCACGGTCCTGGCACTTTCCTTTCCTCTCTTTTTAACACCGTATTTGGTTCCTCCTACGACATGCATGTACATAGAACAGTCAATGGATAGTGTACTTCCCGTAGTCCTTCTTCGGATCGTAAATCTGCCCAATAAAACAATGAGAAGTGGCAAAATTCATGGACGAATCTCATCTTACCTCCCATCGCGATGCCGGGAAAATATGTTTGTTTCTTTGGTACCAGCCTCTCTCAACAACTTTCCCCGCATGCGACTCGTCCTTCTCCTTCGTCGCATCAGAAAGTAACCGGACATCGTCATGGACGTCGAAATTGAATAGAGGTCCTGATTTGCCCCGAGCTTTATTGACGATGAAGTCATAAAACGTATTGTGCTGCACAAGCAATGAGAGCATTCTCCAAAACGCAATTTTTGACACGTACGTGGGGTATTATGAGGTCTTCCTTAAGTTACCAAAGGAGTATGAGCGATACCACATATATAAGAAAGACCAGAACTTACCTTGACATACATCAGGTTGTCAACACTGACGCCCCTCAGCTCCGGAAACTGCTGGCGACACTTCTCCAAGAAATTGGCGATCGTGTCGCCTTTCTTGCACTAGAATGTAATTCATCAAGGTAAGCAGATGGGAACAGCGGGGATATATGCGTACCACCACGGATTTCCTGTGCCCACTTCCATCCCAGTATGAGTACGTGATCTCTATGTCCTCCATTTTAAGCTCCTCTTGCTTTTGCAGCCATTCCTGCCGTAGTCGCTCCCTTTCCTTCCTTTCAGCTTCTTCTCGCTCACGGTCAGGGAGAAAGGACGTGTCCACGTCTGGATTCTTGCGAAACTTGGTACGTTTGGGAGCAGACTCGCCGTTCTCCGTGTCGGGCGTCTGGCTGGAGGAAGTCTCACCATCGCCTTCATCGTCGTCAATAGCGAACGACAGTGTCGACTTGGTCTTTTTACGTTTCTTCACTTTCTTTGTCTCTTCTCTAAACGAATACTCCACGAACCATCAGTTATCTTTCCTACCGAGTCAAATTGCGACTTACTTGAGCTCATTTGTACGCGCCGCCTCGCGTGCCTTCGCTTCTTCGATTTCCTTCCTCCTTTGTTGAAAAACCTCCAAGTGTACGAGGCCGACGGTGCTATTCTTAAGGGTATCCTCCATCGAATCATTCTGGCCCACGAACTTGTTTGCTGAGGGACGAGACTTTTCCGTTTCGTTGATGAGTTTCTGCTTCTGTCGTTCGTACTCTTCGCGGTTCTGCATGCGTTGCTTGACGAACGCATCCTCGCGACGACCCTCGCCTCTGTCGGTAGACATGTAGTAGTACTAGTGTCGTGGTTGTGGTGAAAAATGTAGTTGCCTTTAGTGGAATCTCTCCTTCTTTACATCGACCAACATGGTCCACGTCCTGGGCGTCGCCCTACCTGACATGCAATTGGCAAGGGTACGTGTAGATACGAAGACAAGGCATTACCAGACTGACAGCGTCTTAGCTTGCCTTGACCAACTTCTATGGCATCGGGCATAAAACAGCACAGCGTCTCTGCGCTCGACTGCAAATACATGACCGTAGCAAAATCCGAGACTTAACTGCCCAGCAAATAACTGAACTTGCCTCCTTCCTTGCCTCTCCGTCTACTGCACCCCCACTCCGCCGCATGCCTCTCGCCAGCCCGACGTTCCAACCACCACCTGCCTCAACACCAATAGAAGCGCTTCGGAAGCGTGTCACCGAACTCTCCAAACCCACCGGTGCCGAACCTCTCAGAAACTTGAAGATAGAGGCTGAGGGAAGAAGGGTTGTCAGGGAGAACATCGCACACCAGAGGATGATCGGGAGCTATGTTGGGAAGAGACATGCAATGGGTTTGCCCGTCAGAGGACAGAACACACAGTCCAATGCAAAGACGGCGAAGAAGCTCAACAGGGTCAATCGCTTTGGTTGAGAATTCGCTTACAGTATGTGGTATATTATACTCCTTCGCAATTAAGCTGGGCCACTTGTGCAGAAATCTTTCGGTAGATTCAGGGGGGAACTAATGATTGGCAGCTGCACGCGATGGCTCCCAGCAACTACTTACGATAGAAATACAATGCTAGAACACACGATTTTTATTTTCTATTCATCTCCCATCGGCACTTCCTCCTCCAGGTACTTCAGCAAAGTGACGCGTATTTCTGTAGTCTCATCGCCCCGTAGCACGTCCGACAAAAACTCTGCTTGCACTTGCATCTGTACCTGCAAAACCGATGAATGGAACGCCCACAATACTGCACGGAAAGAGATACCATTTCCAGCGCCCCTCTCAGTACTCCGCACAGAACGTTGCTAAACCACAAGCCACCTTCAAGCGCTTCCTCTGGTAGCTCGACGAACTCCGCTAGCGGGTTCTCGTCCAAGGTGAGGATGAAGGACGAGGTCGGTATGCTAGTTTGTTGGACACTGGTTGGTCTCGATGTCGGTGGTGGATGGGTCACCGTTGGAGTGATATTCAGAAACGATTTGAAGCCAACCTTGGTACTGTATAAGCATGTCTGCAATGACAACACGAGCCGACTCTACTTGCCTTAGCCACTACTTCCCCGACCTCACGGAAATCAGAACACCGCCCTACCGAACTCCTTGCCAAAAAATCTTCGATTAACCTCGTTCCGATATTATATCCCATCTTCTCTAGTTGCTTATTCACCTCCCCGTAGTCCTCGTAGTCTTGGATCAGCTGCACGACGAGTGCGCCATATGTCAACGCGAACAGCTCTGCATTCTGATCTGAGAGTTAGTCAGGGTCTTCTACCGATCGTCGAGTTGCAAGAATGCCGAGCTTAAGTGTCACTCACGACTTTCTCCGTGCGGCTCTTCCAAAGATCCTCTCCAATGGCCTTGTATTGCTTACTGGGCGTCGCCATCGTTGGCGATGGCTAGTGCTGATGGGTCGATCTTAAAGACATCCTAATATGGGTCACGTGATAACATCTACACGATGGAGGTGTGCTGCTGCTCCTCGTCGTCCCCCCGCGAGTCTGCTAAAATAATGTCACGTCCAGAGCTTCAAGCGCCCCCAGAATTTGCGAGTACATTCGTGTCTGCTGAAGGATTTGTTTAATGACAATGTTTTTGCAGTATTATGGTGATACGGAAGCGAAAAAGTACACTACCAAGTGGGCAGTCTCAAATCATGACTTTAGCAACCTCCTGACTTCTCACAAGCACCCGAAATCAACAAATTCAAGCAGATATGACCTACAGAGCACTCGAGCTACTAAACATACCGTCCAGTCAGCCCGTGTTCTTGTTAGACGTTGGCTGTGGTTCTGGATTATCTGGAGAGATACTGGACGAAGAAGGATACGTATGGGCGGGCGTCGATATCGCCCCCAGTATGCTTCGTGAGTGGGTCATCAGTCACTGTTGCATCTTTCCCTAATTTATGTATCAGAGGTTGCGCTAGAGAGGGAGGTCGATGGTGATCTGTTCTTACAAGACATCGGTCAAGGTTTCGGCTTCCGTCCAGGGAGCTTTGACGGTGCAATAAGGTGTGGGCAGTTTTTTTACTCTGTATTACGCAGCCGCGTAGATGTTTATCTTTTGCAGCATATCTGTTCTGCAGTGGTTACTCAACGCTGAGACCTCACACCCAACATCATCGCCCCCGTATCGCCTGAACCGTTTCTTCACTACCCTGTATTCAGCTTTAAGGAATCCATCCCGTGCCGTTTTCCAGTTCTATCCATCATCAGATGACCAGATACAACTCATCACCTCGATAGCCCAGAAAGCTGGTTTTGGCGGCGGCGTGGTCGTCGATTATCCGAATTCTAAGAAGGCAAAGAAGGTCTTCTTATGTTTGTTTGTTGGCAGTGGTGGTGGTCAGCAACTGCCCAAAGGTTTGGAAGGGGAAGAGGATGATCATGTACGATTCGAGAGAAGGCGCGAGAAGGAGAAGAGAAGAGATCGTACCGGGAAGAGAAAAGGAGTGAAAGACAAAGCTTGGATATTGAAGAAAAAAGAGGCAAGCCACATTCCCTTTGATTTCGCCTCGGAGCCATGACAAGTGACATCACCTTCAGCTTTACCGCCAACGAGGCAAAGAGGGTGTTCCTCGAGACTCAAAATACACGGGCCGGAAACGAAAATCAATTTTTTGAAATCTCCATCGCGTCAGTTGTTATGTGCATTTGTAGCATACCCGTCTATCTCTTGACGAAGAGATCTTGGCAAGATTCCACAGCCTCCTTAGCACCATTCCTTATGAACAGGCCTTGCAGAGCAGCCATACTGATCCGTCGTCCGCTGCGCATCTCGTTTGCTGTGAGGACCTCGAGTTCCTGAGCCAGCCTAGCGACGTCTTCTGGGGGGATATCCTCACTACCACCGTAAAACCGTGTGAATAGTGTCCGAACTTGAGATGGAGACGCATCATCGACAAGTACTCTGAGATCCACGCGACCTGGTCTGATCAGAGCGGGGTCAAGGTTATCGACATGATTAGTGGTCATGAATACCATGCGCTCCTCGCCCGATGCGACACCATCGAGTGCATTAAGGAAGCCTGAGAATGTTACGGCCGACTGGTATCTGGTGGTGGATTGTAAGAAGCACTAAAAACGAAAGCCCTAAATCCGTCTTACCCGTCTTCACTCGTCTGTACCCGTCTATTGAAGGCGGCGTCAACGTCTTCGATGAGTATGAAACTGCGCTCGGGGGCGTTTGAAAACAGATGAATAAGTTTGTCATCGGTGAGTCCTCGTTCGGAGAGGTTAAGTAAACAGATATCATATGAGAGTGCACCAGCCAATGCTTGGATATAAGAAGTCTTGCCCGAGCCCGGAGGGCCGTACAACAGGTATCCTCTCCGATAAGGGATGCCTGGAAATGTGATGGGTGGAGCTTAGCGCATACGGGGACGCTTATTGCTTACCCCGATCGGCATACCACTGCCTTCGCTGTAAGAAAGCGCGAACGTCTTGTTCTATTTTCTCGCCTACTCCTGCATGCAATACGACGCTATGAAGGGGTCGCTTTTGTCGAGGTTGACCAAATGGTTTCCATTCTATACCCCACGCGGTGCGAATAACAAGCTTGCCTTCTTGATTTTTCATGGCCAAATCCCGTGCTTCAGCAAGCAGCCGGGGGAAAAGGTCTCTATCGCGCGACAGGGTCGTTAACGAAACGGTCTCCCATGGTGTACCAGACATGAGCTGCATAGCGCGTGTCTCGCGCTCCCGTTTCATCTGCAGGCAAGTGTTAGTGGTTGAGATCTATGACTGGGATTCTGGCAGCTGCAACCCACCTGCATCCAGGCACCACGGTACCTGAACCAATGTGTACCAGGCCCGGCCACCAGCCTAAACACGGCGGACGAGCTTCCGTTGTTGCGCTGTTCGACCGCCGTCTCAACGCTTAGCTGGTGACTTCGGAACCACCTGCCTGTAACACGTTGCTGCGACACTGCGGTGGAGTTATGAGCCAACCATGCGAGGAACCACTCATAGGCACGGTCTTTGTTGTTGACCTCGAGAGTGACAAGAAGACGTCGACGCAGAGCTGTCGACCCGAGTACGACACCTTGTCGGAGCGCGGTGAGACCCACGCCGACGCCCTGTGATCGCGTGCAAGTGAGTTTAATGTGAAGAAGGAGACAACTAGGCGTACCATGAGACCGAAACCCGCCTGGAAGTAAGGACTGCACTTGATGAGCTGGTCAAGTCTGGACACTTACATGCAAGCAGCTTTGAGTACGCACTTGTCACCCAAAAGCCCACTGAGAATGGACGACGCTAGGCTTTCTGCCATGGCTGTCTGCACCGGTCTAAGGACAAAGATTCTGGTTTCCTTGAAAGGCAATCGGAGCGCGTCGCGTGTCGGGACGGGCCACCCTTTTCTCCAAGCCACCAGATGGTCAAGCAGTCGGTCCTCACCGAGGCATACGCTCAACTTGGGCTGGAGCAGGTAGCGTAGCATTCGCAGTCAACCGTCGGAAGCACTCAGAGACTATGTCACCCAGGGTGTGCCACTGGAGCGAGTCAGATCTGCCTACAAACAGGTAGGCTATCTTCTCCTGACCGCGTTCGAATCGACCGCTTAATACCTGCAGCTCGCGCTTCGTCTCCATCCTGACAAAAATCAGGGAAACGAAGCCGCTACGGCCCAGTTTCAACGACTGGGCGAGGCGTACAGCATCATTCAAAGACACATAGAGACCGGTGGCCACTCCTACACAGATGATGACTATGACGACCACGACGACTACTTCTACTTCGATTCCGACTCGGAAGAGTATGGTTTCTACCGCGCCGATGACGACTGGGAAGCCGAGCGCACGGCGTTCTTTATGTATGATATAGTCTTCTCAGCGTTTCCGGTCCACTTAGAACCCTCTCAGGTACTTCTTTGAAGAGATACTGAAGGGGCGCTCGGGGCCTGGCTATAATAGATATAGTAAGCTAACCAATTCATTGCATGTTTTGCATCCTATTTGACGGTACACCACAGGGTCATATCGTGACCAGCGGCAGCCGAGGGCCCCTGAGACACCGCAACAGCGTGAGGCGCGTTTTCAGCGCCAACGCGAAGAACAAGCGCAAGCAGAACGGCGCCGCGCGGAAGAGGAACGACGCAGAGTCCAGCAGAAGGCTGACCGCAAAGCGTTTGAAGCACGCATGCGTGAAAAAGGTAGGGTGGCCGAAATTTGTCTCGCTAGTTGTTGCCAATGTCACACACACAGAACGCAAGGAAGCAGAACAAAGGAAACGAGAAAAATCAGCTTCTAAGAAAGCCGAAGCTGAAGTACGTCGTCGCAAGGCCGCCGAATCCCTCGAGGCCCAGCAGTGGCGTTCTCAAACCCTGCGATCTGCTGCATTCACCGCAGCTCGAGCAGGCGATACACAGCAAGTTAAGAAGGCCATCTGGGAAGACTCAGTCGACCCTGCGGGTGGGGAAGTCAAGTTGGGCTGTGAAAGCTTTGTTAAGGAACAACCCCAGGACCCGACAGAAACGTTGTTGCACATTGCTACTCAAAATGGAGATGTCGATTTGGTCAAGTGGTTAGACGCACACAGTACGTGCACGCAGCTTTAATGACCGCTCTCTCATGATGAGCCTCGTTTCTTCTCAGGTGCGGATCCAGAGGAACGTAACTCATTGGGACTGTCGGCGTTTCACGTGGCGCTTCAGCACGGCCAACTCTCGATCGTGAAGCATTTCTTCGATGCCTACAATCCACATGATGAGGATTATAACGCAATATACAGCCTGGCGTCGCCAAATAATCTCCTTTCGATGGCACTGGAATCTGTCGAACCCGAAGTTGTGTGGATGATACTCGACAAGGGTCTCGCCAGTACCATGGATATCAGCGATGCGTGGACTCGTATTACATCAACTGAAAGCAGGGAGGTGCTGCTTGCGAAGGCGGGGAATGCCACAGGGAAGTATGCAGAGATCCAGAATATCTTGATGAGTTTTGGCGGCTTCACGCCGCCACCCACACCTCAAGTCGCTTGCCAGGGTTGTGAAAGGGGTGTCTCCCCGTCGTCGAATGCAAGCTCACACACAAACGACAAACCAGCTCCGAGAGGTAATCGTCGCGGGGCTCATGATCGATCCAGCAAACGCGCAGTCGACCCACAAGGGCAGAGTTCATATCATCGACCCTCTTTCCCACCGTCACATGGTAACGCTGTACCGTCAGAGTGGTCGCAACACGACAGTGGACGAGGCAAGCAACGTGGACGAGGACGTGGACGTGGACGTGGCCGCGGTCGCAGCCGAGGACAAGGCAGCTGAGCTTTTTTTTTCGATTGCACTTCACGACTTTTCTGCATGACTTTTGTACGTACAGCAAGTGGACTTTGTCAGTATAATGTACATTCGCATATCCATCTCTGTGTTCAATGCTGTTCACTAGAGCTAATAATACCAATTAATATTACGGTCGCTAGAGTTTGTTTGGCCATGTTTGACGCCACCTGCTACAACGACAAACAACGAAACGTCGTCCAAGCTTGTACTCGAACCGACGCTCGACGAACGAAGACACGGTCCAGCTCTTGTCTAGTCAACATGGGTCGACTCGCTGAAATGCAAAGGAAGCTCTTGGAGGTGCGTTGTCTCCGCTGTCTTCGCGCAAATCATGCTGACGTCTTGTCTAGCAAATGATGGGTCCTGAGGCCATGGGTGTCGCCAACGCGAACCTGGTATGGTCGGATGAAAAAGTCTGTCGTAACTTCCTTTGTGGCACATGTCCGCATACTCTTTTCACGAATACAGTGGGTATCCCTCGTGTTCCTGCTGTCAATGACAGCTTATCTAGGTGTTACGCAGAAAATGGATCTTGGTGCATGTCCGAAATCACACACGGAACGGTTGAAAACCGAGTTCCTTGCGGCTAGGGAGGCGAATCCGAACGATCCTATTTTCCACAAGTTCCAAATGGAATACGAAGCGAATATATTTGCATTCGTGGACGAGTGTGACAGGAGGATCAGGGCTGCACATCGGAGGCTGGAAAAGACTCCGGAAGAGAATGCAAAGACGACCAATTTAATGAGGGAGATTGCTGAAATTGAATTGGCTATTCAGGGTGGTACGGAGAAGATCGAGACTCTAGGTGCGGATTCTGTGATATTCCGAACGACATGAGGGCCTTTGTTGCTAAACTTTGATTTTCTTTCTCACACAGGTGAACAGGGAAAGGTGGAAGAATCAATGAGGGAGATGGCTGCCATCGAGGCGCTGAAGAGTGAGAAAGCGGAGAAAGAGGTTGGTCATATTACTTTGTGCATTTGGCGCGTGGTGACAGGGAAGGGATCGTGATTCTAGCGTGAACTTCAACAACTCACAGACACATCCGGAGCATCCGGACATCAAAAGCTTCGTGTTTGTGATGTGTGCGGTGCATATCTATCTGTGCTGGATTCGGATCGCCGGCTCGCGGACCACTTTGGCGGAAAGGCAAGCTGTTTCAGGGTTAGTGGGAGTGAAGGGAATGGAAGCTGACGTGTGTGTGTGTGTGACAGATGCATTTGGGTTACCATGAACTGCGGAATATGCTTTCCAAGTTTCGGGAAGAAAGGGAAAAGCGCAAGATGACTGTGCCGGCCTCGGGGTCAGTTTCCGGAGGGCCGCCGGGGGCCTCTGGGAGGGCAGGCAGTGAACGTGTAGGCGATCACCGGGCTTCACGTGACGACCGGGATCGGGACCGTGAGAGAGGATATGAGAGACATTCATCGTCTCGATATGAGTGAGTCGAGATTAGTTTTTCCCCAAGGGGAGGTGACTGAAGTGACATGGTTGGCTGTTCAGTGATCGGCGGAGAGATCGTGAACGATCACGATCTCCTGGTCGTAGACGTTACTGATGGAGATTAGGCAGGGCTGACGGTATCAACGCAAGCAAGTGCGACCGGGTTACGCATGAACGATCCTCCAGGCGAGCTGCATCATGTCATCAGTGAGGTGCCTGCGTGGCCAGTGGTTGCTGATGACAAGCGGGTTTGGAAAGTTCTTGACAGACGACGTTCTGTAGGGATGTATGTACAGCGAGGTAATACGCATACACGTTGCAGATCCAGCAGGAGATACAGTATCCCGAGGAGCGGGCGGAGATCACATGACCGTGGTTGATTACATAATTTCATGATGCGGTCCCAAAGGGGATGCCAATAACCTTCAAACAAAATTCTTTGTTTTGATTATGTAATATTGATGCCTGATGGTGTGTGCCTGTGACGAGGGAATATTGAATCGTGTGACGTGTGACAGTGTGGCATGCCCGGGTCGACGTGCGCGCTGTAAATTGCGTCTTACAGAAGAAAAAAAAAAATAACAGAAAGGCAAATCAGACATATACTTGCGTGTTGTTGTTTTGTGTCGTCGGCTGGGGCTCGTCACAACGTACTTTTCTGCGATTCCACGTTGACCGGGTGCTGATACCTTTCATTTCGAAGTGACTGCCATCGACGATCAACGCGCCTGCTATCTTTCATTCATTCATTTTTTCTCTTCTTTTTCGGTCAAGGTAGACTGGGTATTAGTCGGGTGCTTGTTGCTGGTCTGGTCTGCTGACTTGACTGGTGAAGTGAGCCATGTCCGTTCCAGACTCCATGCACACGAGTCCAATCCCATCGCCCGCAGACGCCATGCAGCAGAGCTTCCCATCAATCGGGCCAGTGCCACCTGCACATGCACCAGATCCCCTCCAGCTTCAAGCTCAGGCCCAGCACGACCCGCTGGCCATGTATCCTCATTCTGCTGTGGACCCCGCCACCTTACATATCCCGCTACCCGATACCGCGTCACCCCCTTCTGCTGGCATTTCATCCATGGATCCTCTAAACCCTCCACAGACTGCTGCTGCTGCCTGTCCTCCTCTCCCCGGTCTTCTTTCTGATTTCCCTCCAGCAGTCTCCTTTTCTCCCCTCGATACCCATCTCCCTGTCCGCCCCTTAGCGACCACAAGTCCTCCCTCCGGGGCTCAACCCGTCCTCGGTATATCCTCCGCATTCCCCATCTCCCCGACCTCCACAATACCAGACCCATCCACTGCTATGATTGCCACCTCCAATCCTCCATGTTCCCTCTCCGCATCCCCTTCTAGTACCCTACTCAGTTCCGGCTCTGACGTCTCTTTCTCCTCTTTGAGCGCTGCGGCACCCCCAATCACCCAGGAACCCTCCTTTGTCTTCCCGCCTCGAGACGCCAATGGTTCCTGCTTGGGTGCCAGGGACACGTCTCCGGACGCACCCTCGGATACGAGCCTCATGGTCGTCGGGGACATGCTTAAGACGTAAGTATATGCTGCCGAATTGTCGACCTAAAGCAATTGCTCAATCGGTACTTTGTGACACAGCATTGCTCAGACGGCGCAATCCGCGAGTGCCGCCTGTTCTCTTGGTCAGGGTTTCGAAGCAGAGGCGAGAATAGATGAACTCAAGAAAACTATCAATATGGTATCTGAGCTTATTGCTGCCACTCAAATATCAGACCCGCCATCGATGTCGCGAACTTCGTCCCCAAGGCGCTACTCAGGGTATTCGGCGGTGGGTACGAAATGTAGCATTTCTCCTCCCGCGCGTAACCCAGTAGTTAGCGGCCCACAAGACGTTGGCAAGCCTGTCATGCAATTTTCCTCCCCAGCAGGAAGCCAAGAGTCGGGCCCATTGGACGCTCTGAGTAATGGTGATGGTTCTGACCTGTCGCGCAAGCGGTGCGCTTCGTCAATGGCTGGTGATCGGGTTCAGAAAGCTTTGAAGCGAGAACCGCAAGAGGATACATCTATTCACTTTGTTCCTATCCCCGTAACCAATCCTCCTGTATTCTCGTCGTCAGTCGCTTCGTCTGTACCTGACTCCCGCACTGGGCCATCATTCGCTTCGGCGAATCCCCCCTCGCAACCCGCATCACGGCCGACGAGTTCTGCTGGTCCTCCCCATCCTGCCTTTACGCTACTTTCTCACCAGCCTCAACCATCGATACCAGGCATACCCATACCTATTTCGGCGACGGCGGCCCCTCCTGTTTCAACTGACTTTGTTGCAACTTCAGCGATGACTACCTCAGTGGTACACCCATCTCAGTTTACCCCTGCTACGACTGTCGGATCTTCGTGGTCTGACGGCGTCACAACTGTACCACAGCGGAACCACCAGCACACAGTTTCAGGAAGTTCGTTTAGCAATCTTTCCAATTTTCATCCTATACCCAGCACTAGCGGAGCCCTAGGACCGATTATGTTCTCACAAGCTGCCTCATTTTCAACTGCTCCTACGCAGGCACGACCCCTCACCACGACTTCAGGGATTAGCCCACCTGTCGGTAGAGTTTCACGATCAGGCTCGTTCACTAGCAGTTACGGTAACACCTTTGCGTTCGGCCTACCTGAGGTTCCCCGGGCTTCAGGGGCCCTAGACTTCTTGAAACCTGCTTCCCTCCCACCAGTAGCTCCAGTCCAGGGTGCCCATAGCCCCGCGTCTTCCCAGGAAGGTGAAAACGAAAACGATTCCGATTTTGCAGATCCTGCAAGCGTGCAGTCATTTAGTCCTGATTCAACTACTGCCCAGGCTCCCTGGCCTGCGAACGCTCTCAATGGCCGACCGGGCACTCTGGCAACCAGGCATTCAACGGAGAACATACCACCAACAACTTCACATGGGAACGAGGTCCCACAAGAGTACCGTGCGGAAGTTGATCGTATCTTCTTCGAGTTCTTGAACAATATCTGCTCAAATTGTAAGTGGTCGTTAACGCTCCTAGTTAGGAAATCCCTCTGACCGCCGGGATTACAGTGGAGGCTACGGACGCCAAGGGTGAACCTATTCATCAAACTCTGATGGCGAAGAAGATGCAACGGTTGGACGAATCTCCCGACTTCCGACCATTCAAATTTCGTATTCAGGCCTTTACTAATGCGTTCCTCGAAGAGGTATGTTTCCTTCTCACTTTAATCTTGCAGTACGGTAAAAAAAAAATGATTTTACAGCTTGCGAAGCAAGGTTATCCGGAAGAAAAAATTCCCATGAAGAAGGTTAGTTTTCTCATTAGACGGCTTCTTCACATTCATTATGAGATTACCACAGATACGAAACTACCTTTGGAGTCAACCTTACATCTCCCGGTTCAATGAAGAGGGGAAGAAGACAAAATCAAAAGGTAACCATATATGGAATATAGACGCAAAGAAGAATCCAGATGGGGGATGGGCCTTCCGGCCCTTTTACAGAAGGCTTGCAGGCTCACCACCCAGCGTGGCCTACATGGGTTTGCGATGGTCTTGGGCTCCTCGTATTTGGGATCCCCAAGCATCACGAGCGAACTTGAACGTTACTTATAGTTCACCCTCTCTTCCCTCTTGGCTGTCATGGGAGGGAGATGTTTTGCAGGGTACCCCTACCCCGGACGCGGAGAGTTGTGATATCACCGTCGAAGCGCATGTAAGTTGTGGAAATGTTCTACATCGTTGATAGAGTGTCTGACGCGAGAGGGAGCAGTTCGTGCAGGATGGCGTCGAGGAAAGACTTACTCAGACGTTCCACCTAAATATCGCACCTGTTTCAACCCTGGACACATCATTCCCCGGGTCCCGGCGCGGTTCGATGAATGGTGACGTGCACAGACCTAAGCGCGTTTCTATCGACGGCATTGCTCAGTCTATCACACCACCCAGGTTTGCGGCCCCAACCTCACTCCTGGTAACCGTTCTGATAATATAAATACCAGGTCATTAAGGACGCAGGCACCTGTCCTAGCCCCACCTGCGCCTCCTGTCACGACGCACGATGCCCAGGTCATGCAAGTGCTTGCCACGGCAGCCCACCGAGTTGCACAGGAAGCGCAATCGCAAGTCATTGCATCAACCAATAACGCGAGCGACGCTGGACATGAGCTTCAAGCGCTGGCGAAGCAACAGCACGTGCTTACTATGACCGCTAAGGCGTTTGACCAAGAGGTCACAGGGCAACGCACAGACGTCTCGGTACCAGAGCCCAGCGTTTTGGCAGCGGCGGCTCAGCAAGTTGTTTTTCAGGCTGCTCGCCAAGTGGCTGCTGATCGGTCGGCAGCCGCTGTAAGTCAGATGTCTGTTGGGCTACCACCACCACCTGCAGCCGTAACCGTCAACGAAGTTTCCGTAGCTACGCAATCCGCTGTTGCCCAAGCAGTGGAGATTACTGGGCCCTTATCGAGCGAAGTAGATGTGCTAATAACGGCCAGTTCCCTTCTTCAACAACAGATTCGAGCCCCAGTAAACCCACCAGTGCCGGTGCCTGACCCGTCACAACGGACACTGTCCATGGACACTGCGGCACTACTGCAGTCAACGGGTAGCCTCCCGACGGCGTCGTTCTCCCTCGGCCTGGTTGCTCCAGTTAATTCTACCACTATCCCTACCGTTCCTTTGGCAGATTTTAGCCGACTTTCGTGAGGGCTCGTTTAGTTCCGGGCTTTCATAGTAGGTTTCCAGGGGTGTTACATAGGCTTTGGGACTTGTATTTTGTTCCTTTCTCTTGGAGCGCGTTGCGTTTTTCACTCAAGAATCATAGACTCCTTGCACTTTCCATCTTTTCATCTTCATGCCAACTATGCTTGTAGGGACGATCGATTAAGCATTATCTGTACTCCTATAAGATACCAGGAATGTCCATTGTTACGTTCCAACCAATTGACTTTGACAGACATCGCATACGCTGTTCTCTGTTGGGTTGTCGTAGGTGCAAGTCGGACACGCTCTCGTTGCCTCGTGCGGGGGCTCCCCTTCAGAACTAGTCCCAGCATCCCACGGTAGGTTTGCGAGAGATGATGTTGCCAAGAGGGTCCCGCCAAAACCTTTCTCCTCTGCCCGCCGCTTGCGCGGACCGCCATCGCTTTCCTCATCTCCACCTTCTTCTCGGAGATCCAGCATATCGTTCATCAGAATACCCAACGATTCAACTGTGGTAGAACTGTCCTCCAATTCCTCGTTTTTGTAGAAAAGTCTCTGGCATATCGTCGGGATTTTCAAAACATCCTGAATCTAATTGGCATCATGAAGTCAAAAGATCTCAACTGGAGATACCTCTAATTACGCTTACCATAACCTTCATATCCTTTACAGTCGTGGACTTGGATACCGTCAACCTGGCACTCTCTCGCCTGGTTCGCCCCTGACGAATACGCTTGGACTGTCTCAAACCCGTTGACGATCGTAATCCGACCGATGCAGACTCAGACTTGAAGCTCTCCCCAGCTCGGTACTGCGGAGCGGGGTTCTGTTCAGTATGTCCACGACCACTTAGGAAGCGCACGGTGATGTCGGTGAGCTCGTAACTCGAACGCCTGAAAGTAGAAGACAATAAGCGCCCTTTACAACACACATTCTGCACAGGGTATGTCACCTTCTCATACGACAATCGTGACACACGGGAATGGGATGAATAAATTTGGTATCAAGAAAGCCACTCGGATCTTCTACCATCCTCTTCTCTACGGAAACAACTGGCCCGCAGCGATAGCTGCGGCAAAAAAGACAAATGATCACAACAAACTTGACGGAGCCAAGTAGAATTACTCACAGTCCTTCCAAAACGACCCACTCGCACAATTGAATGAGCGCAATGTTGCAGTCCCAGTCATTTGGTGCGTTGGGGTCGAATACAAGGTTACCGTGTTCACAAAACAGAGTGGAGGTTTCGACCAGATCGGGACGAGGGATATCTGTGGGCCGACCGAGCCATTTACGCCACAGTCGCACAAAGTGAGCAGAGATCACTGCGCAAGGAACGTTCTCGAGTAGGAGGGTGTTTCCTATTAATGCGTTGTCATACATGTGTCGCAGCCGTGCCTGTCGGAGCATAGTCGGAAATGAACACATCGTTCGTGAGTTTCATAAGTTGGAGGTGACCTTCTCATCTTCAGCCTTTCTGCGCAGTTCACGCTTATCTTCCTTGGAATTGTTGATGATGGCTTCGCAAGTCGCACAGACTGCTTCTGCTGTCGAGAGGGGCCGCCAGTATGGGAAGATGTCCATGAGGATATCGCGTGCCTAATCAGACGTTGTTGCCCCATCACACAACTTCCCCCATCTATGAGTGCTCACCTCTTTGGATATACTTCGACGAGCTGTTGAAACGAGTGACAGTTGATCGTGTTCGCATCGCACGTGCCCGCGAAACTCTGCAGAATCGGGAGCTGCATCGCCATGCAGGGAAACGTGCATCCTGGGCCTCTGCAACCTCCAATCTAGTCGATGTTGTATCAGATATATGCAATATCGATTTCATCTCGGTAACCTTTTAACCATGCCTTGGAAAGCCAAAAACCAAGGTCACCTGGCCTGACATCGCACACCTTATCAAACTGGGCAACTATCCGTGGATGTTGAATTTGGTACAGTCGCTCTATGGACATAATGAGCAGGGAATAAAAGGATCCATAGTGTGCTACATCACCCGTGAATAACTCCTTGACACAAGTCTCGCATACGTCGGTGGGACTACGCACGGAACTGTTGTCAAAGCCGTCACGAGAAACAAGTCTTGAGTACGCATTCTAAAATACAAAGTAAATATCAGGCGTAATCAGCGTGCAGCCCCTTACCTTTGAAACACGCTTCATGTTATGAGCCTTGCGCGGATCTAGTCCCGCATGTTCACAGAGAATGTCAGACACAATTGTGACTTCGGTTGTTTCGTCTCCGGGTGGCTGCGAACCCGACTTTTTGTCCTTCACCTTTGTTAACGGCTTCGACAACCATCCTTCCAATGCCTCTCGGCTGACTATGACCGAGTCCTAATTTGGAATTCCCACTATTAGATACTCTGAGAAGGACAAACATATGACCAAACCTCATCAGCAAACTCTGCACCCCAGTGCAGGTAAACACTCCTCATCCATTCTCTAAGTTCCGAAAATAGCTCGTTGAGATCCTTCTCCCTGTACCATGGTTCGAAATGTACTGAGTAAGACACGGGCGTGGATAGGCATTCGGGACGCACTTAGAGAGATATCGCTCGCAGGCCTCGTCGTGGGCAGTGTTCAGGGCTTTTACGACATCGAGGGCACGTGGAGGTGGAATTGGGATTGCAGTCGCGGTCACCAAGCCATCATTTGTCTTGCTAGTTTCGTCAATGCCAACGCAAGGGGTGGAAGAACTACAAGGTTCCGCGGAAGTCGAAACATTACTTGGCGGAGATTCCTTGCGAGCATATATGAGCATATAGGCATCCTTAGACGAAAATATATCCCTGAAATGCCATGTCATTAATCAGGTTATCTGTCGACTGCATTGAGTTTACTCACCCGTCATCGGAACCCGCATCTTGCTCGTGTGGTGACGCTGGCCTGAGAAGAACCATCCGGCAATGGGTCTGTTAACATCCCTCGCTTCCGATGAGCAAATCACGCACTCGACAATTTCATCTTCACTATCTTCGATCCTTCTCTTCTTTGCGGGACGAACGCGGGGCTGTTGGTGACTTCTACAGGAAAAGATTCAGTTGAAAAAGGCAAAAATCGAAGCTAAGTGAGATGATGAAAGAATTTTAATCGGAGAGAAGAGAACAAACCTCTTGTTAGACCCGTTGATGATGTCAATAACTTCTCTGCTGCTATGTCGCTTTTCGCCAAGAAGGGCAACTTTTGTTACAGTCTCATCGTCGAACTGAAACCACGTCTTTGACCTGGAGAGCTTACGTGAGTGTGTTCACTCAAGACCTCCTATCACCGTTCCAATGGAAGGTCCGACTCACCCAGAATCTAAAACCTGAGCTTCGTAGTGTCCGTGGTAGGCGCTGGCACCTTTGTGCAGTAAAACACCTTTCAATTCGTACACCTGACTTCCCCTTTCCTCTGGAGCATCCTTGATTATATTCGCCCTGCGCCCCAAGAACTTCCCCATGTCGAGCGTTGTAGGAAACAAAAGATTATGCTTTGATTTTTTCCGCTCCATGGAGGCAAAGTCATAAACAAAGCGAAGAAGGGAGAAGTGAAGCACAGGCGGAAGAGCACGGAGCTCTGTGTATCGCGTCGCATCTTGGAGGGATTGACAATGAGAGCAGTGGATACCTAATCGAGACATCAACAAATCTGCCGTGTAGAAGGCAAGGAGGGCAAACCTGTTGTCGCCTGTCAGCTTCTCATCTTGCAATAAGGCGGCGATTCGATCTTCAAGCCTCGAATTGTTCTGCTCTGATCATCAACACGAGAGGGTTAAACAGTTGAAGATTAATACCTCTATGTTTATTTCGAGTTCGAGGAAGTTATTCGAACGTTCGGATTTGCTTTCGCAATTGCCACATATAGTCCCATAAACAAGCTGACCTTGGAACTACGGCAGTTAGCCTGTTAGGCAGGAATTGAAAATGGAATGGATGCAAACTTGGGTGGAAATCAGTGTTTTCAAGGATGGGGTGGACTGTTTCTGAAACTCATTGTCGAGGTGTGACATGAAAAGCTTCGAGAACCTAAGAAGTTGAACGCGCGCGCGAACGTATGAGCTACATGCTTTAAGGGCATCGAATTACTAACTCTTGTGCATCCTGTTGCTCGGAGGTAGGTAACTTGAGACTTTCTGCGAACTTTTCTGGGTTATACACCCGCTGTCTACTCTCTTGGAGTGCGGCAAACGTCGCTTGAAGCTTGAAAGATAGGGGAATCCTGCAAAACTGCATTGGACACCGACAACGCACAGCGATAGAACGCACCTCAAATTTCCTTTCAGTATCTTGCAACGGTTGACACTGATAGATGCCATTTCTGAAAGTTAAGTCTCTAAACCACACCTTAAAATGACACTGAATGAGGCTTCAAGCAGTAACAGATCTGGTATGCACCTGAAGGAAGGCATTGGCATAACAAGTTGCCCCAAGGTTCTGTTCAGTCATATTGGTCGTCTCTCGGTTAGAAATCTGTGAAAGGGGCCCTCGCCACAACATACCTTGAGCCCAACTGGCAACTCGGGGTCACGAGCATTGAGCATAGGATTGAAACCCAGGTCCGAAGCCTTCAGGAACTGCTCTCTAGCCTTGCCTAGTCAGTAGTCATGTTAAGTGCTAATGGTCTCCCCACAAACGCGTTTACGACACGTGCCTTGGTCTTCCCATTTATCTTGGCCGAGATAGTTCAAGCAGTTTGGGTTGTTTTTACAAGCCTTCTTGGCGCAAGTTGGTGGTTCATCATCAGAAACCACGATGATATCATTCTCAGATTCACCATTGGCAGTCTCGGCCGTCGGCTCTAGGGTGACTGTAGGTTGTGACTGCTCCGGCTTGGACACGTACTTGTTGCCGCAGAAGGGGTTCCTGTTTCTCCTGGAAAGACCGCAGGTCATGAGACGATGCTCTAGTGTGATTTGAGAAGGATCTGAGACTTCGATGTCCACCCAGCCCCATGCCGAGGAGTTGTTCCCTGCAAGCTTGGTACGCTTGAGTTGTTCCCCAGCGGCTAAACCCTTTGGGGCCGGCGAAGGTCTGCGCTTTCGCTTTTGCGGCATTGCAGAGCGGAGAGGTAACTGCAGACGGTCTTGAGGATCTGACGTGCTATTAGCTGGTTGTACTCTGAGATTGCAGTGTAATGACACTGACTGGTTGCTGCAACGCTTAATGGGGAGATTTGCTTCCGACCAACCACCCGTTATGTAACCACTATGGTAGCTGTCTGGGGTCGTCTGTTTCTCTGACACTGTGTGGTGACCTGTCCGGGGCTCTGGCAGCGAAGAAAAGACATGAACAGAGTACGCGCCCTTCTCAAGCGCGCCCAGGGAGGCCACAATGCAGCTAGACTGCGACGGCGAAAGCGTGCAACTACTTTCATTTACAATAATCTGTCCAGGCTCACGTCCGTGCACTTCGCCCTTTCATTCGTTCGGGTCGTTGATGGCGAACTTCCAGGACTGCATTACTCGTAACCGGTTACTTTTGGATGAGTCTCATCCCCATTTCGCCACTGTCCCAGCCCACCTACATAGACGAAAACGCATTACAACCAGCCCAAGTACTCGTCGTGTTATATTTCATTCTGTCCGGGCCTGTTTAATATTGACTGACGCAGGTAAATACGTACTGGAACTGGCAAGACGTGCATCGCGCCGACCAGTATCTATACCACCTGGAAGGGCTTCGTGACAGAAACGCTGCGAGCGAGCAGTGAGTTTGTCAACCCCTTCCTCACTTCTTTATACCATGCATTGACCGTTTTATGCAGAAGAGCTCAGTTTATACGTGACGAGTTCGCCAATCTTGGTTTTCGTGCTGCCACCCAGAACTACACCTTTACTACATCGTCCGGAGTATGTTACCTGACATTCTACTGCAGTGCTACTGACTCGCAAAATTATGTAGCCGGTGTCCGGAGTAAATGCGTACGCTATCATGGCATCACCACGGACCCCATCTTCTGAAGCAATGGTTATAAGCGCCACATGGCGCAGTGAAGTTGGGGCAGAGCCTTTCAACCTCAGAGGTATATCCATCGTCCTTGCCTTGGCAGCATTTCTCAAAAGTACGTCTTTTCTTCGAGCGACCTGACAACTTCACGATTACGATTTAGATTATTCACTGTGGGCAAAGGATATCATATTCGTTATTGGAGATGGTCATGTTGATGGGATGCAAGCATGGCTCAATGCCTACCACGGTACTGTACCACCAAGTCAGTCTCCAACCCCGGGCTGCGGTTAGCTGCTGAGATGTGCTTTAGATCTTGAAACAGGCTTGCTTGAGTATACCTCGGGAGTTATATGGACTGCACTGAATATCGACTACAGCGGACACTCATTCTCTCATCTCGGCGTTTTCTTCGGTCAGTCAGATTCGACGGTCTTCTACACACCATACTGAGTGAAGTCAGAGGGCCTCAATGGGCGGCTTCCGAACCAAGATCTTATCAACTCCGTCCGGCTCATCTCTCATTACACTGCTGGTGTTCCCTTCGTCGTCTATGACCACCTTGAACCTAGCGAGTTTCCCGATCGTTGGCAAGCAACGAGCATACTTGCTAGTGCGCCGGATTTCATTCGGCGGAGTCCGCAGTTGCAGGATTTTGAATACAGAGCGAAGAATATCGCAAGACATATTGATTACCAAGCAAGAGGGAAACCCAGTGGGGCCCATGGGCTATATCATAAATTCCGCATCGATGCCATCACACTGTATGCTGTTCCTTCCACAGGGACCTCACGGCTTTTTTGCTCTGGGGAGGTATGCCACGCTGTTCTTTCCATTTGACCCTCACTTCCTATGTCTTCCTGCAGGATAATCGAATCCACACTTCGTACGACTAATAACCTGCTGGAACGACTGCACGCTTCATTCTTCTTCTACCTCTTCACGAGCCCAGGAACTTTTATGAAGATAGGGAAATTCCTCCCAAGTGCTGTTCTTGTCAGTGCAGCGATGATGATTTCTGGATTGGGTGATTGGGTTAATGCGGGATGGCTGCAAGATGTTGCAGCCAAGAAAGAAGGGGGAGGGACGGGAGCTGGTGGCCCAAGTAACACGATTCAAAGCGAGAAAACCGTAAGATGGAGAATGCGACGGCGTCCTGTCTTGCGTCCCATATTCACTGTGTTAGGTTACGCATGTGATGGGCTTGATTGCTTTCGGATTGATTCGTTCGCCATTTTTTGTCAAGAACCAGTTTGTAAGTAATTCTTATTTAGCCTCAACAACTACTTCTCATCATAACTACAATTGCAGGCAGCTTCACTGCTCCTTTTTGGGGTACTCGCGGTTTTGCCATTCGTTTTCACCCCTCCCTCGGACAGAACCCCAGAGGTGGCTCCCTTCAGCCTTCTCCTCAAATCATTCAACCTTTGTCTTGCATCCATCGTAATCTCCACAACCTCTCTTCTTAATTTTTCACTTGCAGCCATGCTTGCCATCACGCTTGCCATTCCCTTGATGCATTCTTACCGCCCACGATCCTCGTCACTTCCTATCGTAGTTCTCGCTAAGTATGTGGCCTACTCTTTTCTTGCATGGGGGTGGTTAGTATTCCTGCCAAATGAAGTACGACAGGCGGTTTGGAACTGGGAAGTTTTGGGAATATGGTTCGCTCCCTTCATTTGCGTAGTGTATGGGCCGCTTGTCACGCAGGCAGGGATAACATCTCTACAATCTTGAATGTTACGTGTACTTATACCTTGTGCCATCGTTATTTTCCTGTAGTCTTCCCAAAGACTTCCCAGGTAAAAAACAGCAGTTGTAAGAAGAGACGATAGTTGCATGTGTAATGACATGAGTAAGTGGCCCATTCAACAAATATCCATGGTGATGGGATTGTCAGGTTCCAACAGGTCGCCATCTTGAGCATCATTATCAACCTCTACCCCGTCCTGAGCTATGACCTCAGCATCTATGTCAGGATCCCCGCCAGTAATCCCCACTTTTTTCCTCCACTGCCGTTCTTTCATCTCATCTCTTTGTGCCTGTTTCATCTCGAGATCGGTAGATAACTTCTTGAGGGCGTCTTCAAACCGTTTCTGCAGTGTTTAGTGAGTCCGAGTCCGACACCTCCCAGGAGTACAAAAGTTGATTACCTTGACTAATGGATTCGCTGAGCTTGCGATTTCGTGCTGTTTCTTCGTGACTGCTGCTTCCAAATCCCTGATTTCCTCGTTCAGTAACTTCCTCTCCTGTATATCCTCGTCATCTTCATCCTCTTCATCGCTTTCCTCTTCCTCCTCCTCCTCCTCTTCCTCTTCCTCCTCATCAGCGCCTTCCTCGTCGCCCAGTGCAAGGTCGAGCTCTGCTGCTAGTTCAGCATCAAAATCACCCTCGGCTTCAACCTCGGCCTCATCCGCGTCACCATCCTCGACGTCTGCGCCAGGCGTGGGTGCATCGCCAACCTCAGATTCCGGTATTCCAGGGGTGAACGCATCTAGTGCCTCATCGCGCTCGACAAACTCGGAATCTGAGAGGTCGGGATTTACGTTTTCAAGTACCTCTACAAACCATAGTTTAGATTCCACAAGGTGACCCGACGCGGCGTATCGATAATATCATCACGTACCATATTTGACTTCAGTTGCAAGGCTGTCTGCTGCTACCAGCCGTTCAACTTCTTCTTCCACGCTTTCTATGGTCTGAAGCACGCAAAGGTTTGAACGGCCGAGCTAAGCTGCAACAAGAAACTCACTCTTCGGTTTAGTCGTTTACGGAACCGTCGTTTGCGAACATGATGCAATGGAGGTGTGATGCCGTGGGGCCATATAAATTCATCGACACTGACATTCCTATTGGCAATAACGGCCTCTTCCTCTTGTATGCGCTTCTCAATTACAAGCATCTAGTTGCACAAGTTCAGCGCCGGGAGCAAAGTATCGAGAGGAGTAAGTAACCTGGCATATGTCGGCTACTTTGAACATCTGCTTGTTGTCAAGTGTCTTTTGTGATTCTATTACACAAGGTAGATCGACCAGCTTGAAGGAATAGAGGTTATTGCCGATATGGAAGACTCCGCGCCGTGAATCTGTCGGATTAAAGGTGGACTCAATACACAAGAATGATCAAATGCATGCCCACCTTTGAACTTGAACCAGACATCATTGCCGATTTCCCTTGATTGTATCATCTTCCTAAGTTTTTCACAGTCCTCGCCCGGCGGCATCCGCAGTACGAACTGCTCCTCGAATGTCAGGTCTTCGTCGTCGGAATCTAGCTCCCTGTCATAAGAGCCCAGAAACGACATCCCAGGGGCTTGTGCAGCAGTTCGCTCGCTAAGTTTAAGCTTTAACTTTGGATGTGGTTTAAACTTTGCAGTGGCCGAACGCGTTGTGCGCTCCGAAGAAGGCTCCACGGAGTCTCTGAGGCGGAGGGTGGTCGCCATGGCTTGTTCAGCAGCTGCCCGCAATGGACGAGTGCGCTGTTGGGGGCGACTCGATGGATGTCCGCCATTAACAGCAGAAGAAGGCCCCGCCTGTGGTTCTTCGACGTCATCTACGACGATGAGGTAGTCGTCCATCTCAGCCATCCAATTAATAGGTGCAAGCGTCGGAAGGAGAGCGTGCACAATGAAATCGTCACGTGAGCCACATAGACAGGGGTTAATCACTACGCATGTGTAAACTACCTGGCCTAATCCTGGCCTTCATCCCCTGTCTCGATGTCAGTTCCTTCCTTATATGCGTCCTCGCCCTCATCTCCCTCGTCCTCGTCAATCCTCACTATCACGATCGACTTTGAAAACTGCATGATATTGTAAGCGGCCGCACCCAGCGCCAGGGCTATCCACGCCCATCTCATATGTCGAAACCGAAGGTCATCTGGACTAGAGGGTTTAATTTCCTTACTGACATTGCGCCTGAATGAGAAGAGAGATAAAACCGATGGCTTCGACGCAGGGGCATGTCCGTATGGGGGTGCCTGTTCTACCTCGCTCTGCACACGGCGAGCATGATCCACGAGTGAGGGATACTTCTCTAGTAGCAAAGTCTGCAAAACTGAACCAGGAAATGGAGGGTTTGCCAGCAAAAGTATGTGAGCGGCAAGATACACGTCGAAGCTTGTCGGGCTACATACGAACCGTGCTTTAGCTTGTGCGCCAGAGCGAGAAAATTACTAGACTTACTGTGCATCGAACAAGAACTTCTTTCCATCCAACAACCTCGCGTAGAGGTCCAAAATGGCACGCGCCTTTTCCATGACCTACATCGAACTAGTTCGGGGAGAGAAGTGAGCCCACAGTAACAAGATACCCACCTTCTCCCGCTCAAATGCACGAGTGAATGTGCCCACGTGATCATCGCGCTTCTTTTCTGTCTTCGCAAAAGGGCTTTTACGTTCTTGCTCAGCTTCTGGTAAACACCACAGTCCGCAAGTTTCCAACCGCCGCCGATATGATTCTCGAATCCTTCCCGGCACATAGTACCGCTGCGGGATTGGCATCAGACTTCCGAGAGTGGGTCTCGTGAGTCCCCAGAAATTTGCGTCTACACCAAAGAACATGTGCGACTATATGAATGAGAACGACGCGTCTGAGTGTCTGATATGCGCCACTCACGACAAAATCTCCGAAGTTCTCCTCCACATGGGACCACCATGCAACACTCTGGGATCTTTGGGAAGCGGAAAGCGACGCGTCAATGTTTTTCACCCCGGGTGTTCGAGCTTTCGAGAGGGATGTAACGAATGACACTATTGAGGGAAGCGATGCGTATACGAGGTGTCCATAAGTTAGGAATGGCAGATGACCTGTTTGTATCGGAAGTCAGCTGCCCGAACCTGGCTGAAACGAATGCGCCGGGGGCCACCATTGGGAGACATATCTGGGTCACAACTCTCTGCAACTTGGAACTTTCCCGGCATAGAAAGTTGCATATACATTATAGCCGCCAGGCAGGTTGGGTCCAAAGACTGCAAACCCCATTCTGACGGCCATACGTGTAGGACGCAGGAAGTTTCGGACATAACAGCTAGAATTATGCAATCTACAGATGTCTGTTTTGGGCTTTGAATTCGGCAAAACCAAATACATCCAAACACGTAATCCATTACCGACAACTATACTACAAGCTGATAGCACTGACAACAGATAGCAAGGATAGCATCGACCGACACAATGAAAACAGTGGTCCATAGATCAGCAAACAAATACTGAATGAACGCAAAAAATGATCGTTCCTTCCGATAACCGTCAGTCTATCTTCTCGTTCATTTGACTCTCTTGCAATCCTTCGTCAAAGCTCGCATTCTTACCAAGCAGGCTTGGGTCCGGTAGCGGGAAGAGCTCAAGAATCCCTTCTCCCGGATATGGCACGTTGCGTCGTGGTTCGTTCATGCTAACAGTACGTACATTTTGCGTCGTCCGGTGACGAGCAAGTCCAGAGTGAAAAGATGACTTGAGAGAGGTGTTCTGCACGTTTATGCTCAACAGCAGTCCTTGACTATGCAAAGGAGAAACGCACCACAGATTGCATTTTCTTGGTATTGGGGCTAGGCGTTGGGCTGGGCGTGATGAGAGTACCGGTGGCGTGTGTGGTGGCCACCGGTGCACTCGTCACTCTCCGTTGAGATGGACGGGCTTTTCGTTGAGGTACTGCGCTTTCAGCAGTTCTGTCATCCTCCGACATGATTCCCTGCGAAAGCAAGAAGTCTTCAAACAATCACTTTTCCCTTGCTGGATAGTTCAACGTTACATTAACCTTACCTTGCGGCCGATATCGGAAAACGAAGGTGACATAGGACCCTTTGCTTGCCTTATCGTATGGCTTAATTTGCCACGTCGAAGGGCATTGTTCATAAGTAGGCCGCTCATCACCATACCTGAAATGACAATATTAGGTTTCCGCTACATCCTAGTCAGGAAAACATAAGCGTACCCTACGCAATGCCCTGATACCGTGGCTCGTGAACCTGCGTCGGGAATTGTTTGAAATGGATTGGCGCGTTTGTGACCATCCAAGCTCACGCGCTTGATCTTCAGCATAATAGTGCCAGTATTACGATTGCATTCTCTACTCGAGGCTGAAGCGGGTGGTTAGAACGAATTCTACTCCATCGGGGATATCACAGACATGCACCGTGGTACTCTGCAAATATGAACGGGCGTTCTGAAGTTGGGCCCGACCGTACACCTTCTCTCGACGCGTTCCCTGTTCCATACAAAAACCTGCCGGGAACGACGAAGCCATCCAAGGATATGAACGAGCACGTATGCACGTTCGAACCATGATCTCTCCAGTGAACTGAGAATTGCTTGTGGCAGAAAAGTAAGACAACTGGTTAGATTGCGGAAACGCGTCGCACCTTGCCCGCCTCACTGGGAATCCAACACGATACTCTACCAGCCTTTTCGTCGACCGCGACGAGGTATTCGGGGAGCGGTTGGTTGTTGGAAACGATCCACGCCGAGAATTCGCGGTGCGTAAGCATGCCACCACACGTTCGTCGATTGCAGGGCGGCAATAAGTTGCGGTGTGTAGTTGGGGAATGATATAGATATATGGCAATACAAACGAACGTCGTGAAGGGATCGTCAAGCAGCTAAAGTGCGAGGGTGAATAAGGTGAAGTGGAACTGTGCAACGGACATACCAAGAAAATACTGTACAGTATGGCCTCCCCTTGCTTTGTGGAGAAGCAAATGCCAGTGTTCACTTTGCACGTGCCATGAAGGCAAGGGTCGCTATAACAAGGATAAATATGGACCCACAATTCCGACGCGTGTCCGGATTAGGAAAGACCGGGTCGTGTCACATGTTCGCGCGTCGTCCCCTCGGCTGGTTGGGGTTGCGTCGCAAGTTCACCATGCCACCGAAACGAAAGGCATCCAACCCTGACCGCGAACTCGGCACAAGTTCCAAGTCAGCAACGAAGAAAGCCAAAGGGAATAACACTGAGGAATCTTCAGACACAAGTGGAAATTTGGCTCCGAACGGCCAGCCGACCAACAAAGTCCTACCAGTCCATATCTCCTTTCCACCGCGAGCAGAGGGAGCACTCCGTCTTGCGACATGGAACATTTGCGGATTGTCTACAGCCCAGAAAAAGGCGAGTATCCTCCTATTGCCTCCTGGTTAGGTTTACACCTGCAACCCAGGGCTTCAAATACTACATCGAAGCCGAGGACCCCGATATACTCGTGCTCACGGAGACAAAGGTGAGAGCTGCATTTGGCGCGTCTAATAGCTTTCCCTTCCAACACCGGCTTTCCAGGTGAACAGCGACCCACAAGATGGCGCACTAAACTCTCGTTTCAACTATCGTACTTGGGCAATTTCGGACAAGAAGTCTTATTGTAAGTTGTTGCAATGGAAATATGCATGTTGACCTGTTACTGCCCACAGCTGGAACTGCTGCACTCTCCAAGCATAAACCAATATCAGTCAGTACCGACTTGCCTGGGCACCCAGACCCAACCCTCGTCAAGGGGCGTATAGTTACTTTGGAGTTTGAAGGTTGCTACGTATTAGCTACCTACGTGACCAATGCAGGCCAGGGGCTAAAGGTACTTCGACCGTTTCTTCGTCTCAGCCGCTGCTGATTCGTTTGACAAACAGACTCTATCGGACAAAAATACGTGGAACCGACATTTCACTACGTATATCCGAGCTTTAGATAAAAAGAAGCCGGTAATTTGGATGGGTGATTTGAACGTGGCGCCGACGGCGCAAGGTAAGTAGCTTTGAACTTGCCCCGCCTATCCTCTGAGTCACCCCTGTTCCAGATCTCACCAATCCCAAACCGAATTGGAATAAGACGCCCGGTTATACAAAGGACGAAACAGAGGCATTCAAGAATATTCTCGATCCCCCCGAGCCCGAGGAAACATCTGGCAAGTTCATTGACATCTGGCGACAGAGACACCCAGATGATCACCATTATACCTACTTTTCCTACCGTTTCAACTGTCGCGCGAAAGGTATCGGATGGAGGTTGGACATGTGTAAGTCTTTAGGCCCTTATATCCCGCCGCTATACTGATAACTTCCTGGTCTTGAGTCGTCGTAAGCGAACGCATAGCGGAGAAGGTGAAAGTGTGCGAGATTCGGAGCGAGATTTACGGTGCTTCCGATCATGTCCCTGTCATTATGGAGATCGAGAGCGACGTGATAACGGGTATGTCCTAAATCCTGGCGCAGTAAATGGTACAGTACATGCGAAACTTCTTCCGAAGCTAACCAGATGTATGCATGAAATATCAGTATTCTCCGAATCGTACATGGCCAGTTTCCTGAGCGTGTGCTCTGGCTTCCTTCTCGCCTCTCAAGCCCTTCCCACAGATCTAACCGCAATCAAATGACCACAGGTGCTCATATGGATCGGTCTCACTCACCTCGCACTTCAAGTCAAACGTCGCAGTGTTCGTAAACGCTCTCCTCTCTCTTAGAATTGTCGCCAGTTTTTTGCCCGCTTCCAAGACAGGGTCATCCTCGTCTGTGGACATCTACACCGGCCACAATCAGCCTGTTCACCGGTGACTTGCAGGTTTTCTCTTACTATGGGGAAAACGGTTTGATCCCATTCCGCTGGAGCATCGACCGCCGGAGAGAGAGTTGCGGCATCATAGTGTATGCCGGAATAAATCAGAACACACCTGCCTCATCGAAATCAGCTTAGCAGCTCCATCTTCAATAACGTTCCTTCACTGACCTGTCCCCTCTGCTCTTCTCAGTTGGTGGAGTAAACCGATCGATTCGTCCAGTTTCAACGTCGATCGATGTGATTTCCGTTCCAAAATGATTTGCTAAAACTCCAAGTTCAATGGCTCCACCCCACACAGAGGGTGTAAGGATAGTCGAGATGTACTTGTCGCGGGGCATTCTACGTAGGGCATTCAATATTCATTCGCGGAACACGCGTAGGACATGCCTACCCCAGAATCGCATCATTGTAAGTCTCCGTGTTACTCCGTATGCCATCTGCCACAACTATTTACTGCATTAGCCTCTAAACCGTGCTGCACCATATCCCACTCACTTTGCCGCATTTTCTGCGCTTTATTGATGTCTTGCTCAAAGATCAGGGCAACAGATGAGAACAGACATGAGTTATCATCGGGAACGACCTGACGCGAATTGCTCGGAAAGTACACCCATAGTATCGAAGACAACCTGCTCACCCTGTGCACTAACACACTGGAATCTGATATTTCCACGAACGCAGGCCCGGTGCTTGATGGAGTGGCGATCGGTTGAGGGACAGGTGAGGAAAAAGACTGCGATATTGGTAGGGTCATAGTGCCAGCTGTCGGAGGATGCACCGCAGCTGCGATCGCTCTTTGATTTACTATTATCTGTTCTCCAGGTCTGAGGCCTAGACTAGACAGTGGCAACTCGGGTATGACCGTCAAGGTGCTGGGAGGATAACCTGATTTAACTGTGGGATTGCATTTAGTTGCCGTGGAACAATCATGCGTGATGGGCGCCTCACTTTCTTGGTGGGAAGGGGGAATCTGGGATGCTGCGAATATTTGTTGCTGCAAATCCCCTACCGTTGCACTATCGAAATCCAACTGAAAGGTCGATACACCTTCCGGATGGCGTAGACGAAGTGGTGCCATTGTCCGGCCAAAGAGGTCGAAAGGGACGTATGATACGTACCGACTGCGTCGTCAAAGTACGGGTACCCTAATCAGGAAATTATTCTGTAACACCTTGCAAGACACGCTGGGCTGCTGCTGGCACAACATGAATCTGCTCCGGCACGTTGATATCCTGTAGCTTGTCCAACGTCTCACGCTCTTCTGCCTCTCCCGTCTCTCTTTCCACCTCCTCAACCAGTTCCTTAAGTTCATTCTCCAAGTCGTCATTGTCAATGCCTGCCTCTGCAGCTGCCATGTCACCTCCAATCCTGACGGCATCATCGACCTCCCGTGCAGTAGCATTAGCAGCTGCCAATGCATCCATCGTTTCATCAATTTTTGCCCGTTGAAGTAAGGGATGATTCAAGATCGCTTGTAGTGTTACCGCAGACTTTTCATAAGTTTGCATAATCTGCCAAGAACAATCAGCAAGGCCGCTGGAATAAAAAAAATCCGTGTACCCAACCTGGATATTGCCAGCTGCGGTCTCCACGTCCATAAGCGTCGACTCCAGATTTTGAAGGGCGCTCAGCCTTTGGGTCAATATCTCCTCCAGGCCCTTCTTATGGCGAAGGTGAGCTAATGCAATTGATTTCTGTTGCTGACTCAGAGCAGTCGATATCCTGCTCGTCATTCTGTGAGTACCATTATGTTAGCGCACGGGCACGTTTTGATCCAGCGGCCTCTTACTCGTCAATCTTGCACTGGATCTTGTTTACTTGGCCATGCAGATTGCCCACGCCTGTCTTAAGCTCCAGGATACCGCGATCGATTGCTGTCACTTCTTTCTCTCGGTCGGCAGCGATGAATTTAATGACCTTCAAGGACCATCAGCGAACTCTTCGTAGCTGATCAGGGGTGAACTTACATCCTTATCCCTGACCAAAATCGGTCTATCCCTCTCCAGGTATTTCAACAGTACCTCGATATCCATCTCGCTTGCCGTCACACCTGGTAATACTTTCGACCCGAATTCCTTTCGGAAGCTCTCCGTGGTGTAGAGACTGTCCGCCAAACTCATTCCTCCACGAAAACTGTCTACCACGTCTGCGGCGCGTTCGACGAGCTTGAGTAGGACATAGTCACCCTGGACCCTCTTCCACATCTCGGCTTCACTGTACGAGTCTTCGGACTTGACAAGATCGAATTGTTCCATTGCCCACCATAGTGGCTTGCCGACGAGGAAGGATGCGACACGGTAAGGTAGCCAGCCGGGGTCATATACCGACACGCTCGACGAGAGGAACGCGGATAGTGGGATGAGAGCGTTACAGTGACGCAGTTCGGCCTTTACTAGTACCGTATACTTAGTAATGTACGCGAATGCACGAGTGTCACGTACAATCGTATGACCCAGTCCGAGGGGCTTTCCAACGCCGTCGAATCGTAGCCGATCCACCAAAGACCTTTGCGCATTCAGAATGAGCTTATTGCTCCTGTTGTGCGCCTCCTCTTCGCCTTCGGTTTCGGTTTCTTTTCCCTTCCGAGGACTCGGGTTCTCTGCTTGCCATCCTCGCGATACTAGCTCCTCCAAAGTGCGCTGCCACCAGTCAACATGGGCATGGTAGGATGTGGGATTAGAGTGCTTCTGTCTGGTTACGTCGGAATATAAGGATTGCAAACGCGACTTCGACGTAGTGGCATAAGTGGAATACGACGATAGAGACGGAGACGCGGACGCCATGAAAGCGCAGGACGAACAAGCATTACATAAGACACGGACGCATATCGTACGTGTTACATAAGCAACAGTTGACTTTATTTGGACATCTCCAATTGCAAGCCAAAAGTAACGGAGGTGTGTTGGAAACTACGCGCCGATGGTCTGTTTGATACTCCAATACGTATGACTTCAACGCATCTACTCTGGAGGCCAGTTTCTAGGCTTTCAGCTTGTCAGAGATAAGAACAGAAGGAAGTGAAAGAGACTTACGAAGAATCACTTATGGAATTTTGCACCAGCAGCCTCGATGTCTTCAATTTCGTCAGGTGTCAGCTCGGGCGCATTCTCCGTATCGAGGTATTCCTGAACACGCTCTACCTTCGCGGATGTCCTAAAAAGGTACCACAATCATTCGGGCAACCTCTAGCGGCAACCACGGAGATCACACATACGTCACGACAAGTATACCTTTTCGTTGGAAGTACTTGTGCAGTACTTGTCCTTCGGAAACCGTGGAGCCGCGTGCATGTTCCAGACGTACGCGTATGCGTTCTACCAGTGGATCCAGAGGGCCGCCTCTTCCTCCCACAAGTGGAGAGAGACCCCCGTAAGAGGACGTAACGATGTTGTATTTCTCATGGAGGGAAAGAGTGGGCTGGAGAGCCTTCCAGACGCAAGGGTGAACCTCGAGCTAACATATTCAATAAACTATATGATGCAACACAATTGCGAGATTATACCTGATTGACAGCGGGAGAGATAGTTGCAACCTCCAGTATTTCATTGAGGTGGTCAGCGGTAAAGTTAGAGACACCAATCGACTTCGTTAAGCTGGCATTCTTGGCTTCCTCCATCCCTATCCAAAGGTCCTTGAGCCTTCCCACATTCAGCAGCGCATGATGAATCAAATACAGGTCGACGTAGTCGATCCCCAACTTTCTCAGAGACTCTTCTAATGCGCTTTTGGGTGTATCCCCCGGTTGCAAGTTGCCAAGCTTCGTCGTGATGTACAATTCAGATCGTGGTTTCCCTGAGGCGGCAATCCCGGCACCCAGACTGTCCTCGTTCTGATATTGTTGAGCACCATCCAGATGAGTGGACCCGCTCTGGATGGCGGTGATGACTGACTGTTGAGCATCTTTGCTATACAGTGCGGTTCCCGTGCCAAAGGCAATCCAGGGTGCTTTGGTCCCATCGTTCAAAGTGAGCAGGGATATAGGCATCCTGCGTGGAGTCAACAAAGATAACGAAGAAGGGCCATGACCTGGCGCTTGATATGTAGGACGAATCTAATCATTCAAGGACGATACCAGGCCATAGCCAATGCGGGAATGCCAGGTATAGGAGATCGATCAATAGTAGGTGCTTTCCTGCCAGGTCAAGTGAATAACAAAACTACCAAACCCCGTGCCAGCCCTAAATCAGGCCCAAAAATCAACAGCGGGGCCATTTTCTTGGTTTCTCATCTTTTAACAACTACACCCAGGCGCACGCAACCACATGTTCGATTGTCTTAGCTCCTCCGGCAATCCTTCATCTCGAAGCGCCTCAGATAAGAATGCACACGGTGCACTCTTTGGCTGAACATTCTGGTTCCTCCGTGGATGTCCTCAGTCACCTGGTGTACCGACACCTGTAGTACATGCATATCCAGGATCGTTGCATAGATACCCACGTACATTGAGAGTAAGACACTTTGCCTGTTGGAGAAGGAGCAGTGGCAAAGGAAGCACCTGCTGGGATACTCTACATTGTGCAGCTACCCCAACCAATTTTAGAGCGCCGTTATAAAGCACATCACTTGGGTTCCAGATGTTCTAAATTTGGGCAAATTCGTGCATAGCGGATGTCCCTGCCATGACTGCTCGAGGCATGGGTACCTGGAATGGAACAGCTGTTTTGCATGCCAAGCAGTCTGGGCAGTGGCGGTGGCAGTTGGGTGTCCACGTGTTGCTCACTCCGTGGCGTTTCATCCATAGACACGAACATACACGGCTGCATAATCAATCAATAATTCCGTAGAATGAACGTACAAACTACAATATCCCGTGTGGAACCATCGAAAGAGTACTACGTGGCATCCAGAACACCCGATGCCGAGACAATTTGGACGATCAGGAGTAGGAAGTCAGGCGTCCAAGCAAATGACCAGTTAAAGTTCGGGAACGCCATTATATCCACCAGGACGCCCGCTTTGAAAGGCGTATAAGTTAGAGTGAACAGAGGGATTTTGGTAACCATTGGAAGGGCTCGTTTGGATAGTCGGGGAGGGTGGTGAGGTAGGGAACGTGCTGGGATCAGATGGATCCTGGAAGACGATATCTGAGCAATAGTACAACCCCACCGATATAACAACTCACATAGAGTTTCGGTTGAGTGGCAAGAGAAGTGAATGGGCTTGAGCCCATGTACATGCTATTGGTCGCTGGGGGCGGTGCTCCACCGTCTGTAGCGCTGAAAGGCGTTGCTTGTCGGCGACGGCGAAGGAAGAACCAAGTAGCTAGACCGGCTATGGCTGCCAGTCCAACTACCCCGCCCACTGCGCCTCCCACAATTGCGCTTGTATTGGTGGACTTTGAAGAAGGTTGGGATGAGGACGTTGTAGAAGAGCTTGGCGCTGCAGTGAGAGAAGCAACTACGCCCGTAGTGGTGGAGACGCTGGTAGCAGTGGCTGGCGCTGTGGTGGCTGTCGACTCGGGACTGTCTGGAGGGCTATGAGTGTACCGAGTGCATAATCTGAAACCCACTCACCTCCAACTGCTTGAGCAAGAGTTACATTGAAATCATCAGTTGTCTATAGTGCATTGATGACGTGAGAACGATGGAGAGTAAAATGGGAGAAAGAGACATACTACGACATCTTGATAAGCCCACTGAGGTATAGCAGTCCCGGTGGGAATGCTCTCTGGGTATCTACCACAAGTGTCAGACAAGGAAATCAAGTGAACTTGTACACTCCTTACCCAGGGTAAACCGTGGAGCAATTGGTAGACCATGAACTCCAGCTATAATGCACGATGAGTGAATGCGATGCGCAATTGAGTAGCACGGAACCCCTCACGCGATGTAGGTACGATTTTGACAAATAGAGCAAGCACTGATGAGAGAGTATGTTACAGTGCTGCATTCGCAAGGATTTGCCTCGTCGACGTAAGGACCAACGTAGTGAGTGTTAGGATCCAGTTGATCAACAGTAAATTCTAACAAAGAGGTTCTGAGCCATGTTCCGGACACGCAACACAGAAACGTACGACCACCGGAACACTCGCCTTGCACGTAAGCAGCGACGAGACAGGGATTCTGGTTCTTGCTATTGTCCATCTGAACGCCAGTGGTGTGGTGAGCGCGTCTAAAAAGCGGTCGACTGAGAACAAAGGGTGTGGCGTACCCAGTTGAACTGCGACAGACAGGAAGCTGTGGTCTGTTGGGCAGTTGCCCTCAACGGACGTATAGAAAGCAATCCTATCGCTAGGATCGCCAACGACGACCATTCAAGATTGAAGGGTATCATGTTGAGAGTGGGAGGAGAAAGGACAGATGGCACTGAACAAATGGCGCTTTTCAATTATTAGGTTCGTTGGCATTACTTGTTCCTGATGGCAGTTCACCAATCACGGCTGCTGTTACGGAATGAGAAACCCCTCGTCCGACCGTCAGATACGGTTGCGGCACACGTCCCCGGGCGAACGGTGCATTTGTACATTCCATATTTGCGGGTCCTTCATATACCATCCTGTTGTAGGTAGTCCTTGAGTTTTTTTCGGCAGTGCACCGGGCGGTCTGCAGCAAGCGGTGCCGCAGACATAAAGAAATTATTACTATACATGGAAAGACCCTTGATCTTTCTCTTGGCATTCAGTACTAGGCTGTTGATGGCAGTGTGTTGGCTCTGGGGATCAGGGCGGCCTGGAAGAACAGGGGCAGGCGACAGAAAGCCTAGAATCCCAAACACTACATCAATTGTAAGTGTGCTGACACCTGGTAAGGTAGTTCAACTACGAATTTTGTCTGCCAACTTACATGTCATCGATCATTGACATCCCCTAGTAACTACCAGCAACTGGTCAAGCGCTGCGCTAACCCGTGGGATTGAGTTATGTCAGCAACTACAACAGTCTTACTCATTTCCGTTCAGAGGCCATCACCTACAGTTACAACCCGCAAGGTGTTTTTCCGCTTGAATGGGAGCAAGGCGTGCTGGACAAGACGTTGTGTCCACGACCGAATTATGTAAACTCATGATGTTCATGTGTATATGATGCCATCTATTACCCACAGTTGGATCTTAAGCTGCTGTCATGAATGACATGGTTCTCATGGAGGTGACTATGTAGTTTCTGCTCTGCTTCGTTTCTTGGTGCACCAGAAGACAAAAAAGTTAGATTTAGTTCAAATTGCCCATTGCCTCGTACTACATATGTGTTCTCAGCATTAATCTGAAAGTCTTCGGAGTCGAAGACCAAAAACAGCCCCGAGCGCTGCATGCATTTAGTACGTGGGAGGGTTAGGGGTGGGCGTCTACGGGTCGTGGGATTGAATGACTAATACTATATAGTTAGCAGCCACAGTAACTTTGCCAAGTGTCCGACACCGTTCAGTACACCCGGTGATCAACTTCAAGACAGGCGATGGCGCCCTCAACAACGTGAGTAGAGCTCAAACTTGTAAAGGGATTGCTGGCTAATGGCGTGAACGCTGAAAGTGTCCCCACGGTCACGGTTAGTCAATTGGCGGTCGTAGCCTCATTGCCACATCTCTTGACGTTCCTGTCGTAGGATATTGAAGTCCCCGAGACCCTCCTCAAAAGGCGCAAGCAGAACGAGAAGGCACGGGAGGAGCGTCTTGCTGCAGCCTCAGCTGCTCGCAAGGTAAGTTAAAGTTTGGTTCCACACACATTCCTTCCATCGTGATGCATACGATTCAATCGTCGAATGGCTAGTAGTATTTTTTCTACCGTGTTGCCTCGCAAATTAACCATCTTTCGGGACTGACCTATATTTCCTTCCAATTTTTCTTTTCCACTCGAACTTAATCCAAAAATTCTTTTTCAGGCAGCCAAGGCAAAGCGCAAAGTTATTTTCAAGAGGGCGGAAGCTTATGTGAAGGAATATTTGGAAAAAGAGAGAGAGGAGGTTAGGCTGAAGAGGGTTGCACGGTCATCTGGCGACTTCTATGTCCCTGCAGAACCGAAAGTTTACTTCGTCATCCGCATTCGCGGGTAAGTATACAGTTCTTTGGTGGCACTCTGTCCTCTGACTCGTGGATAGTATCAACAATATCGCACCAAAGCCCCGCAAGATCCTTCAGCTCCTACGTCTTCTGCAGATCAACAACGGTGTCTTCGTCAAGGTCACCAGGGCAACTCAACAGATGCTGCGGCTAATCGAGCCCTATGTCACATACGGGTGAGGCAGGTCTTTGGGTATGCATTATTTTGAGGTCTTAGGGACGTTGCAGCGAGCCGAACCTCAAGTCTATTCGGGAACTGATTTACAAGCGTGGTTACGGCAAGATCGACAAACAACGCATCCCTCTTACCAACAACGCCGTCATCGAGGAGAAGCTGGGCAAATATGATATCCTCTGCGTGGAGGACCTCGTTCACGAAGTTGCTACCGCAGGCCCTAACTTTAAACAGGTACGCTCCCTCACACTTGCGTCATTCGTTTTAATGATTGTGCGTTTCAGGCAACAAATTTCCTCTGGCCATTTAAACTGTCGAACCCCACTGGCGGCTGGAGACAACGGAAGTTCAAGCATTTTGTTCAGGGTGGCGATTTTGGTAACCGGGAGACTAACATCAACAAGCTCATCCGGCAGATGAACTGAGTTCCTGCACGATCTACTTCGTGGGTGTGCGTCTACTGGCGTCATATGTGCAGTAGGGGAGGGCAGGCTTGTAGAAAATTCCTTTATGAGTATGCTGGCATGAATCCGACGTCATCACTTACACTAATCCCGGCTGCGTATGCTCTATGAAAAACGAACATGATATTGCCTGAGACGGGTTTGATACCGCGTGTGATGAACTTCGAGCTGTACGTGATGTGTGCAAGTCGCAACTCGAAATAGGCAGGACCCCTTTTCCCGTAGTGCCCCTGATCACAGTAGATGTCATCGCTCGATACCTCACGCAATGATGAACCAAGAGGTCAAGTTAATACCATATTACGGGACCTCAGGCAAGTCACCCACCTCGAGTGGTGCAAAACCTGACTTGGTCCCTTCTGTAAGGGGTGAACATTTTCGGCGTGCCCGAAATCTGCGGCGGTCACCCGCAACCACTCCACCGTCGGCCACTGTTCACAATCAACCCACTCTCCCTTTTGATGTGATCTTCAGCTACCAATCCCCCGACGCCAGTGACCGATCTCATCAGCAGCGAGACTCACGCATCGCAGGTCCTAAAGCTCCCCGGAGTTGGCGAATGCAATCGTCACCCACCTCGAAGGCTACTGACATTGAGGGCGTTTCTGGTGACGAAGGCTTTGATAAGAATACGCCTGCATGGCGTGAAATGGCCCTCGCACCCATTCTCTGTGAGTGCCCAATCAACATGCCAAGCCCACACGACCACGCCCATTCCGTCACTCTTCCTCCTTTGACCCAACTGTGTATCCACCTTATTCTCGCTACCTGTGGGGGTGTGGATCTCGTTGACCTAGTGCCGGGCATCCCGGTGCACCTACGGCGAGTTTTGATGCGCTACGCAGCTGTGCATATGCCGCTAAGTGTATCCGAACTTGAGGCACTCTGCGATGGGCACGGGTCAGCTACTGGTGACCTGATCGTGGTTGGTCCTTACGCATCGCTGCGGCGGGGCTGGTTTCAAAAGACGATGGAAGATGCGAGGCCGGGAGAAACTGTACATGGATCCTCAGCGCACCTTGCTACAACTGAGAAGTGCAGTGACGATGTTGAAGATACATGGGATGATACTCAATCCCTTGGTACAGAACCAGCACTTCTAACTAGGCTCTGTTTCGTATCCACGTTGTTGACAGTGCCGACTTTTCTCGCGCTCCCACCAACCATCACGCACCTAGCCCTCCTCAACATTCCTTATCAAGTTCCGTTGCAAAGACTGCCTACCATATGCCCACCTCTCGTCTTTCTGGATTTATCATACAACGATTGGCTCGGCCGTTCTTCTGCCAGAGGAAACCACATCCTGATGAGCATGACATGGTATAAGCTGCGTCATATCCAGGTACTTGGCCTGAGGGGGTGCCCCGTTGCACCCACTTTGCTCGCTGAAGTCAACTGTGGACATTGGAAAGACGTTAGGATCATCACATAAAAGATACTGGTATTCGAGACGCGTGCATGTACTGTGGGCTCAAACGCATTGGAACGTATGTAGATCATGAGAACATGTGAGAGAATGTAACATGCTCCGCGTACGAGGCCATTTCGATGTATCGAAAAGTATTAATAGGATAATATTATGATACGAGCGACGAGACTATGAAACGATACAGGAGTCGTTCCCAAGCCATCATATCATGTTTTCGTATTCAAGAAGCGTTGCAAATTAAAGGGCGGAATCTTGGCGAAGATCAATGAGCTCAAGTCAGTGGAACAAATCGAAAACTGGCTTACTTCGAGGGACTCCTTCTCCAGTCCTGCAGAGGTCCGGTCATTGAGAATCGGTAGCAGTGACACACCCGCTGGCCAGCGAGACTTTGGCGGAAGCCTAGACCTCATCGTGTGCAAAGTGGACCACAAACAGTGGGTGTAACGCACTGAAAGCTCCACATTGGAAATAACGGGCATGCCCATGCTATCTGTTATAGCAAGCCCATTAGATTAGCAGTGGTAATAGAAAGCCAATACGCGTACATAGTATCGCACAATCGACCTGTTCGGCGACCAGCTCACGACGTTCTTGCGAGAGGTACTTTGCTACGGGGCTCTTCTCGGGAACTTTGTAAGCAAGCAGTCCGCCGACGTTCATCAGCTCCTTCTCGTAAATTGTCCTATCTGCTGGTTTCCGGAGCGAATTCACCTGAGCATACAGTTTTTGTGCTCGGATCAGCAACTCGGTTTGACGTCTTTCCTCATCGACAGTATCACAATTCGAGGACCTTGCCGGAGGCGGGAAGTGCGCAACCATTGAGTCACAGGTCGAAGCTGGATAACTCAGCGGAAGTGTCCGACACGCTTCTATAAAGGCGAGAATGCGAAGGTTCAGGGACAGATGGACAGGGTTGACAGTAGTTTTTCTATACTGCAAGTGATTGTCTGATGCATCGTCGGAGAAGGCGTTGTCGGCCTCGTCCTCCAGACTCTCGTCCAGCACCCTTGGGAAGTGTTCGTTCAAGCAAAGGATGGCTTCCTCCACCCTCCCGGACAAAATATGCGTCTGTATGCCTGAAACCGCACGGTCAACGACAAGTTTCATGGACCAGACAAACGTAGGATGCTGCATAGGAAAGACCAGCGCATACATTCTCGTAGAGTGATACTCCGTATCACGTCGTCGCTCAATTCGGAGGAGGTTTTCTCCATCTGCCCTGACTCGGAAAGGATTTCGTTTCCGTCCCTGTCGAGATGCCTCACAGCACTCTCTTTGAAGAGTGCCTGTGCAGTCTTCGTGTAGCAACTGTGGCACAGGTAGTCTAAGACAAGTGTACGCTAATATCGAGAAAGAAAGCCGTTCATGGGGTTAGCCCGTGAATCTGATAAGATTTCGAAGCCATACTAAATGATCTGGTTGGGGCTGCGTCATCGAGTTAGGTTGTTGAGTTGTGCCACACTTCCAGTGAAGCAAGAGTTCACTCAGGAAGTGCTGAGCACGTGACTAATCGAGTACTAGTATGTCAGAGCTTTCTCAATGCGAAGTCCATGTGTGTAGTAGCTTGTAAAAATACATGTGGTACATCCATACTGTATCCTAAAACACAGTCTAGCATGCGTACGCAACCTCAAACACCGGCAACCTCGTTGACGCCTGCTAGCATCGAGATCCGATTTGTCTGCCCCCTGGCAGTGATGCTCGAACTCCGTTCAGCATATGAGTGCGCAAGTGCGTCCGCTCTCAAAAGTGCCGCTTGTTCCTCTGCAGTTGCAGTGCTACGCACAGCCGAATTTCCTCGGCTTCGCATCGTAGTACGCGGATGCCTCCCTTTGTAGAGTAAGTACTGAATGATGATAGCGATATCGAAGATGAAAGTTCCGCCACTGCCCAGTAGGTACCTGGCGGACATCGTTAGTAACTGGACCAGGTAGTGCATTGAAGTCGTTGCGTACGGTATACTCTCGCGCACGAATTCCGTAGATGCGGGGGGCGGCAACCGGATATTTGGAGAGGTCATAATCGAACAGACATAAAAGAAGTTGCCGAGGAATGCGAACACGAAGAGATAAATGGATAGGCCCTGTCACATCTTATGAGATATTATTCAATTCTGAACAATATAACTGGTTGCTTGACCTCGACAGACTTCCGGACATACTAAAAAAGGCAGAGCTCAGTCTGTTATACGCCGGGCAGCAAGAAAATACTGACGTTCTTCCATATCTGCGGTAGTCGGGAAGTAAGGTAGAGGGTGGTGCACAACCAAGCGAAGATTCGTCCAACTACACGTTCGAAGGGTGAAGACCCTTCAGACTGCACACGTATATGGGGGGCGACCCCTTCTAGTATCGTCGGCGGCTGTGCATAAATAGATGAATGTGAGCTGAATAACAAATTGTGGGCAGCAGGCAGCTGTGCCACCGGGGAAATTGCAGACTTCGACGCCAGAACGGTCCCGATGCCAGTGCTTCCTGATGATATCGGTCGAAATTGACTGCCAGCCAGTCCACTGACGCCGAACAACGCCCAAACGCTGAGGAAAATCATACCAGCACTGCGTCGACTAGCACGGGACCCTGTTCTCTGGTGAGTTTCTTCTTCTTCCTCTTGCTCCAAGCCTACATCGCGTTGCGGCTGTCTACCTCTCGCTAGCGCTGTAGACTCAATTTGCGTCGGTGTTATGTGTAGGGAAGAACGTGTAGCGTGCACCACGGGTGATACCGGACGTCTTTGGCAATTCGGATGGCGGTCGTGGCGTTCCTGGCTCCAAGAGACCCGCTTCCTGTTTCCGCTGTCTGAGTGAAAGCTATTTGAAAGAGCAGAAAGAACGGCATCGTCCACTTCATCTTGCACCTCCATAGACATGTGCGAAGGGGTGTGTTCCCCAAGAAATTGTTCTCCGTCCTCATCCTTGCGTGGATGCCTATGTTCTGCATGGGGGTCTGAGTGAGCAGCGAGCGCCGCGGCTGCCGCTACACTACCAGCAACGGCGGATAGTGTTCGATAATGGGAAGCATCAATAGAATGTGGCCGAACGAGGGATGTTGAACGCGAACGGGGATAAGCGTAACTATTCGGAGGGATCTTTGGACCACCTCCATAGTAGAAATACTGGCACAAAATGCAGCAGTCCACAGAGCAAAAGTACATGGCGAGATACGTCTGTGGTGATCAATTGCCTACGTGCTGGCCGAAGCATACAGAGTAGAAGCATACCTGGAAAGGTAGCTGGTGCGTGAGGAGGCAGCCGATGAGATTGGATGCATCACCAAGCATCCAGTTGAACAGGAAGGGGAGCGCAAGACCCTCGCAAGACTGTTGCTTTATGTTCTCGAGAATTTGCCTGCGGAATATCCATCCACTCTCCGTACGTCGAATGAGGAAAAGTGGAAACTCACGGGAACTGTGCCCCGAGCCAACAACCTATGGAAACGTATCCCAACAGCTCACTAAAGTTTTCCACAACCATAATTTACTCCCGACAAGGTATAAACGGTATGAGTGGGACGGGCTGGATATCGCGGGAATCTCCCTTGGAGGTATGCAGTAGACCGCTCAGACGGGCATCCCGAAGTTGAGCATTAAGGCTTCTCGGCCCATCCTCGGGCAAACAGCTCCCCCGGAACTTGACCGCTTTTGGAACTACCCCAGTATTAATTATTACCGGAAGCACAGCCAAAGAGTATGTACCGAGTTCGATCGAGGTAATACATAGTATCTTCTCAGAAACAACTACCTTGTCAGCAACCATGAATGGGAGTGGGAGGACAAAGTAGCATGGCTCTCGGCACCAACAATCATCTCCACAATCTGCAACATCGTGGGCCGTAGTGGCGGATCAGGTTTCCAACACAAAGAGCATATTTGCCACCATTTATTTGTGAGACGAGAACCAGTGCTCTTGTTCCTGGGCCGTTGTGGTAGTTGCCCTCCCATGATCCGGTTTACCACGTTGGCAACATTGCGGGTATCATGAAAAGGCACTTCACCGGTGAAAAGTTCCTGTGCAGAGTACGGTGGTCGATGGGGTTATCAACAAGGGGTAACTTGAAACCTACCAGCGCAGTTAACCCGAATGCCCACACATCAGCTTCGGCAGTCACGTTGCCGGTATTCAAGTACTCCGGAGCCATCCACTGTAGAGTACCACCCCTATAGGGATCCTCGACAGCCAAGTCAAACGCAGAGTTGGCAAGACGGGAAAGGCCAAAACCCGTGATAAGCGGTTGTCCTTCGTCAGATATCAAGATGTTGGTCTGCTGTAGAGATCTGCAAACCGAAACCAGAAGCAGTAAATGAAGCTACTCACGCCTTTCACATCGCCGTGATATACCGGTGGTTGATGATTATGGAGGTAACATAATCCTTTAGCTACTCCCAGAATCTGAACTTGAATCGATGACGAAACAGCCAACTGATACTCCATGAGCTTACCAGAGGGCGAGGATCAATGGTGCGATTTTGCACGTATTGGAGAGCGTTTCTATCCATCCAAGGTGACACTATCGAGATAGTGTTGTCAAATGCGGTGGTAATACCCAACAACGGAAGAATGTTCTTGTGACGGAGTTGACACCAGAGGTATACCTCCCGTAACATCCGCTACCACGGTCCTCAGCAAAAACGGGGGATAAACGTTAACTACAGACCTTTCTGCCGTCGTCCTCTTCTTTCCATTGGCGAATAATCCTGATCGCTATCCTCCTACCTTCTGGCTGCAGTATCCCCTGATATACGGTAGCGTAATTGCCGTGAACGACTCTAGTTTCGTCTCGCTCGACGAGCCACCCAAAGTTTATGCAATAACGTGAACCAAGTCGCAGCAGTCTGTCAAAGTCTTCTTGACCAGCTTGCTGCGTTACTTAGGTCTGTTCACTAGCTGATTCGAACAAGGATACGCACTTGTCTGCTGGGTAGATCAGCGGGGAGCGACATGTTCTGTTCCATTTACGTGCGGTTGCGCTTTAGTAACAAACACCATGATACTCGTCACAGTACACAGCCAGGGCTGTTTGTCTCAACCATCTCGTTAACACTAGGTGAGCGCTGGGCTGCGTACCATCTACGTACATTCGCAGTGCAATCGCAAGTCGCCAACTCGTAGCTAACCGTTATTGTATGGTTTAGGCACTACGATCTTTTGAAAGACATCCATTTCATGCCAGTGCAAGAGTTGCTGAGAGCTTTCGAAATCTACGTTTCCGGCCACGTGCCTTCACATCTACTTGATATCCGTGATATTGGGACCGCTAGCAGCATCAGCGACGTAAAGCTATTAACAAGGGAGGATGTGAGGAACACGGCGCGCTTAAGGATAGAGATGGTCACGGAGGCGGATATCCTGGCGAATAAGGCTCTGCTGGGCTGCGAAGAATGGGAGGACTGGCGCTTGGGTGACATGACCCCTCTAATCCAGATGCAACTCAAATATGCTATTTTCTCCCATCGCTGGTGCAGCACTGGTGAACCATCTTTCCATGATATTTCCACCGGGATAACATCAAGCCGTGATGGATGCGCGAAGCTTTTGAATTTTTGCAAGAAAGCAAAGGAATTTGGTTGCGATTACGCCTGGTCGGACACCTGTTGCATAGACAAGACTAGCAGCGCCGAGTTAGAGGAGGCCATCCGGTCTATGTACCGGTGGTACGGCAGTGCCGAAGTGTGCATTACGTATCTTGGAGCATCGTCGAGCGTGAAGGATTTCGACGCCGAACCATGGTTTACCCGTGGATGGACGTTGCAAGAGTTGCTTGCACCACGTCGGACGAAATTCTATGGCAGGGAGTGGGTTCCCATTCTTTCCCAATTACCTCTCAAAAGCAACGATAAAGAACAAGACGAACTATCCGGTGCCATCGAGTGTGTCACTAGGATACCTTGCCACCAACTAATCGCTTTTCGTCCAGGATGCTACAGAGTATGGGAGAAACTGCTCTGGGCATCAAGGCGCACAACGACAAAACTGGAAGACATGGCTTATTGTCTCATCGGAATCCTCGATATTAACATGCCCATTGCGTATGGAGAAGGCGAATGGGCCTTCCATAGGTTGATGGAAGTAATCCTGCAGAGATGTGACGAACCCGAGATTTTCGCCTGGGTTGGTTTGCCTTCCATGTACTCTCTCGTTTTGCCTAGCTCTCCCGCATGCTACGAGGCTATCTTGGACTCCATGTCTGCGAAAACACTACGCCTAGAGCCGTCACAGAATCAGCAGATATTACCCGCGTGGACCTCAAACATAGGAGACAGGACATTCACGCTGACAAAGCACGGGCTGGAGATCGATCTTCTCATGATAGACGTAGAAATGGTCGAGATCGATGAGAGCACGGGCCACCATGGTGACGCTTGGCTCACTCTGCGCCCAGACTGGAACTTGCCCGAAGGCACAAGGGCCAAAGAGACGATTAAGGTCCACACCGATATTAGGCGGTTGTACCTGGAGCCCCAGTGGGTGTTGGGCGTAATCAATTACGAGAAAGCGTCCACAAATTACGGACGGCTTGGTGCAGGCAAAAGCTACCTATGTTTTCTATTGGGAAGTCCCTATGATCCTACTAGGTGGACGAAATTTTACACGAGAAACCTTCTTATCCTTCCTTGCGAGCATGATATGGTGGGGCCGCTTCGGAGAGTTTGCCTTCGGCAACGGTCGGCTACTCAGGAATACCTACCATGGCTGAAGGCGACGAGAATGTATGGCTGATACCTTTAGTAGACTTGTCAACCGGCTTTATTGCAGCGTGCGACATGTAAAACAGACTAATGGTAGTCGAGAAGGCTTTGCATCAATCTGAGATGGGTGAATCGTCATTCATTGTCTACCTGCAAAAATTCTGAATTATCGAATGACGTCTCACCTGTCAGAGGTTCGCGTACTTCTATATTCTGTACCATCCTCGGCACTGCGCCGTTCCACACTCGCAGCGTTCCGCATCATGCTTGATTTTAATATCGAAATCTTCATCCAGGTAGGGTTGATAGTTGATCGTCAGTTCCGTACCTGCCGCGATATCCTGGCGAGCAACGAAAGCCACATATGGCATGTTGACCTACAGACAAAGCTTGTCAGTTAGCGACCTAGAAGTGCCGTTTTATCTGGAATCTGCCTAACGTCTGGAATCGTATCGTATACGACGGAATATACGACCATGTTCGGATTACAGGAATGGCTAAATCTGATCAGAAAAAGGAACCATGGCCATAAAGGAGGCATGATGGGACGTACTTTACGAACCGGGTCCAGTTGCCTTTGCTATAAGTCAGTCACCAATTGACAGTAAACAGTGGAAGCCAGATACCACAAGAATACGAATCAACCGTGTACCTGTTTCCAAGATTTTCCTCGTTCTTGATTTCAGTGCCGTCTAAGTCAAAGAGGTAGCCGTAATGCTCTTCCGGAATTGCGTCGACGTCCTCTCGTCGTCTACGAATGGCTTGTTTTTTGGAATCTAGCTCATAGTTACGGAAACACACTCACATGACTTTCCTAAGTGCTGCTATAAATATTTCGGCTTAGAGCACAGTAGGCTACATACCCTGTATAGGTCCCAACAACCTTCCCTTTCGGAACGTTTTCCAATGTTCGCGCGCCCCAGCCACACCGCTTTGTGTCGAAGATCTCTATTTCGACGTCTCGGGGCTGTTGAGCGACTCGATTTTGACAGCGAGGGCCACAGCCGCAAAACTATAGGCAATGGTGAGGCAAGCAACATCGATCGCGCCCTTCCTGTCGAACCTTGTTACATTCGATGACTTCTGTGCCTTGTGGCACGTTGAAGGTGAATAGGCCCTGCGTAACATGAGAGGTTATCAATGTATTGACGACAGATGACAAAACCTTGGTATAGGCGTAAGTTTTCCTCTGCAGCGAGTCCAGTATCTCAGAGATCGCTTGGCAGGAGCAACGAGAGGCATCCAGACACTGAGAGCAATCACAGATAGTAAAGACATCACGAGGAACGTCGAACACCTGTTGGAGACCATCATCGCTGGGCTGGAGTTGGTATCAATGATACAGCTCGCGGAGGACCTAAAACTCACAACAAATAGCCCCTTTCAATGTACTTGAACTTGCTTAGATCACGAGGAATGTTTTCGTCAGCAATGCTCCTATCAATCCTGACCTCAACCGCCATGACATCCCTCGCGGCTCTGGTCCACGCACGCTCCAAGCGAGAACGGCTATAACAGTGTTAATAGGGACTCCTGTTTGTAGGTAAAAGCTTACAGCGTTTGGATAGAGTATACGACACGTGATTCAGAAGAACTTGAGGTTGTGGAAGGCAACTGCAAGTGTGCCGCTGTACTATTCGATGTACCAGATTGCGGCGACAGAGGGATTGAGATATCGAGCCGTGGACGGCCTCTCCTTGGACTGCTAACTGAAGACGACAATTGGGAAGGAATATCACGCGTAAGAATGAGCTGCGCAGGAGATGACGTCCTCCCACGTCTTTGAGAAGGTTGCGATGCAACATTAGTATTTCTCCTTACTCTGAGTTGGGGTCCACTGTCCTCTACACTGCGTTCCTGAAGTCGCTTGTATGCGTTCTCAACTTCTTCATCCCAGTTCGCAGTTGATAAATCAGAGAAGCGACGTTGCTTCTTTTCCTCATATCCTTGTGAACGTTGGTGAGTTAGACGTTGGTGAATGGTGTCATCTTTCCATCGAACGTCCATATCAAGGTCGTTCTCTGCAAGAGCAGCACGTTTCCTGCTTTGCATGCGTTTCCAGCGGTTGACTAGGTCGGGCCGATCAGGAATGTCACTTTGCCATGTCGTGTTTGACCCATCTGCTCGAGACCAGTTGCCCCATCTAACCTAGTTGTTGCAAGGGGTCATTGAAGAAGGATAAGGCAACGATACAAAGAACACACTTCGTATCTGGATAGCAACAGTCAGAAGGTTCCCCTTCGCTACTACAGTGCATACCTTGGGGTGCCGTCAAGACGAATCTCTTCCCCAACGATACCTTTAATTGGCCATTCGCAATTGTCATTCCCACCTGAAACGTCGCTCCAGGATTCTTCAGGTGTCGGTGAACGCTCCCATATCATTGACATCGTGGTGGTGGTCGTCAACAGGTGATTCGGTCACGTGCACTAGCGTCGCGTCTTCATGTCATGACGCGCACCTGGGTCCGCTTTCTGTCCCGAGTGTCATGCTCAAAGGCGCCCCAACGACCGCAGACGGAAAAGTAGTGGACAGACTCCAAGAAAGCACACGTGTTTACAAACCATTCAAGCCACCGTCAGTCCTAACCAACACTGAGCACAACCATCCTCAGCGTAAGCGCAAACGCGTCTCATACAAGGAACAAACGAACGAGAATAGCGACGATGACGAGGACAACGGAAGAAAACGAAATAAGAAAAAGAGGGATAATGATGGGATGTATACCGAAGAAGAGCTTAAGGCAGCAATCAAGAAGTATCCGGTGTACAAGCCGAAACCCTTCGACATGGTGCGGCGCTTCTCTATGCCGACAATGAGAAAGAATGGGGAGGTCGTTCAGTTAGTTCCCACCGGTATTGCACTCGGAATAAGACCGCCAGCAACGTTTATTCCACGGCCCTTGCATGATCCTATGGAAGATCATGCCATCGTACTCTATGATCCAACCATAGACGATCGCGAAACCGAGGAAGAGAAGATGGAAAGGGAAAAGGAGGAGGCGAGAGAGAGGGCAGAAAGAGAGGCCGAGGAAAAGACTTCCGGAATGTACAATCCGCATAAGAGTCTGCGCGCACTCTTGGGTGAGGGCAAGGACAAGAAGGCAAAGGTACCTAAGGTACCCGTGGTAATCGACCCTCGCTTATCGAAGGTCCTGCGACCACATCAAGTCGAAGGCGTGAAGGTAAGTTTTCCGTATCTAGCGTGATGCTTGGGATTGACAATTATGCCACAGTTCTTGTACAAATGCGCGACAGGCATGATGGTTGTGAACCAGTACGGCTGTATCATGGCAGACGAGATGGGGCTTGGGAAGACGCTCCAGTGCATAGCTTTACTTTGGACACTCATCAAACAGTCGCCTCATCCAGGGAAGCCCGCTATAGAGAAATGCATTATTGCTTGTCCAGCCAGTCTAGTTAAAAATTGGGCTAACGAATTAGGTATGCAGTGCATGAGGTTATCTCCCCTCACTTATGCTAACCGCGCATAGTCAAATGGTTGGGAAGAGACGCCATCTCCGTCCTGGCCATAGACGGTAAGGGCGGTAAGGCGGAACTGATTGAGAAGGTCACCCGGTGGGTAGAAGCCAGAGGGCGGAGTGTTACACAACCTGGTGTGTGCGTTCGCGGTCATTTCGGGCTGGGCCTTCTGACTGTTCTTGCTAGTTATGATCGTTTCCTACGAGACACTGCGTACGCTGAGCCCCTATCTGGCCAGCTGCAGCATCGGTTTGCTCCTCTGTGACGAAGGTCACAGGCTGAAGAACTCTGGTTTGTCAGCGTCGTGGTCAGCGCGATATCGAGGATTCTCATGTATGGCGCTTAGAGTCACTTACATTCCGGGCACTCAATGCACTCGATGTCAAGCGACGCGTCATATTGACGGGTACGCCAATCCAGGTCAGTGGCCTTGTCATGACCGCATTAGGATATTGATGCACTTTCCTTGTTAAAGAATGACTTGTCCGAGTACTTCTCGTTGCTGAATTTTGCCAACCCTAATTTTTTGGGTACCCGTGAAGAATTTCGAAAAAACTTCGAGAATGCCATCATCCGGGGGCGTGATGCGGATGCCACTTCGGAGGTACAGGCAGAGTGCGAAAAGAAGCTTAAGGAACTGGGCAATCTCGTCGCCAAGTTTATTATCCGGCGTACAAACGACTTGCTTTCCAAGTACCGTGAGTGTGTTATTTATGCTACCTTCGACCGGTGATTTAACGAAAGCTTTGCCTGTCGCAGTCCCTGTCAAGTACGAACATGTTGTTTTCTGCCGCCTTTCGGAATTCCAACTCGCATTGTATCGCTTGTTCATTTCCTCCCCCGAGATTAAGGCACTTTTGCGTGGAACGGAGTCTCAGCCATTAAAGGCCATAAACATCTTGAAGAAACTCTGTAACCACCCAGAGTTGCTCAATCTGCCCGATGACCTCCGCGGCTCAGAAAAGCTTATCCCGGAGGGGTTTGGAGGGGCCAGTACAACTGGAAGAAACAAGAACAAGCATCAGGCCGTAAACTGCGCATGGGGCGGCAAATTTGTTGTCTTAGAAAGGTTTTTTTTGGCTCCTTCTGTGGTACAGCAGACGCGCCTCAAATCTGATATTTTTAGATTTCTGCATCAGATTAGGACGACTACAAACGACAAGATCGTGCTGATTAGCAATTATACCCAAACACTCGACTTATTTGAAAAGCTTTGTCGGAGCCAGCAGTAAATATTCCGCTATCTGGCCTCCTGCGCGATGTTGACATTTCCATCACCGGAGATATGGTTTTTTTCGACTCGATGGGACCATGTCGATCACTAAACGTCAGAAACTTGTCGACCAATTCAACGACCCTAACGGCAAGGAGTTTGTATTCTTGCTGAGTAGCAAGGCTGGTGGATGCGGTATCAATCTCATTGGGGCCAATCGGCTTATCCTGTTTGATCCCGGTAAGTGAAGTATGTTTTTTTGGTGCTGACAGCTAGAATGGTTGGGGCAGACTGGAACCCCGCTGCTGATCAACAAGCTCTGGCCCGTGTCTGGCGAGACGGACAGAAGAAAGAGTGTAGGTATATTTATGTTCAGGCTGTGGTCCCGTATTTAAACCTCCCCCTAGGTTTTGTTTACCGATTCATCTCTACTGGGACTATCGAAGAGAAGATATTCCAGCGTCAGGCATCTAAGCAAGCACTTTCCTCTGCCGTTGTAGATGAGAAAGAAGACGCAGAAAGACACTTTTCCGTGGAAGCGCTGCGACAACTCTTCACATTCAACGAACATACGCTCTGTGATACCCACGACACGTTCAAGTGCAAACGGTGCAAGAACGGGAGACAAGTTATTAAATCATCGGCGCTGCTCTACGGGGATGCTAGCACGTACGTTTTTATCGCTGCGTTTATCATGTCTTTCAACGACTCCTGCAGATGGAATCACTTCACGAACGAAGAGCTCAAGGGAAACCACGACGATCTCCTCCGCGCTGAGGTTGGTTTGCCTGAGGTGTCTTACGTGTTCCAGTATATCAGTCACTGAGTCTTGCTATACACCCCTATCCTGTAACGTACAGCTGAGATACTACGTAACATATTGTACTACACAACTATCCGAGGACATCGTCCCAGTCGCCCCATTCGCCCCCAACGCTCCTTACTTTCACCTTCTCTCCAAATTGTCCAAAGTATGCTGCATTGTGCCATCTTTTCATCTCATCCTCACTAAATGGGCCGAAAGTGTCGCCAGTCTCTGCCCCGACGACGTTCCACCTGTACTCGTACTTTATATCTGCTGAAGGGGGCATCCAATCTTGAGCCACTTGTCCGCTGGCACGTACGGAGCGAACAAGCTCCTCGTAAGTTTTTGAATAGATATCGACATCACCAAGGGAGAGGACCTTGGATGCCAGGTGAGTTATGAGGTCAATGTCTGACTGGATTGTGGATGGCTGTTTTTCCGATACTGGAGCCACATCATTCTTCGTCTTCCCATTGGGAAGCTTCCTAGGGTCAGGTTTTAAAGGGCTGCTCGGCCTTAGAGATGCGGGAGCGCTTACTTGTTATTTTGTTGGTTCTTCCGCAATCTGTTACCCAACCGCGATAGTGCCTCCAATACCGTCTCCCCACGCTTAAGAAGTCCAAGGAGTTGGATCTCTAGAGCACCCCTTCCTCCACTCTGTTCCAACTCTCTCTCTTCGGCTTTCATCCTTTCCTTCTCGACACGATCCTGTTGCTTCTTCCGACGTCTAGCGAGTTTGATATCATTTTCGCTAACGCCTTCCATCCACCGGTCGTGTACACTGTGAGGATCGAAAGTCTTGATATAAGTCCCATCCGCCGAGAACTTGCCCTCTTCCATCTCCTCTCGCATGTTGAATGATGACAGTTCGTAACCCATGCCGGCCTTTTTCCGTCGTTCCGCATCGTCCTCATCTTCTGGCTCGTCATCCTCGTCTGAATCGCTTTCTCCTTGCGCTTCGTTGAACTCCTGTCCCTCGATATCTCCTAACCTCAAGTAGCTTTCCTTCTTCTTACCGCCGTCGTCCGCATGCTCCTCCTTGTCTGCCATGGCGAACATGTCTTCTTCTTCCGCGGTATCTTCTTGCTTGTCCTTCCTCCGACTATACACCACGCCCTCTCCGTCGTCGCTAGAATCCGACTCATATCCCTCAGTCTTAACCCGGCCTTTGCGTTGCGTGGAAGGGGTCTCGAGTGCCGCGTCTACTTCCTCGGCAAAGTTGGTTGGATCTTCGCTGGGCTCCACAAATCGTGTCTTTTTCGTTGCATGGGAAGGAAGGGAGGTTGTGGAGGCCTCAGCACTTGACGAGGTTGCTGATCGTTTCTGTGCCTGTCGGGCTCGCATTGTCGGGTTTCATGTTTGCGCTTGCGGCAAGTCAAGGAATTGCACTAGTCAGATATTTGTAAATATTTGCTTGATTTCCTTTTTGGGTCATCTACGACCCACACCTCAAGACTCTAGACATAGATGATTGACTGCGGGTAAACGGGAACAATATGACGCCGGTAAATTATGATACGGTGGACTGCGCCGCATAGGCAGCCTCCGCATATGTCGAAAAATTCTCAATTGATGCGCGCGAAACTAGGAGAGTGAGGGGTAGGCCGACCAGGTGAGTTGGAGTGGAAAGCCTTTCCGCTATGGTAACATTCTCTGAAGAATAGAGTACAAGAACGTCCACACCCGAGGCCGAGATGAACTAAGACTCTTGTTTAGTGCGCGAAAGGAAGCATGGACGTAGCATACCGTTCGGTTAGATTCAAAATGTCGTAAAATACTTGCAAATTGTTCTTGTTGCTGGGTATCCGCGGAGGCATCTGGAACAACCCGAGCCACGCCATGGCTCCGCAACGCGTTGACAATGGCCAGTGCATCGTTCTGACCATAAAAATTGCCTGCTCGGCCATTAACGGATTTGCCTATTCTGAGGTCACCCATGCCGTCTTTCACGAGAGTGGCATCCCTCAACGTAATGGGTATTGAGAGGGTGTCATTTACTATAATTTTGAACGACGTTGGGGTGCTATGTTACAACGTTCAGAAGCGGCCGCGCCACGTAATCAGAAACACTCACTCCTTTTCGTTAGTTCCGCTGTGTGAGGAAGGGTTCGACGTGGTCCCTTGGTATCTACAGATAAGTTAGAACAAATCGGCATAAAAAACGATCAAAGTACTGACAGAGGACCAAAGATAGTAGACCTCAGTGAAGTCGGTCCTTCACTAAAAGCGGGTGCGGCTACTCGTGTCGAGGGGAACAGTAGCTCCTTAACCAATGCAAGGCTGTTTGACGACATTAATTTGGACACACACGCAGGCTATAGATCTTACTTCTTCTTTACAATGTCCTCAGCGGGAACCGACTCAACTGAGCCATTTGCATCACCCGACTCGTTCGTCGGGACAAACGATGCTTCTTGTGCCTCGAACGTATCCACCTTCACAGCTCGGTCTTGGCCATCCTCCTTCGCCGTCTCCGAACGCGGCTGACCTAAAGAATCATTTGCAGATCTCTCAGCTGGGAGGTCCGTTTCGTCAAAATCTGGTAGCGCAACATCACCATCTCCCATCCCAGCTAGTTTCAAGAGGTCACTCCCGGAGGGTTTTGGATCAGTAAATGTTCCCGATGCGTGATCCTCAACATCCATTTCTCCTACAGCATCCTCGTCACTCCACGAGGTCATTACCACGCCAGAATCCCCATTACCCCACGCAGGCGCTACTTCCGCGGTGTCTTCAGGTTGAGCACGAGTAACATTGACGGGTGTAAACTTTCCTTTGACAGTAGTAAGTTTTCCTTTGGAAGCCGTTAAAAGAGAGCTCCGGTTCCTGACCAGCAAGCCCGCAGACGAGCGACCAGGACCCGGTTTTCCTCCCCGCTTCGCAATCATACGGGTTGGGCCAGCGCCTGAGGTGCTCGTGGTGGGCATCGACATCAATCGTGCCTTGGCGGTGATAGCTCTCGCTGATGTTTGAGGCGATGGGGCATCAATGAGCTTGACCAACGGATTCGCTGCTCGAGCTCGATGGAACGGAGTAGAAGAGTCCTGGGATCGTTGACGAGTGCTATTTACGGTAGACGGGGGTGAATCGAACAGTGGGTCAGGCGAGCTGGGTGCTGACACAGTAACCTCAGCTGCTGGAGCCCTTGGTGACGTTGGGGGTGTTTGTACCTCGCCTGGATCTGCCTGCTCGACATCGATTGGTTGACCGCTGTAAAAGTGCTCCAAATCATCGAAAACTGGCCTAGTTTTCGACACCGAAGAGCGCGTCGTGCCTTCGCGCTGAGGACGCTCATCTCCATCCTCCATACTCGACTGCCTGAGCACATCCTCGACTTCCTGAGTCTCTATTTCGAAATCTGGATCGATTTCACCTTCTGCGTCAAGCTCGGAGTTGGTTGTAGACGGCGAGTTCCTGGACGCTATTCTTCTAGGCCCAGGGGATGAGGCTCTCCGGCGCTTGGCATTCGGCGCAGATTTCCCACTGGATGATTTGCGTCGCGAACGAGGGGTTCTGGCTTGACTTCTGGGTTGTATGCTTTCCAACACATCATCGTAAGGTCTCTGCACCTTCCGGCGCTTGCGGGGTGTTGTGATGGGCGCAGATATGGCATTGCTGCGCCTAGGGGACTGCCTGACGCCAGATGTACTCTGCTTCCTCTTAAGGCCCTTTTTTTCTGCATCCGCAAGTCAGTTGACAGAAAGACACTATCCTCGAGAAGGACCATACTTGGTGGACCAGATAAAAGGATCTCTTCACCTCTTTTGAAAGCAGTGGCAACGTGAATATCCCTCCCTCCGATGTCAACGCACTCCCAGAAGTTTTCAATAACTTTCTCAGCCCCGTCGGTGAAATGCTCTATAGGCTCCCACCTGCAGATGGTAATAAATCAATGATTTTCGATTAAAGCCTTGAAGTGTCGCGACGCACGTGCATTCATCCCAACCATAGCCTTTCCACTTGTGAGTGGATGAGCACCGGATGCTAGATGCCACGATAAAGAAAAGTGTACCTTGACATAGTATCGCTGTAACGTAGCCAGAGGGTCGTGTTCAACGCTAACTGGGGATAATATCGTATGCACATACCCATATCAGTTTCTTCCCTCTCTTGTCGTGAACGCGAGCACGAGTGACAGATTCTGAAAGGGCGTCTAGTGATTCGCAAGAAGGACTGGACTACGACTGACCGACTTCATATTCCTGTTCGCTGTCAGACATGCTGGAGTCGTTGTCGTACTGCAGCGATGGAAATATTGTTGAATGTTGAATTTCAAGCCGCTGCCAGTCACGAAGGGCCAATGCCTTGTGTCACGTGCAATAGTCAATTTCCGTTACTACATACGAAAAGGGCATCTGCGCCCGAAAATACAGAGTACGCTACAATTATCAATGCATGATAGCAAGTAATCGGCAAGAACAAGTTGATCGAAGTAACTGGTAGACGATCAGGCCTGTGTCCAGTTTGTGGGGACCACCCGTGAAGAGATCAGACACTCCTTAACCCAAGTTACAGTTGCAACTGTAACTGCTCCTAGATCCTCAACATCCGCAGTGTCTTTAACGATGACGTAGTCGAAGGATCGCAACTCCTTAGAAGACACTTGTTTAATGTCAGTTATTGCCTCGACCTTGGACGCTCCCATGCACAAAATGATCCAAGGAACAGCACGGGTAGCTTCCCTGACACGTCCCAGATTTGAGGCGTTCTGTCATTGTATGATCAACTCATGTCGTCATAATAAACCGCGACAAATCTACCTTCCTGCCCCGATATGGAGGTACAAAATCAGCACCAATACAAAGGAACTTTCTGTCAGAAAACAATTTGGGCGACACTCTGTTTGACAGTATGTCCTGCAGATACTCTGAACAGTTACCCCAGTCAAGGTCTACAAGCTGTGAGACTCGGGCACCAAGAGCGTCGGAATAGCCAGCTGAGAGCAAAAAAGGTTGCCAGTCCTTTCACATGATCAGTTTCGTGCCATCAGATAAGTTAGAATCATACCTCCGAAAACTTGGTGACTTTAGTGAGCCACTCGAAGGAGAGACACGGAATACCAAGAGCAAGTGCGATCAGAAACTTTGGCTTTTGGTTGGCGTCATCGGCCAACAAGAAAACTCTGTCCAGAGCGACGCCCTCCTTGAAATGGAAATCATCTGGGGACACTGTCCAACGCTTATTGGATTGACTATGTCTCCCCTCCATCGTGAATACACTCGACCAATCGTCAATGAGTTCCCCGCCATGCTGCTCGATAGCACTTATCGTGCTCTTTTTAGTTTGCTCGGGGTTAGAATTCTTCGGGCTCAACGTAACAACGAATCCCGTCTTGGCAAGTTCTCGCTGCGGCCTTCCAGAGAGGCTTGCAAGCGATTGGTGGGATGGCGTTGCAGTGTCAGTTAATAACCTTGGCTTGACAACAGTAACAATGGCCGCTGGATTCAAAATGCGGTTCTTCCACTGGTTCTGAAGGGCACGATTCGCGATTCGGATGTCTGCAAGCTCCACCTCGGATGTCATGGTCTTTTTCCCGTCATCGACGATGACCAGGAAGGTACCACGCGATTCCAACTCGCGAACATCCGAAACTTTCCCTCGAGCACCATTCGACACGATGACATTGTCCCCCACGTTGAGCTCGCAACATCGCATGTTCTTGAGCTCGACCTCATCCTCTGTCCCGTCATCAAACTTGACCAAGTACTTCGTGCTGCCCCGTCGAGGGAGCGCGGAATGAACGACTCCGGAGTAATAGTGTCCATCCTGCTTCCACAATGCAAACACCCTCGTAGCAGGTTCGCTAGCAGCGCGGCTGGTTGATGCACCAGAACGCAGGCGCTTTATGGAACGTGCACCAGGGGCGGGAGTTGCGGAAGGTCTGTGGACAGAGGTACCACCTTTCGGTGCACTACTGGGCTTTACCTCGATACGCCTGCGTTTGTGCAGCAAGCCGGTCTTAGGAACTGAGGGTGGAGAAACGACATCCATGTCATGGTCATAGGTTGAACCAGAGTCCTCTTCTTCTTGTTCTTCCATTTCTATTTCCTCTTCTTCCTCCTTCGCAAACATTGGAAGCTCCGAAGACCCGTCATCTTCAGAGCTCTCGGTGCTAGCGCTAGGGGGCCGTTTCCTTTTGATACCTTTGCTTGCCGCAGACATGGACCGACCCCGGGGAGCCGTAGGAGCGTCCTTTGCCTTTTGTTTCTTATGTTCGATACGAGATGATGCATCAACAGACGGAAGTTTTGGGACATCCTTGCCATGAAGATCCTGCTCTGGAGCCGATGATGGGACTATAGTAGGCTCCTTGGAGCGGCTCTTCCCTCGGACTGAGGGTCTTCCTTTCGCATTCGCCGGAGATTTCTCTCGGTCGTCAGCTAGGACTGGACCCTACATACCGTGATCATGATAAGCAACCTTCATCGAAAAGTCAACCGAAATATAACACACGTTGTTGGTGGTAGTAGTGCTGGTGGCCACTGGGAGGGATTTAGGCTTCCTTGAAATTCGCGTTCGTCCTTCGGTTTGAACTGGTTGAACTTTCCCACTCTTAGTGGCCAACTTGAGCAACAAAGGAACGTCGTCGTCACTCTCACTAAGCCGTTCCTGGGTTCCGGGAGGCTTAGAAACGTGATCACGAGGAGTATGCCCGGGGTTCGCTTCGCGAGCGGGGGGCGAACTTTTCTGTGGACTGCTGTCTGGGACATCCGCATTGGAAGTATTACTAAGTCCAGCCCGGAGAGGCTCAGAGTCCGGAACCACATCCAATGAGTCGCTCTCCTGGTCGGGACTTTCCCGATATCCTCTGATAGGGCGGCCGGCGGTCTCTGCACGGCTCGGAGCATGCCGTGCTTCGGAAGTAGACTTGGTAGGCAACCTCTGTTCGACGGAAGACAACTGCGTCTGCGCTCTCGCAGAAGTACCGACATAAGAAGGTGGAGCAACGTCACCGTGCATCTGACGCAACTTGGCGATCCTATATTCGTTCATTGGATTCACCAAACGAAGCAAGCTCCGCGGATTGCTAGATGCGACGGCTGCGTGAGTGGCGGACGAGACCCACTGGGGTGTCTCGGAACGTCGCTGGCGACCCGACTGTTCACCGGAGACTGGATGCGTCGGCGGTTCGACGTCTATAGATACGTTCGGTGGGGTAGGATCCAGCGCTGTGGTTTGAGTTGGCACTGGTTCCTGCGCTGGTCGCGACGCTTTGTCCGCGGCTACTTTGTCCAGCATTCGGTCAAAAGATGACGGGGTCTGGTCGAAGTCAAACGGCTGCGTTGACTCTTGGCTGCCGTGGTCAGCCCCAACATTGGCGAGGAACGGGACGTCTGCTCTTCGTACGTCCGCAATGCCGGACGGTCCCGTAGACTCGCTTGTGTGCGAGGGAGTTGCGGCAACAAGCACTTCACCTCCAAGCCTCGGACTGGCGACGCTGCTATTTGCTCTGCGATCTTTGTAGTCGGCCATGGTGGAGCCCAGGGAAGTGCGATGTTCGCTCGCGTCGGACAAGGGTATTTCAGGATCTACATCGTCAAGTTGTGTAGGTGCACCGAGGTCAGAAAGTGGCACGTTGAATTGCCTTGTTGTCGCCAGGAAGTGCTCTCCAGGATCCTGGGAGACGGGACCACCGAACGAGTCTTGCGATGGTGGTGAGGGAGAACGACGATATCTATTCATCATGGGCGGCGGCAGTGACTTGGTGGGGTGAGCAAGAGACGGTGGCTCGGAAGTTTTTGAGTTTGGTGGTCCACAGGAAATAGTTCTTGCACCTGTCGACTAAATGGTAAATACCCGGAAGGCAAGGGATGACGAAATATCCAACACAGTAAGTTGGCTCACCATTCACTTTTCTTATACCAGATGCCGTCAAAGGGATAGAGTTACCGAGGCCGGATTCTTTCATAGTCGCTTGCACGTCGTGAGGTGATGAAGGCCTGGTTTGATCGACGTTGTGATAGTGTCCTTTGTTTTCCTTGCTTCCAGCTGTCGTATTTTCATTCTGAGGTCCCCATTCTTCGCAACCGTTGTTCTGGCCCGTCAAGGGTGCCTGATCGCATAGAAAATATCGAGGAACAGCCTCTCTGCGTGGAGGAACTATAGATTCCTCAGAAAACCCTTCATCTTGCTGCTGCCTCTCCGGGATCCTTCTCCGTTCATTGTCGTGTTCCAAGTGTGCCAGAGGCGCTGCCAGTGCATAATCGATCAGCTGTGTCGGCTGAGATTGCACTGCATCACTGCAAGAAGGTTGCGGACAGCTTGAGTTGCTGGATTCACGAACTTGCATGAGAAAGACGTGCCTACGGTCGTCAAATCGGTTCATGGAGAATTACGAGTCACGTCTAATGTCCTTTGTTCGGACGCGTCTTGAAGCTATGCGGAGGCTCAAAGGTTGCGGAAAAGAGCGCGGCACTAATGTAAAAAGAAAACAGCAGGGACGTGTTGGTTCCGAATTAGCTGTGGCAATATCTCAGCGAGGACAGGCTTAATGGCAGTGGCACCGCGTTGAATTGTTCTGCCAATTTAACTTGAAGCTTGAAGCTAATAGTGAAGACCGTATTCTTCAACAGAATATTGTATTGGCTTCCTTATTCGGATATTACCTTAAATAAAAGTCAATGCACGTGACCTCAACGCGTCTGGTGGCAGTACACGCGCTTTCAAGTTGATAGTTCTCCATCTCCTATCCTGAGTCGCCCCTGCACCCGCCGTACTTCTCAGTTTCCATCAGTCAAGAAGCGGTCAAAATGGCCGTCGCGAAGGAGATCCTTACTGTTCAAAGCGACGGCGAAAACGCTCTGTCTTGCTTGGGGGAGAATGGCGAATGGTGTGACCAACAGACCTCTTCGCATTCCCGCCGGGACGCTCTCGAGGAGGAGGATGCAGTCAACTTTCAAAATCATGACTCAAACCTCATGCTTTCGTCGCCATCGGACGAGATCTCTCTAAATGTGCTCCCCTCATGCACGGCGGGATCGCAAGTCAATGCCGCTACTCCGCACGCTATACCCACCTTTGCATGGCTTCCTCCGTGGAAACTCTTAAATTTCACAGAAGTTCCTGGGAGGCCTCTCTTGCATGTCCCCGAGACGCCGGGAGGATTGAATAGCACATGCATTCCGCAACCTGTTCCTCAAACTTACGCAGAGGCTCGTGGTACCCCCACGGAGATCGTCATTTGGGTATCTGTCTTGAGCGGATATTGTGTTCCTAGTCACGGCGATCAGGGTCATTATGCAACGACGACGGGCAAAAGCATCCGTTGCTTCGCCGGGAACGTTCGAACGCAGCACAACGATCGAGAGTGGCGTGCTCGATTCATCACCCGTCTTTGGGGGCAGGGATCGTTACACGCTTTCTCTGAAGAGTAGCAACAGCCGTCTCCTGGCTTGGTCACAATATCAACCGAAGATTGCCAAACCTGAACCTACGGCGACAGTAACGCGACGTACTTTAGGTGACGCGGAAGCTTCCGCGGAGATCAAGTACGCACCTCGCAGTCAGGGAGAGGTCGTGCATAGATCTTCTCTCCCACTCTGCACAAACTATCCGTTGACAGGAGTTGGAAACCTGACACCCAGAAACCATGGCAACGCAATCCCCTTGCAGCCTCCTCGGAGCACCGCGACCGATGCAGTCTTGAGGTTCCCCGTGATTACAAACCCAGCGTCACTGTACGCAAGATCGACCAACTATTCGCAAGTTGGACGAGAAATTGGTTTAGCTGTAAGCACTCGAGATAGCGAAGAGCCAAGGCAAAGTGTGCCGTCTGTGCACAGTACCATTCTGCCCGCGCCACCCGCACTTGTTTCAGATACTACGTCACGTGTCTTTCCACTTGCGACGAATCTGAGACCTAACGGTGTTCAAGGTCGCGCTCGAATCAAGGCAGCATATTATGCACCGGGTGCTCACCCTCCAGCACCTACAGGATCAAAGTGTTTCACGAACGTGACTGGGGGTGTTGGGAATCATATGGCGAACCGGCAACCGAATGATACAGACGAGGTGCGCGCGTCGACATGGCTGGACGTGTGGCACAAGGAAGGGGATCTAGCACAGGCTCAGGCCTCCACGGGCGGGACACCGCCGCGAAAGAGGAGCGCAGAGGAGAAGGCAGTCTAAACACTGGTCGTCACCTCTATCCACGTGGACACATTGGGTCCATGCCACATGGATCTCAGATACGTAGCCCAACGTACAGGATGGCAAGTCATCGCCTGGTGGTGGAGCCTCGATAGGAACGGTTTCAAAGTCGTGCACTCGAAATGTCCTAGCATGTGGTTTTGTAACAGGTTGATTGTATGTATTAAGGTATGATGGCAGTGGTTTTAAAATTATCAAAGGATCGACCCAGGTGGCAACCGATGAAATGTGGAGTTGATAAAGGCGGTGGTCTTGGCGTTGATAATTAGTTACATAAATATATTGATGCGTGCGTGGGACAGGCCGACAGGTGCCACCAGTGCCATCTGCTGCGGAGGAGGACGACTGAACCCGACTTGGGTTAAATTTTGGATACAGAGGCCAGCTGCGGGACGCACGCGGAGTGGAGGACCAGCAAGTCAAATCGTTCCCATATACCCCCCCTCACCACCGTCTACCAAATACCCCAGCTGGCCATGTCTCAGCAGCAGCAATCCGTCCTCGTCGCATGCAAGAACGTTCCTGATGCTAAACAACTGGAGTACGAGGAACTTGGCCTCCGCCCTGCAGACTCACCACCAGTCCCTGCTCTGTGCGGCATTCCATTGAAGTATATCTCGTACGCGTTCCATTGGTCTCGTGCCTTCACGACCAGACGTCTGACACAGTCTCAACGCCCAACAGTCTCATCACTCTCGCCGTGCAAAACTCGTTGTTGACGATTATAATGCACTACTCTCGTGTGCACATCCCACCATCTCAGTCGTACTCCGCACCAACAGCAGTCTTGCTTAATGAGCTCCTCAAGGGTGCAATATCTCTGGCCATTGCATTCACTCGTATGGATCGTCCAGCCTCATACGGGACCGACGCGCCCCAACCTAGCTTGACGTCTGGTCGCTTCTGGCACTCATCTAGGGTGCTTTTACGGTCACGAAGACTAGCAAGGGAGGTTTTCAGCCCAGATTGCTGGAAGTTATCAATACCTGCAATCCTATACGGTGCGTAATACCCTAAAATTCAGTCACGGTAATATTCATCTACCCTTTTCCCACCACTTACAGTTATCCAAAATAATTTGCAGTATGTTGCTGCGACCAATTTAGAAGCAGCCACCTTCCAAGTTAGTTATCAAATGAAGATTCTCACAACGGCCGCGTTCTCCGTCTTACTTCTTCGAAAACAACTCAGCGCCAGTCAATGGGTTGCACTTTTCTTCCTTGCCATTGGCGTTGGTATCGTCCAGATACAGACCGGCACCAGTGGTACCGCCAAGGCAGCTTCTTCCCTCTTGTTCCAGGGCGCGTCCATGAATGCTGTCAAGGGGTTCCTCGCCGTTGTCGCAGCTTGCTTTACGTCTGGTCTCGCAGGCGTCTACTTCGAGATGGTTCTTAAAAATTCCCAATCTGACCTTTGGATACGTAATGTTCAGCTTTCCGCCTTCTCTCTACTTCCTGCTCTCGTACCGATCATCCTTGCACAACGTCCAGACGCAGGCTTCACCAGCTCTCTATTCCGAAACTTTGGCGGTTGGGCTTGGGCCACCGTCGCTATTCAGGTTCTTGGAGGTCTCGTCACCGCAATGGTCATCAAGTATTCAGACAACATCCTCAAGGGTTTTGCCACTAGTTTGAGCATCGTCATATCTTTTTTGGCATCTGTTGCGCTCTTCGACTTCTGCATTACGTTTACTTTCATCCTGGGCTCCGTCATCGTTCTAATCGCTACCTGGCTGTACAATCAACCGAACCGCAGCAGTGCTCCATCGCGGCTTGGTTACACCGCGGTCAAAACGTAGATTCATTGAGTGGCTAGTTCATATTCACTGATGAAAGTATGAAGCAGGGGATGGCACAGAAACAATAATCATTTTAGGGGGCGTATCACCTGGGTGCATCGCTATACCTGCCACTTCTCTTTGGACCTTCTACGCTTATTGAGAACACTTTATTGCCATAAGCTTTACTTTCTTTTCTACATCGGACTGCGGACGGTCCTACACTACACTAACCTCCGTATTTAACCGAACTCGAAAACGTGACTAGCGGATACGATAGATATATGATACTACGACGTTCGAGCGAAGGTCCCTGTGCATAAGGTCACAAACGAACGTTTATCCCAATGCCACATAACAATATGGAAGTGTAACGATAGGGCAGGTCAACAACGCGCCTACAAATGAGATTTGTAATGAATAGGAAGAGACCACTCAGTTTCGTGAACCCAGTCCCCTCTTGATAGCTGTGGGCAAATAGTTAGTTTTGTCGCTGGTGAACCACTGCGACGTACATACCCTCACAGGAGTCTTTCGCATCCCCAAACAACATCCTAGTGTTGGGCATGTAGAACATCGGGTTTGGAACGTCAGCTGATGAAGGGATGTAACTCGTCAGAGAATATAAATCAAACGTGGAGACCCTACCATAACCACTCGACATTCCTCGTTTCATCACAATAACCTGTTTGCTCTTCCATGCATGAAGAACCGGCATACCGGCGATCGGAGAACCAGGCTCGAGGGAGATCGGGTTTACAGTGTCGTTGGCACCTATCACGAGTGTAACGTCGGTATCGCCGAAATCATCGTTAATCTCGTCCATCTCGAGGACGACTAGCCAGCAATATGAGAAGTGGGGCCGACGTGTACAGTGAAAAGCATGCTTACTGTCATAGGGAACTGAGGCCTCCGCCAGCAGAACGTTGCATTGGCCAGGCATACGTCCCGCAACGGGATGAATGGCAAAACGGACGTTGACCCCTTTTGCACGGAGGATGGAGCATATTTCAGAAATCGCGTACTGGGCTTTGGCAACGGCCATGCCATATCCGACGACCTGTATATTTTTAGTCACGTCAAGCTAGCACGTATTGAAGTAAACCCTCTGCAAAGATCACTGACCAAAATCACACTGTCGGCATTAACAAGGGTTTCCACAGTTTCGTCTATGTTTGTTTTAGTGATGGTTCCCTCGATCTTTGTACTTTCTGAAGGTGCGATAGTACCGATGCCGCCAAATAATACGTTAGTCAGCGATCTGTTCATCGCAACGCACTGCAATATAAATCAGCGCTCAGCAGTACCTCAGTGCTCCGAACGTACCATGATGTACGAGAGGATGGAACCGCTGACACCAATGAGCGAACCGACGGTGGTAAGGAGTGGATTATCCAACATGAAACCTAAGAGTCAGATCAGCTGTACGCCCTCGTGAGATAACAACTGTTTCTACCTTCGGCCACTAGCGCAAATCCAGAGTATGCATTTAATACCGTGATGACGACGGCTACAAAACCCGCTCTCAGAAGCATACCTCATAGTATGAAAGGGCCACTCACGCATATCAGCGCCTCCAATTGCGGCTGTGGTGGTGAAGCCTTTCAAGAAACTGAGGAGCGTGCTGGCTCCCAAGTAACCAGCGGCGACAAGAGGTACAGCAGGTCCTGCTTTCAAGAATGCAGCCATAGTGAGAGCGTTGGCGCCCAGCAGACCGGCGTTAACCAGATGTCTTCCCGGTAACATCAGTGGCCTGGAGCTCATCTTTCCTGCCAATTTAAAAAATGCTACGATGGAACCTGTGAAGGTAATACCACCAATGACGACTCCAAGATAAGCAGTAACCTGGTGAAGCGTGGACACGTGTAATGGGTCCGCGAGGACACTTGCAATAGACGTGAAGACCGCAGCGAGCCCAACGACCGAATGCAAGGCCGCCACCATCTGTGGCAATTCGGTTGCAGTGATCCGTCTTCCGATGATAGCTCCAACTGTACCACCTAGAGCAGCAACTCCAGCGAATTGGGCAAGTATGGCGGGAGAAAATCCGACCGCCAACAGGGATGCAACAATACCCGACAAAACACCGAGTATACCAAGTGCGTTACCTTGACGTGCAGTGGCTTGGGATGACAGACCGGCCAAGGACCCTTTGTATTACGGTTCAAGAAACGTCTTGCACCAGTGGGGGGGGCCACATACCGATGCATAGTACACTGCTTGTCAAGTAGCCCGCTTGTACAAGGCCAGCCATGCCTGTACTTGCTGCAGTCAAGAAAGCCCCGGTAAACACCACAGCAGGAACACCATAGAGCCACGAGAACTCAGGAGGATCAGTTGGTCCTAACGAATCTGTGAACAAGCAGCCGAATGTCCAAGGGAGAAAACATACTCTTGAAAAGATCCAGCATACGCTTTGTAATAACGAAGCCTCCAGCAACGTTAATGCTTGCGAGAAGCACTGACAGGGCACCCAGAAACTGTGGGATAGTCTCGGGTAGATAACCCCCACCCATGACAAACAAACCACCGACACCGACCATTCCTGACTCCAGTCAATGGTGCTACTTTCTACGTGAGACGAACACGCACCTGATATTGCATTGGTAACGGACATCAAGGGTGAGTGCAAGGCAGGAGCAACGCCCCAAATAACTCGGTATCCAACCAAACCAGCGAGACCAAATGTGAAGAAGTTACTCATAAATGCAGCACTAGTGATTTTTCCCAACGCGACAGTCGAGCCCATTCCCGCAGTCACCGTGGCTACTTCCCGGGTAGCTTTTTGCCAGGGAGTGATAACTTTAGTCTGTACCTCCTCGACCTTCGAGGCTGGAGGGGCCGTAGCGGGAGGCGGGACAGGTCGAGGAGCTGGTGGCAAAATTTCACCCTTGTGGACTACAATCGACCCTCTGACAACTTCGTCGTTTAGGTCCACATTGAAGCGTCCGTTCTCCCCTATGGATAACAAGAACTTGGTGATGTTGTTAGAATACAAGGCCGATGATTGCGTCGGCAGGCGCGAAGGAAGATCCGTATAGCCTAGGGGGAAGCGAAAAGCATAAGGACAACCGATTGTGTACAAGCACTCGTGATGCATTACCGATCACAGTGACACCATTCTTGACAATGAGCTCTCCAGGTTTTGTTGCCTCACAGTTACCACCTGCCTCAGCTGCCAGCTGCACGTGCAATCAATAATGGAAGAACTATTCCGACGGATGACTCACATCTACAATAACAGAGCCTTGCTTCATCGCCGCGACCATCTGTAAAGACCGGTCAGCCCAACGACAGCCTCGAAGAGGTGGCTACATACCTCATTCGTGATTAACTTTGGCGCAGGTTTACCCGGAATCAAAGCCTGGAAAGGGGGAGTTGGTCATTCCAAGGGTGGACGATTACCAATGTACCCACCGTTGTGATGACGATGTCGACATCCTTGCATTGTTCCATAAACAACGCCATTTCAGCCTCAATGAACTCCTTGGACATCTCCTTTGCATACCCGCCGGCTCCGCCGCCCTCCTCTGTAATATCTACTTCGAGGAACTCCGCACCAAGCGACTGTACTTGTTCACGGGCAGCTGACCGGGTGTCAAATCCACGAACTATAGCACCAAGACGACGAGCCTGACAATTAGCTTAGTACATTAACCAATGGGAAGAAAGAAAGAGGTGACAAACCGTAGCGATAGCGCTAAGACCTGCGACACCAGCACCGATAACCAAAACCTTGCCTGGAGCAACCTAGCGACCCGTGAGATAGAGCAAGCATCAAGGGCGTTGAAATGGACCTTTCTGAAAATCGGATATTAGTAAAAGTTAACAAGTGACGATAGCCAACTCACCCAGCAGCCGTAACTTGACCTGTTAAATATCGACCAAAATGGTTGGCTGCCTCTAGGACAGCCTTGTATCCAGCAATATTTGCCATCGAACTAGGAGATGCATTCACACATGATGAACTTGTAATCGGCGAGTACAATCACCTCAATGCATCAAACGTCTGCGCGCGCGATATGCGGGGAATCATGTCCATGGCAAAGACATTAAGTTTGCGAGAGGCAAGTGTCTCCACGAGTGACTTGTTCTGGGCTGGGTATAAAAATGAGATGATTGTACTACCTTCACTGAAGCGCTTCGCCTCATCTTCTTGAGATGGAGGCCGCACTTTCAGCAAAATATCTGCCGTGTTGAGGAGCTCATCCCTGGAAACCAACGTGGCTCCAGCTTTGATATAATCTTCGTCTAAGAATTTGGCGTGGGCACCAGCCTCCCGTTCAACGAATACGCTGGAGAAGCCCTTCTTTTTCAATAAAGCGACGTTTTGCGGAGTGAGCGCTACGCGGCGTTCGTTTGGATATGTTTCTCGGGGCGCCCCAACAGATAGAGATGAATATGGTATTCCTGGGCAAGCCAGGTCAACATGAAGACGGTTGTAGAGGCCTCTAGCACTCTCACCGGGATTTTTCGATGACTGAGTTTCACTTCTACGATACGCAGAGCAATGGAACAAACGAAGGTCTGTTGGGAAGGTATTGGTGGTTGGTGATACTATGTAGTTGGGCAACGACTGACTCGAAGCAATTGATTGACGGCAGCGCCGAGACATTAACAGCTGGGACTTGTATGACCGACAGCTCATGCTGACCGCAGGCGGCCGCAAAGCCGACGAGGACATGATTGTGGGACAACTTGAAGAGCGTTGTAGCTCGAAGGAGGTCCTCGAGGGCGAAGGGGTAGTAGGAAGACTTGGTGGTGTGACATAAAATACCTTTACTAGCACGATGACATGTCAACGCATTTGTCTAGTAGCACCCGGAACTTTATCCACAGGGTTTAAGGCACTACTCCATTACTTATTGGGAAGACGACGGTTGAATCCGTGGCCACCAGCGGAAAGCATCGTTTTGAGGCGCCCTCCATCAAACTTCCCTGGATCCGATTCCCCCCTGGAATTCATGAAATAGCACTCAGAGACGTGTATTGCTGCCATTTCATGAGGATCTTAACGTGCGAAGCGGAGCCACAAGCATTCCGACGGTGTGGCGAGCAGTGGGAAATCGGAAGTTGTTCCTCATCATGGGCACCCCATGAGTCAAGGCCAGCTGCTCATATTACTGTAATTCATCACTAGTACTGGGCTCAGCGGACGAGAAGGATATGTCCTTTTTACAATACCCGATCTTGGGTTGCAAGCATGACTCTGCCGTACTCATCTAGTTGACCCTTCACAGCAATCACGTCTTCGCGAATCGGTGTCTACATATGTACAGTGGCAATCACCGCGAACGCCGGACCACTTCATTATGTCTTGCTCAACTCCTGCTCCAAGCGTACCAGATCCTGTGTGTGTGGATGATCCCATAAAGCTTGCGCCGCAGAAGTTTCAATTGGTGGAAGGGGCCTCCTAGGTTTCCTACCATAACCATACAGTCTTTCAAGTAATGCCTTGGTGCCGGCGATTGATGCCTTGGCAATTGTCGCGTCAGCCTGAGCAATGGTGCCTTGAAGACGCTGGGCTTCCGGAAGTAAAGATGGATTGGCACATGACTCCTCGCACAACTTGAAGAGTTTGACAACTGCGTTCTGAGACAAGAATGTCAGGGAGCGGAGCTAACCCGATTTTACACTGCTTACAGGAGCAACGTTGGCAAGCCCCGTGATAGCGCCATGCCCATTGACCATTGCAGTAGGAAGGATAAAATCAGTATAACCACCTAAGACTAGAAACGGCGCATTCGCATGCTTCCGAGGATACAAGGAGGTGAAAGAAGGGTCGGAGACAACCGCAGCGATCCGAGTAAGCTTGCCAACATCTCCACAACTATCCGCGAGGATATCAGTTGCCATTTCCTATGCCCACCGCACACGTACGTAAGTTTCACCCCAGCCAGGTTTGGGCATTCCTTGGCCAGTTCGGTGATGATATCAGAGTCAAGGTTGATACCTCCACTTGCGCCAGGATCTGCCGGAAGTCAATATCGAAGGACAACTCGTATGGTGCACCTTACAATTGTATACCAACACTGGTATGGCACTCTTCTCGCTTACCTCTTTCCAGTACGCCTTGAGCGCCTTCTTATTCCCTGCAATAGCACCAGCGAAGTATCCGCTAATGATGGCAATACCATAGTCCGCACCGGCCTCTGCCGCTTCGTGGGCCAATTCAATGGTTTCGCGTGTGCTTCCGGCCCCTATACCAGCAATAATGGGTCGATCGGTCAAGCCAGCCGTATCTAGCGTTCGTCGTGCGGCCTTGATCAAGGCGACGCGCTCCGACCGAGTCAGGTGGATAGCCTCGCCCATTGATCCAGCCAGAACCTGACCGACACCTGCTGTCGCAGTCAAGGTAACATGTTTCTCGAAGGCTTGGAGGTCTGGAGGTAATGCAAGCTTGTAAGACGAAACGACGATGCACCCCGAATGACAGCGGATGGTCATACCCAACTCTTCAGAATGCTCAAGAAAGAAACTGGGAATAGGAGCGTAGATGCCGGGCCTCAGAGTGCGTGGAATGGTTCCATGATCGTTAGGCATTGTCGGGGTGGCAATGGCGCCACTCCCGAAGCAAGGTAAATATGATCAGAGTCCACGGTCTGGTGCGGGCCGTACCGGGCCACGGACCAGCGAGATTTCCGCTCACATTCTTATCGTGGATCAGTTGACATCCCATCGTCTGTCTGTATTCGCGTAATTTTGTGGCTAGACCTTAACTGTTGTTCGCATGTGACAGATTCACTCCTCCCGTTTTCATTCCACTAACTGGCAACACCAAATGTGCATAGAAATTTGCATCAAAACAGCTCTCCCCTGCAAGGTCACCCTAGTCATTCATTTTTTTTAGCCGAGTGTAAGATGGTCAACCTTATCCATACTCCACGGGATATCGCACCTACAATAGTGACGGGCAATGGCACCCAGTTTGTCTGGCACACAGACCTCAAAGAGGTCGCGTGAATTAAGGAACGTCTTGAGTTTGGTTTTTGCCTTCGACTATGTCAAACCGATCAAGGACTTCTCGCTCCCATTCTCTGTAGCCACTTTCATCACCTTCACCCTCGTTTTCTTTGGCCCTCTCGAACACTTCCCAAGGTACACAACTCTTGTCTTGTTCGCTTTCCGGGGCTTCTGTTGTAAAACGTCCTTGGCGCAGCCGCGTGAGAGTGACGACATGAGCGGCGGAGCCCAGGGCGTGTCCTAGATCATGAACTATGGAGCGTACATATGTTCCTCCGGACACCTTCATGCTCAGCGCAAACGCCGCCGGTGGTCGGTCACTAGTTGGATCTGGTTCATCCCCGACAACGGGGCCCTTCTCCACAGATCCTAAAGCTTTCGCCATGGCTTCCTTCTCCCCGATGGTGAATTGCTTTTCTGGCCATCGATAGTTGTGGTCACTTCCTAGCCAACTCACTAGCTCGAGTGAATGCACGATAACCTTTCTTTTCTCTATAGGGCGAGGCAATGGTGTACCACTACGAGCATATTCGTAGAGCGGTTTTCCATCCATTTTTAGGGCAGAGAAGCTAAAGAATGACTGGTGAACAAAATTGTGAAAAATGAACAAGGAAGTGGGCACGAACATAGGAGGAGTCTGGTATATTTCACCTCTAAACCTTTCCAGCATGGTCTCCACTACTTCTTTGGTAATATGTCGCCACGGAGCAACCCGTACTTGCGCGCCTTCACTATCGTAGGAGTCCGTTTCGCAACCAAGGAGCGCGGTTGTGTGATACTCCTAAAGTTCGCCTTAAATTCATGGAAGACGGTTCGGATCGAGTGATGTACCTTGACACAATCCAGAAACTCGTTCAATCGCTTGGTGCCCTTACCCACACCAATCACTAACGCTTAGCTCAATTGCAACTAAGCTTAAGAATTCGAAAAGTCATACCCAGTACACCGTCTGCGAGAGGATCGAGTGTTCCCCCTTGACCTATCTTGACTCTATCTTTTGCTCTTTTCCCTTTTCCATGCCGCCTGCCTTGCTGGGTTTCTAGTTTTTCTCTTTCCACGAAAAGGGGAGATTGGCAAATCAGCTTTTTAATATCTTCAAGGACTGACATAGACGTCGGCCCCGAGGGTTTATATATCGCAAAGAGGCCAGACAAAGGTAAACGAGGCGACGTTACTTTCGGCATGGCCAGAACGGTCTTGCCAGGGTCTGTCTTCAGAAGTTCACTCAAATCGTGAACCGTCACTGGCGCTTACCGACAGGAACAGCTAGTCTTCCTCCTTCAAAGTTCAACGCCGTGTGGAGGGGAGACGTTGACCTGCACATAACCATTCTAGGCGGCCGAGGCGCACGGTTCCCCGTGACTTGTCGTGGCAAAACTGTATTGCCACATACTTACTGAGCATCAACATGTTTTGTCACTTTTTTTGTGATGAGAAGCCCGTAGCCAAGACTTGCCTACATTACATCCTCAAAGACGCGTCCAAGATATTTTGTTGTCATAGGGTTATTCTGCGCATCAAGTCTTCCGCAGTCCGCGGACCAATTGAATTTTAGATGGAAGGCGGCATCAACCTTTGCGGCCCCGGTACTAACACACGCTAGTCTCGTAGTACTGGTGAGACCTTCACTGCAACAGGATGGGTACGAGACTCAATAGACGCTAGCTTTTCCATTCGCGGTTTTTACCGTGGTGACATGGTGACACGGTTAGGGGTTGGTGTATATGGCGAACGCCTTTGGAATGGTCTCCCCTAGGTAAACCGAAGACTCGACGGAAGACAATCGTCCCCTCTCACCTTTGGAACGGCTTACAACAAGGGCTGACTCAAATGCTTCCGGAGATGAGCGCACTGTATTGGAAAGAAACGATAAAGGTCACCATGTACGTGCGGGATGTGACCGCCGTGCCTCGATTTTGGGAGCTTTCCCATCGTGATGGACGGCTTCGAGACGAAATTAAGAGACCTATCTTTCTCATTTCCAATGCACATGAACGCATTCAGCAAACCCGGCCTCAGAACAGGATTCTGCCATCTTAGAGGATGTCGTCTGGAGGAATCTTGATAGATGGGTTCTCCCTATGTGCACTGCGGTTTGTTTGATTTCTTTCTTTGTACGTCTCGCTACGCGTGTCATACAGTTGAACGTGCCGCTCAGCTTAGCATCTCGGGACATGGACAACATGGGGAATACGCGTGTCGCTGGCATGCAAACTTTGACCTCCTCACAATACACTGGGGCCCTAATACTCACGTTGGTGTAAGTACGTTCAAGAAGAATTACAGTTTTTTAATTGAAATTGTGTCGCCATGGAGTTACCTTCAAACCTGATCTTGAAAGCTAGTTCACGCTTTGGCCTTTGAGTTGTTGTGACCTTGGTAGCTATAGCGTATTGGACCAGATCGCTTGTTACCTGCTATGATCATCATGTGGGGCATAGTTGTTGCAATGCAAGGTATGCCGAGTTTCAGATAATTGACGTCCTGAAATCGTGGTTCTGTTATTTAGGACCTGTCTCTAATTACGCTGGACTACTTCTATGTCGCTTCTTTCTGGGTCCGACACAAGGTAGAATGAAAAACGTACAGGATACAGGGTCTCTGACGAACTGCGACGTCCGGTCACAGGTGAGCATAATCGAGAACACCCCTGAGGCAAGAGGTTCACTTGGATCGTGAATCATCGCCAGCACTTACTCGTCCGCGGGGAACGGCTGGCCTTTCCCTTCCGAAGCGGTATCGGGGAGAAGAGCAGGAGAGACGTCGACCAGGCTTTGAACTTGTAGCATTCTGGAGCAAGCCTAAAGGTGTGAATATACCCAGGTAACCCATGCGACATTAGTCGAAAGGGAACCCGATCAGAAAACGATTGTCTTCCGCTGAGGCTCTTTGTTTCGCCTATGGGAGACAAATGCGACGTTACAGTAATGCAAATCCCAGCGACTGGTGAGTCCACGAAAGGAGCATCCGAACACTCGCGGATCTTTTACTTGAACACATCTTTGGGCCAGGCCTGCAGCACATACGTCACCCGGTGAAACCGTATTACTGTGCCGTGCCTAATAGTCTACCCTCAGTGAGTCGATAAGGACGCGGGCATCAAATTGTCGCCCGGAAGCAAACCGTATCGATATCGAAGGTGGTTATTTTTACAGCCTCCGACGGATAAACACAGGCGCGATAGTTCTTACGGCATGGTTGGATGTGGCGAATAGGCATTTAGCAGGTTGCCAGTGTGGTATTGTAGCGGGATTTTTGATCGCCGCTTTGTAACCACCTCGATTTCAGTGGGAGCGCCCTGGAGACGAAACCGAGAAGGCATTAATCCTGTTCATTCCCAGAGCACATGGACGCGCTCGACAAACCCGTTTGCGATGACCTCTCTGAACAGGATTCTGCCGTCCTGGAGCGTGTTGTCTGGAGGAAGCTTGATATCTGGGTTCTCCCTATGTGCACCGCGCTTTATTTGATTTCTTTCTTCGTACGTCGTGCCATACGTGTCATGCATTTCGAAGTCCCGCTCAGTTTAGCATCCCGGACGACCAGGACAGGAGTAACATTGGGAATGCGCGTGTTGCCGGTATGCAAACAGCATTGGAGATTTCAAACTACCAAGTAAGCTTTGAATGTTGAATGATGTCTTTGTAGATGGTTTGACCCCTGCCCACAGTACACCGTAGCTTTGACGCTTACCTATGTGTAAGCGCGTTCATGGAAAGTTGTGGAATTTCTGTTGAAATCGTGTAGCCCCTACATTGCTATGGAGTTACCTTCAAACCTGATCTTGAAAGTTGGTACACAATTTTGATTGTGTATTGTTCTGATCTTCGTAATTTGTAGCGTGTGGGACCAAATCTTATGTTACCTACTATGGTTACCTTGTGGGGCGTAGTTGCGGTAATGCAGGGTATGCGGTACTTCCAAATGATTGATATCTTACACTTAATCGTGATTCTATCTAGGACTCGTTACTAGTTATACTGGACTCCTTTTATGTCGATTCTTTCTGGGCTTGGCGGAAGGTAGAATCGGAAATATTCAAGATACCAATTCTCTAATGAACTACCATGTCCGTTCACAGGTGGCCTCTTTCCAGGACTTGTCCTCTACCTTTCTTCTTTCTACCCCAGAGAAAGATTGCAGATCAGGTTAGTCTAGGCATTGTTGCCCCAATGGCATTGTTCATGAGCTCATGACGCTCCTTACAGGATAACTGCTTTCTTTGCATCAGCATCAGTAACAGGCGCTTTCTCTGGTTTGCTAGCTGCTGCTATAATGCAGATGGACGGAGTAGGTGGGAAACCAGGGTGGTCATGGATTTTCATTCTTGTATGTTTTCCCCTTCAATTTCAGGGGAAATGATATCGATGGAGCTTCCAGGAGGGATTGTTCACCTTCGTATTTGGTATCTTCTCGTTTCTCGTTTTGCCTCGGTCCCCAGAGACTGCGCGCTTTTTATCTTCAGAAGAAAGATCGTATATTCTCTCGAAACTCAAGAGCAGCAGGGCTATCTCCGAGGATGAAGGGAAAGATGGCTTCAGCTGGATAGAAGTGCTGAGAGCGATTCGTTCACCGCAAGTATTAATGCTCTGTCTTATTGTATTTTTTGGTGGTGAGTCAGTTGTCATCCTTAGCTTTCCTCCTGCTACATGTCGGAACCAGGATCAATGCTGTTTGGGCTTGCATTGTCAGTCTCTGTGTTTGATAGTGTCTATCTGCCTGACATTAAATGCGTAGCTTCGAGCCCACAATCGTTGCTGGCTTGGGGTACACAGGCAATCGGGCACAGCTTATGAGCGTTCCCCCTTTCGTCGTTGCATTTTTTGGTGAGCATGAACCATTAGCGCTGAGAGTTGCTAATCACCAATGTATTGCCAACCCACAGCCTCCGTGATCTCCGCATTCGTTTCTGATCGGTACGGCTGCCGCGGCCTTACAGTGATATTTTTTGCAATCTCAGGCATAATCGGGTTTTCCATGTTCTATGGTATAGTTAAATGCATTGTATTCCTCTCAGTATGCTGATTCGACAACTCAGCGACCACTTCCCAACGTGTCCAATATGCTTCACTCTTCTTCTCTGTGACTGGTGCATATGCTAGTGCTCCAGCTGCCATCACTTGGCTCGCCAATAACAGCGCACCTCACATCCGACGAGCAAGTAGCATCGCCATCGGCTTTGTTGCCAGTAATTCAGGTGGCATTCTCGCCACCTGGTTGCTTGGGTCGCTGTCACCCGCTCCAGAATATACTGCAGCCACGATCACATTCATTGCCATGTCCATTGGCATGGTCGTAGTTTCATCTCTAAATCTGTTTTATCTCTCACGGGAGAACCGTGCGAAGGCAGAAACGAGGCTTTCCATGGCGAAACATGATGAACCCGAGCATTTGGGAGATCGCAGCGCATGGTTCGTGTACACCTTGTAGGTCATGGTGTAAAGGACGCGCATTCAAGTGGGCAATCTTCTGTGAAAAAGTATCTGCTCGGAACCACACTGCAAGTTAAAATGCTCGCTGAAAGCCCAATGTAAAGTTCCCTACCACGTCTACTTTCAGCCTAATAGCATACAACTATCCGGCTTATGCTGGTGACCTACCGTGTTGTTGTACGTTCAATCGTAGGGTGAATATGGCTCGTTAGACCTTTGCGAGATTTTACAAACCACCCTGCGCAGTGATTCGTGTTCAAAAATTCAAACAGTGCCTTCCCGCGCCTTGTACCAGTACTGTCAGATCCAGGTTACATTTAGGAAAACATTCTATGTAGATGTGTCATCATATATTACTCGCTCCCACCCACAACCCTCAGCGCTCAGCAGCCCTCAACACTCCCATGGTCTCTAGCATCAAAAAGATGTGTCCAGGCACACCTACCTCTCCGCCAACCTCAGATTGCTGTGCACATCTGAGACATCTGACCCCGAAGCCCATCCAGAGTAGCTGGCCTGTTCTTTCCGGGGAGGGGATAGGTCAGATGATGAGATTATTATTAGGGCCACTCAAAGCTGCCGCCGCCGCCGCTGCCTACGCCTACGCCTACAGCGCGACTACCATAAATTAGCTGTAGGCGTGGGCATCGGCGCCAATTTTGAGCGACCCTAATGTAATCGTTGCAGACTTTTTTGGAGCTGGTGTGTTGTGCGGGGACAAGGTTGAAACGATGAACTTTGAAATCTTGTTCGTGATCGCCGGTCGTTTTCTGCTCTCCTGTGTTACCGTGCAATCGAGCTCCTTCCAAATCAGAAGCGCGAAATGACCTACCTGGGATAGCGTTCGAGCTCAGTTCCAAATCTTATGCTTCCAAGTTCAATCACAATTAACCAACGACATCACGGAGGGTACTCAGCCCCGGATCTGGGCACTATTACTCTCTGTTGTCATTGAGTTTAACCATTGGGAAAATTGACTTACACCAGCAGCAGCAAGGGTAGCCATAATCCGTGAGGTTCGTCATTTGTATGTGCAGGGTTGTGCCAATCTACATAAACAGACTCTACGGCTGCGTATATGTATCAACCACATATGATGGCGTGTGCACTGGTGGCGTCCAGGGGGTCGCAGTGGGCTTTTGGTATTACATCTACCTTTAAACTCACTCTGCAGCAGATAGGCATCACGGCGACTGGCGACCCGCACAAACTTTTGCAGACGTGCGTGCAACAGCCTGTCGCAGCCAGCGGAATCAAATCTTAGATGGATCGTTGTCATTACACTGCATACGCATGTGCACGTGGTGGCGTTTGAGGGGTTTTGATGTTACATATGTTGGAAGGTATAGTGCTGTGATTCCCATCACAAAATTTGCAGGAGACTTGCGGCGCCCATCGCCAAGCGTGGTAGCCCGCAGTCCAAATTTGAATGAACCCGGGACTAATAAACGCCGGCATTTCCATTCACAGTCCCTATCATGACGACATGCTTAGGAGTTGGTATGTATGACGAGCACCTTTTGAATTCAGGCTTTGTAACAACTGTTAAGGGGTCGTACAAATACTTCCGGCGAAGGCGGAGCTAAGTTTTCTAATCCCACTGCACTGCCAGATCGGAAAGAGAATAAAAAAGGTCACAATGTTTCTCCATCATAATCGACAGCTTTGAGGCGAAGCTGAGAGACCTATCTTGCTCATTCCCAATGTACATGGACGCTCTCAACAAATCCGACCTGGCTGACCCCTCTCAACGAGATTCTGCCGCCCTGGAAGATGCTGTCTGGAGAAAGTTTGACATATGGGTTCTCCCAACGTGCACTGCGTTCTACTTGCTTTCTTCCTTCGTACGTTTCGCTATGCGTATCGTACAGCTCAATGTCCCGCTCAGTTTAATGTCCCGGACAATCAGGACATGAACAACATTGGAAATGCGCGTGTCGCTGGTATGCAGACAGCATTGAAAATTTCAGACTACCAGGTAAGCTCTGACGGTGACTCTGATTTCTCTGATTGACTCCGTTGCAGTACACCGTGGCTTTGACGCTCACTTGGGTGTAAGCACGTTCAAGGAAAATTACGGATTTTTTATTGAAACTGTGTAGCCCCTATATCGCCATGGAGTTACCTTCAAATCTGATTTTGAAAGTTAGTCCACCTTTTCGACGGTGGGTTGTCCTGACCTTCGAGTTCGTAGCGTGTCGGACCAAATCTTATGTTACCTACTATGGTTATCCTGTGGGGCATAGTCGCTGCAATGCAAGGTATGAGAAATTTTCAGATAACTGATGCCCCTAACCATAATTCTATTTAGGACTCGTTACTGATTATACTGGACTATATTTATGTCGATTCTTTCTGGGTTTGACACAAGGTAGGATGAGGAGCATACAATGGGGTCCTACAGTCTCTGATGAACTGCCATGTCCGGCCACAGGCGGCCTCTTTCCAGGACTCGTCCTTTACCTTTCCTCCTTCTACCCCAGAGAGAGATTACATATCAGGTTAGGTTCGGGTTTATACCATTCCAATGACCTCGCTCATGGCGCTCCTTTGCAGGATAACTACTTTCTTTGCCTCGGCATCATTAACAGGGGCCTTCTCTGGCCTGTTAGCTGCCGCTATAACGAAAATGGACGGAGTAGGTGGAAAACCAGGGTGGTCATGGATATTCATTCTTGTATGTTGCCCCCTCCGATTTCAGGGAAAATGATATCGATGGAGCTTCCAGGAGGGATTATTCACCGTCCTATTCGGTATCTTCTCGTTTCTCATTCTGCCTCGGTCCCCAGAGACTGTGCGCTTTTTATCCCCAGAGGAAAGATCGTATGTTCTCTCGAAACTCAAGAGCAGTAAAGCCATCTCCGAGGATGAGAGAAAGGATGACTTCAGCTGGATAGAAGTACTGAGAGCGATTCGTTCACCGCAAGTATTAATGCTCTGTGTCGTTGTATTTTTTGGTGGTGAGTCAGTTGTCATCCTTGGCTTTCCTCCCGCTACACGTCAGATCCAGGTGCACTGCTGTTTGGGCTTGCATTGTAAGTCTCTGTGTTTTGTAGTGTCTATCTGCCTGACTTTGAATGCCCAGCTTTGAACCGACGATCGTTGCTGGCCTGGGGTACACAGGCAATCAGGCACAGCTTATGAGCGTTCCCCCTTTCGTTCTTGCGTTTTTCGGTAAGCATAGTCTAGTCTACTGTTCTGTAAGTTGCTAAGCGCCAATGTATTGTCGACATATAGCCTCCATGATTTCCGCATTCTTTTCCGATCGGTACGGCTGCCGGGGCCTCACAGTGATATTTTTCTCGATCTGGTGTATAATAGGGTTTTCCACGTTCTATGGTATAGTTAAGTGCCTTATATTTCCCCATATACTGACTCGACACTTCAGTGAGCACTTCCCAACGCATCCGGTATGCTTCGCTCTTTTTTTCGGTGACAGGTGCATATGCAAGTGCTCCAGCCGAAATTACATGGGTCGCCAACAATAGTGCTCCCCACACCCGGCGAGCAAGTGGCGTTGCCTTCGTCTCCGTTGCGAGTAATTTAGGTGCAATTCTCGCAACCTGGTTACTTGGCTCCTTGTCACCCGGCCCAAATTACACGGCAGCCACGATCACATTCGTCGTCATGTCCATTGGCCTAGGTCGTAGTCTCATCTCTAAATCTGCTCTACCTCTTACGGGAGAATCGTGCAAAGGCGAAGATGAGGCTTTCTATGGCAAAGGAAGATGAACCCGAACAATTGGGAGATCGCAGTGCATGGTTCGTGTACGCCTTGTAGTTCGTGGTGCGAAGGACGAGAATTCAAGCAGGCGGGCTTCGATTACATCCATCTGCTTGGTACCGCACCGCAGATTGGTTAAAGCGCTCACTGAAGACCACACATATCGTCCATATACCGCGCTTGTATTTACAGCAATAGAATAGAAGAATAGAACTCTGGCTTATCCTGATGACGCACTGTCATGTCTGTTATTGCACGCTCAACCATAGGGTAAACACTGTTATTAGCCTTTGCAAGATTTTACGAACTACCCTGTGTAGTGATAACGTTCAAAAATTACAGTGCCTTCCTGTGCCTTGAACCAGCGTCTAATTCAGGTCATGTTAAATACTCAAAAGATATGTACTACAAGTCATGACTGCACTCGCCCCCACCCACGACCCTCCACACACACATCGAGTCATCCACGTCCTCTCCCACGATCTCCACATCGACAAGACGTGTCTAGGCAATCCCACCTCCCCGACAACTTCAGATTCTTGCCCACATCTGAGACATGTAACTCCGATGCCTCTACGGATTAACTGGGCCTTTGTCACGACATCCTTGTCCCTGCTCCTTCCACGGAGGTGCAGAGATAGAGAGATTCGTGAAGCCGTCAACAAGGTCGGGACGGTTTGATGAAAAGACGGGACTTGTTAATCGCTGTGGATGAAGATAGCATGTGGACGATTTTTTGGAGTTCGTGGTGTTGTGCCGGCACGGGGTGACATCTTGCTAGCGACGATCGCGTTTGTTCTCCTAACTTCCGGTATAACCAAATTTCTTCCAAATTGAAGCGCGAAATGGCCTACCTGGGATAGCGCTCACTTCCTTGTGCACATTTCTGAATATGTCCTCCAATGCCTCAAGATTCAACCCAGAATAATCAACGACATCAAGGAGGGTGTCCCGCGCCATTTGACCACTCTCTCCCCTTGCTGTCATCGAGTTCAACCACTGGTAAAACTGGTATACATGGGAAGTCATGTTGATAAGGTTCGCCAGTAGCGAGGGATGCACGAGGTGCAGCAAAGCGGGTATATCGAATGGGGAAATAGCATCAGCAGGAGGCGCGCCTATAATCAACATCGTCAAAAGAGCGGCATTGCGCTAACGCAAATCGGTCGGCTTACTTTCTGGGAAAAAGGGGTTTTCATCTATGGGCTCGCGTTTCAGTTCGGTAACCTTGGGGACGACATCCGTCATGTCACAGAGTAACAAACACTCTTTGATGATGTTTTCCAGGAAGGCAACTGCCCATTCCGACAAACTGACGAGTTGCCAAACAACATCTGACTCAATGGCTGAGACCACGGATCCGAATGAAAAGAACGCATTATACCTAAATCATAGCCTTCCTGATCTTTGCAATCCTCGAACGCAGAAAGCGTAGATGCCACAGAACAGATATTGTGAGCATTCTGCCAAAGCGAGGTGAGGTGTTCCTTCACATCTTCATCTGCTGTTGAAGCCGCTCTCGCTCTGATCCTCACAATTGGGAAGGGAATGTACAGAGAAAGAAGAGACTACATACTTGTATACCTCAAGTTCCGCACCGATGACTTCCATCAAAGTGAGCGACGCTGCGCAACCAGTGCGGGCGTTAACCTCTTGAGCCAACAAAAGACCAGAAAATGTCTCGATGATACTCTCCGTGGGTGTTGAAGGTAAGCATAGCACGTGAGTGATATCCGCGATAGATCTCCGTGATACCAGTGCGGATGTCAAAATCATGGCAAGTGGAGAAAGAGGGCCGGGACCTTGTCAAGTTAGCGCATTACACAACCACCAGATGTGTGCATACCGATCAATTCTGCACTGCTGGCGCAAGGCCTGGGAAGGCAGTGGATGGAGATCTGAGTCATGGATACTGCACACAAAAGTGTGCGATTCACGGACGTAGCGATACTCACTGGCCCTTTTAGGAAATTTCAAAAGTGTGCACAGAGCAGCTGGAGGAGGCTTACAGTCCATTCCCGCCCTACTAACAGGTGACATGATGCGGGGACGACCCCAACCCTCGTCGTTGGATAAATCAGGACTACACCCTGGTTAGTAAGCGGCTGATCGAAACTCGCAGGACGTTGGCAGGACGCACAGCTGTAAGACAGTGAAACAACCAACAGGAACTTCCTTAACCCTGGATCCTCCTCGGAATTTCGACCCTGCGGTATCGGCTAGCATCACAACGACGGCACTTTTCCTGAGGTTACACGGCGACCACGCTGGCGCAAAAGACAGTATAACACGGGGAGCAAAGGAGCATTCCCCAATCTGGCGGATTGACTGGTAACGATGTTAGTAACTGATCAGAATGCGAAGAAAGCAGTACCCAAGAACTTTTGACCGTCGGTGAAGGTAGAACTCTGGATATAGAATAAGAGGTCATTTCTGATTTTGGGATTGAGTTGTCTGTGGAGGGAGTAAGCGCGGTACATGTTAGTGGGAAAGCAACGGACAATCGTCATAATCGATGAAGGAGGCAACAAGGAATATCGCCGTAGTCTCCGATACAGGGCGCGCTGATTGTTTGTCCTTTCTAGGTGAGGATTTTGGGGACGCACTGGGATCGGGCTTTGGAGGCGGAGCACATGTGAATGCAAGGTTGGTGAGGTGAAGTGAGGAATGGTAAATGGGTGTCAGTGGGTAACTTATGAGGTCTAGTTGAGCGTATGAGAGTTAACCGGTAAGAAAGGCACGACTGCATACTGATAGCTGATCCGTCAAAACGCAGCTTAACTTCACAGAGTTCAATGGTCTGTTCCTCTGCCAGCGCACCCCAGTCTAAGGGTGGAGATTGCTCTTCCGGAATAGCTCCATGTGGTGTATCCAACGGGAGACCAAGGTCACTGTCATTGTGTGCAACAGGCGCCAAACTGTCAGTGGTGGGATATCGCCGGGACCTCATGGCCACCAGCAGTGAGGAGTCTGGAGCAGAGTCACTGGTAGATTCACAGTAGGGAGAGATACACGCACCAGTGTACATGAACCCAATAGCAGCCCTAGTACAGAGCCTAGAAGACTTTGGTCCGGAAGGTACGTCATGAAATGCAGTCCGGCTTTGGCCCTCCGTAATGAAGTACGGCTGAACCAAGGAACAACAGAGAAAGCTTAGCGAAGGTGAGTAGGGACGTGCATAACAGACATGGAGTTCGTGAGATTGAGTGACCAGAAGTAGGGTGGGATTCGAAACAGGTGTGAGTGGGCCGCGTAATGGGAGACGTGAACAAAACCCGTCACTGGATGTTATCCACTGTTCCTATTGTTATTTAAGGCTCCAAGCTATACCGCAACCGCATACCTCTCGTTCGACCCCTGCCCAAGCGGCGGTGATCACCCCGGCTCCCGGGCTCATCGGCCAACACTCCTTGACTGTCCAGCTATCTACTTGATGTCCGCGTATCCAGAGACAGGCAATCCCGTCTCCTTCGATGCCAGGATAGAACGCAAACAGCCATTGGTCATTTGGAGCGACGCTTATGACACTTGGGGGCTCGAAAGACGACAGTGATCGAATGATAGGTTCAGGAGAAGGGACGATGAACTGCCTTGATGATGGAAATAGGCGACCAAGTAGGAGAGGCTGGGACGAGTGCGCGGTGAAAATGACAGAGGAAGTCGACCATGCGACTGGGCTGGAAGAGAGAAGGTGAATAGATAGTAGGATGAGAGACGGCCTCAGGAGGCGTACCGCTGGATATTTTCAACCAAAGGATGAAAATCCCACCAATTTGAACGCCATCTACCGTCATCCTTGGCCTTTCCCTTGACAGGGGAGCTGTTTACATCCACGCTCAACATGCCCGTAGGGCCAGAAGGAACAATTATCTTCTGTCGAGTCTTTGGTTTGCCTAGGGGAGACTATGTAATAGGGCCATAGGGAACATCGTCGGTGCAGCTATGTATATTGACCTGTCGAGCACGTGACGCGGGGAGACTCTGTCCGACGACGTTGGCTAGAGACCTGTCATGCTCAATTCCTCCCAAGCTTGCATCGAGATCAACGGGATTCAGACTGATCTGCTCATTCAACCGTTTGCAGACCGGATCTTCGTGCAGGTCACACAACTCGGGAAAGTTGGCAACTTGGTGCGCCCCTGTAACGTTCTGGTCGATCGTGACTGATCCTCCTTAAAAGGTCCAAGTGTCGATACCATCCACAGCGCTTCTCGCTTCTAGTGGCGTATCTGACCCATCTGGGCTTGCGTTACCTGCTCCACCAGCAGCCATACAACTCACACTACTTTTTGGGAGTGCCTCGTCGGAGCATTTACGGTCGCTGCACTCGCTCTATGCTGCACAGATCGCCACACTTGCCTGGTGTGCTGAGGGCCAAGCACCGGGGCCCGGTCGTCGTAGTGTCATCGTTGGAATTGCACTTAAGCAATCTGTGCAGACTGTAGAAGAAGGATTTGATGAACACGAGAGGAAGACATTTCAAGGGATCATGCAGGCACTTGCAACCATGTTGAATAGAGTAGCGTGAATTATTATTCGACAACATCTACTGGTGGACATTTGCTACACATGGATTACACCTGCTAATGAGCTACTGCCCGTGGCCCAGAGCATGCGTTACGCATATTCACTCTTCTACCAAGGTCGCGTAGTCGACAATTAGTTGACGTCTTTGGCCCCAAGGCAAGAAACCTCAGGCAAGGTCGAACATTTGTCGTACTTGTCAGATCAAAGCTTTGATGAAGGAAGCAAAATTATCCCGTGAATTGGGTCGCTGTCAGTGTCTCCGAAATTAGTCTATCAAGTCCTCCCCCACTGACCGGCGTGTTTAGATTGACACCCAGGTATGATCGCCCGTGCTTCGCAGATATGTACTGCTTCAGATTCATGTGTACTGTGCTATGTCGCACGACATGTATTCTTCTATGTCATGTACAGTAGCCGAATGTGTACCAATTTTAGGTCCCGTGTACTACATGCTAACCCCTAATTGAAGCGGTTTTCCACACGGAGGGGTATGCATCATGGTTCCATGTTCCACGGGTCTTATCCCGCCTGGTCAGATCACTCCATCCTCTTCCGCTGTGAATATCGCAGGACCCATGGTCTATTCGATGCCCCCTGAGGGCTTGAAGGTCATGGTTTGATACAATCCTCTCAAGTTCGAAGGTCCACCCAAGAAGGATATCATCAAAGTCATCATCGACGACCTCGAACACCTCAGAGTCCATCTCCCTGCTCGGAAGAACATCTGGCGTCGAGGAGATAAGTGCGTAATGCTGTATTGGCCAGTGTCTCATAGGACCCTTGGAAACTTTGTGCGTGGAGTTTACGGAGGTCTCGACGAGATCAGGGTTGTCTGATGCGTCAGCTTGTTCGCCCGCTTTACTCGCTCGCCCCCGCGCACGCTCATTCTCATGGTACGGGCGGGGAAATTATCTTGTTCTAAATAGAATTCGCTGTACTCGCGTTGGATAAAGTTATCCCGGGGCGACGAGTCCAAACGGCTTCTGAAGAGTCTCTTGATGTAGATCTTTCATCCACCATGCAGTGCAGTGGGGCAGCAACGTGTCTCTTTAACACTTCTAACTGAACTCGCACGTCGCCTTCCTTGGCCCATCAGAGGGTCTCTCGTGGTTGTAGACGGGTAAGTCATTAAGTTAGTCCATTTGTTTCCCATTTATCTCCTGGCATATGGATGTATCATATTATGTTGGCCAATTGACACTGCCCCATCTGTTCTTGTTCAATGGCGTCAGGCGTTGCATTATTGCTTCTACCGCCCACGATGGGAACAAAGCTACACAGCAACCGGTTCGCGCAAGTGTCCCATGTGCCATCCTGTGCAGAATACCAATACTTATAGCACCCCAATTTCAAGACGCCAACTACTATCCTACCAGGGTCGTCTGTTGCACCTGCTGTGTCCTCTGGCAACTATAGCGTGAGCCACCAACACCATTCTTTTATCGTCACCCTCATCCCAAATCAACGTAGCCTCCGAAAGCAATGGGCCCTCCGATTCCACGAAAGAGGCGCTTGAGTACCCCCGACTCTCCCACCAACTCAACACGCCAGCGGTTGGATAACAATCCAACGACATTGAGCGTATCCATAGGACGATATGCTCTTGAAGACCAGAGTAACAGTCCCGCCAGATCACATTCGGAAAGCATATCCGCTATGGTTCTTTCTACGATCCAATCGGAGTCGACGACGACGACGACGCGTCATCCACGTCCGCATAACCACAGCGCTCCCTTTCATTCGTCCTCTCCGCAACAAACAGCAGCAGCAGACATCGTTCCTACGGTAGCGGTGGCAGCAGGCGAACGTCGATGCTGTGTTGAAGAAGAGGCCGGCTACGATGTCCATTACAGCAATTCCGGGCAGTCGGCGTCAGAGAGGGTTTGCCTTCTGTGGCAGGACGTGATGGAAATTCGCAGGCAGCAAATGAGGTTGCGAGATAAGGAGGAGGTTCTTTTGGGCGAGATGGAGAAACTGGGTGAGAAGCCACGGCCCCCCAGTAGCACAAATTCTCAGCTTCGCACTACTAGTTCAACTACTGGTAAGTCTTATCTATCATATTTGGGCGATACGTTCCGGACTGGGCTGATCTCATGAATCGGTTGGCAGAGAGGCAACTAGCTGAGATGGAGGCAGAGTTGCAAGAGGAAAGGGACAAGCGAGTACGAGCCGAAAAGGCTCTCGAGGAGATTGAACGGGAATGCAGATCGCCGTTCGTTGTTCCTGCGTTGTTCCGGGCTTTCATGACGATCTCTGAACTCTCGCCTTAACCTTGATTGGTCTTCGCGGTCCTCTTCCCTTCAACGAGCCTTTTTGGCTGCCGGCTGCTGATGGAGAGATACGAACGTTAGAGCAGAGGCGCTAGGACGCACAGGTGAAGTGCTACCACAATTCTATACCTCCTACACCACACGCGCTCGATTAGAGAGCCGGAGTTCTTCCTATTCATCGCCGCACAACGTATTCCACGGATAACCAGTTCTTGCTGTATACATTGTACCATATCCAAGGAACCCAGTCGCATGGTAACGCTATATGATGTATGTTGTGCAAAGATGTCCTCGAACCCTTGGCTGATTGGTTGAACCATTTTACGTAGTGAAAGTTGGCTGTTATCACACTAGACATGTGAAGTCAACGCTGCATGTCAAGGCAACGTACTGGTGAGGGCCTCGAGGGTCGCGTGCACACTAGATTTGGTATTAGCGATCCATGCGACTGGGCTGGAATTGCATGGTTTGTGTGGATACAACTCAATGGAACAACATAGTCTTTAAGCACGGAGTCCACATCAAGCATAGGGGACACCCCCTTTCTACTAAAGAGCAATACCAAACAACGCCGCACATAAACAGCGCTGTGAAGCGAGTAATCCAATATAATCAAGGGAAGGCGCAAATCGTCGTCACTCATAATGATCACGACGTCCGCTGTCGCTTGCAGTACCGGTCGATGTCCAGCTCATTTGAAGTGCGTTCGATGTGGTCAAATACGGCTCCAAGGGAATGGGCCAGATCTGGGGGCACAGGACCCGCTGCCGCCGCGGATATCAAGTTGTCGAATTTGCGCTTGAGCCCCTCTAATTGGACAGGTGAGAAAAACACAGCGGGCTACGTGTGAAAAGACAAAAAAAAAGGTGAGGAAGAAGGAAACGATATCGTAGTACGCCACGCACGTGAGGTCTCGCGTTCATTAGTTCTTCGGCATGCAATCGGTTATCTATGGGTACACGGTCCGGGTCTGGTTGACTCTCCTCTACGAATCCCACAGAAGGGACCGATGAAGACCCGGGTTCACCAATCACTGCAGGTGGTGGCGGTTGTGGCGGTATCGTGTGGAAGATTTGGGGCACGGCAGCAGATGGAGGAGGCGGCGGCGGTGGTGGTGGAGGAGCCTGTTGAACGACGGTGTCCAATTTGAATTCAGACGTATTTGGAGGTCGGCGGAACGATGCAGGAAAGCTGGGATGAGCTTCAGTGTGGGTCATGCGTATGCGCAGAAGTTGTTCGTTGTCATCCATGATGGTGATGCGGAGCCAACCCCCGCAATGATAACGCGTAATACGACTTCTGGATTTGCGATCTGAACCCTGCACCCGGGATTTGGACTGTTCACCCTCTAGTTGTGCACAGAAATAAGTTACGACGGTTGCTTTCCCACCGCGCTTTGTTTTCTTTTGGCTGTGTTGGGTAGATTATTCGCAGATGAGGAACATAGAGAGAGAGAGCACGCACTTCCAGTGATAATCTGAAGCTTCGGCGAGATAATCCCTTATACGATTTGATCTGTTGTATAGGTGTTCGCCAGCCAAGAACATCCCAGGTGGGACGTTGACCATAGTGTCGAAGTCGAACGGACGATCCTTGTTGAGCGAGACGAGCTTTAAAAAGTCGTCGAGAGATATGGCCGCCGTGGCTATCTGGCCCCGATTCGATGCTTCAGCGACCATTTCCGATGCCACTTTTCGCGCATTTTGCTTATCCATACAGGCAGCACACACTTTAAGGTGGCCACCGCCTGTGCGTCTCGGTGGAAAGGCAGTGATGGGCCCGGTGTAGGGGCATCGTGTACACTTTTGCAACGGTGGGACTCCTCCAGAGAATGTGTTGGATGGGGAGTGCATGCATTCTGCGGGGATGTTGAACGTATTTGGTGGTAGTACAGGGGGTTGTCCAGGCGGTGGAGGGGTCGACGACGAGGCTACAGGAGCCGGCGACGCTGTGAATTTGGACCCGAACGGGTCTCTCAACGACGCTTGGGTTGGATGGCACAGGCAGACACACCTCCTACGTGGATCATCGCGGCTAGTGTTATTTTTCAGACAGCCTTGGCTGGACGAGGACGACGCTCATCAAACAGTCCGAGTTTCCTACCGTAACACTACTCTTGCAGTCAAAAGTCACGTGCCAGAGACCACCTTCCGTCAAAAATAGGTCACTATCGCAATAGTCGGACGTCGAGCAACCAATCATTTGGCTCTCGAAGGACAGTAATTCTCTCCTCACATAAATATAAGACGATGTCGACGAGGGAGCTTGGTGCGATCACACAAGTGGCTACATGCTCGAGACAACCAGAACAATAAGACGTCATGGAAGATCTTCGAGTCGATCCGGGCACCTGGCCACCCACCATGAATAACCACGTCACATCTTTCTTTGTGGGGAGCCCTCATGTTCCAAATCGTGCCATCACTTATGGTTTCCGGGCACGATCCACCGATCCCATCAGCCAATTCCTGGACATACTATCTGTAGCGTTGGAGATGCCCTCACGGTTGTATTCTCAGGTCTGCCGTCCACCGTGTGGTTCCCCTCCTGGAGCTAGCCCAGTTACTGCGGAGTCTGTGAAGCAGTATCCAGAAGATAAATTCGAGACTGGGTCCACTGCTGAGGAGTGGTTTTCCAGGAGAATAAATTACCGGAGGCTCGGGAACAGAGAAGCAAATCGTGATAGGATCAACGGTTGTATGTATCCGATGAGGTACAGGGACCCGATCATGGGGTGCCAGCAGAGGGACTGAGCATGACCCAACAACAAGGTAATTTGAAAACCGATGGAGGATTCTAGGATATGGCTATTCTGCGTTGCCACTCGACGTGTCAGAACAAGCCAGCTCCTCTCAACGCTGTATCTACCTGTAATGGAAAGGTCAGAACCGCGAAATCATGTCCAGTATGTGCACCAGTCGTCACACTTAGAGGTCTGCTTGTGTTCGCATGTCCTCGAACTAGAAAGAGAAATACACCATTGACGACGAAATAAAATTCGTATCTGTAGTCTGCAGGCGCTCATTTACTGGAGCGTGACCGGGGACGATAAGTGCTTTCTGGTCCGAGGTCTCCCCAGAAGTAACCAATGGCCTCTCCCTGACAGTCGCGAAATCCAGCGTGGACCTCGTGCAACCCTGAGAAGTCAGCTTCAGGTACTCGACGGTCTGCCTGGCAAGACCTTGGGTGGCGAGTATCTGTGTACTCGAAATACCTGTCGTATAAGGAAGCGAATTTGTACGCCTCCTCGTCCGAGGTAGATGTAGAGATGTCTACGTTGTAGTTGACAGCACTGTGGAAGGCCGCGACCTGTTCTGTGAAGGTTTGCAAGGCATGCGTGTGCACTGCGTTCCTCCATCTCGTGAGTAGATTCGCCATACTTAGCACGAGAAATACTGACTTTATATAGTCAACGATCAGTCGATCAACGATTGTCCACGCTTCACTCCGTTCTACTCTCAGAGCAAGCCATGCCTCGTCAATTCTTTGTCGGTGGAAACTTCAAGATGAACCCGATTTCTCGGGCACAGAAGAAGATCATCATCGACGAGCTGAATGCCGCCGATCTAGACCCGAACACTGGTGCGTAGCCACCCAACTCTTGAAACAGATGAGATAACAAATTGCCACCGGTGTGCAGAGGTCGTCATCGCCCCTCCATCGCTGTACCTCCTTCCCCTGAAGGATATCGTGAGGAATGACATCAAAGTTTCCGCTCAGAACTGCTACTGCAAAACATCCGGAGCATATACCGGCGAGATCAGGTAAGACGGAGCACTTCGCGGCAGCGTACTCGTGCTTCATATACTCTTAGCCCGGCTCAGCTCGCTGACGCCGGTATCCCATACGTGATCATTGGTAAGGGTTATTTTCCTAACCACGCCATGCCGTTTAACGCCAGTTCGTACACAGGCCATTCCGAACGCCGAACTCTCTTCCATGAAACGTCGGAGTTAGTCGCCCAGAAAACGAAAGCCGCCCTAGATGGAAGTTTATCGGTCATCCTTTGTGTCGGAGAGACTCTGCAGGAGCGTGAGGCAGGGAAGACTACTCAGGTCGTCGAGAGCCAGCTGCGGGAAGTCGTTACCGTTCTGAACGAAAGTGACTGGGAGTTAGTTCCATCTTACACTCGTCGTTGTCTGCAGTGCTGACGACGCATAGCCGAGTTGTGATCGCTTATGAGCCTGTGTGGGCAATAGGCACAGGGAGAGTCGCTACTGCTGCTCAGGCTCAGGAGGTTCACGCCTACATCCGTCAATATTTGTCGACCGCCGTGTCTGCTGCTGTTTCTGGGAACACGAGGATTATATACGGTGGGAGTGTCACAGCGGCCAACTGCAAGGAGTTGTGTAAGTGTGGCAAATCCAAATTGTCTCAGAGCGGGCTTTATCTCATGTGGACACAGCTACTCAGATCGATGTAGACGGATTCCTCGTCGGTGGGGCATCGTTGAAGCCGGAGTTTGTGAACATCATCAATGTGAAGAGAAACTAGATTGTAGTCCGTGAATATGTACAAGTGTAACCTTTCTGACCTCAGGGGGTTATTGCTTATGTAACGGAGACCCGCCATTCAGTTCACAAAGACCTGGCTTGCCAGTCTTTACTACACTACTCTTTGTTGTTGCCGTCTCACGCGCTGTGGGTGTTTGACGACTGGACTGGGATGATCATCGATGGACCATGTTGAGATCACTGCTATCACGTCTGCGGAATATTGGGGAGATTACTCGCGAGACCACGCAAGCACGAGGGCCTGACACGGTGCACATTCATGAGACCCAAGTGCCGCCGTTGAGCCCTTGCTCGGAACAGATGAAAGATGCTGTGGAACAACTCAATGAAGCGACGGAGCTCACTGTCGACGGAATTACGGTGAGGCCTTGCACTGCTCAGCCGCATCTCCTGGTTGGGTTGAAGCTTCGTCGACATTACGACGCATATACGAATCGATGAACAAGAATCCCCATGTTTTGGACGTGTTCTGCGAGTTGAATGGCTTTCTTGCTTTCATACATGTCTTTTCAACTCTTTCCGCCGCCACGTTTACTGAGTTGTCAAGTTCGTATCACGCCCAGGGTATTCTCGAGTGTATGCAGTAGGCGTTTATGGTCGCCTCCAAGGCCTTGGAAGGACGCGAAGACCATTTGGACTTCTTTGAGGTGAGGTAGATTCACGCCCACTGCACCCCCGGCTTCTGCTCACACAATGGACTACATGAATTCGTCGGGTATGATATCCATTCGGACGCCTGCAGTGTAATCCGGCCACTTCTTGCTCGGAATTTAGTCTGATAGTTGAGCTCTTCGGTAGCTTGGGTCCTGCAAGACTACATATCGGAGACTCGACCTCTCGTTGCCCAATTCATTTAGGGAGTATGTCAATTTTCAACCCTCTCTACGTTCGCTCATACTTAAGCATATTCTCAGTTTGACGAAGCCAATGGGGGCGCTCATGGATGTGCGGTGGGAGATCGTAGAAAGCCCTACAACAACCTAGAGAGCGTAGGCGAGAAGTCATGAGTCCACTATGGCACTCATTTCAGTTCGTGTGTAGTATCGTTCCCGTCTCCCTGTTCTGAGAAGCCTGAGCATTTGTAAGGTCCATGATTGTGTACCATTACCTAGTTCGGTCAGCACCTTTCACGGGCATGTTCAGAACCCTCCAGCTGAGTGTTTTTGATTCCTTCGTGCCCATTCGCATAATGCCATTCATCAGGGTGGGGACTGGGATCTGCCAGACCGACTATTTTCATATGTTTCCGGGCGCACCCTGATTCGTTGTGGGGGGTTCTGACCAGCTCACAATAGGGACATTGAGAGATCCTATTGCTCCGCATCACAAGACGTGAGAGAAGATGTCCGAGAGTTGATACCAGAATTCTTTTCATGTCCAGAGTGAGTGCCTCCTGTTTCGTCCTGATAGGGCCATGTCAATGGTAGACATACAGATTTTTTGAGAATGTCTCGTCTTGATTTTGGTGTTGCCATAGTATGGGAGAGAAAATTGACGACGTCAACTTGCCTCCGTGGACTAAAGATGACCCATTCTTCTTCGTTACCCTACACCGACATGTGATTATCAAGCAGTTTGCACGACCACAGGCACATGCTTATTTGCTCAACAGGTACTAGAGAGTCACTGTGTTAGCGAGAACCTCCCGATGTAGATATATCTGATATGGGGATGCTAGCAGCGTGATGTCGAGTCGTTGAATATCTTCCACCCCCTGAGCTGTGAGGGAGCTATTGGTATTCGCCTATCATATGAGTGCGCCGTTGGCCTGATCGACGTTCGATGCAGATCTTGATAGCATCACTGACCCTTTAGAGCGAGAGGCAATGACTGGTATCATCCATAATTGTGAGCGATATTTGACTCTGACCATTGCGAAGGTCGATTGACGGGATTGGCAGCTGCCCAAACACCTTGCAAGCTATTCAGTTCTCCACATCCCTCATGAAACTTGAGTGGCACATTGAGCCTTCCGGTGAAAGGGAAGAGGGGAATTTGCGAGGATGCGCTGGCTCTGACCAGAGATGCGCGCCTGCTTAAACATAGGTAAGGGTATCGCTTTTGCCATCACCGCACCCACCGTTCATAGTTGGCTTTGACGGCCCTGTCGTTCACATGGAAATCCACTCGAGCGGGAAGGTGTACCCAATGTCACATGGAGAATTGCTGCACCCTTCCCGCAACGATGACGGGATTCGATGGGACCACGGCCGTGGAAGCGGGATATTGCAGGCATTTTCCCAAGGGACCGTACGAGTTTTCTCTCTGCCTTTTGTGAATCCACTGGCATCTAGGCTCCAGATTGTATAAACCATCGAGTCTATCCACCCAACTTGTGCCACTTTTGCTGACCCAGACACCCTTGTTACCGGATCGGCCAATTCCATCGTACGGATCTGGCATGTCCCCTATGGGCAGAGCTCGGTGGGCTCGTCCCTCGCTGGAAATGTAAAACATCGGAAGCGTCGGGAGCCAGTATTATCGCTTGCTCGCCTGCTTCGTGGACATAGGGACCATTGCCATGTGTTCAGGCGTCCAGGGCCTGGTCGGTTGTTGTTAGCGGCAGTTCTGATGGAAGTGCGGTCCTGTGGGATTTGAACCGAGGGACATACGTGCAGTCGATATGGCATGCTGAGGGTAATATTCGTTCGGGGAGTGCTTCTGTTGATCTTGTAGTGATCAACGAGTCTACGGTACGTTGGCAAGGTGATCGTGACATATCAGTCAATCGTGTAATAGGGGTGTATTGCAACGCGTTCCACTCGTTATCTGTGGCTTCATACCATCACAGCGAGGCCAATTGCGAAACTTGACTTGTCGTTGACATGCGACCCCACTTCTCGAGTTTCGTCTATCGCATTCCACGAGCACGAGTACTCCGCGCTAGGTATTCTGGCTGTGGGGGACGGGCAGGGTTCCGTGATACTCTGCACGTGGAATGCAGATGGAGCTCCTCAAGACGCGAATGCTCAGTGGGAGTTCGTGGAGGTACGGTGTCTTTCGCCAGAACATGGCTCATCTGCAGCCGTTACAGCTCTTGAATTCTCTGAGTATTGATGAAGCATTTGAATAATGAAACACTGTAGGTTGGAGACGCCTCTGGGGGCATGTTCCGTTGGGCTATACCTGACTGAAACACTATTGAGAACTCCAATGTTGTACGTCCCCTGCCGTGTGGCATACCATAATGACAGATGTAACAGACCATGGTTGATGCACTTATGAAAGGGCAATCACTCGCCACAAATACAGTAGTGTCCCTTTCGTACAGGTACTGTCAATATACTGATACTGATTGTCAACTGCCTATTGTTTTCTGGTCATTTAACCCCAACTTGGCTGATCCCTACCTATTTCAAGTTAACAGGCATTTAACTAGAGACTTGATCCTTCGCCATCCCTAACCAAATCCGAATGAGAAAGTTTCAAATCTTACATCCTCTTGAAGTTCTATACTCGTATTGACACTCTGCACGTCGACTCCGGTCGAACTGCCACCTGAAGTGGAACTCCTGATATATCCATGTGAGCTAGGGTTAGGGTTAGGAGAACTAAGAAGCAAAAAAATAGAGGCCTGCCCAGCCAGAGTGGCCATGGCAGGACAGGAAAATATTGAGACGGTGCATGAGCCGAAGCCCATACAAACCGCGGGCACCCTCGGAGGACAGGGTCGCCGTGCAATGGAAGGTCCCCACGGCCCACAGACCTATGTCCGTGAAGAGGCCTGTGCCATCAAGGTAAGTATGAAGAAACAACTACGTCTGACGAGGGCTTATATACACTTGGCACAGACGCACGGACCATCCGAAAGTCACCTGGCCGGACCTTCCATTTACGGAAACCACACTTACCATATTAGCTAGTTCACTTCACATGCAATGAATATAACATCCACGTGATCAATCTAATATGTCGTCGCACATGCTTGCGAGAAGTGCAATATAGTACTCGGTTCCAGTTTGAATGCATCGTATATACTGGTGAAGTACAACTGATAACCCATATAATGCTATCCCTTTTCGAAATCAAGTGCAAACTGATGCGATGCAGCAAGTTTAGCTGCCCTTGCCTTGCGAGAAAGTGGCTTCGGCTTCTCTTTCAAGAGCAGCTAGCTTATTATTTCTCTCCCGCTGCCACTTCGTCCACTTCCACTGAACAAGGGTGGTCAGGCGCTGGTCTGCTGGAAGTGACGTTCGAGGATTGGTCTCGTAGAGATAGTACGCCAGGCAGCCAGTAAAGATGCCCAGCAGCGGATCGATACCACTGTTTACGTTCGTCCAAAGTTAAACCGTCCGTCAAGTATTAGATCGTAGATACCCACCGTGACAAGAGCACCGGAGGTGTCATGGTGAACGGGTACGGAGATACACGGTCGGTTACAAGTTTGTTGCAACGTGTTGAGTCAGTCGGATTTGCTTAAAATTTCGCGCGTTCAGCGTCTCAAGTCTAATACAGTCTACATAATAATCCAAGGTATTCCATCCCGCGACCCTACTCGTTCTTGCCATCCGATATCGTCCGTAGCATCGTTCACGAATGTCTGCCGTCACCCTCGAGCGCCAGTTCCGTCCTATATACGGTTCGCATCTGGATTCTGCACACCGTTTTGCTTGTTTGACCTTGCCTCCAGAATCTTTGGACAATGGCTCCAACAAGTCTGCCATCTTGTCGTGCAACAAGCTGCTAAAAAAGTATCCTACTAATATCTTGGCCAAGGTGCGTGTGCAAACGTCTTCACAGACAACTAACCGGACGCACCCGAGCATGCTTCAGGCTCTGAAAGCCCTTGCACTTGTGCGCCTCCAAAAAGTAGAAGAATCTCTCGCCTTATGCGACGAAATCCTGGCCGCGAAGCCATTAGACGAGCCGACCATGTCAGCTATGATGCACGTCCTCAAGGGCCTTGGGAGGAGTATGTGTCTGGCGTGCCGTGTGCGTTCATATATTGACACCATCCAGATGCGGACCTTGTAGCCATGTGCGAAGAAGCATACAAGAGTCAACCTCAAAACGAAGAATACGGTGCTCAAGCATTCTTCGCGAATATCCGGAATGGAAACTGGAAATCTGCACAACAAGTATGTATCCAGTGTACTCGTTCTATCAGGCTGATCGACGTGTGTTCCCGCGCCTCTAGATATCTTCCAAGATGCACAAACAATTCCAGGAGGACCGATATTTGTACTGGAGCGTGATCTCTGCTATCTTGCAGGTCATCACATCTTCTCCACGCCACTGCAGCCAAGCTGACATGTTAGGAAATAGGCTAATGACCCGTCAACGCCAGCCGGTATGCGGACGGTACTGTACAAGCTGGCGCACAGACTAGTAGTTTCCTCGCCAACCCCATCTTACCTTAGTGCAGACCGCTTCCACATGCATATGAATATCCTAAAAGAGCTGGAGCTCTATGATGAAGCAAATGCCCTTTTGGAGAGCGAAGTTGGAAAGTCTATTTGCTCGACCAGCCTGGCATGTTCACAGACTCGCAGGGATATTTGGCGGAAGCGGGGTTCGTACAAGGAAGAAGGGGAACGTGCCCGGGACCGGATATCAGAAGGGTCTGTGGTTTCCAACGGCAAAAGCGCATCGTCTTGTGAGGGGGCTAACGAAATTGGTTTAGTGACCGGAACTGGCTTGAATTTTTGTCCGTTCTGGACGCAACGTTCGCTCCCATCGTGTCGTCCCAGGATGAGATCTCGGAGCAAAGTAGACAAGAGTGTAGGGAGGTCCTAAACGGGACCAGGGAGTTCTTGGCAGATATCGCCCAAAAGGATGGCATCAAAAATCGAGCTGCCCCGTTAGCACTTACTGAACTTGAATACCGCGCTTACAAGCATGGCTTATATGGTACGTATTTCCGAGTTCCTTCGCCTCCAAGCCTTTGCATACTGCGGTGTAGATTCGAGTGTCCTCGTTGAATCGATGGCGGATTACCTTACTCAATTTGGCGACAAGTCTTGCTGTTTCGAAGACTTGAAGGCCTACCTTGATGCTGAGGTTGCGTCATCTGAACAATGGGAAGCAATCCTTGCCAACCAACACCTTTCTTTTGTGAGTAGGCGTCATGGTCGTTGCTAAGGCTTCTGAATCTTGCTGTAGGAGTCCATATCGCATCTGCAGAGATTGATTAACGTCCGCAAGCTTCAGCGTTATGGTTTGTCCAAAACGGACATGACCGTGGAAGCTGAGACTGCTCGTGCAGTGAAGTATTTATCAGAATATTTCGAGGGTCTTTCCCTTGGCAAGGATCTTCCTGTTACCGAGCTCCAGCCAAGCGATGATCTTGCACTTCTCTCCGCCCATGCTTTTGTCAACGTATGGGCCCTCAGTGGTTCCGAAGAACCTTTGTATAGTGCTGTCACTGTCTTAGAGTTTGGCTTGACCAGGAGCCGCATGTCCTTCTTGATGCGCATGATGCTCATTCGACTATACCGCATATTAGGTGAGCACTATGTGCAATGGCGAGACTTTGCGTTCTTAACTCCTGGGTGATGCTAGGTGCTCCGAGCCTCGCACTGGATCATTATCGTGCGATGAATGTTAAACGGGTCCAGAATGATACCCTTTCCCATCTCGTTCTCACTCGGGCATTGACGTTCTCGTTGGCTGCGACTGGGGACTTGACGTATCCTACAGAATGCCTGGAGTCCAGCCAGATATACCTAGTTAATGCCCAGGAGGTAATAATTTTCTTGGCGGTTACGTTCTAGCTTCATCTTAATTGCAGACCTCGGATTTCATCGTCCGTGCTTTCACCGCTGAAAGATACACCCAGGTGAGCGTCAACACATGTTCCGAAAGTCGCATAGTTTGATTCATGTTACAGATACCTGAATTCATTGAATTCGAGGATAGACTAGAAAATTCCCTCCAACGCGACGTCGTCAAGATGGAGCACGTCCGTATGCGCCTGACACACGAGCAACTCCACACCGATATCATAGATATGGAGTTGATAGAGCTCAAATTTATCTTTGACCGTTGTATGTATGCTGGCTTTGCTTTGGCTGGACATTTGGCTGAGTTCCCATCCCCAGTACATCACGACAACCGCGACTTCGTTATTTTGCCAAACTATCAACCCGCGTGCCAACCGATGTTCAACGAGCAGAGTTTGATGTTCGGGACGTCGTGCGGTGTGAGTGTTGCGATACATATCTTCAATCTCCGTCCCTCAGACCTTACTTGGCTTAGCAAGGATGGTTGTGGAGCTTCCTCAAAATATATCTCCGGGCATTCCAGCATGCCAGTGACCTCGATGAGACGGTAGAAGCAAAACTACTCATCGGTGACAGGCCGAAGATGAGTCCGGATCCAGAGACAAAGCTTCCCCTTCCAGAACGCCTTGCAATCAGGAAGAGCGAGGAAACTGCAGAGGTGAGTAGTGTACGGACAGTATGTGGGTATTCGTGATTGACTAATGTGTCTCAACAGTTGACTTCCGAAGAACGTCAACTCATGGAGTGGGCTACTGCCCTCGGCGATTGGCTCGAGCCCCATCACAACTACACTCGACCACCTCCCCATGTCGTGTTAGCTGAGGCTGCAAAACAGACCGAACTTAAGACTGGCTTGCCGTTGAGGGGCGTTGACCTCAAGGCTTTGAGCGTGAACGGAAACTCAAAAAAGGACGAGGAAGCTCCACCGATTAAACCAGTGCCTGAGTTGGTCGTTAAGTTCTTTGAGGGTAAGCTTCCCTCTTGTCCACACGTCGTTGTTAACCTCTTCTTTAGATATGTACTCTCAGTTTAAGCGGCTGCTGAAGAGCAAGTGTTCAATTTCACAATTGCTGCACATTGCTACCATCACTCAAGAGGTTGTTGGTTCGTCTCTGAGGGAATTCTCCTGTGCTGAACCCAGCCCGCCAGGCATACATTCTACTGGCCGTTGAAACCCTACGCTTCAAGACACCCTCCGTCGTAAAGATCCACAAGCTTGGCAATGTCAGTGTACTATGTCTTGTCTTCCAAGCTTGATTCTGAGGCACACATGTGATAGCTTGTGTGCATGATCAAGGACATCCGGCAAAAGGCGAATTCCATAATGAAGGATATGTCGTTTGAGCTGCTGAAGTTGGCAGAGGCGGAGAATACAGGTGACCGCCGGAGCGCTCTTGCGGAAGCATGTGCGTGCGTCGCCGTCGGTCAGGTAAGTTGGTTCCTTCCCATTGTGTCGAGTTCTGATCGGTATTTTTCTTGGTAGATTGATCATGACTTCATCTTGAACGTAGTGAGGAACGTGATGGACTCTCAGAAGAAGGTGCTGGAGGGAGTTGCTAAAGGGATGGCTAAGCTTCACAATACACATTCGCAGTCCTAGGGTGGGAACCATGCAACGGTTTGAATATACTATCAGCCCCTCTCAATCTGTACAATCATGCAATGTTATAGTTTCTTGCTTTGACTTGGGTCCGAGACGCGTGAAATTATAACGTGACAATTCGTGACACACCGCGCCTTCGTTCTCCCGCCTTCAGGAGAACTCGAAAACTTCTCTACCACAAGCAATATTTCTGACCATGAGTCAATGTGAGTAGGCAAGGCCCTTGGGGCAGGGCTCCGCGAATCCGACTGACACCCGTTTGGATAGATAACGATTATTACGGCGGAGGCGGGAGTGGCGGCTACGTAGCAGGGTCACCCTATGGCGGCGCCAACAGCCCAGGTGGTTTCGGTCGTGTTCGTCACCTCAAACCGTCTTGCGTGCGTTCACTGAATGACCGCGATGCGTAGAAAAGCGAAACATCACACTCCCTACGTCCGATGACAATCCACCAACTCCTGAACGCGCATCAAGCGCATGCCGACGCTGACTGGATGTTAGATGACACGGAAATTGGTCAAGTAAGGGCACAGTTATCACTCAAGTTTCGATCTCTTTAATTAATGGGCTTTGCAAGGTCACAATCGTTGCACATATCGTATCAGTACAAGCACAGGCGACTAACAGCCAGTACATTCTCGATGACGGGTCAGGGCACATAGAAGCACGGCGCTGGAAAGATTCGTCGGTCGAAGATGAATCCGAGAAACTTGGCATAGTGTAATGTTGCTTTATCACGCGTCGTCACGTACCACTTACATCCAACTCTCACAGAGAGGGAGCATATGTCCGCGTTTTGGGCAGCCTGAAGATGTTCGGCAACAAAAAATACATCAACGCAACGTTTATACGGCCGGTGGCCTCGCCGACTGAGGTTTACTTCCATATCCTTGAAGCTATGACCGTCACCCTGATCTGGGAGAGGGGGCTGGTGCGTTACTTCGCACACAAGCATTAACCTAGGATTGATTCTTGTAGCCCCCGCGCCCTGGTCAAAGTCCCCAAGAGGCTGGGCTGAAAACTTCCTCAGCTTACTCCGCGCAGCCACTCCAGAATGTCGATAGCGAGCAGTATGCGCATCTGCCAAAATTACATCGCGCCATCATTGCCTTCATGCAAAGCCAGCCTCCTAGTGATGTGGGTGTTCATGTAAGTGTAATTGCCCGAGCGGTCGGCGGCGATGCTGTCTCGATAAGGTGGGTATGTTAATCCTGTGTGTGATACAAACTCAGTGTATGGTTCATGTTAGTGATGCTCTGGACAAGCTTTCGGATGACGGTCTGGCTTTTTCCACGATTGACGAGTCACATTATAAGCTTGCAGCATAATCTATCTGTACTCTGTTGCCGTTGTCTTTATGTTAGTTGCAGTGGTAATGGCTGTCGTGTCATGTTTGTGAAGCGCTTAAGTGGGTGCTGCGCTGCTGAACTGTCGTTTGATCTTTCATCTTGCACCGTTAGCTCAAACATGGAATATGAAAGTGACCATGCTGAAGAGCCTATTGTCATCGTATCATGCACCGACTCCTCTGGGGAGTGGAATGACTCAGTCCTCCCTACCACAATCTTTCAAATCCTCCATGCTGAACACAGCTCTGACCAGGATGCCTTCTTCATTGATGGGAGGAAAATTGGATTGGTAGGTTGTTGACTCTTTCATGATTCAGTACAGGGACAGTAAGTGACTTCAGGTTTCAATTACTGCACATGTGGTGTCCATGGAAGAAGGAACAATAAACTGCAAGTTTTCACTTGAAGATGGGACTGGTCAAATCTCAGCCTTTAGGTCACTTCTGAGTGTCAAAAAAAAACAATCACCTGTGAAAGAACAGAGGGAGAGAAATACCTATTATGCACTGTGAGTGAATGAAAACATATGCTTGGGATGAGATTGATATCCTGTCAAGTGTGGGATCCTACATAGAAGCCACTGCAAAGCTCAAGATGTTCAGATCACATATTTTTTTGGACTTGCCAGCAGAGACTCAGGTCCACAAGATCCTGGATTTCCATCAGGTCATCTTTCATACATTGAATGCCATGTATGCTCATGTGTCCAGGTCTGCTGATATGCCAGTAGGGGTGCCAACTCTACATGCTCTCACATGGCTGACTAGTTATCAGCAACCCGAGGATGCCCCTGAGAATCCTGGTGAACTGATGGGGACCATGTCAGGGCCCCATGTCTCAGTGCACTCAGTCATTGAAAGTGTCAGGGCACCAGGGGACCTGGACATTGAGGTGCAGGTGCACCGACTAGCATCACTAGTGCTAGACAAGGGTAAAGAAGAATTGGGAGCATACCTCTGTGCCTATTGCTGCAACATTTGTCCTACAAGCAGTACAAGAATTTAGTGGGATTGACAACAAGTTAGTATCCCTGGCAGATATCCAAGAAGGTCTCCATAACTGCAGTGAGGCAGAATTTGTGTAAGTAAAAGACCTCTTTGTACATCAAAGAATATTCTCATTGGTTGCAGGGATGCTGTCTACTATCTGTTGAATGAAGCATACCTTACCAGTCCCTTAGATGATGGCTATGTCATTATTACCCCTAGGGACTGACTAATTAGAAATCACAGAAACAAATGACACCAGATCATTTTATAAGTATTGGTCTGTTGAATGGTTACTTGGCCTCCAGTTACTGCTGTGCAAAGTTCTGAGTGGAGTTTATATAAGCGAACAACAGGGGCTTTAGTTGCCGATTTTAGCCGCGCTGAGGTGGTCTACGGTCAGGTCAAAAGCCCCTGCCACCACACCGCCAACCTGTCTGGGTGATTGGTGTGACACTGCTGCTCTGCAGCACTCAGTTTAGCAGTGACTTTCATACTTCTAGACTACCATGTCTACGTGGTATTCATCTTGGTTTTCTGGTTTTCCGGCATTTGATTTCGGGGTTCCTGCCTCCATTCAGCGGCGGTTTTTCTCTTTTGTGCTCAGGAAAACTCTCGGTCGGTTCCTCAAGCCTGGGCAACTTGATCTCCATCAGATTGATTCGCAGCTGGGATCTGGAGCAGTGCATGTGACTGACCTCGAGCTAGACGAGCAGGTACGACTTCGCCTCAGATCCCGTCCACGTTAACACAAACTTGCAGGCTATCAACGATTTGCTCGTAGGACTCCCGTTTCGCCTTCACGATGGCTTTATATCCGGGGTCACCGTTCACGTCCCATTCCCAAATCCGCTCACCTCCAATGTTGGGCTGCATGTTCGGTCACTTCGCCTTACCCTCCTCGTGACGGAGCAACACACTTCTCCTCCAGCTCCGCCATATTCGTCCAATACAGGTCTTTCGGAATCTGTTTTATCGGTAGCAGAGTCTTTTGTCCACCGCGAGCTTTCACCAAGGGAAGAGGCGACATTGCGCGAATCATTGCAACCCAAGCCTATTCCTCAGCTTGAGGCCGAAGAAATCGAGAATGTCCCTGGAGGTTTCGACCCTTCCTCAGCTCAGCATCAGGGCGGTGAAGTGGAGAGGGACATGGATGGCACCGTACGCGCGGACGGCGAGCCTGCTGGGGTGCCGGTTTTTGCGACCTTCATCGAACACCTGCTCTCGCGCTTCTCGTTTTCGGCTCTCGATACGAAGGTTACGATTGTTCATGTTGGACAATCTAGCTTTACCCTTACCATCCCGGAGGTCCGATATCATTCCGAGGGCGTTGCTGGTGCACCACATCCTCCTGCAGCCGAAAGCTCGCCGTCATCGGCTGGCTATAAAGCACGTGCTGAACGCTGTGGACAAGTTCGTACGATAACCGTCTCAGGATTGTCGGTCAGGTCACGTAATCTTCGGCCACACGTCGACTCTCCAACGATCTCACCAGTGTCTGTATCTTACAACTCCCCGAAGAGTAACCAGGGACATTTTGGTGATGCTCTATCACGCAAGTCATCTTCCTCCTCTCTGGATGATGACACGCAAATGATGATGTCGCAATCCATTGCTATGCTACCACCTCGACCCCCATCTTCCGCTAGTTCTATATCGAGTGACATGTACCAAAGTGTCATGTCAACTGGCACTCGGGCAGCCACTGAATGTCAACAGTCAATAGAACCCGCTACTCCTCTTGGTTATCGCGGAACACGTCCGCAACCCCAGAACTTGACTATTCAGGCCCTGTCACAAGAGACAGATGCTGACCTCGTTCTGTCACTTGGTACTCAACCCATAACAATCCAGTTAAGTGCAACCCTTTCAACCCACAGTCATGTGGACAAAGCTTGTAGTAGAGATCAGGCGCGCTCGGCCACTCCTGATGAAGCCCGTCACCCAATCCACGAGCCACCTGAGACTCTTTGCTTGACCGTCTCAGCTGGCACGATGGCGTGTGCTATCCGTGCTTGTCATCTTCGGATGCTTATGGACTTGGTGAACGCGTGTGGATCAGACTCATCGCCTCCAACGTCCGATATCGAACACATTTCCCGCCCCTCGAAAATTGTAGCATTTGGATTGAGTGCAAGTATCAATATCTGGGGAATTGTAGTAATCTTGCTTTCCGAGCCTTGCGATGCACAGGCCGACACGCTCTCGCCTTATTTCGAGCACCCGTTCATCCCACCACGCCTATGTTGTGCCTACGTGCGACTCCTTCAAGAAAATATTACCGGACACTTTCACTTACCCCATCCTTCTGCATCATCTCCTAGCACCCCTCTAGCTGCCACGCCCGACAACAAGAGTCCAACTGCAAGCATTAGGGCCTCAATCTCGGATGTGTCGTTACTCGCATTTCATGCTGTTTCCACTGCCGGAGATGCACAGGTTGCTGCGCCTATATTGATTACTGACCGCTACCTTGCCACTCTGGAGAGGGCAACCCACTACCGCCCGTCCTTTAATTCCGACAAACCGCCTTCCATCCATCTTCCATTGTTCGATGTCGTAGATTGGACTCAGGAAAAGCATAACGGGAATTCTATGAGGTTATCAACTTGGCGTACGAAACCTGGAAATAGGTCTGGGAGGATCCGCAGCCCCACCCATAAAATTTGCGACCTACCTTCATCCCCGAATCCCTTTGTGGATACCCCCTTACAAACATCTGACGAAGAGAGACTTCACTCTGCGATCCAAGTTACTGGCTGTTTGTCAACCTCTGAAGCTTCTAGCCTCCACGTGAGAGTGGCGCCGCTCCATTGTTTCTTGGATCTTGGAATGATTTTGGACGGAGGCTTGTTGTTGAACTTTGTCAATGAGGTGATGTCGTCTACTATGTTTCAATCCAAGAGCGAGAGAGGCCCCTCTGCTGAGGCAAGAAAGTCGACTCCTTTGGATCATGATTTCAGTGACAAGGATGTCCATGATGAATATGTCCGTAGCAAGCCCGCCTCCACATCATCACAACAAAGAGAGATGGAGAGAAGGCGTCTCGAAAAATTTGTCTTCGATGATCTCAACTTAAGGATGGATTATGGTGTCAATTTAACGGAGTTCAGAGGCTCCAGGAAATCCGTGGACCAGCCGGCACATTCTGCAAGACGGAAGGTAAGTTGTGTACTTTGAGGCGTTTATCCTTCACTACTCACTGGTGATCATCTATTACCCGAAGGCTTCAAGTGCACCTGGCCTGAGTCTCAACCTCTCGTGCCCAATGATCAGGGTGGAGGTTCGATGCCTCTCCCCTGCGGGCCAACTTCCTCGTTCAGGCTGCCTTCTTATTGACATACATGACATATTGGCGTCCAACAACCCAGTGTCTTCAAAACCGTCAATCCGGTTTTCCGAAGGTTTACAGTCACTCCCACGGACTACTATTGATCACGGTTGGCAGAATGCCATATGCTCCGTGCAACTACAAGAGGTTCTTATTGCGTACGCGCCAGTTGGCGCTACTCTAGCCAAGACCTTGATAGTATTGGGATATATGCCGGCGAGCGCTGGAGATTTACACACGAATACGCTCTTGGCCACAGATGCCTGCGTGGATGTAATTCCGGTGTGCCTCTTGCTCTCAAGGGCAAACATCTCGAGCCGCGAGGGTGGAACCTATCCAAGCCGCCCATCCTTAACCGTCGATATCCCGTTGATCGATGTGATGCTCGAAAAGGAGTCCCTTGACGGTCTTCAGTATTGGGTGGACGACGTTGCTCAGTTATTTGACCACTGTATGTCAGGTGCCGATAGTGCTAAGGAGGCGATCGTCAGTCAGAGCCCGAGCCTCATCGGAAGCCGCTTCTTCGCAAGATCGCGTCACGGTTGTAGTCGTCGAAGTAGTGAAGATGACTCTACCGGCGATAGACCGCATACGGTCAGTGGTGAGATTGTCGTGAGAGTGAATGTAACCGAAGGTAACAAAGATGATGGTGGCATTGTCCTCTTGCTTACTATGCCCTTGTAGCCCTTCTTCGAATTTTGTTACCTCGCTGCGACCAGAGCTCGCGCAATTCGCGACCATTTGACATACAGGCATCTGATATCGATGCACTGATTGAAATGAAGCCTGACGGGAAGGTTTGTCTTTATTCAGAATGCTTTGTACATTCGGCATTTTTGCTAAGTCATCGATTCGGTAGGATCAGACCGTTATCACGACTAGCATTATGGACTTGCGCGTTGCGGATACAACTAGCGCCGGAAATTATGTGCCTTTGGTGGTTCTTGCAGCGCCTCGTACCTTAGTGAGTCGGGTGTCCAGCCTCTACGTTAGCAAAATTTACGTTGTACTAGTCTACCGTTCCCAAGCCAATGATCAAGATTCGCGTCACATCTCTGGTGGCTCCAGAAACTAGCGCCAAAGAATCCAAGATCAAATTATTGCTCTGTGCAGTTGCTTGCCATGTACCGCCTAACCCATGTTTCACTGCCGATCTAGCCGCTTTGGCAAAGGCTCCTCCGGGGGTCAGTGGACTCATTGACTTTGAGACTTGCGGCCACTCACAATTTACAGGTTTTTGAATCAGTGGTTCCTTCTGAGCGAACTGTGTTTAGCATGACGGTAATTGACGTTTCGGTTCGGTTGCAAGCTCCCGAATATCCTGGTGCACTTGTCGTGCACATCGGAGAAGCTGACTTTTTGACCGAGCTAATTGGCAATTCTTTGGAGACTGGCTTCAAGCTGGGCATTTCATCCCTACATCTTTTCGTAATCGACAATATCGAAGACGAATCCGAAACTTCCAAGTCGCCTCGCAAGCCAGCCGGGCTCGGCCCTAGGATGTGGAAGGTAAGTCATCAGCAATGGTTTGTATGTTCGTGCAGTCATCATATCCCCACAGGACTTGGGGTTCGCATTAGTCGCTGACGTATCAAATTGTCACTTGTCTCTGCGCCGCAGTAACCCCGGGCTACCTGCTGACACAAACGTTGGTGTAGTTCCTCCACCTTGTCGGTTCACCTTGATGATAAATCTCGTAGGTGACGATCGATCGCATTGAGCTTCGGATATACCTCTGCGCAGACACTCTGGGTGCATTCACGGGATTTCTCAGTCACCTGCTGCCAAATGGAAAGGACGCTGAGATTGACAGGTACGTTGCTCTGGGAGCAGTGACGAGTGACTAACCACTTTGTAGGCCTTCTGACATTGTATCGCAAATTCCAGGAACGCTTTCCATGAATGACAACCATCGATTGACAGGTAGGAAAAGTCCGCATTTGAAGGACGTTAAAAGCTCAGCTGCTGCAAAGCTTCACTCGACGAAAACGCTTTTAGGCGTGTTCCCGAAGTTGGGAGTACTGCAGACATGATCAGCGACGATCTCCCCGCAAATCTTGATTACCTGGACGCGTCATTTGGTGCCGCTGCGGGCCTTCGCGAATTAAGGGACGACGACCTAGAGGAGTTCAATACCGAAGAGCAAAGTGGTCGTACCACCCCTGTGCCAGGTGAAACCGGTGTCGTTTCGAACGTAGGAGGGGAAACGGTTCGAATTTTCAAGAAGTTCAATTTCACGGAACATTACTTTGACACTGTCACTCCCGACGGCTCGGAAAATGCCAGGTATTGAAACTCAAGAGCTGACCTGAAGATGCGCTAATCTTGTATCTCAGCCATTTGAGCACCACCTTACAGGTGCGAGTGCATGATGCAGATGTTACGCTCTCTTTGCATGATGGCTATGATTGGCCTCGCACGCGCAAGATAATCGAAAAGGAAATCAAGGAAATGCGTAAGAAACTGGCGCGGATCCGTCAGCTTGTTGCGGCAGGGCAGGCTCAAGAACCGATAGAAGAGGAAACATGCGCAATGCTATTTAACTCTATTCACATCGGACTTGAACAGGATCTGGAGAATATGGATCCCGATACTCTCCTTGCCGCAATCGATCACGAATTAGACGAAGTCGCCGAAACTGGAACAGAAGGCTCGTGGCAGTCGTTGCACCCAGCCTCACCAGGAAAGCCAGGAGTTCCCCTTAAGAAAGTGCATGGAAAGCACCTCTTGAGATCCAAGGGGCCCTCAATTGAAATCCGCCTTTCCGGAATGAACGTAGAAGTGGACAGATATCGCCCTGGAGGGACCTTAGTTTCACGCACGCTAATCCTGGTCAAGGATGCAGAGATTCTCGATCATATCAAGACGTCGACTTGGAAGAAATTCCTTACAGCTCTACGGGCGGATTCGCGAGGGAATATAAGAGAAACTGGCTCCAATATGGCTCGGATTGAACTGCTAACCGTGCGCCCTTCACCATACCATGCAACAGAGGAAGCGCGACTTCGGGTATCTGTGTTTTCTAATTGTTTGTCGTACGATTATTGACAGATACCTAGGCGAAGCTTCTACCTTTGCGATTGTACGTGGACCAGGATGCACTCGATTTCTTCAAGAAATTCTTTGCCTTTAAGGACCCCGAAAGCCCTGCTACGCCCGATGGAAACCAGCAGCAACGAAGAAACATACTTCCGTACGTGAAAATCTTACTACCTTCCGCCGGAAGGGCTAGCTGACCTGGTTTCTAGAACATGCTGAGGTCTTTCCTGTGGACATTAAACTTGACTACAAGCCACGGCGTGTGGATTACCGAGCGTTACGCGAAGGAAGGACGATAGAGCTGATGAACTTTTTCCATTTCGATGGTGCGGAAATGACTCTGAGACACCTGACTTTGCATGGGGTGTGTGTCGGACTACTACGAATTTGCTTTCGGCTGACCTATTGATGACTAGATTACTGGATGGGCACGTTTCTTCGATACCCTGAATGACCTATGGACTCCAGACGTCAAAGCTACTCAACTTGTCGATGTCATCTCTGGTGTGGCTCCGATCCGCTCCGTAGTAAATGTGGGGTCGGGTGTCGCCGACCTCGTTCTCCTACCAATTGCCCAATACAAGAAAGATGGACGTATACTGCGTGGGATACAGAAGGGTACTAGAGCCTTCGTTCAATCCACAGCGATGGAAACTATCAAGCTGGGTGCACGACTTGCTACGGGTACACAAGTCATTTTGGAGGAAACCGAGAACGTGCTTGGTGGTCACTTCAGGAATCCCGTCACCGCCGAAACTCTACAAATACCATACGAAAGCGACATTACGGAGGACGATCAAGAAGACCTCATCAGTAGATACGCAGCGCAGCCCTCTGGAGTAGCTGAAGGTGTCCAGTCGGCGTACCGTAGCCTGCGAAAGGGAGTACATTCAGCAGCACAAACGATTTTGGCAGTACCTATGGAAGTATACGAACGCTCCGGAAACGAGGTCAGTAAGCAACGTTCCCTTGAGAGATGTCGCTAACGTTACCTCAAGGGGGCCATCCGTGCTGTCGTACGAGCGGTTCCCATCGCGGTGCTGAAGCCGATGATCGGTGCCACTGAAGCTGTCAGCAAGACTTTGTTGGGTTTGCATAACACATTGGATCCGGATGTCCGACATGAGAATGAAGCCAAGTACAAGCACCGTTAATTAGTCGCATTCACATTGTACTATAGCCATATATTCACAGGCATGCATGTTGTAGGTACCATGAAGATACATTCCAGCTGACATACAGTCGTTCTCCTGTTGACCCCCATGAACCATGTAAACGACAGACAAATAACAGTGGAAACTATGATAGACGGATGAGTTCAGTCGACATCCATTTGCATCGATCGGCCTTCCCCTTGTATAAGAGAATTCTTGCCCTTGACAGGTACTTTGATTTTTTCCAGCGCTCCTGCTGTCCGTGTAGTCTCCACAGCCACGGGTTCCACGAGCTTGACCGACGCGACAGCCTTTGAAGCCTTCTTTGCACGATATGCACGTTTCTTTTCCCGGGCGACAGCCATCCTAACAAAGTAATGTTGAGCGGACTTAGCCTTTGATGATGCGACAAGACTAACCTCTGCCTCCAAAATGCGTGTTCCCTGCGCTTTTTGATATCTTCAACGCGTTTCATTGCCTTGATAGTAGTTTGTACAAGTTCTCTGTCGTAACGAACTGGAACGTTTCTGCGTTTCTCGAAGTCAATGGTCGAGTCCTAGAAATCAATGTACCAAGCCGGCTCAGAGACACGGAGGATGACCTGCTCACGATAGTCATCTCCTTGCCGTGGGCCTTGCGGAAAGCTTTCGTCCACCTCACTTTACGAGGATTGCGCTTCATTCTAAATCCATCATCAATAAGCCAGAAGAAGCAGACCATGAGGTGCCACTAACTTGAAATTTTTGTGGCATCTGACAATCCCGTTAACGAGATGGCTCCTGGTGCCACGAATCCGACTCACTTGGAAGTGCAAAACCGAAATACTTTGGCATCGTTACGGACAAAAGCAGACCCTGTTCCGAGTTTAGTAGCCTCCTTTTGGCTCGATGAATCCGTTTACCATGCCCTGGGTAGACGTTTGTCGAGCAGAAATAGCATTTTTCGATGCGCATTGCTATGCCTTGGGCGCGATAGGCAGAAGAGACCGTGGGAAAACTACCCTTGATGCTAGTAGCGTATGCAAAAATTACCTTAAGTGGAACGGGGAACAATGGCAGGCGTGTTGAACGTCTCCACAAATGATGTGGTGAGTGACAGTCGGTCCCATCCCGCGTTTTAAACGTTTATTGTGGACAACTGGAAGAACAACCCACCTACGCACGCGTTTTTCGTTGCGACTCATCATACCACAGTATGTCCCAACAGGGTGTCATGACTATCGAATATCGATCAATCTACACGCCACTACTGACGATTGTCCCTTTTCTTCAGCGCAACTTCGGCACCCCACAAACCTTCATAGAGCTCTTGGAGCCGCGAGTCCCACATCGTTGAGATCGGCACATATGTCATCTACGATCTCTCCTGCCCGCACACCAGCAACGCTCAAAAGGGTATCACTCAGCCCGTGAGTTTCCTCTGCAACCCCTTGCACATAAATTCGAGCCTCGAGGCACTCGTTTGGATCCTGAGATTTTGGAAGGAGCCTATACGCCCGTGAGATATGCACCGTTTTCTGCCTCTTCGGAAAGTGGTCCTCCACCGAGCTCTGGGGGGTTATTGGCGTACTAGGCCCTGTGGTTGTGGTGCCTCCACCAGAGTTACCTTCGTCATCGGCAATGTGATCGACCGACTCGGACGTCAACAACTCTCCCGCCATTCCACGTTCCTCGGGACCCGTCTCCACATCCAGCCGAACATCTTCTTGTGTTCCTGGGTCCAGATCGAAGTATTTGCCAATGTTGGACTGACGCCAGAAGCTGTAGCCAACGCTTCCTCTCATAGCCAGTTGCGCATATGACAGCGTCATACACTTTCTGGTAAACTTGGTGGGTGAGAGTGTGTTGCACTGTCACGGAAATTGGTCCTGGTCGCTCATTTCCGCTCGCCCGACGTCCCTCAAGGTTGTGGACGTCTGCAGACAGGATCTCGGAATAAGGTAGAATATTGATTCTTGGGATTTTTTCCGGCACGAGGGATCCGGTACGCTTGTAGATCCCATCGTCTAGTTTCTGTTCATAAAGTATTTCGTACAACTGTGCCTCTGTGAGCTGTTTTCTCGTCCGAAATCAAAACTAATCCATACCCTGTTCCAGCGTCTGGTGATTAACTACACCATAATTCGTGTTCGCGTACTCCTTGCGTATGCGATGCCTGCCAGAAGAACTCCGCAGGCCAAAAACAATGTCGGTATCTAAAACTAAGGTCAGTTATGAATGTTGACTCTCTTCTCTTGTATCAGCACACCATCTGGGTTGAAGATTTCGTTCGAAAATGGGGAGTCATCACTGGGCTTGAGAGACCCTTTTCGAATGATCATATCGAGTGTGTGGTTGTCTTCGCTTGTATGGGTGACTGACTGTAACCGGGAATGAAGCTCCAATATTACTTCCGCTGCGGATTGACCAGAACCAATAACAGCTATACGGAACGGCCGTCCCAAAAAGTTTTCACCTTGCAGCGATTTCAGTAACACTTCCACAGACATCAAGTATGTCGAACTGTGGATGATACGCCCCATTAATTGGTCCTGGATGCTCTCCAAAGGTTTGGGTATCCGGGGTTCGCCGCCCGGTGAGATAATGAGGTTCTCTTAAGCGGAAATGTAAGAATGATTTCGCAGGCTAATATATCTTCCTTACTGGTCAACCGTACGACACGTTTTCCGGTCGACAAGACCGTGCTCTGTATTTCGATTGTTTTGGTATCTTTCTTGCAGACACCAACCACGTTCTCGCCATAGACAACCGTGACACCTTTACCTTGTACGAAACGTGCCGCCCAGGCCAGGTAGTCCGAATATTCCTTGCGCGTTGGAAAGTTACTACCACGGTTGATGAAGTCTAAAAGGCGGTTCTGCGAATGTAGGTATGATACAAAAGTGATCTCGCTTTGTGGAGACCGGAGGGTAGCCAGATCCTTCAGGAAGCTGATTGCTCTTCGATAAGGGATAGATTCGGGATGGAACTTAATCACAGGCGCACCTTATCTGCATGCGAGCGCCGGGTAACAGCATACCTGGATGCCACCCAAACCCTTCTTGCCTTTCGATAAACAGAACTTTCGAAAGGGGAACCGCAAGGGACTTCACGCTCCAGTGAACCAATGAGCTGGAACGCCAATCGGTAGATGGTACTCACTCGACCTGCCCTCTCCACGAAAACCCCAGCGACCGCAAGATTGGCTGGCCCAAATCCCAGTCCAATGACATCGTATATGGTTTCTTGGGTAGGCATAACAAATTGCACTGAGCAGGGGTGTAAAGTCGAAATAGGCCAGGTATGTGACTTGAACGTCAATATGACCACCTCAAGCACAGAGCAATCGGGGACATACTGATAAATTCCTCTCAAAATCTTTTGCTATTGAGACGCGTGTGTGCAATAATATCCGCTAGAGATGGGTATCCGATAATTAATTTGATACGTACTTCGGCGAACGTGTATTAAGGCATATGTAGAGGTGGAGGTTGCCGCCTTCACTGGGGACCAAGACGGATGGCTTACAGTTGCGAAAATCTTATCTGATAGATTGGTGTAACCCGACTGGCTGACGGTCGGTCCCAAAAAGGGAGAATTGCTGACAGGTCGGGTGAATAATTTGTCATCACTTTCCAGATTTGCTGGCGACATCCTAATTTGGTAATTTCGGTCCCAGACGTTTTTTTCGGCCTTGATCACCTCGGTCAGCTTCGGAAGTCTCGAGCTTTAGCATGCGGCAACTGACTGTCACCTGGTTACACGACCCTTCATGCCAAAGGCCGTTTCGCACGGCAGGCACCCCGTTCACCCGCGATTACGCAAGCACTTAGTCTACTCCATAATACCCACCAGTTAATTTCCCAGAATAAACTGACTTACACTTCATAACCGCCGGTACTGTAGCTAGAAGTTTATACGGAGGTGCAGAGGTGCGGAGTACAGAGCTGAGGCACAAAACTTGATATTCGCGAGTGACCAAAAAACGTGTATGAATTTTGGGCTGCAATGACCTTGTGAACAGGGTGTTATAACCGTTGAATCATCTCCAGAGAAGTGACCAAATACAGCCCTAGACTTAACCACTAACCATTAAAAGGCCTAGCGACCCGTTGTGTTGTCAATACCCCAGGCCTGTTGTATCACCTCAACGTAGATCTTATCTTCTGCACCGTTCGCCTCCGTATATGAATGACCCAGCCAGTCAGGCATGTCCGAGCATCCTCGACGGGTATAGACGCGTGGAGCTTCCGGATCTGTCCAACACCCGTACTCATCCACAAAGTGGAATCCGGGAGACCGTCGTACCTCTTGATACTTCATCCTTTCCCCAAGGTGCCAACCTTGACGCATTTGCACTGGTGGCCTATGCGTATATCCTTGGGTTGTACTGCGGTGTCACGGATGTTCTCGTCGGGTTGTTCACGCCTCCAGATCCGAACGTATTCCCGTTTCGCCTACGATGGGACGATCAAATAACGTGGGCTACTGCGATCCGCTTGGCACTTGCTGCAGTTGATGGTAACCATGATCTGCATATTCCCCCGCATTTACTACAACAGACTATGGAATTTAAAGAAGGAGAAAGTCCATTTATTGCCTTTTTTTCCAGGTCATACGATGAAAATCAGCAAACGGTAACGAAGACACCTCTCTTATTCTGTCAGTTAAAAGAAGGCCAGTTGTCGTTGTTGTACGCCTATGATCGCATGCACGATTCGGTAGCGACAACTTTGCTTCGTCAAGTAGTGTCTCTAATGGTTCAAGCTGCCACTGCCGAGACGAGGCACATGGCAGTGCCTTTCACTTTGACAGGCAACCTCTCTTCGACTTTGGAGGCCCTCCCACCAGAGTCCAAGGCTTCTTATTATTCCCACATACCGCCGGTTCGCATTGTGACGGACGTGATTCTCCCGCATGTCAATTCTACTCCTAGTGCTACTGCTGTGTGCTGGTATCCTCGATTGGGTCGGCCTGGGGGAAACGTTCCAGACTGCCAGCCTCTGACTTATAGGGATCTTCACCGCGGTGGGAATCGCTTCGCACGTTTCCTCCTACAACTGGGTCTTTCGCCAGAGGACAGGGTGGCGGTTTGTATGAACCGTAACCCGATGTTTCATGTTGTGTTGTTTGGCATTCTACGTGCTGGCGGCTGTTACGTTCCTGTCAGTAGAAGTTGTAACGGAGAAAGAGTAGTATTGACGAACCCGTCTTCAGATCGACCCAGAACTGCCAAGGGAACGAGGACTCTATATTGCTCAAGACTCGGGCGCTAAATTCGCGATCGTCTCATCAACCCTGGCCGGTGCCTTCGGTGATGTTAAGTCTGTCGACGTCGATAGCCCATCGGTTCAAGAGATTCTTCTCGGCATAAGTGACGCGGACGTGGATCCACCCTCTGCCCATAACCTTTCTTATATGTTGTATACCTCAGGTGTGTACTGTGATGAACATTGGATCGCTTGTTTTCGCATATCAGATTGTCTCTAGGAACAACGGGTAATCCAAAGGGCTGTCTATTGACCCACGAGGGACTTTCGGAAGCGATCCTCGCCCTGAGCTTTTTCGCCGCTGACGTGCGGATGGAAGACATTCGAAATGGAAGATACCTTGCTGTCGCTTGTGCGCACGTTCTCTTCGTTCTTTTCCGTGCGATAAGTTGAAACGACACAGCTGTGGCTTTCGATGTTCACCTTGCCGAGATCTTCATACCTCTGTCACTGGGCATGACCATAGTTGGCGCTCCGCGTTCTGAATTGTTGGAGAACTTGACGGAACACATTAACTATCTTGATATTTCCCATGTCGGCCTCGTCCCGAGCCTTATAGATGCAACGATGTCTACCGTTAAACGAGACGAAGCGGAGAATGCAATGAAGTTGAGGTATATTGCTAGCGGTGGCGAAAAGATCAGTGATTCGGTAGGTATCTACGCTTTCGTGACCCTTCTCTCGCGTTGACTTTCGACACTTCTTTGGCAGATTCTTGACAAATGGGGAGAGCATCCCAAGGTCAGGTTAGCTAACTTCTATGGGTAAGTAGGTGAAGGTCACTTTTCTGAGCATGAGCGAGACTGATCTCCATAAGACCAAGTGAGGTGACTATCGGCTGTTCTGCACGATTTGTGGATAGCAGCACACCGACAGGCAACATCGGACGGCCTTTTGCGAACGTTTCGTCGTATGTCGTTGACAAAGACTTGAACATTCTCCCACGAGGGGCAGTGGGAGAGCTTGTTGTCGCTGGGCCGCTCGTCGGGCGTGGATACCACCGTTTGCCAGACCTCACTGCAAAGTCCTTCATGGAATGGCCGCGCGCGGGCTCGTGGGCCTACCGTACTGGTGATCTCGTGCGGATGTTGCCGGATGGAACGCTAGATATCATAGGAAGGATCGATGCACAAATCAAATTACGTGGGGTACGAATTGAAACAGCAGGCATTGCAGCCGTACTGCGCCAGGCCGCTCAAAACTGGTCTGGGGTTGCTACTAGATGCTGAGACAATCCTCACTTCACATCCATCGATTGCAAGCGGCAACACCGCGCAGCTGGTTAGTTTTGTTGCATGGGATTATCAAGTGCCCATTACAACCCGTCGCACTGTCAAGCCTTATGTCATATCTTTCCCAGAGGGCTTGCTGGAGGCACTACGTGCTGGTTGTGAGAAGGAGCTGGCGAGCTATATGCGCCCTGCTCATATCATACCACTCAGCTGGTTCCCACTTAACCCCAATGGAAAGGCAGACAGCAAAGCGCTAGCGCAGATATTCGAAAGAGACGAGATTCGACACGCTTATCGCCCTTGGGCATTCTACACTTACGAGCACTGCCGATCACTTGCCTGCACCTGGAATCGTGGAGAAGCTAGTTTCTCTGTTATCGGGACGATTAAAGATACATCCCAGTCTTTTCGACATACACGCGAACCTCTTCGGTTATGGCATGGACTCCTTGTCCCTGGCACAATTTGCTTCCGATCTTAAAAGAATGTTTGATGCTTCAGTCTCAGTGGCCGATATTATGCGGAACCCTTCCATCGCCGGGACGTCCGCACTAATCAAATCAACTTCTCTGAATGCTGCCCGAAGTTTCGGGTACATCAAAAGGTTTTCCGAGGACTGGCTTCCATTGATCGAGAAGGTTATTCCACCGTCCCGAGTTGAACGCGTCCTGCCTCCGTTGCCCATTCAGGAAGGCGTTCTATACCATTCTGACTCAGTTCCAACGTCGTGCGTGCAACATGTCATCATGAAGATATCTGATGCGGTGCCAAATTCTCGACTCCGGGATGCCTGGGAAGCAACCATGCACAAGTTAGAAATTTTGAGGTTAGTATCATCTTTGCAGGAGACTAAGGAGGGCAGCCCTTACCCCATGTCATCAGGACAGTGTTCTTCTTTGGTAGTCAGCTTGTCCAGGTTGTCTTGCGGCCTGACGAGTGTATACTCCCGTGGTCGGAGAAGCCCCCTTCAGTAGATGACGACGATACCTTTTGCACGATATTCCTTGCCGATGAAGCCTCATCTCTAGCTGAGGACATAAACCGATCGTCCGAAGCCTTACCGTTGTTTCGTTTGACTGCGTACCTTCAACAAGACAATCGAAGGTTGGTGCTAAGCATCCATCATTCCCTGTTTGACGGTATATCGTTACCGGTGATGTTGAAGTTTGTGGAAGACAAGGTCATTCACAGGTCTTCTAAGTTCGTCTGCAGCTTGGACGAATTGCTAGAAATCATGCATCATTCTGAAACTTCCACTGCTCGTGATTTTTGGACTGGGTGGTTTAAGAGTTTCGAGTGGTCCACCTATCAGCTGAAGGAGATTCATCCATCCGCTCGGCCACAACGGAAGGAAGTCCCCATCGCGAAGTCACTTTCTACTATCCAGGAGCTTGTCACCTCGCACAAGGTTACCTTACAAGCGGTGCTGACGTATGCGTTCGCTATCCTCTTGTCCCAACATGTCCAGTACCGAGACGATATTGTCTTCGGTGTACGTAATCTCACCTGTCATCGCTCGATGATTCTTACGAACTGCACAGGTCATTCGATCGGGGAGGTTACTTCCAGTTGACGGAATAGAAAGCGCTCCGTACCCCACGTTGACTGTGCTCCCAACTCGGATTCGCCTCAGTTCAGAAAACTGTCTTCGACGTATTCAGGAAGACATATCAGCAGCAGTAGCCTTTGAACATGTCCCTCTTTCCAAGGTCCAGAATTGGATTAGACCCGGATATTCATTGATCGACACTCTGTTCGCCGTCACCGTGAAGGACGAAACAAATTTCAAAGCATGGCATGTATTACACAGCGATCTGTTACGACCAGACGTGAGCTGGGCCGACTGCTATTGTACAAGATGCGTTCTGACGAATCGTACAGTTTCCGCTATCAGTCGAAGTCTTGCTCGATGGAAAGAAGGATGCTCTGGTCATACGAGCAGCGTACTACGAGTGCAACAACCTTCCATCGGCGGTTGAACGTATACTCGCCAAGTTCGAAACTGCTCTTCTCGACATTCTCGAGCACGGCTTTACTACTTCGCTTCCGGTTGCAATCCAAGGAGACCCGAAGAGATACACAGAACCTGCACACTGGGTTACTAAGGACCCTGTCCAGGAGGAGGATGTTAATGGTACTCTGGACCTGCAGCCACTCAACATGGCAGTATCCGAATTCCTACGAGTCTCACCAGAGCATTTACTGCCTACTACATCACTTATCTCCGCAGGCCTGGACTCGATTAGGGCTGTTGGTCTATCCAGGTTCCTACGACAACGTGGCTACACCGTGACTGCAGCCGACATATTGAGACGCCCCACACTGCGGCAACTTAGTGTCTTCGCAGATCCCTCCCGTAGTGTACAGCACGAGACGGGTGACGGCAGCAAGGAATTTCTCCACCGAGAGCTGGAGAGGCTCCAGGAATATGTTGATCCACCCGCTTACAAATTGTGTGTAGAAGACGAGGTCTCCTTGTTTCCCACAACTGAACTTCAGGCGGGAATGTTGTCCCAGGCACGTATTGTCGTATCTACTCTGGACGTCGCCGTAGTGCTGACAATCTATAGACTCTCGCCACATCAGGTCAACTGTACTTCCATACGTTTGTGATGACCCTAGAACCGCAAATAGATTTGGGTCGCCTGCGGACTGCATGGAACCACGTGGTACAAAATCTTAGTATTCTTCGTACCACATTTCATTACCTGTCCAGTGCGAAGACCTGGATACAGGCTTGTCACACTGCCGCATCATGTGATTGGGCGGTATGCAACAATCCGGCCGCAGAGTCCCTACAGGATAGTATCATAACGCTTGTAGAAAATTTGAAGGCGACCGATGATTCCGCGTTTACCGTGCCTCCAGTGTACCTTCGCCTAATCCAAGGGGAGGATGGAACACATCTCGTTTTGCTGATGCATCATGCGCTGTATGATGGTCTATCAGTTACCAATCTCTTGGAGGTTGTCGAGCAGGTGTACCTGACACAGTCTGTTCCGGTCTCTGTGCAGTTTTTTGATCTGCTACCTCGCATCTTGCTGGAGCAGCATCTCGCGAATGCATATTGGGTGCAAAGGCTGCGTCACTATCGCCCAGTTCGTTTGCCTACCTGTGTACTCCAGAGATCTTCTGAGGCGGTCGTTTCGTCTCGAGTGGTGTCTTTCAGTCGACAGAAGACACAACAGGTCTTATCTGATGCTGGCGCCACCTTGCAATGCGTTGGACAGGCTGTGTGGGCAAAATTCGTGGCCAAATTATCATCATCGCGGGATATCGTCTTTGGTCACGTAGTGTCAGGGCGCTCCTTTGATGGTGCCGAAGATGTCATAGGACCTATGCTGGTACGTGTATATACTTTGGCGGCGAAGATCGGAGGCATAATGATCCCTCAGACTACAGTACCTTTTCGCGTGGAGTTCGTTGCCGGGATGAGCAACCAAGATCTTATTCGACAGATCCACCAAAATAATGTGGACGCACTTTCACGGCAGCATGTATCACTTCGTGTCATTCGGGCGGATATGGGTTTCGAAAACCTGTTCCAAAGCCTGTTTCTCTTCCAGCCAAATTTTTCGCTCCATCACAACAAGATCTGGAAGATGCATGCCTCTGAAGAGTTCGGTGCACATGTTCAGGTACTCTCTGCCTACCTTCCCGAGTCGCGCTAAACTAATTGGTTGCTCCAGTATCCTTTAAATGTGGAGTTTTATGAACTGGAAGACGGTCTGTCGGTTAAAATGGCTTGCCTTCAAACCGTCATGGATCGCCAGAAGATCGACACCGCAATGGAGGAACTGCAAGAGATGTTGAACGAGATGATAAACCATCCAGAGCATATGGCCATCTGTGATAGTGACATAACCACTGCCGTTCACGAGGACGTCAGTGATGTCATGCCTACCGGGTTGTCTTCCCCCATTTCACCCGAATTTGCGAGTATTCTGTCCTCTATTACCGGATGCCCAATGGAGGATTTCGATCCCTCTCTGTCCCTCACAGCCATTGGGATCGACTCGATAACTGCTATAGCCCTTGGCGCGAAGTGCAGAGAGGTCGGTCTGAGAGTAACAGTGGCCGATATAGTCTCTAGCAAGTGCATCGGAGACCTTGTTTCCAAGAGTAGAACTGCTTTGGCAACGGCTGAGATGGATACGACTGTCGATGGCACTAGGCCCACAGAGGTCTCCCCGGAAGAATATGCGATGGTGGTCAACAGATTCCCAGTCGCAATACAGCCGCGGATTGCCTCGGTTACCCACGCGACGGAAGGCATGAAATGGCTTATAGGGGCGTGGCAGAACAGTGGCCACAGTCGGTTCCAACACGTTTTCGCGTATGAGGTCAAACCTACTGTCGCCTCCCAGGACGTTTGCAAGGGGTGGGAAGCCTTGGTCACATACCACCCGATTCTCCGATCAACGTTCGCCTGCACGCCAGGAGGTACGGAGCCTCGAATAGTGACGTTCTCTGAAGACATAAAGATACCTTTAGAAGAGGAGAGAGTAGAAGAGATGGCTGACAGTGACCTGCAATCGCACATCGAGAACAGGATGAGAGGGATTGTCTCGTCACCAATGGCACCGACCGCCCCCCAGACAAGGGGGATCCTCGTTTTGTCCGACCACGGCACTTACTTGCTCCTCCTGGATGCATCACTTCCAATACGATGCTTTCAGTCTTTCACTCCTGCTGAATGATTTGACTTTATTATGTCAAGGCCACGCGCCCACAAGTATCTCTGATATGACTGCGTTTCTACGCTCTTTCAACGCATCGGCGAGCTGTCTTTCTGAGCAAAAGGCCTATTGGAAATCCGCAATACCCTCATTGGTCATTCCGAGTTACTTTCCCTCTCTGGTCACCCAGGAAAATCATAAATCATCACAAAGGACGATTGTAACCGCAAGAGCGGCTGTCGCGGGGGCGAAAGTGTTGGAACGTAAAGCCCAAGCCCTTGACTTAACATTGAGCGCTATCCTCTTGGCGTGTTGGGCAACTGTGCAATCCATCTATACTTCCCGCAAACCAGTCATCTTTGGACTCTGGCATGCAGGCCGCACAGGCTCGGTCCAAGGGGTGGAAAAACTTGCCTTCCCGTGTATGAACGTCTTACCAGTGTGTGTCGACCCTCTGGATGACTTGGTACAAGGCGCACGTTGCTTGCAGGAAGACCTTCACCGACGAACAGCCATCGTTCAGCAAACCAGACTTGAAGACGTTGACACTTGGGTGACTCAAGGAAGACGATTTCCATTAACAAACGTCTTCGTCAATGTCTTCAGGACGTCCCAGGGGCCTACGGATAATGAGGTCTTTAGAGCCGTTCAGGTAAGTTTTTGTGTTTGGTTAGAATGGGAAGAATGAACTCACCTTGATTAGGTGGATTACAGTGTGCCGGAAGCGGTGGCCCTGGCCGACGAATCAGTCATCGAAGAGCTACCCATAGCACAGCTAATCAAGGTTTGTCCCATACTATTACATGGTGGTCCTTGTTGGAAATTGATGTGTTCTGTTCCAAGGACGACCTAATGATTGACATTGTAATCGACGAGAAGCTGGACGCTATAACAATGTCTGTCGAGAGTGCACCTGCACTTCTGGATAATGATCATGCTATGGAAGTAATCAAGACATGGTCGGCGACGGTGGAGAGACTTCTGTAATTAGAGTGAATAACACGCAATCAAAATGTATGAACATGTACCGACAATAAAGTTGAGAGTCTGTTACTATGTTGATATATGCCTTCTCCGTGCTGCAGCAAGACATTCGGTTTGCATGTCATGCAACCAAACAATCTCGATGCCAGCTTCCTGTAATTTTCTCGCTCCTTCGCACTTGACGAAGTCATCGGGTTCTCCGACTCCGATGATGCATCGCTTGACCTTGGCTTGTATCAAGGCATCGGCACAAGGGGGGAGACCTGATGTTCTGACGGTGCAAGGTTCCAAGGTAGTATAGACATCGGCCAGCGCAAGGAGAGCGTCAACAGTGGGAGTGGGAAAGAGTGATGGGAAGAGGGAGGCTATGTTCGATGTTGAGAGATGTCGGACCTTGGCCAGGGCATTGGCTTCGGCATGTGTATTACCAGGTAGTTCACGAGAATACCCAGTGGATAGAACGACGGGATCCTGGTCGGGAAAACGAACGACGAGCACACAGCCAACACAGAAAGCAGTCTGCACTGGTTCACATTTACTTGCTTCTTTCAAAGCCTGCAACATGAACTCTGCATCAAGTTCGGCGGCCATCGTCATCGTCTGGTAAGGCGCTATGCTAGTAGTTCTACTGTAAATCAATAATCAATAATAGTAGAGGAGGTACTCCTGGAGTCCTGGAGTGGACCCCAATCACTGTCTCAACCTGTGTTATGTAATCATCTACGGCTAGACTCACACTGGCACCCGCTCAACATCCAACCGCCATGTCCTCCCTGCCGGATGATCCTGTCGATAGAGCCATCCATGAGGATGAACCAATGCAATCCAACGAAGAAGAGGAGGAAGTTGGCGATGCAACCATGGCAGATGGCGTGGGCGTGACGGACAGTTCAGAAGAAGGGGAAGACGATGAAGAAGAGGAAAAAAGGATCAGGGAAGGCTTCATTGTAGACGAGGACGAAGAGGTGGAGGATGAAGACGAGGAGGAGGAGCGTCGGAGGCGCAGGAAACGCCGAAAGAGACGCCATCGCAGGCGCGGTAAGTACATGTTGTCTCAAATACCCACCCGTGCTGAACACCCGGTAGAAGAAGAAGAGGATGCTCTAGAAGAGGACGATCTCGAACTTCTAGAGGAGAATACGGGTACCTCCTTCAGAAATCGCCGCCTCACTCGTCTCCGCCGCGGTCGTGAAGACGGGTCTCCACCCGCTTCTTCCTCTTCCAGGCGGAAACAGGTGGTTGAGTCTTCCGAAGATGACCTGGACGACGATGAGGATTTACCGCAGGTTCAAGACATTCAACGTATATGGGACGATGAACGAGCAGGGCGTGGACAAGAGGATGAGGAAGATATGGATGACTTCATAGATTACGAAGACGAGGAGGAAGCTGGTGGCTTGGATGAACAGGAACGGGAGGAGAGGCGGCGCGAAAGGAAAAAATTGGAGAGGCAGCGTAGGCGGGCTATGGGTTCCATACCCGAGTTGTCTGGAATCGACGCTGGGTGAGTCTCGTACCATATCCTCAGCAATACACTCTATTCACGCTCTATTAAGCGCGTGGGAGGCAATACACGACGTTTTCGGTGATGGCCATGAATATGATTGGGCCCTGGTAGGAGACAATGAGGTCGAACCGGACGAAGAGGCTCAGAAGCCAGAGATGAAGTATCAGGATGTGAGTGTGACATCCTTTGGTCTTCCATTGCAAAGTTGACCCCGATCATCCAGGTGTTTGAGCCATCCGAGATTCGTGCCCGTATGTTAACGGAAGATGATGATCTTATTCGTGTTCAAGATATTCCCGAACGCATGCAGCTAGCCACGTCTTCATTTTCACAATCCTCCACCCTTTCATTCCATCAAAACCTTACTGAATCAGACATCGACGATGCCGCTGCCTGGGTCACGTCCCGCTTGTCAGCCAGGAAGACCAGGGACTTCTTCTCTGACAACGGGCCGTATTATTCATATCGCGAAGCATTAGTTTTGGCGGTCACAAATGCTCTCCGTTTTCTCTTCGTTCAAGAATTCGAAGTTCCCTACATATGGACGCACAAGCGCGACTATATCTCTTATTTCAACCCCCAAGAAATGCGCACTCGAATCGAACTCATCAGTCTTGCTGAGCTGTGGAGGATACAGGCATTAGGTCAGAAATACCGTTCTCTTCTGGAACGGCGCAATTCCCTCTTCGCCGCGTACTCCCGGTTGAACGTAGAAGACGACTATTTCGAGCAGACCCTCAAACCCAAGATTGACACAGTGGAGATGGTAGCTGACAGCACAGAGTGGCTCACTATGAAATACAAGTCCAGAAAACAGGACGCGTTTGACGTGCATTTCCATGATGACGAAGAAATTGCCGACCGAAAGCGAAAGGCCCCCAGTCGAGTGTCCGCCTACGAAATTGCAAAGAGGAGTGTTGTTTCAAAACTTGCTGAGGTGAATACAACTTTACCGTGATCACATATCCTTGACTTTACTTTACCAGGGCTATGGGATCCGTCCACACGAAGTTGTTCAAAACTTCATTTCATTGGATCGACCGAACTTCGTAGAGGATCAGGAGCTCAATCCGACCGCTTTTGCGGAACAATTCGTCAACCCCGATTCCCTGGTGCCTCAGACGCCCGCGGAGCTACTACGCCGTGCTCGAATGATCTTCGCCACCGAACTCGGGAAGGACCCGCTTCTGAGACAAACAATACGCGACTTTTTCAAAGTTGAGGCACAAATTTCTGTCCAACCTACAGAACGGGGCATCAACAAGATTGATGAACACCATCCATACTTTAACTTCAAGTATCTGCACCACAAACCGATTAGCCAAATGTTGGATAGTGCCCAGTTCCTTCACATAATTGCGGCTGAATCAGAACACCTGGTTAACGTATCAATATATCTTACGAACGAGGCCAAGGGTCGATTTGAACGCCTGTTGAACGATGCGTTTACTTCTGACAGTTACAGCGACATTGCCAAAGCATGGAACGAGGAAAGGTCGCGAGTCGTACAAGAAGCCCTTGACCAACACCTCATTCCCGTCGGTATGAAATGGTGTAGGGAGTGGTTACGAGAGGAGGTCGAGGATGCCCTTGCTGTCCATTGCGGTAACAAACTCAGAGAGGTTCGTCGTGAAAATAACATCTCTACAGGCAAGTTTATGACTGGGCTCTCAACGTAGCGCATCGACGTTGCACCTTTTGCCCCGGCTGATTCCCAGCCCGGATATTCGCCTTCCGTGCTTGCGATTTCCTGGGGAAAGGGCGACCCTCAGAAGGATGCTATAACGATGGTCATGTTGGATGATATGGGCAGGCTAAGAGAACACGTTAAGATTGACAACCTGGTTGACCAAGACTACAAGGACGAATTCATTGACTTGTTGAAAAGGCGTCGGCCAGATGTTATCGTCGTGGGTGGATTCAGTATGGCGACAACAAAGCTCTCCGCCAGGGTCAAGGAGGTCGTCAGCGGCAAGCCCGCGGAAGGAGACCCTGCCACTCCAGATTGGCGCCCGCCCCAGAACGAACAATCGTTCGAATATTCCTGTCATCTACCTCCGGGATGAAGTCGCACGGATTTACCAGCATAGCAAGCGTGCCACAGAGGAGTTCAGTACTCTCTCCCCTATCGCCAAGTATTGCGTTGGTCTTGCACGTTATGCACAAAACCCTCTCAATGAATATGCCGCGCTCGGTGCTGACATCACCGCCATCTCGTTTGAGGATGAAGACCAGCATCTGGTGGGTCAACTATGTCATCGAAGTGAGGTTTATTGTTCATTACTACTGCTATGCAGATACCGAAAGAGAAGCTTCTGATTGCGCTCGAAAGAGTGCTGGTAGACGTGACCAATAAAGTCGGCGTGGATATTAATCGCGCGGTCACGGACTCCTACTATCAGCACCTGCTGCCACTTGTTTGCGGTCTCGGCCCTCGCAAAGCTCATGCGCTTGTGAGAAAAATTGCTTCACTTGTGAGCAATGTGCATAACTTGCTGTATTTGTTCTAATGTACTCGGTCAGGGAGGAAATCTTGTCAACCGCGACCAGTTCATCAAAGCGGGCTTGTTAACCACCAAGATCTTTTTAAATGCTGCTGGTTTCTTACGTATTTCTCAAGACCCAGACGTGAAACCCGCCAAAAATCGACATGCAGACGACGACGGGCCAGATCCCTTGGATGATACTCGTGTTCATCCAGAGGATTACGAATTGGCGCGGAAAATGGCAACTGATGCCCTTGAACTTGACGAGGAAGATATCCATGGGGAACACCCTTCTCGCGTGGTGACTTTGATCATGAAGGACAATGATAACGAACGAAAGCTGAACGAGCTCAACCTCGATGAATTTGCTGTGAACATGTTCGAGGCAAACGAAGATCGGAAACGTCACACCCTAAACGTGATTCGCGAGGAACTTTTGAAGCCATTCGCAGAACAAAGAGGGCCATTCCCAGAACTTCAACCTTGGGAAGTTTTGACGATGCTAAGCGGGGAAACTCCACGAACCCTACGCACGGGTCTTATCATATCCGTACTCATTGTCCGCATTGAGATAACCGACACAGTCATCACCCGATTGGATTCTGGCATTGAGGGCATCATAACTCCTGATTACTTATCGGCCCAAGGAAATGTGAAACCCAAAAATATGTTCAAGAAGGGTCAAGCAGTACAAGCCGTTGTTGTGGAAGTGCATCTTGACCTGCCTATGGATCACTTTCAGGTGACACTTTCAACCCGTTCTATAGACCTGACCCAAGGCGACGGGCTCTTCCGACGTGTAAAACGCGACGATTATTGGAACACTCAGCAGTATGAACGTGACCTAGAAATGCAGGCTCGCAAGAAACGTGCTGAGACTGATCGGGCAAGACGGGTTATCAAGCATCCCAATTTCCACAATTTCAATGCCTCCCAAGCCGAGAACTTCTTGGAGAAGCAGCAACGCGGAGACGTGGTTATTCGTCCGTCCTCCAAAGGCGTGGACCACCTTGCAATCACCTGGAAGGTAGAGGACAAGCTGTATCAACATATTGGTACGCAGTTGATGTAGTGTCGATGTCTGTCCTATGCTGATCTTGGTACCGTCAGACGTCACCGAAATTAACACCCCAAGTGGGCCAATATTAGCTGTTGATGACAAGCACCAGTACGCCGACTTGGATGAGCTCATTGTCAACCATGTGCAAGCGATCGCTCGCAAGGTGGAAGAACTTATGGCCCACGAAAAATTCAAACACGGGCCAGAAGATGAATTGCGTGAGCATTATTGTCTTCTGTATTCATTAGTACACGATGTTCATTCATATCCTAGATTTATCTCTGAAGAACTTTGTTGCTGCTAACCCCGCTAAAAGTGCTTACGGATTCACACTGAATCGCCGGAAACCTGGCCACTTCAACTTGTGCTTCTTGGCAAACAAAAATTCCACCGTGCAAACTTGGGTAACTCATTCTGTTCACCATCGACTGCACTGGCTCATTCCCTTCACAGCCCGTGCGCGTTACTCCAGAATCATATTGCCTATTCGAGGCTCCCGTCGCTGGTGTGCCAGAATTGTGCGATGCCTTCAAAGTCAGGTGCGTCACACGGGTTTAGTTCGTCACCTGACCTCTCTGACACCGGGTTTTCTAGACACCTTCACCAGTCACAAAACCTTGCAAACGCGGGTGTAGGAGGGAAAACTCCGTACGGTGCTGGTGCCCGCACACCAGCACGGACCCCTGGACATGTGACGCCTGGGCACATGTCCGTTCGTCAGGTCCCTGGCCGTACACCCAATCCCTACGGCGGCCAAACCCCAGCACCACCACCTGCTTACGGAGGTGGTATCCCTAGTTCTAGTTACGGGATACCAACTCAACCCCCTTTCGGTTATCAGACGCCCTCCGCATATGCACACCCGCACCCACCTCCGCAAATGGGACAGCCTCCACCTCACATTCCTCCGGGCATGAACCCACAGCGTGCTGCCATGATTCAGAACTCGAGTGGTTGGGACCAGGGTGGATGGTGAGCTGGTGAATTTGTCGTTTGCTTGGTCCGTCTCTTGTTACATGTATCCATGAACTTATATCAGTGTCGCTGTAAAATACTACTTCCTATTGAATGCGGAGACTATTGGCGCCTGTCGTAATCGGCACCACACACAAAGTGGATTATCAAAATAAGTAACAACTGTTTTCCTTTATATACAATGCATTGTCCCCGGGGCCAAACGCTGCGCCTAAACAACGTATCTCGACGTTTAATCGACGCAAGTAGCATTCCAGGTTTCGTCACCGTAATGAATGTTCACGTTGAATTGATTTACACTTATAAACTCTTTCAGCGAGCAACTCCCGAATTCCTTGTCCTTGAAAGACTTCTGGCAGGTAGTCAATGGGTATGTCGCTGAATTCAAAAGCAAGCGAATTTGAGGGCCATGGAAACTACAATTTCGTAGGTCAGTGGGCTACGTTGAAAGGCGTCCTATTGCTCACGATTTCTTGCAAGAGAACTTCTCCCAGACCATCCTAGCGGCGAAGGGGGTCTGCTCAGAGGTGTGGAACTTGCGGTGGACACGAATGTGATCTACGGGGAGCGGCGTTGCGTCTCTACAGCGAAAACGCCGTCAGAATAATCTCCCCGAAGGTACGGGACGGCGTACTTGTTCAATGCCATTGCAGATAGCACAAGTAAGATGCTTGTATCGTGACCAAATTCTAAATAGAGTTCTTTTGCATCACCGGTGGCATTTGTGAAGCTACAATAAAACACCAATGAATATTCCCCCGCGATTGTCGCGAGAAGCATCCAAACTGACCGTTCAATGAGTTTGTTCACGTACACGGAACCAAGAACCGGTCCTGGATCGTTGTTGGACATGTGACCACTGATTCTATCCATAAGGAGATCATATTCGTACCTAGGGTTGTCAACAACCACTTCCCAATTCAATGTCGGAACTTACTCAAGGCTTCTGAGCTCGTGATTATGAAACGCGGCACACCACGGGGACTCGTTATGAGCAGCAAGATCGTAAGGGCAAGCAAACAACGCGCCACGAATATCGTCATCGGAAAGCTCGACACCAAGGTGTCTACTCAACCGTTGAGTAATTGGGGGGACGTACTTGCTCGCCCACGCGGAAGCAGCCTACGGCACTGTCAACCACAGAGGAGTCCACGAATCCGATTACTCTTACTGCATGGCCCTTGGCTTCACTGTACTTTGAACACGACTTCCAAGGCGTTATCCAATTAACAGGGACATCAAGCTCGTCCACGGTCATAAACTCCACTGTATCCACATCGCCACCGAAAAATCCATGTCCGAAGTAACGGGAAGAATCTACGACTCTTTGCACAGGACTGGAGAGTACCACATCCGTTGATAGGGTTGGGTACTGCAATGCAAAACTTGACATAGGTGAGGGGATTGCGAAACTCGGTGAAACAAAATAAACACGTACTCTGCACCGTAGTCAAACAACTGTCGGCGGCCTACGATAGTTAACTCGTGTGGTACCAAATCCGACTTATACCCATCCTTCAGGAACCGCAAGTTCTGCGGTAAGTGAGCTCTGCCGATGCCTTGCGAAGAATTGTCCAAAGTTTCAACCAACTTTTGGATAAATTTATCCTCCCACTCGGGACCACGAGAACCATGGCGATGGAGCTGAGGATACCAACTTAACGGTATAACACATGGCGCAAGACACAACATACCAGCACGACCTGATCCACAGTACAGTCACTTGGAAGTTCAGCTGCCACTCCTGGGACATGTGCCCTATCATGGTATGGTGATAGGGTAGCAAGCCTGTCCAAGTCATACGGGCTGACGTTCGCTGAAGGGTCGAAGTCAAGTAGCCCAGTAAACGACGAGAGGGAAGCCTGCAATAAGTTGAGGACGACAGGAAGATGCATTTCGAAGGACCTGAGCAACCAATCGCTTCAAGAAGGTGTTCTTTCAAGGGTGGACTCAGTGGCGGTGGACGTCGTGTGGGAAGCTAAAACCAGCCTAGCGCCCAAGGCCCCAGCACTGCGACCGTTCAGCCCCATGCTGTAACCTGGCATTAGCCACTACATGCGGACTCCGCCCCCCTGAACGTCGTATATTCGAAAACTGAGGGACACATGTGTGGAAGTACATGATGTAGTATGGAACTGCAAAAGGCAAATCCGTTCACGCTCACAGTCCCAGACCTCAGACGGTATTGCCAGATTGGACAGTCGAATACGCCCATGCATCATGTACATACTCATGACTTGGACGGCATCTGTGTTTTTTGTCAAGACAATAGCTAAAGGTCAGTTATAGTGTGCCCCTAGGCTGACGCTGCGGAGAATGTGATGGACCACTGAAATCCAATGCTTTCATTCGTCGCTGGCAAAGCTGTGAATAATTAAGAACGGTCTTGTGAGTGGCGCATTGGCCTCACGTAGCCGATTAGCAGAGCGCAACCCAGGTATGCACAATCCTCAAGTACTCACGAAGGTTTGAACTGCAACCTAAACATTATGGCGTGTCACATCGTGAGTGCCAGTACTTCCGGATACATAAATACCGAGGTTCTTGTTCTGCTGGCCCATTTCCGCAGCCCTTGTGTTCCCGGGCGTAACGTAGACCAAACCAGGTTTTGGTCATGGGAACCGAGCGAGATCTTATAGAGGCACAGAGATCCAGAGAAGCGAGCCAACCCCAAACGTTTGGCCCGGTTGGCGAAAGGAGTCCGTTCCCCGGAGTTTGCGAACTAGCCTGGATGCCAACTAATAGCCAGCAGCCGCGGAGACTTGACTAGTACTCAACCTCTCCCGGTACATAAATGCCTGATACCCCTTAGCGACGGGCATCGTGGTGACGCTCAGAAAGCTTTGTAGAAGAATGTCTTCTTGGTCTGGAGGAGCACACAGTGAACTCGTTTGCTGGCTTTGACCTTGGCTATACCGGCACTAACAGGGTGACCCATAGGTTTCCATATTTCCATGCCGTACGCAAGAGCCAAAGTATGGTTCCCTCCCCCCCTCCCGGTCCGGCACGCGACAAATGTGAGACAGCACAGTATGTTCTTTAGCCAACAGACTTGCGCCACGACCACTTCGAAGTCTAGAAGTATTAGTATTGGTCACCGTCATCCACCGCCTGATCGAGTGCCGTCACCGCGGAGAAAGTTCCCAATAAAAGCGCTGAAAAGTTTATCTACCGACGTGGGCTGAAGATGAGTTGATGCATACCCCAAATTCCAGCTGGACTGGCCCATATTACAAATTGAACAAGCCGAACTATTAGCAAATACAAATACAAAAATTTAGAAATAAGCATGCAATTACCGTAATCTGGGGGAACGGTGTTGTCATGTGTGCACAAGGCCACTTTTCCAGGCAGGACGCTCAAAGCACAGCAACAAAATTCATCACCGTCACGGGAATTTAACACGCCGTGGCCGATCCAATAAAGCCGACAGACCAGAAACCCAAGACTCATCAGTAAAGGAAAGAATGCAGTACATCGTCGAGTACTGGCACTCCTTCCCTAGATAGGGACTCAAATAAACGAGGCATGGGAGCATAGAACGCGGAAACTGAAGATGTAACGAAGATCATGTGCTATCCAAATTTACTTACATTTCGCCCGAAGTACCCCCGAAGCCAGGTCAAGCAAACTTTTCCAATACACATGCTGACCTAAATTGGGGATATCGAGAATCGGCCAACTGTTAGGGCCGATACACTATGAATCAACTTACTACTAAGTGGAAGGTCCCGGTTATCCCTGAACTTCACCCTTGACCACACGATTGGCTCAATATGGTGGAAGCAGAAAGCCCTAATTGACTCAGGACTGACTTGTGGCTAAGGTTGTGTCCTAAGAACATCCTATTCTAGTCGTGCGCAGCAAGGAAACCTAATCGAACTGTGACAGACCCACCCACGATCCGTAATGCCGTTTCCCACCCCAAGAGTACTTGCTGCAGATTGCGGTTGGCCGACCCGGCATTGTAGGAATATTTGAGTTGTGTCCAATTGAAGAAGATTCTGCGTCGCACTATCAGTAATACAACATATGAACCTAAATCGTGGTCAGGGTCATTAGTAGTGTACGTGCCATCATTATGGAGCCTCGGACCTGTGGCATACATTAAAATCAGCCTGTATGTATAATGGGAGAAATGTGAACTTTAACATGATTTGGGGGTGAATCTACTGCGTGAACTTCTTCCCCGCGTTGCTCTACGTGGAGAAAGCCATATCGAGGGCCTTTGTAACGAAATAGCGTCAGTGCCTGTCAGCTGTGGGGAAAACAAGAGTGAGTAGTGGGAACGATCAAAAGTAAGTATGTGCTGACATATTACGCGAGGCACCTTGCCAAGCTCACATCGTACAGCGTTGCCAACACCACGCAACTGCCACGTTGCCACTGCTTGCTGTATGTACATTCTTACTCACAAGTCTCGTTCATTCCCCCGACTGACGCTAACAGAATGTCCACGGACAATATCATCGAGATGGAGGATCTCTCACAAGTGAGGAAAAGCAATAGTTCGGTCGAGAATGCAGATTCCGTAGCGCGAAAGACAGACGCATCCATTTCCATCTGGGCATGGACATCGGCAGCAATGTTCGTTCGTGGCACGCTTGCTCGTCGGTGAAACCAGCCTAAGGCTGCACTTTTATATAGTTTCGCAGCGTTCTCGCTCTGTCTGATGTTGTTCCCCCGCTTTCTACTTTTCCTAGCAGATGATTCGGGGGGACGGAGGACACTCACATCCCTTGAGAAATTTCTCGCTCTTCAACTGGGCATTACGCTCGGCATCGCATCGCTGACAATCATCGCCATGGTAGGCAGTTTTCCTACTGTAATGCAAGGATTGAGACGCATAAGTATGTATTGTACCTTCGTAGATACCGAGCGATTGGCCAACAGGTCTCCAGGACACGAGCAACAGCCACCCTCTCCTGTGGCCTATGACCGCAACTTCCCTGACAATGGCACTTGTGTCCTATGGCAATCCAGACGTAAGCACCCTGGCGTCGACTTTCATGTGGGGTACAGGTGTCATTGGTTTCCTTGGTCTCTGGCTGGTATGTCCAAAACCAAGCTTAACGTAATGCTCTGTGAATTGATCGGCGCCATCCATTCAAAGACCATTTTTGAAGGGTCGTCAGCCATCTCCCGTAAGACTGGTGCGGACAAACACACTTCTGCGTTTATCTTTGGGAACAAAAGCGCAGCTTCGGTCAGGAAGAGAAAGTGGAAAGATGAACAGGCTCGCAAGAACGTCCTCTAAGGAAGTCTCCACAGCTCGTCATTTGTACCACTATTATGGGTCACTCGAGCCTTACCAGTAGCAGATTTCACTACAGTACCCGAACCTAACCTTGGCACACCAACGCCCGCATTGCAATGGGGCGAAAAGGAGCAATGTGTAATAATATGCCATGTATGTCAATGCAGAACGCACAGTAACGTGGGAGGTCACCGGCTGTCACCGACCAGCGGCCCCACCCATGCCCATCATTTTGAACATGTCCGCCATGTTCGGCATACCACCTCCAAGCCCTGGGAATCCACCAAGACCACCTCCCATCTGGCTCATCATCCCTGTAGGGAGTGTGTGAATCAGACTTACAGATGAAAACAAATCATTTACTTTGCATTTCTTCCATGTCGAATTGGTCTCCTTGACCCTGCATCATGGCTTTCATCATCTCTTGCATACCACCACCGCTCCGTAGTTGTCGTTGCATTTGTTGCAACATACCAGGTGGCATGGCACGCTACGAGTGGAATTGACATATAGTTTGAAGTCCTTGAAGACAGATTCCCTACCTGCATTGCTTGTATTTGTGCGGGTGTCGGTATGCCATTCGCACCGCGTCCCCTCCCGCCAGCCACGTTCTGCATTTTTTGCATCGCTTGCAACCTGTAAGAAAAATGTATGAACTCGTCAGTTCAAAGGGTAGACTAGCCCGCTCACCAGCCATTTTTCCCGCCGGCCTGCTTTGCCATGTGTGCCATCATCCTGTACTGGCATAATAGTTCCTCGACCTCGCGAACGCTGGTCCCGCTTCCCTTGGCCACACGTGTAACTCTCCATGTCAGACCAACGGGTTTCCCGTCTTTTCCTGTTTCCCAGAATAACGACCCGTCAGAATCAAGTTCTTTGGAAGACATGCTATCTGTGATGTAAATCATGCGTCTCATGCGCAGCGACCCTTCTTCATCCGAGCCTGCAAGGAGCTCTTGCGGAAGGCCAGGGATCATAGATGCAATCTTGCTGATCGGACCCCTGAAAGAAAATATTGTCTACTTCAGCGTGACAAGTAATCTCGGTGGATCCGAGACGGACATATTCATCACGTTCTGTATTTGTTCTCTCCAATCTCGGATGCTGAGCTTGCCTTCCTCGAGCTTCTTGGCCATCTCCTTCTGCTTGTCCGGATTTTGCTGGGCCAAATCTTGCATATGTTCCATCAATCCTTGCATATCGCCCAAGCCAAGTAGTTTGGAGATGAAAGGCTGAGGAGAGAAGCGGTCAAGATCATACAGATGTTCTCCAACGCCAAGGAAAATAATCGGCGTCTTCGTTGCTGCGACACTTGAGCGGAGCTTGTGAGATTTCTACGAGGAAGCACACCAGCATACATACGCAGATATAGCACCACCTCCCTTGGCATGGCCATCCATCTTCGTGACGATTATGGCACCGAAGTCTGCACTCTCCTTGAAGGCCCGACTGTGGGCTTCGGCAGCCTGGCCTGGAGGTAGAGTGTGAGCCATTAATGGGAAGAACCGAAGAACCACCCATAAATTCACCTATACTAGCATCAAGAATGAGTACGGTCATATTAGGTTTTACGGCTGCACTGATTTGGACCATTTCCTGGAAGAGCTCTGACTCTTGTTTATGTCGGCCGGACGTGTCGACAATGATGACATCAAATCGCTCCTTCTTAAATTTTGCAACACCTTGCGCGGCGATGACGACTGGATCCATTTCAGTGTACGACCCAAAGTAGGCCACCTTCGCCTTAGTTGCGGACTGTCGCGTTTGGTCAAATGCCCCAGCACGGAACGTATCCGCGCAGACGATAGAAGATTTGAAACCTCGTTTCTGGTAGTACACAGCGAGTTTTGTGCAAGTCGTAGTCTTGCCATTGCCCTGAGTGGGACTATGACACAGGTTTGTAACTGCGATGCGAGACGACGCACTTGGAGACCGACAGCCATAATAACGTTGGGTTGGCCCTTCTTTGGTTTATAGGGCTCGACACCCGGATCCACTAGATGGACCAGCTCGTCAAAAACCACCTGTCAGAGGCAAGTAAGCAGCTTGTGGACAGCAAACGGATAGAAATGTGCCTTCTGCATCAAAGTCTTCCTGTTTGAATCCTTGGATTTATCTGAAGCATCGAGAGCAGCCTTCACTTTGATCTTGACCTTCTGCCTCAAGGAGGCGACAAGTTTGACATTGACATCGGCCTCGAGCAGGGCGGCGGTAATTTCTTTCAGTGTAGTGTCTAGGACCTAGATCGTAGATATGAGAAGACCCGCACTGGTTGCGACCTTGGATTCACCTTCTCATCTACTACAGGGGCTCTGTTGAGAGACAGAAAAGCGGCATTGAGCCTCCGTCCCAGGTCTGCCAATACCATCTTGATGAAGGGGGTCCGGAGGATGCGTGTGAACTTCGGACGAGTGCTTGGTTATGGCACACAGCGACTCGGAAGGCGAAACTATAGACGACCTCGAATTCGAAACTCATACTACCGATGCAGACGGCGACGAGGACAATGAAATAGACGAGGACCTCCTCGGTGCTCTCGAGAACGGCGTGGAAGATGCGTCTGAAGCGGAGGAAGTGTGTTATGTTACTATTTGCCATTTCGCGCTTGCCCTCACTCAGTCCCGTCGCGCCAGGAATCACCTACTGATGATTCGGACGACGAGGATGACGACGACGACGAAGAGACAGCCATCGATTTACCACTGGATGCAGACCCAGTTCCCTCCTCGCCAGCACCACCAACAAGTAGGCAACCATCACCCCAGTCTCCTACCCCTGACCCACCCGAAGGTGCAGCACGTCATCCGTACCGCTGATCCATGTCCATTGACATTTTCCCCATGTCCATAAAGAGCCTCCAGTAAGACCTCAATCTCCGTCGCCAGCGGAGGCCCGAAAACGAGGCCTGCTATTTCTCCCCGGTCAACTACCTCGATCGTTCACCTTGGAGGCGGTTTGCGCCATTCCCCACCCTGTGCCCACTCACTCTCTCGCTTCTTCGTTTTGCATGTCACACCTCCTCACCGGCTCAGAGGACGGCTACATTCGCGATTATGATATTTTTACTTCGGTTAATGGCAAGATTACCCTGACAGCGCCCCAGCGTCATCACTGCAACGTTGTCGAGGGTAATATGAAGGCTGGTCAGATACGATGCTGGTGGGAGAATCCGGACTATCTCGGCCCTCAGGCTGGGTATCCGACCATTGGGGAGTCCTTGTTATCACCGGTCTACAGCTTGGCCATGCACTCTGACGCCCTGTGGGCTCTTGGCGGAACGCAAGTACGTACCGCTTTGACCAAAAGCCATTAGTCGTAACTCCGACTCGCAGCGTGGTCATATCAACCTTTTTACCGTAAGACACGACCCTGGAAGACTGATCCATGTACTACACGGTCACCGTGGCCCCGTTTCAGCGCTATCGATAGATCATGACGAGAAAGGTTTGTTCAGCGCGAGCTGGGACGGCGAAGCGATGGTGAGTTTTCGTCGCTTAGGAGCACCTCATCGCGAGTAGACCGTCATGTACACAGCAATGGGACCTAAATACTGGCCAAGTGGTCCGAAAATTCATTGCCCACGGCGCACAACTTGTTGCTATTGCCGTAAGACCGCTAAATCCACTCACTCAGTGTTTCAGCTCTACATTCTCCGCGGGCGCACCCGGAGAATGGGATAGTTACCCCCCCTCTTCTGCTGTCATGAGCCACAAGAACGAGAGCGATGCTTCTATGGCCGATGCGGACACATTTCCCATTTCCGCGGATGACAACGGGAGACGAGCACATGAAATTCAGCCGTCACGGGTCTCGAGCACGTTTCCCTAATCAAAATCCCATTTCAGACCAGCCGATTCAAGAAATTGACGCTAAATCGGACACATCTTTTGATCCTCTATTTGACGATGCTGAGCCGGATGCCGACGGAGAGGCGGACAGTACTTCCCCAGCGGATGGCGGTGGTGCCAACCAAGCTGTGAATCCTCAGAAGGAAAGTGCATCTATGAGTGGGCATGCAGGTCTCGCAGTCCCGGATGCCACATTTGCGCTACCAAAACAGGAGCTCCAGCAGGTCGTAAAATTGTCACCAAACTCTGCTATCGCCCCACCTAAGAATGCGCCGCCTCTATTAAATCCGGAGAACAGTGCTTCGCTTTCTCCGGACATTCTGATGATTGCCGCGATCGATGGTCAGGTCATGCTTTGGGATAAGCGAGTCAATACCCCAGGTCGAGGAGTTGGGAGATTGTGGATGAGTGAAAAGACGCCACCGTGGTGTGTTTCTGTACGTGCAGGAGCTGAGATGAATCGTCGGAGTATTTTTAATCGCATTCATTCACAGGCATGCTGGTCTACAGATGGAGCACACGTCTATGCAGGTCGACGTAATGGGACAGTGGATGTATGGGATGTTCGATTGCTGGGAAGTTCCAGACCTTCCTGCAGTACGCCTCGGCTGTTGAGGAGCCTTCGCAATCCACCCAGTTCAGGGGTGGTGTCTTGCGTTGTGCCATTCCCTGATGGTCGCCACATTGCGTGGTGAGTTTCTTGTGAACTCGTGACACTGACAGGGATGTGAAGCTGATGTGACCCATGCCATTTTAGCGCTTCGAATGACAATATCCGTTTGTGGAACGCGGCCGAAGCTGGGGAAACTGATGGAAACGTGAAGTCCAGGGGAGGGGTGCCATTCAAGGTGGTGCCAGGCCATCATGGGGGCTATGTGTCTCAAATGCGTACGCAATCTCGTTGAGCCAAGAGTGGATCAGGTCAACTGACTAATTTTGTGCTATGCTAAAGTGGTAGATCCGGGAGCACGTTTCCTTGTGAGTGCTAGTAGTAATCGTGGGTGGCACGGGGACTCCACTCGGACGGTATTTGTACACGAGATCAAGCCAATTCCATAAAACTAGATTCCATCAAGCACTTTCTATAACGTTGCTTGGAGTTTATTTGACTGGTTTACGAGACAGATCATGGAATTGGCCGCCAAGATGGGTCGTGTGGTCGATTAATATTTAGATTATGCTTGTCGTATTTCAAATGAAGAAAAAAGGGATCTTTAGTGTGTTCATTCAGGCCCCGCGTGGTACCCGCCAGAAGCATATTCCCAAACCAAACGTTGCCGACACATGTCAACTGTTTTGCTTCTCGTCATCCCTTCCGATGGGAATTGGATTTTATATAAGACTGGGAACTCCCCGGTTCGTATATGACACTTGGTGGTACTTGTTTCTTCCGCGCTTGCTCATGCGACTCAACTACCCAGTCGTATTTCCCCTCAACCAGATCTCCTTCGTCGGCGAGGACGACTCCGAGTACTTCTGCCAACTCTATGGGAGACGGTTCAATGTTCTCAGCCAAACATACCCGCTCCCTGTTGACGAGGAAGAAGTCAGAGTATGTTCGTTCTCCTTGAAGCGTGGCGTTCCTTGACCCGACCCCTTCTCTTCCTCCCCTTAGCGGTCTGAGCTACACCACCGAATACTCAAGTTTCTCTTTAACGGAAAAAACTATGTTGGGCCGATGAAAGATGTGCTTGCCCCCAGGGAGGGCAAGGAACGTTGTCGCATCCTGGATCTCGGCACCGGAGGTGGTTTCTGGTAAGCCGACGCCAGCGCAACTCGTTCGGACCGTATACCTATTTACGTCTTCCTCACCAAAAACAGGGCAATTGACCTGGCAGACGAGTTTCCGACTGCAGAGGTGATTGGCGTCGACCTCGCCCCCATCCAACCACGGTACATATTCTCTTATTTCCTATGCTTCATCTCTCCACTCACCCAATTACTTATCTCTCCAGCGAAGTACCAGAGAATTGCACGTGCGTCTCGCCCCAACCTCGGCATTTTTTGCCCCCCGCCACCCATCACTCAATGCTAATAAAATGTCATGTTCGACCGATTTTGTAGTTTTGAGCTCTGCGACCTGGATCAGTTTTTTCTGCCTTACCCCAATGAACACTTCGACGTCATTCATGCAAGATTCATGCATACAGGAGTAAGGTTTCATTCTTAGGCGCCCTGTCCCGCGATATTCAAGGAAAGTTCACGAATTTGATCGTTGCCTGCTAGATATCGAACTTTCCCCGTTTTCTCAATGAGATCGCACGCATGCTACGACCTGGCGGATTGGTCATCCTAATCGAACCAGATCCCGAACCGATCGCAGATGGGAAAACGGCTACCGAGCTGACCCGATCCGGGCAGCCCTCCGGCATGCGAGGCTGGTTCGCTTTGTGGGAAGCCTACGCACAGTGCCTTCGTGACAAGGGAATTCGACGTCAAGGTGCCTGCGCAGCTTTCGACACTCCTTACGAACACGCGCGCTTTCGACAGGGTAGTCACCCAAGAAGGCAACATTCCCATAGGTTTCTGGCCAAAAGGTTAAGAATAAACTCAAACGCTGGGACACAGGGCGCTCACCTGTCACTTAGATCCTACCGCTCTTACCATCGGCCAACTGGCGTGGATGGATTACGATATCATGCTCCCGGCCCTTAAGCCCCTTTTCCTTTCAGCCGGCATGAAGGAGTGGGAGGCTAAGAAACTCATCGAAGAAGCTCATCAGGACCTCTACTATCCACTCGTTCGTCCATCCGCTCGACTCCACATTGTTCATGCTATCAAAAAGGCGACTTCTTTGTGACTGTTATTATCTTCACACTTTGCATCGGTTATTGGACAATTCAGGCTGCCAAAAAGAAAAAGAAAGTGTCATACCCCCTACCCGCACTCCTTGTACATCATCCATAATATTACCTCGCATTCTACCATGTCCTAGGGTTCATGTTTTCTGGTCACTATGTTCATGTATGTATAACTACCGCCCACTTACCATTTCACACATGTTAGCCTTGGATCTTACCTTCGTACGATGTTTGACTGGAAATCCGACTGATTCAAACCACATTTGAGATAGAAGCAGTTGTATCAACCTCCGTTCCTTTACTAGTACACAAAGGAACGACCACCACCAATACCCAGAATTCAACGGACACTCGGCGCAAAGGCAGAGGTCACGGATGACCAACCCTACTCTTGTTGCGAGAAAACGGTAAAAAGGAAGGGACGAGCAGCCAGCCGCTGCTCAAAAAGCACTACCCACTATCACCCACCGCCTCCGCCTCCTCCAGCAATCTTTCAAGCAGCAGCAGTAGTCATATCCTGCCCTTTGGCGAAATCGTTCAGGACATTGAGGGCTTCCGAAATCTTGGAATCCATAGCTTCATTCGAATCAAGCAGGTGCAAAAGCTCGGTATTGTCCATTTCCAGAAGCATACCGGTGATCTTCCCGGCCAGATCAGGATGCAAACTGTGGAGAGGGTAAGTGACACCAGCTAACCAACGGGTGTCGTGGTGTACACTCACGGAGCAATTCTCATGTAAATAACTTCGCCCAACATTTGCTTCTGTTCCATGGGCGATGCGTTAGCAAGAGTCGCGGCCGAGAGAGTGGGAACCTCAGGCTGGGGTGGAACAGGAGCAACCGCAGGGGGAGCATTGCGAGTCTGAGGGTTAAGTTTGTAAGGTTGTTGGTTGCGCGCGCCTGGCGCAGGAGCACCCGCCGGAGGTGGACGCGTACCAGCTGCACCGCTGGGAGGCGGGCCTGGGCGTGGAGAATTGTTGTTGGGTACGTTAGAGCGAGGCATGGGAGCTGTTGAATTGGTTGGAGATGAGCCGGGGCCACGAGCAACGGGAGGACGGGGAGGGCGAGGATACCCTTGCATACCGTATTGAGGGGGCGGTGCACCGTAGGGCATAGCCATACCTGGCACCTGTGCGCCACCGGGAGGATAGCGAGGACGAGGCGGCATCATACCAGGCTGGCCGTAACCCATCATGTTGCGACCTTGAGGATATCCGTTGGGACCGGGAGGATAATACATAGGGCCATTGATATACGCGCCGGGGATACCAGCAGCCGCAGCCTGTTGCATGCGGATCTGGTTACGCTGAGCAATCTGGCTCTCCAGTTGCTGTCGGCGGATTTCCCGGCGTTGCGCCAGAGAAACGTACAAAGGTTTCGAGCCAATCATCTTGTTGTTCATCTCGGCAACAGCCTTGGTAGCCTCATCTGGGGACGAGAAACAAACGAAACCGAAACCCTTGGACATGTTCTTCTCATCACGCATAACCTTGCAGCTCGTGATGGTACCAAACGGCTCGAACTCAGCACGAAGTTTGTCGTCATCGATGTCATCCTCCAGGTTCTTGATGTATAAATTGACACCAGCATATTTGCTAAGCCTCTCCATCTTCGCTTGCTCATAAGACTTGCGCAATTCCTCTTCGCGCTCAGCCTTCTTTTGCGCGCGAGCAACATAGAGATTCTTGCCATTCACTTCTTTGTCATGAAGATTTTCAACAGCCCTTTGGGCACCTTCATGACTCTCGAAGTTGACGAAACCGAATCCCTTGTTGTTGCCATGCTCGTCGAACTGGATGACAGCAGAAGTCACGTTGCCAAATTGTTGGAAGAGCGCCTCAAACTCCCCCGGAGTGACAGAAGAGTCAATATTCTTGACGTATACGTTGGTGAATTGAGCCCTCATCTCCTCCATTTTGGATTGGCGTTCCTGAGAAAGCGTCAGTTGGCCAGACAATAGGCGAGCGGAGTACAAACCTTGCGAGAGATGTGGTGGCCGACGTAAACTTTCTTGTCGTTGAGAAGCATTCCGTTGACAGCCTTGATGGCGGTGTCGGCGGCCTCGGCGGTCTCGTAATGAACGAAGCCATATCCCTTGGACCTGCCTTGTTCGTCGGTAGCGACCTTGCAAGACAACACGTTTCCAAAGGCAGCGAACGTGTCATGGAGAGCCTGTGCAATTGAAAAGGGTTAGCATATATCCCTTAACCCAGGTGAACGCAGTAAATCTTGCCTTGTTGTCGATCTGTTCATCAAGATTCTTGATGAAAATATTACCTTGGCCGGTCTTGCGCAAGACGGGATCACGCTGGGACCACATGATACGGCTGATTCACCGTAGTGAGATTGGTGCAAAGAACGGCAAACGGTTTGCGCCACTTACCAAGGACGATTCTTGATAAGGGAATAGTTAAGTTGTTCAAGGGCACGTTGGCCTGAATGGCAAAGTAAGCGGCGGTGCGACTGCTGATGTCATGACCGGACGTACCATCACCCGTATTCAAGTAATTGACGTACGCGTAGCCGAGGGAGCGACGAGTGACTGCATCGCGGCACACGCGAATGCTGAATGGACCACTCATCAGCAAACTGATTCAAGATATAGTCGACCAACTGCCCACCTGGCGACAGGGCCAATCATATTGAAAATCTCGAACAACATCGCCTCACTAACGGTGGGATCGAGCTCCCCGACGTAGAGAGAAGCGGAGGGAGAAGCCACCGAGTGCTGGGGAGCCGGATTGTAAGGGGCAGGTGCCGGAGCAGACACCGCGGCAGCGTCGGGTTGGACGATCGATGCAGCCTCAGGAGCGGAAGACATGTTTTTTTTTTCTGGGTTTGTGGGGTCGTTACTGCTTGAGTACTTTTTCTTTGACTAGGGAACGTGGATAAGCATGACCAAGCCGAATAGAGATCAACGAGACGAGACGGACACAAGAGGCGACTCTAGAACCGCTTTTTTGTTAAGTTTTTATATATTTTATGTTTTAGGGCTTTTCAGGCTGTAAAACGGTGGTGGTCAGTGCCGACGACGACGGCGATGAACAGGACGAGACACACAGACCAAGGTGGTGGTTGTAGAAAAGAGTGTGCTTAGAATGCTGAGATTGATACGTTATTTTGAAACCCCGACGGGCATTTGCCATTAATCATCAAAATTGTCTCAGACCGGGCATACATGAAGGGTACACGAGTGTAAAGACATAATAATCATCGATCATCCACGGGTAAAGTACGATTTGGCTCCGTGACTCGCCAGCTCTGCCTTGGCCTGAAATATGTAAGTGAGGTGGCGGGGGAAAGGTAGGGTCGCAACGATGATGTGCATACCTTGTCGACGGTGTGACCTGCTGTGTTGTGATGGTTCCATATCTGGATGAAAGGTTTAGTTGTTGTCAGACGTGACTGCGGGCTGGGACACCGTACCTGACGGTAGTAGTATGCTAACCCCAGGCCCTGCACTGACCAGCCGACGGTAGCGACCGTGCCAAGGATGCCCGCAGCCCAGTGGCCGGACGCATACATTTGAATGGTCTGAATGAGACCGGCTGAACCGGTACTGGGGATACCGATGACCCTGGTGGGGAGGCATGAGATGACCGCTCCGCTTCTGCGGGTCGCATATACGCACATGTAAATGCTGAAAAGCAGATGGAAACCGCAGAAGAAAAAGAAGATGTCTGGGAAGAAGATATATGAGTTGCGACGCGGCGACGGAAGCGATGAAAGAAGTGCGGACAGTAATACAAGGCCTGCTCCTACAAGCGGGGGTTAGCGGAAGTGAGTAGCGGAGGAGGGGAGCAGCACAACCTTCATGTAGCCATTGTATATTGGTCTGCGCGTGGAAAATGAGCGGGGCCGTGTGCTGAAGGTATGGAATGGGCCTCACCTATACCACAGCAGAAAGGAGAGGGGGGTAATTATTAGGAGGTAGCTGGTGGTGAGGGTGAGTTACACAAATGTCCGCGACGAGAGAGCGGAAATACGATACCCTATGCTACCGCCCAAGTCTTTTCCGCCGTCTGATGATCCTGCAACGAGGAGGAAGATGCATGCGATCATGTTTACGATCAAGGCTGCGAAGAGGGCGAGCCATAATTGGTAGAGACGGGTTATGAGGGGTCTCGAGGCTTCGGGGATTTCTTCAGGGATGGAATGAAATATCAGCGGGAAGACTAAAGGTCTTGTGAGCACGCGGAGAAGGACGGGGAAGAGAAGGACAGACATGGGGGCCAGTTGTTTCTGCCGTGTGTTCTGATGTGTTCTGCTCGCTGGTTGAGTTCCTGTTCGCGTCTCTCCAGGTCGCGCTCCCTTTGTTCGAGGTCACGCTGCCGTGCGGTCTTGTTCTGAGCGGGCGCGGGGTCGTCGAAGGGGTTTGCATCGAGCGAGTGGGTGGATGCGAATGGATTTTGGTTGTAGTCGGCTGGAGGGATGTCAGTGTTGACGCGTGCATGCCAGGACTGTGATGCCCTACCCATGGCGTAGTAGTGAGGGAGAGAGGCGAGGGGAATTGCCGTGGGAACGGAGAATAAAAAATATATAATAAATAATAATAATAAAATGATAATATTAGGATGACAAAGAGGGGGATTAAAGGGGAGGATCGCACAGACAATCGCCGTCTGCATCCCTTTTTTCTTCTCATTTCTTGACGTTTTCCTCGCCGTTTTCATTCCGGTAAGCTGGTGCCCAGCTCAGCCCCCTCACTTCCCCCTCTCCCGTACTCTGATTGACAATATTTAATCCCACAGCTCGGTCGGCCGTCGTTCTCTTCACCCCCCCTCCCTTCCCAACTTCCCTTCCTTCGCCATGTTCACCTCCATCTGCTCTCTTGCCTTTGTCTTTGCTGGCATCGCACAAGTCAATGCCCTTGTCGTTCCCCGCGCGACACCCCCGCAGGGCTGGGATACAAGTGCTCTTGAGGTGCTTGTCTTGTCTGTTGCCCACCTTGCCCGCCACTCACCTTAGCCGTTAGCCTTATGACACCTACCACTGCCGCTACCTAGCCGTAGGATGCCAGTACCAGCACGGTACCTCATTCTTCGACACGTGCTGCCATCCTCTGCAGGTATGCCATCCTCAGCACCTGACTGTCCTCCCTTCACTCACTTACTCAATACACATCAGGCTAATCAATCGGCCTCGTCCCTCCCCTCGGAATGTCAGCAGCCCTCTAACACAACTTGTAGCAATGGCGAACCCGTCACTGGTTCTGCTTCCCCCTCTGCTACTCCTACTGGCACTGATGATGGTTGTGGTGACGAAACACCAGCATCCAGTCCGGCTGTGAGCCCTACCGCTCAGCCTGCCACAGAGACTACTCCTACCGCTCAACCTGCCGGAGAAACCACCCCTACCCCTCAGCCTGCCGGAGAGACCACCCCTACCCCCACACCCACACCCACTTCTACCCCGTCTACGACTACCCCCACCCCCACTCCTACCCAGGCACCAGCCAATGCCCAGGGCAAGCCGACCACTACGACCAGTTCCACCGCACAGCCGGCGGCGACCTCTGGCAACTCAATGACTTCGAGTAGCCTGAACTACGGTGGATAGTGAGTGAATCGTTCCCGTATTCACATCGACAGTTGATCACGTGACTCCCGCAGCGCTACCTACTTCTACCAGAATGGCAATGCCGGCGCGTGTGGTCAAGTCCACTCCGACTCGGACTACATCTGTGCCATGGGTATGTGATCTCGCTACGCTCTCCTCGTTGTCTGATAGATCACAATCTTCCCCTAGACCAAGCTCTCTTTGGCGACTCTGGTAACGGTTCTCCCCTTTGCGGCATGCAAGTCCAGATCACCAACATAAACACCGGAGCGATGGTTACGGTGACTGTCGCTGATGACTGCCCCACTTGTGCCAATGCAAACTCTATCGATCTCTCCGTTGCTGCCTTCGAGGCCATCGCTTCTCTCTCAGAGGGGGAGGTAGCGAGTGAGTGCTCGATGCTTTGCGCCTATCATTTCGTTGGCTAACTGATGTTTTTAGTTGCCTGGCAATACGTCTAATGGAGCCCCATATCAAAATGATGTTTGAAACCAATTTTTCTGTCTTTTTTGTATTTTTTTTTTTGTTCATGGTAACAATGGCGGGGCTAGACCCCGTTGGAGGTGGGTAATCATCTTGACGATGGTGGCTTACACGAACATCCCTGGTGGCAATAGACCGTCGCTCACCACCTCCACTAGCAGCTCCTATTCTTTTTACATGTCCTATCAATTTCTCTATTCTTCTTATCGTCTATCTTGTCTTTGCACGCAGGCGCTCGTCCATACATGTTGATAGCTAGCTCTACATACTGTTATGGACCTCCGGGTCGTGTTGCTACATATAGAACGGCGCAGGGCGACATTAGCTTTACCATTCACGTATTACGAATAGAAACGCATGCTATTTTTTTAAATTCTCCGTCCGCAGCCCTTGAGAACAATGAAGCTAATGAAGCCGCAATTATGCACTTTACGGTGTGACGTAGCACGTACGGAATGTAAGGGTTCCCCTCGATACGACTTCTTTAACAACAAAATCAATCATTTTCATCATCACCGCCCAGTGTACAAGCCACGTTTCAAATGGAACCCCTTGTGCAAAAGATCCTTGTGGTCGGCGGTAATGGGTTTATTGGCAAGTTTTGGTCGCTTTATTCCATACGTTACCACGTTAATACCGAACAGGCTCTGCGGTATGCAGGGCGGCCCTCGCGAGGGGCATCCAGGTGACCAGTATCAGGTCAGTCTTGGTATTCTCCCAGACAGTGCGAACAACCCCTTCATTCAACCGCCCACAGCTCATCGGGAAGACCATACCGAACCCCAAAAGGCCATGCCCCTGCGTGGGTGTCAAAAGTATGCCGCACTGTTCTCTTCTCTTTGTCTTTTTTCTTCTTTGTTGTCTCATGGCTGTTCATTACTTCCTATATCGCATTCTTTTTTCCCCTCTTTGTTCGGACCTTGTAAAAGAGCTAACACTGATGACTCTAAACCGCGTGTTATTCCGTCACTACCGTTCCTCGAATTTCGCTTAACGCAGGTAGAGTGGCGAAAGGCAGATGCGCTCGTCCCGGAGACATATGCCGACCTCCTTCCGAACGTCGATAGCGTCGTGCACACCATCGGTATTCTTCTCGAAGACCGTAGTTACAAGGGTGCATTGACCCGTGGAGACATCCCGAAGCTCTTCGCGGCATTCTCAAATGGAAGAGATCGCGCGACGGATTCCTCGTTCGGACCTGCGAGTGGGGTTGCAGGGAAGGGCACCTACGAGGTCCTAAATCGAGATTCTGGTTTGTCCCCCGTCCCCATGCGGCCCTTCTGTTCTTTCGTGAAATTGACAGCACCCCAACATGTGTATGTGCATGCGACGCTTTCATCCGCCTTTATGACTCCTTTCCGTTCGGCCTGTAGCCCTTCGGGTATGCGAGACATTTGTAGCAAGCAAACCCGCCAACCACGACAAGGATAAGACCCCTGAATCCGCTCCGGTCCGCCCTTTCGTGTACATCTCGGCCGAGGACATATCCCAGCCCATCAGTTCCGGCACGCTACATTCAAACCAAGCACGAGGCAGAACAGCGGATAAGTCACCTTCTGCAAGATCACCCGAGGTTTCGTGCTGTATTCATCAGACCAAGTAAATTTTTTTCTCGCTTCCCTTTGTTCTGAGAAAATTGAGTGACGCTCGTATTCGTTTTTTCGTCTCCTTCCCCGTCTCCGACATATTAGGCCTCGTGTATCACGCTCACCAAAGACCATTGGTTTCTCCATTCGCCGCGCTGATCGATTTGTCAGCTTCCCTGCACGCCAGAATTCCGACAGGCGTTCCAACGCCGTCTTCGGTGCTGCGCATGCTTGGGTCAAAGTTCTCATCGACTTCTTCCTCCTCGAGGGAAGCGCACGAACACACAAGACCCGGTACTTCCCCGTCATCGTCATCGACCACGTTCCCAAATTCCGGATTGGCCACGACCCTGAACTCGATGGCCAATGCGCTTACCATACCCCCGATACACGTTGATCACGTGGCTGAGGCCATCTGTGTTGCACTCGACCCGCAGAGAACGGACGTGAAGGGGATTGTCGGGGTCAAAGAGATGAGGGAACTCATTGGGTGGTCTTAACCACTGGCGCAGGGATACAAAGAACATCACTGCGGGCGAAGCGCGCGTGCCATATAGTTTTTACTTCGCGATTTGATTTTTGTGGAGCAGGTATCGGGCCGATAGCACCCTCGGCAAAAATATATCTTTGCAATTTATTGGGAACGCGGGGTATACAGGGGTCGTGAGAGGTCGTGGAAGAGAGGAGGCGAATTATACTGTATTCCGATGCCTATAATTATTGCCGTGCATCGTGTTTTTGGCTCGGCTTACCCGCGAACATGAGAATGATGTTGCTTCCGACCAGAACGCCGCCGGTGTGCACGGAAGGCTCAACCGACAGGCAACTGAATTTCAGATTGTATGCATACACGCGAATTATGTACTACACGCCGTTCTTACACCCTGTGATGCACACTCCGGATTCTGGAATGCGCGTTCCGTTAGCCCCGTGGAGGTGCGGGCAGGCAAATTAATCAGTAACAGTTGTTTGTAACTTAACCCTGTTGCGCGGTCGGATATAGTATGAATAACATCCGCGCGGCATAGCACGACCGATCAGTCTTCTCGGGGGTTTCCCAAGGTAGCGTCAAGCGCAGGACTTGAAATCTTGCCCAACGAGCCACAGTCTAAGTCAACAAATTTGGAGATTGATTTTTTTTTTGAAACCACAAACTGCTGGAGATTCACTTTCTGTGTAGATTATGCTTATTTGTGGCCAATAGAAGGGTTTTGCACGAGCGGAATTTTGATAATTGTACAAACAAGTTTGGGAACAGCCAAAATTTTGGCAGTCCCCCCCAAAAAAAAAACCGCTAAAATTATGAAAAGTTCACCAATCGACTCCTTTTCACTAGTAGTGTATAATTTCGTCAAGGTAAACCCCACAAAAAGTCAGTAATTTAGTGAGTACTTCCCAAATATGGTAATGAAAAATTATGTCATCCACGCTAGTACCTGACCAGTGCGCGATGTCACAGCGTGTATTGATAACCACGACGACTCATCTGATAGTCCTACTCAGCCATCACTATGCATTGCCTTGAATAATTTTGTTATAGGTACATAATATACAATTGATACAATAATTTGCAGGCCATGAATCTATGAATAAGGCCTGCACCTGGTGGTCACCATAACTCAATGACAGTCCAGTGTAGGTCACATCCCTAGACATAATCTATGTACTTGAAAAATCCATATCTACACCACCCACTGCTGGATTTAAGGACTGAACCGCACTGTATGTGGCTATCCCCATCTCCAAAATCGATGTCCTAGGTACCACTCGTCCCGCCCAAAATTTTGGCGGGCCAAAAAAAATCGTGGGAAAAACTTCACCGCCTGAAGTGCGAACAAATTTGTCGACTTTGACTGTCCGCAACTGTACGTTTTGACAGTAGCAATGGCCGACCAAATTCCACCTTCGAATATTGATGATCGATGATCAAGACCCAGGTTATTGCTAGTGATACCATGGAAATTGGGTAGTCATATATTCATAAAGAGGTCGATTTGGTCACCACTTCCGTCAACGGGGAAGCGGAGCTGGAGCGAACGCGACTAACGACCGGATTGGGTAGTCGAACGCACGCATAGCATCAGTACTTACGGTAGAGATCAAAATGAATCACTACCAAGTTGAGGTATGCGCGTGCGGTCTAGGATATTTGGACGGAAGACTTCGAAATGAGACGACCCACACGCTAGTTCCGCACTGGTTTCCAAATGGTCAGATGACCAATGGTGCAATCTGGTGCGAAATGAGATCATCCTCACCGTCGGCGCGGTCCCAGTAGCATGGTCTCCCTAAGTATGTCAGGGTGGTACCAAAGCAGGATGGGCGGTTTGACCATTCCCTAACGACATTTCAAGTACTCCAAGTGCGTGGGGAGCATCAATGTCGACATCCAACCGGGGATCTGCGAGGATCGCAATCATGCCCAACGAAGTTCCCTGTTTCAGGCTGGATGCTGTCGCTGCATGTAGTGTATGTGTATGAAGTCAACCAGTGTGTCGTCGCAGGTGTCAATGTTCATAAAACTCCACCAATCAGTGCCTAATACACTTCGATCTCGGCTGTGAAAGCACAGGAGTGAGGCACGAGAGCAGCCAAACAGATTTGGAATGGCAGCGTATAACACATGTTTGTAATGGCTGGGCCGGAGCACCTTGGTCTCACGATTTTTTAAGTCCGCTTCTTCCCAAGGAGAAAGGTTCTGGAAGAGTCCATAGGGGCACCATCCGATGGCTGTATTGCAGAAGTGGTCGAGCTGTGGACACAGCATGGTCGCTTAGTATCCAACAGTGACCACAATGGTCACCGCTGCGTCGCGTGCAACGACTCAACAAGGAAGAAATTCGCTCTGCGTACTTTGTACGTGACGTAAAAAGAGCCAGGGGTTGATACAGTTGGCATGTTGGAAGTTCCAATGATTTTGGTCGGCGACAGCCCACGGATGTGCCCGATCTGCCGCAGCTTTTCTTGGAAACGCTGATACGCAGTTACATCCCTGGTTAGTCAACGTACATATGGAGAGAGTTTGGTCGAGGGACGGGTTTAGGAGCTTTCCGGCCTTGACAGGAAAAAGCATGCTGTGCAGGTGACATATTGCTCGACTGTGTTGTGCCTGGTTGGCTCGGTGCGAGTCCCGATGCGTCTGTAACCTCTCATGGTAAGGGGAAACGAAGTGAATGAAGGTGGAGCCCACAATACGGCTCCCAGAAATCATTACTATTGTATGCACGACCAGGGACGAACATACCTGCAACTTAGGCTTTTAACGGGATAGCTCGAGCTTAGACTGCTAGTCCTTACCGAGCACATACTCAATTGACTGCACCAAAAGTCGTGCACAGTTTCATCCCTGCACGGGTGGAACAAACGAACGTGCGAGGAAAAGAGCCACTATTTCATGCCAAACTCGACTTGGTGAGCAAAAGCGTGACCATACTGAGTGGGGTCCGCGCACCGTATCGGCTAGTCCTCGATAGCGTTCAGAAGTCTATGGTGTGCAGTAGAAACTGTGGAGACCAATGAGAGTCGTGTGATCCCCCTCGCTTCTTTTTCGTTGGAGTCGAGTCCAAGGAGCGATGACTATCATGACACAGCACGTCAGTGTTACCCGTCTTCAAACGACTTGAAGCGCGTTGGCTCAGGTGAGTCACTTTAGCCATGGGATCGCTCCGTTCGTACGCGACAAGACAGGACAAGATGCACGCTGAGTAGCGCATCTAATTGGCATCTGTTACAGGCATTGGACTACTAGTCACTCTGGACTCGCAGACCTCTTCAACTCATTTTTCGTGGCCAACAGTCAAACTACAGTTAGCGGGCCTTTGCACCACGACTTAACCAGCGTGATGCCTCCTGCACCCCGCTGATACGCGGTACTTCTGCAGCCTCCCGATTTTGCCTAACTCAGTTCTGTGGTCCGTAGCTGCAGCGTTGCTCAAGATGCCGTGCGCGTGAAGTGTTCGATTGGTCTGGACAGGCCCTATTGCAGGCTGCGACGGCATTCAGACATACTAATCTGGATACTGAATGGCACTACAAAGGGCCAGACTGCTGTTCGCCTAACTGTTAGACCAAAACCGAAGATATGCTCTTCAGTACGTCGGCAGTATGCACAGCGATTACCCAGGTAAGCTGGTGTGCTTGCAACACGTGCTGGATGGATATATCCATACTGGGCCATCCTATCAATAAATCGTATTCACTCGTTGCATCCAACTCGTGCTGACTCGTGACTTACCTGGCAGGCCTTTTTGTTTCAGTAAATGCGGGCTGTCATCCAGCACATGGCGAAGTAGTATTATGTAGGTGAGCTTGACACGTGTGTCTGGACGTTCATCGGCACCTTCCAGTCTCAAGATAGCAACAACGTGTGTACGGTCCCTCTTACTTTGTGTACTTTCGTCCTTCTTCCGTTGACCTCAAGTTTGGGCGATTCTTCTCGGTTCCAGAGTCCTAACTATGCATTTTCCGACTTCTATGTACACGTAGACAATTGAGTATGCTTGGTGCTGTTCACATGCCATTAGACAACTGCGCCACGCGCTATCTACATAAATAACTAATATCCTGTGAGAAACCACCCGCGGAACTACCTTTCACAGCTGCTTAGCATTGGGAGCACCTGAGACCGAGAGATTCGAAGTGAAACAGGACAGCAGGGAGTTAAGTACTAAAAAATAGACAGCCGACTTAAAGTTCTGGAGCACCAGTATAGCCGCCAGGATGCTGGCATTGAGAGGTATTTAAGCTTGACGGAAATGATGGATGTTGATGGCCATTGGAATAGAACGCTTGCATAGTCGGGGAGGTAGGGAACGTGTTAGGATTAGACGGGTCCTGGAAGACGGTATTTGAGTAACAGTATAACCGCAACGGCATAACAACTCGCATAGAGCAACGGTTGAGTGACAGTGGAAGTGAGTGGGCATGTGCTGCTGGCCACTCCGGGTGCTGTTCCGTCGCCCGTAGCATTGGATGGCGTTACTTGTTGACGGCGATGGAAGAAGAACCATCTTGCTAGAGCGGCGATGACTGCAAGTCCGACTGCACCACCAACTGCGCCTCCCACAATTGCGCCTGAATTGCTGGATTTCGGAGTACTTTGGAGTGAGATTAACGACGCGGAGGTGCTTGGTGCTGAAGTGAGAGAAGCAGCTAGGCTTGTAGAGGTGGAGATGGTGGAAGTAGTGGTTGCTGCTTCGGTGGCTGTCGATTCGGGGCTGTCTGGAGGACTATCAGTGTACCGAGAGCCCTGTTCGGAACCAACTCACCCCCGACTACTCGGGCAAGGGTGACATTGAAATCATCACTCGTCTATGACGGGTTAGAGAACGAGAGAAGAAAATATGGAACAAAGAACACACAATAACATTCTGATAAGCCCACTCTGGTATAGCCGTGCCGCTGGGAATGCTCTCTGGGTATCTGCACGACAGACGTGTTAGATAGGGAAACTCAGGCGAACTTATATGTTCCGCACCCAATGTAGATCGTCGAGCAATTGTCAGACCAGGAACTCCAGCTGCAATGCACAACGAGTGAATGTTATGCGCGATTGGAGAGTATGTAGCACGGAACTCTTACGTGATGTAGGTACGATTTTGACATATAGAGCAAGCACTCATAAGGGAGTATGTCACGGTGTTGCATTCGCAAGGATTTGCCTCATCGACAGAGGGGGCAGCGTAGTAAGTGTTAGGATTCAGCAAATAGACAGTATATTCTAAAGGAAAGAGATTCTGGGTTACATTCATGACACGTACAACAGGAACTTACGACCACCAGAGCAGACACTTTGCACGTAGGCAGCAATAAGACAGGGATTCTGACCCTTGCTATTGCCCATCTGCGTGCCAGTCGAATGACGTTGAGCGCAACGAAAAGGTGTCCAGTACGTACCCACTCGTATTGTGACAAACAGACAGCTGTCGTCTGCTGGGCAGTTGCCCTCAACAGATGTACAGAAAGTAATTCTGTCACCAGGATCACAAATGACGACCATCCAGGGTTGAAGGGCAACATGTTCACAATGGGATACAATCACCCTGTTTAGAAGTCAGTGGAGATAACGAAGAAGGCCTTCGCGCTGGCACTTTGAAATAAAGGCCAGTTTGGTCACTCGAGAGTTGCCAGGTGAGGGGAATGACCAATGCGAGACTGGTGTAACAGAGTCTGGACACCACGTGTTGTTGGTTATGGCGCACACGTGCTTCGATTCAGAGTCTTTTTGATTTTGTCTCTACGATCTGTGCTGCGTCGATACTGACCTCACACGTAGATGACATTCTGAGAATTGAAACGAATGTCGCTGCGGAGCTTCCATCTGAATAAAATATTTATTCACTACGGAAGGGAGTTTAGTTCTGCCGATTCAGTTACTTCGAGACTTGCGGTATGACTGTTCGCGTTGCTTAAGAACAAGCTGGTAAACAGGATCAGCTCCAGTTATACATCATATAAAAAAGGTCCTCACTTCCGTAATCCACATAGAAAGTTCCGGACTCAGCAACTGCACCCGTACTGTCTTGAACTACTAGGGCAATGGGGGTGTCTGGTAGACTGTGAGCATCAACCAATGGCGTGAAAGGGGGACACTCGCAATAAGAGACGGAAACAGTCCAATCGTACGAATCGCCAGTAAGCCCTGTTGCAAACCACTCATGGCCGGGGATCGGGGTAGTTCCCGCGATAAGATATCTGCGTAGGCTGTGTCATGCAGAGGAAAATGTCATGCGTCAATGCATCAAGGCTTACCCCTATAAGTGATATACGGTATATAAATTCCGTGATGGAAACCTGAAATTTGAGAGTCGAGTACGCACCAAGGAGAAGGGTCCTAATGTAGATTGTCAACAAACTGCAAAGGAAATGCTCTGAGGGTATACTCACCTACGCCTCCTGCCCATGTAATGAGCAATGGCTCGCAATAATAAGCGGCAGACCTGCGTGGGAGGTCAAATAAAAGGGTAGAGACCGGATATCAGGTACACATACGGGGTGTTGATCATGAGCGTTCCCTGGCCAAGAACGGCGGAGACCAGGCCAAGGAAGAGTGCAGATGCAGATAATTTCATCTCGTGCAGAGAAATCGGGGCTCTGTCTGCTTACTGCTCAGACATCCACGCCTAAATATGTTCCGCAACTGGCGATATTTATATTCCACAACAGCGCCAGTTCGGGCTTCCCGGCTGGCAGCACAGCGACGGGGCCCGGTGAGTAGCCGCTACGCACATTCGGGTTAGGTATGTAAATGAAACTGAAGAGCCCGTACCTCAACTGGTCACTTCAACGCCCAGGAAGCAGGAACGGCTGAACCGGAGCTGCAGTTGATCACGAGGGCCCCGGGATCTATGCCTGCAATCATGTATCACATGGCCAACCCGTCGGCGATATTGGCAAGGGCAGAATCTGCCAGATGCTGATATTCTGGAGGCGGGACATCAGCCATTTACCATAATGCGGATAGAGTCAGAATAGCATTCTTGCAGAAGGCTTCAAGTCATGGAGCCGACTTGCCCTTTCGCAAGTCGAGGAACGAGCGGCCAAGGCGAATGGAGGTTGAAGTACATATGTACCATGGTGGTTTAGATTTCGAACCATGTTCGTCTCTTCCCAATCTTCAGCATTAAATAAGGTCCCTGTGACGTTGCAGTGAATTTCAAAACGTTCGTGGTCTGTCAAATAGGGCTACACTCGCCGTCACTCCACCCCACACTCAGACTCCTCAGGCACATTCGTCGACATCACCGCCTCCGACCTTGGACTAGACCCGAGTGAGTCAGTGACCTAATGGCGCTAAGCGCTTATCTTTCAACTAATTTGTCAAACATCGCATGATTACTCGCTAACACATTTATGTAGGTGGGCAGTTGCGGATTTAAGACACCACCAGCTCTCTAGTCAGGTCCTCCTCCTAACGACCACTTATGCCCATCCTCCTTTCTGCTCTCCCATGCATAGGACTTGTTAATTCGACGTCCCAGAGAGCTCTACGATCCATAGCCCACACCGCTTCAGCGGCCAAGGCACTGCCGTTCTCTCTCCACAGGACGAGCCTAGGAAGCGATCATGAAGCCAAGGTGCTGCGCATGGTTATGTTTGGGAAGCCTGGCTCAGGCAAGGGGACTCTATCGTCGAGACTCGTGAAAAAGTACGATGTAATGTCTCTGTCCACCGGCGACCTTCTCCGTCAACATATAGCCGAGAGGTGAGCTATGGTCTTGCGTGTGCCATGCAACAAGTTTTTTGATAGGTGAGACATCCAGGACAGCTGTAGGGCGGCAAGCAGAAAGCATTGTTGCACAAGGCGGTTTGGTCCCTGATGAGATTATGCTCCAGGTGGTCACCATCAAGCTCGACGGACTGCGTAACAGGGTTGGTACTTGACGTGAATCCTCGCAGTGATTTGTGCCCGAGTAACGTTCCTCGTAGCACTGGATACTAGATGGTTTTCCTCGGACTCTCAACCAAGGGAAGCTTCTGGATACCCATTTACAGTGCGTGGCTTCAGTGAGACAGAAGTTGACGTGCAGTTTGACCAGAGCCATTACAGGGCACAAAATACCCCATTGAGCTTGGTGATAAACCTTGACGTCGCTGACGAGGTTATTCTGAGCAGGATATCAGATAGATGGGTGCACCTACCATCTGGGCGTGTATACAATATGTCGTATAATCGTCCGAAAGTTGATGGATTCGATGACGAGACGGGCGAACCTCTCACAAAGAGGCCGGACGATAATCCCGTGAGTGTGCATGGCGATGTACACGGTGAATCACTAACCCGGTTCTGCAGGAAATTTTCGCGCGTCGTCTGAAGCAATTCCATGAGTCGACATCCCCTTTGACTGTCATACTACGCTTCAAAACCCGTGTCCACACGGATGGTTACCTTACAGGGCAAGACCTCCGATGAGATTTGGCCGAAGCTCGAGGCAGTTGTTTCGCTCTTCTTTTCCGAACCTTCGGGAGCGTGCCGCAGCCCGGAGGCAACACAGTCTCGGTGACACATTTATGACGGGGGAGGAAGCTTGGTCAACAAAGGTGTGAACGACTGGTAGAGGGTGAACCTCCGGATTGGTGGCTATGTCCTTCAATAACTTTGTGTTCTGACTATTGTTAGCCACCATTGTTTGATTTGATGCCCGGACCTGTACTTGTACAACATACGTTCCATCAAGCTAATATATAAAGTACAACAATGAGCGTCAACGGACTTGCCCAAGCGAGCAAACCTTGAGCTTGAGGCACAGCCTGTTATGTGGTATGGAGCATTTGGTCTCAGGATCTTATAAGACCCGGGGATCCGGTGCACGCGTTTGTTGAACGTTGACACTGGGGCACGACTCGACCGCAGTGTTATTCTCGAAAGAGCTCATCGACGGGCGGAAACCTTGTGCGTTTATACCCTGACGGAACTAAAAGAAGCGGTCTTTGACCAGGTGGCTCTGCCACAACCACCGAGTGGGCAGTCGCAATTCATCCGCTGGGCCACCCGCCTCTTGTGTCGTTTTGGTATCATTCCACATAGACATGCGTTAGCCGCACCACCTTGAAACACCCTCATTTCGCGAAGGTCGTTCTCGATTTTAAAAACGCTTTACATAAATAACTCGCTCGGCCCCTCTTCACCCTATATTTTGCGACTCCTTTAATTCTATACCTCCCTCCCACACGATGTCTTTCTCCCTCGTCAAGTCTGTTGCGCGACATCACTGCCGCACCTGGGTGCGGTCGGTGAGCAATGTGGTGGGGACTACGCAGACACTGCCAATTTACATGAACCTCCCTGGAGCGGAAGGGACACCAAGAGACGCCAACCCCTCTTTGCGAATGCTGATTTTTGGAAAGCCTTGTGCTGGCAAAGGTACACTCGCTTCGAAACTGACCGACAAATACGACATATATTCTGTTTCTACTGGCGATCTTCTCCGCAAACACATATTGGAAAGGTGGGGGATCTGCAATGCTTATCATAGATAATGCGGTTGTTGATACGTTGATCAGGACCGATATCGGAAAGGAGGCAGAAGAGATAGTCGCAAGCGGTGGCCTCCTACCCGATGAGCTCGTGCTCGATCTCGTCGCGCAGGAACTCGACACACTCAGAAACAAGGCACGTTGTGAACCAACTTGCCACGCGAGTAAAGAGACTCACTTGCCACCGCAGAATTGGATTCTCGATGGCTTCCCTCGAACGCAACGTCAAGGCAGACTTCTAGATAACTACTTGGGGTGAGCAAATCTATAGCAATCCAATTCCCAACACGATACTGAACCAAGAATTCGCAGAAAACGCAATCTCCCAGTCAGCCTCGTCGTAAATGTCGATATCCGGGACGACGTCATTCTGGACTGGATAGCCGATCGATGGGTTCACATCCCTTCCGGCCGCGTTTATAGCACATCATACAACCCTCCCAAAGTTCCAGGATATGATGATGTGACAGGAGAACCCTTAACAAAGCGGCCCGATGACACTCCCGTGCGTAGAAGTGTAATTTCCATTCGAACGTGGACGATGCTCACGTGGGTCTGTGATAACAGGAGATATTTTCTCGACGGTTAGACCACTATTATGCGCAAACGTCGCCACTGCTCTACTACTACGCATCCCGCTCACCCCATGCCACTCGTTTGCTAAACTTGGATGGCGATGTAAACCTGTTGTGGCCCACGCTCGACAGTGTCGTTCGTGAATCCTTCCTTACAGTTCGTGAACGTCCACCGACCCGCGCACGATTGCCGGGACAGATGCAAGTTAGATCGTCGCTTTAGCATTCATCCTAGAATTTGGAGCTGGCTTAGCTTTGACAATGTCGTGCACAAGACCCTGCATCATCATCATTTCTTGGACCGTGCTCGGCATTCTGTATATAGACTATCGACTACACACCACTCGCACTTCTTCCTATGACTTTGCCCTTAATGCATATATTAACGCGACGCTCATGTACAACGGTATGTAAATAGATGCGTTACTTGTAGAGAAGTGTTTATGACTATTCGAATAGGACTTTAGGATTCTCTTCTGCATCTTCGTTCTAAAATGCCTCAGTCGATGTTCATTGGATACTTGCATGGGTAAACTAATTCTGTGGTGGGGCCTGTCGTTATGATCCATCCGTCGTCGATTCATCTCGCCATAGCCCACCACGATGCTTCAGGTATTGGCATGCGCCGATTCACCTCGGTATCAATGAGCTCTTGCTAATGTATTTTTCTCTAGCAGACTGCATGCGGTACGCTTATCCTGGGCGCTCTGCCACGGCTGCCAAAGAGTGACCGGTGACCGTGTGACCATCCAGTTGGCTCCATTGGAATTATTCGCGCGATGCGCGGAGACAATTAACAAAACACGTCCCAGGATCCCGTCCTAGGCTACTTGCTCATCGGCGATCGGCTCGGGAAAGGACTCTGCCTCCATATGAACAGGTACGGTAACCAATCTTCTAGACTTTTTCAGGTCTGGTCATGAGCGACGGAAACCTGACCCTGCCCAGTCCTATGGCGTATCTTGAGCATGCGGATCCGACGACCGCAGCTCTGAGGGGATGGATCGAGGACCTGTTACGTTGCTGCATACGCTTGGCGCAAATCTTGAATCTAAAGGTTTGGTCGCAACTTTGCACGACACAAAACCGTAAGGCCATAGTTGGCGGCGTTCATGTCGAAACCCGTAGCGCACTAGCTTTTTTTTTGCCTAGCTCTGTCGACTTGTCCCAATTTCGCCGACATCCTTGGCGTTTCAGCATTTATCTCTAGAGAGTTCCATCCGATGGTTTCTCATTACTTTATTGTCTCTAGCGGCTTCATTTAGCTGCGCCGACCCGAGCGACTCGCAGCGTCAATGAACTAGTCTGTTACATCTCCGGACCTGCCTGTGCCGCGGACTTGCTCTTCACCGGAAGCCTTAACGCGAAGTACTGTCAACACAGGCGACCATACTCTAGCCGCTCTTTTGCGACACGATGGTGTATGGTTGTTCCTCACTATACGGTCGACAACATCGAAGAAGAAAAAAATCTGCTGAGATACACCCCTTCTGTCTCGCGCCGTCAGAGTGGTCGCGTTCCAGTCCGCGTCATGCTTTGCTGCAAGGCAGTGAAGGCCACCTTCTGGCTGGAACTTGGCATTCTTGCAGCACTATTTCCAACCTCAGGCACAGGGCTAGCAGCTGCCTACGACCTCCGCATCTACCACAATCCTAGGGTTCAAGTATCCGAGAGCAAGACAAAGGCACGGCCTCGAGATGCAGACAGGGGATGCCGAAATCACAAGATACAGTACACTTGCTCGTATTGCATAATGTCGGACCAGCAGAAACTAGCATCTAGTACCGCAAAAAAATTCAGTGAGGGAAAGAAACAGTTGTGCATTATGAGCAAGTGTACTGGTCATGCATTCACCCTTGACGGTGGCCTATCAATGCAAATCATAGAGCATTTCATTTATTTCGTGTAAAAAAACAGCCAAGGGCGCATATCAACTCCAGTACCTACTACTCGTCGACATAAGACGGAAAATGAAAACTCTTGTGGATACAGTCAGGAGAGGAAGGGAGAAAAAGATAGAAAACAGAGAAATGGCTAGGGAAAACACTATTTTTCAACTCTGCACAACACACGGAGGGTGCAAGGAGGAGCATGAATGGAGAAATCAACTAGCGAAACAGTGAAAGCAGAACATTGATATCAATACGCCTCGATGGTGATCTAAGGTATGAACCGCAGTGAAAGAAGAATATAAAAAAGCCAACATGGTGTGGAGTATCGTACCTGTGGAAGCAAGCGAGGAAAGAAGAACGTGAAAATGAGCTAGCAGTCCAGCTGCATGATGGGAGTTTTTTATCGTTCAAGTGATTTCCCAGATCGAAGTTTCCAGGACACGGAACAACGATGTATCCTTCGAGTTCTCAGACCATCCAACGATCTCTCTCCAGTTGTGCGTATTGGCCTCCTTTTCGCCAGCCCCCGCAAACAATCCAATGTCATCATCGGAGATGCCGCGGAAGATGAGGAAGAGGCGAGTGAAGACGCAAGGATCAGCGGTCACAGAGATGTCGATGGCATTGGCGATCTTGGTTGGAGAAAGGAAACGGTAAGCGATATTTCTGTGAGCCGAGAATGCATGAAGATTGTTACTGTAAAGGGGGGTTAGGGCCCAGACGACGTCAAGAGTGAAGGGGGCATACTTGATAAAGTTAGTTCGTGCGTGCAGGGACATTCCAAGTTGATCCAACACATTCATTAGGTGAGTGATGAAATCACGGAAAGGCATCGCGAAACCGTTTCGAGGGGCGATAAACTCGTTGGGGTCTACCATCGCGGGGTCCGGACTAGAGTTACCGAGTCAATTTCGAAAGGAAAGACTAGAAAGCAAAAGAAAACCCCTACAGGGCCTCGTAGTATAATGACGTCACGACCATTTCGCTTTCGAAATGTTCCAATGCGCCACCAGGATGCACTCGTAGGAAGTACTTGTGTTTGTGGTCGCCTACATTCTCGGCGGGGGGCCACGCCATCGAAAGATTCCAGAGTGGGTTTACAGTAAGAATAACATCACAATATTGCTGAGCGGGTGCGAGAAGGACGAGGTGACACTTGGCGGGGGAAGGGCGTGAAGCGCTGGCCAGCTTGCTCATAACTTTTGAGTCGAACATGAACTCGGGGGTGATATCTGGATTATTCATTCGGGTCCCAGTAAAGTCGACGGAATGGTTGTTGTCCGCGTGGACGATCACGAGTTTTCCCCAGAACAAGCCGTCGACCACGGTGCCGTCCTCCATGCGGGCCATGTCTACATCGTCCGCAGAGGCAACTGTTGTTTCCAGAGCAATTTGTTGTCCTGGAACGAGTTCCAGATTAAAAGTGGCCGGCATCTCTGTGACTGGCGGGGGGCTGTGTTGTGGCGCATGAGTAGAGACAGGAAAACACGTGTGACCACACTCACGGAGGTGTGCTGAGGATGACATCTCAGTACGCTCATAAGGCCAAGAGTCAAGCGAGCGCACTCACGGAGGTTCATCCGGCGGTGGCGGAGCGTCGCTGACGATCTCCACCCTTAGGCCCTGTACACCCATTATCGCAATTTGATAGGAATCTTCGCCAGTCAGCTACATGTGTTTCAGAATCACGCGACAGCAACGTGGGATCAGTGTCCGACTCTCGAAGATGGAAATCACAAATTACGCACGTAGATGTATGGCCCTGAAACCAGCCGCTGTGTCGTGACGTCAGGGAGTTGATTATCAGCGGCAAACTGAGATACTTACGGAGGCATGTAGCGATGCGAATTCGGTGGGCACTCGGAGACTGAAGATAGCATCAGGGGGTGGTTTTGCCCAGTCTCGGGCTACGGCCTCCAAGTCCTAAGTGGATATGGGGCAGGTCAGGACGGGAGACAGGACCTGGAGCAGGTTACTGACATTGTAAGTCGGAGGGAGCTAGATAGACACCACGAAGGTTTAGACGCGCTGGGGTGGATGGGCAGAGGGAAACGGCTACTGACAACTCTGACTGTTTCCATATCGTCGTAGGCGAGGGTAAGAAGGCGCTGTCTGGCGAGAGCCATTTGTGACTGCCTGTCGCGGTATTCGCTGTCCTTGTCGCTCTTTTTGCCCTTGAATTTACCCCAGAATGACTGGGAAGGTAAGCTGGCACTTGTTGATCTACGAGGAAACATGAGAAAGTCAGAAGAGCGAAGAGAAAGGCTTGGCAAGCGTATAAAACATACGCAGGCGAGAGGAGCATGGCCGGGAGAGTAAATAATCGGATGGGAGGGAATGAAGAGAGAGGATGACAGATGGCGAGGAGTCATCGGCCTTGAAAAAGGTCAGCCACATAAACACGAGGCAGTCCAACCCTACGACGAGATCAGACGCCCAGGTGCAGGATTTTTTTGGGCTGTAAGACCTGGATCTTAGACTAGGCTTTTCTGGAGCCCTGTATTAGTGATTATCTCCGCAGTATGTGTGAGCCCTTGACCCGTCGTTGTCGTCGTCTGTCGTGGACTAGTCACTACTGGGATGGACTGTCAGATCTGTAATCTCCACGTGGCAACTCACTGACGACACCACCAAGTTGACCTCGGGCGTCGACCTTGAACATGTTGCTGCGCTCGGTTCTGCAGCCAGCGACCCGGCGACTGTCGTTGCAGAGGACGTTTGTCTCCACCGTCTTACTGTCCCGCACATGGGAGAACGAAACCGTCGTAGCCCTTCGCAAGGAGGCCAAACTGCGCGGTCTCTCGACGTGCGTCTTCTCCCTCCCCCTCTCGGATTATTATTCCACCGCTAAGTCTCATCCACAGGAAGGGCAACAAGCCTACTCTCATCGCACGCTTACAAGAATACGAAGAAATCAGAGCAGGCCCCACCTCCACAAAATCCCTCTTCGCCGGGCCGTGACGTTCCCGGGGCATCACGGAAGGTGTCGTCCCGCGCAACACCAGCGTCAGACCCAGCATCCCCACCCCCTCCTCAAGCAGTCCCGTCCTCCGAACAACATAAACCGTCCGTGTCAGCAGAATTCTTCGCTTTCAAAATGCCAGATTCAGCCCGCCCCACCCCTCCATCATCCGCACAAGTCGTGAGTATCTTCTGTTGGTATCTGCATTACCGCTCGTCGAGTGCAGGCCGCCAGTCTGCCGCGTTTCGGCGTCGTGTTACCTCGTTCCTATCATGATTTGACTTCTGACCGAATACGCCCTAGCCCTACCTTCCCGATTTCTGGGATTCAGCCAAACTCAACTCCACGGTCACGGAATCTGAACCTGAACCCCCGAAACTTCACGTCGTCGGTGGCGCAGCAACCCACCACGATGGTGGACCGACTTACCTTCTCGAAAAGCACTCGGAAGCTGACACAGTCCAATCTGTCGCTTGATGTCGCAGATAAGGTTATCGTCATCAAATCAGGTAACCTGCAGGAGGTTTTCGCCGATCCTGGGCATTCCAACCACCATGCGGTTGCGCCCCGTGGCGGATACCACTGTAGTTGAGCCGCCCATCCAGACACGATCGTTGAACCGTGAAGAGGTGACGGGACTGTATGCCTTACTCGGTATCCTTGTTGGGTCGTGGGCTCTCGGGGGGATTCTAAGCCCTCGACCGACGGTGGAGGATGAGTCCGTAGCTGTAGAAGAGCATTAGATTTATTTATAGTCTTTTAGTCATGCAAGAATCTATTCTGCGTGTGAACGAACTTATCACTGCGCCCCCACATGCACCTCGCCACGATGCAGCTACTACCACAGGGGTGTCGGACGGTTTATTCGAGCGTTGCATGTCTCAGCGAGGCGTCAACATCTGGTGGGTCCCAATGACCTCATTTCCAATCTTCGCCCGATAATCTACACCGACACCCAAACACCTCCAAAACCGGGTCCAGAATCTAATGTCAACCACCCATACTCCCTCCAAGAATTCTCAGACGGTACTTCCTTGTCGAACGATTATGCCCTAGAGCTGCAGTTCAGGTTAAAGCGAGAACAGCTCGATGCACTGAATCACAACTATTGGACTGAGGTGTGTTTTGCAATTTGCTTACTAGAGATGGTCGTTAGTCACGGTTTGACACCCGCGCGGGTAGAGCAACAAACGCTTCGAAGCAGCTAAAGCGGCCGTGTTATCGTCTCTTCCGGATTCTACATCCCCCGAAGCTCGCGAACATGCACTGTCGGAGTTGTACGGGATGTGGGTGGTACAGGAAAGGGAGAGGCAGGAAGAGTACTCTAATCAATGGCGCAAGCGCAACTTCGAGAACATCATCCTCGCCGCACGGATCGAGTATGAACGTCTTAAGAGGCGCATATTTGGATGAGCCGAACCCGGTGACGACTATTCTTTACTATCAAATTGCAGATATCCCCCCGCGGCCCGCGTATTATTATCTTTAATGCTCTTCATAGCCTAGATCTTCCAACGCTAGCTCCCTCACCCTGAAGTACACAGTCATCCAGTCTCATCCGCTCGACGTTCGTACTTTCGGCTCTGAAATCCCTAGCCAATTCACCCACCATCTCCGCTGGCATTCCAGGGAACCGAGAGGAGGTTTCGGGCATAAGGGGAACAGGCAGACATTGATTCGGGTCGAGGTCGAAACCTTCAGGCAACATTTCATTTTGTGGAGTAGACCTGATTACAGGCAGGATGGCTTGAAGGGTGTGATATAGCGCAGTCCCACGGAAGCGTGTAGCGAGTTGGGCATCTGTAATGTTGGCCGTCTGGCGGATAACATCCCAACTCGAATGAAGATTCAGCATCGAACACTGTCCGAACTATTATAAACGGAACTCACTCGTCGTGGTTGTATACCCGACACCAGACTCTCTTGAAAGCCGAAATTCTCCTTATGTCGGGCACGTCCTTTCAGGAAATTAGACAGGACCCAGTACCAATAAGACAAGCTGTCACCTCTTCTCTAAGCAGCAACTGTAACGCGGTTGCGTAATCCCCGAGGGTCTCTTCGTTGTCTTTGAGGGTCAGAACATCCACCATATCTTCGACGGACAACATCTTGCGTTGTAATATCCGTCTGACATCGTTTTTGAAAATCTAATGTAAGCTATCCCATCAGGAAGAAAAAATAATATAATAATGAAGTAAAACGGACCGAGAGGAGCCCCTTTTTCTCGCTTTCCCTGAGCCTCGACGCTTTTGTACGCACGATGGCTTCTACCTGTGCATCTTGGTTTTGCTTTTGTTTTCCACGCAAAGAAACTAGTACGCTTTGGAAATCTTTGAAGAGTTTTTCTTGTACTGCAATGAAATCTAAGCCATCATGGAAAGCTTTCCAACCATTGGTCGTCTCAAGTACAACGAGGCGCAAAAATAGGATACAACACATACCTTCCAACAATGATCCATCCACTGCCCCTCCCTCCTGCAAGTGCGCAAGCTGCGCGAGTTTTCCCAGACTCAACATGAACTATCACCCGCCTGAAATCAGTATTCTCGCGATGCGAAACGAAGAATCACACAACGGACGTGTTTCTGGCCGACCTCGGTCGCGCCCTTGGCTACATTGATCAACCGTCGACTAGCATCGCCAAACCTCGATCTTCCCATATCGTTCACCCATGCAATCGCGTTGAACTCGTCCCGCTCGTGCCCATCGACATCCATCGCTCCACTTTCTGGTCCTTGCCTCTTCCTGTCCGCGCCGTCCGCAAACACTTCATCCATGTACGGTCCCCATGTATCCTCCTCTGCAAACAGTACGCGCGCTTCGCCGTGTTCGATACACCACCTCACCACCTCGCGACCAAATGCATGGTTATACCGCTCACGATAGTCCTTGATCAGGGAGGCGTGTGGATTGGCAGACGGTGGATAGGGTGTAGGTCGGAGAAGTAGGGAGGCGAGTGACGGGAAGTCTGTGTAGGTCGTAGCTAGGGCGAGGGCTTGTTGAAGATGGTTGGTAAGGCCTGCGAAGTGGAGGGTCAATCGATATACGAGGGAACCCGAGCCAGATAAGCATACGCAATGTCTCTAAGACCTCAGGTCGGAGTTGCGAGAATCGATCCTCGAGCTCTATCCTGTCCCTCTGGGAACCAGGCTCATCTGCACCCATTGGACTACCATTCTGGTCAGCGCCCGGTAAGGCACAATGTGACAGCAACAGGCTACTAACCTCCCTAGCCAATCCAATCTCTCCTGTATACAAGCAAACAGAAGGGTTGCCAACTCAGGTAGCATATTCACGACATCTTTCGCGCCAGCACTTGAGCTCGACGCGCTATCCGTTGCAGTCTTGGAAGTCGCCTCCACCAACTTGAGGACCGCGTCGATGACCGTAGGCCGACTAGTCCACGGTTTAATCATGGGCAAGTCGACGCCGTATACACCAATATTGTAGGCGCGGTAGGAAAGCGCAGCCTGAAGTGTTGCCTACGGGGCGGTATCATTATCACTGACGGTAAAACCATCAACTAAACTTACCACGACAGCCCCGCCAATCTCTTTCAATGCTCCTATACCACCAGTGCCCATGGATCCCAGCTGGCCGAGGTACTCGACCATGAAAACTAGCAGCCTTCCAAGATCCAGGACGCGGTATTTGAAGAAATCTCGAACGACATCTTGAGTTGAAGTCCTCTCTGGCGTTGCAGGGGAGCCCAAACGGGAGGGCGTAGCAAACGAAGAGGGATGAGCAGCAGTGAACGCGTGGATTGTATCGATGATCAGGGAGTGAGCTGCACCAGAACTATGGACATTGGTATATGTAGCTGGGTGGAATGCAGTGACCATAACATAACCACTCACTCGATATGCTCATTGAGTCTGACCCAAAGCTGGTGACACGCATACAGTTTCTCGGCATCAGTCGCAAGACGCTGTCGACTTCTTTGCGACATCTGGAGGAGAGTTCGTCAACGGTAAGCAGTGCGATAGGACCGACGGCTACCTTTCCCAATGCGCCATTATCATTGATGAACCCAATCAGCCAGCTTAACCGTTCTTTCCTTGCCGTCAGCTGGGCCGTGAGGTCATGGTTAGGTCGAACGATCTCAGGGTCTGGGGTGACACTCAGTAGACCTTTGGTGGAATTACGCAAAACATTACCACTTGCAAGGACACTGGCACTTGTTTCCTCCGCAGCGTGCATGAGCGCATCCCCATCAAGTAATGGAGAAGGTGGTAGGATAAATTGGAGTGGGTTCGATGGGACAGGTGAGTATAAGATGGCTTGCTTGAGAGTTGCCCTGAGCAGCTTCGGGAGAGATCTGAAGGAAACCAGTCAGTTTCTCTTCCGTTCGCTCTGGGGAGCGTGCCAGTCACTCACTCTACCCTGAACCTCTTCACTCTATCTGCGTCCACACGCGCCTTCAACATCAGACCACTCGTCATCAGTAGCATTTGGGCCTCCTCCCGAGTTTCACCACCATCCATATCGATGCTGCTGTCGGCATCTGCGTAGTCAACAGAGAAAACTGAGGGAAGAGATGACAACCCGAGCAGTCTATCGGTAGATGACTTTAGAACGAGTCTCTCATGGTAGGGCGTGTCTGTGAGTATCGACATTGGTGGAAGGTAAGGGTCAGATAAAACTTAACACATACCCCTTGCGCACAATACGACCACTTCGCCAAACAAGACCGCTACAATGGCACCACCTGCTAGTAACGACAAATGAGGGTGGGCGGGAGGGGATGCTGCGTTCTGATAGATGGTTAAGCACCGACCATACACAAAAGAAGGTGCACGTACAGCAACATAGGGAACGACGCTGACCCCATCCACTCTCCAGCCATCCTCATGTGACACAAGACGAACGGTTGCGTATACTCTGCGCAGTCCATAATCGTACTGGTCAAGGACCATGGCGCCCGCGTCCTGCGTGGCGGAGGAAGCATACGACACGAGTAGCACGAGGGTGTTTTCGCTGCGTGTCAGAATGTTAGGATGAGGTAAGTCATCTCCCTGTTGGAAAAGACATACCTCTCGACGACCAAGTCGATACCCTCCAAGTCTTCTATGCCTACGCCACTCGCAATAGCCTCTCTGATGACCTCTCCCACATCCGTCTCTTTAATCAGTTCCTCGCTGCTCAATGCCCATTTTTGTATCCTCATCTCTACGAGTGCGAAAATGACGCTTCCCGATGATACGAGCGTCACAACATTTCCTGGTTCCGGACGTGGTGCGGGTGCTGGCGTAGACCATCCAATACCAAACAGACGTGTGAGAGATAAGGAAGACGATGAAGGTTGTGGCGAAAACAGTCTCGCAGTGAGGGTGTGTTTTCCTGCCTGGGACGTGATCACTAGACGGAATATCCGACCTGTGGACGTCGTTGCCAAGTACCCATAGGCTCCTGCTGGTAGATCTATTCGTGCGAGACGTGATACGTACTCGTCTTCGGCCACATCCAGCGGGATCTGGATGGACTCGAATGTACCCCCGCCTGACAGGCCGGAAGAGATGGAGGGCCAGAACCGTGCGACCCCAGGGGGTGAGACAAGGATAAGGCCCGGTTCGACAGCGCGAGCGCGAGATGGTACTAGTGCGAAGTAGGGTGCCTGGAAGGTGGTAGTGGGGTGGTCTATTGGTGGTGGTGGGCAGGGAAGAATGTAGCACGTTGGACTGGGTGAGGTGGGTTTGAGGGTAGCGTGTGCCCAGACGTAACAAGTGCGAACGGAGGCGACAAGGGTGTATCCCGACGCGCTGTCTATGCCACCCACGTAGGACTCTGTAAGAAAGTCTGTAGTAGTGGCTGGTTAGAACGGTGCTGTCAAGGACCCATCCTCGACAGACGCACCTGCAGATCGAAGGACGTGCCGCACTTCGACGGGCAAGTTGCCATACAAACCGACGACGAGCTCTTCAGTCTTTGCAAAGACGGTATCTTTTTCTCTGAGCGGTCGTTCTCTGTCGTAGTGTCCAACCTCTTGGACGTCCATAGCATTCGTAGGCGTCGTAGCGGCATTGTTGTTGGTACCTCCACTTACGATACGCGTCCCAACGAGTTTTCGTTGTCTGGGTGGTGTCGACGGCTGTCTGGGTGTCCCGTATCTGTGTGTCTTGCGTGGCGGTGGGGAATCGAATGCTGCCATCGTGGTCGTCGTCGTTTGATCAGGGTCTCGCTTATGTAGTTGGTACTTTGACAAGTTGGTGCTACTCAACGACGACAATGCTCGGTATCGAAGAATACGGCAGTGACACCGACAGCGACGACGACTCTCGACAAGTCCCTACCCAACCTCCACCCAAACCATCTCCACCTCAGCCAGCACCGTCTGCAAAGCCAAAGCGACCCAAGAAAATACTAGCCATAAACCTTCCACCTCCACGAAATGACGACGACGACGACGACGAGCCTCCAGCCAAGAAACCACGTATCACAACCAGCAGTGGTCAAGGAGCAGGCAAGTCCTCTTTACTGGGCATGCTTCCGGCACCAAAGCAGGCTCTTCCTGTGAAGGAGAAGAAGGAAGAGCGTGTGCTCGGAGGCGGGGGAGGTCGTGGACTAGTGTTCCGCATAACCAAACCTGCAGAGCAGCAGTCTGCGGACGAAGCTGTTGCTGAGAGCGAGACTGGAGCGACGGACGATACATCGACATTGTTCCTTCCACCGTTTATCAGCAAGGGTAAAGCCAATATCTCCCTGGACAGTGACGGTCCCCAGAAAGTAGCTTCCACCTCGAGACGTCTGCCTGCACCAGCACAGACTTTCTTCTCACTTGGTTCCGCATCTACATCGACCAGAACTACGCCGTCGTCAGCGCCGTCGTTGGCCGCAGTGTCGAGTGCACCGTCGACTTCGATATCGTCAGCCCCTGCTATCCCAACCTTCCGGCCTCCATCTCCAACCTTAGACGACCCCTACCCAGGATACTACCAGCTCCCTTCTGGAGCATATGCCCCCTACGACGCAGACTATTACGCTTCCTACGCACGCAAATGGCAGGCCGAGTACGACAAACAGATTCGTGAACTTGAAAAGTCACAGTACAACCTCCAGACAGAGGATGTGCAGGACGTCGACATGGCCGCAGAGATGGAGAAGGCGCGCCGCGAGATTCAGGTGCGCGAGGAGAGGAAGGCTCTGACAGCTGGCAAGGCCAATAACAATGCAGACGGAGAGCCAGAGATGCCAAAGATGAATGTCAAGGGTGCCAAGTTGGGGTCGGTGGCGAGGTCGAGACACCAGTTGACAACACTCCTCACCGAAGCATATTTGAATCGGGAGGCCTTGGAGGAGAAGATTGCCCAGGCGAGGAGGAACCGGAAAGAAGCCTGGAAATAAATACGGTGCGTGTAGCATTTCATTTCTTCGTCATACTCAATGGATTGTTGGATTTGTAGGTTTCTAGCGAACATGATGAAAGCATACGTCGTCATTTCATTGCACGAGTCACTAGTGGTATGTATAGTATTTACAGAGTGAGAGATATACTATGCTACATGTTCTATGCCAGGGGTGTCAAGTAATCTCGATGTTGACATACCCTAAATGGGCTGAGCGAAGATGTGGGCCTGACACGTCTAACTCCCAGAGGACGCAGAAAACTCTGTCGTGGAGTGAGAAGTGAGTAAGAAGGAAGACAGAAAAGAACACTGACTGGTGACGCTCTTGGTCCCTTCACTGATGGCGTGCTTGGCAAGTTCACCGGGAAGAATGAGGCGCACGGCGGTCTGTATCTCTCTGGATGAGATGGTAGATTTCTTGGTATATGAAGCGAGCTCTACAAGTGCCTGCGATAAGCGACGAAACCAAGCCGATTGATCGAATGTGACGTACTGCTTGCTTCCGTTGCTATTTTCTCGAACAGATCGTTTACAAACGAGTTCAATACAGCCATTGCCTTATTGGAGATACCGGTATCCGGGTGAACTTGTTTGAGAACTACCATCCCCGTTTTCCGTCAGCAATGGCAATGGAGACGGCAAGACGCGAAAACAGACCCTTGTAGAGGTAGGAACTATAGGTTTCCTTTCTCGCTTTCTTCTTCTTCTTTTTCTCTCCATTTTCCCCTTCCGTCGATGCCTTGCGTTGTCCAGACTTTTTCCCGCCAGTGGCAGAGGTGGAAGCGGGTGCCTTGGATGCCTTAGAGGCAGGTGCTTTGGCTGCCTTGGAGGGAGGCACTACACTGGGTTCGGCACTGGTCTAGGCGACGGGGTCATTGAACGTGAACGAGCGCATTTGAGAGTGAACCGATTATACCTTTCCTGCTGCCATCGCCGTCTGCAAATGAATGGAGAAAAGAAGAGAAAGGTGAGAAGCCGGTACGCGACGCGTATTTTATAGGCACGCGGAGTTGACCGTATGTAATCACTTCGGGATGCAACCACAGCAGTCCAGATAGTAAGAAACAAAAGAAAGACACCCAGTCGCTCGCATTCTTTCTTAGAAGTTCCATTATTGCTTGTATCCTTTGCTCGACGTTGTCTGTCTGAGGCTAGTAGTCTGAGCCAGCCAGGTGTGACAGCGTGACGTGACCCGACGCGTCTCATTCAGTCACGGGTGTCCCCCACCGCAAGAAGGCCCCGCCATGAGTGATCTATCTGCCTAGTAAGTCTGACTCTCGCCCATACTACAGCGAAATCAACTCCCCCAGTGAAATAGAACGCGAAGCCAACATCGCGCGAAACCGCGCTTTACTCGAACAACTCGGCATCAAGGACGCATCTGTCCAGCTCGGAATCGCACCAAAGCCGAAGCCAAAAACAAAACCAGTTCAACCCGCCAAGCGGCTCAAACGTGAGCGTGTAGAGGAGACACCTCGTCGTCAAAGTGCCCGTCTCAGAAAAGGGATCATCGACCCAAATGAAACTCCCGCTCAGAGGCGGAAACGAGTGGCCGAGGCCGAGAAGCGACAGAGAGAGGAAGAAGAGGAAAGGAATGCCGCAGAGGAACGGGCTAGACTCGCAAAGCGACCACGGACGCACGAATTGGATCTGGCCGTGTTAACCGAAGCAGAGGAACTTAGCGACACCGAATTAGGTTCACTGAGAGGAATCTTTCAGACTGTCACGAATGTCTCTACTACAAGACGAGTTGGAGATGTACGGGACTGGGTGTTCGAGCGCACTAACCAGGAGGACAGGGAGCTGGAGATATTGAGAAGTAAGCTGGGAAAGATGAAGATCGTGGCGAGGGCAAAAGTGACAGACAACAGGATTTACAGCTCTGCGTGCCACCCCGAACCATCCAAAGATCTCGTTTTCTTTGGAGGTAAGTGTTGGCCTCGAAAGCAATTATTCAGCTCAGACCTGAATGCAACAGACAAACATGGGCAATTGGGGATTTGGGACGCTCGAGCAACTCCTGACGAGGTCACCGATGAAGATGGCAATATTCTTCCACCTGACGACAGAGAAATGGGCAAATGTTGGCGTCTCCAGCAACACTGGCCAGCTTCACCCAAATCCTCTATTTCTTGCATCAAGTTCGATCCTATAGACGCGCATAGCGTGCGTATGACTTTCGAATTATCCCACTTTCTTACGACGAGAGGTACATTGACAGGTGTTCACCACGTCATATGACTGTACCATTCGCAGATTATCCTTCGTCTCATCTGTGTCCCACCAAATTTTTTCTTCCAGCGATACTCTCATCACGTCTATCGACCTTCCACCATCTGGGCACGAAATGTGGATTTCCGACGTGTCAGGGGCACTTACTCACTACGACCTTCGAGAGGGAGAAAAGCATGCCCGACGCTACGAGTTGTCCAATAACAAAATTGGGAGTGTCAGTGTCAACCCAACTAGCCCACATCTCTTAATAACCGCTTCAAACGACCGTTTTGTGAGGTGCAACAAATGAGACTTCCAGCAAGAACAACATTTCTGACCTGACGCATTTAGATTGTGGGACTCGCGGAAACTTCAGACCATCACACTTTGTAAGGATGCTAAGCGACGGCAAAAGACAACTCTGACCCCACCTCCGTTACCAGCCTCAGATATTCATTCTGCAGGTTCATCCGAAGGTCCATTGGAACATGATTACGATCATGAGACTACGCAAACTTTCATGGGATCTACTCAAGGTCGTGGGCTAATGCGTGCGGAATTCCAGCATGGCAAGTCCGCCACCTCCGCATATTGGGATCCCCGGGGACGCAGCATCGTTAGTACGAGTTATGATGACTCCCTCAACCGTCGGTATTACTTGGTTTTCTCTTTGTCAGCTGGCTGACGATGATCCTGTAGTCTGGGAGTTGCATGCGGCAAAGTATGATTCGTTGCCTGTGTTCCCATCATTCAAGCCTTTTAGCCGAGTAAAGCACAATTGCCAGACTGTCAGTGGCATAGTCCACCGCCTATGAGTAGTACTGACGTTGTACAGGGAAAATGGCTTACTCTATTAAGAGCAATGTGGAACCCGAACCCCGATGTTTATCCCCACTTTACGGTGCGTAGTCGTTGAATTGTCAATGAAGGCTGTTGCCCAACGCATTATAGATCGGAAACATGCAGCACTCGCTAGACATATTCTCTTGCAAGGTACTTCTGAACGTGTCTCGTAGCTGCTCACGGATTGACATTATGTTCGCAGGGTGACCTCATAGCCAGACTGTCTGATCGAGAGCGGTAAGTTGCTCGAGTGATTTGTGGATAAGACCTTCTTTTGAACGGTATCCCAGCATTACCGCTGTTCAGGCCGTGACGTGCTCACATCCAACTATCGTTGAGAGATGCACGACGGGAAATGGGAGCGGGCGATGTGTGTTGTGGGCACCACCGGATGTATAGTTTGTATCTACGCGAGTGCTGTAAATTCGAGCAAATCACAGGGGGGAGGCCACAAACACGGACAAATAACGCGCCTCTACCATGCCTCTCGATGACATTTGGGACGCGCCGGTCGTGTCCCCCGCAAAGGCAACATCAACCAAGGATGCATCAAGCCCGGTAAAGAGACCGCGCCAGTCTCTTTTTATCTCTGACTCGGAGAGTGACTACGAACGACCACCGAAACGCGCCACGCAAGCACCAGCCCCAGACCCCGACATCGAAGCGTTGTTCGCCGATATCGACGAGAATGCAGCAGACAAGGCTAATAATGACGAGGAGGAGGATCTCACATATAAGCCGCTGGCTTCTGCGTTGGACATTGCAAAGCTGTCTCGCGAAGCTGAAGCAAGACATGCACGCGAGAGGCGGACGAAAATACCCGCAAGCAGTCCACCTCCACCAGACGTTCCTGCTGGGAAAGGCGCCAAGACTAAAGGGGGTGATGGGAAAGGAAAGGGCGGGGAAGATGAGGAAAAGAAGGAGCGAAGGCGACCATTATATCTAGATGAGGAGAGATTGATTGGACCAAGTGGACTTCCTCAGCTTATCAAAGACTTGAAGGGATTCAAGCCTAAGGGAAAGACTCACGAGGTATGTGGTTCGTGAATATCATATCCTGTTCGCAGCGGTAGTGAAACTGATATGATCCTGCAGCACTCGGATCTCAACCGCCTGTTACAAGTCTACCAGTTCTGGGCGCACAGAATGTACCCAAAGACTCCGTTCAGAGACACAATCAACCGAGTCGAGAAACTGTGTCACTCCAAGCGTATGCAGGTTCGCAATGATCCGTTTCCAGCGTTTCCATATGCTATGCTCAACTTTTCACAGGTCCGCCTTAGCGTGTGGCGCGACGAGAGTAAAGGCTTAGTCAATGGCAGAAAGCTGGAGCCCGAAGATCAAGAGTTGATCGACCTTACCGAGGGCGATTCGAAGGCGGCCAAGCACGATATACAAGAAGATGGGAACGACGAATTGTTGCCCTCACGGGCGCTTTCTTTACCCCCGACATCTTCTGAGCCGGACGATGATGACTTTGACATGGATGCTGTGATCAAGGCAGAGGAGGAACGGCTTGCTGCTTTACGCGCGGCCAACGACGCCACATCAATCTCCACACCCGCGTCACCCAAGCCCTCGCCCAGTAAATACAAAGAACGAGACCACACGGACAACATAGACAAAGAGGCAATGTGGGCCGAGCTCGGCAACCAACCGGTCCTCGATCGTCCGTCAAACAACGCAGCCAAAGCTCCCATAATTAATCTTACCCGTGATGAAGACGAGGATATGTGGGACATCGTCAATGAACTGGACCAGGGGGAACAAATACAGCAGGCGAAGAGTGGATCGAGCTCTATGTGCATGGAAATGCCCTTATCTTCTGTCGTTTCTGCTTCCCCGACGAAAGAAAGCAATAGTGGAAATGCATCACGACCCACGAACGATGAGGGTTGGGAGGAAATGTATTACGACGTCGTCTGATACATGTGCATCTAATACATTACAACGCTGTGGAACATCTTTCAGCATAAGGTCAGGCTGTAGCGACGAGTCAGCCATAAAATCCACTTGCAGTGAGGAAGCAAAAAAAAAAAAATCAGACAGAGATTTGGCAATATAAGGTTGTCTCCACAAAGGTGCAGAACAGGTCTGAAAGGATTCATCCTACAAGAGATAACAAGAATCGAAAACTTACATGGGCCAGTGGGTCGTCGTTCGAACTCAAAGGATCAACTCGGCGGCGGAATTTTTTTATATGGCTTCGGTCACGTGACAACCCTCAAGCTCACGTACAACGCGATTTTCATATCATTAACGCCACGGCAACAAAAATGACAGTATTAGATACCCAGCCAGATCTACAGGCTGGGATAGATTACTGGGCAAAACAACCAGCCAGTCTGGATGGCGTGTTAGGTGTGTTCTTTCACAAGCGATCATCAACCATTGCCGATCTTTAACTGATAATACAGGGGGATTTGGCTCTGGGGTATAAGATGAACTGTATTCCACTATGTCGGCCTTCTTTGACGCAATGTTGTAGCCACTCCCGAGGATAGATGCGCTGGGATCGCGACAGTTCATGCTCGGGATCCTTCCAGAGTTATGTACAGTCCCCTCCACTTTGCGTCCTCCCCGCGTGGAACCAGAGCCCAAACGACGGTACCGCGCCCTTGACGTCGGGGCTGGAATAGGCCGAGTGACCGTCGACGTCCTACTCCGTCTTGTTTCGGACGTATTGCTTCTCGAACCAGTCGAATCGTTTATAAAGGAGGCTCTGGAACAGTGTAAGAATAGCAAGTTGCTCGGAACGTCGCACAACGATAGCGGATACGCAGTTGGGTGGCCAGGCATCGCCGAGGAAAGCAAAAGCGTGACGTTTGTCAAGGCTCCGCTCCAGAACTTCGACCCAGCACGACCGAAGAATAATACCGAGATACTGGGACGCGTTGGATTCACTCCGATAGAGGACGACACAGACTCAGGATTTGACATCATATGGTGTCAGTGGTGCCTCGGTCATTTAAACGACTCAGACCTCGTCAATTTTCTGCGGATGAGCAAAAACGCGTTGAGAGACTCGCGGAGTCTGATCGTCATCAAGGAAAATTTGTGCGCAGAGCGGGGGGGTGGTCCAAGAGCCGTGTTCGACGAAGAGGACTCCAGTTTGACTAGGTATGCGTGCATCTGTGAGTGCTGCAATCCTAGATGCTGATGGACCAGTAGATCAGACTTGGTATTCAAGAGAATATTCAAGGAGGCGGGATTAAAGGTGTTCCGAGAGAAAATCCAACGGGGCTTTCCGCAAGGGTTATACACCGTAAAGACGTGCGTCCAGAAGCTCCTTCCTTTTCCTGTGTTCACGTTGTAGGAATTGACAGATATGCCTTGCGGGCTTCGTGAGATCTTGCTTACGAGTACCTACTAAGTACAGCGAGGGAAATTGACATTTTCAGTTAGTTTGGCACATCGTTTCCTTTACGGAGTGTTTCAGGGGGATCAAAACTCGGAACTGTTCCTCTGCTTCTGCAGGTTACAAGTGTCAATCCGACATGGTAAACCCACCACTGCGGCGCAAGTTTACAACTTGTCAATGCCACCGAACCCATGTTTTCATGACACCTTGCACTCACTTATTCTGGGGATGTATGAACGACGAGAGAGGTGTCCAAAATGGGCCTGTTGAGCGGACCCATCTCAACGCCACAATATCAAGCCCGTATGGAAAGAAGCTTGTTCCTTAATGACAGAGGGGGGGGACAAAAGCGGCTAATTGTGTGCGCTGTCAAGTCCAGGCGTCCTGTCTGCTCCAATTTGCGTTCCTGTGGCTACTGGTGTCTGGGAGGTGGGCGGTTGTCTAGAAGCCCAGGACGAACTTAACCGTACCTGGCCGACGCAAACCAGTTCGTGACAGAGAAAACCGATCAAACCTTCCACACACGAAGACCGCACTGGTGTGTCGATTCGTGTGCGAATATGGGACCACATGTACAAGCTGTACAACAAAAGGGGAAAAAGATACCTTACGAAAAGCTGACACTACCAGTCATGCCTATGACCCTTTCAGCATCCTCACACCATAATTCTGCTGTATTCTCTCCTGTGAAGGCACCGTGGATTGTACACTGACGATCGACGATGATAGGATTGCGGGCACGGTAGCCAAATGTGCGTAACCGCAATTCTGGCTGGTTGAATAGTAGAACCTCGAGTAACATGAGAGCCATGAGAGGACCGTGGACGAGTCGTTCTTTTGGGGTGTGCTGATGAACAAAAACGGAGAATAGGACGGTAAAAGACACTAACCCGGATATCCTTCGTGCTCCTGGGCATAGGTTTTGTCCAGGTGAATATAATGGCCATTGAATGTTAATGCGGAAAAACGGAATAGAGTAGTCAGTGAGGGCTTGTAGGTAAACGAGAAATCAGGCTTCGGCAAGCCTTGCACTGTTGGACGGGTAGTGAGAACACTATTGTACTCTGGACAAGTCATGAAGACACTCGAGGTACCGGACTCTCATACCATTCTTAACCGTACGTTTGCTACCTCCGGAAGCAAGGTACACGTGAGACCTCTCTTCGATGACAGACGGTTCGGTACGACCATTCATAGTAACCTCAATACGTTGGGTCACAACGAGCATCGGATTTGCCTTCAGATCGTCAGTGTCAAACCCTTTCTTCTCGACACGGGCAATTTTGGAGACAGCGCGCGCCGTCTCGCCGACCTTCAGAGCATTACGTAGATCCGAGCTCCATTCCATCGTGCCTCCCGCCCACATACGCCGTGTGAATGGCTCAGGTGGACAGAACTCGGCATCAGTTCCATCGGGACGCAGAACAGCCTCCGGGTTGCGAGGATGGAAGAACGCTAGATGATGTCCGTAGCCCAGTGGGGCTCCCACTTCAGGGGGATGATATGGTCGTCCGCGCGTGCCGTCGCGAGTGGGTAAGGTGATATGCAAGTCAGCGAGATGGGTCTGCGTGAATGTGTCGGTCAGTGTAAGAGACTTGGTGTCAGAGATCCATCTGTCGAGGGTTGTAGTGTTGAGCACGCTTAGTGCACGACAATGACGACGTGCTGGAGGCCGCAATGACCTGGACCAAAAACCAAAGGTGGTCGACGCCATAGTAGGACCTCATATACTCTTTGTATCTGCATAATTGTGAAACGCTCGACGCGGAACCAGCGGTACGTTGCTCACCTGTGTACATATGAGGTTACCACGCTAATTGTCCGGGTAGACAGGGAGGCGACTCGTGCGAAGCTTGAGCAAGGCTTTCGTCGTGTAAGCTCGAGTTTGTTGGTGTGCGTTGGCTACTGCTTTTGCGATGTATGTTGACGAACTTCTGCATTCTGGCTACAAGAAATATAGTAGGTATCAATACCTAATCATTCCGAATCTATGTACTGTCTCTTTTTGCTATCGCAACATTACTTCTTCCTAGATACTACTACATAGGCTTTTATAGGGGTATTCAAAGGTACCTTGGTTCTTGTCCACCCATACTCTATCATCACCTCTAGCTAAAATAGTCTTGAGATCCGATACTGCCTTGTCCTTCTCTTCGGGAGGCAGGATAGCCATGTAACTCTTACTCAGGGCTCGATCCACACAAAGACTTTCCGTCGTGACGAGATGATGTTCCCAAACGTTTTCACGTGGTTCCCCGAAGTTCTGAAGGTACGAGGGCGCAGTGAACGCCTCACGCCATAGACCGAGGCGGAACTGGGGGGTTCCTTGTTCGTGGCGCTCGATTCGCTCACGCAGCTGAGCAACCCAGCCAGCGCGATCTCTGTGCCAGACATAACCACAGGCGTCCTTGGAGAGATAGGAAGTGACTCACCTGTCCTCAAGGTTCCATATGAAAACGACCGACCCATCTTTTTTCAAAATTCGGGAAAACTCGGCGCATGCCTTGTCATAATCGGGACACCAATGAAAAGCCTGGCGATGTAAATAAGGAGCGGCACGGGTATCGGGTTTTTTACAGTAAACTCTGCTGACCTGCGCGATGACTATAAGGTCGGCCCAGCCATCTGGGACTTCCGTGCTCTCGAACGTCCCATCTTCGACAGTTGCATTCTCTGCAGTAACTTTCTCGGACCACACTTCTCTCATGCCCTCGCTGGGCTCTACAGCTCTCAACCTCGCGATGTACGATGTCCAGTCTGGATGAGATATCAAAGCGCGCGTAAAAAGTCCTGATCCTGCCCCGATTCTGATTGTGCATTTACCGCACTTGTTTGAGTAGGATGTAAATAGATGCAGTAGACACACTCCACTATATTCAAGGGCTCTGACTTAGGGTTGATGGACTTGATGAATGTGAGGGATTGAGTTGGATAGGATGGCCGAACGCTATGAATGCAGGAGTTCGCTAAGGTACCCTTCCGATTTCTTGGAAGACAGACATAACTCACCGATCATACAATTCATTCGTACCAGTGCCGAAGCCAGACTGAGCGAGTGCATGAACGTTCGACATGATGCACCTGGGTCAGTGGCAGACCGTCTCTGGATCCAAGGCACTTCCGGTTTCTCCGCATCACCGCATCACCGAGAGCAGAGTCACAACAACTCCGAATTATGTACAACAGCATATTCAAATTTCTTGCAATGTCTTGCACTGCGTCCCCTGAAACTGACCACAGCCTTGCTTTCTCTAGCGTCTCCATCCGCAAACAACGGCAAACCAACTTGACTTGCTAAGTCAAACGCAGCACCCTGTGACCTTGAGGGGGTTCAGAGTTGGTATTTAGCGGGTAAGAGTTAAGACTAGGCCAGCGGTCGGCATAGTACTGGGCGGAAGGAAACAGCGATGTCCACACGAGAGCTCACCCTCACCGATAATGACAGTAGTAATAAAGGGACCTCGACTGTACTGAAGCTTACTGAAGCATCTCTCGACATAACTGCGGGCACCAGCAATACCTCGACCAGGCGGCAGTCGTCCGGCTCTCGCCTTCCCTTCCTAGGGTCCAAGGCAAGCACCACGGTGACCCAAGTCCCTCTGAGGAACGTGGTCGCGGCCACCACCTCCTCGGATGTTATAGAGGTATCGTATCTGGCTCGAAAGTCACCCAGACATGGTCTCTCTTTGATTCGCGTCAAAGGCAGTCTTGGTGACAAGGATAGCCGGCTCGCCAAGCAATGGTGTGAGGCTGCCATGACTGCTGCTTACGGTGGTTTGTGCATATCTCCAAGGGGTTCCATCATCTCTCATCTCAGCTCAGGTAGAAGTCCATCCAAGAAATTGAAAGTTCTCATCAATCCGCGTGGTGGCCGGGTATGCTTCAAATAATTATGATCATCGCTGTCATCACCTTCTGAGTAATTCTGGTAGGGACAAGCATGCTCGATATTCACAGACAAAGTGGAGCCGATACTGAGCGCGGCAGGTTGTATTCTCGATGTGACTTGTATGCGGTTGTCGATTGCGTCCCGCGGCTTCGTTAATTCACTAGTTACAGATACCACACACCCAAACCATGCCATGGAGATTGCTCAGGATTTGAGTCTAGACACCGACACGGTGGTCGTCGTTTCGGGCGACGGGCTGATACACGAAGTCTTGAATGGATTATCTAAACATGGTCAACCAGACAAGGCTTTCTGTGTCCCAATAGCACCCATTCCTGCTGGGTCTGGGAATGGACTGTCATTGAACCTCCTCGGTCTCCAGGATGGATTGGATCCGCGTGCGGCTGCCCTCAACGTCCTGAAAGGTTTGCTAGAACCAACGCGAAAATGACTCCATCTTTAATATTTCTTCCAATCATAGGTCATCCTTTGAAAGTCGATCTGTTTGCATTTACCCAAGGAAATCAGAAACGTCTGTCATTCATGTCACAAACAGTTGGCCTCATGGCCGATATCGATATCGAAACCGAGCATCTGCGATGGATGGGGGATCTCCGGTTCGTCCTCGGATTCCTCCGCAGTGGTAAGCAGGCTTCTATCCTGGACCACGTCAAATTCTAACCTGTATTTTGTAGTCGTCACGTTGCCCACTTGCAAAATGGAGCTCTCTATCAAACTGGCGGAACAGGATAAGATGAAAATGGCTAATGCCGTTCGTGCACGGCGTGCCGGTTTATCTTCTGACATACCCGTTGTGCCCTTGTCACCGCCGTTGGACGATACCCATGACCCTGGATCGCCTGGAGATACCTGGATCAAGTACGATAAACCTTGTCTGTGGGTATATGCCGGCAAGGGACCATACGTCAGTCGGTAGGAGATTTACTCTGCGAAGACTTCCGAAGTATTTGATTCCCTCTCTCAGTTCTCTTATGCAGTTCCCGGTATCACAACCAGATGATGGAGTGATCGACATAGCTATACAAGAAATTGTAGGGACCTTGTTAGTCGCGTTCTTCCCTGCTGATGGCGGCTACTCCAGATATCCCGGAAAGATTTACTCGCCTCTATGGACGGAGCTGACAAGGGACGCTGCTATTGGTATAACACAGTACGTCTTTCAGACTGCACTGCCCCAGCGCACGCTCACGAGAAACCCAGAACCGCTACTTCAAAGCTTCGGCCTACTCTGTAAAACCGCACGCCCAATCGCGCGGGGTGTTGGTGGTCGACGGCGAACTATTCCCGATGCAGGAATTCCATGTGGAGGTCTTACCTTGCCTCGGCACGCTGCTGAGCCCATTCCCATACTATGCGCCAGAGTTCACTTTTGATGAAGAGAGCGGGACCAAGTTGAAACAGGAGTCGTAATTCGTGCTACGAACATTAATCTACAGTAGTATACCGATTCATATGCCCTGCTCTTGCTTGCTATGTACTAGACAGTGAAGGTTGCTGACGTGATCATGTGAACGTGACAAACTGGCAGTGTGACTGTCGCGTGACATAGCGCGGTCTGTTTAATGACACGTGAGTCCCACTTCGTAGCGGACCTTGAATTGGATGGGTTCATAAAGCTGAACGCGGCCATGGGTACGCCCAACTGCACCCTTTCCCTCGTACCACCACCACCACCACCACCACCTTGCTGTGGCAAGCGTTAATAGTACATTTGGTATGTGAAATGGTCTGTCTTTTGTACACCTGAAACAAGCTAATTCGGTCATGATAGTCCAATACCTTGTAGATTGTGTAACCCTTAGCACAAATGCCACCCAAAGTGAGTCAATCCTATGCGAGGTGCCCTATCCAGGGTACTGATATAGCCTTCCAGCCAGCTTCTACTGCCGGAAAGGCCCCCGCTTCAACCGCCTCGAAGGCACCTGCTAAACCCGATGCGGGTGCAAAGGGTGCAAAGAAGACTGCACCTAAGGGTCAATCTGCTGCTGATGGCGAAAAGAAGAAGCGCCGAAAGGTCCGCAAGGAGACATACAGTTCTTACATCTACAAGGGTGCGTTGCTTATGACTGGACACTGGTTAGGATGGATGGTCAACTTGTAGTGTAGTCCTGAAGCAGGTTCACCCTGATACGGGTATCTCGAACAAAGCCATGGCTATCCTAAACTCGTTTGTCAACGATATCTTCGAGCGTATTGCAACAGAGGCATCGAGTGAGATTCATTGTGCTTTTGGTTGATTGTGCTCGCGCGGCTGACCAACTACCATCAGAACTTGCTGCTTACTCAAAGAAGTCGACCATCTCGTCCCGCGAGATACAGACGGCAGTCCGATTGATCCTACCTGGTGAGCTTGCGAAACATGCCATTTCGGAAGGCACCAAATCTGTGACGAGTAAGTACCAGTGCTAATTATTTCCTGCACCAACGTTGATTCGTCTTCAGAATTCTCCGCTGGTGCCAAGTAAAGAGCGTACATATTGGTTGTATTCCTATGCATATTGTAATTTCCTTTCGTATTAGAATATACCTTGTAGTATCCAAGGCAAAGCCTCAGCGACTCACAGTCGCACTACTATCCGATCTCCTTCGGTATTCCCGGCAAATATCGCTCTTAGTGCATTGGACTGAATCTCGTGTGTACACTTGAATTCTAATCCTTTGTATTGGAAACGAGTTGTATGCCTGGTAAGGTTCTTTGGGTTGTGTAATCCATTGCGGCGGTGGAGATTCTTCGGCACGGAGTGGACGATTGCCAACGAGAACGAGTGATTTCACTTCCTGAGTATTGTCAAAACATTACAACAGACCGTATGGACACTAGAGGACACAAGGTATGTGACGCCAGATGGATCTACTTACAGAGTATCTAGCGAGTATGTATGACGAGAGCAAGTCCGTAGTAACCTATTAGTCGCAGTTTTTAACTATGTGACAGCGTCCTAGTATAGTGTCCAGGAAAAAAACGAAAGAACGCGTCAGGTAGTGATAGCAAGGAATGCAAGTCTATACTTGAAATACAAGTCCGGGTAAGGTCAATGAGATCACTTTTATGTTAGATATAGGATTGAAATGGTGTAAGATGTTGGGAAAATGCGAAGCGTGACTATGGGCGAGCTGTAGTTGAGAGAGAGGAAATGAGTGCGACTGCGGTGCCATAAAGGCGTTCAACTACTCACAGAGTTGTTCCTTGCGGTAGAACCAGAAGTATCCCAAGACGATGACCAGTTGACAGATCAGAGCGATCCAGAAGGCTGCAGAAGCCATTGGGCTCCCTACATTTGGTAATTAGTACAAACCGCACAAAGTAGTCCAACCTGAAGTTCGTACCTTTTAGTCCTGAAGAGAAGTCCCAAGTGCCAACATCAGGGAAGACGCTTCCAGGACCGATACTGTTTGGTGCTGTCGCACGGGCAACCATAACACAAACAGCGCCAATGACTTGGGAGAATGCAAGTGTCGCGCACACATGTAGACGTGAAAGTGTCTAACTAGTCATCAGAATATCGTTCTCCCCTCCATTATTGTGCCTCGTACCTGGAGTAGAATCATACCCAGACCAACGCCTTGGACTGCGTCCAACACACCAAGCCATAGCCACAGAGAAAGTCCAAGGTATGGCCCTGCAGATCCCGCCCAAGGTATGTACAATGCCAGCGAAGATGTGCCCCAGAGGATCTGAAGGGGAGGGTGTCAGTAGTAAACAAAATTTTCGAAATACGATATTACCTGGCACCAACGTGGAGCTCCTAGGCCGACGGCAAACACAGGTAACATCCAAGTATGGGTCTTGCTAAAGTGTATTAACACGACGAGCATCAGGGCCCAGACTCCAATGAAGAAGATAATGATAAGTAGTAGTGTCTGCCACGTCGGTATGTTGACGCTCCATAGGAAACTCCAGTTTCGACCATACGGCTAGGTAAACGCTTGAGTCGAGAGCACAAAAAAATTAGGTCAGGCCACCTACTCCGCTGAGCCAGTAATCACGAAGAATTTCAGATACGAGGAACCTAAGAAAGAAATGAGTGTCCTCTTCAGATCGGTCTCAACACTGAAAGCATACCACAAGACCAGCTTCCGGCGGAACAGTGTCTTTAAGAAGTTGGGAACCTTTGGTGGTGTCTGTCGGTAGTAATCTGCGAGTTGGTCAGCATCCACTCAGTAGCAGTCTACACGCTCATAGACTTGCCTGGTAGGCCGTAGAGCATGAGATAAGCGAACAAGAAGGAAAGAATCGCCAGGGGCCAAACTATCAATACGATCCACCATGGTGAAACTTTGCCCGGTTGCGCACTATTCAGCGTGCTACCCCAGTACCACAAGGCAGCCACCCAAATTTGCTGAGATCCCTGGACAATGCATGCGCGCAAAATCCAAACTTGAGCTGCAGCGCCCTAGATAAAGAATCGTTTTGAATAAAGTTCACCCAGAAAACAAATACGTACAGCTTCTTCACCAAAGTTCAGACCGAAGAAAGCGAAAGCAGGCTGCCGAAGCGACAGCATACAACCAGGTTGCAATATCCGCCACAATGGTGTGCGTGCCATTAAGTTTGGAATTCAGAGAGGGAATACCGATGAGGAAGAAAGCCATTCCGTAAAAGAGCCAAGGAGCGGAGAGGACGTAGACCGACGGCTTGAAGCGGAAGAAAGCATACCAAACGGCAGATGACACCAAGAATACAGCGCCGAGCACGTAAAGCTGTAGGTTGTCCGAGTAATTTTGCCCACCGAGCAACGTCATCTGGTAACTGTTGGCAGCCAACATCTACAGGGTGTGAACAAAAGACGTCTCAAAATAGAATGGAACAAGAGATTACCTGGCCAATGGCAATAATAATCGTGTATAAAGGCCAGCCGCCGACTTCTCGAGCCAAAGCAATCTGAATTCTGTTCATGACAACGACCTCGTTCGGAGGAAGAAGTCCGCTTTCGTTGGCGAAGGGGTGCGCACTGGGAGTACCAGGGGCTACAACCAAGGCTGAGCATGATTAGAAAAGCATTATAAGAAAAGCTTACATGTCGGGCGAGAGGGTTCGTCAACCGTTCCAGGCATGCTCCACATGGACTCTCTTTTCGATGATATGTAACTCGCAGCGCTCGAAAGCTTCTCTTTGCGCACCCGATCGAAGAAAAGTTCCTCTGATTTTGTGAGGAACTTCTCGATCGAGAGTTCTCCCTTTGAGTTATCGGCACTAAGCGTTTGCAACTTTTGGGCGAATTCATGAGCGACACCACCGTCGGAATCCGTGAACTAGAAAAGCACGTCAGACAGTGGAACTGGGCTCTGACATAAAGTCGCTCACCGATGCAATGGCCTTGTTCAGGGGGGAATTTGTCTTGTCCTCAACAATGGTACTGATCGACTCCATCGAAGTCCTACGTGAACTTAAGCCAAATGGTTTCTGGGGCGTCTCCAAGAATGGATCAGCAACATGTCGCTGTTCCTTGGCAATTATACGGTTTGCCCTCTCCAAAAAGTCGTCATATCCTTGTTTGCTAGTTGCTACGCTTCCCCGGGAGGCATAATCGTCGTCCGAGTGATCGGAGTGGGACGAACTAGGATCAAGGTTGAACCTAGAAGGTGCAACAAGGTGACTTTCATCTCGAGGAGTGGACACTTGAGAAAGTGGTGACACCGGGAACCTAGGTGATGAAGCTGCGCTCTGAGCATCCCAATCAGGTTGAGCGGGCGTGCCTTGCTGAACAGGATTCCAATCATCCGTATCTTCAAGAGGCCGGGAAACAACCATTCCGCAGTCTGACTCTCGCCAGGCGTTAGGTCCTGCTTGGCGACGGCTAGCTTGGATACTGCGTTTGTGGAAATCTTCCATCTTCTGTCGCCACTCAATAACTGGGAATCGCTGCACCGCCGAACGAGCACGAAGAATAGCACGCTCTTCTTCCGTTGACTTGAGGGCTAACTTAATCGTCTTGGAGAGCTGAGACAACATGTGAGCCGTAGAAGTCGACTCGACCGGGAACCACTGTAGAATGAACAGATGTCATGAGCTCACGGGATAGCATGCATAATTTGCACACATACCCATCCAGGCATCAAACCAAGACCGCCAAGTCGACTACCAACACCAAGAGCGCCTTTCCGACCAAACTCGACAGCTACGAGACCAAACGGTTCATCACGAGACGGAATCAGTGCGAAGTCAGCGCCACTAAATATATAGGGCGGTAGGGCAGTGAATTCTGGCTTGGAATAGACACGATCGGGGTACATTTCCATAAGGCGAGCAAGCTTCTCCGCTGCGAAACGGCCAAACAAGTCGATGACAGGACCGATACAGATGACTTGGATAGAGGGCCGTTTCTCGAGGCTAGAAAAAACTATCAGGAGGGTCGCATAAAACTCGCACGAAAATAACATACAGCGATGGCATGACATCAGCAATGAGATCAACACCCTTCTGCTTAGACCAACGGCCGACGAACACGAAAAGGTCGGCATTGGGGTCCTGCTTGATACCAGCCCATTCCTGCGCTTGTCGCTTCAACTCCGGCCTCTTTGCTTCTGCCTCTTGATCGATTTGAATATCCCGAACTGCAATCGGGTTCTCATCGAGCGCTGCGATATCCGTGGGATCAGGGTTAGGCAACGAATCAACGTGCTTGAGGGTCCACAAGGCGGGGTATCGCGCCCAACTACGTTTTCCATATTTGTCCGACACACCTGCAACACCGATACTCTTTTGGTGCACGCTAATGAACGAAGCAGCTGCGTGCAACAGATTAAACGTGTTTCCAAACTGAACGTATTTGGTGCAGTGCTCCTTGCTGATGTTGAATGCCGAGCAGACTTCCTTCATCTCTTCCTTCGTACGAAGCGGCCACAAACCTTGGAACTCGGCGTTGTGCAGGGACAAGCAAACAGGTATTACCTTAGGGAGAAGGTATATGGGTGCTAGTGCACCGTGGTAGTCGTTGATATGGTAGATATCAATGCCGGGGAATCGACGTATAGTGGTAGCGATGGCCTGGTTCCACGTTGAGTAGAAGATGGCCGAACTGAGGTCGTCCATCCGCGGGGGGTATGGATCGGATTTTGTTTGCGCTCTGAAGACGGGACTGTCCAGAATTACCCAAGTAATGTTGTCCAAAACATGTGTCTCGACCTCGATTAGGTATGGTTCCCCAAAAATGATAACTTCAATGGGTTCTGCAGGGTCGCCTGGAGGGTACTCGACGTCCTTGACCTTGGGTACAACCCAGATCAAGTCTACGTCCGTCATTGCCTTGCCCATAAGTGACGACATGACACCAAGACCACCGATTTTAACTTTGGCTTTCCAGTCAAATATTTCATATTCGAGAGTCGAAATAAGAACCTTGCGCCTTTTATCCTTGTCTTCAGGCCAGCCGATGATCTCGCCGGAAGAATGCCTGTGCCCGAAGAACTTCTCACTGATGGGCATGTGGTTGAGGTCTGCCATCGATCTGCTTCCCAGGCTACCAAGGATAGGGATGTACTTGCTAGCGCCTTTTGATGATTTAACACCATAGCGGTTGTGACGAATACCATAGAAGGACCACATGAAGATAGCAGCGGCGATGATACCCGTAACCAATGGAATCGATGCAAGAAGACCGAACATGATAGCGCCGAGCGACGCTTGGCCGAGAGGCTGCAACGACCACTCCAAGGTCTGGTCATCAATAGTCAAAGACCAGGAGAGCGCTGGCCACGGCGGTGCGGACATGTTAAGGTAGTTGGGAGCAACGGTATTAGGAGGTAAGCGATCCATGACACCGTCACCGTCAACGTCACCGTAGTAATAGTCATCATAGCCAAACACGTTGACTTGCACGTATGTTGGCCACTGAGCCATGATTTCGAGCTGCCACAATCCATTACCGACATGGTTCATCAGAGAGGGAAGGCCCTGGTCGTAGCCCCAGCTGTTATACGGTCCACGAGCAAGGAACTGGGGGACGCGACGTTGTGTGTCGTAGCCGAGGTCAGCGTGCGTGACTACACTAGCACTGGTGATCGCCGCATTCCAGTCTAAGACGACGGTGGTCATAATCAGAAATAAACTTAAGAAAAGATATCGTCTTACATTGTACCATGATATGCTGCCCAGTCCAGAAGTTGGACGAGTTAGTGAAAACGCTGGAAGGGATGGTGGTAACATTCTCCCAATTCGTCCAGTTTGACCATGACCTCCCAAAAGTACCAGAGTATCTGAACATATCCGCACCATACGCCTTATGTGTGAACTTGTACTCTCCGTTGGTGTACTCGAAAGCGGAGTTGTCGTAGTCGGACTCAGGGAAAACTATAATATTGTCCGCTGTGCCCTTTCGCACCAACAAATGATCGACTGCCTACGGACAACATGAGCTTGGAAGTGAAAAAGATAAAACATTGTACGCACCCCAGTCGATGCGGTCCCGTCCTCCGTCGTTGGGTTGTTTACAATGATTTCCAAAATTCCGTCTGGCACGTTGTTCAAAGTCCCTGACCACGACCAGGTCGAGGACGCCACAACACTCAGCGGCGATGTCAAGGGATTCATAACAGTTGCACATGCAACTGAGTTCGTATCCAGCGTAGGCTGTCCACCGATTCCCGACGACGACATATTGAATGTCAGCGAATTTGTAACACTGGTGCATGACATTTCGAGGTTAAACTCGAGGGTGAGATCGATTGTCGTCGCGTTGGGACTATCGGATGTCACTTGGATACGAGCATCATGTCCGGGTAGGAAGCGTGTTATCATTGGAGGGGGGGACACCCACTCAGTGTCAGGAACGAGCACTTTCATGCCATAGGGATCGAGCGTGATGCTGGACATGCATCCGTAATATGGCGCGGTGCCATTCGCATAATAAGATGACCCAGATTCAGCGAGTGTGTAATTTTCATATGGCGCAAGAAGGTTCCTGACAACAGTGCCGGACTCGTAGGGAGTTGAAATCCACAGCGTACTCTTACAGTCGTATGTCCACGTGTAGGAGGTGTTCAAGTTGGAGTACAGGATCCAAACTTGATCAGTGTGCGTTCCAGTCAAGTTCTGTATACCCGAAAGACCCGCGCGAGAGACCGACCAAAGACCCATTTCTGTAGCGGTGCCGTTCGAACCTGGCCGCTGTATGTAATATGTCCAGTTACCACGCTGGACGACGTTCAAACCGTCCTGTAGGGCACCGTAGACGTTGCGGAGGTACAACATGTGCTTGGTAAAGCGCAACATGTCTGCTGTGGGGTCGAAGTGGTCCAGCGAATTCCAGTCATCCTCACACCCCATGAGAGCCGACTCCAAGGGCATGTTGAAATATTGGGCCGACCCAAGCTTGTAGCAACCATGCCGCTGCCAAGCTTTGTTGCTGAACATTGCCTGACGCCTGGAATTCATTGGTCAAAACCTGCTGAACAAAGGGAATACTTAAGCATACCCGTAGAGGTAATTGTTCGCCGTGGAGTCGTAGAGGTAAAAGCTCTGTTCCTCACCAAAATACCACTGAAACAGATTGAGTGATAATGGTAGCCAAACTAGAAACAACAAGGTGCTCACGAGAGGGATACCCGGCATGACCAGATTCGTGATAAAGCTCGCCAAGGCGCCCCTTAGTGTCCCGTTCTCCAAACTAGGCCACCTAAATACGTCGAAGTTGCTTGTCCCATACCAATGCCTCGGGTCAAGAACGCCATTGTTCGCATTTAGAAAATCGTCGTTGACAAACATTTGATTCCATGCAGTGATGAAGTTAGTATCGAGATCGTACGCGACCTGCAAATTACCATCCATTCCGAGGAATCGCGTGAGAGAACGATAGATTGAGTAGTGGAATGCATAGCCGTCCAAGCCATTGTCGCCCTGATTGCGCAAAAAGTACTGATTGTCCGACTCCGTGAGGTTGGCAGCTTGAAGGAAGCCTGGAGGAAGCTGTGTTTGAGTTCGCCCACGACCCCTTTACATTCGTCAATATGGGCAAGCCCGCCTGGTATCGCCGACTTACAAATACAGAGCACCAAATATGTCACCACCCGTCACCTCTCCAGCAATGAGGAAATTTGATTTTCCTAGCTTCGTAGCGCACTCACGAGTGGCAGACGCCCACGCTGCCATACCGTCGACCGTGACCTGAGTAGACTTGTCTACACGAATACCATCGATGTCAAGCGCCTTGATGACCATGCACGAGAAGACGGGTAACTTTGCCATGACGGATGGTTTCCATTCACGCAAACGGTCCTGTACAGATGCAAATTTGGAAAGTTGACGTTGCCAATCAGGGTGGACACCGAAAGCCTCCATGTCACCGTACTGGTCGAATTCCGAATCCATACAGCCATCATTCTCCTCGACGCCTGTCACGATAGTGCTGTCCTCGTTCCAAAACACGGGAAGTTGGCAAGATGTATTACGGGTGTTACTGAACTATAGACCATGGCAACCGATGCGATCAGTTTACAGGGCGGACGGAGATGACCGAGAATAGACACAGACCTGGAAATCTGCATATTCCGTAAAGTTCCACGGCATGTAGTTCGGCATCTTGTATTCGACGTCGTATTCATTGATATAAAAGGGTGCGGAGACATTTAGGTAACTGATGACAGTTTTATCCCGAGAGGGCGCTCCGATTCGCAGGAGCACTTACCCAGAGAAGCCAATGAGGTCGGCCATCGTTCCGACGGTGAAGTCGAGAATGATATACATTCCTCGAGAGTGGACGGTATCTACGAATTCAACCCAGTCAGCGATAGTTCCCCAGTGAGGATCTGAGACAGTGAAGTCGAGGGGTGAATAACCTGGGAGGGCGGCCGTCAAAAAAGAAATGAACTATGAAAAGAAGGAATGCTGCGCACTGTCAGCCTGCCATATCATGTTCAAGAAAATAGTGCCGGAAAGATAGATTGCTTTCATTCCTATTCCCTGAATGTAGTCGAGTCTCGATGTGAGACCTTTGATATCCCCGCCGAAGCGAAGTTGAGTTTCTCTCCAGTCCCACTCGTACATAGTGCCGAAGTAGTCGTTGTTGGAAGGGTCCCCATCGGCAAATTTGTCCATGAGAACGGTGTAGATTGGGACGGCGCGCCAGTTCTGGGGTGAAGGGGTGTAAGTCGTGTTCGTGCGCGTGGAATAGTACTGAGTAGGGTCAGTTGTGTTTTGGTTGACGTTAAAGTTGTACTGGACGAGCTCGGGTTGGTAGGGCGAAGAAAATACGAGTGTCGCAAGCCATAACGATGTGAGGGCGGTCCAAAACCGCATTATCATGAGTAGATCGTCCGCAAGGTAAAAGACAAAAGGCTAATAAGAGAAGTCACACAAGTGAGTACCCGCGAAGCACCCCAGTGAAAGGCCTGCTAGAGATAGGAATGGAGAAGGAAGGCAACAAAAAAAAGGACGTGGGTGGAGCTGACCGGCGGGAGGGAGGAAGAAGCCACGCTGCCAGCCTGCTTGCTTATGGCAATTATAAATTCGTCCGGGCGAGATTGGCCCGATCGAATGGAAGACGGCATGCTGCCATCTGACAAGGCAGACACAGCCCAGGCCGAATGCCCTGGCTTAGCGCTTTAGCCACTGCATCCGACAGGCACACAGTCATCGATCTCATGGACATGTCGACGGAATCACCTTTACATATGTGCATGGTCGACACTCATGTTCAGGGGACGACTCTTCCCCTTCATTTGCTATCATAGGTGTTGTCGCTAGGCTACGTATCATATTACTGAATCACGGCGTATACAACGTGCCAAGTGATGGCCAAGAAAACTTCCGTGTCACAGCTTGCAAGTTGCTCTTTGAACAACACAGGATCGAGTATACTTTCCTAATGAGGATTGTCTATCGCTTAGTCAGAGATAAGTCGAGTCGAGTCTACCAAACGAGAAATAATTATTGTTGACAGAGTGGACTTCCTCAGTTCGAATATCCTGTCAACGGGTTGGCTGTTTCTTTCAAACTGCTGGCATGTTTTCTGATCAGATTGTTAATCAGCGTGTAGACTTGCTCGCCATCGCTGTATCTTCTGTTTCACGTCTGTTGAACAGTCCATTGTTTCATTGCTGCTTCCCTGGTGCACCGGACAGCGGCTCACTAGGTTTGCCTTTGCCACCGATCAAATATCATCAATTCATCCTTTCACTGCAACTGTTAAGTTGCTCTGTCCCTATTTGAACTAGTCACTGATGGCCGCTACCATTTCCACTGCCGGTTCTCAAAACCTTGAACTCACCTCTTCTCAGTTGCCTCCCACCATCACCTCCCCAGATCAGCCGACAGCGTCATCGCGGTCCTTCATTCATCTCGGATCCCCGCGTGCCCAGAACACCTCTTTTCCCGTCACCCCAATGAGCGCGGTTCCTCCGGGCTTGCTAGACCCTCCAACCACGACCTCTTTTGCAGATTATCTTCGCACTTGGACAGACGCCCAAGTTGCCAAGTGGCTCACCGAAATCAAGTGTCCCTCACATATCGACACCTTTAAAGAACATGATATTAGAGGTGATGTCCTGCTCGAACTCGATCCGGAGACACTGAAAGAAATGAACATCACGAGCGTCGGTGACAAACTTAGAATCCTCGGCGCCGTAAAGATTCTACGTCAAAGATGCCAGTCTCCCAACCAGGTCCTGGTCGTACTTGGGTCCACAGGGCGAAAATCGTATGTTCGAATCACCGCGGGATCCACCTAAATTAAATGGCCATTACACGTCCCACTCACGGGAGAATTCCCGTGAAAACACCCATCAAAATAATGCGTCCGTTTCCAGAGCTCCGAAACGCCTTGAAAACAAGCCCGCCCCGCTCGTACTATCGCCCCAGGGAAGAGGCGACCTTCCACGACTCGTTCGTGAGCCTTCCTCCGGTGACTCATGTCGTGCCATCACTGCTGTCCGCCCGCTTCCGCAGCCCGCACAACCTGCTCCAGCGAACAGTCACACCTCAACGAGGCCATCGCTGCCACCTCTCCCCCCCGCTCCACGAGGTCAGCCTCCTCAACCACCTACTATTCAACATACAGGCGCCCGTCCCAGTCCCAATCCCCGCAATTTGCATCCTCTGTCAGTACAGCGATCACGGACACCCAATCAAGACTTGCCTCCTTTCACAAATTCACCACTGCCACCCGCGCCGACCGGCCAGTCACTACTCACTCCGGTTTCCGGCAGTAGCTCGTTGTCATCGTTCGGCCTACCATCTGATCCGCGATCTGGTTTGGGCAGTGCTCTTAAACCGCCTGTTCGAACCCCTTTCTCCTCGCAGTCATCACCGCGCTCCGCGAATAGCGCTACGCACGGACGAAACATTTCATTCGGAGGCATGAGTTCACCATTGGGCTATGCTCCCTTGCAATCTAAGCAAAGGCCATCGACATCGGGCACTCACCCCTACGCATCGGCACAGCCTCCGCCTGTGCAAGCTATCTCTAACCAAAATGCGTTAGCATTGTCACCGATCGCAGAGTCGCACAACAGCGGTTCGTCTTCACCGGGATCGACGTCGCCGCCTGTGGGGTCCTTTCCCGTTGGCCGAAGTCCTCTCAGTCAGCCATCTCACTCGCATACGCCGTCGCTGGATGAGCGCCACAAACTCGTCAAGTTTGTGCTGCCGGAGGAGGGCCGCTCCTGTGTTATCGATGTCGCGGATTGTGCGGGAGGCACCGAGGTCATGGAAAAGGTGCTCAGGAAGCTCGAAAATGTTGGCACACGCAAGAACGACCCCACGAATCTCACAAACCGGGTGGAGACCGAAGATGGTGGGCTAAGTATTGATGGGTGGCGTGTCTATGTCGACTGGGAAGACCAACTGTGATTCAAGTACGCGCCCAGAATTACATCGCATATTCCTCTGCTTATAGGCATTTTAGGTAAACCTTTGTCGGAAGCAGAACTACTAACTGTCTGCCGCGGACCCCCTGACCCGCTCAAGGACCAAGGACTAACGTTACGCAGAACGGCCAAAGCAAGGCGCAACAAATCTGTAGGGCGAGATCCAGACGAGGAACGTGAAACGGAAGCTCAAAAATTCCCAAGTTCGTCTGCCTCCAGTGTTTCACAGACAGGACAACGGGCCAAAGCAATTAAGCGTGCAAGCACCATCAGTGTTCTCAGCGGCCTTGGTGTGCGTGATCCAGAGAAGGTACTCGAGCCCCCTGCCTCTCCAACGCAAAGCCCGACGTCATCTATAACTCCCCAAACAAACTCGATGAAAAAGCCTTCAAAGTTGCGCAACTTCTTCGGCCAGCGGCCGCCGAGCGAACTCATCACGACGCACCTGACCGAATATTTCCCCTTTGCGGAGAAGAAGGCGCTGCGCACTGCACGGCACAGTATGATGCTCCGAGCGTCTGTGGGAGGCAAGCGGGATAGTATGATGTCTGTCAACCATCCTTTGCCGTCCTTGTCTAGTATCGGCACGCAGGGCTCCGGGTTATCGCAGCGTTCGGCATCACCAGCACGTACAACTTCGTCGAAAGGAGCCTCCATGGTCTCGATGGCATCTGGGGTCCATGACAAGGTTTTGAATCGTTCTAAAGAGTCACTCACTGCGGACGAGCACCCCCCTCGTTTATCCATCTCGACAGACGATGGGCGCTCTGTTATTCTTACGGGAGATGACGTTGAGAAGCTTTCTGGGAGTGACTCGAAGCCACACTTGCTGCCCCCTGTAAATTTCCCGACAGAATCCCTTTCTGAATCGATGGAAAACCTGACCGGAAGCCAACATCTATCGGGAGCGAGTCCCGGTACCACCAATCGGATGAGCTACATGACCGAACTGAAGGGCAAACACGATTGGTCCGATACGGCTAGCCTTCTAACTGTTGACGAGATCACAGCAGAAGTCGAAAACCGTCGTCAGAGCATGGCCGTTGACATGGGTGTCGAGGGTGCAGAGGACTGGACCAAGGTCGAATCTGACATCGACGAAGTTAGCAGCTTGACGAGCACTACCCTCGATGATGAAGACGAAGACGAAGTGGAATGCGAAAGCGAAGAGGAAACTGGCAAGGCTGTGACGTGCAGTGGTGGTGAGTGTCATGATTACTTCATGACAATCTTGGCCTTCACTACCCGGACAACCCAGGGACGAAATGGATCAAGGGTGCACTTATTGGGGCAGGATCGTTTGGCAAAGTGTATTTGGGAATGGACGCGGTTAACGGGCTGTTGATGGCCGTGAAGCAGGTCGAACTCCCCACAGGTTCGGCTCCAAACGAAGAGCGCAAGAAGAGCATGCTTAGTGCGCTGGAACGTGAGATTGACCTGCTGAAGGACCTCCAACATCCGAATATCGTGCAATACCTATGTATGAGCTTCCCATATAAGTCAGCTTTGATAGCATTTTCTAACTATTTGGCAGATTCTTCGGTCGACGACGATTACCTCAATATTTTCCTAGAGTACGTCCCTGGTGGGTCCGTTACCGCCCTGTTACGTAGCTATGGCGCCTTCGAGGAACCCTTGGTCAAGAATTTCGTGCGGCAAATTTTGCAAGGTCTCAACTACTTACACGAAAGAGATATCATCCACCGTGATATCAAGGGTGGAAACATTCTGGTCGATAACAAAGGTGGAATCAAAATATCAGACTTTGGTATATCCAAGAAGGTTGATGGCAGTAAGCAGTTTCGTTTGATGTTTGGTTGCTAGTGTCGCTCATTTAGCGTAGATCTATTGACTGGCAAGCGCATGTATCGACCTTCTTTCCAAGGCTCCGTGTTCTGGATGGCACCCGAAGTCGTGCAGCAGAAGGTTCACACCACAGCAGCCGACATCTGGAGTGTCGGCTGTTTAGTCGTGGAAATGCTTACTGGTGAACATCCGTGGGCGCAGCTTACCCAGACACAGGCCATCTTCAAGGTTCGTCCAGCCCCGTTTACGAAACCTTGGCACTACTCTGATGCTTGTTGCAGATTGGTCAGTCGGCAAAGCCTGAAATACCTTGTGACATATCTTCGGAAGCCGAGGATTTCCTAAGGAAAACTTTCGAGATCGATCACCGAGCTCGTCCCAGTGCTGGAGGACTACTTCAACATGCTTGGCTTGGCGCCAAGAAGTCTGCTAATTCCTCCAACAAGAATATCGCCGCCTCAAAAAACGTTCCAACGATAGAAGTCACGACATGATATGACGATATATACCTGACTGCGCATCTGTTTTATTTCACCTGGCCATGATGATTTATTCTCATAACACACTTTTAAGTTGTAACAAGGACTCCCTTGTATAGTATACTAATCATAGATCTACTACTAGTGCACCGTATGCGTATCACTATTCATTATCTTCTCCGTTCCTCTTTCGTTTTATGCCAGACGCTTTGGAACCGGGTCCCCAGTTGGGTAATGGGTTTTGTTGGTAGCGCACTAATTTGACTTTTGATGACTGTGTAACAGATTTTGGGTGTTTGGTGAAGTTCGCTTCCGTTCTGTTGGAAGTCAGTGTCAGTTCCCATCGTTTTGTGCCCAGCGATCTCACCTCGGTTCCTTCGCTAAAAGCCGAGCTGCCGGGGATGTGTTCGAGATCTTGTCCATTTTGACAGGATGCTTCTTCACCCAGCACCTGAACACGTCGTATATGTCTGTACGTGATGCAGTCGTTTTCAGCGAACCAGGACAGGCGTGGGATCGCGAAACATCACTGCCCGCGTGCAGGAGCGCCGAACTGTGAGGGTTGCCAGGGCCTTAGACGCAAGTTATTGTTGTAATCTTTAAATAGAAACTCACGCAACCTCCTCGAGTGATGGAGTGGTGCAGTGGAAGAAACCTGCGACTCTAGCTGGCGTGAAATAGAACGGTGTGTGAAGCTCCTAACCAGTGTTTACCACCGTGAGTGGTATTCCAACTTGCCTTAGCGAACACGCACCTCTTTCGCCACGGTTAGCATGCCCCTCATTCGGGCCGATGTTCCATACTTGTCTAAGTTGCCTTCCACGTGCTCAAGCACCTTTGAGACGAATTCGGGGTTGTGAAGGGGCCCAGCCCACATGGGACCAGACACCTGACAACGTATAAGTATGGATAAGTCCCTTGTCAAGGCAACCGAGCTCACATGTAGAGGGAACCCACAATCAGAGCATTCTGATGGAACTGGTGGCCCAACTTGGGTTTTAAACTGGTAACTCCTAGCACCTGTTTTCTCGTTGACCTTTTCAATCGTCCTTCCTAGTTTTTGCTCAAAAAAGGATTGACACCCAGAACAAATGTAGTACATCGAAGTGTTACTTGCAAAGATTTCAGCCAAGACGGTTATCCAATCAAAGACGTGTGATTTACCTAGCTGCCTTTTTAACTTCGACAGCACCAGAATGGACGCGAACGAATAGGCGGACATAGAAGTCGACAGAGAGGGCCAAGAGTGGCTCGATATAACGACCATACCTACTCGCAGATGTGGAGATGGTGTTAAAGACGAGTCGGAGGGCCTTCATGCAGATCAGTTCCGCTAATAGCTGCAGACAGCAAAGACCCCACCGCCTCGTGACAATACTCAGCTTTCACGGGAACACCACCGTAATTCGAGAAACTGGCAACCGCTCAGAGATGAAATATGAGTCAGGCAGACGAAGTTGGAAGCCAGCCTACCATTTCTCAAAATAATTGGTCGTAGCAAGGACCGCTAAGTCAGTGCAAGTGACACATAGGAGACCTAACCATCCACGTTGACGAAATCGACGAGTTATAACTATCACCTTTTCGTACTGCTTCTCACTTACCACCGTCGGTTACAGCTTGTACAGCAGCGTCAAGGAATGGTGCTGCTGTACCGTAGGGATCCAAATCCACAACATCGACACGCGACTTTTCTGTGCGGTGATTGTACATGAGAGCACTAGATATCTAATGAGCGACTTTTGACTTATCGAGGAGAATAGCACGTAGACCTACCAGGCGTCACCTTCGTTTACGCGGACCTTGCCTTCACCTGTCTCAGGACTTGGACCGAGGCCGTTGAGGTCGACGTTCCTTCTCATGGCTGCTGTTGCGGATTCAGAAAGGTCATTCGCTACCACAAATCTTGAGCAAGGTCAGAGGCAGCTGGGATTACCCATCTTGGCAACTGACCTCACAAGTGGAATCTCCTTCGCATATCGGATGGATCGTAACCCCGTTGCCGAGAGGGCTTCGAGCAGAACGAACTTGTAGGGCCGATACTTCAAAATGTGTCTTCAGTATAATACATATCCCTAGGCCCTGCTACATACCTCTATGTTCCTCGTGAAACCTTCGGGTGTCTGGAGTGTGCTAGACTTTTCCATATCATGGCCCTCGGCCTGGGCAACCGACAGGGAAGACCCACTGGCATTGTCGACTAGACGGAAGGTGTCAGTCAGAGGGCACGGCAGCAGCAACAGCATCTCCACAACAACCCCGAATTCCTTGCACATACCTTTCACCTTCTTAGCCTCCTTCCCTTCCGCTACGTCCGTTGTTGCTCTCTTCGCTCTCCTTTCCTGACCCTGCTTCCACTTTGCCTCCTTCTCCCTATTAATCTCCTCGCTCCATATGCGGATGCACGCGACACTGAGATCCCGGTTGAATTCCTGGACAGGATTTAGGAATGCTTCGTCCTTGGAAGATATCAAGATGTGCGAGTTGTTTTCAGTATGAAGGGTGTGCCCTTCAGGAATCACGATTCCAGGAGTACTTGCACTCGTGCTCCTCGCAATTGGTACCGTTGCTGCTGCCGTGCTCATGGCGTGCACCACTGTTCGCCGGGTGACTAAGGTTACCAACGGTTTCCAGGTCGTCTGACAGCGGTCGAGGCGCAGAGGCCCGTTGAGAATGTGGAGAAGTAGCCTGGACGTCACGGCGAAGGGCTGCAGTGAAACACAACTGGAGCAAATCAATTCCGACTTGGCTTGAAGACAGAGTCTTACGCACTCCTTTCCTCAATTCAGACAGAGCTAGCCGAGCGCAACTGGGGCAAAGATGCTATTGACGAGTAGTATATAATCCAGTCCGGGTGCGAAGCTTGCAACACGATATATGCAACACTAAGGTACAGTCCCTTCAAAATGGGCACTCATCTGTATGCACTCTCATGTCGACTCACAACCTTGCATAGCGATGAGTGTCAGAAACAAAGCAAGGTTCTCTGTGGGCTATTCAACAGACGGCAGCCATATTGTCTCTGGCTCTTCTGACAAGACCATCCAGATCGGGAATGCCAGAACTGGCCGGATGGTGGAAAGTCCATTAGAGGGGCACAGAGACTCAATCAACTCTGTGGGCTATTCACCAGATGGCAGTCATATTGTCTCTAGCTCTTCTGACAAGACCATCAGAATTTGGAATGCCAGGACTGGCCAGACAGATTCAGCCAACTGTATGGCCTATTTAACAGATGGCAAGCATGTTGCCTCCTGCTCAGATGACAAGATCATGGTGAATGCTCGAATTAACTCTCCAAATTGGTGACTTCAAGACAATGGATGGTTCCAAACATCTGGTGATTCTCTTCTTTGCTGGATTCCACTCCTTGGGGTAGACAGAATCTCTATTATCCAAGAAATACCCTGATCATTTCACCTCACCAGACACCCAACATGGGCTTCATACTGGCCTTGATCCTTTCCCTTTCATAACTTCCTAGTAGTGCTTATGTCGATGTGTTTCCCTGTCACCTGCTGAAAATGTCAAAGAGTTTGCAATGTGTCAACCCATACAATTCCTGGACGCCGTCAGGCCAGGTCTGCAAACTCTTTGTCCTCAACGATCATACCAGGACCGTTAAGTCCGATCACGTGCGATTTCCTTTCGGGGGGGGGACTGGTTGCGTTGGGGTTCCTGCATTTTGTTGTACACGTCATGTCAGATAACGTCGTGCAGACGACCATGGACAGTGACGTATGCCGCTTGCGTATTGACGCGGCTGGTGCCAGCGTTGTTGCTGCTATCAGCTACAGAAATTTACTGCTGAGTCTGTACTCTAGAGGATCGTTGTTGGTATGTCGCGCAGACTCAGTGCGCGAGTTTGTGGAACAGTACCCCTTCCTGACGTTGAAGGATATTAAATCTATTGCGGCATTTTACAGAGTGGTTCTGCTTCGTCGTCTGCGCTGTCAGGGGTGTGTCGATGCCCTCTGCGTTCACGAGTGTTCGGCTGCTTGTCCGTCATTGTACGTGTTTCAACAGCTTAAAACCGCTCGGAGAGGGAGATGCCTCCTTCCTGCACATCATCGAAGATTGCTCGTACGTCGTCCTCTAAGCATGAAAACATCCTCTCATAAATGACAACTATATAATCTACCATCCCACATAGAGAACATAAACGCGTGCCCCGTAGATTTTTCCGTTTGATATCGTCCCCCCCACAGTACTAATCTCTTACGCACACTTGGACACGCACTAACCCGATAGACCGTAAATTTGGACTTGCACTCCCTCGATAGAATCACCTGTAGAGTCGCTTGTAAATGTAAAGAACTACATCACGTGCTTTCCCCAAATGCGTTCAGGAGCGCCCAGAGGGCTTTGGTATATACCCTGAATTCAAAAGTGCATGATCTAATCGCATAGGTGTCCTTGCCCTGGGGAATCACGATTCCGGACGTGCTTGTACTCCTAGCAGTAATTGGCACCATTGCTGCTGCCCTGTGACTAAGGTTATCAGCCATCGAGACATAGGCCTGTTGAGGATGGCGGAGCTAGCCTGGACATCACAGCAATGGGTTATGGTAATACCACCGCTAAAAGAAGTCAGTTCCAATTTGGTTTGAAGACGGAGTTCGTGGAACACGAAGTAGGGATGCTATTGATGAATAGCATATATTCCAGTCCGAATGTAGAGGTTTGCGACACATTACATGTAAGTAAGATACAGTCTTTTAGACAACTGTTGCCCCTGATGGAACGATATGGGCGAGGAAAGCTCTCGAAGCAGAGATAAGGCGGCACGGTGAACGAAGGCGAAAGGAAAAGAAAAGAAGAAAAGGTCCTGGGGTTGTGTGAAAGGCGCTTAATATTCGAATTCTTCTGAAACTAATGTTATCAGCCCGCGCATGTCTCCCTGGCGTATGCGTTTGGGATTGATTTGCTTCGCTATAATCTTCCGGACCATCACATCAAGCGAGCTGGGTCCGCAACCTTGCATAATAATGAGTGTCAGAAACGAGTTGAACGAAAGCCAAGCTTACATGCAACTACCACCGAGCCCCCCGATTGCTCAACCTCGTCCGCGATCACTTTATCGAGCTTAGGCTTTCCAGGCCGCGCGTGCTCAGACATGATGTCTACTTCCTTGGCCTCCTGCTCATCAATCTCGAGACCGGGCAAATCCGGTGGTCCGTTCGTCATAATCGGAGGGAGATAAGGTCGTGATCTCTCAGCTTCCGACTTGTCATCCCATTGTGTTCTCGTCCGTGGCGATGGAGGTGGCCCATCCTCTATAACAGGCGGCGGTGCAACCCAAGAAACCGTCGAGTATTCCAGAATATTCGCCAACGAGGAAGGTGGTCGGGAGCGATGTGGGGAGTCACCATATCGTTGAACCGGTGAATTCGACAGGTCACTCTCTGACAGGGCTGAAAGGGGACGCTCAGATAGTGGTGATACAGGGATTAAACGGTCATTTGAATTGGTCGACAACACAGATTGTCTGCTCGTACGAAGTAGCGGCGCGCGGTGGTCGGGTTGTGAGCGAAGATGGTTGTAGATCTGACTTGGCTCCAAGTCCTTTCGCAAGCCTGCCACCTTGCCGAGTCGACGGGTCTGCATACGACGTAGTCTTCCTTCCTTTTTCAATTTCAAGCTAAGGTTCTTCTCGCTAGGTGTGGTCATATCCTCCTCGCCTTCGAAGTTCGTTAACTCAAGGATGTTGGTCTCGTGCGCGAGGTTTAAGTCCTCAGGCACGTCATTCGCGTCGCTGTGCTCGCCGCCATAGTAGCTCAGGTCAACGTCACTCTCGCAACTTTCGTGGCTATCGACAGAAGCCGAGGAGCTGGAGCGCGAATGATTCCTACCATCGCGCGCAAAACTCGGATGTGGAGGCTCCAGCTCGTCAATAGCAGGAGTGGAGACGAAGCGCAGCCGAGAGGGCGAGAGGACAGGGGATAGAGGGGTAGGAAGCTTCGCCAGTACTGGTTTGAAGTTTGTAACGTAGATGTCCACCTGTAGAGACGGGACCATAGACATACAGCGACGCAGGATAGATGCACACCATTGCACATGGGCTGTGAGGAAGTCAGTACGTGATCCCGAAGAAGGGGGAAATGTCCCCACAGTACTCGCGTAAAAGCCATACAAATCGTATACGCCTCATGACGAAACCTTTTTGACCAAAACCTCCAGGGCGACCTCCTAAATGCTGACCGTCTCTCCCGGACAAGCAAAGGCACAAATATTGCAACACCGACAAGCCGAAACTTACGCCCGAACCACCGGTGATGATTATCGCAGTCGAGTAATCTCCCCACCTTGCTCGTACAGAACTGCCAAACGGTCCATCGACAAAAGCCCGCAAAAGCGCACCCCCCGTTGGCAGACTAGTTGACTTCAACGAAGAGACATCTCCTCTCGAGTGATTGGCTATCATTCGGGACACCATATCCCAAAGGTCTTGTGTCCAACCCTTCCGTACACGGATAAGAAATACCATAAGACGGCCTTCATGGTCCTGAGCTTGTTCATCACAGATGGAAGCACAGGTGAAAGGGTGAGAAGTAAAACGAGAGACTGATGGTATGTGAATAAGAAAGTGTTGGCCTGGAGCCCATGGAAGAAATCTGGGAGTGATTAGCCGTAGTCGGATTGTTCGTCCAGGTAAGAGTTCTGCGTGGGCATAACCGGGGGGAGGAACGTATGAAGGGGGCGGCAGAGGATTCCTTGCGGGAGCGAGTTCCTCTATAGCATGCGAAAGGCGTGAACTGGACCTGGGACTTGCACCACTAAGGAGTGGAATGGGACTGCCATGATCATAGTCATAGTAGGGGTCAAGGGGGCTAGATGTCCGCTTGACGTTAGCCTCCACAAAGGGGTGGGGAGGGAGGGAGTCAGATTGCAGCTGTTGCAGGCGGTCCATTTCCCAGGAGTTGTAGTCGGAGGGTGCTGGTGCCGAAGGTGCGTTGTACGCGAACCCGTTGGAGTAGACCCACCAAGTCAGGCGCCATAGGCGTTCGCCTACCCAAATTGCGAATGCAACCCAGCACCAAAATCCAATTGTAGGATGATGTAGTCCAGCTGTTAAAAGAGTCAAAGGGACGAGTAAGATATGCATGAAATAAAAAGATTCGTAAAAATGTCTGCGAATAGGATGCAATGAGAGGAGCACGATTAACGTCAGCAACGCAAACGCCTAGAAGTATGCATGAGCACCTTCAGACGAAATAGAACACCACACTACCTACAGTCCACCCAAAGAGGAAAGGTTGATATGTGAACGCTTGGAGGTATGCCGGGCGCCCAGTGTTGGGATCATGGTCGCGTGCAAGTTGGATACTCCACAGGACCACATGAACTGATGTCATGAACCAAATGAGTCTACCGGACCACCTATGCAACCAGACGAGTTTGTCGAAGAAGAGCTGTATCATAAACGGGATGGCGAACAGCGCGAACGGAGGTGCTTTGAGTGCGAAGATAATGCAGAGAGGAAAGAGGGCGAATGCGATCTGCCCAAACCGGGCAGAGGAGGACCATAGCGACTTGGGGATAGTGTACTGAGGGATGTAGGGATCAAACGTGGACGCATCATAGAGTGAGTGAGGTTGAACGGGAGTATGTGATTGTGATAGATCGCGTTTTGCAAACTGCCAGACCTTGAAGGTAGGTGCGATGTAATCTGGACCAACAAGGGCAAGCGCCAGAGAGACCAGCGTCATACCAAACATAGCGAGTAACTGGGCATTGGACGGTAAAAAAACTGCTTTCCGGTTTGATGGAGATGTCTGTCGCGTGCCGAGTCGGGGTCCTGCATGTTTTTTCCATGACCTACGAGGCAGTGCCCACTTGGACCAATATGCTCCGAGTACGCCTCCTCTTGCCCCGGTCCAATGAAGGATTGCGAAGACAAGGAAGACGAAAACGACGACTATCCAAAGCAGAAATGAATAACGACGGCTGGGAACACTAAGAGAGTGTATGGTAAGATACGCGGTGATCCATTCGAGGTTGTCGGTATAAGGAGGGGTCGTTGGGTTGGCAGGATAAGCTGGCGATGAGGCCGAAGACATGCTGGCGGACCCGTCTCGCCAGATAGAAATATTGAAAAAGACCGTCAGAGAATTCTCGACCGGAGGACCGCAATGCGGAGAGCCATTACAGTGAAATATAAATATAAAGAGCAGACCACGCCAAGGCGGAGGACTCGAGCGGACAACTTGGCCGCAGCAGTTCACATCGTCACATCTATTATCCACATTCTCTTACAAAAGGTTTATCCTCAACAACCATCCAATGATACCAATCTACTAAGACACGACTTGACCGGAGATGACCTGGCACGTCCGTCAGCCAACACACCCATTCTCGTCTCGGTCAACACTCACGTCCTTGCCCGTCTTCTTGATTTTCTCTAGCACAAAGTCATACTCCGCCGTACCGTGCACGGTTACCTGTTGTTTCTCCAAATTAACGTCATACGATTCGACGCCTGTTCAGTACACATTCAGTCACTCGTCATCCTTGGCTGTAATTAACCGGCATGCACCCTGCTCCTTCAACTTGTCCAATGCCCGGGATACCGCACCTGAGCAACCAGAACAGTTCATCTGACGGTCATGTTGTCAGAAATTCTATCCGTTTCGACGAGCGGATATTCTTACCTTGACTTGGTACTGATACGTGTGTTGCTACCGACAAAAGGTTATTGGGAACTGATGGCCACAGACGTCTCGAGAGCCACCCACCGTCATCCTCAATCGATTCGGTTTGTTGGTTACTGGTGTCTAGCAATATGACGATGAGCACGAATCTCACGACTGGGGACTGCGATATATCTGGATCTCTGACAGTGCAGCGATTCTGACAAAGCCCCTCCCGGAGCCAATCAAATCATGCTCGGCGAAACGTATCAATCCCGAAAATTCACGCAGGTTCCACTATAATGTAGTTGCGGCAGAACTGCAACCATAGACTGCAGCACGTATGTAAATGCACATAAGAATCTTACTCCAGTGTTCCGCACTGTAGAGCCTTTCTGGAACTCGCAATAATATGATCAATTCATATGGTCAGGCGTGAAGTCTCGCCATCTTGGGCCATCTCCACTTCGTCGCCTTGCGATACCGCTTGCCACCCATCGCTGACTCTCGATTGTCCAAATAGCCGAGAGATCCAAGAACCAACCAAACCTACGCGTTCGTTTAGTTTAGAGGAAGTTCTCGGCTCGTCAATATGACACGCACTCATCAGGAATGGTAGCTTGGCTTGTTCATCCTGATTCGTGAGGTAGTATACCGGCACGCCGGCAAGTACGAAACCTGAGGGTTGCGTAATTAGACCAACGTGGCAGACCAGAAAACGTTCAACCTACCAAGGACAGCTGCGGCTTCCAGTGGTGCGGCAATAATCGGCATGCACAGCAGAAATAGCGCCACTGCGCAAAAGGTCAGTGGTGTCACTATCCATGTCCTGTACGGTCTGTCGTACACGACATTGATGAGATAACGTCTTGGATAATTTTTTCCGACACTGCACACCTCTCGAGGTTTGGTTCTTTCACCCGCAGTATCACCAGCCCAAGGACCTACGCAAGTGCTATCAACCAATGACAACGAACGCATCCACTATTTCACTCACAGTCAAAAAATAGAACGCCCATGAAGCAAGAACGGAAAAATTTATCAATGAACGGAAACCGCCACCAACGACGATGAACGCGATTGTCAACCCGGCCTGGAGCGAGATAGCATTCACGGGCGTTTTGCGTGATTTATGTAGCTTTCCAAACATCGCAGGAAGGTATCCTTCACGACCTGCCACTGCGACCAGGCGTGCACAGGTAAAGACAGTACCTGACATATAATGAGGTTTAGCGCAAATGTACATCCCTTACCAGAGCATAATACTTCACCATTCAGGGCACCGAAACAAGAGATAGCGACCATGAGTGCGAACACCATACCTCCCATAGGTCCAAATAATGCACGGCCAAAATCCAAAGCGACGGTGTTACTCAGCCCAACTGTCTGCTTGTCCAGGACCACCAGGTACGAAATATTTGCAAGCAGAAAGAGACTCTGCGTGGGTGTTACTATCATTCTAAGTGACTTCTTAAAACACTACAACACTTACAATGACGATAAACATGCTCCAGTGGATGGCCCTTGGAATGTTCCTCTCCGGGTTTTTCATTTCACCACCGACGTAGTTTGCCTGGTCCCACCCATCGAAAGCCCATAACCCGGAGTACAATGCTAGCGAATACTCGGATGGACTTTGGCTAGAGCCGTCAAACAACGGTTCCTTAAAGGACTCTGACACCCGGCCTCGTATCAGCTGTATCAGACCAATTATAGTGATGGACATCTAAAATCCCTTCAAGTTCAGTTCCAAGAACATGGAAGTAGGTTGAGAGAAATGACAACGTACCAATGCGACAATCTACATCGTTCATCAGTCAATAATCGGTAACGGATGAGGCTCGAACATGCCTTGACACTCATGAACACGACGGCAGCACGCGTGCCCATATTCCGTGTCGCCGCGCAGATAAAAGCAACGAGAACGACTGCTACCACCGCAGTGAGTTTGATGGCCCACGGGGGGATTTCATCTGGGGATACCTGGACACGAGTAGTGTGCCATAAAAGTCGGTTAAGATACTCTGCAAAGATGAGACTGATTACTGCGTTCGAGCCTAATGTCAACAGGACGATCACGCAGGTGTTAACTGGGAAGGCAGGAAGGAAGCAAACCTGGCTTAAGGGCGGAAATGGCAGTCCAAGCGAAAAGGTACGAGACGAGTGGCCCATAGGCAGTAGGCAAGATAGGCCTGTGCGCCCCCGTTGAGAGGAATGCTTGAGCTGCACCAAACACGTTTATAATGTGTCAAAATCCCTTGAATGAAAAAGTCACGCACCCAAGCTCTGCGTAGCTGCTCGCGCCGGTCCATGCTAGTAGCCCTGACGCGAGCCATACGGCAAGACTCGCTCCGAACGCTATGGGTATTCGCGACCACCACACCGGGAGAGGAGCTGTGGATATCGCCCCGTTCGCCAGACCGCCAGGGTGATGCCATAGAGAGACTTACAAGATCCCGGACCCGATCTAGCGTTCAAAAGTCAGTTATCACGAAGTGCCGGTCCTTCAGAACATAGTCCCTACCTGGAGTCCTACGACCAGGCCGATACCTACGAATTACTTCCGTCAGCAAGATTTGTGTGTGAGACCGCGAATGGACACCCACCTTGTATCAAACCAATACTCTTCTCGACTGCTTCTCCATGTACATTGTCCGGTTCGCTGAGACTTGCACTGAGCGGTAGCAAATCTCGTTGAAAGTCAAATCCCGAAAGTGAAATCGATCTGCGTCGCTCACTGGGCGGCACTGGCCCGTCTGATAGTTCGAGGTTTCGGAGCGAATCAATGGAGTCATCGGAATGGCGTGTTCCAGCTAGTAGCGATGCTTTGGACGAGCTGGGATGCGTGAAGTCACTTCTGGGCCCGGACATTCGATCAAACTGGTATCGTAGTGCAGCGTATGTCTGGATATGATGCTGGGCGACCCGTGTACAGAACGTTCAAGGCAGTTTGTGTGTGACTTATACGGACACGCGCGTGAGTCGCGACACCAGACATGTACAAAACAGTCCATACGATAGCGCTACAGCATGTTTTTACGAAGCCTTACAACTGAGAAATCAATCTTTGGGTGACTTGGGTGAGAAAAAAACCGTCTTGAGATGGGCTAGTAGGCAATGCTGACGCGCTTGCCCTGCCACGTGTCCCAATCTTTGATGACACCCTCGACGAGGAAGTGTGCGACGTCCTTGACACCATATAACTACCACTCAGATCCCCCTCATTCACCCGATAAGCCTGCTTGTTCCGGGAAGCCTCATCAGCACGGCACTCGCCGTCCGTTAAAAGTGCGGGACGAATGACGACGACGCTCTTCAGTTGGCCACCATCAGGCACGCGCTCTTTCCAGTTAGCACCCAAGATCTCCGGTCCGGGACTGTCACACTCCTCCCAAGGCCAACCAGCACAATGAGCGAGAATCTCCTCTGCCCCGCACTTATCTTTGTGGGGTACTTGTAGGAGATAGCCGTACAAAGGTTTGAGAAGGAGTGGCAAATTCTTATGTGAAGCACGTGTTAAGCCCGTAGAAGAAATGGTGATGATCTTCGGTGTCGGTGTTGGAAGGGTTTCCAAGCAATTTAGTAGCGCTTGGGTGACGAGGTTCGGGGGAGAGATCACGAATCCCTTAGAGAGTGTGAAGCGGCCAGTGCCACCTACATGTGTATGCCGCAGTCCACCTGAGCTAGTCACGGAGCACGATAGCTGCGAAGACTCACCAACTGTAAAGATGAGGAAATCGACCGGTCTGTTGTCGTCACCTTTTGCAGCCTCAGTCCAGGCGCGTTCGACATCCTCCCGTACGTGGGCGTTTCCCTTAAGCAGCCGTGCTTTGCCCGAGTTAACATAGCGTTTAATTGTCGCGTCATCGTTGAAAACTGATGGTGAGCGCAGGAGAAAAGTCACTGTAGCCCCCAAATCTTCACACAAGACTCAGCAAGAATGAAGTGGTCCCGTTATGAAGTCGACTTGCCGAGCAGCCTTAGCGAGGCATAGTACCCAATGTTCCTCGACCCCCCTACAGCGAGCACCTTGATATCGTCCATGACGAAGATGCGAAAAAGTTACGAGTGGAGCGATTCAGGAGGATCTCGACTCCTTTTTGAATGTCTTTGCGCCCCCCCACGAGTCATGACAATATCCCATTACAGTGTCGCCGGCGTGGCAAGGCACACGATACCCTCAGCCGCAGCCTGGATACCTGAAACGCAATGGTATCGGCAGTGCTGTGGGCAGGCTGCGTTGTGACGGAACTGAGCGTGCCGAAACTCAAACAGAATGCAAGGAGCTTAGATTTGTATTACCTCCATATCGGAGTACCTTACATATTGACATATTCTCATCGAGTTGGTTAGGGCGATGCCACAGCCATGGTCCGGAAGGGACAATCAACATTCCCTGAGACTATGTAACTCAACCAGTGCCCCTGCACGACCGCGCGACGCAAGTCATGAGGCATTATGCGGAACCGTAGCGCGGAGAAATGCAACCCACCGAGCCCGTAGTCTTACTCATTACGCTGCCAGATCAGATGATGGAGTAAGCACATTGATGACTCTTCCGTCGTCGGATATGACTCGGAATCGTACTGGTGGATTTTGAGTGCGCGTGAAACTCATAGGGATAATATCTGGCTTACGAGGGGTGAACGGCTCTCCCTTCGCCTTTCGTATGCTTGTGAAGTATAGAGTGCCACTCCCTGGCATTGCATTGGTTATTGGACACTGACAGGGCGAGGAATGAAGCTAACCTCGGTGTCCCTTCACACGGAAGCTCAAGTCCACATGCCCAGCAGGAAGGTTGACCTGCAGCACAGCCGAGGATCGGTTAAAACATTATTCCAGTAAAATATATCCACCCACTCACCGAGCCACTTATCCAGGGATCCCCATTCAGGTACCATGTGGGTTCGGGACGAATAGCATCGCCAAGAACGTCTTTCAGATCATCATGCTCTCGGACTGTTTGAAGGATTTGTTTCACGACGGAACTAGCCAGTTTCTCTTGGTTGGTCACGAACAGAAGGAACGCTGCCCATCCGGCAACACCAAGAGTAGCGAAGGCAAGGACTAATGGCCATCGTTTCTAGCCATAATATTGGTTTCAGCGTTTCGCACCCACTTGAAGTGCGACAACAACCCAACCTTTATTTCTGGGAGGTCTGACTTGGAGGGTGGCCGAGCATAATATAATCTGGGTTTGGACGGTGAAGAGAACGTCTCGACTGGTGGTTGTTGAGCAGGGGGCGGAGGTTTTGGGACAGAGTCTGTAGTCGCGTACAGTCTCTGGGGCGCTGTGAAGATGCGCCGTTGTGCGAGAAGACGCGTTCTCTGTGCGATTGTCGACATTGGCAGGATCGAATTACGAGAACGCAACATTTCATACATGAATGTGGCTGTGTCACTGAGGGTATATCATACATATCGTCACGAGCACGTCTACTACTCCCAAAAAACCCAAGGCAGCGGTGGTATTAACTGCTCAGATCCAGTCGGGGTATCCGCCGGTAGTATTCCATCCTTCTGGGACCTCCCAATCCTCGTTACAAACAAGGTTCCAATCTGTCGTTCTTATGTGCTCTTTCTGCTCTCTCACAAACGCATCCACCGGGCACATGCCATGCTGATTGACTGGGCATCCCTTCAGTACATTGAGAGGAACAACGCCGTCGTTGACTATCACGCGAATTTGCGGTCCAGGTTCGGAGCTGCAGGAGAGTACTGTGTGGAGGTTAGTACTACGTAACTGTCGGTCAACACTAAATTTACTTTGGAACTGAACGTTGGCAGCGAACGGGGCGATCTGGGATGTCTTAAACGAAAGTCCTTCAGGGATATAGTCGTTGGGGAGAGGGCCCGTCTCAGCAAAACTCTTCAAGCCCAAAGCCGTGAGGACTGCAACACCACAGTTGTCTCTCCCACTCCTTCAGCCAAAAGATCAAGACGTACCGTTTATGATAACCACTTCGTGTGTGGCGTCGACATACAAGCTGTGACCAAGGGGAAAAGTAACAGAATTGTGTAGTGTCGCATTTGTCGAGCTGTTGTGAATCTCGATAGGTGTTTGGGTCAGCCTAGAAACGAGTTCTTGGACGTAGCCAATTCCTAGTGCTCTGGAAAGAGGTGACCCAGGGCCCACACCATACCTACAACCTACTTAGTGGATGTCATTCACCAAGGTACGCGACTGACCAAAAATTTATATCGTAACTATCTCTGATTTCAATCTTCGTACATCTATAAATTAAGAATGACGCACGCATAGTCGAACCCTTCCCACTCTTTCTCAGTGAAGAGTTCGCAAAACTTGGAAAAACCAAGAGCCACGGTCTGCACAATGACCCATAAGATACTTGAAACATGTAGGAACAATGCGGCTTCGAACCTCGTAGGCACACGTTTCTTGCATGGTAAATACGTCTTTCGCATTTAGTTCTATACCGGAGATGTGTTTTTGCAGTCGCCTGACAGCCTTCTGGAGATATTTGGCTATCCACTCATTGGAGGGCGAGATACCGCGATAAGCCTTGCTTATGTCCGCGTTATTCTGGCACGAGCGATAAGGTGCGAGAGTATTGTTGAACTACACCTATTGAGTGTCCTACTGGATAATGGCAGGGAAGGGGACTCACACCACTTGCTTCGATGGTGACTACCTGTTGGTATTGATTATCTAATGGGTATCCAAAGAACCCGAGCGCGAAGTTCTGTGCGGATGACAACATCCGGTTCCTGTAACTGTGAGCAAGCTCACCCACGCGCACCAAACGAGTACACACTGAGACTCGGTACGGAACACCGGAAGGATATTGGCAGCCGTAAAGTTCTGAGTGAAATTCAAGGAACGAAATGGTTCCGAGTTTTAGGTGATTCCTCACCTTGAGAAGAAAACCATATCTCATCCGCATAGAGACGCCGAGGTCGACTGATGCAGAGAGATGCAGTTATTTGTTTCAAGAGATATGGCTCAATCACGTACATAACTGAGCTCTTCCAAATGGTGTGAGGCCTGAGAGGATTAGAAGAGAATATTCAGGCGACACGACATTGAAACGTACCTTCCTGACCAAGTTTATATGTCCTACCAACCGGACGAGATTAGACAACTCCAGGAGACCGACCAGAAGACATACCAATCGTTTAAAAAGCGAAGAGGTCCACGAGCGGTCACATTTGCAGAACGGAGGCGTGCAGCAAAGCCGGATGGGCCCCGCATAGACTCTGAGCAGTCTGAATTAAGTAACGTCGGTCATAGCCTCAAGTGGTGGCAACTTACTGACGTCTGCTGGGTATCTTGCTCCATGTCGATGCAAGAGGTGCACTCCAGTAATCTGACACGTCTCCGGAGCTTCTGGACTAGAATCTACACCGAAAGCGCCTTGTTCGACAGAGTACCACGGCGAGAGGGATCCCCAATGTCTGAAAATATCGAACTTGTCCTTCTTCGACTTGCCTTTCCCTTTCGCGAAATGAGGGGGTGGTACAAGGTGGGCTGACCCAGAGTGTAACGGGTAGGCTGGAGCGGTCGCCGCTACGCCGGGCTCAGCACCGGGGTGTGTGGGTCCTGGGTAGCCCACGCTTAACGAACGCGTCAGGGGCGAAACGAATGTCCCATCAGTCAGTTCCACTTACTCGCTAGGAAACGCCGAAGGAAAGACGTTGGTTGGCGATGGTGCAGGGTAATCGTGCCATTCTGGCGTCCCTGGCACTGCAATTAGACTAGTAGATAAATGCAGCCCACTCCATGACGCGTATTGGGCTACGGCTGTCAAAGTGACCACGACGCCAGCGACAAATGCGGCGGTCGTGCGCAGCGCGGTGGGTCGCTGAGCGTTTGGAATGTCCAACTCGAGGCCCACGCCGTCGGGGTACTTGATATCTGAACCCATGGTGGGCAACTTAACCGTAACATCAGCGGAGGACATTCCGGAGCTAACAGACGAGAGCAGCTTACATAAGCAATGCATTTTTCTCAAAATAGCCATCGTGGGTGAACTGATTTGTAGTAGTAATCATTCTGCAAAGACACGCAGTGCCTAGAGCTAAAAGCTACTAACGACCATTGCCGGCAGGAGGAGCACCCCGCCGTAGTCGGCCACCTCTGCGACCATGACCACCATACCCTCCAACGTATGCACCAGGACCCATCAGACCCACACCACCAGGTTCACCGAACGTGGCAACATTTCTCTCTCGTTCCTCTTCCCTCCGATTTCGCGCCCCTCCACCTCGTCGTCCGCGCTGCGGTGGAGGCGCAGACTGCGTAGAAGAAGATAAATTATCAAAAAACGATTTTGTGGGGTTGTACGCTCGCTCCTCCTTCTCTTTCTCCTTCTCTCCGGGAGACTCTTCATTCACGGGTTTATCATCTTCCGGCTGTTTGGCCTTCTTGGGGGCCAAAGCAGCTTTATCAAAACGGGCATTGGCACTCTGGAAGTCGAATTCAGTGTTTGGGACCGTCAGCTCGCCGACCTTGGCATCTTGGCCGTGATGACCTCGTCGACCACCTCTACCGCCCGACACACCGTTAGCAACACGCAAATCACCCAGAGCCCGCTCAACTGTCTCCAACGACGCTGTCGCAGTTTGGACAGAATTGTTTGGACGGCGCACGTTGTTACTCGAGCTTGGACCATCGCTGACGGGCTGGATGTTTTGGCCGTTTTGGACTGGCGATGGCTGAGGAGCTTCTTGGGGAATGTGCGGTGATTGCTGAGGATATGACACAGGGGGTTGTGGTTGCGAAGGTGGCGGTTGGGGTACAGGTGGCTGTTGGTAGGGTGCACCATATGGCGGATAGGGTACCTGGGGAACGCCGGGAGCAGAAGCCTGAAAAACGTGTATTAGAACGAGTGTTGCTGAGCTTATGACAACTAAGAAAGTCAGAAGGAAGGCAATGGAGAGATCCACATAGTTTGAATGCGCTCTCGGACACACGAGTCTGAGACTTATTTTACATCCGTGTTGTTCTCATCCTACATTGCCACGCAGGAGGCGATGATAGGAAAACAAGACTCACACCAAGTACTGCCGGATCATCGTGAACGCTCCGTCGAGGTGGTGCCGGTTCGTCGACAGCAAGGTCTTTCACTTCCGAAGCACGGAAGATGATGTACTGGTATGGCTCTTGAACCGGAGGGATGAATTCAGATTGTGACCTGCAACAAATCATCAATATCCGCTCGACAGGGTGGAATGAAAGTAGTCAGAAGGAAGGCAACGGAAGCATCCACACGAATTATGCGCTCTCGGACGCGTGAGCTAGTGCTCATTTACATCCGTAATGATTTCATCTTTTCTGTCGACCATTCAAAGGGGAAAAACACTCACTTTCGCGATTCTGTCCCCATGGAATAGACTAGGCGATGAAATGAGTGGAGAGAACTTCTGCTAGACAAACGATGGACATACCATTGGAAAGCTGGATGGTCGAATTTGCAGGATCAATACCAGCCAAGATACCCCGGTATCGTACATCAGAGTGCGAGATGAGTGAAATGGGCTTCCTGATTGTTTCCTTATGAAAAAAATGACGACCAAAGGAACGCACACAACACGTACCCTATGAAACTGAGTGCCATGTTCGTTGGAATGAAGTTTGCATCAACAAAGTCTGCAAGCGGCATCAATCCAGCGCCGCAGAGTTATAAACTCCGCTTGAATTTGACTACTACCATTCGAGAAGCAAGCCACACACATGTCTTAGTCCAGTGTACTACAGACGTAAGAGTACAATACAAGCAACGACGTGCCATGCAAGAAACACATTAGCCTATGGTTGTAGGGTGAAGAATCTCAGGAGAAGAAATGAACGAATGCATGCGGCATGTGGCCAGGTGAACTGGTTACGATCGCTCGAGGCGACCAACGACACCCTCCGCCTCTCCTTTGGCTTGACCAAAGTCCGTATCCAACGTGACCTTTTGTCGCGAGTCACCAGATGCAATGACAACACCAGTAAGATGGGGATCAATCGGGTCTGACGATGGCCCAGATCCCGGCGTGGAAGTAGGGGTGGAAGTGGTGGCAGTAGCAGAGTCTCCAGCATTGAAATTCCGGAAAGGGGAGGGAGCAACTAGTGGTCTGTGAAACCGAGCCCGAAACTCGTTAGCATGGGCTTGAGAAGAATCGTTGAATGCGTTGGCAGATGGATCGTTCATATCGACGTTAGGAAACGGGGGCCCAGAAGGCCCAGGCATCGAACCATCAGCTGCCTTCGCAGCAGCTTGCTGTACATAGTGCATGCGTCGCTGGTGTAACGTTAGAGAGAATTAGCAGGTTCCAAGCACCGACATACCTGATGATCCCACTGATCAAAAGCATCTGCAATGATTGGTTCCAAGGAGGCCAATTCCTCGCTTGTCATAGAGAGGGTTCGCAGCAGGTGCTGCTTTAATAGGGGTGCGCATGAAAATGATAGGAGAAGGGTCGATGCGAAGTTTTGTCCACCTGTAAGTGGTTGAGTGAAAGAAGGGTCTGGTGGGTTCAGGGGATGTTGATGAGGGATTTCGTGAGGCATGACCTGCTGGAACTGGTTTTCGCCGTTCACCCGGAATTGGACCTCCTCCATTCCCTGCAGCATCTCACTTGTCATCTCCAAGCCTAGTTCCCTCATTTTCCGCTGCTTGACCAGACTCCGATGCTTCCGTTGCCGTTCCCTAGCGGCGGCCCTAACTCTTTCCTTCTTCGCTACTTCCTCTGGCGTTAATTCCTGACTGGCGAAGGGTTGCGTTGGTGATGGGTCTGGTTGTGGTTGTGGGGGAGGCTGAGGTTCTGCATGCGGGTGTGGATATGACATGGCAGCATTAAGACTATTGACTTGACGATCACGCTCCCGCTTCCGACGCTGCCTCTCGGCTGCTTTCTCCCTCTTTTGACGCTGGGCAGGTGTCTCATTCTCCCGTGAGCGCCTGCGGGATGAGGACACGGTAGTCAAGGTGCTCTGGGACGGATTGTGGTGCACAACAGAATCCATCGCATTCATTTGTTTCCTGCCTTCTTCTCCGGGTTGTGACCGCTGTTACGGCGTCTCCAGCTGAGGCGAGTGACGGGCGGGTCGTGACAGAGGGTGACGAGGATGCGCGTACAAACAATGCCACACACTGATAGCCTGCCCGTGGCGTGAGAGAAATACATATTCTATTTACATATTTATATTTAATTCACCAGCACCTTCCCCTGTCTCCTCAGCATATGCTCTCTGCCAGGCCCAATACCAATCCACTCGATCGGTATGTCTAGGAATGCTTCGATAAACTCTACGTACTTCTGGCAGTTTTCAGGCAACTCCTCAAAGGACGCCGCAGATCGGATACAAGTCTTCCAGCCTGGGAGAGTCTTGTATACCACCTCCACTCCAGAAAGCACATCCAGATCAGCTACAAAACATGTCAGGCATTCAAACATAAAAAAAATTCAGTGAAACGAACCAGGGAAGTGTGAAAGGTCCTTCCCGTCAACAGTATACTTCACTGCCACTTTGATCTCCGACAAGTCGTCCAAGACATCCAGCTTAGTGAGGTTTAGAGAATCATAGCCATTGATCAGGCAGGAATACTTCATGACTACCAAGTCCAGCCAGCCACAACGGCGTCTACGGCCAGTGGTAGTACCGTACTCCCTGCCGACTTCTTGGAAATGCACCCCGACATCCTGGTAACGAATCAACAACATGAATCGACAGGGGGGCTGCTGATGCCTTACGTTGAGCTGCTCGGTGGGGAAGGGGCCACCACCCACACGCGTGGTATACGCTTTGACGACGCCAATGGTATGTCCGATCGCTTTCGGGGGAATCCCGAGGCCCGTGCACACACCTCCGATGTCCGTAGACGAGGACGTGACATAAGGATATGTCCCAAAATCGATATCGAGCATAAGTGCATTGGCACCCTCTACCAATACCTTCTTCTGAGATGCCAAAGCACCATGAATATAGGAAACGCTGTCCACAACGTGCGGCTTTAGCCGTTCCGCCAGACGCTGCAGTGGATTAGGTCTCCAGCACGCCATACGCTATAGGGTGTTTACCTTGTAACGCTCTATCTCAGCTTCGGTGTCATATTCAAAATGGCCATAACGCTTGAAGCGGCCTTCTACGAGTTTGCGGAATTTCCCGGCAAATGTACCGTGATCGAATAGATGGTGGACACGAAGTCCCGAGCGGGATGCTTTACTGGAGTATGCGGGGCCAATTCCTTTCTTGGTAGTGCCAATGCTGCGACAATACGAACGTTCACTCCGAGAGACACTGGTATGAATGATTTACACGTACCTCGAACCTCCGAGTTCGACCTCCTTGAGACCATCGACAATCTGGTGGAAATCGAAGACTAGATGTGCTCTGTCAGAGACAAACACACGGTCGCTACATTTCAGCCCTAGAAACTCAATTTAGCGACTGAAAAATTATGATTACACATGGTGGAGCTACCTTGGCGTTCGAGTGTGTCAAGTTCTTCGAAAAATGAGGGGAGGTGAATAACGACTCCATTGCCTACGAGACCGACGCATCCGGCGTTCACGATACCTGTACAAAGATGGGGTTCGAGTTAGGGGAATTCAATCACGACGATCTTCAACAGTACCGCTCGGGAGCAGATGGAAGGCGAATGTAGTTGGGACGTTCTGTGGCCCGATAGGAGCCACGATGGTGTGACCAGCGTTGTTACCTCCTGCACATCTTGCACAGATGTCGAAGTCTGCAGAGAGAATGTCGACGAGTTTTCCTTTGCCTTCGTCTCCCCACTGGGAGCCGAGCACAACAGTGACTGCATGTCATGTCATCGGGTATGAACCACTGAGTGGTCAGCGAGAGACACATACCACCCATCTCCGGCGCTTTCCCCGATGGCGTTCGCTGAACTTGGGCTCCTCGAACCAATGGTGGGAATGCTTGCAAGGATGAAAAACCAATCTTTGAAGGATGCGGAACACCCCAGCTAGATAAGGCAACTCCATTTGGCAGCCATAGTAACACCGACTTGGACCGACGACACTTGTCTTGATGCCAGCATTCCAGTCGAACCCGGTCAGCCCGTCGAAACTAGCGCGGACGATCAAGAAATACCCGTTGCTCTTCGGAGCGCCGTTTTGTCTCATCATCGTTGGTGCTTCCTTTGGCATGCAAGCATTCACCCAAACTAGGTACGACCTACAAGATCGGAAGACCAAACAGGTACTCCCCCATGCATCGCGTCTTCTATCTTCTTGATGTGCTCTGAAGATTTCCGATGAACAAGCGCTCGGTCTCGGCAAGGCCAAGAAGAAGCTCGACATTCGGGAGGAATACTTTGTAAGTACTGCTCTGGCACAGCGTTGAATGTTGGCTCATTTCGTTACCAGAGACTCAGTGCTGTAAGCAACGACGACTGGGAGCAAAAGAGAATTGCTCGGCCGCCAGGGCTACCGGAGTGGGGTGTACCACCAACCGAGCCCCCTGTACCGAAGAACGCCAAACCATAAGAGTCGCGTTTTCTCGAGGTGTTCACGCGGCCAGCAAGCTGTGACTGCTCAAAAATGCCGACTTACGCTGTCCGGTCGCACTGCTAACGGATGTCCGGTGGATTGCACGACGAAGTATATGCTCAACCGGCATATGTGGCCTCGAGTTGAGGTCGAAGCTCTGATGGTCCACTTGTGTGCTTATAGTTATTGTCATCGTGGACGTCGTTCCCCGAGCTACTAGTAGTACTAGCTTAATGCATCATCTTAATACTTGAACTGTTGGAACCTTGTCTAGTTGTTGACCGGTGTGTGTTGACACCAGAGGAGTTAGGTGACATGATGCATGGAACCCCACATGGTCGAATATATTGAACCATTTTATTCTTCGCGCCGGGAGCTGTCGACTCTCCCACTGCCTTCGCCTCTCCCCCGAACAAGATGGCTATCTACAAGTGGCCAGCCGCTGATGGTTGTCCGCGTCGGTGGTCTCGCATTTACTTCCTCGTCTTGTGCGCTGCTCTGTACTACTACTATTCCGGAAGCGCCGCGTTCCAACTAGCCAATTACCGTCCGTTGGACCCAGAAACATTAGCCAAACGAGAGCGTATTATTGCTCAGTGCAGATACACCAGAACCCCCGCCGGACCTCTTCGCGACTTCCACAGCCGGGACCATTCAGATCGTTACGTCCCGGATACGAAGCCGACCCTCATAAAGAACGCTCGGATATGGACCGGTGGTCAGAATGGAACGGAAATCGTCCAGGGCGACTTACTCTTGCAGAAGGGCTTGATCAGAGCGGTCGGGAACTTCCCTCTGCACTTCTTGGAGAACTTTCAGCTCGAGGTGGTAGATGCACATGGGGCGTGGGTCACACCCGGTCTTGTCGATCTTCATTCACACCTCGGAGTTGGTTCTGCGCCAGACCTCACAGGTAATTAGTCACCGTAGATACAACCTGTGTGGGGAGACCTTACTCAAATATCAGGTGCTGATGACACGAACTCTTACAAGGCCCCGATTCTTCCTTGGTTACGAAGCCTCGATGCCCTCAACACGCACGATGAAGGTTACGAGTTGGCGCGTTCTGGTGGGGTGACCACCGCCCAGATTCTCCCTGGGAGTGCTAATGATATTGGTACGTTCGATACCGATAGTGTATTCTTCATATTGAGTATTGCTACGTAGGTGGTCAAGGATTCGTGATCAAATTACGACAAGTCAAAGAGCGTTCCCCCACCGCCATGCTTGTAGAACCGCCTTTCACACTTAACGGCAGTCATTTTGATCACGATCTACCACCCCGTTGGAGACACATGAAGTAGGCTCATCTCTTCGATTTCTTTAAAAAATGTTGACAAGCTTGTTTTGCAAGGCACGCGTGCGGTAAGTCAAGGTAGCTGAAGGAAAACTGTCATGAAAAGCCTTATTCAGCCTCCAGGAGAGAACCCCTCCAGCGCGTACTCCATGACTCGCATGGACAGCGGGTGGGAGTTCCGGTTAGCATACGAATCCGCGCGCAAGCTTCGTGACGCACAGGACAAATTTTGCTCCAAGGTGGAGGCTGGTTTATGGTCCGGCCTCGGAGATTTCCCAGAGGATCTTCAGTGGGAAGCTTTAGTGGATGTCCTCCGAGGGAAGGTCAAACTTTCCGTGCACTGCTATGAGGCGTGTATCAATTAACTGGCGGGATTGAAGCTGGCAGCTAACGCAGACCATAGGCCGTGGATTTAGACATGATAGTACGGGTCAGTCACTTGCGCTTCCGATCGGTCTGCAGCGCGTGCTAAGGCGTTGCAGCTCACGAATGAATTCCATTTTCCCGTAGCATCGTTCCACCACGCAGGAGAAACTTATCTCGTCCCAGATCTTTTAAAAAAGACGTGGGTAAGTAATCAACGTTCCCCGTAGAGATCTTGCACTGGAAGTTCTAAACAGGGTGGTGCACCGTCTATAGCCTTGTTTGCGGCCAACTTCAGGTAGGGCCTCTCGTTTCCGTGTTTTCTACACCGTTCAGAGTTTTCTTCTTTAGAAAGAAGAGAGAAGCGTACCGGGGATCAGAGTTTGCACCCCGTATTCTGACATCCCACGGTCTTTCTGTCGTCATGAAGGTGAGCTCGGCATCATCACTTTCCGCCCTTGCATCCAATGATGCTCTGCCTAGTCGGATCATCCGGTCGTGAATAGCCGTTACTTACTCCACGAAGCTGCTCTGGCACATTATTACGGACTTCCAGAAAATGTTGCACTCTTATCCGTAACAGTCAATCCCGCGAACGCCATGGGCCTTGGCCACCGGCTTGGCCGTATTCAGGAAGGTGAGCTTTGGTCTGTCCCACTTTGAAATGCACCCTAAAGGGATTCTTCCGTAAGGTTACGATGCCGGTAAGTTTCGAACTCCCTGAGAAGAGGTGCTGCGATATATATTGCAATCCAGATGTTGTCATATGGGACTCTCATCCGCTCAGTCTGGGTGCCACTCCTCTGCAAGTCTTTATCGATGGAATTCGACAGTTCCAGACACCCCACGTATCAGTCAAACCACCATTCGCGCAACGCTGTCCCGATACGCCCAAGTTCGATAAGGAAGCCGCGGAAGCGTTCGAGTATGAGGGACTTCCACCCCTCACACCGAAGTCTGCGCAACGCGCCGTCTTTGTTGATGTCGGAGGTGTTTATACCAGGTCCGATGGCGAACTCGCCATCCACCAGAACCCTGAAGTTGTTGTGGCGCATAGCGGGAAGATCGTTTGCGCTGGCACACGCATGACTTGTTCCGAATTTTTGAATGATGAAATAGTAATCATTGACCTGGAAGGTGGTGTAATAGTACCCGGGTATACATCATACGGCTCGCCTTTAGGTCTCACCGAGATTCGTTTGGAACCGTCCACAAACGATGGACGTGTGTACAATCCACTAGCCCGCGATCCCCCTGCTATTATCGGAGATACCCTCATCCGCGCTATCGATGGTCTACAATTTGAAGGTCGTAACATGCTGTGAGCACGAAGAGCGTATGCTTCGCCGTGGTTACTGATATGGAACATCGTAGTCTGGCCTATCGTGGAGGTGTGACCGCCAGCGTCGTTGCACCCTCTGGAGATTTCGTTCAGGGTGTATCGACCGCATTCTCTCTCGGAGCGCACCACCTCCTTGAGAATGCCACCATAAAAAGCGACGTTGCACTACACGTTACAATTACCATGAATGGTGCCCAGAGTGTGAGTACCCAGATTGCAGCGCTGCGCCACCTTTTGTTTGGTACAGGTGGAGATGAGATGCTCGAAAGAGTGCGGAATGTAGGTATTCTTCACCTAGTTTGTGCCGCTGGTCTTCCTGATTACATTACTCCACAGAGCCGATCAACACTCGTAGTGGACGTTAACAACGCGGATATTATGGCCACACTTCTTCGTCTTAAAGCAGAATACGAGAATCGTACGTCGAAGACTCTCAGACTGACTTTTGCTGGTGCATCAGAATCTCATCTCCTGGCCAATGAAATTGCCTCCGCTGGAGTGAGCGTGATTGTCACTCAGCCCAAGCCGTTTCCCGATACCTGGGACGAACGTAGGATGTACGTCTCCTCATTCTCGGGAAGTTGCAACACGCTCAAATGCCCGTTAACATAGCTTACCCGGGCCGCCGTTGACGGCTGATTCCCTGGTATCCGTGTTGTTGGCTGCAGGTGTCAATGTTGGCGTCGGCCTGACTAACGAATTTGAGGCGCGGCACTTACGTTTCGAAGCCTCGCGGGTACGTCTTTTACCTCAGCAATTGCGTCTTGAAATCGGGCTCATGAATATGTGTTAGGTTGTCCTTTCGGCGAATGGAAGTATCGACCTTGCTACCGCACTCAAACTAGTTACTACGAATCTTGAAAAAGCTTTGGGAATCCATGACACGATGCCGCAGGACCTGGTCGCATATCCTGGAGGACACGTGTTTGACTTCGAGGGGAAAGCTGTTGCTGTGATTTCGGAACAATTGGGTAGGATAGATCTTTTTGTGTGATACCTTTGTACTATACGTAGCAGGATGATGCCTGTGGTATACTATAATGCACCAACAATTGGTTCAGTGGGAGAAATATTAGGACAAGACTGCAGTTGCAACTCCTTCAGGAGCGTCATAGACTGAGATAGATCAAACTGGGAAGTTAGCCTACACATACGAGTCTTTCCGATCGCACTATAAATACCCATCAAAGTAGTATGCATGAGGTATACAGTAGCTGAAAGGGTAGAATTCCAAATGTATATGAATGAACGCCAAGCATGTAGGAAAATAACTACGCTACAGGGTTTCCCCCCTGCCACCTATGGGGATCCCTCTCGAAAAACCACCAAGCTGTGAACCGGTCGAACTGTGTCTCTTAAGCCGTTCCGGAATAGCTCGGACTTCTCGGTAGAACAGATCTGGGACCCGATAGAACCGGCGATCAACTCACCATTTACATACTCCTCCTTATCGATCCATTTTGACTTCAAGGTGTGCGCGTGCACATGGAATGACACGCATGTCGATAGTAGGGTAAGGGAAACCGTCTAGCATGAGGCGGGGATAGCGATCACGGTGCGTGTATACAAATGCGAATTGCGACGGTGTAAGATTGCGTGGATTGGCCGGACGGAGGAGCTTCCTCGGCTCATGATCACGCGCCCGCTCCTCATTCAGGGGATTGCCCTGCCAGCGACCGTGCTCTCCGAATAAACAGAATGCAGTAATCCATCCACTGATCAGCGGAGGGTCGGCCGCGTGGTCGTAAATGATAACCCTGTTCCAGAACTCGAGATTTTCGGGACTGTTAGGGTTATCATATGCTGCAACGAAACGGCTGATTACAGGGAACAAATGGTGATACCAGGCAATCGCTGGAATGCCATAATCCTTCAGTTTCTCCAACCGCATCAGTATGTTCTCCCAGTCCCTCTTCGTCCCCTCCAGCGTCACTCTTGCACTGCCACAGAGGTTAATATCTTGGAGAGCGAGAGAATATCCCTTCCAATCCCACTCTGCCGCTCCCAAAACAGCCACCACACAAGCAATCGTGTCAACAGTGGTGGACGTGGTGAAACTGGACGCAACCCATTCCTGGAGTTCCCAACTCGATGTTCTATTGTGCATCAGGCTCATCATCTGCTCTGCTATAATTGAGGGATCTGCGGAGTGAGGATTGTCTCCCAAGTGGATCGCGAAGCTTTCGTCCGTAGTTCGACCGGCGTTCACGAAAGCACTGAATTGTAGAAGGATAGCAAGCCACACGTCATCCGGCCGAATGATAAGGCAACGATGGTTATTGAACGCCTCCATAACTGTTTTGACGAAACCGTTTTTCTGTGGGATGGTATCACGAATCACGTTACGATCCTGAGAAAGCGATGTCTGCCAGAGCAGCAGGCAATTGCGGCTTTCCTCGGGAGCGACCTTGGACATCAGGAATAAAGACGGGTCTTCACCAGACTTGATGTTCAGTCTGTCATCCTCGGTAAAAGAGTCGGCATCGTAAGCCGAGGTTACAAATGACACGGACGTCTGATGTTGATATGGCTAGCTTGAACGTATATGATCACCTGTTCGAACTGTGTCCAGGGCTAGGAGAGACGCACCGATAATGTACGAATACTGGACGTCTCAAATTCGGGTAAATGGTGTAGGGCGGCGGGTGTTTTTCGTGGCGACTTTGGCAATTTGGTCGTCGCTTGGGGTTTCGACCTCGCAATGGAGGAACCCTGAGAAGCGACCTCACTGCCGGAGTCTGAGATCCAGAAAGCTGAGACTTCGTCCTCGGTAAACCTGCTTCCTGAAGCTGGCAACTGGTATTGGAACCCGGGAGGAGACGGCAGGGATGACTTCGAGGGCGGGTGTGGGCGATCCTTTGATTTGCGAAACATGTTATCGAGCGACTACGTGTAGATTGAGGGGCTGGTTAGAGTGGAGGATAAGGTAGGGTATAATAGAGCTAGTGATGACTGTTGGGGCGGTGGTGTGCAATACATAACAATACGCTGCGGGGTAGGACAAAAGTGGGGTCGTGATATCAGAAAGAATCTCACAGCCTCCGTCCTTCACACTGTGGGCAGTATCAAGCCTTTCCACGATCAAGACATGAGCGCCAGAGCTGTGGCGAACACATAACACATAATGAGAAATTTCAATATTTTAATGTGAGCAAAAGATGTTGATTCAGACACATCCAAATGCATGCATACAATTCCAAAGTCAAATGCAGAATATTATCTCCTGATATAGCATGATCTGTATTGCATAATTCTATACTGGGAAGTGTAATTTACTACCAAGAATTTAAATGACAGCCACACATATAATTTGCTTTTCCATTTTGGGGACATTGTAATTGCAAATGTAGACAACACCTCCAAATATAGAGTTATGCATTACAGATAATACTATATCAGGAGATAATACTCTGCATTTGGCTTTGGAATTATCTTTTGCTCACATCAAAATATTGAAATTTCCCATGTGTAATATTTGGCAGGGGTCAGACTGGACTGCAGCAAGTTGTCCACCACTGTGCAGACAGTCTACATCAAGAAACTGACCAGTCACAGCCAAGTTCAAGTGAGGATACATCAGCAAAACACTGAAATGAATGCTTAGCAAGTGAGACCTTGACAGGTAATGGAATGTTACATTCACTCAAATGACAACTGCTAATTGGCTGGTTAGTTCACCATTCAGTGATGTTCATGGTGTGTCTTATCTTTGAAGTACTTCCCAATATTATATCTTACCAGCCTATCTGTAGTCTGCTACTCTGCTGGACACTGAAAAAATTGTCTCTTAATTTTGATGGCATACACCAGATCTGTATTGATCTATATTCATACAAGTATCAAAAGCTTCCTTGTTGGTATAGTAGTTGAGGTAGAAGGGTTTGTGCACCTCCTGCAATGTTCCCAGTGTGTCAAGTCCAGGCCTACTCCAACCAACTCTGATGCTTAACAAGGTCTGGGGAGAGGTGCGGAAGCAAGTCCAACACAGATAAACAGAACTCCAACTAGTGGAGGGTTGGCAGGGACAAAGTCTGCTGAGGCAGAAGCAGAACAAAGAGATGGCATCAGGTTTAGCTCATGCACTACCCCCTTGCATGATCTCAGCCCTTGTATTTCAGAGGTGGAGACCAGATGGAAGATTGGAGATAACTCTGACAGACAGAAGATGGAGAGAGATAGAGCAGGAACTTAGGTGATATTCATACTGAAGAACAGTGGGATACTGTACATGCTTTTTATACTAACATGGAGGTACAGTAACTGGAATCAGAACTGACATATGGAGACTTGTAAATTTTCAAGTGAAAACCTCCTGGATGATGTATGAAGGGAAGACAGAGAACATATGATGGATAACATACAGTGGCTCACAAAATTGTCCCAATGTTTGCATGTTTTTCATTACTCATGGTGTAGTGAGTGAACTATCATTATTGAGTCCAAGGTGTTGGTGGATGGATCAAAGCAGCTGGTCATGGTTCTCTGATGAGCCATATTACATAATATATGGATAGAAACTGATAACAGAATACCCAAATGAAAATGAGAGCTCATTGGGACAATTATGTAACTTTGTGATATGCTGGGGATGTAGTCCTTGGGAACACATATAAACCATGGTGAGATGCTCACCAATGCTTACATAGTGTATCACATGGTCTACTGAATGATTTGTCAACAAAAAACAATGCCAAACAGTGATTTTGCACCACTAAGCCTCCTTGCTGTAACACAAGTCAAGAAATCACCATTCTGGCTCATCAGGGACATTCTCTCAGGGCAACCTCAGCAAATTCTGGTGTACACTTTAGTATAGTCAATAGAATTATCAGCACCATTGGTCACATGACCTCTTGGAGGATGGTCCACATGGTCTGATGGTGGACTGGTACAAGTCCAACAGAAGGCAGAGCAGAGGAGACTCATAAATGATAGAGTGTGGGCAGAGTTGGTGTGGAGTGAGTGAATGACTGGCAAGTAGGGACCTAGGATAAGTGCACAGTCATGACACAGTGTCACTGTGCAGTCTACTTCCTATTGCACAGAGGATGGGAAAGGACAAGAGCAACAAAGCAGAACAACTTGCCTTATAGTCAAGTTGAGGCAGTAGATTTGAGTGAGTATTGAGATACAAGGCTCAATGTGAATTGAAGAAAGAACAGTGGATTGTTTGATGGGGTCTAAGACAGAAAACTCTGAGTTTATATACATGTAGACCTATGCATGGACCAAGTAGCATATAAGGAAAGTACTACTATGTATAGTGTAGAATAGTGGAGAAGGTCATGGAATATGACATCATGTATGATGATATCATGATGTCATTGTGGAGCTAGCTGACTGAGCATGTCATATGAAAGATCATGTGATGATCTAGATGGTCAGAACTATTATAATATTTCCAACACTCCCCCTCACTCTAGAATGGGAGAGTGACTAGTCCCATCAACAAGTGATTTGTTTCAAATTTCTGCCATGTGAGAGATTTGGTAAGACCATCAGCCTTTTGATGATCTGTTTGAATATATTCAATACTGAAAAGTCCATCCTGTACACATTCATGAATGAAGTGCCATCGGACATCAATATGTTTTGATTGGCCATCTGAGACTGGGTTCTCAGCAATAAAGTGAGTGCTCATATTGTCACAGTAAAGAATAGTCTTGTCCAATTTGATTTTGAGTTCATCAAATAGCATATGAAGCCATTTGATTTGATGGGCAGCATCACATAAAGCCATATACTTGGCTTCTGTGGAAGAGAGTGTGATTGTCTTCTGTTTTTGTGATCACCACAAAATAAGAGATGTGCCAAGGAACATGGCATAACCAGTTGTGGAATGATGAGTATCTTTATTTGAGGCCCAATCACAATCTGCAAATCCAAAGATCCATGACTTGAGTCCAGAGTAATGAAGCACAAGTTTAGGGGTAGAACTGACATAGTGAACTATGTGCAGTGCTTTATTTCAATGATCCTCTGTAGGATTTGTCATATGTTGGCTCATGTGAATGACTGCAAAAGCAATGTCTGGATGAGTACCAAGAGCCATATAGAGTAATGACCCTATTATTAATTGGTATTGGGAGTGGAGTTGGGATGTTGCATTGTAGTTTGTAGAAGCCTTTTCTGGTTGGTATCCAGAAGGTAATGGAGTGCAAACATTGTGAGCATTCTCCATATTAAAGTGTTTGATAACCTTCTTGACATAGGGAGTTTGATTGAGATAAATTTCTTTCTTCAATTGATCTCAGTGAATTTGAATTCTGAGATATTCTTTAACTTCTCCTAGGTCATGGGATTCCCATTTCTTCATAAACTTGTCTTTCTTGGCTTTAAGAAGACATGTGTCTGATCCAAGGAAAAGTCCATTGTCAACATAGATGAGGAAAATCACTGTGCCAGCTTTTGAATTATAAATATAAATACCAGCATCCACTTTGGAGTGAATGTAGCCCATGTGAAGCAACAATTGATGTAGGGCTTTATTCCATGCCAAAGCTACTTGCTTCAAGCCATACAAGGCTCTAAGCAACCAATATACCTTGTGTTCTTGACCCTTTACTTTGAAGCCTTCTGGTTGTTCCATATAGATTTCTTTAGTCAAGATTGCCATATAAGAAGGCAGTTTTGACATCCAGTGCTTCCATTTCCCAATTCTTCTGAGCAGTGAAAGCAAGTAGAATTCACACAGTCTTGAAGTGAGCAACTGGAGAGAAGGTGTCTTCAAAGTCAGTTCTGAGTTCTTGTGTGAAGCCTTTTGCCACAAGATGTGCTTTGTAATGACCATTGCTTTTAATAGTGAAAATCCATCAACATTTAACTGGTTTTTGATCCAGTTTGGGATCCACAAGAGGCCAAACATTTCTTTCTTCAATAGATCTCAACTCATCCTTCATAGCATCAAGCCACTTCTTCTGCTGGTCCAGAGGAAGTTGAAGGACATCCTTATATTGTTCTGGAGATTCTTTAACATGTGCAGCAAGAAGTAACTTGAAAGGATTCATCTGGGGATGATCCTGAGTCTCTTGGTTTGATGGTCCAGGTTCAGGAGTATTAGGAAGAGGAGTAAGAGGTGATGGAGGAGTACAAGAAGGGTGTTGAGTCCATTCACAAGGAACAGATGGAGGTCTCCTATTGTCCATTTCTCAACATACTCTCTCCTCCCTTTCTTGTCTGATATTTCTTGAAATATCCTCTGTTCTCCTAATCTTATCCTGGAGTGCGTCTTGATGCTGTTGAATTTCTCTCTCTGTTTCAACTGGATTTCTTTTATCTCTATAAACATTTCCAGGTCAAGTAGGAGGAATAATTCTTCTGTTAGGATGAGGTTCTCTCTCTTCATCTCTTTCAGGATGAGCTCTCCAAAGATTACATCTATCCAGTGGGATATGATAGGGATTATGAGGATGATGGAGATGATGAGGGTCAACTGGTGGTATGGCAGCAGGTGCTCTCTGAGGTGGTTGAGCTGATCTACAAGGTTGGTCTGCAGCTCTATCCTGCTGTGGGTTTGGAGGTGGAATTGGACTTGGTGGTCTGGGTTGATGAGGCCCATGTTGGAACTGATCAGGTTCCTGTAGGCTTGGTAATTATCTGGATCTGATGTAGTAGATGATTGGTTGTCATTGGAACTGGGGTCAAAGGTTTTGGGTTTTGATTTATCTGAGCAAAAAGGAAATGAGTCTTCTATGAATTTTGCAGTGTGAGAAAGTATAATCTTTTGACCATGAAGGAAGCAATATCCTTTTGTGTTTGGTTCATACCCAAGAAAAACCATTTCAACTGCATGAGGTTCCAGTTTATCTTTTCTTTGTTCTTTAGGAACCCATACATAGGCTTTGTAGCCAAAGGTGTGAAAATATGAAATGTTGGGAATTTTGACAAGAAAAAGTTCAGCAGGAGTCTTGAAAAGAATCTGCTTGAGAGGTGTTCAATTGTACACATGAAGTGCACAATCAAAGGCAAAGTTCCAATAGTGCTGTGAGGAACCTGCATTCCTTGGATGTGTAAGCCCCTATCATTGACTGTTTCATGATTGTCATTACATCCCCAGACCACTCACATCCACCATTGTTCATGCACTGCCTTCCTGCCTACCTCACTACCTTCCCATGCCCTTGCTCTCTCACATGCTGTGAGTCAAAGTGTGGTTCAGTGGTGAAAACTGACCAAAACCAACACAAAAGGCAATAAGAGCAAGTGGTAATGTGCCTATGCAGTACCTAGATGGTAGAACCTTTTGTCTGGGTGGGTTTTTGCAAGCTACAACACTCAAAGATGAGTGCTAAGGGTTGGGGGTGCTCCTGATGAAGAAGGAGCAGGAATGTGAGAGGAAGCAATAGGCTAGACTGCTGTCAGCCTACAGAAGGATGGATGAAGACTTAATTTGATGTCCTAAGCTGCACTGAGCTCAGGGAGGACTTGGAGTGAAGCTGATTGATGATTGACAATAATAAGTGAAGTAGATGATAGTTAGACCCTTAATAAAGTCTCAACTAATGAAGCTGATGAATGAATTTACTGAGAGATGATAAAATGCAAGCAAGAGGGGCTTTCTGATGTCTTCTTATTCAGCTATCTAAGTACAGTGATTTATATACAGTACAGGGGCATTTCCTATGGAAAACAAGGTGCAAACACTTGGTAAGTGATTGGTAACTGATGAGTAAGGAATGTAAGTGGTGGGTAATCATCCTTAGAAAGCATTGGTGAGCATTGGTAAGGATAAGTAAGCCAAAAAGCGAAAGAATCAGTAAGCAACGGTCAAAAGATTGGTAAGTATTGGCAATAGGTGAGTCAAAGACAGTCAGAATGTCAAAGTATGAGTCAAGTAATGTCAGGAACTGGGAAAGTGCACTGGAATCACATTAGGAGGAGGCTGTGCATGTCACATCTCAAAGAGATTGCTTCTGGGCCAAAGTGGGATGACAGAGAGGCAGTGCTGATCTGATGCCAATATAGTACATCCAAAAGCAGACAGGGTGAGTCAGACATCAACAGGGGTCAAGCTTTGGGGGTCTGTTGGGTGACAGGAGCATAGGGGATTGCAACTTTCCCCCCCTAACTGTCCTCTCAGTGAAGCAAATAAAAACTTCATGAATGAGGCTCTGTTGGAAGAGAGGACAAAGGGGGAGCATCTTCTGCTGTATCTTGCAATAAGGAGGCAAGGTGTGCATCATACTTGTCATGGATGTGATCAGGGATAGTGGAGAATAGTAGATTATACTGTAGCTGTCACAATTTTGGAAGAATGATGGATGAAACTGGTATGAAGACATTGCAGGGAGCAGGGAGGAAGGATCCATATGCTTCTTGGACTGGAGAGACTGAAATGACCACATAAGACCTTTCTAAGTGAGTGACAGACCTGAGGTGACCAAAGAACATCCTCCTAGAGGTCATACTGACAAAAAGAATGTGCTTGTCCAAGCTGGATGGGCTGAGAGGGGGCAGATGAGGATGGAATGTACCAGGACACTTCAGGATGGAAGCTGGTAGGAACTCCTGGTAGATATATGTAGCCATGGTCCCTAGCAAAGGGGACAAGCAAAATGATTGATGTGGAGGCAGCCATATCAGAAGAATTAGCAAAATGAGCATCTTTTGGAGGGAGTGTGCAAATCCTTTCCAATTTTGGAAGGTAGGATCATGTGGCTGAGCACTATAAGTGAGTGTGGGAATGATGTTGGTATCTGCAGAATTGGTAGAGATATGTTGAAAACCAGAATGCCATACATGGGTGCTTAAGAATTTTTATCAGCACTTAACTCACTTCCTTCCTTTTTCTTTGGCATTGACAACTTGTTCTTGTGCAAGGGATGACTGCTGACATGTCTGGCTGTCCTTCTTCACATGAGGGCTATGGTCTTCATCTCATCATCAGCTGCATCCATGTCCACCTCACCAAACATCTTTGGTGTGTGACACTGTGGCAAAAAGAAAAGAGTCCAAAGAAAGGATGTGACCAGAGCACAGCAGCTGTGGATATAGCATTGCACAAGAGGGAGTGAGGGCATGGGAAGGTAGTGAGGTAGACAGGAAGACAGCATGTGAACAGCAGTGGATGTGAGTGGTCTGGGGATGTAATGATAGTCACAGAATGGTTGATGATAGGAGCTTACATGTCCAAGGAATGCAGATTCCTTACAGTGGGTTAACCTGTGGTGGCAGTGCTGGATTGGTAATGGGTGGAACTGGTATTGGCTGTGGATGTGGAGCAGGTGGTATCATGTGCAAGCAGACTGGTGGAAGTGTCAGCAGGTTACTAATTGGCTGATGGGTGGTCTGCAACTGAGTGAGTGGTTGTGGCAGTGTGGCAGATGGAGCTACTTCTTTTGTAACCTTGGTTGAACAAAGATGCAAATTTAGTATACATGTATACTAAAATTATGAAAATAATTTGAAAACAAGCAAGTGGATCTACATATTGCAACATAGGGACTCATTGAAAAAATTACAAATGTAATTATTTTGAAGTCACTCCAGACACCCACAACTGTGTTTGTACTCATTATTGTTTGTTTGTTAAAGTTTGGTTGTTACTAAATTTGGAAGGTGGTTCTATGGGTTCAGAGTGTAAGTGTCACTCAGTAAAAAGTTATGGCAGAAGTTATGGCAGTATATATACCCATTGTCACAGATATTGACAAATGTTTGTCAATATATACAAATATTTACAAAATGACATCATAAATCAGATACACATGTCTAAAATCAATTAGTTACAAAAATAGCCTAATGCATTGCAAACTGATGACACAGCCTTCATTCAACCTGTCATCATGTGACTCATTTCAAGTGGAGTTTGAAATTGAGATGCACTGGATTACACCCTTTGCCACATCTCTTCTTGAACTTGAACTTCTTTCTATTTCCTCCTTGCTCATTTGCATCTTCCAATTGCCATTATGCCATCCACATGTTCAAAGTGCACCATCACCTTTGAGGTGAAGAATGAATATACTGTGCATCAGAAGAGATGTGCTGGTGGTAGGATGGATGGACAGATAACTTTTTTTTAAGGAGACCAATCAAATAATCACTGTTACACCAAATGTTCAGGGGCTATTTGATTGCTTCTGTTCCCATCATGGTTGTCCTGGAAAAAGGGGTTATACCACTGTGGAAGGTTTGAAGAAGCATATGCATACTGAAGACAAGATGGATAGGACAGGTATGCATTTGCACCATACTTTTAAGATACATGTATACTAATATTTTATTTTCTTATTTTAGGAAAAGGAGATGCCAGTAGTTAATTCCTGTCTTGCCACCAAAGCTCTACTGAGCCTGCTGATGTAAGCACATAAGACACATGTATACTATTTTCAACACTGACAATCCATCAAGGTGCAAGCAGACAGCATCACATCTGCTGTGATGATGCAAGATGATGATGTAAGCATTTAAGATACATGTATACTAAATCAGTGACTGATGTCAGCAGGCATTGGATGGTGTTGACAATGAGGAACAGCTGGACAGCCTGTTAGTACACATGTACACATCTTGACTGACTTCTGTGCACAGGGTCATCAATGCAATGATCCCATTGTTGTTAGAGGCTGACCCACCATGGAATCAGTGAGTATCTTGACAATGTGTCCACACCCTTTCTGATGGTTGGCCAGGCATATGACAGGGATGACTTAATACATCACCCCTACTGGATGCCATTAACCTTGTGGTGGATCCTCAGCTGAAGGCATGTGCTACATGCTATGTCAAGTTGCTTTGATTCCAAATGAGGCATTGGCACATCTGCATAACCAGAACAAGGGCTTACAGGTTGACAAGGAGCAGTTCCCACAAGTGGTGGCTCAGTTGGATGTAGCAGATGACTTCCCTGAGCCTTACTTTACTCAGGTCATCTTCCCCTTTCAGAGGCCTGGAGGTTTTGACAGGCATTGGTTGTGGGCACTGTGCATATGCCACATCCTCTTCCAAGTGCATGCAGGTCCATCACAGGGAGCACCACAGGGATACTATCACCCCCAAGGATTGGACTGCATGCAAGATGCAGAGATTCAGCAGGAGTGGGAAGGGATATGCCCTGTTCCAAGTCCATGACACTGCTGCCTCCCCTGTTCCAGTTGATGATACCATTAGCCATCTTAGACAACAGATGGCCCAGGCATTGATGTCCAACATGCCACAGGTTGAACATGTCATCAGTCCTTGGCTTCAAACAACCAGGGTGGCATGAGCATGTTGCTGGCCATGACATATGCAGTGTTATGTGACCTGGTAGAGATCCCAAGATGTGATGACAATGGCTTGTTCCCTGGACTCAAGGCAGCAGTGAGGCAGTACTTCAATGAAGTACTCAACCTCCTCACCATCACTGATGAATTGGTCCTGCAATGATTGAACTTGCCAGCACCACTCAAAGAGTGAGTGATGATACATGTATACTACAGTTGGTGTGCTAACATTGGACTGACAGAGGCATCAGCAACACTCCCTTCCATTGCCACCAGAATGAGGACACAATAGGACACCTGCACTGCACCAGTCATTGCATTGCTATATATGCTGGGGCAGGTGCAGTGGGAGAATAGATACAGCCTACCCTTGCCTGACAGCCTCATTGCAAAGGTCACTGCCCTTGGACTGCCATCAGAGAGGGAGTGGATGTCTCTGCCAGCCTTCACCAGGTCTTGAGTGAAGTATGGATGACCAAATTGCCCAAGACCACTGGAAATCCCATGCCCTGTCCCACAGAGCAGATGATTGCCCTGTACACTCTGGATGGAGATGGAAAGCACAAGGAGCTGGCTGCAGTGATATACTACCTTTCCAGGCTCACATACTGCATTCACTTGGTATGCCTGAAGGAACTGAGGCAATGATTGGAATCAAGATTTGACAGGCATGGAAGAGCTAGCATGTGACAAACTCCAGCCTTGGTTCACCAAGCACACCAACCCCCCATCCAGTCACATTTGAGCACTGCAACATCATGCCTCCTCCCTTGCATTCCAAACCATGTCTCTCCCTTGTATCTGGTGGAGTGACAACAAGCAGTAGACAGAACTGCTCTACAAGGGACACAGGCACTTCTGGCATCCATAGTAACTATCACTACAGAGGACAGGCTACTATGAAGAGCCTAGACAAGAGCACTTGCCTTTATAAGATTGGTTGTAGATTTGAAGTGGGTAAGCTTGTAGGGGCTTGAGTGTTCATATGAACAGTAGATTGTCTGCTTGAGACGATGGGGACTCTAGGAGAGATACCCCTGAGTTTATATATATGAGTAAGTATGCATGGACCAGTAGCATATTAGGAAACTACTACCATGTATAGTAAAGAATAGCAGAGAATGTCATGGAATATGATGTAGTAAATGATGTCATATTGACATCATTGTGGAGCTGATTGCTAAGGCAAGTCATGTGATTGACAACATGTTGATACACATGTAAGTCTAGATGTCAGAACTATTATGATATTTCCAACACTCCCCCTCACTCTAGAATGGGAGATTAACAAGTCCCATTGACAATCAATTCATTTCAAATTTTTGCCACATGTCAAGGATTTAGTAAGACCATCTGCTTTTTGTTTATTGGTTTGAATGTATTCAATACTGAATAAACCATCTTGCACACATTCATGAATGAAGTGCCATTGGATGTCAATATGCTTGGAACAGACCATCTGATACAGGATTCTCAGCAATAAAGCGAGCTCCCATATTATCACAGTATAGTATGGTCTTTTCTGTTTTGAGTTTAAGTTCATCAAACAGCATGTGGAGCCATTTGATTTGACATGTGCAGTGTCACAGAGAGCCATATATTCAGCTTCTGTAGAAGAGAGTGCAATAGTTTTCTGTTTTCATGATTGCCAAGAAATGAGGGATGTTCTGAGGAACATGGCATAACCTAGTAGTAGAATGATGAAGTGTCTTTATTTGCAGCCCAATTCAGAATCAGCAAAGCCTGAAGATCTGAGATTCAAGTCCAGAATAGTATAAGGCCATTTTGGGAGTAGATGCAATATAGTGAACTATATGCAAGGCCTTGTTGTGCAATGATCCTCTGTGGGATTGCACCATATATTGTGACATGTGAATAACTGCATATGCAATATCTGGACACAAGTACCAAGGGCCATATATAGAAGAGAGCTGATAATGGAATTGGTACTGGGATCTGAGAACTGAAGTGGCTTGATAATCTGATGGTGCTTTTTCTGGTTGATATCCTGATGGCAATGGAGTGCTGAACATTTTGAAGCAGTCTCCATATTAAATCATTTGATGACCTTTTTGACATATGGGATCTGATCAAGATAAAGTTCTTTCTTTGATTCAATCATGGTGAATTTGAATGCCAAGGTATTCCTTGACTTCACCAAGGTCTTCAGGATTCCCATTTCTTCATGAATTCTTCTTTCTTGGCTTTAAGAAGGACATTTGTCCTGATCCTAGAAATAATCCATCATTGACATAGATGAGGAATATGACAATGCCTAGCTTTAGACAAGTAAATGTATATCCCAGCATCCACTTTTGAGCATATATAGCCCATGCGAAGTAGAGAAGCATGAAGGGCTTTATTCCATGCAAGTGCACTGCTTGCTTGAGACCATAAAGGGCTCTAAGCAGCCAATATACCTTGTGCTCTTGACCCTTAACTTGAAAACCTTCTGGTTGCTCCATATAAATTTCTTCATCAAGATTGCCATAAAGGAAGGCAGTTTTAACATCCAGGGCTTCCATTTCCCAATTGCTGTTGGGCAGTGAATGCAAGTAAGATCTGCACTAGTTTCGAAGTGAGCCACTGGAGAGAAGGTATCTTCAAAGTCAGTTCCAAATTCTTGTGTGAAGCCTTTTGCCACAAGATGAGCTTTATAACAACCATCACTTTTTATCGCAAAAACCCATTGACACTTTACAGGTTTCTGATCCTTTGGAGGATCCACCAAAGTCCATACTTGTCTTTCCTCAATTGATTTTAGTTCATCTTTCATAGCATCAAACCATTTCTTTTGCAAATCAGGAGTTAATTTCAACACATCTTTATAATGTTCCAGAGATTCCTTGACCCAGGCAGTGAGAGCAAACTCAAAAGGATGCATCTCTGCTTCCTGACCAGGCATTCCCTTTGGGGAACCAGGAGAATCCAGTAGTGGAGTAAGTGGTGATCCAGGAGAAGATGGAGTAGTTCCTTGTGGATGTTCAGTCCACTGTCTAGGAACTTGAGGAGGTATCATAGCAGGTAGTAACCTTGGAGATGGTGGTCTCCATTCCTCATTATATCTCTGAAGAGCCTCTTCTCATTGTTGGATGTTATGTTCTGCATTATGAATCCACTGTTGTGCTTGATCCCAATTTTGTTGAATATCTTGTTCTATCTGGACTGGAGGTCTATCTCCATAGGTATTTCCAGGACAAGAAACAGGAATAAAATGACACTTTGGATGAGGTTCTCTGTCTTCAGCAGGTGGTTGAGCTCTCTGAACATTTCAGGAATCACCAGGAATAGAATGTGGTTGATGAGGATGTTGCAGAAGACGAGGGTCAACAGGTGGTACTGCAGCAGGTGCTCTTCTAGGTGGAGCTCTATGCTGGTCCACAGCTCTCTGCTGTGGGTTTGGAGGTGTGATAGGATGAGGTGGTTGCTGGTGATGAGTTGGCAGTTGGATCTGATCAGGATCCAGCAGTGAGTAAAGGCTTTCAGAATTGGAAGATGATGATTGGTCATTTTCGGAATTGGGGTCAAAGGTTTTGGTCTTTTTATCTGAACAAAAAGGAAAAGAGTCTTCTATGAATTTAGCAGTATGAGATAAAATGATCTTTTGACTGGATAGGAAACAATATCCTTTGGTATTAGGCTCATAGCCTAAAAATACCATCTTGACAGCATGTGGTTCCAATTTGTCTTTGTGTTGTTGTTTTGGAACCCATACAAAGGCTTTGCAGCCAAAGGTGCGAAAATATGAAATGTCAGGAACTTTTCCTAAGAATAGTTCTGTGGGAGTTTTAAAGGTGATCCATTTAAGTGGAGTCCTATTGTACACATGGAGTGCACAATCGAAAGCAAAATTCCAGAAGTGTATTGGAATGCAAGCTTGGTGTCAAATAGTACCAGCTTTCTCAGAAATGGTATGGTTAAACCATTCCACATGACCATTCTGTTGTGGTTGATCAGCAATTGATAATTGATGGGTAATTCTGCATGTAGAAAGGAGCGCTTTGAACATAGAACCCATAAACTCTCCCCCTTGATCCAAATGGAGTGCAAGAAGATGGTAGCCAGTTTGATGTTGGGCAGAAACCATCCAATTGGCAAAAGCAGTATAAGTATCAGATTTGTTGTGAAGGTAAAGGCAAAAGCTGAAAGAGGAGTAATCATCCAAAAGAGTAAGGATGTAGTTGGAGCAGAAATAAGATTCCACCAGTAGTTCCAACAAATCAGCATGAACCAATTCAAGAGGTTTTGTAGTGCATTTCCAAGAAGGTTTGAAAGCTTTGAAAGATAATTTCCCTTGAGTGCAACCTTTACAAGGAGTAGACTCCCCCTGTATTTGTATTCCTTGACCTAATCGCTTTAGGTGTCAGAGAACAGCTTGAGCTGGGTGACACATGTGATTATGCCATAAAGACTCTTGTGAAGTCCTAACCAGAGGGCAAAGGGCCACAAACACATTGGTAGGTGGAAGCAGTATGCCCACAAACCAGTGTAGCGGTGAAGTTGGAGAGGCTAGTTTCTCCTCAAGAACAACCCAGCCATCTGGTGCTCAGATTATCTCACTATTGAGGGTCACTGTACTCCTATACCCATTTTTAAGGAGTGCATTTCTAGAACATAGTCGCTTTGAAAAAAGTGGACTATAAACAACATTATGAAGTGGCAGGTCATGCCCATTTTCAAGGCAAATAACCACTGTTCCTTCTCCAAGTAATTGTACTTGACTTAACCCAGCAGTAGATGCAAGGGAAGGAGTCTGAAATTCTTGGAAAGAAAGGAAATCAGATTTAAAAGGTGTCACATGATGTGAAGCACCACTATCCAACATCCATATCAACTCACCTTTTGGTAGGTTCCTAAAAGATGCGTGCACACCCAAGGGGTAGCAATCAAAAGCATCATAAGCATTCCTATCGAATTCACCAGGGAAATATCCTGCAGCTTATTCATTTAGGGTCATACTCGATGTCTGGATTATGCTTTATACAAAAAGGTTTAGGATGAACAGGATCAGGTACAGATTCATGAAATGTCTGTAAAGACATAGGGTGGTTTTTCTTTTTCTTTAATACTTGGACAGGTCCTCTGTTGCTACTATCATGTCCTCAAACATGGGGAGCAATGAGATTAGAAGTCTGCACTGTTGGCAAAGCTGACCTGCCATTT